CCTCTTCGAATTCCTCCAGCGGTAAAATTTATCCCAGGTTTCATAATAAACTGATCCACATTTGTCTTTTAATATCATTGTGAACCTGTCCATTTCCGCACATGCTAATATTTTATGTATTAACTCTTCCTCTGTGGGAATTTCCTTGCTCTTCCATTTTTGCGCAAAGGCAAGCCTAGCTGCAGTCAGGATGTGTACAGTTGCTGACATTTAAAGGTGACACATTGTGGGGAAAAAAGCCCAGAAAAAGGTACTTACGTTATCGTTGGGATACAGAACACGGGAAATATTCTCAGCCAAATTCCGGTCCAGCACCGCCTGAATGTAGCCACCCACATTGACTGAAGAAGGGAAGATATTTTTTTTAAAATGGGGAGAAAAAGATAAGTTAATATAATTTAATTAACCAGAGGATACTTCAAAATTAAAACGATGATTAGGATTAGAAACAGAGCCTTCTTGGTGCTGGTGCCTCAACTGAAGAAAATCTGCTTAGGCATCGTGTTTCTGAGTTTATCACGTCTATTTATCTATCTATTTATCTATCTATCTATCTATCTATCTATCTATCTATCTATCTATCTATCTATCTATGAGACTTATATACCGCTTTAAGTGCAAGCACTCTCTAAGCGGTGTACACCAGTAAGCAATGTATATATATATATATATATATTTACGTTGCCCCCAACAATCTGGGTCCTCATTTTACCTACCCCGGAAGGATGGAAGGCTGAGTCAACCTTGAGCCGGTGAGATTTGAACCGCTGACCTGCTGAACACAGTCAGCTAAAGTGGCCTGCAATACTGCAGTATTTAAATCAGGGTTTCCTAACCTCAGCAACTTTAAGATGTATGGACTTCAACTCCCAGAATTCCCCAGCGAGTAAAGAATTCTGGGAGTTGAAGTCCACACGTTTTAAGCTTCCACGGTTGGGAAACCTCAATTTAAACTACTTTATCCCACTTTGCGGGATAAAACCTGGAACAAGGATCAACCCCGTACAGGCAGTCAACTTACAACAATTCATTTAGTGACCCGTCAAAGTTACGACGGCACTGGGAAAAGAGACTTTATCACCATTTTTCGTGTTTTACGACCATTTCAGCATCTCCGTGGTCACCTGATCAAAACCTGGACACTTGGCAACTGGCTCATATTTATGACGGTTGCAGTATCCTAAGGTCATGTGATCAACTTCTAAGCAAAATCAGTGGGCAAGCCAGATTCACTTCACAACCGTGTTGCTAACGTCACAAGTGGGGATTCACTTAAGAGCCAGAAAGGTCGTAAAATGAGGCAAAATTCACTTAACGACTGTTTTGCTTAGCAACAGAACTTTGAGGTTCAATTGTGGCGGAGGACTACCTGTGGACGGGAACTTCATTCCATGGAGAACCCGGCCCACCTCCCCAGGGTTCCTGGGATTTGTGGGTCACCCAAGATCAGTTCGAATCTCGGGGCGGTGCTACTTACAATCTTTCAGGTTGAACTCGTTGGGGGCCCTGGCAGACCACAGCCGCATGGTGTTGACTGTGTTGTTGCGATACCCAGGCACGGGTGTGTCGTAGGGCAAGGCGAGCACCACCTGCATGGAAACAGGGAGGGGGAGGGGAATAAGTAACCATAATCAGTCCCTAGGAGGGACTCTCTGCTCCCTGAGCTATTGCAGACAGAATCTAAAATCCTAATGTTGGAAGGTCCTGGTTCCTTCTTGAATGGACTACTGCAACGTGCTCTACCTGGGGCTGCCCTTGAAAAGTATGCAGAAGCTTCAACTGGCACCAACTGGGACGGCACACGTTACATCTTGGATCTGTGAGCTGCACTGGTTGCTGGTTTGCTTCTGAGTCAATTCAAGGTGCTGCTTTTGACCTTTCAGGCCCTACCTGGCATGGAGCCAGGATCTGCGAGGGACCCGCTCTCTTTCCCTGATCACACCTACCCAGATGGTCCCCAGGTGATGACAGATCTGGCAGGAGAGGCGTGTGTGGAGGGCCTCATCCTATGGGACCCAGGAGAAGAGCCTTCTCTGCCGTGGCACCTGCCCTCCGGAGTTTTATTGTGAGGTGAGGCTGGCCTCAATGCTGCTAGAAAGCTCTCAAAACCTGGTTTTTGCATTGATCCGAAAGATCCCTTGGTTGGCTGCAGCACGTATAACATCCCGGTTTTCACCCTCTCGTGATTTTGTTTCTAATCATGTTTAGTTAAGTAGTTTGTGGTTTAATATTATGTCTATCAATATTAATAAGGTAGGTAGGTAGGTAGGTGGGTAGATATAGAACAACAGAGATGATATAGATAGACAAATAGAATGAGAATGAGATAAATAGATGATATAAATACAATGATAGAACAACAGAATGATAGAACGATAGATAGATAGATAGATAGATAGATAGAACAATAGATAGATATAAATAGAATGAGAGAATAAATGGAACGATAGATGAGATATAGAGTAATAGAACAATAGACAGGTCAATGATAGAACGATAGAAGAGAGAGAGAGAAATAGAGATGGTAGATACATGATAGATAGATAGATAGATAGATAGATAGATAGATAGATAGAGATAGAACATAAATCATAGATATAGATAAATAGAATGAGATAAAAAATAGATGATATAAATAGAATGATAGAACAACAGAACAATAATAGAACAACAGAATGATAGAACACTAAGACAGATAGATAGATAGAGATAGATAGATAGATAGATAGATAGATAGATAGATAGATAGATAGATAGATAGATAGAAGAGGGAGAGAAAAATAGAGATGGTAGATACATGATAGATAGCTATGATAGATAGATGGATGGATGGATAGATAGACAGACAGACAGACAGACACAGGTAGGAATAGAACAGATATAGATAAATAGAATAAGAATAATAAATGGAATGATAGATGATAGATATAGAGAGATAGATAGAATGATAGATGGTTGATATAGATATAGATTAGATAGACAGACAGACAGACAAATAGATTAGATAGACCAGTGGTTCTCAACCTTTTTAATGCCGTGACCCCCCCCCCCCCAACCGGTCGTAAGTCGAGAACTACTCAACTGGTGCAGCACCGTTTGCAGACTGGGACTTTGGGCGGGCTCAGCAGGGCAGAGACAGCCTGGACAATTCCGATTGGCTTTTGAAAGCCAATAGAATTAGACTCTATTCAAGAGAGTCTATTCTATTGGCTTTCCAAAGCCAATAGAATAAAAGGGAGGAGCACAGCTAAGGAAAAGGGGGGAAAAAATGGCAGACTGCGTTGTTTGGCGACCCCCGTGAAATGGTCCTTCGACCCCAAATGGGGTCCCGACCCACAGGTTGGAACCACTGAGATAGACAGACAGAGACAGACAGACAGATGATAGATAGATTCAAAAAAAGTCTGCTAAGCCTTCGGTGCAACATCTGGCCCTGCTCTGAAGGCCGCAGGGCAGAGGCAGACAGTAACAGGAAGCTACCCAGCTGCTGCCGCCTTTTCCTCCGGGTTCTCTCGTTTCCTTTCCGATTAAATTGCAGCCACCTTTTCCTCCCCTCCCCCTCCCTCCATCACCGGTGAAGTAATTTTGGAATTAAAAACCTGAGCAGGAATAATTGCCAAAGAAATAAAGTCGAGGCTCTGAGATATTCACTGTGACCAAAACCCAATTTTAGGTCTAGGAAAAGTAGCTCAGCTTAAGCCGGTCGGCCCCAATTTAATTGGTTTGATCTGTCAGGAAAAATCAATTCAGTTCACTAAAATGATGGGAAAAAAAGAACCTGCGGATTATTCCGCCTCCTTTAAAGCAGCACCTTTGAACTGATCTGAACCAGACAGGTGATTCCCTCTGGAAAAATCAATCCAGGGTGCCTTTAATAATTTTACGGAGTTTAATATTAACAATATTAATACAAGTCATAATAGTAATACAATATTATCGGCAGTCTCAACCAACGACCAGCCACTTAGGGACCGTTTGAAGTTACAATGGACACCCCCCCCCAAAAGCTACTTATAATTCAGTTTTTATGTTGTGACAGCCCCCCTCCCCATTGCATGAATGCATTTGGGGGACTTGGCAATAAGCCATTTACAGTAGCACATGTGACCACAATTTAGCACTTTTTCCCACAGGGAACCATCACTTACTTCTGGTTTCCGGCTTCAACTGCTGCTTAGCAAACAATAGGCTGGCTTAACAACTGTCACAAAAAGGGACGTAACGTCAGCCACTCCTCCTTTAACAACCGCCTGGCTCAGCAATGCAGATTCTCATCCCAACTGTGGTCCTTGACTTACGACCACAATGGAACCCAAAATTTCTGTGGCTCAGCAAGACAGCCGGTAAGTGAGTTTTGTCCCATTTTATGACCCTTCTTGCTGCAGGGGCTAAAGGAATCACTGCGATTGTTAAGTCACACAGTGGTTAAGTGAATCTGGCTTCCCCCATTGACTTTGCTTGACAGACGGTCGCAAAAGGGGACACTGCGACCGTCGTAACTATGAGTCAGTTGCCAAGCGTCTGAATTTTGATCATGGGACCCTGGGAGATGCTGCAACGTGTGAAAAACATAAGTAGCTTTTTTCGGTGCCCTTTTAACTTTGCATGGTCACTAAATGAGCTGCTGTAAGTCAAGAACTTCCTGTCCCGTAGGAGCCCAGAACAGGAGCAATGGGAGATTAAGTAAAAGGTGTCGTGTGAATGCAGCCAAAATACTGGATAAGAGAAACGATGGGTTGTATCCCTGGGAAGCTGTGGCTTTTGTGGAGAACACACAAGGACGTGCACGGACACTCACCCGCACCTCGACCAAAAGCCGCTTACCTGCGTGTCGACCCACTTCACTTCTCCCTCCCCGTGTTGCACGTGTCCGTAGAAGTGGACGGGGATCATGTATTCCGGACGGGCCTTCTCCCAGGGATTCCCATAACGCAGCCAGTCGTCAGCTTCCTCCACCTGCCAGCCCCCCAAGACCTTCTGGTTGAAGATGCCGAACTCGTAGCGAATGCCGTAGCCATAAGCAGCCAAGCCGAGAGTCGCCATGGAATCCAGGAAGCAAGCTGGGAGAGGCGATGGGGAAACTCACAAAACCAGAATTGAAAGAAGACCAGGATCCAAGGTAAGGTACATTTTAAACTTTGACAAGGATGGAGGTTTGTTCTCCCAGCTTGTGAGTCGGTTTCCGAACGTTTGGTTACCAGGCTAGGTAACATCTTCAGCAGCGTTTAGGGCAGGAGTCTTCAAACCTGGCCTTGTTATGATTTGTGGACTTCAACTCCCAGAATTCCTCAGCCAGCCCTGCTGAAGTCATAAAAGGGCCAAGTTTGAAGACCCCTGGCTTAAAGCATGACTGGCTGGGGAATTCTGGAATTTGAAGCCCACAGGTTTTCAAGTTGCCAAGATTGGACACCCCTGCTTTAAAGTGAGTTTGAAGTAAGACATGGCAGTTTGGTTTCACTCAACATCTAAAACTATGGTTTGTTCAATTGCACAAAAGATAGAAACAAGCCACGATGGGGTTTCGCCGATTGTGCAAACCAGGCCCAGTCTGTCTCGTGAAACGAAGGCGTTGTAGAGATCATTGGCTAAGTGATCTTTTGGGGTGGCACACTGGAGACACGAGGGTCCCCCCAAATCTGTATGAGCTGGTGGTTACTCTGAAATGGCCTTAAAATACGGAGCTGGATTAAACTTGGAAAGGAGACCAACAGGAAATCTTTGAAAGCAGACAGGGTTAATCTTTTCCATATTAATGGCAAACAAACACCATGGAGGGTCTGTGAGACCATTTCAGGAGCTGCATTCAACCCAAATGAGATGGCATTTTATTTTTAAGAACTCTCTCTTGTTAGTTCTCGTCAGGATGGGTTTGTGCAACACACCCAGGCTGAATTTGCACAATAGTCTAGTGTACAAAAACAACCTGACAAAGCTCAGGACCATGAATACATTATAGATCAATCTCCCTAAGTGGGCTAAGTGGGATGTGGGAAACAGCCACTCTAGATGGTCACCTCTATGCAATTCAGGGGGTGGATTAGATGACCTTTGGAGGTCCCACTCTAATTACTGTAAGGTTTTTTTTCAAGCAGAGGTGCCCTTCTCTGTAAAACCCTTCCCGACAGGAAGGATTTTAAAATTAGGGGAAACTGGGAACATCTTTTTCCAACGAACCAACTGTTTTTATTTATTTGTATCCCACCGTTATTATTTTTACAAATTACTCAATTTTATTCAAAGGCCGAAGTTTTTAGCAACTCGTCGCTTGATCAGCTCATGAAAATGTTGCCCCTGAATAAAACGGTTTAGTTGTAAATAGGGCTACCAAAGTTCTTTGCTGCCAAAGGCAAAATCATACAAGATCTTTGCAGCAGGAACTTTGGCCCGCCAAGTGAGAGCGCTGCTGGGTTGCGATCTGCCCGTCGCTGATGATGCCAACCTGCCAGTCGCCCGAGCCCTCCGTTGCCCAGGCCGGCGTCCTCTTCAATCTCCTGCAGCTCCTCCATATCCAAGCCCAGCTGCAGAGGGAGAATAATTTCAGTTTGGGGACCCCAAAATATTTATTTATTTAGTGGTGGTTTCGATACTTTGTTTGTATTCCTCCTTTATTATTTTTACAAATAACTCAAAATGCTCAACATAAATAATATTCCTTCCTCCTATTTTTCCCACCGTAACAACCTTGCGAGAGTGATTGGTTCAAAGTTATCCAGTTGGCTTTCGTACGTAAAGTGGAACTAGAATTCACCGTCTCCTGGTGATTGGCCCAGAGTCACCCAGACGGCTTTCATGCTTAAGGCGGGACTAGAACTCACCGTCTCCTGGTGATTGGCCTAAAGTCACCCAGCTGGCTTTCATGCTTAAGGCGGGACTAGAACTCACAGTCTCCTGGTGATTGGACCAGAGTCGCCCAGCTGGCTTTCATGCTTAAGGCGGGACTAGAAGTCACCCTCTCCCACTTTCTATCCTGGTGCTTTAACCACTATATCATAAAGGTAAAAAAGGATATATGCAGTGTTATCTTCATTTTAGATTTCAAAAGGGTCTCTCTGTCTCTCTCTCTCTCTCTCCCCTCTCCCTCTCTCTCTCTCTTTCTCTCCCTCTCTCTCCCCCTCTCTCCCATGTCTGCTCACCTGGCAAGCTGGCTTCGAGTTGTTCTCCAACCAGCTGACACACATTCTTATTGGGCTAGCTCAGGGGTAGGCAACCTCGGCTCTTTTATGACTCACGGACTTCAACTCCCAAAATTCCTGAGCCAGCGTAGCTGGGCTAGCTAGCTCTCTCCTGCCCTTCCTGCTTCCTGCAGAGATGCAGCAAAGGGAGGAGCCCCACCCAATAAGCTTTTCAGCTCGTGGGAGAACACTGTGAGTCCACTCTTTTTTACACACAAACACACACACACACACACACACACACACACACACACACACAGAGAGAGAGAGAGAGAGAGAGAGAGAGAGAGAAGGGAAGGCAAGTGCCTCTCTCTGTCTCTGTCTGCAAATGGCAGAGGAGGCTGGGAGCCGCAGGGAAAGGCTCAAAGAGCCACATGAGGCTCCGGAGCCGCAGGTTGCCGACCTGTGCACTAGACCAAACCATACCATTCCCCTTCATGCAAAATACGGGGGGGGGAGCCAACAGTACAAACCTTTTCACTCTGCGATCCCTTCTTTCCCTAAATCTGCCCCCTCCCCAGTTTCCTCCCTCCCCCTCCAATCCGTTCAAGAGCAGCTCCCAAACCTGGTAAATGGCTTCGTCGCAGGCATTTTGCAAGCCCAGGTTCACCATGGTGTTTTGCAGTGTCCGTCCCATGTAAAACTCCAAGGAAAGATAATAGATGCGCTAGAAGAAAGGGGTGGAAAGAGGGGAGGGGGTTAGTAAAAAGCCTCTCCCCAAAGAAGAAAGCCGTTTGACTGTCACTGGAGATGGATTTGCAAATCTGAGATTTATTTAAAAAAAAAAAAAAAGAAGTGGCAGTTTGCAATTTGAAAAAAAAAAACACCCCAAACTACACATCCAACACATTCATCTGAAACCTGGGTACGTGTAGTCCTCGCCTTACAGCCATTAATTCGAACCAAAACTTCTGTTGCTAAGCAAGGCCGTCATTAATTTTAGCTTTTTTTTCTGCAAATCGCCCTGGTCGTTAAATGAACCACGTGGTCATTAAGTGATCTGGCTTCCTCCCCCGTTTTGACTTTGCTTGTCGGAAGTGTCTGGGAAGACAGCAAATGAACCCCGGGATATGGCAGTTGTAAATATATGCTTGGTTGCCAACTGCCCAAAGTTTTGACTGTAGGGACGCTGCAAGGGTCGTAAGGGCAAGGACCCACATTAAATGGATGGCCATAAGTCAAGGACAGTACCTGTATTGTGTGCATGCAGCTTTTGTGGGCTGGGGGAGTCACAAGAGGATGCAATGGTGCATTCCTACATCAAATGGTGTCCAAATCAGAAGCCCTATTTGGCTTCAACACAGTAGAAAAATTCTCACCACCTATTAAGAAAATCACCCAGGTGCTTTTTTCCAAAAAGCAACCTGGGTGGTTTTTTTAAAAAAAATGTTTTGCTTCTCACTCAAGAAGCTTCTCCAGTTCTAACTGACTGGTGGAGAATGGGAGGATAAAATCCTCCACCAGTTAGAGCTGAAGAAGCTTCTTGAATGAGAAGTGAAATGTCTTCAAAGAAAGAAACTCAAGGAAATCCAGTTGCCTTTTGGAAAAAAAAAAAAAAAGCACCTTTGGGACAAGCATGACTGGATGATTGAGACGCTCCACAGACATACTAAGAAAACAAGCTGTATTTTCCAAACACATAGGAACACACATGATCCCATTTACGTCTGGACTAATGTGAAACTGCAAACCCAGGCCACTCGGAACTGAGTTTGAGTCCTCCATCCTTTTATCTGAAGCTGATCTTTGCACGCAAAGTGGGCGATAATTAAAGGGCTGCATTTCCAGCGCTGTTATCACCGCCAAGTGGCAAACCCCGAGGAGAGAAGTTGTCCAGAGCTGAAAACTTGGCACCGTCTGGCTTAAAATTTTAGCAGAAGGCCCGTCCATCCACCCAGCCTGCCCTCCGGCTTTCAAGGTCTCCAAAAGGACCTCCTTTCACAAGGCCAACGGATGCTACATTGTCCATCACGCCGGTTAAGTAAACCGCACCTCTCTTTGCACGCAATCCGTGGACTCACACCATCGTGGTTTATATCAAAGGGGAATGCATTGACCTGGATGAGAAAGCCCTGAATTTTGCAAAAGCCTAAAAAAAAAAAACTTGGAGAAGAAAAAAAAAACACTCCTCTGGAGAGAAAGTCCCAGAAAGCAACGAAGGAGAACAGAGCTACCTCCCTCAATAATTTAGCAGGATAGAAAAGGTTTCTATACCGCAAGATTTTATTACACTCTCGCTCATTGTGATGATGGTTTATTCCAGGACTTTCCCAACTTAGCAACTTTTAAGACTTGTGGATTTCAGCTCCCAGAATCCCCCAGCCATCCCACTGGTTTTTATTTCACTGGTTGCAGGAATGGATTCACTTAATGACCATTAAAGCCTGAGAAAAAAAGGTAAAATTGTCTGCCACTCATTTAATGACTGCCTCGCTTAGCAACAGAAGTTCTGGTTCCAGTTCTGGTTGCAAGGCGAGGACTACGTGTACCCGGGTTTCAGATGAATGTATTGGACGTGTAGCTTTGGGTATTTTTGCAAAGAACTAGTTACTTGGCCCTGTTCACGCGGCATACAGGTAGTCCTCGACTTACGATCACAATTGAGGCCAACATTTCTGTTGCTAAGTATGTTTTTGCCCCATTTTACGATTTTTCTTGCCAGAGTTGTTAAAGTGAATCACTGCAGTTAAGTTAGTAACCCGGTTATTAAGCGAACCTCGCTTCCCCGTTGACTTTGCTTGTCAGATGATGGCAAAAAGGGATCGCGTGAGTCGCCCTCCCCCCCCCGGACCCTGTGTCCGTCATAAATATGAGTCAGTTGCCAAGCGTCCGAATTTTGATCAATTGGCAATGCTGGCAATGATCCGTGCGAAAAACAGTCCTTTTTTCAATGCCGTTGTAATTTTGAACGGTCACTAAACAAACTGGCAAGTTGAGGGCTACCTGTATTTAACTCAGTCGGGCAAAAGTTCCGTGGCTGCATCTGCAGAACCTGAGTTTATGGGTCGTGTGAAGGCAACCCATTTGCGTTTAGGACTGAATGCATCGTGCAATACACACTCGACCCTAGGAACTGGGCAAATACAGCCATAATGCCCACCCCCCGGAAAGAGAGATTTGTCTGCTGCAAGACACCCCCCCCCAAGCTGTGCAAGGGGACCATCCCCCCCCAGAGCCTGCAGCTCTTTTCCTGACCTTTTCCCGGCCAGCTGAGCTAACTCAGCCCTCCATAAGTTTACAAGTGGTGTCCAGTATCTCTTGCAAGGCTCCTGCTGACACAAGCATTGCGGGATTCAAATAGCAAAAGTTCACGCCAAGCCAAATGTCAGGCCGGCTAAATTTAAAGAGTCAAGGCGCTGTTGCACGGGGGGGGGGGGAGAGAGGACCTCCCTCGCAGGGCGAGCGCCCCTCTTGCGAGGACCTTTTTGGGGTGGCAGGACCGGGGAGGGAAAAGCAGGAAGGACTCCCACATTTGGGAGGCGGCTTTCTGCTTTGCATGCAAGGTGGCCGTGCTTTGCCCGAGGTGGTCCTGCTTTGCACACGAGGGTGCAAAGAGTTCTTTGCTGGTGGGAGGGAGGGAGGGGGCAGAGACATGGGTGGCTCTTCCCCTGTCAGTCCCTCATCCCAAACTGGGGCTGTGGTTTCCCATCATCCTGTGCGATGCTATAGAGCTATTAATAGGCCCCTCTGCAGCTCTCTCCCCCCCCACCGCCTCCCCCTCCCCTCAGCCCCTTGGAGTCCTGCCTGCCCATAACTGGCGGGGGGGGGGGGAAATCAGATGCAGACAACGGCAGCCTTGCTGTTGTCCTCTGGAGGCGAAGGACTACAGAGCCCATCATCTCAGCCAGACGCCTAGAGATGATAAGAGCTGGGGGTTCAAGCCGCGGGGTGCAAAAGGGCTACTTTAGGAAGCCAGCAAGGAAGGGCGGGGGGGGGTTGAACCCCAACTCAAGGAGGGTCCTAGGTCCTAGCTCAGTCTGCACCAGAAGGGGATGATGGTCCTGGGGAAGCAGGACACCAGGCGGGCAAGCAAGCTCAGATTCTCACGCCCTTTTCCCTTTCCCGAGCCGGCTGGGCACCACAGGCGCTGTAGTCCCAGTCCCCGAGCGAGCGATCCACGCAGTGGCACAGCCGGCGCGCACAACCGCCCCGCGAGGTAGGCAGGAGGGGAGGGGGGGAGGCCCACCTTGGGGTCCTTCTCGTAGTAGTGCTGCTGGGTGCGGATCCAGCGTCCGACCAGGTGGTCGCGGACGGTGTGGGCGAGGGCGTAGTAGTAGTCGCGCGGCGTGGACACGTTGCGATCCTTGACCAGCGTGAAGTGGAGGTGCCGGTTGAAGTTCTTCTTCAGGTCGGCCACGCTCTCCACGCCGGCCAAGCCGCGCACGCTGATCTGCTTCCTCTTCTCGTAGTCCGACAGGGGCAGCGACATCGCGGCGGGTGCGGAGGGCGGCGGGGCCGGGCTGGACGGGACGGGACGGACGGACGGAGGAGCAGCGGCGCGCTTCTCCTGGGCGCCGGCAAATGCGCCCCAAGCCCCGCCCCTCCGGCCTTTTAAACCCCCGGGCGATACATTATTCATGAAGGGGCGGGGCCGGGTCCCGAAAGCCCCGCCCGCCCGGGTTCTAAGGGCCCAGCGCATTCAAAAGTGGCGGGGCTGATTCGGGGTGGCCCCCGTTGGGTTTTTTTTGGGGGGGGGAAAGAGACTGTTAGAAAGCCGTCCGGCGAGCAAGTTTCTTTCTATCCATCCATAAGAGTCCTCTATCGCTCCCGGGAGAAACAAAACAGAATCGCCGAGTTGGAATGGACCTTGGAGGTCATCTAGTCCAACCCCCTGCTCAAGCAGGAGACCCCCAGCCCACACCATTCCGGACAAATGGCTGTCCGGTCTCTTCTTAAAAACTTCCGTGATGGAGTGCCTACAAGTGGAGAAACATTGCTTGGAACACAATCTAAGGATTGGAAAACCTTTGGAGGTTTTCTAGTCTACCCCCCTGCTCAAGCAGCAGACTTAGTCTATACCATTTCAGACAAATGGTTGTCTAGTCTCTTAAAAGCCTCCAGTGATGGAGCACCCACAACCTCTGGTGGCAAGCTGTTCCACTGGTTCGTTGTCCTCACTGTTAGGAAGTTTCTCCTCAGTTCTAGGTTGCTTCTCTCCTTGATCAGTTTTCACCCATTGTTTCTTGTCCTGCCTTCAGGCGCTTTGGAGAATAGCTTGACTCCCTCTTCTTTGGGGCAGCCCCTCAAATACTGGAACCCTGCTATGTTTGAGGGGTTGCCACCAAGGGGCACACAGCTTCTAGCCCTCCAAGAGAACACGCATCCAGTCCTCATGGCTCCCAGTGCTGTACTGTAAAGGCTTGGCTTCAAATGGGGCTTCAAATCTGTGGCTTTATCTCCTTTTCTGCAGGTCTCATTTTAGTCAAAGTGGGGCAATTTGCAGCTCTTCTGGATGCTGCAGAACTACAACGCCCATAACCCCCCCCCATTGGCATGATCGTGCCTTGGTCACCCCATCTACTGTAAAAGCCCTTTCAGGTGGTGGCCTCTGCTGGCAACTGTACATCTTGTTATGGGTGGGCTCCTTGGTGATGGAGAAGTGGCGTTTTGGCACTGGGTCACCCTGGAAAGGGGCAGCTGCCAGGATTCCTCCAGCCTAAACTCCTGGCAATAGAACCAGGACACAGATACACAACACACACACACAGTGCCTGTCACTCACCGGCATTCCTATATATATATAGTGACTTTCAGAGAAAGGTCACAGGGCTCAGCTGGCCGCAGCCTGGACCATTTAGCCCAGTGTCGGTTAAAGCTGCCCCAAGGCAGGCTGGGAGATGTAGTCCTCTCATACCTGGCCTTTAGGTGAAGGAGCCCCCCCCCCCAAACAGGCTTCCAACTGAGCAATGGATGTTGAGCTGCCCAAAAACCTCTTGAAAGAGAGCCAGTTTGATCTCGTGGTTAAGGCAAGCAAGCTAGAAAGCAAGAAGCCATGAGTTCGGGTTCTGCTAGGAAAGCTGGCTGGGTGACTTTGAGCCAGTCCCTCCCTCTCTCGGTCCAACCCACCTCGCAGGGTTGTTGTTGGGAAAATAAAAGGAAGAGGTGTGGGGTATTTTTGCAGCCCTCAGCTGTTTGCGAAAATACTGAAGGCGAGATACAAATAAATAAAATATGATAAATATAATAAATATAAAAGAATAAAATATCGTAACATAATAAAACAAAACCTCTGAGAGTTTCCCGGCTAGGAATGTGATTTGCAAAGGGGTTTCAAGCGTTCAGGATATCACGTGTCCGAAGCAGAGAGATCCGTGAGCATGCAAGTGGAGGCAATGACCAAGCCAGCTTTGCCCACTTTCTACTGGAAGGGAGGACAGTCCTCATTGTAGACCATCACATTCTCTTCCAAAGGTGTGCACCGCTGGGTTTTCCATTCTTCTGGGGTGTGTTGCACAAACGTTTTCTGGAGAATGCATTTTTCCTTTTGCAAATGCTCCCACCCCCCAGCTCTGAAGGTAAGAGCAATTCTGGGCAGATCCGCGAGGAAAAAGCTGAGCTTCCAACCAAGTTGGCCGGTGGCTTTGAAGGGACCGAGTGCAAAACAATTTAGGCTCAATCCAGCTCCGATCCCAAGGCAACGGAGGAAAATTTCCAAGGGAGGAAGACAAAGAGCTCAATGTCTTTGACAGCTAAATTCTGTTCCTCTTTGCACCAATAATGGAAAAACAATTTAAGACAGAACTCGGCAACTTTGGATAGCTAAGATCTTTTGTGATAAAAGTTCCCATTCCCCTGACATTTTCTTTGCATTTGAATGTTGTTCTTCATATCCATGTAAACGTACCTGAGGCGGACATATCCAGAGTCACCAGATTTTAACTTATGCCCCCAAATATTTCACGTTGCATAGTCCTTGACTTACAATCACTTACAAACTTATGGCCATCACAGCATCCCTATAATTATATAATAAACATGTGGGTGCTTGACAACTGGCATTTATTTATGATGGTTGGAACCATGTCCTCCCCCCCCAGGTAGTTAAGACTACTATTCCCAGAATTCCTAGCTGGTCTGGCTACTGTTTTGAGTAGAAATCATGGGACCTAGAAGGTATCAAGTCAAGGACACCTATGGTTAGCTTTTGATATGTAGGCATCTTGTCTTTTTTACAACCTATAAAGTTCATCAGGTTTCAGTCCTTGACTTAAAAGACTTTCTCCTAAAAGCTTCCAGTCCTCATGGTTTTCAACAGGTGGTCAACTTAAAACAGTCTGTTAGAAAGGCTGCTTTGATACCCAGAATCAAGTTGATTGCTTTGATGTCATAGCTGTCTCTCCTCTGAGCATTACTCTATTCACAAACTACCTGGGATCTAAGCAGGATTCCCTAAATGGCTTTAGGATCCAGCAAGGGGAGGATCTGAGATTTCACTCCAATCGGATCAATCGTGCAAAATCAGCCATGCCTAGTGCAGCATTGAGAAGTCACCAGGCTTCAGAAAACACTGGAGTGGCGGCATCAGAGCCATGAACTTCAATAGCCTGAATTCAATTCCCAAATGATAAATATTGGAACTCGAGATGAAGGATCTGGTGGCTGAGAAGACGCAGGGTGGATTTCTTGGAGCAGCTCAAGACGCCCACCCTGCCCGGGAATGGCAGATGGGACCTTGAACCCTTTTTCAGACACCCAAAACTTGTTAAGACCAAGACAAGGTGCAAAGGCAGCTTTCTCCAGCCTGCTAGCTAAAGGTCAAATATGAAACGAGTTGAAATCCGATCGGCTGGAAAGCTATGCAGGATTCTCCAAGGATGGCAGAGCTGCTCCTGCCGGCCTGGAGAGTGGGACAAAATTTCGGCAAACAGTTTTAAAGTACGAGCACCGTTTCTACGGTTAGTTGGCTTGGAAGGAACTTGGGCTCATTCTGCCTGCAAATGGAAGATGAATTCACCTGTTTATTTTCTCCTGGCAGCAACTTGTTTGGAGATGCTCCTTTTCAGTTCCTTTCAATAAAGATTAAAAAAAAAAAAATGGGGCTTGTCCATTTCACTCAACGGCCTGTGGCTTTGTGTTCAGGGTCAAGCCGCCTATCGTGGCTTGTTCCCTAATTAAAATTCATTGCGTTCTGGCTCAAAATAGAACAAAGCCAGCAAGCTCTGTTATGGTTATTTCCCTCTCTACCTAGCGTTTCTCAACCCTGGCAACTTTTTTTTTTTTTAAATGTGTGGACTTCAAGTTCCCAGAATTGAATGCTGGCTGGGGAATTCTGGGAATTGAAGTCCTCGCGTTTTAAAGCCAGAGAGGCCGAGACACAGTTGGCGCGGACCAAGGCAGGATTCTGAAGTACAACTCCATCATCCTTTGCTTGATGGAAGCAGACCTCAAAAATAACTGAGGCCTCTTGAAGACGGCACTGGAGGAAGGACCCCTATTCCCCCCCCCCACAAGCTCATTATTTTAAACCTGCCTCTTGGTTGGTTGGTTGCTACTCATTTCTGGAGGCTGTTCAAACATCCCCCAGGCTGGCTTGTGATGGGAGAAACACACCAAAACTTCCCTTCCTTTTGCTGCCCGGTTGAAATTCTCCAGTCTCGCTTCACACTCTTATGTTTTTGGCAGGGGTGGAGAAGGACAGCCAAGTCCCTGGGATAGGAGGCAGTAAGAGTCCATCGTCTCCCATCTGTGGACCTGGAACCCAGGCGCAGAACACTAGACTTCAGCCACTTTGAATTAAGAGCCCCCCCCAAATAAAGCCACTTTGAACTAAGAGTTCCCCCCCCCCAATAAACCCATTGGGCTTTGAATGCCACTTCTGGGCAGAGACAACTGCAAACTCTTGGAGGCTCGGAACAGCCTGTTCTTCGCCAAAGGGCGTTTTTGTATTCAGGTGGCGGATAAAGTCATCCACAAAGGGGCTTTCCTGAAATCGTTAGCAGAACACAGAAGTGAATTTGTTCCAATTGTGGAAGCCGTGTTCCGCTTTCTCCAAAACAGCAGCCGCAGGGGGGCAATGGCTGTTTGCACGGCACACTAAAGCCCGTCACGGCCAGGTTCGCTTAACTGTATCGAACGAGCGGACAGGGACTTATAAACTACGGCTTATGGCCCGCCAAGCCAACCACTGCAACCGTTCCTGCTGACCGGCGCTCTGACTTTTTCTGACTTGGATGGTGACTCGGCCCTTATTGCCGACTCTCACAGCACAGATTTATCCGCTCCGGTTCCCGGCAAGCTTCTCGCCAAGGAGGAAGGTTCAAGGGGATTGTTTCAATGCTGAGAAATCCCTATTCGTAAATGGCCCTAACACCTGAGAAGATCAATTTAATTTTTAAAAGGAAACTGGCTTTAAAACCTCATGGCAGCTGCCAGAAAGAAAAAAAAAAAGTTAGGGAGACTGGTGTTCTAGCAGGACAATTCCTGTGACTTTTCACCAGAACCGTCCTCCCCATGACAGACACGTTGCTAGCAAATTGCCCGAGAAACGGGAGAAAAACCCTCTTCTCCTCCCCTGCCTCCAGAGGACCCATGGGGCTGGGCGCCGAGGACCACGGCCTCCAATCTGCGACCTGCGACCGGCAGCAGCTAAAGCCGTTCCCCTTCTAAATGAAAGGGAGAATGCAACGGGGCTATTTTAAAAGCGGCATTTAATTGGAACCTCCTCTTTTCTACGTCGGTTTTCATTCTTACACCAAAGGGGGGGGGCGGCCAGAAAAAAAAGCAATTTTAAGAAAATGGTTACAGGAGACAGGACCGTCCACATACACACATCAACAGAAGCCATTCAATCGAGGGAGGGGCGGGTCACCCCAGCCACAAAACCCTGCTGTGTTAAAAAAAAAAAAAAGGAAGGATAAGGAAAAGTTTCCAGGCTGATGGGACTCTGGGAAGAGGCAGAGATGCCCCCTCTGTCCTCTTCAATCCGCATGGAGTGAAGGAGGCCTTGAAAGGCTCCCCTGGGGAGGCAGGCAGGCGTGGGGGGAAACACCCCTGGGCAGCCCAGCTCCATTTGGTGCCTGTGGCCTCCCCAGAGATCCGTGGACTGCTTCAGCTTATCCTCGGCAGAGGGGTTGAAATGATTGCAGAGAACTTAAAAGAGGTGGCTAAAAAAAAATAATAATATCAATCTATTTGGCAAGAAGAAATGGAAAGGGGCTCGTTAACGCTGTCCTTCCTCCCAAACAACCCTAAGTAAGCCACCGCTTCCGGCCCTTGCTGCCTCTCTGCCTGGGCCTGACCCATTCAGCCAGGAGTTTTCCTCCTCCGAGTTTCTTGGTCTCCCTTGGAGGGGAAAGGAGAGAGCAGGAGTGTCCGGTTCAGAAAAGCGGGCTACTGAAAGAGCCAAGGGGGAGATCTGAGTCACACACCTCTCCGAAGACCAGATTACAAGAGTACAACTTTCCTGCTTTGAGTTTCACGCCAGATCCCTGCCCCCCAGCCCCCAAAAAGTCCAATTCCTGGCTCCGTATTGTTGAGAGAGAGAGAGAGAGTGAAAAAAAAAATATATAACGGCAATAGAAAAACGATTCTTCAGTTCTGGGGAGGGGGTGGTGGGGGAGCAGGGGGCATGCCGAAGGGCGGCAAGGCCGGTACCCCCACCCCCATCATGGTGACAAAATTAGAAGGGTCCATGGGAGGCGGAGGAGGGGGAGGCGCGTACATCATGCCCGCGGAGCCAGGCGGGGGCGGCGGGGGAGGAGGCGGGGCCCCGGGGGGCAGTGGAGGCTGGACCCCGGGAGGCAAAGGCACCATGGAGGGGCTGCCTTGCATCGGAGGGCCCCCCGTAGAAGTTGCTGCCCCCGCCCCCCCCTGCTGCTGCTGCCATGGAGGGATGCCCCCGGTGCCAGCGCTCGTGGTGGTGGTGGTCGTCGTATCTAGAATCGAAAACAGGCCCAGGTCAGCCCCGGTCCCGGGGGGGGGGGGGCTCCCACGTCCCGCTTAGGGAGGGAAATGGCTGACCCCTTCCCGCAGCGGAAGGAGAGGCCTTTCGACGGGAAGGGTCATCCGCTGGAGAAGCCTGGAAAGGTTTTTTTTTCCAACCCTTCCAAGGACTGTGGACCTTTTAGCCGGATAGGACAGGGGGCCTAATCCCACCCCCCACCCCCGGGCGCATAGCCTGAGTGCCAGACTCGCCCTGCCTTGGCTCTGGGAAGGCCACCCCAGAGATCCTACGAGGAGGCTAATTAAGGGGAGGGGGCAAGGAGGGTCCTCCCAAGAAGGGCTCCCCCTCCCCCCCCAAGAGGCAGGCCGGGACGCCAAGCTTGCTGTCATCTCGCCCCACGGAGGGAGACTGAGGAGCAAAATTAAAAGAAGTGCTCTTACTCACTTTGCTGCCATGGCAAGGGAGTACTGCTGCTGGGAGGCGGGGGTGGCGGCTGCTGCTGCTGCTGCTGCCATGGGGGGAGAGGACCAGAGGGAGGCGGGGGAGGCTGACCACTGGGCGGAGGGGGCGGAGGGGGCATCATACCCATCGGAGGCAGCATCATACCTGCAGGGCCAGAAAGCCCATTGAAAGCCCCCGGGCTCACCTCACCGGCAACTTCCCTTGCCCCCCCCCCAAAACAAGTCGCAACTCACCTTTTCCTTGGAGGCGATAGGCCCCAGAGCCCACTGGCGCATTGCCCAGGTACTGATCTTAAGGGAAGGAAAGACCGCAGCCTTAGCCACAGCGGGAAGGAAGCACCCCCCACCTCCCAGACCCAGGGACCAACCAACATTGGGCGCTTTGAACCGAGGGACCTCCCCCCCTCAAAGAAACCAAGAAAATGGCCCTGCCCTGGCTCAGAAGGCCGAGGAGGCCAGCCCCCTCCCTCCCTTGGGCATTTCAGGCTTGTACTCACCCATGTGGTGGGGGCCATGGGGCCCGTGGGGATGTGGTCCCTGGTTCATGGGGGGGTTGTGAGGCTGCATCCAAGGCGGAGGGCCACTGGGGTTGTGCTGCATCGGGTGGCCCCCGTGTCCTCCCATGCTCGACATGGGGTGAGGGAAATTGTGGGGGCCGCTGGGGCCCGTGGGTCCCCCACCGCTGCTGCCGCCGCTCCCCCCGTGGATGTTATGGAAGGGCCTGTTTTCGGAAGGGCTGGAATTCATCCAGGGCAGACGGTTCTAAGAGGGGAAAGAGGCAGACCAAAGGCTCAGACCGACCGTCGGGAGAGCGAGGAGACCATCACGCAACTGGACGTCCTGTCCAAGCAGCGGCCGCAGCTGTACAAAGGCGAAACTGCCCCCGTCGTGGGAAGAGGCGCCACCTTTAGGGACACACACTATGGAAACACCCCCCCCCCTTGACAGGAAACGTGCATCATTTTTCCAACGATGGAAGATTTCGGATGCTCACCGGAGGCGGCTGGCTGTTTCCTGGCCCCGACGGTCTTGGGCCGCTGGGCAGGGGAGGGTTCGACGGTCCGGAAGAGGCTCCCACAGAAGCTGGTACCGGAGCTTCTCCCAGTTCAGCCATCAGAGACAAGTACTCCTTGTCCATGCGGGCTTTGTCTTGGGCCGACTGGGGGTCCCCGGGCCTGTCCAGAGAAAAGGACGCTTTACTACGTCACATACACGGTACTAAAGTGTGAGGATGACCATGGGGAAAGAGAGGCTGCCTACAATGAGAAAGGAGAGGCAGGAGCCCCCAGTGGCTTAAGAGTCAGAGTGGGACGGTTGACGGGACGGTCCCTAATGGATCAGGCAGTTAAAAGTAGCAGCGGGCAGTTTGTACCTTAAGGCTTGTGAGATTCTACTCATCTAGCCTTACAATAAAGGGCTCAACTGGGCTTTTTTCCCGTCTGATTTGCCTCGGAAGACTGACAGACCCCAACACCCTAGAGGTCAACGCTGCTAACATTGGATGTTCGTGCTTTGACAACATATGGAGATGGAGCCCTTTTCCTTCTTATGTTTCACTCTTAGAATTAAGAGTCAGAATTAGATGATACTGGGGGACAGAGGAGGAATGTGCATGGCAGTTTAGTTAGACCTAACAATATTGTAACAAGGTTTTTTTTTTTTTTAAATAAGAGATGATAAGGAATGGCCTGGTTGAAGAACTGGAGGGGAAGCCTGCATTTCAAAATAATTGGAGAAGGTGATTTATGACTGTTCATTGGAGGAGGGAATTGTGCTTTGATACTATATGCTCAGGGGAGGGGAATTCAGATTTTGGCTTTGCCTATGTTTTTTTTTGCCTAATATTTTTTCTATCCTGCTCTATGGAGTAGAGGGTCTCTGATACAAGGCCACCTGAAGAGACTAGAAGCATTTGAAATATGGATTTACAGGCGGCTGTTACGTATAAGCTGGGTTGACAAGATCAGAAATGAGGAGTTGATAAGCCACCTGGGAAAGCCAAGGGAAATCATCAAAACAATTAAAAAACGAAAATTAGAATATTTCGGACATGCGATGCGACACCCCAGAAAAATACAGCATACTCCATTTAATCCTCCAGGGAAAGACTGAAGGCAAATGAGGTCCAGGCAGAAGAAGAACACCGTGGCTTCAAAATCTAAGGGACTGGTTTGGACAAAACTCAGCAGCACTTTTTCGTGTGGCTGCTGATAAAAACATGATCGCCAACGTCCGATAACGGATATTGCACAAGAAGAAATGTACGTGCGGATGCTATGCTGCTCGAATAAAAATTCTTTAAGGTAAACAATGCCTCAAAGTCGTTTGAAGAATTTCATCCGTCGGAACCATGACACTAGGAGGGGATAATCCACCCAAATCTCAGAGGTCTCGAGTGGATTCCTCCAAGAGAGCAGCCCCCAGGGGACGATGGGCAGACCCTTCTATCATTGCTAGCGGCCATGACGTGGGAGAACGGGCACTGCAATTCGGCACAAGCAGAAGCCAAGAGAATGGCGAAGGTATTTCGGAGACTTACCGGGCAAATTTGCAGTCGGATGCTATGTGGCCGGCTCCTCCGCATTTGGTGCACACTGTGTTGTTTGTGATGCTGCGAGTCTCCGTGTTCTGCCACGGACGTAGAATCCTTTGGGGAGAGGGGAAGAGAGAAATCAGAGCTCAGGGATGAAGGAGAAAAAGCTCTTCCCTGCAGAATCCCGCTGAGGCCGTCCCAATCCCTACCGGTTGTCATCTTCACGCAAGGTCCCATTCAGACGGGCCAGCTCCCGGAGCTGCATCTTGCGCAGGTCATTCTGATCCTCGGGGGTCTCGATGCCCTGCTTCAGAATATTCCGGATCTGGAAGAGACAAGAGGCTGTTTCTGCCTTCCCTGAGCACCAGCTGCCTCCCCGGTCCTCTCAACAGCCTCAGGGACAGGCAGAGCTGGGAAACGTATCCGGAAGAGGACCGAGCAGCCATCAAGAGTCTTCCTTTGGAGGCATGCGGCTAGCCGTGCATTCCCAGCCAGGGGCTTTGCTCATCCCAGGAGTTATGCCACCCAACCTCTTGCTGGTTCCCCCTCCCAACTTGAAAGGGGACGGCATTCCAGGCAAAGCCCCCATTTTTCCCATCTTTTTCCTGTCGAACCAGAGACCCTCCTCAGAACAACTTTCCCTTCTGGAAGTTCATAGGAGGGACCGACGTTGGATCAGGTCAGGCTTAGGAAGAAAACCATGTTTCATTGGGAGGATCCTTGGCGCCCACTCCGGTGACTGCTCATTAACTAGTTTCTGTGGCAAACCTTGGATTCTTCCTTTTGATGGACTTTGCATGGGAACATCAGCATCCTGGCATGGAAAGCCTGCAGTCTAACTGTGTAACTATCCTGCAGGATGAACAAGCCTTCCTGGTACTTAGCTGAAGGACTCTCTGGAAACGGTATGAACGTTTGTCTGAACAGCCTCTCCCAATCTAGAGTGCGCCTCAGGTTTTGGGCCTGCACCTCCTGAGAAGTGTACAATCCCATACAACTGCAGGGAGATCTTCAGTTCCACAATGTCAAGCCGTTACTTAAAACCTCTAGCCACAAGGTAACGTCACCATTTTAGAAATAAACATGGTAGTCCTTGACTTATGATGGTTCGTTCAGCAACTGTGCAAAATTACAATGGTGCTGAATGAAGGGATTTAGGACCGCTGCCTGGAGTTACGGCCACCGCTCTCACATGAAAAAAAATTGGGGGACTTGGTAAACAATCCTTCATCCCAGTTCTTCCACGTATGCTTTCTCTCACTGGTACATGGCCCAATTCATTCTTTAAATGACGCACCACCAAAGCTGCCATTTCTCTTCGGCTTACTATATTTTGTTTCGGTAGTTTGGACGTCACATGGCAATAGTTCTGCCTTGCTCCCGAGTGCTGGGCTACGTATCTTTTCAGCCCAAGGCCAGGAGCCCACACAGCCTACCTGCTCCACAGCTTTCTTCACATTCTCCATCGTGTTGGCGGTGACCAAAGCGTGCAGTGGCTCGTCTTCCCCGGGCAACATCTGGCCATCTTTCCGTCCGACCTTTCCTTCTTTGACGGATCCTTTCCCCCTGATCATGATCTTGGCGTTACACTCTTTCTCAATGTTTTTCAGTGTGTTGCCCCTGAAGATGAAGGGATTGAGAGATTACACCAGGCGGTCAATGCTGGACAATCTGCTTCACAGAGAAAGTGTTTCCACCTGTTAAAAGCCTCAAATCTGGGAAATGAGGTAAAGTCTGTCACAAGAATTATAAATCTGAAGGACTTCACTATACAAAGGAATGGCAACAAGACTTATATACCACTTCACGGTGCTTTACAGCCCTCTCTAAGTAGTTTACAGAGTCAGTCTATTTCCCTCAACAATCTGGGTCCTCGTTTTACCGACCTCGGAAGGATGGAAGGCTGAGTCAATCTTGAACCGGGGAGAAATGAACTGCCGAAATGCTGGCAGTCGGCAGTTAGCAGAATTAGCCTGCAATACTGCATTCTAACCACTGCACCAGCATGGAATGATGCAATGGGTTCTAGATGAGCCTCTCCTTAGATTAAAGAACACTATCAGGAAAATATAGTTTCCATATTTCATCTAGAATCAAAGAGCACGTTTGTCCCATTACACAGGTAAAGCACTGCCACCCCACCATTCTCATGCATCTGCCTATTCTGCCTTTGCCATGCCCCCCCCCCCAAATCATCATTGGAGCATTTCCATACCTCGGTCCAATCAGAAGCCCAACAAAGTTAATTTCAGGATATTCATCCTGTGGAATCATCACCTTATCACTCACTCGAGTTGCTGGAGGTCTGGAAAGAAAAGAGAACAAGCATTTTTATAACACTGTTGTTGCCTCCCCCACAAAACGAGACTGCACTGACTTCAAGAGTCTCTTGTGGCAGACAAGCTGAGGGGAATTTGACTTTATAAACACTGGGCAAAATTAGCCAACTAGGTAGCCAGCTACAACTTTTCAGGAAACGGCTGGGATCTAGAAATAGTGACCTTTTAAAGCTTTGACCGTATCCTCCTCAAACATAATAAAAACAATACAGGCAGTCCTCGCACTTACACGTTAGTTTAGTGGCCATTCAGTTACAACAGCATTGAAAAAAGAAACTTATGACCAACGTTCACACTTATGACTGTTGCAGCATCCCCCCCTCCCCCTGTCACGTGAATGACATTTGGATGCTTGGCCACTGGCATGTCCTTGTGCCAGTTGCAATGCCCCGGGGTCATGTGACCCCTTTTTGCAACCTTCTGACACGCAAAGTCAGTGGGGAAGCCAGATTCACTTAACAACTAATTTAACAACTGGAGTTATTCGCTTGAACAAATGCGACAAGAAGTCGTAACGTGGGACCAAACTCACTTAACTGTCTCACCTAGCAACACATATTTTGGGCTCAATTGTGGCCGCCCAAACAGCCCTTTAGACTCTTATCTGACTGACTTATCTGACATACTTGTAATCAGCCGGTGGCTTGAAGTCTGGATTGAGAGCCACCATCTCCGTGATCAGATTGTGCCTCTCTTCTTCGAGCTTCTTGCGCGTCCGGAACTCGCGCGTGTTCAAGCGCTTCCCCTCACTATTGTAAATGGGTTCAGGGGAAGGAGACCTGCAGGGGGAACAATACCCAGTCATTTCTCACGGGACTTAAATAGCCAAGGCCACTCATTAAGTACTGGCTCACCTCAACTCTAGTGCAACTCAGAAAAAAAAAAATTAAAGAGACCACAAAGAAAGGAAGGTGTAAATTTTCAAATCCATTAAGGTGACATGGACAAGGCAGTTGTGGCAAAGCACTGCCAGGAGGAAAAAAAATCTGGGTGGGGTGGGGTGGGGGGGGTTTACTGGGGAGAAGGAAGGAAAACAGGGTCAGACATAGCCATGACAACAGCTCTGCCATGAGTGTGCCTATTAAAAAAGGGGAGGGGGCAGGGAAGATGGAGAAAGTTGATTCACACTGAGAACAAACTTTCCAACTTCATTATTCCACGGAGCCATACATTAGAAAAGACCCTGCCGCAGGAGATAAATCAATGAAGAATTATTCAGGTTAACTTTGGACTTTTTTTTTTTTAAAAACATCAGGAAGTAACAAGACAGGTTAGGCTTCTATCGAATTCTTGCTGGCAATATAGATTAAAGCCTATTCAACTGGCATCATGTGAAAGGGTTAACGCTTCTGTCCTGGCTTTACCTTCACTCTGCTGCTGCGTCAAGACCAAATGAAGCTCTTTATTGTGTTTTAAGAGTCAGAAAGTGGTTAAGGTACAAATTGAGCAAATTGTACCCTTCTCATGCCATATTCTGGGCCTTTAAAACCACTAGAGACAGACCTGCTTTCTCCATAGGGTTCAGGTACCCAGAGAGCAGAGATTTTAACAAAGGAAAAAGTTGCAGTTAAAAATCAAATTTAACTTAAATTTTACCACAGTTGGGCTTATGGTTTATATTTTTTTAAAACCACACCTCTAGAATTCGGGTTAAGATTGTGGATCTTTCCTCCTCCCCCCCAAAACATATTGCAATAAAAATTTAGAATCAGCTGCAAGAAGGGAAGAGATGTTGGTCATGTTATGTTAAAAAAAAATACATCCTTCAAATAATGAAAATCTAAACCCTGTGAGTTTTAGTTAAGACAATCTCTCTTTCTAGCTGGTTAAATGATTGATTACAGCCAGTTGATCCCCATGTCTTCTCAGCCTGAAGTGAACCATCAACACAAGAATATGAAATAAAAGTGTCAGATTTGGTAAGGAGTGATCATGTCTAAATTACACCTCCATTATTAGGACCCAAATTGGCCTAACCAAACCAAAACACGAACATTTTCCCTCATCCGCAGTTGCTAGCCAGTTTTAAAAAAAAACCCATTCGCTAATTTAATAGATAATTTTAAAAGACACATGCAGACATGAATAAATTGATTAAACCTTATGAGTTTCAAGCTTATTATATACCTAATATTTTCACATTTCCAATAATAACAGCTGCCCTTTTGCAAGTACATAAAACAAATTCATTTTTAATAAATGAAAAAGGTATCAAGTGTTTTAACCAGTAGGGTCTCATCCCAAGAAACATTATTCGACAAGAAACTTATATATATGTAAAAGAGTTAACAATAACCCCTTGTTTTGTATTAACTTTCTCATTCACCTGTTAAATTAAAACCAACCACCCCATTTCATTCTTATAAACATTAAAAGAACATCACTCTATCCCCACCATGAAGTTTATCTATTATGTTTAGTCTAAATCCCATTTTGTGATTTAAAAAGCAAGCCAAAAAGGCATTCCTCGGCTCTTTGTAACAGGCAATATAGTATCTCAAGAGTTAGCGTTTAAAACTCTCTTGCAAGGCGTCCAAAAGTTTTAGCAGCCTCATTTTTATTTATACCTCCAAATTGCCATTTCAGATGGGCTAAATTTAAAGAAAGGCTTTCTTCCATATCCCCATTTTTAACAGCAAGAACTGGCTTGCAAGTTGTGTAATGTGCTAAATTATAACTCCCAGCTTGCACCTTCCGAAAATTAATTTTTATAAGCCAATGTTTTGTTTTTTTAAAAAAATCAAACCATGTGCGTGTTATTTATTTACTTAGGGATGACCCTTGATCCCAACAAGACTACAGGTGTCCAATTCTGTGCACTTGTAGGTACATAGTGCTTGGGCCCCAGGTCGCAAGATACTGGCCACTGCTATGTAGTAGCTGTTACCAAAGAAACTGGTTAGTGCACACACCCTTCAGCCACCACTGCAAAATACTGCAAAATCAGCGGTCAGAAAGTTCCCAGACTGCTCTCAGTCAGCAACTGGGCTGAGAATTCCCCAGCGTGAACCTGCGAGAAAGACCTCTGGACTCTGCCAGGACCAGCACTGCACATGTTAAAAATGAGTTGGCCACCATGCAATCTCTGCCCCTCAGGCCAGGATAAGCATTTATAAACCCCACATCAAAGAGGAAACCCGATCTCTTTCTGATCTGGTTTCACACAGTCCCTATCAGTCAGATCTTGGCTACCATCTGCCAAGCCAGATCACTGAAGGCATTTCATTAGGGAGAAATTTCATTGAATTGACATTACGATGCCACCAAAAATTTATTGAAAAAGGTAAAAAGCGTTACTGTCAGCTGGTTAAAACTGTTTCCCAACCTGTCCTCAGGGTTAGGGGGGATGCCCAGGTCTCCTGTGCGCAGTTTACGAGTCAGGTCTTCAATCTGCAGTTGCACTGGAAGAAACCAGGTTAGGAAAGAAAAAAGGATGGAAAAAAAGACAATGTTACCAAAAAACATCTGAAATCTCAACATCAAAGCATGAAGAACTGGAGATTTTTGCAAGGGATGACTGATAACATCACATAAGAATGAGGAGACCTTACAATGTCATGTCATCCAAATAAGTTTTATCAGGAATCCAGAAACGGCTCTTTTTTTTTTTTCTAAGCAAGTCTTAAAAAAACAATTATTCATCAGAAAAGCAAGACATTCATTTGAGATTTTAAAAAAAGGAAGTTTTTGATTGAGTCTGACATCTAAGCCACTGAAAAATAACCACCTTAACTTGATGTTACTTGCTGACAGATTTCCATAGGAATTAGAGTATCATTAATTCTTACTTTTTTTTACATCAGATCAGCCTCAGTGTCTTATGCGTATTACAGTTACAATTCATACCAGAATCATATTTTGGGGATTATGGATTACAGGTTTCTCCTAACTGAGTGGCCCCCAACCTTTTGGGCACCAGGGACCGTGGACCAGAGGGGGTGTGGTTTTGAATGCTGCCTGCATCCCACAGATGGGGCTTCGCTTGTTTGCACAGCCCAGTTGCTGGCATGCCCCGGGGCCAGTCCACAGACCAGGGATTGGGGACCCCTGTCCTAACTCATAAATGCTAAACACTGAGAGCTTATGATTGGTTAATCTTATGCCTGTATCAGCTAAACACTGAAATACACAGTTATGCCAAATCTTAACATGCTTTCATTTGCTGGTTATCCAATTCTGCACAGAGACACCGAATACCTAAAGGCAGGACTAATAAATGTCAGATATTTAGTTACTGTTTTTTTTTAGATCGGTAATATAACATTTTGATCAGAGTGCAAGGCAACTAAGATGACCTCAGCTAATGAAGGGCATCAAGACAAGAGCCACAGCCCTTAAATTCCTTGGTGTAAAGTGGCTTTTGGTCAGCCCCACTGGCATTTACCCGTGGATTTAATTTGGAGGCCACAAGCTAAAGCACCACAAAGCAAAGGTACACCCATTGTCACACATGCGGAAGAATATGGAAGAGGGAGATAACCGTGTCTTGAAAAATCCACTCAAATCCACTTTTGGCCAAAATGGCCCACGGTAAATCATCCGTTTGGGCTGTGGCAGTCACTTTACAGCTGCTGCAAGAAAGGTCATAAAAATGGATCGGGTCACATGGTGACCTGTTTTACGATCAGGTCACAACTTACAACTGTAATGGGCAGGCTCCATTAAAGTTGTAAGTCAAGGACTACCAATAATTTGTGGCAAATGATGAATGGTTTTAAGTTCAAAAGAAAACATTTTCCATTTCATGCTCACTCATACTAAGATCTTTTTTTTTCCCTAGAGGGATAAAAACTGGGAAAACATCACTGGCTCTTAGAAGGCCAAAGAGTTTTTCAGTACGTCACTGGGCTAGTGGGCACATTTGAATTGGGTTTTATGTATGCATAAAATGGGTACCATGGGGGATACAGCCAATCAGAAAGTACCCATTTACCAGGCAGGAACTTAGCAAGGTTAAGTCCCACTACTCTTCCAGTATCCCAGAATACTTTAAAACAAAGGTCTGGGCTGAATCAGCCCACAAAAGCAATGGGCTAATATGCAAAGATCTATTTGCATAAGCAGTGGACACACATGTGAAGCCATTCCCCCCCCCCCCCATGGAGCTGGGAAGGTTGGGGTCTGCCATTTTAAACTCTCTTTGCTTCTTTCTGGGCAGATGAGCACACTTAAATGACGAACCGGGCTATGTGGGACCCAAGGACATTGTGCCAAGTAAAAAATCATGCTTGAGGCAAGTGTTCTGCAGTATGTAAATCTTTCCTGCACACACTGTTTTTTTTTAGTTAAATCAGGCAGGAGAGAAAGCCTAGTAGGCATCAAGGGATCCATTTCCAAACCTAGATTAGAGATCCAGGAATACAAGAGTAGAACAACTTGGAACCTTTTAGGAATATATTAACAAAAGCAACCAATGGTCTATCAACATTTTTCATTCTTTTCCTTTACTGGTTAATTTTATTTGCCTTTCATTATCTTTCACTTATTGTCAAAGCTAGCTGAGTACCTTTCAAAACAGAAAGATGCAATACCGAGAAAATTCATTAGTTTCTGATTTTCATAAAACAAAACCTATACAGAAGGTATCTTTTTTTTTTACTAATCAGAAAGTTAAGTGTCTATAAAAATCACACAGCAAATAATTTGGAACTGATCCTGTCATTCCAAATCAACTTTTATTTTCATGCTCAAATAGAAATACTGGCAGTAAAGGACGTGGATCTAGAATTACGTGTTAATTTTTTAGGCATGTGCACATTTTATCAAGTCAAAAAAACCTTTTCGTTTTATTGTTAAATGTAAGAATAAGTGCAACTATATTACAGAGAGAAGGGGTAAGATCAAACATTTAATTTATTGGCAGGCGGAAAAGATATTATAGGTAATTTGTCTCAAGGTGAAGAAGCTCAGAATGCGCTGAAGTGAAAACAGAATTCATTTCCAAGAATCGAATTAGAGCCTACAATTCAGAGGCCAAACTCCTGTTTCAGAACTGGCAAAAAGGTGCGATTCTGCTCCAAGATATAGGTGGTTTTGTTTCCTTTAATCCACTATATTTCAAGGACACAGGCAACTCCAAAAAGTTTGTGTTTTGTACTATTTCCAAATGTTTAATCTCAAACATTTTAAACTCTTTCCTTCAGAAGAGTCTCGGATTTTTCAAAACGACTCTCTCTTTCGAGGAATTTGCACTATTAAATTGAGGGGATATTTCATATCTGCTATGAATAGTGCCAAATGATAAATTATCCAGTTGTACGCAGTTTCATGCATCAGGAGCCTCTTACAGAGATATGCCCCTGAATTCTTGTGGCTGTGCATGGACCTTTGCTTGGTAGGGCTGGTGACAGCCACACCCCACCCTCCCATTAATAATCTTTACTGAGTGAACTGTGGACTGCAAGGCCCATCTTGAACACTCCAGTAAACAAAGAAGGGTAGCACTATCTCCGCACAGACTGAGAATTCTGATCCAGTTCTATCCATTCACACACTGAGCTGAATTTTACAAACATTTTACATTTCTAAATCCAATGACTCAAACACCAGAGAATGCTTGACTATTCATTTCTATAAAGTAAGTCTACTGAATCAAGTTTCATTTATTTTCTGCAGGAGAACTAGTTTACACGGTGCATCTTCATTAAACCGAATAGTGTTGAGCCCATTGAAATAAACCAAAGTCAACTTCAGAAATGTAAAAAAAAAAAAAGGCCCCTTTTTCAACTGCAGTGCAGAAATAGTAATTTTTCAAACCAGCAATAAAGGACACATTTTTAATTTTCTCGATGCAGAGTCCCGGTGATCGTAATGACAGTCTGATAACAGATTTCTGAGCAGCCTTCAGTAGTGCTATGGATAGCTGGTTATTTTATTTCAAAATTCTCAGTAAGTTATGTAAAAGAAAGGAGTTTAAAATTGCTGTGCAACCCAAATGTAACGAAGAGAGTTTAAACAGCTGTTAAGTTATGAAAAACCTGTTTTATATAAAAGCAAGGATTGCATATAGTATAAACAACATTAGAAAACCCTGATTGATTTCAGTCCCAGCACTGATCAACACTGACATATATACATATCACGTTTCCTAACACAAAATAATTTTCACTCCTTTGTACAATACAATGACAGTTACCACTCCCAGTTCCACAATTAACAGATCCAACATCATAATTTTCATTGAACCAAGCAGTATCCCTTTCCCAGCAACTGTGTACATTTGACTTCAGAGCTCCAAGCTAACCTAATAGAGCCCGCTCTCAAGTATTTGAGGATGTCAAAAAACAAAACAAAAACAAAAAACAAAAAAACAGAAGTTAGAAGACTTTCCTCTCATTGGTCTTCACCACTCTGGATACTCAATTTTAGATTTGAAAAATTATCATCACAACACAAGAGAAAATGAAAGGGAATCAAGGTTAGTTGGCTATATTTCACTGCGAAAGAGGTACTTGCTTTCAAACAAAACAGCTTGAAAAGGGACTCTTTAAGTGTTCTCCGCTAGCAAGGAGTCTGTGAAGATAACAAGAGACCCTGCCATTCAGTTTTGCCAATCAAGTGAAAGTCAGCAAGTTTTAATTCCCATCGTCTGGACCGACTGTGCCACTTCTACCATGCCTGTGGAGGACACTGGTTCAATTAAACAGGACAGGGAGCTGGGATGGAGCACAAGTCACTCTAAGCGGAGACAGGTTTATTGACTTAAATAAGGAAGACAAGGCTGTCATAACCCGAGTTCTCAAAAACACACAATGAAAATGCTTCAGACAAACACAGTAAACTGGAAATCGCTCCTGGATCGGTACTGATATGAAGAACAAAAACTAGAACAAGCATTTACCTATATAAGCTCTTTCTTGCTCACGGGTCAGCCCAGGAGGGATGACTGTGGGCATGCCAGGGATGATAGTCTTCTGCTCCATGGTGTCTTGATTCCATCGGCTCCTCTTCCTCTTTTTATTAGGGTAATCTGCAAACAAAATGTTATTTATAGGACCAGGTATCCCAGGACAGCGCGCTGCGGCCGGAAATATAGCTAACTTTGGCTCTGCTTACATACACTTTTCATATTTTACATTTCTTGCCCCAAATCATCATAAGCAAGCTCTGACTGGGAATGTGGATAACAGGCTGTGCCCATCTTTTTAGTTCTCCAAAGTTGGTGTTTTTTTTTCTTTTAGACATATATGTCCAGCACAAACTTTTTTGTAGCATTTGATAAAAACTCAAGATGTGTGTAAAGTGAATAAATACTATTGTTGGAACAGCAAGGCAAGAACCAGATACAAAACTTAAAATTTAAGCCATTTCCAAGTTTGAGAAATATTGTTGTACCATTTTTAACAATTTAACGCTGGTATATTATAGTAACTAAAAAACAGAATTCTTAGTTTTTTTCTTTTTGTACTACATCTTAACAAATGTTTTTCTTTTGGTAATTCCTGTCTAATGCAAAAGTTAATAGAATTGTACTGGTGATGGCCCACAGGCTAATCAATAAAGATTATTATTATTATTACTTTATTTTAAAGACTGTTTATGAAATTCAAAGCAATACCAAAACTATTATAATCATATTAGTGATGTCATGTAGAATTAACTGCAGTTATGACATGATAATAAACTCTTTGGATACAAGGAAGCACTAGATCACGGGTGTCAAACTCGCAAAGTCACGTGATGTATCGCGACGTAGCATGACTCTTTTCCCATTGCTGGCAATGGGGTGGGTGCGGTTTTGGCGTGACACATCCAGCCCGTGGGCTGGCAGTTTGATGGTTCCATACAATTCCTTATATACAGATAATAAACACATGAAAAATATAAAGTTGGCACAAAACAGTTTATGATAATACCCAAACATTTTTTATCACAGGACATGTTAACTTGGGAGACAAAATTAACCTTCCTGGATTTGCTCAATATAGTAAACAATCACAAATTGTATGGGCTATACCATAGAGGGGAAAAAAACTAGTCTTATAAGTAAACTTGACAGGCCCTATTGCAAATGGCTTGCCTAATGCCAGTATAAAAGTGTAAGTGTCTCTCTCTCTCCCTCCCTCCCTATCTGCCCTTGGTCTGCCAGTCCTCTTCCCCCTCTTTCTTTCTCTCTTTTTTTTCTCTCTCTCTCTCCCTCTTTCTCTCCCCCTCCCTCTCTCCTATCTGCAGCTCACCTGGCAAGCTGGTTTCAAGCTGTTCTCCAACAAGTTCAGGGTAGGCAACCTGGGCTCTTTTATGACTCATGGACTTCAACTCCCAGAATTCCTGAGCCAGCGAAGCTGGGCTAGCCAGCTCTCTCCTGCCCTTCCTGCTTCCTGCAGAGACGCAGCAAAGGGAAGAGCTCCGCCCCAAAAGCTTTTCAGCTCCTCGGAGAACACAGTGAGTCCACTCTCTTTTTTACACACAAACACACACACAAACACACACAGAGAGAGAGAGAAGCAGGGAAGCACAAGTGCCTGTCTCTGTCTCTCTCTGCACATGGCAGAGAAGGCTGGGAGCCACAGGGGAAGGCTCAAAGAGCCACCTGCGGCTCCGGAGCCGCAGGTTGCCGACCTGCGGGCTAGTGTATTTGATTTAGGAGGCATGGGAGACCACTAGGCAACCCGACCGTCCTAGACTGGAATGAGAAAGGGGGAAATGCCCGGAAGGCGGCATTGCAGAACTACTTAAAATAAAACACAGGGATGCGATCAGCGCCCCCCCCCGGGACCCCTCCCTCCTCCCCCACTTGCCTGAGTTGCCGGGCCCGGCCTGGCCGCCCTCGTCCTGCTGGAGCAGGTGGAGGTGCTGCGGCTGCTGCTCGAGGCCCATGGGCGGCTGCTGCTGGGGCGGCGGGGGCGAAGGGAAGCGGTACTGGCCGTACTGGGCCGGCTGAGGCTGCTGGGCCTGCGGGGGCGGCGGCGGCGGCTGAGGCTGCTGCGGGGGCGGCTGAGGCTGCTGGGGCGGCGGGGGAGGCGGCGGCGGGGGAGGCGGCGGCGGCAGCGCGGCGAAGGGAAACCCGGCGGCCATGAGGCTCGGGATGGCCGGCTGCGGCTGGGCCTGCGCGGGGCCCGGAGGTGGTGGCGGAGGCGGCGGGCCTTGCATCACTAATCCGGGAGGAGGAAGCGGATAGCCGGCCTTGCCCGGCGGTGGGGGCGGATGAAGTTTCCCCAGCGGCGTCGCGTTGGCCCCGGTCGCCATAGGCGGAGAGCCGAGACGGAGGGGCGCGATGGCGTCGGTGGCTTCGCGAACCTTCCACGCCACCGCTTTCCCTCACAAAGGCGGCCGGCGCCGATTGGTCGCCCCGCTAATCCCTCACGCCCCTGCTCGGCGTCCCGTTGGGTGGAAGTTACGTCGCGCCCTCGGCGTCGTACGTCGATTGGAGGAGATTCGAGCGCCGGGGAGAGATTGGCGCGGAGGAGAGATAGAGGCGGGGTGAAAGCCCATTGGATGGAATCTTTGTCACTAGAAGGAAAGCGCGGCTTCGCCGTCGCACATTGGCTCCGGATCTCGGAGGGCGGGATGAGGGAAGGCAAGAGGGTGGGCGGCCTCCAGGACCTGAACACGGGAATCTGATTTGTCAAACGCCAGAGCTTGCGCCCTTTGCTTACTCTTGGAGGACGCTTGCTGCACACGGCCTGCGAGAAATATGACGCAATTAGGTTTACTCCTATTGGCCGGAGGATTAGCAAGGAGAGCGGGGTGTGGCAAGTACAAGAAGACCTGTGATTGGCTCGGATTCTAAAAGCTCAGGGTTGATTGGTGAGTTTTCCAACTTAAATGAGGCTGATGGGACTGGAAGACCATTCTGAGCAACAAAGGATTCTGGGAGATGATGCCAAATGCCCAGGGCAGCTTTTGTCTTATTTAAAAAGTGAACTAACCCACTGGGTGTGAAGCCAGATATCAAGTTAAACATTGGCTGGTGAGTTTATAGCCCAATCTCTTCTTTGAATACCACTTTATTCTACCAGTGAAGCTATTAAATTAATAAAAAACAATGTTTCTCAAGCTTTTCAACATAAGTTCTGCATATAATGTAATATGTACTAGTAGAATTCTCTTTCAAGTAGAATTTTACTCCAAATAAATCCCTGCAGTTCTCTGTATAGTTTTCCTGGCAAGTAGATTGTTTTTGCCTTTTTCCAAGATTTTTTTTTTATTATTTCCCTTTTTAACCAGTTAGTCCTGCTGAGAAAGACAGGTCTAAAACAATTTTTAAAAATCAGAATTAGGAATGTTGTCTGGAATACAGAATTCCCCAATCCAGCACTCAGCAAATAATAATAATAATGATGATGGTGATGATGATGATGATGTTGGAAGGGACTTGGAGGTCATCTAGTCTAATTCCCTGCTCAGGTAGGAAACCCTATACCATTTCTGACAAATGGCTGTCAAGTCTCTTCTTAAAAACTCCAGTGTTGGAGCATTCACGCTTCTGGAGGCAGGTTGTTCCACTGGTTAATGGTTCTAACTGTCAGGAAGTTTCTCCTTAGTTCTAGGTTGCTTCTCTCCTTGATTAGTTTCCATCTGTTGCTTCTTGTCCTGCCTTCAGGTGCTTTGGAAAATAGCTTGACTCCCTCTTCTTTGGGGCAGCTCCTGAGATATTGGAACACTGCTATCATGTCACCCCTGGTCCTTCTCTTCATTAAACTAGACATACCCAATTCCTGCAACCTTTCCTTATGTTTTAGCCTCCAGTCCCCTAATCATCTTTATTCCTCTTCTCTGCACTCTTTCTAGAGTCTCAACATCTTTTTTACATCGTGGTGACCAAAATTGTACTATATAAAAGATAAATGGAGGTGTAACTGCACCTATTTTGAAGAGGAATTGACTTATACTTTATATAGGTGAAATATAAAAATTGTATCTAAATCATATATTAGAAAATTTTATGCTACATCCCTGGATCCGTTGGATAAAGTTACTGATGTATACAAAAATGATTCCGATTCTGTTGTGCTTTAGCCCCACTGTGCAAAGACTTCAATGCCCATTTTGTAAAAAGGAGGGCTTCAAGAGCAAAGTCAGATTCACTTAGCAACTGTGCTACTAACTTAACAACTGCAGTGATCCGCTTAGCAGCTGTGGCAAGAAAGGTCATAAAATGAGGCAAAATGCACTTAGTCACTGTCTCGCTTAGCAACAGAAAGTTTGGGCTCAACTGTCGTCATAATTTGAGGAAATTATAATCAAAACAGAACCTTGCATTTCAACAAGTAATTACCCCAAATCTCCATCTGCAAGAATCCTCTACTTTTATTTTTAATTTTTTTTAACAAAAATCAAAGCCATTCCACCGGAGAGTAAAATATCACAATTTTTATATCCTTCTCTATGTTAAATAGCTATATTTTCTTCTCTCTTTTTTTTTTTTCAAGTTTGGATTTTCTCAGGACAAAAACATTCCAACTTTAGCCGTTAAAAAAACACAGGGAGAAGGGGGGGGGGAAAGAGCAGCATTCTCTGGGAAGGAAAAGCCATAGCCTCAGAGTTCAACAGGATTGTGGTTACTGTCTAACAAGCCAAGATTGAGATTCTGACAATTCAAAGAGTTTGTTCTGGGCTCTGGAGTTTGCAAAGAATAACTGCCACTTCCGAGTGACCTTAGTTTTGATCCCTGTTCCTCAACCTTATGCAGCTGTTAAGATGTGCGGATTTCAATTCCCAGAATTCTGGGAGTTGAAGTCCACACATGTTAAAGCCACCAAGGTTGAGAAACATTGACAGATGTTTTGTCATAGAAACGTCAACTTTTGAAGTAGCCCTTTTGATCTCCATAGGAGCTGCCTAAAAGTACCTCGCTCTTGATCTGGGCAATTAATTTCCCTGCACCCTCATCTCCAAATTGCTCCCCAAGGGCCTTGAAATCTTTTTCTTTCCCTGGACCAGCCTCACCTGCTCAGCAGGCCCCCTGGTTATTCAATCAGCAAGACCCCTTTAATGCTTTGCAACTTGCACATCTATCTGCAAGACAGGGCCGACATCTGCATTTCACGGGGTTGCCAAACAACGCAGTCTGCCATTTTTTCCCCCTTTTCCTTAGCTGTGCTACTCCCTTTTATTCTATTGGCTTTTGAAAGCCAATAGAATAGGCTCTCTTGAATAGAGTCTCATTCTATTGGCTTTCAAAAGCCAATAGGAATTGTCCAGGCTGTCTCTGCCCTGCTGAGCCCACCAAAAGTCCCATTCTGCAGACGGTGCTGCACCAGTTGAGTAGTCCTCGACTTACGACCAGTTGAGTAGTCCTCGACTTACGACCGGTTGGGGGTCGCAGCATTAAAAAGGTTGAGAACCACTAGCTTAGCAGATGCATGCATTTAGTACTTTGGTCCCAGATCGGAACATCTGCATTGTTGATAGTTGCGTTCAATTCTCTACAGTAGGGGTCTTCAAACTTGGCTCTTTTATGACTTGTTTCCTTCAGCATGGCTGGCTGAGGAATTCTGGGAGTTGAAGTCCACAAGTCATAAAAGGGCCAAGTTTGAAGACCCCCAATCCAGAATTTAGGGAACCGCAGTCTTGTGGAAGAGTTGATCGTAATTCTGTTTGAAGTTTCTTAATCCAGGAATGGAAAACCTCTCAACTAAGTAATTCTAAACTACAAGGCCCATCAACCTAGCCAAATGGGAACGACAGGATAGAATGCTGGAAATTTTAGTTTTCCAATACAGGTAACAACCGGTCATTTTACAACCATTTGAAGGTACAACAGCCAAAGAACGACGCATAGAACCATTTTAAGTTAGACAGCCACGTAACTGAAGTTATAATGGCCACAGAAAAGTCAATTTTACATAAAACATCCCCAGCCATTGGAAAGGGTCATGGTGACTGCATGTCAGCTTTATCACAGTCATGTGACTGCATGTCAGCTTTATCACAGTGTTTCATGGTTATGCGGCCATGATTTGCAAGTGGTTGTTTTTTTTTTTTTCTTGCCAGTTTCTGGCATTTTTTGGTAATTTTGGTCAAAAAATATCTCTTCAAATGACTTGAGTTTGCTTAATAATTGTAGCGAAACAGACCAGAAAATTACTTCGGGTCGTGTGGGTGTCTTGACATACAATCGCAATGACTTGTGACTGTAATTCCGGTCTCAATTATAGTTGTAAGTCAAGAACTACTGTATCCAGAAGGCCACATTTTCAACTACGTGTTAATTCTGTACTTAGACACCCCCCCCCCAATAATCAGCTTTCTCCCCTGAGATTCTGCAGATGGGTATCAAATGGTCCAGGTGTCTATTCCCCCTCCAGAATACTGAATATAGCGGCTGGGGAATTCTGGGGGTTGAAATCCCAATGCCTGAATAGTGACCTTGACCTCCCAGAATTCTCAGCAACAGTCATGAGGGCTAGGAAATTCTGGGAATCGAAGTCCACCTCTCTGGGAATGGTGCACCCACCCTACATCTGGGTTCTTAACATTGAATTGTTCCACAGCAGCCATCCGTTAACTCGAGGTATGTGGATCAATTCCTTTTTAGCAATGGCCTATCATCCCCTGGGGATTCTGGGAGCTGGCATCTGTAGAACCACAGATCTGGTTTCCAGATTTGAACTGCTCGCCTAGCACAGGGGTAGGCAACCTTGGCTCTTTTATGACTCGTGGACTTCAACTCCCAGAATTCCCGAGCCAGCCAGTCTGAGGGGAAAGGGACAGGCTTCCAAGCTGAGCCAGGCTGGCTCAGGAATTCTGGGAGTTGAAGTCCACGAGTCATAAAAGAGCCAAGGTTGCCTACCCCTGACCCAGCATCTCCTTTAGCCGTTCAAAACAGCCATTCAAAAGAGGGGGAAAAAAAACCCCAGAAAAACCACTGCTGTCCTTCCCTTCCCACACACAAACATACACGCAGAACCAAACTACACTGCAATCGTTCCAGTAACAGTCACCCTGTTTTGGCCATCCTGGCCATGACCCTAATTTCTCACAAAGAAACATTTCTCTCTCGCCCCTTGTTCCAGAATAACAGGCCAGAGCTGCTAAGAGCCCTGAAAAAAAGCCGAAGCTTAGGAAGGGAGATGCCCCTTCTGATACCCGTGGCAAACGATTGTCTTCACTCTGTCAGCCATGCCAAGACACAGTGCCCACACGCCACCACCGTGGGCGACTTCGAAGCATTTTAAAAGAGGAGGAGGAGGAGGAGAGGAAGACCTAGGGAAAAAAGCATTCAAGCAGGCACAAGGTGTCAACCGGGACTGGGTGCGAGTTCTCCCGACGGCCAGGCGGGTGGAATTATTGCAGAATCATCTCAGGAGACGCTGGCCCCTATTACGGGGAGCCGGTCTTCCCCACTGGGCCCCAACACCAAATCTCAGGAAGACTCGAACCAGGCACCGAGACAATCTCTGGAGCCCAATCAGCAGTTTGGTCCAGGAACAGGAGGATCACAATCCCCTCTGTCAACGTCTTCCCCCGAGCATCTCCTATGCCAGCGTAGTGGCCGCCATCGGCCACTAGCTCCAGGAAGGGTCTGCTCCACATACAGGGCCTCCGAGTGGCAGCCAGGAGAAAGCTAGTAGCTGCTTTCGTGACCGGTCAGGATGTAGAGGTTGCTGTGCGCCATGGGATTGTTGGTAGGGGTGCTCTCCAGGATGATGTCCCTGTAAGGAAGGGAAAAAGTGGGAGGGATGCAATTTTAAGAAGTGTGGACTTCAACTCCCAGAATCCCCCAGCCAGCATGCTTGAAGAGGTCTGAATCCCACAATTCCCCGGGCAGCATGCTTGAATATAGGTGGATTTTTAACTCCCAGAATTTCCTGGCCAGCATGCTTTAAACTGTGCGAACTTCAAATCTTCTCAACCTTGCCAGCTTTAAGATGTCTGAACTACAACTCCCAGAATTCCCCAGCTAGAATGCTTGAAGGTGGGTGGGCTTCAATTCCCAGAATTCCTCAGCCAGCATGCTTGAAGGTGGGTGGTCTTCAATTCCCAGAATTCCAGCCAGCATGCTTGAAGAGAGGTGGGCTTAAATTCCCAGAATTCCTCAGCCAGCATGCTTGAAGTTAGGTGGGTTTCAGTTCCCAAAATTCCTCAGCCAGCATGCTTGAAGAGAGGTGGATTGAACCGCTGAATTCCCTGGCTTGCAGGCTTTAAAATATGTGACCTTCAAATCCTAGAATTCTCTAGTCAGCACGCTTTAAGCTTCATAAATTTCAACTCCCAGAATTCTCCAGCCAGCATGCTTTACGATGGATGGACTTCAACTCCCAGCATCCCCAGCCAACATCCCCAGCCAACAAGTTGAAGTCCATACAGTAAAGCAGGTTGGTTGGGAAATGCTAAGAGTCGAAGTCCAGATACCTTAAAAGCATGTTGCTGGGGGATTCTGGGAGTTGAAGGCCATGTATCTTAAAGTTGCTGAGTTAGAGAAACACCCAGTCCAGGAGTCATCCATCGATCTACTCTGTCATCCTGAGGTTGCAAAAGGCCGACACTTAATTCATGACTCCGAACGGGTCAACAAGCAAAGTTCCCGGACATCAGAGAATTATGCATAGTGTGCAAAATGTTAGAAAGTGGGACATCCAGATCGCAGTATTCCACTTCAGATGTGTTGTCCCTCCCCGTATCAGAAGCGTTCTGAATTCTCCAGTGCCCGTCACAAGTGGGAACAAGGATTTTATAATAATAAAAATAATAAAGTTGGAAGGGGTCTTAGTGGTCATCTAGTCCAACCCCCTGCTCAGGCAGGAAACCCTATACCATTTCGGAGAAATGGCTGTCAAGTCTCTTCTTAAAAACTTCCAGTGTTGGAGCATTCACCGCTTCTGGAGGCAAGTAGTTCCACTGGTTAATTATTCTAACTGTCAGGAAGTTTCTCCTTAGTTCTAGGTTGCTTCTCTCCTTGATTAGTTTCCATCCGTTGCTTCTTGTCCTGCCTTCAGGCGCTTTGGAGAATAGCTTGACTCCCTCTTCTTTGGGGCAGCCCCTGAGATACTGGAACCCTGCTATCCTGTCCCCCCTCATCCTTCTCTTCATTAAACTGGACATACCCAATTCCAGCAACCGTTCCTTATATGCTTTAGCCTCCAGTCCCCTGATCATCTTTGTTGCTCTTCTCTGTACTCTTTCTAGAGTCTCAGCATCTTTTTTACATCATGGCGACCAAAACTGGATGCAGGATTCCAAGTGTGGCCTTACCAAGGCCTTGTAAAGTGGTATTAATAGTTCACGTGATCTTCATTCTCTCCCTCTGTTTGATCTTGGAATGCTTCCGGAATAGCCAGAAGTACAACAGTGTCTTCCTGCAATGGCTGGCCTATTTCTAACTTGAAGAAGACATGGTTTTCCTTCTTTAAAACGTGCGACTGGGATCTGTAGTGGAAATGGGGGCGCGGGGTGGGGGGCAAAGATTTGCAAACTACTGACCTCTTTATTGGCGACTCACCTGTGAGCACCCAAGACTCGGAACATCCTGGATTCGTCTGTGACCTCCTGCGTCACCTGTTGAGGTGCAAACCCATTTATTTATTAAATTTATACGCTGCCCATTTCATTTTTCAATGACCGCTGGGACGCTCCTCGCATCGTAAAAGCAATGTACGGTACAGATATTATGAATTAAAAATATTGTGATTCATGTTAAACGTTAAAATAAAGACAATACCGGAATAGCAGAGTTGGGAGGGATCTTTGAGGTCTTCTAGTCCAACCCTCAAGTAGGACACATGTTAAAGACCAACATACAAAGGGATGGAGTTGGGATCTTCGGTGAACGCTTAAATTATATAATCCTTCTTGATCCTTCAATGCCCTGGGGGGGGGGGGTCTTAATCACACAGGAGGCTGATTCTGAATGGTTTGTGGGTCAGTCAGTCTGTTGTGGGAACTCACACACCCTTGTAACAATTCGGTTATGAGCTTGAAGCTACAACACACTTAGGTTGTTTCAAATGGACATGGCATTTTTTTTTTAATGGTACTATTATTTTATGGCAAAAGACACCCTTTGTGTGTGGCTTGTTCTACTCACCTCACTGGATTCCAGGCTTCGGCCTTGCATGCCGTGTTTCCAGAAAGCCAAGACACTGTCTTGAAGGCACACTGTGGGGAAGCAGAGAGGTTATTAGAAGGCATCCTGTTTGTGCCTGGATGGGAGACCACCAGGTATAGACTAAGCTGGAAAGTTCAAATGATCTCAATGGAGAACTGCTTCTGTACTACAGAATTGCCAAGAAAATTTAACAGACATATCCCGAAAGCAGTGTTTCTCAACCGTAGCAACTTAAAGATGGGTGGACTTCAACTCCCAGAATTCCCCAAGCCAGCTCTGGAAGTCCACCCCTCTTCAACTTGCTAAGATTGAGAAACACTGCTCTGAAGCCACCAGGGATTGTTCTCACTTGAGAATTTTGTTTCTGTTCTTTTTTCAGCTGTTGGCAGAGAAAGTTGACTTAGAAAAATCCCAAGCAGGATAGTATTTGGTGCTAGGAAAGGATACCACTAGGAAATCACATAGATGGACCTCCCAGTTGGAAAGTCAAAACCTGTCCCAGAGAAAGGCAGGAGGGAACCTCTGCCATGTCATTGCCAAGAAGAAACCAAGTCTCAAAAAAGATGACTTGAACGAGACAATTGCAACCTGGAATTAAGGAGAAACTTCCTGACAGTGAGGACAATTAACCACTGGAACAGCTTGCCACCAGAAATCGTGGGCGCTCCGTCCCTGGAGGGTTTTTAAGAAGAGACTGGACAGTCACTTGTCTGAGATGGTATAGGTTCTCCTGCCTGAGGGGGGGGGGCTGGACTAGAAGACCTCCAAGGTCCCTTCCAGCTCTATTCTATTCTAAGGCCTTAAGAACACATGTTGACTCTGATCCCACTTTTTCTGTATTTTGTTTGTTGCATTTAATTTTTTTTTTAAAAAAAATGAAATGCATCAAATTCATTTTTTGGTCCTCTTGCAGACATTTCACCTCCAACTACCGTAGGTAGGTCCTCTGTGCTAAGATGAGGAAGCGCCACTTCCTTCTAGCACCGATGTTATCAAATAGATAACATGAAGTGTCTGCAAGGAAACAACCAACTCCGAGAGCATCAAGAATCCCACAGTCCTTTTCTTCCTCCTCCCCCCCACCCCCTCCCTTCTAGCACTGCTGATGTTCCCTACTTGGGTTGTGAAATGTCTGTAAGAAAATTACCGACTCAGAGAGCACCAAGAATCCCAGTCCTTTTCCTCCTCCTCTTCCTCCTCCCCCTCCCTTCCTTCTAGCACTGATGACGTTCCCTAGTTGGGTCATGAAACGTCTGCAAGAAAACCACCCAGCTCAGAGAGCAGCAAGGACCCCACAGTGGTTGTCATCCTCCTCCTTCTCCTCTTCCTTCTCCTCCTACTCCTCCTCTCCTCCTCCTCTCCACAAGCCCCCCTCCCTTCTAGCACTGATGATGTTCCCTAGTTGGGTCATGAAACGTCTGCAAGAAAACCACCAAGCTCAGAGAGCAGCAAGGACCCCACAGTAGTCCTCTTCCTCTTCTCCTCCTCCTCTCCAAAAGCCCCCCTCCCTTCTAGCACTGATGATGTTCCCTAGTTGGGTCACGAAACGTCTGCAAGAAAACCACCAAGCTCAGAGAGCACCCAGGACCCCTCATTTCAACCCTAAGTTACAAATACCTTTACGTACCAATGGTTTCAATGGGGAAATTGAAAACAAGCTCCGGTGCAAACACCCCCTGTGGCGTCCCCCGAAGATTCACGACTCGGACGCAGCCTGGAGGAGAAGAGAAAGGCTTTGAAGGACGAAGAGCCATCGCAAGAATGGGAAGAGAAAAAAAACGGAGGCCAAAAAAAGAAAAACTCCCAAGAAAACCGTTCATATGACAAACGATTGAGGGATCTAGGTACGTCTAGACCAGGGGTCTTCAAACTTGGCCCTTTTAGGATTGGTGGACTTCAACTCCCAGAATTCCTCAGCCAGGCACCAGTCATAAAAGGGCCACGTTTGAAGACCCCTGGTCTGGATCCAAGCCTGCAGTTTCATCAAAATGGCCGACTGAGGAATTCTGGGAGTGGAAGTCCACCAGTCATACAAGGGCCAAGTTTGAAGACCCCTGGTCTAGTCTACTGAAGAGAAGAATCAGGGAGAACATGATCATGTCATCCAAGATTTGAAGGGCTGTCCCAGAGAAGAAGGGGTTGATCTATTCTCCAAAGCAGGGGTCCCCAAACCCCGATCCTTGGACCAGTCCCGGGCCGTGGCATGCCAGCAACTGGTCCGCACAAACAAGTAAAGCCCCATCTGCGGGATGCAGGCAACACACACAACCACGCACCCTCCAGTCCACGGAAAAACCTCTCTCCATAGAACCGGTTCCCGGTGCCCAAAAGGTTCGGGACCTCTGCCACAAAGTACCACAGGGCAGGACAAAAATGGATGCAAGATAATGAAAGAGAGGTCCAACCTAGAATTAAGGAGGAATTTCTTGCCGGTGAGAACAATTAACCCATGGAACGACTTGCCACCAGAAGTTGTGGGTGCTCCATCACTGGAGGTTTTCCAAAACAGACTGGACAACTGTTTGACTGGGAGGGTATATATAGTCTCCTGCCTTGAGCAGGGGGTTGGACTAGAAGACCTCCGAGGTCCCCTCCAGCCGAAGGAGTCTACGTTTTAGAAGAACTTACGTTCAAAACAAACGAGGACAGTGTCTCGGTCCATCTGAGTGACGTGGCTGGCCAGGACGAGGGGACGCCCTACAAGAGGAGAGAAGCAAATGTTGCGCAACAAAGCTTGGTAAGCAAAATGCTGGTGTTTAAGTTGCTTTCCGGATGAATTAAAAGGGGAATTCTGGGAGTTGAAGTCCACATATTGGGGGGGGGATCATCAAACCTCAAAATTCGGAACATGAATTAAGGCTACGTATCTGGAAACGTGTCCAGCTTAGGACACACTGTACAAGTAGTCCTTGAATTATAGCTCCAATTGGAACCGGAACGTCCATCACTAAGCGATGCAGTGGTTAAGTGAATCACGTCCGACGTTATGCCTTTTTTTGCTGGGTTTGTTAAGCAGATCGTGCAGTCGTTAAGCGAATCATTGACTTTGCTTGTCGGAAGCCCCATAAGAAGGTCAACGTCTATGCCAGGGGCAGGCAACCTTGGCTCTTTTAGGACTGGTGGACTTCAACTCCCAGAATTCCTGAGCCAGCCACGCTGAGGGGAAAGGGAGAGGTTTCCAAGCAGAGCCAAGCTGGCTGAGGAATTCTGGGAGTTGAAGTCCACGAATCATGAGGGGGCCATAGTTTCTCCCATGCTGGCTCAGGAATTCTGGGAGTTGAAGTCCAGGAGTCATAAAAGAGCCGAGGTGGCCTACCCCTGGGCTATGGAGATGCTTTTGTACATTGGGGAAACAAAACAACCACTGCATAAATGCCTGACACAAGTTAGGAGAACAAAGCCATCAGGACAAGATTCAGCAGTCCGTCTGTAAGAGATTCTACAATCTGGTTCTCTCACCCACATTCTTTCCCTCCCTCTTTCTTTTCTTTTCCTTTCCTCTCTGTTAGTCCTTCATTCCTCCCTCCCATTCTATCTTTTCTTCCCTTTCTCTCTTAGTCCTTCCTTCCTCCTTTCCTTTCCTCTCTGTTGGTCCTTCCTCCCTCCCATTCTATCTTTCCTTTCCTTCCCTTTCCTCTCTCTTAGTCCTTCCTTCATCCTTCCCATTCTACCTTTCCTTTCCTCTCTTAGTCCTTCCTCCTTTCCTTTCGTCTGTTAGTCCTCCTCCCTCCCAATCTATCTTTCTTTTCCTTCCCTTTCCTCTCTCTTAGTCCTTCCTTCCTCCTGCCCATTCTACCTTTCCCTTCCTTTCTGTTAGTCCTTCCTTCCTCCCCCCCTTTCTATCTTTCCTTTCCTTCCCTTTCTCTCTTAGTCCTTCCTTCTTCCTTCCCATTCTACTTTTCATTTCCTTTCGCTTCCCCTCCCTTCCTTTTTGTTAGTCCTTCCTTCCTCCCTCCCTTTATATCTTCCCTTCCCTTTCTCTCTTAGTCTTTCCTTCTTCCTTCCCATTCTACCTTTCCTTTCCTTCCACCCCACCAAATATCCTTTCTTACTGGAAGGGCTGGAGCTGGTGTGCCCAGTGCTGAGCGAGAGGACGCTGAAGTGCAGCTCGGCCCCCGGCTGGTCGCTGCCGGTGACGCCAAAGCACACTTGCGGATACTCCTCCGTCTCCACGACCAGCAGCTCGAACAGGGAGAGGGGATCAGGGAGCAGCACAGGGACGTGCTGGCCAAGGAATAAAAAAGATAAAACAGAGAAAATACGGTGAGCAGCCAAGCAGAACCTGGGTGGCCCTAGAACAAAAAAAAAAAACAGGGGCTCCTGACGGCTCGCAGCCACCCACGTACCTTCAGTAGCATAAATTTCTGCAAAGGTTCGTACCACTGGAGGAGGGCCAGGCTGGAGGGCAGGGCGGCACACAGAAAGGTGTTTCCTGAGTAAGGATTTCGGACTGAAACACACCAAGAAGCACACAAACAGAGAATGGGATTAGCCACCCACTGCTGGTCTCGCCTGCGGCTGCTAAAGCCAGCAGGAGCTTCCCAAAAACAAACCCTGGTTGGCATCTGCCCAGTTCCAGAAGCCTTTTTCAAGGGGAATCTAATGCAGAGTGGTTAGGAGTCCCAAACTGAACACTTGTTATTCCTTTGTGGGCGTCCTTTTTCCCTCTCTCTTTCCCTCCGATCTCTCTTCCCTCCCTTCTTCCTATCTTCCTTCCTCCCTGCCTTTTTTTTTCCCTCCTGCCTTCCCTCCAATCTCTCTTCCCTCTTTTCCTCCCTCCCTCCCTTCCTTTCCTCCCTCCCTTTCTTTTTCCCTCCTGATCTCTCTTCCCTTTCCCTCCCTCCCTTCCTTCTTCCTATCTTCCTTCCTTCCTCCGTCTTTTTTTCCCTCCTGCCTTCCCTCCGATCTCTCTTCCCTCTCTTCCTCCCTTCTTCCCTCCCTCCCTTTCTTTTTCCCTCCTGCCTTCCCTCTGATATCTTCCCTCCCTTCCTCCCTCCCTTCCTTCCCTCCCTCCCTTTCTTTTTCCCTCCTGCCTTCCCTCTGATCTCTCCTTCCTTCCTTCCTTCCTTCCTTCCTTCCCCCTCCCTCCCTTATTTCCTTCTTTCATCTCCTTCCTTCCTTCCCTCCCTCCCTCCTTCTCTTCCTTCTTTTCTTCCTTCTTTCATCTCTTTCCCTCCCTCTTTCCCTCCCTCCCTCCCTTCCTTCCTTCATTCTTTCCCTCTCTCCCTCCCATCCTTCCTCCTTCCCTCCCTCCCTCCCTGTCTTTCTTTTTCCCTCCAGCCTTCCTTCCAATCTCTCCTTCCTTCCTTCCTTCCTCCCTCCCTCCCTCCCTCGCAAGGGCCATGCTGGCTAGGGAATTCTGGGAGTTGTAATTCATACTTCTAAAAAGATCACCATCCCAGAATTCTCAGCAAGGGCCATGCTGGCTGGGGGATTCTGGGAGTTGCACAGCCCAGCTCTGAAAGTTGGGGAGAGGCACAGTAAGAGTCCAGAGGCAAATTCAAAAGAGGTGACAAATCAGCTGAGAAGGAAGAGAAGTCGCCACTCACCGATTTGACACTTAAGGCAGCCTTTGGTGTCTGCTATCTTGGCCGAAAGGGCAAATTTCCTGCAACAAAAGGAATAGGATTTAAAACAGGAGTGATATGTGTGTGTGTGTGTGTGTGTGTGTACACATTTGTGTCTGTATATTGTATTGTATTGTATTCCATTTCATTATTCTATTCTATTCCATTCCATTCCATTTCCATTTTCTATTCCTATTTCTATTCTATTCTATTATTCTATTCTATTCTATTATTCTATTCTATTCCATTCCATTCCCATTTTCTATTTCTATTTCTATTCTATTCTGTACTTTCTATTCCATTCTATTCAATATTCTATTCTATTCTATTTCTATTCTATTCTATTATTCTATTCTATTCTACTTTCTATTCTATTCCATTCTATTCTACTTCTATTCTACTTCTATTTCTATTCTATTCTTCTATTTTATTCCATTTCCATTCTCCATCCTATTCCCATTCTCTATTCTATTCTATTCCATTCCATTCCATTCCAATTTATCCTAGGCAGCACCGCTTCCCCCCTCCTCTCCCAAGGCCATTCCCACCTTCCATTACACTTCCTTGGGGACCTCTGGCCCCTCCTCCCCCTCACCTCTGCCCACCTGGGGATGATCCTCTCCGTCAGTCGGTTGGTGGCGATGGAAAGAGGAACCGGACGCTTTTGAAGCTGACGACGTTGCTCAAAGAGACCCAGGAGATTGTGTGAAGAGACCTGGGGGGACTTTCCTGGAACGAGAAAAAGGGAATGAGTCTAGGTGGAAAAGGCTGAATCACTCTGCTTCTTAGTCTTTCTCCGTGCCTCCAACGCCGGAAAATGTCACAGCTGTTCCTTGACTTACGACCGTAACTGACCCCAAAGTTTCAGCTGCGGAGCGATACGTCTGTTAACCGAGCTTTGCCCCATTTTACCACCTTTCTTGTCGCCGTTGCTAACTGAATCACTGCGGTTGTTAAGTTGGTGACACATCTGTTAAATTTATCTGGCTTCCCCGTGGACCAAAGTTTCTCCGAAGGTCACAAAAGGGGAATCCCCTGACCCCGGGACACGACGACCGTCATAAATCACTTAAATATGGACAATCCCTTAAATATGAGCCAGCCGTGTGCTGCAGCTGCCAAAAAGCCAACACAGTGCTGGGCTGCATTAACAGAGGGACAGAATCAAGATCACGTGAAGTGTTAATACCACTTTACAATGCCTTGGTAAGGCCACACTTGGAATACGGCATCCAGTTTTGGTCACCACAATGTAAAAAAGATGTTGAGACTCTAGAAAGAGGGCAGAGAAGAGCAACAAAGATGATCAGGGGGACTGGAGGCTAAAACATATAAGGATCGGCTGCTGGAATTGGGTAGTCAGTTTAATGAAGAGAAGGACGAGGGGGGACATGATAGCAGCCTTCCAGTATCTCAGGGGCTGCCCCAAAGAAGAGGGAGTCAAGCTATTCTCCAAAGCACTGGAAGGCAGGACAAGAAACAACGGATGGAAACTAATCAAGGAGAGAAGCAACCTAGAACTAAGGAGAAACTTCCTGACAGTGAGGACCATTAACCAGTGGAACAACCTGCCTCCAGAAGTTGTGAATGCTCCAACACTGGAAGTTTTTAAGAAGACTGGACAGCCATTTGTCTGAACTGGTATAGGGTTTCCTGCCTGAGTAGGGGGTTGGACTCAATGACCTCCAAGGCCCCTTCCAATTTTATTATTATTATTATTATATAAATACGAACCAGTTGCCAAGCGGCTGAATTTGACCACAGGGATGCCGCAACGGTTGTTAAGTATGAAAAATGGTCATAAATCACTTTTTTCAGTGCCATTATAACTTTGAACAGTCACAGTAAATGAATAGTTGTTAATTCGAGGGCAATCTGTAACTGGATCCAACTGTTTACAAACTACGCCCGGTTTTGTGGACTGACAAATGATCTGGGACTAAATTCTCGTCTCCCTCGTCAAAGGTTTTCCAGCACGGCCAGAAAGATGCAAATTTGACTTAACAAATGTTCTTGGTTTTGGGGGCCATTCCAGAAAACTCCAGAAGCCCCTTTGCACAAAAAAAGCAGAAACGGCACCCAGAGCGAAGCAGCAGGACCGTACTTGCCTTTGCAAGTTTTTTAAACAAGGAGCCCTCCCCCCCCCAAAAAATTTAGCTGGCTCCAAATGTCCCCCCCGTGGCTGTCCTGTGGCCTAAGGGAGGAAGCCCTGGATGCCAAACCTTCTGTCCGTCCCAAAGCGCATCATCTGGGATGGAATGTTGTCCCGAACAGGGAAAAGAAAAGTTATTTCCCAGCCCTTGGAGACTCGCCTGCCAAAGTCAGGAGTGTGTTGTTGATGCAGTAGAGCCAGGAGCACCGGTGGGGAAGGAGCTGGTGAGAGAAAGGAGGGAGGGGAAAAGAAGAAACAGAAAGAGGGAGAGAGGAAGAGGAGAAAAAGTCCGTCAGTCTGGGTTATTTCAGATTAGGGAAAAGCACAGTCAGGACCCCGCCGCAAGGCAGGAAACACAGCAGCCAGATTGGTCTAGTCCAGGGGTGGGCAACCTCGGCTCTTTTATGACTCGTGGACTTCAACTCCCAGAATTCCTGAGCCAGCCACGCTGACGGGAAAGGGAGAGGTTTCCAAGCTGAGCCAGGCTGGCTCAGGGATTCTGGGAGTTGAAGTCCACCAGTCATAAAAGAGCCAAGGTTCCTGACCCCTGATCTAGTACTTAAGGCACCAAGCTAGAATCTAGGCGCTGGTGAGTTCTGTCTCAGTTGGCTGGCTGACTTTGGACCAATCACCAGGAGATAGCAATAGCAATAGCGCTTGGACTTATATATCGCCTCGCAGGGCTGTCTAAGCCAGTGGTTCTTAACCTTTTTAATGCCGCGACCCCCAACCGGTCGTAAGTCGAGGACTACTCAACTGGTGCAGCACCGTTTGCAGAATGGGACTTTTGGCGGGCTCAGCAGGGCAGAGACAGCCTGGACAATTCCTATTGGCTTTGGAAAGCCAATAGAATGAGACTCTATTCAAGAGAGTCTATTCTATTGGCTTTCAAAAGCCAATACAATAAAAGGGAGTAGCACAGCTAAGGAAAAGAGGAAAAAAATGGCGGATTGCGTTGTTTGGCGACCCCCGTGAAATGGTCGTTCAACTCCAAATGGGGTCCCGACCCACAGGTTGAGAACCACTGGTCTAAGCAGTTTACAGAGTCAGCATGTTGTCCCCAACAATGTGGGTCCTCAACAAGGTGAGGATGCTGAACGGTGAATTTTTGTTCCTCTTTAAGACATGAAAACCCACTGGGTGACTTGGGACCAGTCATCCGGAGACGGTGAGTTCTAGTCTTGCCTCAGGCACTAAACATGGCTGGGTGACTTTGGACCGATCACCAGGAGAAAGTGAATTCTAGTCTTGCCTTAGGCACTAAAGGTAACGGTGACCTTGGACCAATCACCAGGAGATGGTGAGTTCCAGTCTTCCCTTAGCATAAGAGGTGGCTGGGTGACTTTGGGTCAATCACCAGGAGACGGTGAGTTCTAGTCCCGCCTTAGGCATGAAAGCCAGTTGGGTGACTTTGGGCTGGTCCCCCCCTCTCTCTCAGTCCAATCCACCTCACAGGGTTGTTGTTACGGGAAAAATAGGAGGAGAAAGTAGTATTAGGTACGCTTGCCAGCTTGAATTATTTATAAAAATCACAAAAGTGGGATATAAATTAAACGAAGCAAGAAAAATGTCAAGCCAACAAAGTTCTTGTTAAATTATAGAGAGCCAAAAATCCAAACCCATCCATTGCAGCTTAAGCAGAGAGCAGAGGGTCTGCGCGGCCACAGGGTGGCTTAATCATGGTTTGCAGCAAAGGACCCCTCCCACCGCTTCTTTCCTTGTGTCTCTCTGCAGGGGACTTACCTTCTCCATCGTGTCTTCGTGGAGCTCGTGAAGGTTCAAGGTGTAAATGCCTTCCTCCGCTCCCACCACCAGATACAGATCTGCAAACCAGACAAGGAAAGTTTTATAAACCATGATTGGCCACGTTGAAAGAGAATACAATATAGTGGATTAGGAATAAAGAGATTTCTCTTGACTATAAATTCCCACCAGGTCCAACCTGCCCTGAGGGCTGATATTGTGGAGAAAAAATTGCATCTGTGTTTCTCAACCTTGCCAATTTTTAAGATGTGTGGACTTCAATTCCCAGAAGTCCTTAGCCAGCATGCTGGCAGGGTATTTCTGGGAGTTGAAGTCCGCCCATTTTAAAGCATTCTAGCTGGGGAATTCTGGGAGTTGAAGTCCACACCTCTTAACGTATCAAGGTGGAGAAAGACCGTTATGTCTGCCATCTTTTTGACGGAATGTCAGTTGCAGAAATCAACACGAAATAAATCTCTACCTCGTGTTTCCGGGTGGATCCACGTTGTAGCTGAGTTGATCTTCAGCGGGCAGCCGTTGAAAACTTTGGAAAAACAGGCTCCCATCTGGGAAAGGAGGAAATGGAATATTTGGATACTGGGTTGTGTCTGTGTGTGTGTGTGCAGGAAATGACTGAGATTTACTCCTCCGTTCTACAGTGCTTTTTATCTCATGTTTAGACTTCAGATCAAATCTGGCTCAGGAATTCTGGAAGTTGAAGTCCACAGATCATAAAAAGGCCATAGTTTCCGCCCCCCCCCCCACGCCCCCATTGTAGTCATAATCAGATTTTAGACTTTTCTAACCCCTCCAAGTGAGCAAAACTGCCAAATTTTCACAGTTTGCACCCAAGCATTTTGCAAAGCCGCCCACCTGCGTTGTCTCCAGGCAAAAGTTCATTTCAGCTTATTTTCACATTTTACAGTATTCGTCACGCACCACACAAACTCACAGCCCCCGAAATACACACCACTGGCTTTAAATAACACACCCTAGCTGTTCCCTGAAACATATTTTCCTTTTTTTAAAAAAATGATATCCATTTCTCCCTTATCAACACACTGATTTGAGGGCCTGGCTTTTTTCCTTGCCAGATTCAGTGGGTGGGAAAAAAAAGCTGGTTGCTTTCCGATTCAGTTCAGTTGGAAAGTAGCAACTAAAATTGGCTTGTGTTAAAATATAAGTTCCAGGGACTCCTGGACTTTATTTGAACATGGGCTTGAACATCACAACAAACTAAATACATAAAACAAAAACAGACAACAAATAAAAGAAAAAACAATTCTGAGCACGTATTGGAACGTTTTATTCGAAGACAGAGGAGCATCTGAACGCAGATCTTTTTAAATATTTGTATTTTGTTACCTTTTACTAATCCAGGTGAATGGTTAATAGGGATTGCTAGTCCCTGTATGATATGCCATATATGCTAAATCAGGGGTCTTCAAACTTGGCCCTTTTAGGACTTGTGGACTTCAACTCCCAGAATTCCTCAGCCAGGCACGCTGTTTGAAGACCCCTGCGCTAAACAGATAAATCAATCCAGGAATTCCTGTCGGTAGGAAAGAAGCAAACAAAACTTACATGAACTTTGGGTGTAGGAGGCAATCCATGGCACAGCAACCTCTGAAAAGATGATGGACAGAGAGGGTAGCATTAAAGGAACATTTTTTTTAAAGTTCCCATTATTATTTTTTTAATAATAAGAAGAAACAAGGCTGTCTCTAATCCCATTCCTCGCTCAACCACAGACTTAATCTTCCTGCTTTGGTGGGACTCCTTTCACAAAATCAAAAAGTTCCCAAAAAAGGGAACTTAAGAGGTCTTCTAGTCCAGCCTCCCGCTCAGTTCAGGATTTTCTACAGCAGTGGTTCTCAACCTTTTTAATGCTGCGACCCCCCAACCGGTCGTAAGTTGAGGACTACTCAACCGGTCGTAAGTCGAGGACTACTCAACTGGTGCATCACTGTTTGCAGAATGGGACTTTTGGCGGGCTCAGCAGGGCAGAGACAGCCTGGACAATTCCTATTGGCTTTTGAAAGCCAATAGAATTAGACTGTATTCAAGAGAGTCTATTCTATTGGCTTTCAAAAGCCGATAGAATAAAAGGGAGGAGCACAGCTAAGGAAAAGGGGGGGGGGGGAAATGGCGGACTGCATTGTTTGGCGACTCCCGTGAAATGGTCATTCGACTCCAAATGGGGTCCCAACCCACAGGTTGAGAACCGCTGCTCTACAGCATCCCAGACAGATGCCCATCCAGCCTCTGTTGGAAAACCTCTACAAAGGAGAGCTCACAACTGCTTGTGGCAGGTTGTTCCACAGGCTGACAGCTCATACAATCAGCCACTTCCTTTCAAAGTCTAACTTGAATCTCCTTGCTTGCCATTTTATCCTGATAATTCTGGCCCTGCCCTCTGGAGCCATCCAGGAGAAGCCCACGTTCTATTCTCTACAGGTGGTCCTCGGCTTACAATAGGGGTCTTCAAACGTGGCCCTTTTAGGACTTGTGGACTTCAACTCCCAGAATTCCTCAGCCAGGCACGTGTGCCTGGCTGAGGAATTCTGGGAGTTGAAATCCACAAGTCCTAAAAGGGCCACGTTTGAAGACCCCTGACTTACCAGCTTTGATTTAGTGACTGTTCAAAGGTTCAACAGCATTGAAAAAATTGACTATTTCTCACACAACGGTAGCAGCATCCCCGTGCTCACATGATCAAAATTGCAACTGGCATGTACTTATGACGGTTGCAGTGTCCTGGGGGGGGGGGGTCATGTTATCCCCTTTTGCGACTTTCCGACAAGCAAAATAAACGGGGGAGCCAGACTAATTTAACAACTGTGTGGCTAACTTAACAACTGCCGTGATTCAGCTATCGATCAGAATTCCCCAGCCAGTTATTTATGCTGGTTGGGGAATTCTGGGAGTTGAAGTCCACAGGTCTTAAAGTTGCCAAAATTGGGGACCCCTGTGTGGTAGGTAGGGATAAAAAGCTGGCTGTTTATCTGCACGGATATATTTTTTTTTCCTAAGGCTTTCGTAATTGCCCCTTTTAACTTGGTTTCCGTCTGGCTTTTAACTTGCTCTTATTTCTAGCTTTTCCATCACTAGGCTGCTTTATCGGTAAATTGCCTGGGGCGTATTGAAATTGGATAAATGAATAAAATAAAAGCCAGCCATTCTTGGAGGAAATAGAAAAAAGGGACGACAGAGAATGAGATGGCTGGATGGAGTCTCTGAAGCAGTAGGTGTGAACTTAAATGGACTCCAGAAGATGGCAGAGGACAGGAAGACCTGGAGGAACGTTGTCCATGGGGTCGCGATGGGTCGGACACAACTTCGCAATTAACAACAACAACATTCTTGGAGGAATCTGACTGCCCTGCCCAACTCGGTGTGAAACATCCTGATTTGATCACACTTACAGTAGCTTCCTCCTTCTTCTTCATCGTGGCCCACTCAGTGGAGAGCAGGCAGTCTGCAGGTTTGGAAGAATCCACCCCCGGAGGGTCTGGCGTCCCACCAAACGCCCCGTTGCCTATTGTCAAAAGATAAATAACAAAAGCAACTTCAAGCTGCTGCCCGAGGGATTCTGGGAGTTGAAGTCCACAAGTCTTAAAAGGGGCCAGGTTTTGGCCACCTCTGCACTAGACATAAATATGCCTCTTTATCAAATAAATGGTCGGTCGTATGGATCCGCAGCGTGAGAGCATCTGATGATCACTTAAGTCTCGGAATGCAAAGAGAAAGATGCTGAATCTCCTCGTTCCTCTTTACCTGGGACAGTGTGGCCCCTCGGCCCCTCTAGATCCGCGCGCTCCCCATCCTGTTCCCAAGGAGCCTTATAGGAGAGCTCCAGGTTGAGGAAATCCCAAAAAGGGCCTCTTTTGATAGTGCTGGAAAAATCTTCCCCAAGTCCATCGGTCTGCTGTTCTTCCTGGGTCTGCAGGGAAAAAAAAAAAAAAAACAGAAATATTTGCAGAATGAAAAGGAAGTGGCTGTTTCAAGGAACTGGTGCTGTTTGGAGACCCCAGAACCATACCTGATCCGTAGGACGTGCCGGGCGGATCGTTAGACTCCTATGGAAGAAAAGACATTTTTTAAAATAAATAAACAAATAAAATAGAAGCAGAATAAAAGAATGGAGAAAAGTTGAAAGATGTCAACCGTCCCGTTGGCATATGCAGCCAAAGAAGCTCTTGGGACATTATTTTACCAAGAGTATAACTTTGCTGATAATTCCACATAGGGGCAGAAGAAGCAAAGCCAGTTCTGAAGTTTTTGCACGGGAAGTAGCAATAGCACTTAGACCTATATACTGCTTCACGATGCTTCACAGCCCTCTCTAAGCGGTTTACAGGGTCAGCCTCTTGCCCCCAACAATCTGGATCCTCATTTTACCGACCTCGGAAGGATGGAAGGCTGAGTCAATCTTGAGCTGGTCAAGATCAAACTAGTGGCAGTGGTCAGAGTGTAGCCTGCAATACTGCATTCTAACCACTGGGCCATTAATAGAATAGAATAGAATAGAATATGGGATGGGATGGAATGGAATAGAATAGAATATGGGATGGGATGGAATAGAATAGAATAGAATAGAATATGGGATGGGATAGAATAGAATAGAATAGAATAGAATAGAATAGAATAGAATATGGGATGGGATAGAATAGAATAGAATAGAATAGGAATAGAATAGAATATGGGATGGAATAGAATAGAATAGAATAGAATAGAATAGAATAGAATAGAATATGGGATGGGATGGAATAGAATAGAATAGAATAGAATAGAATAGAATAGAATAGGAGAGTAATGTGATAGGAACAGAATAGAATAGAACAGAACAGAATAAAGAATAGAATTAGAATATAGAACAGAACAGAACAGCACAACCCCCTTAACGGCCGCCTTGATTAGCAACAGAATTCTGTTCTCAATTGTGATCATAACCCGAGTCTCACCTGGTTTGGGTGGCAGCCATATTGAGGCCACCACCAAGATGGCCCCCCAAAAGATGCTGAGCTGGGCAAGGCGGTCGTTTAAACGTTTTATTGGGAACAGGAGACAACCCACCGGGTTTAATGTTGGCCTGTCTAAGGAAGAACTCTGCTAGCTCCCCAGAGTTTCTAAATTGCTCTCCGCCGCCTCTTACCTCTCTTCCAGGGCCTCTTCGACAGACTGAAGCAAGCTCCTAAGGAAGGGGGAAACATGGTGCTAAGTTACCCATCAGTCGTTCGGTCTGCGCATCACACCAAGCCACAGTTTGCCCCCCTCAGGGTTTACCCAAAGGTGCTTTTTCAAAAGACAACTGGACTTCCTTGTTTTTCCCTGAAGACGTTTCCCTTCTCGTCCAAGAAGCTTCTTCAGTTCTGACTCAACAGTGGAGGACGGAAGGATGTATATTCCTTGCAGTCATCGGGTCGTTGGTATTCTCTCTTGAGAGTCGTTGAGGCCACTTGGAGGTTTATCTGCACCCTCAGGGGCCCCTGAATAGTTCAAATGGGTGTGGGGCCTTCTTGGAAGTGCTGAAAGGACTGTGTTGTCAACACAACGAACACACTGAAACTCCTTTCAGCAGTTCCAGGGAGGTTCCACATCCAGTTGCACTCTTCAGGTGACCCTGGGAGCACAGATACACCTCCAAGTGGCCTCAACGGCTCTCAGAAAGAGTACTAATGACCAGATGACTGCAAAGAACATAACTCTTTCCATTTCCCCATTCCCCAGTCAGAACTGAAGAAGCTTCTTGGGCGACAAGCAAAACAAGGTGTTGGTTATCACCTTTAAAGCCCTTCATGGCTTAGGACCAGGTTACTTACAGGACCGCATACTGCTGCATAGTTCCCAGAGACCGGTGAGGTCCCACAGATTGGGCCTCCTTCAGGTCCCATCAGTCAGACAATGTCGGCTGGCGGGCCCTCGGGGAAGGGCCTTTTCTGTGGTGGCTCCGACGTGGTGGAATCAACTTCCCCCCCAAGATTCGAACTACTCCCACCTTGCCGGCCTTCAAGAAAGCCATTAAAACTCTCCTGTTCCGGCAGGCCTGGGGTTGATGTCCCTGGGGGGTGCCGGGATACGATTGGGACATGCTGTATGAATGCATTTATTTTTATTGTTATATTTATTGTTTTAATTTTGTACGCCGCCCTGAGTCCCTAGGGAATAGGCGGCATATAAATTTTATTAATAAATAAATAAATAAATAAACATCTTCAAGGACAAAGTCCAGTTGCCTTTTGAAAAAAAAAAAAAAAAACACTTTTGGGATAACCATGACATGGATGACGGAGAATCTCCATAGGCATCCATCGGGGTTTATTAGCCAAACCACGAATTGGCTGGGTTTGGGCCACCCACCAGCGTGGAATCAAACCCCACTACACAACACAGGCTTTGTGCAAACCCTGAATTAACAAAACTTCATGTCTCTGTTTGCGCAGCATGCTTAAGACAACATCGTTTGATCCCAATTGGCATTCTGCAGCCAGCCCGGGTTTAGACAGCGTGAACTCAGCTTAAGAGTTTCAAAGTGGCAGAAATTAGCTGCCCGTGTTTTCACACTTTGCCACGAGGGCAGGTCCATGGCCCAGGCAGGGTGGGGATGGGAGGAGGGGAGGAAAAGCACCCCCACCCCACCTTTGCTGCTCCCCTAAATTCCTTACTCTCCGTCTCCAAGCACCATCCAATTCTCTTCCTCTTCTTCCGTCTGCAAAAGAGACAAAATAATTCATATTAAACAGGCCAAAATGAAGGCGGACTGCTTCATTTCCTACCCTGGCCTTCAAAAAAAAAAAAGAACTGATGGGAGCATACGCGTAATCCTCAAATTACGGCCGCAATTTAGCAACGCAAAATTCCTGTTGCTAAGCAAGGCCGTTGTTAGGGGAGTTTTGCCCCATTTTACAAACTTTTTTTTGCCCCAGTTGTTAAGTGAATCATTGCAGTTGTTAAGCTAGTGACATGGTTGTTAAACTAATCTGGCTTCCCCCTTGTCAGAAGGTCGTAAAAGGGAATCACGTGACCCCCCCCCGGGACACTGCGACCGTCATAAACAGTTGTCAAGCATCTGAATTTTTATCACATGGCCACGGGGATGCTGCAACGGTTGTTAAGCGTGAAAAATGGTCATAAGTCCCTTTTTTCAGAGCCGTTGTGACTTTGAACGGTCACTAAATGAACTGTTATAAGTTGAGGACTGCCTGTATTCCATATCCGGCAAACTGGAAGGAGAAAAGAGGTTTTTGACTATCTTCCCAAAGCATTTCTCCAAAGGAAAACTACCAACTTACGTTATGCACGAAGAATTCTAAAGCCCCGTTTGTTTCGGCACCCGTTAAAGGATTGATACTCTCAGCTACAAACCACGTTTTACAAATTGACCGTGGCTGGATTCACGCAAGGGTTAAACAATAGGTCAACACAGATACACACTTGTGAAGGCCACTTACTGGGTTGCTCCACGGCTCTGTTTCTTTCCTTAGCGGGGGGCCGAATTTAACCTGGTTAACTGGAAAACAGGAACAATTTAAGGATCAGCCAGAGAGGCAGAGATGAGAGTCCACTCACTGGTTTTGAAAACTCAAAACCCCAGATTTTAAAGGTCCTTTGCAAGGAATGCAACAAGGAATTAGAAAAGTGGGCCATTTTGTCCTGACTTTGGATCACAATCTGCCAAGATTAGTAACCACAAGCGAGGTTGCATGAAGATCCCTCAACGGAGCTGAGTTCTTTAGGGGAAAAAAATGTTTTACATTTCTTATCCTGCATTATAGAATTATAAGCGCTGGGAGGGATCTTGGAGGTCATCTAGTCCAACCCCCTGCTCAAGCAGGAGACCCTATCCCATTTTAGACAAATGGCTGTCCAATGTCTTCTTAAAAAGCTCCAGTATAGCAGCACCCACAACTTCCGGAGGGAAGCTGTTCCACCAGTTAATTGTTCTCACTGTCAGGAAATTTCTTCTTAATTCTAGGTTGCTTCTCTAATGATCTTCTACCTACAATAATAAAGTTGGAAGGGACCTTGGAGGTCATCTAGTCCAACCCCCTGCTCAGCCAGGAAACTCTATACCATTTCAGACAAATGGATGTCCAATCTCTTCTTAAAAACTTCCAGTTTTGGACTATTCACCACTTTTGGAGGCAGGTTGTTCCACTGGTTAATTGTTCTATCAGGAAAGTTCTCCTTAGTTCTAAGTTGCTTCTCTCCTTGATTAGTTTCCATCCGTTGCTTCTTATTTTGCTTTTAGGTGTTTTGGAGAATAGCTTGACTCCCTTTTCTTTGGGGCAGCCCCTGAGATATTGGAAGACTGCTATCCTCTCCCCCCTCGCCCTTCTCTTCATTAAACTAGCAACCGTTCCTTACATGCTTTAGCCTCCAGTCCCCTAATCACCTTTGTTGCTCTTCTCTGCACTCTTTCTAGAGTCTCAACATCTTTTTTACATCGCGGTGACCAAAACTGGATGCAGTATTCCAAGCGTGGCCTTACCACGACATTATAAAGTGGTATTAACACTTCACGTGATCTTGATTCTATCCCTCTGTTGATGCAGCCTAGCACTGAGTTGGCCTTTTTGGCAGCTGCAGCACACGGCTGGCTCATACAGAAGTGGTGGTTTACTAGACTGACTTGCTTTGATTAAAGAAAAGAACACAATTAACTTGGTTTCCATTTGGAAACCGCTTCTGGGCTTTGTGCTTGATGTGTCCAAAAAAACCAAACTCTGATTTTGGGTTTTGCCGATGACTTAGGTTTGTGGTTATGGAAATGGCTAGTACGTGTTATTATATAAAACGGGGGTAGTCAACCTTGGCTCTTTTATGACTCGTGGACTTCAACTCCCAGAATTCCTGAGCCAGCTAAGCTGGCTCAGGAATTCTGGGAATTGAAGTCCACGAGTCATAAAAGAGCCAAGGTTGACTACCCCTGATATAAAACTAAAACGTTGTGCTTTCATGTTATTGTAAGTCAATGTTTTTTCCCTTTTTCTCCCCTCTCCCCTACACTTTTGACTCTTCCCTTTTTCCTCCGTTATTTTACCCTGATTGCCACTTTTCTTTGTATTTCTGTGTTTCATATTTTGATAAACTAAATAAAAATTGTGAAACCAGAAGACCTTTCCAAGTAGAAAAAACAAAAAACAAAAGACGTTGTCCACTAGGACAACCTGGATCCCTCCCACACCCACTGCTGTTGAGCCAGGTACCGCCTCACCTGTACCTGTGCATCTGGTTTTCCTGGCCCAAGTGCAGGACCTTAATTCCATCCTTCTCCAGGGCATCATTTCTTCCCCACATAATCTTCTCTCTCTAGCCAGGCCTCCCACGTCTTAGAAAAATGTGTTAGCGCAGCCATGCCTTGCATGCAAACGTACATACGCACCAGAAAGGAATTCTGACATATGGGTTAAACTGAATGACTTACGCTGGATTTCTGACAGGGTGCCTTCTGCCGGGCCACGTGGCTTACTGGAGCAGATTTTATCGGGAAAAACGTCATAAGCCTGAATTGGGAGGGAAAGACATTTTTTGTTTGTTTGTTTGTTTGTTTCCAATATAATAAAAATATCCTGTTCAAAGCACAACGGCGCCCTTCGAGATGGCAGTCTGTTTTGCCCTAAAAAAAAACCCCAGCTTACATTCATTCAATCATTGTCATCAGAGGCAAGATTGACATAGAATGGCATAGAATAGTTGCTTCTCAATCTTAACTACAGAATAGAATAATAGGAATAGAATAGAATAGAATAGAATAGAATAGAATAGAATAGAATAGAATAGAATAGAATATAGAATGGAATGGAACAGAATAGAAAGTAAGAATAGAATAGAATAGAATGGAATAGAATAGAATATAGAATATGGAATGGAATGGAATAGAAACTAAGAATAGAATAGAATAGAATAGAATAGAATAGAATAGAATAGAATAGAATATAGAATGGAATGGAAAAGAAAGTAGAAGAATAGAATAGAATAGAATATAGAATGGATGGAATGGATTAGAAAGTAGAATAGAATAGGATATAGAATGGAATGGAATGGAATAGAATAGAAAATAAGAATAGAATAGAATAGAATAGAATAGAATAGAATAGAATGGAATGGAATGGAATAGAATAGAATATAGAATATGGAATGGAATGGAATAGAAACTAAGAATAGAATAGAAGAATAGAATAGAATAGAATAGAATAGAATAGAATAGAATAGAAGCTGGAAGGGACTTGGAGGCCATCTAGTCCAACCCCCTGCTCAGGCAGGAAATCCTATACCATTTTGGACAAATGGCTGTCCAGTCTCTTCTTAAAAACTTCCAGTGTTGGAGCATTCACCGCTTCTGGAGGCAGGTTGTTCCACTGGCTAATTGTTCTCACTGTCAGGAAATTCCTCCTTAGTTCTAGGTTGCTTCTCTCCTTGGTTAGTTTCCATCCGTTGCTTCTTGTCCTGCCTTCAGGCGCTTTGGAAAATTGCTTGACTCCCTCTTCTTTGGGGCAGCCCCTGAGATATTGGAAGACTGCTATCCTGTCCCCCCTCGTCCTTCTCTTCATCAGACTAGACATACCCAATTCCAGCAACAATTCCTTATATGCTTTAGCCTCCAGTCCCCTAATCACCTTTGTTGCTCTTCTCTGCACTTTTTCCAGAGTCTCAACATCTTTTCTGTATCAAGGAATGAACTTTTCCCAAGTTTGCAGTGAAAGCGATTAACTTAATTCCCATCCTTGCCCCCCCCCCCATCGTGAAGCACCCAACACAACTCGACAACTGCACCTCAAAATCCCCATCGTCCAAGGCGGAAGCGGTCAGTTCAGGGTTTGTGGCTTTATCCAGTAATTCAATGACTAAAACGCGGGCTAAGGGCTGGCAGACGAAAGGGTGCTGGAACAGAAGAGAGATCCATTAGCCGACGGGATCAACAACGCTCCCGACTTTCATTGGAAGTTCGTTTCCCCAAAGGGGACGCTAAGATTTGCTACACCTGGGAGCACCCCAGTCCCAAAACCTCCCATAATACCTTGAAGCTGCCTTAGGCATGAACCTAGCCAAGAGGGACAGCCTCCTGGAATGGGGAAGCAGGAAGTCCAGTTAAATATCCCATAATCCCCTGGAGTGACACTACCTCAGAATACAGATAGTCCTTGACTTACGACAATTCATTTAGTGACCGTTCCAAGTTACAACGGCACTGAAAAAAAAGTGATTTACACTTATGGCCACTGCAGTACATCTCATGGTCATGTGACCGGAATTCAAACACTTGGCAACCGACTCCTATTTATGACGGGGTCACATGATCTCTTTTTGTGACCTCCTGACAAGCAAGGTCCATGGGGAAGCCGGATTCGCTTTACAACCGTGTCACTTAATTTAACAACTCCAGTGATTCCCTTAACAACCGTGTCCAGAAAGGTCGTAAAGTGGGGCAAAACTCACTTAGTAAACAATCTCGCATAGTGACAGAAATGTTGGGCTTAATTGTGGTCGTATGTCAAGGACTACCTGTATTCTGGGAAAATAAAATGACAGCTGACGGATCGCTCCACCATCCCAGTGGAGACGGTGTGATCTCCGTTCCTGAGCTGTTTCTAGACAATTTTGATTTTGGAGTGGGGTTTTTTTGTGGGCTAATTTTTACCCATCTCCCAGCCTGGCGTTACCTGCAAGAGTTTTTCTGCCACCGGCCGTTTCCGAGGATTTTTGGTCAAAGAGAGTTTGAGGAACTGGTGAAAATCGGGAGACCTGGAGGGATAAAACAGGAAGTGCAGATGAACAGAAAAATTCCTAGTAGCCCGGGAGAAGAATTGTGTCTCTTACACAGCCACATACTCACCAACACGCCTTATCTTTTAGCTTTGGAGGCTGGAAGTTGCTCTTCGCCATCAACATCAGAGCCCTGAATGACAAGAGAAAACAGAGTTAGCACCTCTTTCTTTTTTTCCCTTTCGTTTTTAAAGCAACTTGACAACTTTAAGACTTGTGGACTTCAACTCCCAGAATTCCTCAGCCAGCATGAGGAATTATAATCCAGAAGTCTTAAAAGTTGCCAAGTTTGACTGGCTGAGGAATTCTGGGAATTGAAGTCCACAAGTCCTAAAGTCCCAAGTTTGACTGGCTGAGAAATTCTGGGAGTTGAAATCTAGAAGTCCTAAAGTTCCAAGTTTGACTGGCTGAGGAATTCTGGGAGTTGAAATCTAGAAGTCTTAAAGTTCCAAGTTTGACTGGCTGAGGAATTCTGGGAGTTGAAATCTAGAAGTCCTAAAGTTCCAAGTTTGACTGGCTGAGGAATTCTGGGAGTTGAAGTCTGCAAGTCTTAAAGTTGCCAAGTTTGACTGGCTGAGAAATTCTGGGAATTGAAGTCCACAAGTCTTAAACCAGTTGCCAAGTTTGACTAGCTGAGGAATTCTGGGAGTTGAAGTCCACAAGTCTTAAACCAGTTGCCAAGTTTGGCTGGCTGAGAAATTCTGGGAGTTGAAGTCCACAAGTCTTAAACCAGTTGCCAAGTTTGACTAGCTGAGGAATTCTGGGAGTTGAAGTCCACAAGTCTTAAACCAGTTGCCAAGTTTGGCTGGCTGAGAAATTCTGGGAGTTGAAGTCCACAAGTCTTAAAGTTGCCAAGTTTGGCTGGCTGAGGAATTCTGGGAGTTGAAGTCCACAAGTCTTAAACCAGTGGCCAAGTTTGGAGACCCCTGTTTTAAAGAAAAGGAAACCCTGATCCCTTGTCTACAAAATTTCTTCTCTCTCATTGGCTGATTTGTAGTGATATTACAGAATGCTCAAAGATTCCACCAAAATCAAAGGGGAATTCACACAAATGCTCAGTTGCTTTGTTTTATTTTGTCTTGTTCAAACCTTCTATGGCATTTAGTCCTCCACTTAAGTGAGACCCTTAGGTTTTGCCCTGTTTTACGACCTTTCTTGCCACAGTTGTTAAGAGAATCGGGGCAGTTGTGAAGTTAGTAACATGGTTGTTAAAGGAATCCGATCTCCCCATTGACTCTCTTGCTCTCTGCCAGCCTCTCCCTTACCTCATGGGGTGGAGGTCAAAAAGTGGGGGCTGCAGCTCGGCCAGTTCAATGGCGGTGATGCCCAGGGCCCAGATGTCGCACAGCTGGTTGTAGCCGCCTTTCTTCTCCACCGCGGCCACCTCTGGTGCCATCCTGGAGAATCAGAAAGAATGCAAGATGAGGAAGGCGACACTCACAACTACACTCACCTTCCTCTTGAATAGAATAGAATACAACAGAGTAGAGTAGAGTAGAGTAGAGTAGAGTAGAGTAGAGTAGAATAGAATAGAATAGAATATGGAATAGAATATGGAATGGAATGGAATGGAATAGAATAGAATAGAATAGAATAGAATAGAATAGAATAGAGAATAGAATAGAATAGAATAGAATAGAATAGAATAGAATAGAATAGAATAGAATAGAATAGAATAGAATTGGAAGGGACCTTGGAGGTCTTCTAGTCCAGCCCCCTGCTTAAGCAGGAGTCCCTATATCATTTCAGACAAGAGGCTGTCCCATCTGTTCTTAAAAACCTCCAGTGATGGGAGCACCCACAATTTCTGGTGGCAAGCTGTTCCACTGGTTAATTGTCCTCACTGTTAGGAAGTTTCTCCTTAATTCTAGGTTGCTTCTCTCCTTGATTAGTTTCCATCCATTGTTTCTTCTCCTACCTGCAGTGGTAAATAAATTGACCCCTTCCTCTTTGTGGCAGCCCCTCAAATACTGGAACAGTTGCTCTCATGTCCCCCCTAGTCCTTCTAGACTGGCCCTACGCAATTCCTGTCGCAGAGCAACACAGGTGTTTTACCAATAGGGCGTTCCGATGAACGATTTTCGCTTGGCCACCGAAGCTGTCAGTTCTGCCGAGACCCCAAAATCCGCTGTGGAGGAGAGAGGAGGAGGAATAATTGCAGAAGACCTGGAGAAACAAGTCCCGGGGTTTCCAAAAACGACTACAAAGCCAAGCGGGATATTCCATGTTTGTTTGGAAAAGCACGTGCGTTGTAATAATAATAATAATAATAATAATAATAATAATAATTATTATTAATAATAATAATTAATAATAATATAGTAATAATAATAATGATGTTGGAAGGGACCTTGGAGGTCATCTAGTCCAACCCCCTGCTCAGGCAGGTAAACCTATACCATTTCGGACAAATGGCTGTCCAGTCATTATAACTTTGAACGGTCACTAAACTAAACTAAACAAGTAGAGGACAATCCCAGCCAGGATACCTTAAACTCAGAAGTCTATATTGGGGAGGGGAGAGGGTGAAAAAATTGTGAAAAAGTGTGAAAAATTCAAGATGGTGGCTGTGGTCCTGCAGCTGAAGCCACGCCCCTTTTCAGCATGCCTTGTCTATTCAAAGGGGGTGGGGCTTCAGCTGCCTGACCACAGCCACCATCTTGACTTTTTTGACCTGCCCTGCAGAAAAAAAACCAACAGGTTGAACCGAGAGGCTGAACCGGAAGGGAAACCCGGAAGAGGAACTGACCCAATTTGATCTCGCCGTTGGTCGTCAGCAGGATGTTGGCCCCCTGAAAGAGAGAGAAAAGGGTTCAGAGGCCGAAGGTGAGACGGCCATTTTGGGGGGGAACGCTCTGGTCTTCTCCCGCCCGGAACCCCCAAACAGCTTTAAAAAGCGATGTCAAAGTGACGAAACCCAACCTTCTCACCTTAATGTCTCGGTGCATTTTCCCTTTGGTATGCAAGTGGTGAAGTCCCTAAAAGAGAAACGGGGATAAAAGTCGACAATTGGGACAGTTTGTCAGAAAGGCACGGAGACTCAACCAGGTTTGCATGATGGATTAACCCGTGGTTTGTTGAATAAACCCAGACTGGTTAAGGGCACTGTTTCTCAACCTTTCCCACTTTAAGAGGGGGTGGACTTCAATTCCCAGAATTCCACAGCCAGCATGGGAGTTGAAGTCCACCCCTCTTAAAGCATCCTGGCTGGGGAATTCTGGGAGTTGAAGTCCACCCCTCTTAAAGCATGCTGGCTGGGGGATTCTGGGAATTGAAGTCCACCCCTCTTAAAGCATGCTGGCTGGGGGATTCTGGGAGTTGAGGTCCACCCCTCTTAAAGCATGCTGGCTGGGGAATTCTGGGAGTTGAAGTCCACCCCTCTTAAAGCATGCTGGCTAGGGGATTCTGGGAGTTGAAGTCCACCCCCTTAAAACATGCTGGCTGGGGGATTCTGGGAGTTGAGGTCCACCCCTCTTAAAGCATGCTGGCTGGGGAATTCTGGGAGCTGAAGTTGACAAGTCTAAAAGTTGTCAAATTAGGAGACCGCTGTTCTAAACCAATCAGTTCAGCTTCTCCCAGCTTCCCACACACACATGCCTGAATGCCTGAATGCACAAAACCCCCACACAGCCAACAACCCACACTCTAGCCCTGGCCTTGTAGCTATCTCTGCTACAGGAAGGCAGGAAGGGAACAGGATGCACAACTGAACACCGTTTCCTCTCAAAGGTGTGTACCGCTGAGATCCAATTGCTATTTGTCAGGGTCAAAGGAAGAAGCTCAACGGCTGAGTCAAGCTGTGGAAATCTCCTATTAAAACTCAGCTTAACACATCTGACCTCAAGAAGCCGAGCAAAGTTGGGCTGGGTAGAAAGAGGATGGAAGACCACCAGGAAATTGCACCCTCAACTGGCAGACCAGGAAAACACCCCGGGAAGAGGGTGTGGAGAAACATTTCCCAACGGTGCGCAAGCAAGTTATAATGACAGATAATTCTTGCCTTATGACACCAATGGAGCAGAAGATTTCTGTTGCTAAGCACGACAATGGCTAAGTGAGCCTTGCCCACTTTACGACCTGTCTCGCCACAGTTGTTAAGTGAATCACTGCGCTTGTTAAATTAGTAACACGGTCGCTAATCGAATCTGAATTCCTCAATGCTTGCCAGAAGGTTGCCAAAAGAGATCATGTGACTCTGGGACATAAATATGAATCCCTTTGATCATACGACCATGGGGATACTGCAACGGTCGTTAAGCGTGAAAAACAATCACAAGTCACTTTTTTTAGTGCTGTTATAACTTTCATGATGAAACAAATAGCCGTAAATCAAGGACTATCTGTTTATCAGTCCTGGAATTCCATCTATACACTCACCTGGAGGGTTTCCCTGCAGACGTAGGCAATCTGTTTTTCGGACAAAGGCCCAGTACCTGAAAAAGAGAAAACTGAATTATCCTAGGAAAGAAAAAGAAGAAGAAGAAGAAGAAGGAGAAGGAGAAGGAGAAGGAGAAGGAGAAGAAGAAGAAGAAGAAGAAGAAGAAGAAGAAGAAGAAGAAGAAGAAGAAGAAGAAGAAGAAGAAGAAGAAGAAGAAGAAGAAGAGAAGTAGTAGTAGTAGTAGTAGTAGTAGTAGTAGTAGTAGTAGTAGTCAATTGCAAAAGACGGCCTTACTAGGAACTGCTTCCATCCTGCGACAATACCTGTAATACCATCAAACATCCACATCTCCCTATCCCAGGTCCTGGGTAAGGACTCGATAGGTAGACAAAATGCCAAATCCAGTCTGAACATCTGGCTGACTGTGCGATGATTCATAATAATAATAATAATAATAGTCAAGTTGGAAGTGACCTAGTCCAACCCCCTGCTCAGGCAGGAAACCCTACCCCATTTCAGACAAATGGCTGTCCAGTCTCTTCTTAAAAACCTCCAGTGTTGGAGCATTCACCGCTTCTGGAGGCAGGTTGTTCCACTGGTTAATTGTTCTCACTGTCAGGAAGTTTCTCCTTAGTTCTAGGTTGCTTCTCTCCTTGACTAGTTTCCATCCATTGCTTCTTGTCCTGCCTTCAGATGCTTTGGAAAATAGCTTGACTCCCTCTTCTTTGGGGCAGCCCCTGAGATATTGGAATACTGCTGTCATGTCCCCCCTTGTCCTTCTCTTCGTTAAACTAGACATACCCAATTCCAGCAACCGTTCTTCATATGTTTTAGCCTCCAGGCCCCTGAACATCTTTGTTGCTCTTCTCTGTACTCTTTCTAGAATCTCAACAACTTTTTTAGACTGTGGTGATCAAAATGATGCAGTTGTTCCAAGTGTGGCCTTACTGAGGCTTTGTAAAGCGGCACTAGAACTTCACGTGATCTTGACTCTATTCCTCTGCTAATAACTATTAATCTTGTGCTTCGGTGTCTCTGGCCATTCACCACCCCAAATCCTGCCAAGTGGACTAGATGACCTCCAAACTTGCGCCTTTCCATTATTTTGGGATTAAATTTCAAATGACAGAATCCTGCGGTTTTTTTGGAGCGTTTTCCCAAACTTTCCCCCCTAGAAACAAAGGGGGCATTAATTCACGGAGGGAGGCCTCGTATTAATACACTGTAATCCACTTGAATCCCTTTCATTCAGAGCAACCACATTTGCACATTTGTTTAAATTCTGCACGGGGCAAAGCCGCACTGTTTTTTTTATTTTTTTTTACTTCTCTCCGCCATGCAACCATCACTTCCTTTTGTAACTTTTCCACCATTGCAAATTTGCACCCCCTCCGGGCACGCAAGGCAGCGAGAGCAAAAAAAAAAAAGGGAAGTAAATTTTTCCAAAAGGCAACTAGGCAAGGCTGAATCCTTGAAAAGTTTGTTTCTGTGAGCTGAGGGGAGAAGGGAAATAGATGGCAAAGCCAAAGGCTTTAATCTCCCAGCTGCAATTTTTTTTTTTCTTCCAGTTGGGTCCAATTCTCCCTGAAGTTTCTTGGCAAGGTTTTTTCAGAAGTGGGTTGCCATTGCCTCCTTCTTGGGGCTGAGAGAGAGTGGCTGGCCCAAAGGTACTCAGCTGGCTTTCCTTCCCAGCGTCCCAAAGGTGTTTTTTCAAAAGGCAGGTGGACTATGGTTTTCCTTGAAGACATTTTGCTTCTCATCCCAGAAGCTTCTTCAGTTCTGACTGACCGGTGAAGGATGGAAGGATTTATATTCTTTGCAGTCATCTGTTCGTTTAGTACTCTTTCTGAGAGTCGTTGAGGCCACTTGGAGGTTCATCTGTGCCCTCAGGGTCACCTGAATAGTGCAAATGGGCGTGGAACCTTCTTGGAACTGCTGAAAGACGTTTCGGTGTGTTCGTTGTGTTTACAACACAGTCTTTTCAGCACTTGCAAAAAGGTCCCACACACAGTTGCACCACTCAAATGACCCTGAGGATACAGATAAACCTCCAAGTGGCCTCAACGACTCTCTAAAAGAAGGCAAATGACCAGCTGTCTGCAAGAAGTATAAATCCTTTCCATTCCCCGCCATCCAGTCAGAACTGAAGAAGCTTCTTGGATGAGAAGGGAAACATCTTCAGGGAAAAACAAACTCCAGTTCTGGTTTTCGAAAAAGCACCTTTGGAGGACTGAGAATCTCCATGACTTACGAGCATCTATCTCTTGTCCAACTTTTAGTCGCTATCGCTCTAGTTTTTAAAAATCCTGCCCCATCCAGCCCAAGAGGCTGTCCCTTGAGTAGCGGAACTGGGCATCCAGTTGTGAGGCTCTTGCCCTACTTCTGTAGAACTCTGTATATAATTACGTGGGTTGTGTGTGTATATGCTTACTGCTCTTCGTCATGTTCTCTTCATACGCTAAAATAAACACCCAGTTTTCCGGCCATGAATTCTTGGCCTTCCATTAAAACGGAGTTCTGGATGCCACTTCGTTCTTGGCGTGATCCTCCCAACCACACTGAACTTCAGACATGTGGAGCTCCAGCCTGCCTGGGGGCTGTGGATGATGGGAGCCTCAGCCCCGCCTTTCCGGAGAACAGCTGGCTAAGGAAAAAATGGTCTCGCCCAAGGCAAGCTGGGGATTTACCCGGGAATAAATTTAGGAACACCTGTATGCAAATGCTGCTCTACCCACAAGCTATAATTCTTCTCCTAAAAAAAAAAAAATGTAATTAAAAAATACGATTTCAAACTGAAGACAGGAGAAGTGTCCTCTTCTTTTACCACAAAACCATCCTGGAATAGTATCTGAATATATTTATTTATTTCTAGGTTTGACTCCAAGGGGGAAATACATTCTTGAACCCAGATCGGCTGACAAAGCAGCGGAAAGCACCTCGGCGTCCCTCATACAACAGATTCAGAGCCACGAGGACTAGAATCTTGCTTAGTGTCACTGATGTTCTGTAATGTAGGGCAAGCATTTGTTGATCGGGGAACCGTTTGGGCTTCGTGTCACTCTATTCCTTTCCTTAACCAGCTGTTCTCTGAAGAGGTGGGGCTACCCATCATCCACAGCACTCCAGCTTTTCTAGATACCAGCGGGGGGACGGGCTGAGCGCAAACTTAATACAGGTAGCTCAACTTGTAGCAGTTCATTTAGTGGCCGTTCAAAGTGACAACGGCATTGAAAAAAAGCGGCTTAGGACTGTTTTCCAAATCAAAATTCAGATGCTCGGCAACTGACTCCTATTTATGACGGTCGCCGTGTCCCGAGGTCACGTGATCCCCTTTGGCAATCTTCTGACAAGCAAAGTCAACGGGGGAACTGGATTCATTTAACAACCGTGTTGCTAAACAAACAACTGGAGTGATTTCCTTAACAACTTAACAGCAAAGAAAGGTCAAAAAACGGGGCAAAATTCACTTAACAAATATCTCACTTAGATTGCGGATTGTGGTCGTAAGTCGAGGACTATCTGTGCTACAATTTCAGAAAAAGCCAGCCACCTTGGCATTAACGTAACAGGTTCCCTTCAGCAGATTATGCTGGAATCTAGGCTGATTCCAGAAATGTAAGCTACTAACGCCTTCTCCACCACTTCCACTACATTTTTAAAATTATGACCCATTGAGGAATGGATCCCAAAAGAACACTAAGTTCTTCCCTTCCCTTCCCTTCCCTCCTCCAACAGGCAGAAACTCACTGTGGTAGATCTCCTGCAGGGATCCCCCTCCACAGTACTCCATGCAGATCCACAGCCGATCATTCCTAAAATCCAGAAATAACGGGAAATATGTAATGGAGCACAGGGTGTATACACATCGTAATTTGGGCAAAGCAAGAGCTTTGCGGGTTGAGTGAGATGCTTCTCAATCTCAGCAGCATTGAAGGTGTGTGGACTTCAACTCCCAGAATTCCCATGCTGACGGGGGTATTCTGGAAGTCAACTAATCTTAAAGGATGCTGGCTGAGGAATTCTGGGGGTTGGAGTCCACCCATGTCAAGGCATGTTGACGGGGGAATTCTGGGGGTTGGAGTCCACTCATCTTAACGCATGTTGAAGGAGGAATCCTGGGAGTTGAAGTCCACCAATCTTAAAGCACACTGGCTGTGGAATTCTGGGAGTTGAAGTCCACCCCTCTTAAAGCATGCTGGCTGGGGAATTCTGGGAGTTGAAGGTCACCCCTCTTAAAGCACATTGGCTGGGGAATTCTGGGAGTTGAAGGCCAGCCTACTTAAAAGCATGCTGGCTGAGGAATTCTGGGAGTTGAAATCCACCCCTCTTAAAGCATGCTGGCTGGGGAATTCTGCGGTTGGCATCCCCTTATCTTAAAGCATGTTGATGGGGGGATTCTGGGAGTTGAAGGCCACCCCTCTTAAAGCATGCTGGCAGGGGAATTCTGGAAACTGAAGTTTTCAACAGAAGTCTTAAGCTCGCTGGGACTGAGAAACAGTGCCCTAGATTTAAAGATTGCGGGAGGCCATAAGCCATGTTTCTGCATGCCACAATAATTGGCTTGGAGCATCACGTTCCTCCCAGGGCAACCTCAACCACTTTATGGTCTTGAGAGTTTGCCTGGCAATTGCTCAAACTTTTCAAGCAATTGCTGAATGAAAGAAGGAATTGGCCTCAAGAGACTTTATTAAGGTGACCAACTGTCATCCTTTGAGGGGGGGGACAGTCCTCCTTTTGTGAGTTTTGTCCTCCCTCGAAAAGTGTCCTCCTACATGTCCTCCTTTTCGATATTTGAAGACTAATCTGCAGGGCTTTTTTTTCTCTCTCATAGAATGCTCAGAACGGCGTTCCGGCACCTTTTTTTTGATTTTCTTTTTCAACTTTTGCATGAGCTGTGCTACTCCCACTATTGGCTTTGGAAAGCCAATAGGAATTGCTGCTGAGCGCCCCAAAACACCCGGCTGGCAAACTTTGCACATGCAAGTTGTCTGTATTATGGTTGCAATGCATAAAATGTTTTTTTTATTTACGATATTATTTTTCTTCAATTTATTTGTGTCCTCCTTTTCATTGTAAAAAAGTTGGTCAACTTAACTTTATGCTCCTGTTCCTGAATGCACCCAGTCTTTTAAAGCAGCCATGCCCGTTTAATTTTCCCGGTCCAAAATGTTTAACTCAAAACAAAAATGCCTAGTGGGATAATGTCTTACTTTGATGCAAAGCACCAGTTTCTGGGGTCCATTTAATTTCCAATAAAGATCTTCACAAACCTTGCAGCTGTCATCAGAAAATAAAATGAGGGTGTGGACTTCTGTAGCAACGGGATCAGAAGCAAATACCCATGTTTTCCCCAAAATAAGACCGGGTCTTATTATTAATTATTACTCCAAAAGATGCATTAGAGCTTATTTTCCAGTTGGTTCTTGTTTTGGGGGAAACACGGTATTAAAAAGACGGAGTCCGGGTGTGCGTGACGAAGAGGTGAGCTCAGCTCAACTTCATCCATTAGCTCCGGAGAATGGAGGCTTTGCAAGTGGCGTCCATTTTGGGAAAGCGCCCACAACACACCCATCCCTACCCCTTGCACTTTGGCAGGGCAAAGCTTGGCACGAGCGCACCCACTGCACGGATTGTGTTGCACTTTCTATGACCCATTGGCGGTTCCAGAGATTTGGAAACAGGACGGTCCCAAGAAGGGTGCCTCTGAGCATGTGGGGAGAGGAGCTACATTTCACCGCATCGAAGATTCGGGAAGGGGAAAAAAGGCCTTTTTGGATTGGAAAATGAAGAGTTGCATTATGGACTTCCTAACTTTTTACTGTAGAAATTAGGCGACGATTACTGTGCCCAACTTGCTACCCGCTAGTTTTGACAAAGCTGAGAACGGATGCTCAAGTTAAATCTTAGCGTTTCCAAGTTCCCGTTGTGTTATTCCAGAAGGAGGAGTTTTCTACCTGAGATAGCTTCCAAAATACGTCACAACGTTGTGATGCCGACAATCCCTGAGGGTGGTGATTTCTTGCTGAATGGATCCGATGTCATCTCCTAAGAAGACCCAATGGAATAAATATGTCAGTCTCTCGGGGGGGGGAGTCTTCTTTCAACAATGATCGACCCCCTCTTTTTGGCGACAGCCCCTCACATATTGGAAGACTGCTATCGTGTCACCCCCAGTCCTTCTCTTCACTAGGCCAGACGTACCCCAATTAGAATATAGAATAGAATAGAATAGAATAGAATAGAATAGAATAGAATAGAATAGAATAGAATAGAATAGAATAGAATAGAACAGAACAGAATAGAATATGGAATGGAATGGAATGGAATGGAATGAATAGAATAGAATAGAATAGAATAGAATAGAATAGAATAGAATAGAATAGAATAGAATAGAATAGAATAGAACTGGAAGGGACCTTGGAGGTCTTCTAGTCCAACCCCCTACTCAAGCAGGAGACCTTATACTATTTCAGACAAATGCCTGCACAATCTCTTCTTAAAAACCTCCAGGGGTGGAACACCCACCACTTCTGGAGACAACTCATCTCATTGATAGATTGCTCTGTCAGGAAATTTCTCCATCGTTCCAGGTTGCTTCTCTCCTTAATTAGTTTCCATCTGTTGCTTCTTCTCCTGCCTTCAGGCGCCTTGGAAAATAGGTCAACCTCTTCTCCAAAGCACCTGAAGGCAGGACAGGAAGCAACGGATGGAAACTGATCAAGGAAAGAAGCAACCTGGAATTAAGGAGAAATTTCCTGACAGTGAGAACAATCAGTCAGTGAAACAGCTTCCACCTAGAGCAGGAGTCTTCAAACTTGGCCCTTTTATGACTTATGGACTTCAACAACCAGAATTCCTCAGCCAGGCACATGTGCCAGGCTGAGGAATTCTGGGAGTTGAAGTCCACAAATCATAAAAGGGCCAAGTTTGAAGACCCCTGCTCTAGAAGTTGTGGGCGCTCCATCACTGAAGGTTTTTAAGAAGAGACTGGACAGCCATTTGTCTGAAATGGCATAGGGTTTCCTGCTTGAGCAGGGGGTTGGACTAGAGGATCTCCAAGGCCCCTTCCCGCTCTATTCTGATTCTGATTCTGATTCTGAGAAGCAGGCCTACCACGGAGTAGAAACCCTGAGATCCTCGTGGGGGTTTATTTCCTGATCTGGCCTTTCTTGAACAGCTAAAATCGGAGTGGTACTGAGAAGTCGCCGACTTTGGGGAAACCACAAAAACCAGGATCGCCCCTTACCTGGGTCGATTTTCACAATTTTAATGGCTGCCAGCTCTCCGGTGTCTGTATCTCGCCCCTACGGAGAGAACCAGATGATAATGAAAGACATGGGTCCTCCAGGAAAGGGTCTCTGCATTGCTTTCCTTTGGGAGAACAGATTTAGTGGGATTCTTGGCGGGGGTTCCTCGCTTGCCCCTCACCTTTCCTGCTCCAACTTTTTCACGCTCCTGCCATACGCTCTGTGGCTTCGGAAACGGAGATGCATCCTAATGTCAGTCACAAGTAGTGGGGTAAAAGCAGCCTGGACAGCTTTACTTTACCTTACCATATGCTCTGCTGTCACGGTTCCACCCTGGGTAACACTCATTCCCAAAGAATTTGCTTCCTGTGAAGGATGAGGGCAGACTCTGAACTTCCTGGCAGGTCGGTCCTTCCTTCCTTCTTCCCTTCCTTCTTTCCTTCCTTCCTTCTTTCCCTTCCTTCCTTCCTTCTTTCTTTCCCTTCCTTCTTTCCTTCCCTTCCTTCCTTCCTTCCTTCCTTCTTCCCTTCCTTCCTTCCTTCCTTCCTTCCTTCCTTCTTTCCTTCCTTCCTTCCTTCCTTCCTTCCTTCTTTCCTTCCCTTCCTTCCTTCCTTCCTTCCTTCCTTCCTTCTTTCCTTCCTTCCCTTCCTTCCTTCCTTCTTCCCTTCCTTCCTTCCTTCCTTCCTTCCTTCCTTCCCTTCCTTCCCTTCCTTCTTTCCTTCCTTCCCTTCCTTCCTTCTTCCCTTCCCTTCCTTCCTTCCCTCCTTCCTTCCTTCCTTCCTTCCTTCCTTCCTTCCTTCCTCCCTCCCTTCCTTCCTTCCTTTCCTGCCTGCCTGCCTGCCTGCCTGCCTGCCTGCACCATATCTTGTTCCGACATAAAGGCTTTCAACAGTTTGTTTAGTGACCGTTCAAAGTTGCAATGCCAGGGAGAAAAGTGAGTTATGACCGTTTTTCAGCCTCACGACCTTTGTAGCATCCCCATGATCATGTGATCAAAACCCACAGGCTCGGCCACTGACTCGTACTTAGGACCGCTGCTGTGTGCTAAGGTCCTGTGATCCCCTTTTGCGATCTTTGTCACAAAAAGGGAACACATGATCCCCAGGTTACTGTGACCGTCATAATATGAGTCAAACGCCAAGCGTGGGGAAGCTGCAACGGTCGTAAGCGTGAAAAATGGTCATTGGTCACTTTTTTTCAGCGCCGTTTGTACCTTTGAACGGTTACAGACACTCTAGGTTTCCAGGCCCGGTTAATTTAAGACCGCACTAAAATAGGAAAGCGGTAGAGAAGCACAGAGGCTTCCTTTGCTCACGTCCAGCCAGCTACCACAACACACAAACACACTCCTCTTCGTATGGATCCCATTCTGTTTAGCAATCAGGCAACTTCCTGGCTGAGCCAGCTCAACCACCACAAAGGGTGTGAGGCACAAGGCCGCAAAGCATCTGTGTGATGCAACCGAAGAGGAAGGAGGACAAAGCCAGTGGAACAGCTTGCCTTCAGAAGGCGTGGGTGCTCCGTCGCTGGAGGCTTTTAAGACAAGACCGGACAGCCATTTGTCCGGAATGGTCTAGGGCCAGGGGTCTTCAAACTGGGCCCTTTTATGACTCGTGGACTTCAACTCCCAGAATTCCTCAGCCAACGTGCCTGGCTGAGGAATTCTGGGATGGATCTTCAAACTGGGCCCTTTTATGACTCGTGGACTTCAACTCCCAGAATTCCTGAGCCAGCCTGGCTCAGCTTGGAAACCTCCCTTGTCCCTCAGCATAGCTGGCTCAGGAATTCTGGGAGTTGAAGTCCACGAGTCTTAAAAGGGCCCCGTTTGAAGACCCCTGCTTTTTATGAAATAAATACAACGCTGTAAAATCAACCTAGCTAGAAAAGATTATTAAAATTATTAGAATTAATTGTTAATAGAATTAATCATATTGACAACATTGGAGGGAGGGGAATTGTCTGGAAAAATCTAGAACAGGGCTCTTCAGCGTGCCTGGCTGAGGAATTCTGGGAGTTGAAGTCCACAAGCCATAAAAGAGCCCAGTCTGAAGAGCCCTTATATAAGGTCTCCTGCGTGAGCAGGGGGCTGGACTAGAAGACCTCCAAGGTCCCTTCCAAATCTATTCTGATTGAACCTCCTGCTCAAGTTCTGACAGTGAAAACAATTACAGGCTGTCCTTGACTTACAACAGTTCTTTTAGTGACCGTTCGAAGTTACAGCCACACACCGACACAAGTGACTTGTGACCCTTTTTCACACTTAACGACCGTTGCAGCATCTCCATGGTCAGGTGACCCAAATTGGAAATTGACTCTTATTTATGACAGTTGCAGCGTCTCGGGGTGATGCGACCTTCCAGCAAGCAAAGTCAATGGGGAAGCCCGGATTCACTTAACAACTGAACAACTGCAGTGATTCACTTAACAGCCATGACAAGAAAGGTCATAAAATCAAGCAAAATTCCCTTAACAACGGTCTCACTTAGCAACAGAACAGGGACAACCTGTAATCAGGGGAACAACTTGCCTCCACAAGTTGTAGAGGCTTTTAAGAAGAGACTGGACAGCCACTTGTCTGAAATGGTATAGGGTCTCCTGCCCGAGCAGGGGGGTTGGACTAGATGACCTCCAAGGCCCCTTCCAGCTCTGGTATTCTGTTGTAAACTGCCTCTCCTTTCGCAAAATAACCCAGAGCCATCCGAGCAGGGAGGATGAAGAGCCTTGGGCAAGCTGTTCAAAAGGCAATTTTGCAACGGCTTCTTGCAGCATCGGTTTGTGTTGTGCGTTGGACGCTGGAGATCAAAAGGCTGAGGTGGCGTTCCTTGGTTGCTCCAGAAGATGTCTGGAGCTTCCTGAAATGAAGGTCAGGGAGCAAATGTCTGTGACTCTGCCTTGGAAGGTCAGGAAAGAAATTTAAAGGCAGGTGCAGGACAGGCAAAAGCCATCCAGAGGCCTTCTTCAGCACTTCGCTTGGGTAGATTTCACCTCCAAGCACCGCCATTTGGGTCCACTAACACAGGCGTCCCTAACCCCCTAGAAAGAGTACAGAGAAGACCAACAAAAATAACACAATAACACAGTTGGAAGGGACCTTGGAGGTCTTCTAGTCCAACCCCCTGTTCAAGTAGGAAGCCGAATGGCTGTCTAATCCAGGGGTAGGCCACCTTGGCTCTTTTATGACTGGTGGACTTCAACTCCCAGAATTCCCGAGCCAGCGTGGCTCAGCTTGGAAACCTCTCCCTTTCCCCTCAGCACGACTGGCTCAGGAATTCTGGGAGTTGAAGTCCACGAGTCCTAAAAGAGCCAAGGTTGCCTACCCCTGGGCTAGACTAACAAAGAAAAGGGCCAGAGGTGACATGACAGAAACGTTCCAATATTTGAGGGGTTGCCACGTAGAGCGGGGGGTTCCACCTATTCTCCAAAGCACCTGAAGGCAGGACAAGAAGCAGTGGGTGGAATCGAATCAAGAAGAGAACCAAGCTGGAACTAAGGAGAAATTTGTCTGAATGTCTGAATCAGGACACAGCTGGAAAGGACCTTGGGGGTCTTCTAGTCCAGCCCCTGCTCAAGCAGGAGATCCTATACCATTCCAGACAGGTGACTGTCCAGTCTCTTCTTAAAATCCTCCAGTGACAGAGCGCCCAACATTTCTGGTGGCAAGCTGTTCCAGTGGTTAATTGTCCTCACTGTTAGGAAGTTTCTCCTTAATTCTAGCTTGGATGCTGCAGCGATTGCAAATGTGAAAAAACAGTCATGTCACTTTTTCAGCGCTGTGGCAACCTCAAACGGTCGCTATACGAATGGTTGAAAGTCGAGAACTACCTGCCCTTCCCTCTTATCCAGTGTTATTCCTCCTGCCACGGGAGAAAGACCTGCCTTTCAGACTTGACCCAGTCGATCCATTTCTGAGCTGAAAATAGCTGTCCTGGCTGCCAGCTGACCAGCCCTAAGCTATTCCTGAATTAAGAATCTCAGGAAATGCCACGCTGGTTTCTGAATAATGTTTGCACAGCGGGCATTAGCCAGGATCCAAACAGAGGCAAGGCCACTCCTAATCCAGTTTGTTGTCCAGGGCTGGAGGGGGGGGAAAGAGAGGGAAAATGTCCAGGAAACAGCTGTTTTATTCTCTTTTGATATAAAGAAGAACGAGAGGCCGGATCTGTCCCTCCCTATTAGTGTCAAAAAGGAGCCACAATCAGAGACCACGAGGTGTGAAAGAAAAAAATGTGGCTCTTTCACATCCAGGCTCAGCAGTTGCTATCCTGGATCCAGTTTCCCGGGTTAGCTAGGCAGACGAGCGGGCTGTGCTAATAACCACGGTTCAGTTGCGACCTCAGCCCATCCCACCACAACACTGATTCTCACAGCATCTCAGCTGGATTCAAACATCTTTTGATGACACAGCCAAGTCAACTGGCATCCTGTTTTATCCTGGTTAGAGTCCCAAATAGAGATATTCCTCCAGAATTCCTGTTGCTAAGCAAGGAGGTGGTTAAGTGAATTGCGGCAATGTTTAGAATAGAATAGAATAGAATAGAATAGAATAGAAATATAGAATAGAATAGAGTAGAGTAGAGTAGAGTAGAGTAGAGTAGAGTAGAGTAGAGTAGAGTAGAGTAGAGTAGAGTAGAAAAAAATAGAATATGAATAGAATAGAATAGGACAGAACAGAATAGGAATAGAGTAGAGTAGAATAAAATAGAATAGAATATGAATAGAGTAGAGTAGAATAAAATAGAATATTAATATGAATAGAATAGAATAGAATAGAATAGAATAGAATAGAATAGAATAGAATAGAATAGAATAGAAGAATAGAAAATATGGAATGGAATAGAATAGAATAGAATAGAATAGAATAGAATAGAATAGAATAGAATGGTAGAATAGGTAATGAATTAATGGAATGGTAATGGTAATGGTAATGGGATGGAATGGAAGAGAAGAGAAGAGAAGAGAAGAGAATATAGAATATAGAATATAGAATATAGAATAGAATAGAATAGAATAGAATAGAATAGAATAGAATAGAATAGAATAGAATAGAATAGGAATAGAATAGAGAATGGATGAATAGAATAGAATAGAATAGAATAGAATAGAATAGAATAGAATAGGAATAGGAATAGAATAGAGAATAGAATAGAATAGAATAGAATAGAATAGAATAGAATAGAATAGAATAGGAATAGAATAGGAATAGGAATAGAACAGAACAGAGAATGGATGACCTCTCTCCACGGAACCGGTCCCTGGGGCCCAAAAGACTGGGGGCCTCTGCCCTACTGGATTTTACAGCCCATCATCCTCTTCCAGCAATAATTAGGAGATGCCAATCAGCAATCTGAAGAGACTAACAAGCACCCCCCCCACCTAGCAGCTGGTCCCATTGAACTCAATAGGTCTTAATTCCAATTAAATCAGCACCAGATTACACTGTGAGACGGAAGCCTAACTGGGGCAGATTTTCATTAAGCTGGAAGGGTGCAAATCCCGCTCAGCATGAGGACTGACGTATGTTTTACAAACCCACGTCAAAGGCTGCAAGTGCAAAATCAAAGCCACAGAAAACCCAGGGAGTCCTCGGCTTACGACCACAACTGAGCCCAAAATTTTTGTTGCTACGCAAGACATTTCTTAAGTGAGTTTTGCCCCACCTTCCTTGCCACAGTTGTAAAGTGAATCACCAAACACTTGTTAAATTAGTAGCAAGGTTGATTAAGGGGATACGGTTTCCCCCTTTGACGTTGTGTGTCAGAAGGTCGCAAAGGGAGATCACACAGCCCTGGGACACTGCAACCGTCATAAATGCGAGTCAGTTGCCGAGCGTCTGAATTTTGATTTTAGGTACAATTCTGCAACCATTGTATGAAAAATGGTCATCAGTCATTTTTTTCTGCGTTGTTGTAACTTCGAACGGTCACTAAATGCACTGTTGTAAGTCAACACTGTACAATAAAACACAGCCTGAAAAAAACCCAATTTTACCAGCAAACAACAGGGCTGAACTAAAAAGAAATGCAGAAGCATCATAAAATAGGATTATCTAATATTATTATAACTGCTGGCAGTAATGATGCTAACTAAGGCCACACACAGGCTTCTAAGGATGAACACAATCTCATGCACAGTTAATTAAAAGAAAATAACATACGGAAGCTTCACAACAGTTGTTCATCCAACTGCCTTCAGTGGTACAGAATCTGTTCCAAAATACCCATGCTTTATAATATTTTATAATATTTTCTTCCCTCTGGCTCCAACAGGCTGAACCTAACTTAGATTCACTCAGAGAGGCAAGAACATTAAAAAAAAAAAGTACAAATGACTAGGCAAAACATTCTATGCAAATCTGAAGCATTGCTATTAGGAATACTAGAGAAAAATGTAAATAAAGAGGACACATATTTAATTATTCACGTGGTCACGGCGGCAAGGATACTATTTGCTCAAAAGTGGAAAGCAACCGAGTAAGGAAGTACAAATAAAGAAAATTATGTATTGTGCAGAACTAGATAGGATAACTAAAAGATTAAAAAATCAGGAAGAAGCAGAATTTTATCGAATATGGAATAAATTTTATAGATGGAGGGGGAAAAAATGGAGGTCACAAATAAAGAGATAAGTTAAGATAGTTTGTATATAGATATATTATATGTAATTAATGTACAACATGGACTGAGATGTCAGTCAAAGATGATTTACCATGTTCAATGTTTTTAATCCTTTTTTTCTTTGTACTCAATAAAAACTTTATTAAAAAAAACAATACTGATGACTAGAAAGTTGAACGAATCGGTCAAAGATGCAAAATGGGGCAAAACTGCCTCTTTTTCCAGTCTCCCAGTCGAGGCATAAAGAGCATACTGGTTACAAATTTTGGGCATAACTGCAAGATGCCAGTTGGACAGGACTGCTTTATAGCAGTTTTCTCAACCTTTAAGATGTGTGGACTTCAACTCCCAGAAGTCCTCCGCCAGTCATGATAATTGGAGAATTCTGGGAGTTGAAGTCCACGTGTCTTATAGGTACTTGCAAGACTGGAAAACACTGTTTTATACGGTAGGATCCATTTTAATCAACTCTGGATATGATCTAACGAGCTGGGAATAAGCCAGATCGGTCAACTGTTATGCCCAAATAACCATATCACTTGGATGGTGAAATGGGCCGTGCAGACACACACACATATATATGCATGCCTGGATTCATCGCCCAAGAATTGATATCAAAACATTGCATCAGTGTGTCTTTAAGATGGCCAACTTCAACTCCCAGAATTCCCCAGTAAACATACTTTAAAAGGAATGGACTTCCAGCTAGCTGAATTCTGGGAGTTGAAGTCCACCCAGTTTAAAAGTTGCTAAGGTTGGGAAACTTAACTTGCATTAGTTATATAGACAGAATCTAAGCACAATTCAAGCATTCTTCCTGAAAACATGCTCACTACGGTTAGTTCATAGACCAGGCCAGGGGTAGGCAACCTTGGCTCTTTTATGACTCATGGACTTCAACTCCAGGCCTTCCTATCCTCTGCCATCTTCTGGAGTCCATTGACGCTCACGCCTGCTGCTTCAGTGACTCCATCCAGCCACCTCATTCTCTGTCGTCCCCTTCTTCTCTTGCCCTCCATCTTTCCCAGCATCAGGCTCTTCTCCAGTGAGTCCTTCCTTCTCGTTAGATGGCCAAAGTACTTGAGTTTCAACTTCAGGATCTGGCCTTCTAAAGAGCAGTCGGGGTTGATCTCCTGTAGGACTGACCGGTTTGAGTGCCTTGCAGTCCAGGGGACTCGTAGGAGTCTTCTCCAGCACCAGAGTTCAAAGGCCTCCATTCTTTGGCGCTCAGCATTTCTTATGGTCCAACTTTCACAGCCGTACATTGCAATCATTGCATTGAAAAATTTCTTTCTTTTTATCTCTTCCTTCCTTCTTTCCTTCCCTCCTAACCTTTCTTCTCCTCTTTCTTTCTTTACTTTCTCTCCTTCTTTCCTCCCTCTCTCCCATCTTTCTTTCTTTCTTTCTTTCTTTCTTTCTTTCTTTCTTTCTTTCTTTCTTTCTTTCTTTCTTTCTATCTCTTCCTTCCTTCCCTCCCACCCTTCCTTCTCCCTTTTTCTTTTTCTTTCTTTCTTTCTATATCTTTCTTCCTTCTTTCCTTCCCTCCTAATCTTCTTTCTTTCTTTCTTTCTTTCTTTCCTTTCTCTCCTTCCTTCCTTCCTTCTTCCCTCTCTCATCTTTTTCTTTCTTTCTTTCTTTCTTTCTTTCTTTCTTTCTTTCTTTCTTTCTTTTTCTTTCTTTTCCTTCCTTCCCTCCCACCCTTCCTTCTCCCTTTTTCTTTTTCTTTCTTTCTTTCTAACTCTTCCTTCTTTCCTTCCCTATCCTTCCTTCTCTTTCTTTCTTTCTTTACTATCTCTCCTTCCTTCCTCCCTCTCTCCCGTCTTTCTTTCTTCTTTTCCTTTCTTTTCTTTTCTTTCTTTTTGTAGACTTCAGCACCGCAAGATCCGCGCGTGCCAAACTCTCTGGCAACCCGGACAAAAAAGCGCATTGTGGTCATTCGGTCACTCCAGGAAAGCCGAGCGAGCGAGAGGGAGGGATCCTGCCCGCCCTGCCTACACTTGTAGCAAAGCCAGCCTGCCCCAGAGAGCCGACCTTGGCCGGGGAACCAGCCAGCCAGCCAGCCTGCCCACCCCAGCCCAGCCCAGCCCAGCCAACACTCGCCTCTCCTTCTCCAAAAGGCGCCCTCCCTTTGGAAAGCTCCCGGTGGAAAAGCTGGCCACAAGCGACCAGGACACGCCCCGGGGAGAGCAGCCCTGGAGCCCGGCCACAATTTCCTGCTTCTCCCTCCCGCACACCCCTTCCCCAATCCGATCCACACACCCCCCACGCGGGAGATCCCCTCCACCACAGCGCAGCAATCCCCGCCTGGGCTCCTCGCTCCGCGTTGCGCGTCTCCAAAATCGCGGTTGGGAGAAGTTGCCCAACGAGGGGAAAGAGAAGGGGAGCCGCCAGTCAGCGGGACCCCCCCATGTAGGAGACCCTCTCCCCGCTCTCGCTCTCCCCCCTTCCCTCCTGGCCCCCCCACCCCAGCCAGGATCGCCCCCTCCCAAGCGCGCCCGGGGACCCTCTCCAAGCCGGCCGTGCGCCCAGGGCGCGCCGTTGCGCACCTTGTAAACATCCCCGTAGGTGCCGGAGCCGATGCGCTGGATGAGCTCGTAGCGCAGCCGCGGGTCCTGCAGCGAGACGTCCCGCAAGGCGCTCATGGTCCTCGCCCAGCCGCCGAGCCAGGGCCGGACGGCGCAGCCGGGGCCAGCAGCGGCGGCCGAGGCGGGGAACGCGCCGCCTCCGGGGCGGAGAGGAACCGCAGCGGCAGGAAGGAAGCCGGGAGGAGCCGAGCGGCGCAAGCCCCGCCTGCAGCCCGCCCAGGGCTCTTCCTCCGCCTCGGAAGGCGGGCAGCGCGACGGAGAGTGCCTCTGGGCGCGTGCAGAGCGCTCCGCTACCCAGCGCCTTTACACGGGGTAGCCCCCGACTTACGACCCCAAGGGAGCCCAACAGTTCCGTCGCGTTTGTTAAGTGCATTCTGCCTCGTTTTGCGACCTGGGGGGGTGCCACAGTGGTTAAGTGAAATCGCTGCAGTTAGTCACCTGGTCGTTAAGTGAATCTGGCTTCAGTTCGTGACCTTTGCACGGCCTTTCTTGCCCCGGTTGTTAAGCGAATCACTGTGGTTAAATTAGTGGCTGGGTTAAGTGAATCTGGCTTCACTTCATGACCTTTGAATGGCCCTTCTTGCCCCGGTTGTTAAGCGAATCACTGCAGTTGTTAAATGAGTAACCTGGTTGTGTTCAGGGAATCCGGCTTGATTTAGCTTGTCAGAAGGTAGCAAAAGGGGAAATCACGTGATCCTGGGACACTGCAACCGTCCTAAGTACATGACAGTTGACAAGCGTCTGAATTTTGATCATCACGGAGAAGCTGCAACAGTTGTCAGTGTGAAAAACGGGCAAAAGTCACATTTTTCAGTCTAGCTTTGAATAATCACTAAAAAAAAACCCTCTTATAAATTGAGGACTATTTGGAATTTCCCTACCCGCTCCGGTTTCCTGCGTTGTTGACTCCCAGGAACAGCAAAACAATTGAGAATAAAAATTACAGATGTTCCTCGATTGACAATCCTTCGTTTAGCGACTTCAAAGTTGCAGTGGCAGTGAAAAAGGTGATTTACAACCAGTACCCACAACTTACAATGTCCCGGTCACGTGATCACTATTTGCGACTGTAGGAACGCAGCAGCAGCACACACACACCCCGAGAAAGAAATATTTTGGAGAATATTAAAAAGGCAGAATATTGGACTAAAAAGTTTCATTTAGCTTGCAAGTGAATTTTAGAGTATTATTATGAAATTATTAGTAGTATTAGTATTAGTATTGTTTAACTATTTGGGGACTGTATTGTTTAATAATTAGGATATTAATTTGTTTATGTTCTCATTATTATGTTCACTTTTAATTTGCTTATATTTATGTTAAAGGAGAGTTAAAGTGCATTATGGATTTGGTTATTTATATAGCTGGTAATGTTAGTTAGATTATGATTATCATATTTGTAACCTTGTATTCAGCTCTGGGAAGTGGGGGAGGGAGAGGGGGGTTTGGGGTGGGTTAATATTGTAATTTTTATAAAACTTTTTAATTAAAAAAAAAGGCAGATTATGTTTCCCCAAAGGAATAATGGAGCAAAGCTTAAAAGGCAAAATCTTCTCCCCTTCCCCCCACCCTGCCAAAAACTCAGCAGGCCAGCTCTGTAGAAATGCAGATTTGATAACCCCATTCGGGAAGACTGAGGCCCCCATTCGTGAGCAAATACTGCCTGCAGAAGCCAATTCAAGACAAGATCTTTCAAAATCCCTTGAAGCAAGATTCGATAACTAACAACAGCAGAATGATAGGATTAGAACCAGCAAAATCCAACACAGGACATAGCCGTCAGCCCCAGCCCCAGAGAAACAGGATATGACCTTTAGGACATAATAGGATTAACCCACCACCATCAGAATACCAAAAGGACACGCTCAAAAGCTCAGGTCAAAGTTCATGCCACAGGAACAGGAACAACTCCAAACACAAAAGCCCAAGAAAGTTTAAAAACCCACCACTCCCAGCTCCGTGTGGTCGGCTGCCCAAGAGTTGTGGTTCTGCTCTTCAATAAACAAGAACCGTCTTTCTAAAGCCACCTCCATTTTGTTTATTCCCGGCTTGGACTGGACCCTGATGAAGATTTTTCTTTCAACGCAACCTTCCAAAGTCAATGGGAGAAACCTGGATTTCCTTAACGATGCTGTAATTCACTTAACTGCAGTGATTTTGTTAACAACCGTAGCACTAACGGTCGTAAAACCATACACAACTCCGTAAACAACTGCTTTGCTTAATAGGGAAAATTGTGGTCGTAAGTCAAGGACAGCTTGTACTGAGATATGGGGGCGTTGATAAGATTTAAGACATCTTTTAAACGGAGAGACTTTGTTGAATTTTCTCTCTAATATCACCACCCCAATCCATTCAGTTCACTGCTGAGTGACAAAATCGTATTTCATACCGAAACTGTTTCTGTTGCGTGCACATCCTGTTTGTTCTTCGCGTCAACCCTGTATTTGGACACGTGCAGAGGCTGCTAAGCTAGTTGTCAATCTGGATTAAAAAAAAAAATCTGGTCGGCTTCATGTTAAGGACTTCCCAGTTTTGCAAATCAAACTAGAACTTGTTCTGCAGAGCAGAGTTTAGGACAGCATGAACCGGAAAAGAAATATTTCACTGTAGCCTAGGCATGAATTGCATGGCTGGCTAATTTATCACCGCTGCTGTTTGTTTTGCAAGCATTTTCTGCTGCATCTCAGCCTGCCATCCAGATAGGATGAAATAAAGATGACTAATACAAAACAAAAAATAAAAAAAACAAGGATCCTAGTTAGGAGCAGGCCCCCATTACAGAAGCAATGGCTGTAGCTATTTATTTTATTACCCTTAAATTAGCATCAGCTCCCAGCAAGCACTGGAGGAGGAGAATGGTGCTAAGTCTATGTCAGCCAAAAATCCAGAGCCTTTTTTTGTGGTTTTTTTTTGGGGGGGGACAAATATATATTTACTTAAGGCTTCTGTGAGCTGCAGTGATTTTCACCAGATGCAGCGGACTCCTGGTTTTTGGTCCAGTAGGATTTGAATTCTCAGAAGCCGTTTGGGATTCAAAACAGCTCAAAATCCACTCTCAGAATGATTCAGGCCTAAGCCCCAGCTGCGTTCTCAGATCTTGAATGCATGCACATTTTTAGAGCAATGATTCTCAAATTTGTGGTCCAGGGGTCATGATGTTGTCACGGGGGGGGGGGCGGGGGTGAGATCTGCGAAGGCTTGAAGAAATGTTGATTTAAATCTTGAGATAAGTCGTGGGGATCTGTGGGTACAAGAAGTATTTAAAGGGGGTCCGTGGTTAAGAAAAGATTGAGCACCATTGCTTTAGAGCAGGGGTCTTCAAACTTGGCCCTTTTATGACTTGTGGACTTCAACTCCCACAATTCCTCAGCCAGGCACGCTGGCTGATGAATTCTGGGAGTTGAAGTCCACAAGTCAAGGGGCCATAGTTCCCCCATGCTGGCTGAGGAATTCTGGGAGTTGAAGTCACAAGTCATAAAAGAGCCAAGTTTGAAGACCCCCACTTTAGAGTATAATTGGGTGGGGTTTGGCCTATTAATGGATCCCTAATCTAACCATGCTACATGAAGCCGCACATCATGCTCAATCTGGTTCTTTCCTTGGCTATCATAGGACTATTTTATCACTTTAATCTGGTTTGAGATTAAGCAGACAGCTATTCTTCAATTTAACAACCATATTATTATAAATACACGTCAGTTGCCAAGCGCCGGAATTTTGATCACGTGATCTCAGCAGGGATGGATGCTGGGATGGCCATAATGTGAGGACCACTTTTTCAGCCCCATCGTAACTTCAAATGATGGTTGAAATGAATGACTTTAAGTCAAGGCCTACCTGCATTGCATCAGCTTAAGTGTTTTTCTCTTGGTACCTTGTGTGTTTCACATTATGCTTTCCTTTCATATGTTTCTCTATTTGTTTTAATTGCACTAGCACAGAAATATGTTTAACAAATAATTTCAAACGAATAGGGCTATGGGGAGGAAAATAGCCATACAGGCAATCCTCAAGTTACAACTCAAAATTCCTAATCGCTAAGCAAGACAGGCAGTAAGCGAGTTTTGTCCCAGTTTCTCGCCACAGTTGTTAAGGGAATCACTGCAGTTGTTAAGAACACGGTTGCTAAGTCAACCTGCCTTCCCCAGTGACTTTGTCAGAAGTTTCCAAAAGGGGATCGTGCGTTCATAGGACACTGCAACTGTCATAAATATGAATCAGTTGCCAAGTGTCTCAATTTTGATCACGTGACCCATGCTGAAACCATGGTAAGTGTGAAAAGAGTCAAAAGTCACTTTTTTTCAGTGTCGTAACTTTGGACGGACACTAAATGAATTGTTGTAAACTAATTCAAACGCTTGAATTAGAGGGATTATTGAATTAGAGCGAAGTATTAATACCACTTTACAATGCCTTGGTAAGGCCACACTTGGAATGCTGCATCCAGTATTTGGTCACCACGATGTAAAAAAGATGCTGAGACTCTAGAAAGAGTACAGAGAAGAGCAACAAAGATGATCAGGGGACTGGAGGCTAAAACATACAAAGAACGGTTGCAGGAATTGGGTATGTCTAGTTTAATGAAGGATGAGGGGGGACAGGATAGCAGTCTTCCAATATCTCAGGGGCTGCCCCAAAGAAGAGGGAGTCAAGCTATTCTCCAAAGCGCCTGAAGGCAGAACAAGAAGCAACGGATGGAAACTAATCAAGGAAAGAAGCAACCTAGAACTAAGGAGAAACTTCCTGACAGTTAGAACAATTAACCAGTGGAACAACCTGCCTCCAGAAGTGGTGAATGCTCCAACACTGGAAGTTTTTAAGAAGAGCTGGACGGCCATTTGTCCGAAATGGTACAGGATTTCCTGCCTGAGCAGGGGGTTGAACTAGATGACCTCCAAGGTCCCTTCCAACTTTATTATTGTTGTTGCTGTTGTTGTTATTGTTTTGTTGGTTATCCTGGTGCTGAACAGAATACAAAGAAACTGAAGGTTAATTTAGTACTGCGTACCCAAATCCCCGCCATGTAGAAAAGTAAAACAGTGAGGAAATTTTACATATTATAATTTCATAGGTAATCGACACGTCAGGTGGCTGTAACCTCCATGACAAATGTAGGCCCCTTGTTCATTGATTTTCACCTTAAAATGTTTTTTTTTTCTCTGTCTGGTTTGTACTGAATTCTTCCTTTAAAATCTTTTGCAGAAATGAAACCGGTTTTGCAAATATTGCTTCGAAGGCTGGAGAATGACCTATTTCTATTTTCATCCTACCCAGACTATGATGTTGATTTGTGCAACGGGGAATAAAAACGTTGTCCATTCACCTCTCTTCCCTCCCCTAGAACTGCTGACATCAGCCCCAAAAATTTGAGCAGGGAGAGGCCGCAAGGCTGGATGTCAAACGGGGAATCGTTTCCAAAACCAAAACCTAGTTAGTTTGCTCCTTTAAAAGGAGTTGTGCCATAGAGTCAACGGATGAATATTTTAAACCGTGCTGGACTCGGCTATTTTCAGAGGTTTCATAAAGGTTTGTGATAGCGTCAGCGATCTTTCGATCGTCCAGAGATGCATTTAATGGCCTTTGCATCGACAAAGCCATGGGAAGAAGGTTGTATAACTCGCGTACTGTATGTCTTCTTTTAATTAGGTTTATCTTTTTAAGTGGGAAAAGGGAAGCTTTGAATTTTTAAATTGTTTTTCAGGTTCAGCTCCCCCTTTTGAAACGGAAGAGGGGGGATATAATTTGGTGGCACAGTAACTGGGGGGGGGGCTCCAGACTGCCACATCTTGTCTTAATAAAAGGATACAGCAAAGCTAAGAGATTTAATTTTCCCAGACAGCAATAAAAAGAATCTCCTTTACTCAAGAAATGGGGGCCAAGGGCTGCCTGGGGCAGGAAGGGAAGTCCTGGAATGTTTGACATGTTCCATTGCTGACAAGCCACAAGTAGGAACTTGGATCTCCCCTCAAAGGAACCAAGATTATAGCAGTCCTTGAGTTACGACCACAATTGATCCATTTTTTTCCCTTTGCTGAGCAAGACAGTTGTTAAGCGGGTTTTACTCCATTTTACAGCCTTTCTTGCCACAGCTGTTTAATAATAATAATAATAAATAATAGTAAAGTTAGAAGGTGCCTTGGAGGTCATCTAGTCCAACCCCCTGCTCAGGCAGGAAACCCTACACCATTTCAGACAAATGGCTGTCCAGTCTCTTCTTTAAAACTTCCAGTGTTGGGAGCATTCACCGCTTCTGGAGGCAGGTTGTTCCACTGGTTAATTGTTCTGTCAGGAAGTTTCTCCTTAGTTCTAGATTGCTTCTCTCCTTGGTTAGTTTCCATCCATTCCTTCTTCTCCTGCCTTCAGGCGCTTTGGAGAATAGCTTGACTCCCTTCCTCTTCTTTGGGGCAGCCCTTGAGATACTGGAAGACTGCTATCATGTCCCCCCTCATCCTTCTTTTCTCTAGACTGGTCATTCCCAAATCCTGCAACCATTCTTCATATGTTTTAGTCTCCAGGCTTTTAATCATCTTTGTTGCTCTTCTCTGCACTTTCTAGAGTCTCAACATCTTTTTTACATCGTGGTGACCAAAACTGGATGCAGTATTCCAAGTGTGGCCTTACCAAGGCCTTGTAAAGTGGTATTAATACTTCATGTGATCTTCTATCCCTCTATTAATGCAGCCCAGCACTGTGTTGGTTTTTGGCAGCTGCAGCACACGGCTGGCTCCTATTTAAGTGATTGTCCACTAGTACTCCGAGGTCCCTCTCACAGTTGCTACTATTGAGCAAGGTACCCCCGATACTAGGGGTAGGCAACCTCGGCTCTTTTATGACTCATGGACTTCAACTCCCAGAATTCCATAGCTGACTCAGGAATTCTGGGAGTTGAAGTCCATGAATCATAAAAGAGCTGAGGTTGCCTACCCCTGCCCTATACTATACCTGTACATTTGGTTTTTCTTGCCTAAATGTAGAACCTTGCTTTTTTTCACCATTGAGTGAATCACTGCAATTGTTAAGTGACTCACAAAGTTGTAAAGTGAATCCAGCTTCCCCAGTGACTCTACTCATCAGATGGTCATAAAAGGGGACGTGACCCCGGGACATTGCAATCGTCATAAATATGAGTCAGTCTGAATTTTCGTCATGTGATCATAAATGTGAAAAACGATCACAAGTCACATTTTTCAGTGCTGTTGTAACTTTGAACAGTCCACTAAATGAACTGTTGTAAATCGAGGACTGCCTGTACTTTGGATCCCTATTTCTGACCCAGAATCCAAGTCTATTTTCCTGCTGGCTTTGATTCACTGTAAAAAGAAAAACCAGCACAGATTCAGAAGATCAAGGACCACAAGAGACATTTTCCTCTGTGTAACAAAAGAGAACCTTAAAAATTTATTAATTTTGTCTCCGCAAACTTGTACAAAAATTTCTTACTTATCACTTATACTAGTGCAGACCGAAAGCTCCGGCTCAGATCTTTTGGACATGATCGTTTTTTTATCATTGATAAAAGATAACCTTTGTGTGGTGATCACCCCAGGATTGTTTTTTTTTTAAAATAGTTAAGCCATCACTCGGGAAGATTTTTTTCACTGTTGTGTGCTTGCCACTAGTTTCATTTTGTTTATCCCTTTTCTGTAGCTGATCTTACACTGGTAGTGTAGTTTGTTACAACATTAATGCCACATGTTTGTTTTTAAATTTTTTTAAAAATGCTGTTTTTTGATATTCAGCCGTGTTAGGATCTTCAATTGTTCGTTAAAAAAAAGGATTCAAAGTCCCTGGTCATTGCAAACACGAAATTATCCCACCTCCCGCTTGCAAATATGAGACGAAAAGAGAAAGACGGGTAAAAAATGCCCAAGAAGTCTCTTTGTACACAGTGCGATGTCATTTAAAGTCTCCGGGTTTTTTCTGTCCCTTCTCCACAACCTTCAGAGTGTTATGTTTTATTTCTGGAGCCCTTAAAATTAAGCTCTCCCTGGCATGAGCTAAATCCACCTTTAAAAGCTCAATTTCCAAGCAAGGTTTGGAAACGTTGGCCGAGGGGAAAATTGGAAGAAGAGAGGAAACTGAGCAAACATTTGCCAAGAAATCGGAAAGTTTCTCGTCCAGAATCAAAGAGACTTCCGGGGCCTTTTGAGAAAGGACAGGGCGTATGTTCGGGGCGCAGAAATCTTCTGCTTTTTCAGCTGGACTTGTGACTGGGCCGTGAGCTGCAGCTTGATGGCACTCGAGTTGATCTTGGCGGCCACCAGGAGTTCCTTCATCCCTTTCATTTTCTCGCTCTGAAAGGTGAGGACGGGGCCTTCGGGGCGGGGGCTGGAGCCGCTGCTGAGACCCTCCTCCTTCTCCGGAAGCGGCCGGTCGGATCGCTGGGTGGTGCTCGGGCGCCGGCGTTCTGTGGCCTTCTTGGCCAGGGGCGGCTCTTCCGGCTTGGATTCTCGCCGGGGACCCCGACGTCGGCCTTCTCGGGGATCCTCACTCCCTTGGTCGTCGTCATCGTTCGCATCCAGGTCCCGGCTGACCAGGGTCACCTTCTGCCGCACCTGGAAGAACAAGGGAGGTCCTGGCAACGATCTGGGGGGCTGTGTTTGTCAACGTTGGCACTTTAAAGAGGTGTGGATTTCAACTCCCAGAATTCCCCAGCCAGCATGCGTTAAGACCCTCAGGGCACGGATCTCTATGGCGCCACGGCCTGCTTGAATCTGGCCCGTGGGAGGTAGGCAAGCGTGCGCACGTAAAGCTCCACTTGTGTGAGGGAAGGAAGCTCACACTTGCGTGGGAAGTGTCGCACGTGAGCGCCTCTGCTTGTGCGAGCTTTGTGCCTGCCACTCGCACGAGTGGATCTTTGTGCAAAAGTGTAAGCACCCTCTGCTCACATGCAAAGCTCCATTCATGAGAGTGGATGGCACGTGTGCCCACCGCTTACACAAGCGGAACGGTGCGTGCGTGCCTGTCACTCACTCCCGCTGGGCCGGGCCGCCAAGCTGGAAAGGTTGAGGACCGCTGCTTTAAGAGGCCTGCATTTGGACTCCCAGAATCCCTCAGTCAGCATGCTGCTTGTGGAATTCTGGGAACTGAAGTCCACCTCTCTTAAAGCTGCCAAGGTTGAGAAACACTGATCTAGCCCACACAAAAACATCTCCCACGCCATGCATTCTTCAAATTCCTAGATTAATTTATTCATTGGTAAGTGCATCCTGTTTTTCAAATGCAAATCAGCCTTGTTATTTCAGCTCGTGCGTAACCCTCTGTGTTGTATTTTATATTGTGCAATTGCTTGGAAGACGTTGGGATAGTATTACCCCATCTCCCCGGGGTTCAAAATCTCCAGAAATGCTGATTGCAGTTGTGGGAACAGAGAGAGAAAGAGGCGGAGAAACGGGAGAGAAAATACTACAGATAGTCTTCAACTTACAAGCATTCTTATAGTGACCGTTCCAAGTTACAACGGCACTGCTGGCTAGGGAATTCTGGGAGTTGAAGTCCTCCCATCTTAAAGCATCCTGGCTGGGGAATTCTGGGAGCGGAAGTCCACCCATCTTAAAGCATGCTGGCTGGGGAATTCTGGGAGCGGAAGTACACCCCTCTTAAAGCATGCTGGCTGGGGAATTCTGGGAGTTGTAGTTCAGACATCTTAAAGCATGCTGGCTGGGGAATTCTGGGGGTTGAAGTCCAGTCATCTTAATGCATGCTGGCTGGGGAATTCTGGGAGTTGTAGTTCAGACAACTTAAAGCATGCTCGCTGGGGAATTCTGGGAGTTGTAGTTCAGACATCTTAAAGCATGCTGGCTGGGGAATTCTGGGGGTTGAAGTCCAGTCATCTTAATGCATGCTGGCTGGGGAATTCTGGGAGTTGTAGTTCAGACATCTTAAAGCATGCTGGGTGGGGAATTCTGGGAGTTGAAGTCCACCCCTCTTAAAGCAAGCTGGGTGGGGAATTCTGGGAGTTGTAGTTCAGACATCTTAAAGCATGGCGGCTGGGGAATTCTTGGGAATTGTACTTCAGACATCTGAAAAGTTCCCAAGGGTGGAAACACTACTCTACAGTTTTCCTCAGCTGAATGCAGGACAACCATCCTACCCTGGGAGAATACAACAGTTCCAATCCCAGTGCCCCCCCCTCTGAGACCACCACAAAGCCCTTTTGCACCTATAACTTGTTTCTTAAAACGACTTTGTACTAGACCACATTTCCCTCCGCCCCCAAAGCTTCCACCCCTGCCAACTCTATATCTCCAGCCCTCTCTGTGCCGAGGCCGACATCTCACCGTCCCATCAAAGCGGCTCAGCGACTGGACCAGGAAGGTGGCCCAGCCGACATGCAGGACCGGTGTGGGGCTGCCCTCTTCCCATTTGCAGATGCCGTCGTAGAAGCGCAGAAGGTGGGCAAAGCACTCGGGGTCCTGCAACGCCGATCCGCCCGTTTGAGACGGCGAAGCCTAAAGAAAAGGCAGGAAAGGTCAGACTCTTCCGTAGTGGGATTATACTGGCAAAGACAGTTAAACATAGAATAATAGAATTAGAAGGGACCTTGGAGGTCATCTAGTCCAACCGCTTGCTTGAGCAGGAGGAGATCTTACACCATTTCAGACAAATGGTTTCCCAGTCTGTTTTTAAAAGCCTCAAGTGATGGGGCACCTACAACTTCTGGAGGCAAGCTGTTCCACTGGTTCTCACTGTCAGGAAATTTCTCCTTAATTCCAGGTTGCTTCTCTCCTTGATTAGTTTCCACCCGTTGCTTCTTGTCCTGCCTTCAGGTGCTTTGGAAAATAGTTTGACCCCCTCTTCCTTGTGGCAGCCCCTCAAGTAATAAAACGCTGCTATCATGTCAACTCTAGTCTTTCTTTTTATTAGACTAGATCAGGGGTCCCCAACCGCCGGTCTGTGGATCAGTACCGGGCCACGGTATGCCAGCAACCGGTCCGCACAAACAAGCAAAGCCCCATCCGTGGGATGCAGGCAGCACACAAAACCACACACCCTCCGGTCCGTGGAAAAACCAGCCAGTCTGCCGTTACCACTGCAGCCACGCCCACCCAATGGGCCACACCCACCCGGCACCCGACGATGCATAAGTGGGTTTTGGGTTGCAGTTTGAGCACTTGTCTCTAAAAGGTTCGCCATCACTGGTTTAAACGATGGTTCAAAGTTATGACAGCACTGAAAACAGCGACGTATGTCCCTGCACCAGTCCCAGGGTCAAGCGATTGCAATCTGGACACTTGGCAACCGGTCTGCATTGATGACGGTTGCAATGTCCTGGTGTGGTCACAATTTGCAATCTTCCCAGCGTGGTCTCTCACAAGCAAAGTCCTTGGGAGGCTGGACAGAGTTAAGAAACCATGTCGCCAACTTAACCACCACACTGATTCCCTTAACAACTGCGGCCATAAGATCCTAAGAAGGGGCAAAACTCCCGTGTCAACTGTCTCGCTTAGCAACGGAAAGGTTGGGCTCCGCGGGGGTCGAGGACTACCTGCCTTTATGGCAATTGTTGATTGTGTAGCGTTATTGTGATTGTGTCACTGACCTCTCCTTTCTCCCCAGCTCCCTTGTCTTCGGCGGAGTCCGCCAGGCTGGCCACCTCTTTGAGCAAATTGGGAATAATGTCGTTGGCCACGTCAAAGAATTCCTTATAAATCTCTTCATCTTCTCGGCAGTAGTTGTAACTGCAGAGAGGAAGGGGGGGAAAAAATACACACAGAGAAAACACGATTAAAAGTCCTGTTAAGTCTTCCTTAAAAACAAAGGAGGACTTGCCCAGACTATAGGAGCGGCTGGTTGATCTTCCAAGACAGGGATCCTCAAACGTGGCCCCTTTAAGACTTGTGGACTTCAACTCCCAGAATTCCCCAGCCAGCATGATTAGTAGAATATATATGTGAAATAATGTATCTTTTGAAATAATACGCTTATTTTATGTATGATAACGACCTTGTAATGGAATGAGAATAAGAAAATGGATTGTGATAATGGAAGACATGGTATTAGTAAATGAGGAGCTAGTAGAATTAAAAATAGAATATGTTTAGGAATTATGAGAATGTAATTGTGGGAATAATAGCGACATAAATCTTGGGCTCAATTGTGGTCGTAAGTCAAGGACGACCTGCGATGATTCCCATTTGGACAGACCTCCCACAACAGAATTCTTTCTGGCTATGCCAGTTCTGAATTTGCCTTTATTGGAAAAAGTAAAGCTGTTTTTTTTTTCTTTCTTAATTTTCTCAATTAATTTTTCTTCATTCCCTTCCTTCGGTGGGAAAAAAGGACTTTGAAAGGAACTTACTCTTGGATCACAGTGGCCGAGTCAGCCCACGCCTCTAGCGCTTCCTTCACATTTTTGTTACGGCAGTGATAGCTGGCCAAGTAGATGTAGGGATAAATGTGCTCGTTGTGATAATACTGCTTGGCTGAGCTGATCCCCTAGCAGGAGACAAGGGGGGGGGAATTAAAAGGGGGGCAAAATCAGAGGTGGCTAAATTGACTGTTTTGATAAATAATAATAATAACAAAACAAATAATAATAGTAATAGTAATAGTAATAATAACAAAGTTGAAAGGGACCTTGGAGGTCATCTGGTCCAACCCCCTTCTCAGGCAGGAGACCCTATACCAGGGATAGGCAACCTTGGCTCTTTTATGACTCGTGGACTTCAGCTCCCAGAATTCCTGAGTCAGCATGGGTGACTCAGGAATTCTGGGAGTTGAAGTCCATGAGTCATAAAAGAGCCGAGGTTGCCTACCCCTGCCCTATACCATTTCAGACAAATGGATGTCCAGTCTCTTCTTAAAAACTTCCAGTGTTGGAGCGTTCACCGCTTCTGGAGGCAAGGAGTTCCACTGGTTAATTGTTCTAACTGTCAGGAAGTTTCTCCTTAGTTCTAGGTTGCTTCTCTCCTTATTTAGTTTCCATCCGTTGCATCTTGTCCTGCCTTCAGGCGCTTTGGAGAATAGCTTGACTTCCTCTTCTTTGGGGCGCCCCCTGAGATACTGGAACGCTGCTGTCATGTCCCCCCTCGTCCTTCTCTTCGTTAAACTAGACCTTCCCAATTCCAGCAACCGTTCCTTATATGCTTTAGCCTCCAGTCCCCTGATCATCTTTGTTGCTTTGCTGTTATTTACCTGGTGGTAAATACAGAGGGGGTCAGGACGGCCCAGCGTGGGTTCCAGCTCCTCCAGATCAGCCAGGTTCCCCAAAGCCATGGGATACCTGCAAGGAGAAGGAGAATCCCTAGAGCAGATGCGAACCTCAAAGCAATTCCAGCCATCCTTGGCCAGCCTCTTCCCTGGCCGTCTTGTTTTTTTAAAGATGGCACCATCATCGCAAGCAGATCTCAAATCAACCGCCAGGAGATACAAGAGGGGGGATCAATTCCACCTGTCCAACCAGCAGAGATGAAGGCGTCCCAACTGCAGGGATGCGACGTGTTCTATCAGAATCAAGCTATGGGAACTTGGTGCTCGCTGAGCTTGGTGGTTTTCTTGCAGGCTTTAATTACCCAAGTAAATAAGATCACCAGTGCCAGAAGGGAGTGGGGTTTGTTTCTCTTCTAGCACTGATGATGTACCCTAGCTGGATCATGAAACGTCTGCAAGAAAACAACCAAGTTCAGAGAGGAATAGAATAGAATAGAATAGAATAGAATAGAATAGAATAATAATAATAATGAATAGAATAGAATTAGTAAAAGTAGGAATAGAATAGAAGTACAATAAGAATAGAATAGAATAGAATTAGAATAGAATAAGAATAGAATAGAATAGAGAATACAGAAAGAATAGAATAGAATAGAGAAAGAATAGAATAGAGAAAGAATAGAATAGAATAGAGAAAGAATAGAATAGAACAGAATAGAGAATACAGAAAGAATAGAATACTATAGAATAGAATAGAATAGAATTAGAATTAGTAATAATAGGAATAGAATAGAAGTACAATAAGAATAGAAGTACAATAAGAATAGAATAGAATAGAATAGAAGTACAATAAGAATAGGATAGGATAGGATAGGATAGGATAAACCTTTTGTCACTTTAAATGTACTCTAATTGGCATACACTAGCACATCACCCTTAGCTTCAGAAATTCTCCTCTATTAATATCAGACAAACAATCAAGCAGAAAACTTTACCCCAATCAAGAACCCCACTCCCCAACCACCACTCCAGGCAAACTACTGTATATAAACAGAGAGCAAACCCCCCCTCCCTCCTAGCACTGATGATGTTACCTAGCTGGGTCACAAAACGTCTGCAGGAAAACCACCAAGCTCAGAGAACCCCAAGGACCCCACAGTCCTTTTCCTCCTCCCCCTCCCCCCTCTTCAAACTCCCCTCCCTTCTAGCACTGATGACGTTACCTAGTTGGGTCATAAAACGTCTGCCAGAAAACCACCAAGCTCAGAGAGCATCAAGGAGCCCAGCTATAAATGTTTCTCTTCTATCAAGTCTCACGCTACTTAACAGAATAATGAAGTTGGAAGGAACCCTGGAGGTCTTCTAGTCCAACCCCGTTTTGGTCGCTCATCCAGGCAAAATCAGGGCAGGCCCCTATATGAAGGGGAACTACTTACCTCTCCAAATGCTGCATGTCGTAGAGGACCCATAATAGTTTCTGCAAAGAACAGAGGGACGAGAGGTGAGGGTCGGGGGGGGGGGCGCTTGGGATTTTGCCCCTCCCACAAAACCATCCCCTCTTTCCCCCCCTCCCCATCTCCGGGCCACCAACCTGGAAGCGTTGGGAAACTCTGAATTAATTCTATTTTTAAGAAGCAGAAGTACTTATTTTTTTAAAAAAGTAGTTCTCTTTTTACATCAGCAGACTCTTGCAAACAGGACAGTACGCTCCTCGGTCACCCTTTTTTACAAGCAGTTCTCAGCTTACAACCGTTTGTTTAGTGACCGTTCAAAGTTACAACGGCACTGAAAAAAAGTGACTTACAACCAGTCCTCAGACATACGACATTGGAGCATCCCCAGGGTCATGTGATGAAACTTCCAGCCCCCTGACCAGTTGAAGTGGACTTCAACTCCCAGAATTCTCCAGCTAGCCATGCATTAAGATGTCTGAACTACAATTCCCAGAATTCTCCAGCCAGCATGCTTTAAGGGTGGACTTCCACTCCCACCAGCATCTTTTAAGATGGGTAGACTTCCATTCCCAGAATCCCCCAGCATGCTTTAATTCTGGAAGGTGAAGTCCACCTGTCTTAAAGCTGCCATGGTTGAGAGACACTGCCCTACACCATTAAGCCCCCCCCCAAAGATGAGGACGGCTTAGAAGAGACGGGTATGATGGCCACGTCACAAGGGGGTGGACTGGAGGACCTTCCCTTGCCCAATCAAGCCTCAAGCGAGACCTGTGCTTTGCTCACCTGCTGGAGCTGCAACAGCTCCAGGCTGTCAGAGTGCAGGTCGATGGAGGGGTTGATGGCACAAACCATGAAAGCAACCTCCATTGGCCTAGTGCAACGCAGGTAGGATCCCTTCAGGTACAGCCAACTCTGCAAAGAGAGGAGGAAGATTTGAAGCTGGAATCAGTGCTTGGTTTACTTGCAGAAGAATGATTGACACATCCAAGTTTCCTATGCCGATTTTCTCCCCAAATCAAAGTCTGGTGGGGAAGGCATCAGACTAGAAACCAGGAGACCGTAAGTTCTAGTCCTGCCTTAGGATGAAAGCTGCTGGGTGACTTTGGGACAATCACCAGGAGACGGTGAATTCTAGTTCCACCAAAGACCTGAAAGTTGGCTAGATGACTTTGGGCCAATCACCAGGAGACGGTGTGTTCTAGTCCCGCCTTAGGCATGAAAGCCGGCTGGGCGACTTTGGGACAATCACCAGGAGACGGTGAGTTCTAGTCCCGCCTTAGCACTAGCTGGGTGACTCTGAGCCAGTCACTTACTCTCAGCCCAACCCACCTCATAGGGTTGCAGTGGAGAAATTAGCAGGAGGCAGGACTAGTAGGTATGCTTGTTGCCTTGAATGATTTATGAAATAATGAAGGTGGGATTAAAAAAAACCTAATAAACTAAAGTAGCCAAGTAACTTCAATACACCTCAGCAATTCTGGAGAATAGAATTAGAATAGAATGAATAAGAATAGAATAAGAATAGAATAGAATAGAACAGAATTACAGAATAGAATAGAATAGAAATACAGAAAGAATAGAATAGAATTACAGAATAGAAATACAGAAAGAATAGAATAGAATTACAGAATAGAATAGAAATACAGAAAGAATAGAATAGAATTACAGAATAGAATAGAATAGGAAATGGGAATGGAAATAGGAGTAGAATAGAATACAGAAGGAGAATATAACAGATAATAGAATAACTTTTTCACTTTAAATGTACATTAATACCCTAAAATGAGATTCCACTGCACACAGCTCTCAAAGGGGAACCACCTCCAATATATACAATATAATAAGGACAGAAAGAAATCCTGGCATGGACTTTTCAGTGAGCAATGCAAGCAAAGCTCCAACCCAGAACAGCAGCCCTTTTTCGTTACCCGTTCAGCTACACCCGAGTTGACCGTCTGCCCACGCCGGTCCTCGTTGCCTTTCCCATGCCACGTGACCTCAGCCGTCTGCTCCCCGTCCTTGCCGAACACGACCCACGCGTGGTCCTCCGAGAGGGCCAGGTGCACGTCGTAGAGCCCCAGCGCCTGGCAGGCTCCGACCACCGCAAAAGCCACTCCAGAGCTGTCTAACTTGGTCCCTGAGCCGGAGGAAAAATTAAACCAACTTTAGACAGACATTTTGAACAAACCTTTCCTTCAATTTATACCAGCGGTTCTCCACCTGTGGGTCGGGACCCCATTTGGGGTCGAAGGACCATTTCACGGGGGTCGCCAAACAACGCAGTCCGCCATTTTTTCCCCCCTTTTCCTTAGCTGTGCTCCTCCCTTTGATTCTATTGGCTTTTGAAAGCCAATAGAATAGACTCTCTTGAATAGAGTCTCATTCTATTGGCTTTCCAAAGCCAGTAGGAATTGTCCGGGCTGTCTCTGCCCTGCTGAGCCTGCCAAAAGCCCCATTCTGCAAATGGTTCTGCACCGGTTGAGTAGTCCTCGACTTACGACCGGTTGAGTAGTCCTCGACTTACGACCGGTTGGGGGGTCGCGGCATTAAAAAGGTTGAGAACCACTGATTTATACCCCCACTGCTCTCTGCATAAACCAAACTTGGCAACTTCAACTCCCAGTCATAAAGCGGGAAGGTCTTCTCCTTCTCCCCCTGTGCGCCCCCCCCGTGCCAGTACGGAGCCCCCACCTGTGATGAAGCTGAAGAGCGACTGGATGTGGGCTCGGTCCTTGAAGTAAGAACGGCTCAGGCTGTTCCAGATGACGTCCGAGACTTTCTTGACCAGTTCCCGGGAGGAGTAACCGTCCGGCCGGGGGTACAGCGAGAGATCCACGGCGCCTCGGATCTGGGCGGTGAAGCGGGCATGCAGGGCGCCCACGATGCTCAAGTCGGCCACGGGGAAGTAGGTCAGGTTTTCGGGACCCTGGACCGGCTCGAAGCTGATGCCCGGCACGTTGGTGGGGAGGACCCGGTTGACGGCCAGGAAGTGCTCCACGAAGCCCAGCACCAGCGAGAGGAGCACCAGGTCCGGCTGCTCCCGGTGAAGCTCCAGCGCGAAGAGGCGCACCACATCGGAGACGGAGCGCAGGGGGAACAAAGCCTTCTGGGCACTCTTCAGCCCCATGGCCAGCGCAGGCCTGCAAGGCGAGAAAGAGATGAGGGACGCTGAAGGCAAGGAGGGCAAGAGAAGGCCCCATCATCCACAGCAGAGACACATGGGCTGCCTTGGAAAGCTCAGTGTTGCTCTCTAGGCAACCCCTTCTCTAGACTTCAACCCCCAGAATTCCCCAGCTAGCATGCTTTAAGAGGGGTGGGCTTCAACTCTCCCCTCTCAGATTGCTGAGGAATGCTGGAGTCCAAGTCCACACATTTCAAAGCATGCTGGCTAGGGAATTCTGGGAGCTGGAGGGACTGCTGGCCATGGAATTCTGGGATATGAAGTTCGTCAATCTTAAAGGATGCTGACTGGGGAATTCTGGGATATGAAGTCCACCCCTCTTAAAGCACCCTGGCTGGGGAATTCTAGGAGTGGAAGACCTCCCCCCTTAAAGCATGCTGGCTGGGGGATTCTGGGAGTTGAGGTCCACCCCTCTTAAAGCAGGCTGGCTGGGGAATTCTGGGAGTGGAAGTCCCCCCCCTCTTAAAGCATGCTGGCTGGGGAATTCTGGGAGTTGAGGTCCACCCCTCTCAAAGCAGGCTGGCTGGGGGATTCTGGGAGCTGAAGCTCATGCATCTTCAAAAACATGCTGACCAAGAAATTCTAGGTAGGCTATGAAGTCCACCCCTCTTAAAGCACGGCTGGCTGGGGAATTCTGGGATATGAAGCTCACCCCTCTTAAAGCACGGCTGGCTGGGGAATTCTGGGAGATGAAGTCCACCCCTCTTAAAGCAGGCTGGCTGGGGGACTCTGGGACATGGAGTCCAAGTGCAACGTCGGAACACCCTGCTTTAGGATCAGGCAGCCCAGCTCGTCCCCATGCGAGGCATCACCGGGCTGCGGCCAGAGCCGGACTCCTCTCCAGCGCTGCACAGGATCCGGAGGACCCCCCCTCCCCAAATCCCGTTAGGAACAAAAGGACCCTCCCCACCGGCTTTGCAAGCGGCTGGAGGGCGCTGGGAAGGCAAAGCTCCTTGCAGCCCCGTCTCCAGCCCGGCCGGTTCGCCCTGGGACTCCCCCTTTGCTGCAAACGGGGACTGGAGGGGGGTCCGCGCCCCCTCGCAACGCCCCCCCCCCGCGCGCCCCTCACCTCTCCTGCTCGGCAATTCAAACGCGCGGCTGCAAAGCCATCCTGCCTGCGCCTCCCGCCCCGCCCCTGCCCCGCCCCGCCGCGCAAAGGAGCATGGGCGCTGAAGTCCCGCTTTTGCAAAGCAGGCTGGGAGGAATGGCTTGGAACCTTTGGAGGGGCTTGCGGGGGGGGGGGGGAGAGGGGGTCTCCAGTGGGGGGGTGGGGTGGGCGGAGTGCAGACTAGTGGACTTCAACTCCCAGAATTCCCCAGCCAGCCAGCACAACACAGCTGGCTGGGGAATTCTGGGAGTTGAAGTCCCCTAGTCTGAAAAGCTTAGACACCCTTGCTGGAAGGGCTTTGCAGCCCGTAGTAGCCTGGAAAGGCAGCATGTAATTTTGTTATATATTTACATATATTTAAAGTCAAATCAGATAAAAATAAAGATATAGATAGATAGATAGATAGATAGATAGATAGATAGATAGATAGATAGATATAGATATAGATATAATCGTATGCTAATCCTGTCTTTACTGCAGCGGCCAGCATTTTGTAGTAAAAAGGCAAAAATTCGAATGCATTTGTTTTGATTCCCAGCAATGTTTTTTTTAAAATGATCCCGGAAGTGTCATCTCCAGGCATTAGAGCTCCTCTGCTATTTTTATCTCTAGGTTCTTACAGTGAGGAAACCCCGCTGAATCTTGGGAACTAGTACTTTTTTTTTTAAGTCACCCTAGGAACTCTGGGACTTGTAGTTTACAGGAATAGAATCTCCTTGGAATCCGATTGCAAAGGCTGGCTGGAAGAATTTTTTTTCCCTGCATTTCGCCTCTTTCATTTCCAGGTTTAGTGCCAGGCTTTTAAAAATAAATTCAGATTTTTTTCCCCCCAGAAGCATACATTTCCCTAATTCTAATCCTAAATTTAATTCAAGTTCTTCAGAGGATGATACAACTGAAATATGAGAGAGAGGGAAAATCTTAGCTACCTTGTGCAGGTTTCCCAAAAGAAACCCTTCTCTTTGACTTTTTGTAAGCAATAATAATAATAAACTTTATTACAGTCGTAGACCAGCAATAGCCATCACTTTTTACAATATATTAAATAATAATAATGATTTGTAAGCAAAATATCAGATTTAAAGGGCTCCCCCTTCTAATAATCATATCCCTTGCATGCTTGTCTAATAATTCATTTCTCTGGTTTATGCAATCAGCCGGACCATGATGATGCCAAGCAGGACACACTGTGGAATGTAGCCATGAATTGGGTGCAGTGACCATCACCGTTCCATGTTGGGCAACTCAACCGATTGTGGTTGGTTAAGTAAACAAGATTTATAAACCTGAAGCCGGCTGCAAGGACACTAGGGTGGGGATGCCCAGACTGGCATGGGTTGCTGACCTCAACCAAGGTGGAAACTAATCAAGGAGAGAAGCAACCTAGAACTAAGGAGAAACTTCCTGACAGTGAGAACAATTAACCAGTGGAACTACTTGCCTCCAGAAGTGGCGAATGCTCCAACACTGGAAGTTTTTAAGAAGAGACTGGACAGCCATTTGTCCGAAATGGTATAGGGCAGTGGTTCTCAACCTTTTTAATGTCGCGACCCCCAACCGGTTGTAAGTCGAGGACTACTCTACCGTTTGCAGAATGGGACTTTTGGCGGGCTCAGCAGGGCAGAGACAGCCTGGACAATTCCTATTGGCTTTTGAAAGCCAATAGAATTAGACTCTATTCAAGAGAGTCTATTCTATTGGCTTTCAAAAGCCAATAGAATAAAAGGGAGTAGCACAGCTAAGGAAAAGGGGGAAAAAATGGCGGACTGCGTTGTTTGGCGACTCCCGTGAAATGGTTGTTCGACCCCAAATGGGGTCCCGACCCACAGGTTGAGAACCACTGGTATAGGGTTTCCTGCCTGAGCAGGGGGTTGGACTAGATGACCTCCAGAGTCCCTTCCAACTTTATTATTATTATCAATCTAGAATAGAAGAGGGCTGGAAGGGACCTTGGAGATCTTCTAATCCAGTTCCCTGCTCAAGCAGGAGAGTGTAGGGTATAAACATGCTTTGGCCTGAAAATGTTAAATGCCTCACGTGGTAGTCAAAACTTCCCTTTATCCTGGTGTCAAGAGCAAATCAGACACAATTTATATGGCAATTTCCTGTTTTCTTTAATTAGCAGATTAATTTTGAAGTTTCCGTCTTTTATTTTCCTTCCACCAATGTCCGTTATGTACAAAAGAATGTTTCTTTTTATTTCTGAATCCTCTAGAAACAAGTGCAAACTATTTTTTTTTTTTTAAAAAAAATCAAAACCCTAACAATCCAGCAGGTTAAAGGAACAGAAATTGCGAATAGGTATAAAATCTATAGCAAAAATCAATGCCCCTCATAGTAGCTGGAAGAACTTTTTTTTTAAAAAAAAGGTCCTTAATAAAATGCCTTGCTGAATTTAAGACTAAAAAAAGTTGCTCCCAGCCCAGGATCCAGTTTCCAACGATGGACAGCAAGAAGGTGCTCACTACGGCCATTCGTGGGGCATTCATAGTTGGCCACGTCCCCCGTCTTTCCATGCTGTGGTCAGTACGACACGCTATCGCTGAGGCATGCAGATTCCGCGCGGCCAGGACCGCGTGTAGCCCGCCTTGCAGGAACAGAAGAAGGAACCGCTGGTGTTCACGCAGCGTTCGCTTTTGCAAAGCCGTCCCCGTTGGTTTAGCTCCTGGCACTCGTCAATATCTAAAAGGAAGGAAGAGATTACGGAGTGGACAAGATAGACTGCGCTGAATCCAGAAGCTCCACGTAATTCTGAAAGTGTGAAATTAGCCACTCGCTGCCACGTCTGCGCAAGGAGTGACCTCGCCAAGAATATGGAAGCCCTCCATCCGCCCCTCTTACCCAGGCAGCGGGTGCGAGTGCTGTCCAGCTGGAAGCCTGTGGGACATTCGCACACAGAACCCTGCTGGGTGCGGACGCAGCGCCCGTGCAGGCAGCGGCATTCGTCCGAATCCTCTTCTGAGCTGTCGGCATCTGTAGCCAAAACAAACAGATGTGATAAAAAGGCCCAAACATCTGGAAAGGGACCCCCCCGGGTAATTTCATGCTTCGTCTGCTCCCTACACACACAAAGCCGAATCCTGCTATCCGGAGCAGAACAAGCCCACTACCGGCCGTCCAGTTCAGCCAGCAAAAAAAAAAAAAAAAAAAAAAGGCCAAGAGCATCATTTAATAAACATTTTGGCAAACACAACAATAAAGTTGACTTACGACCAGTGGCTTAGCCACTATTTGAATTTACAACTGACTTTCTCCCCCCCACAAAAAGCTACTGTTTCTGGAGTCCTGATGGCTGCACACACATCTGCAATGACATGACCACATTTGAAGTGCTTGGCAAATGGCTCACCTTCCAGGCTTACCTGTCCTCAATTTATGACATTTTTTACAGGTTTTCAGCAAAGGACAGAAGAGGAGAAGGCAGGCAGGCAGGGAGGGAGGGAGGGAGGAGAGAACAAATGGAGGGAAGAAGGGAGGGAGAAAGATCAAAGGAGGGAGGGAGGGAGGGAGGAAGATCAAAGGAGGGAGGGAGGAAGATCAAAGGAGGGTGGGAGGGAGGGAGGGAGGGAGGGAGGGAGGGAGGAAGGAAGGAAGGAAGGAAGGAAGGAAGGAAGGAAGGAAGGAAGGAAGGAAGGAAAGAATGAAGAAAAGGTGGGGGGGGAGAAAGGGAGGATTGAAAGATGGATAGCTGGATGGATGGAAGGAAGGTTTAAGAGATTGAAAGAAGAGAAGAAGGTGGGAGGAAGGAAAGATTGGGAGATGGAAGGAAGGAAGGAAGGAAGGAAAAGAAGGAAGAAAAGGAAGGAAGGAAGGAAAGAATGAAGAAAAGAAGGTAGGGAGGGGGAGAAAGGGAGGATTGAAAGATGGATAGCTGGATGGATGGATAGAAGGAAGGAAGGTTTAAGAGATCGAAGGAAGAGAAGAAGGTGGGAGGAAGGAAGGATTGGGAGATGCATGGAAGGAAGGAAGGAAGGAAGGAAGGAAGGAAGGAAGGAAGGAAGGAAGGAAAAGGGAGGAGGAGGAAGGGAGGGAGGGTAGCCCTCCATCCTGTGGCAGTGAGTTCCGCAGTCAATGACGTTATCGACGCAGGAGGGCTCTGCTCCCCACTTCGGCTCACCTTTATGCACCTCCCCAAAAGGGGTACTGAAGTCCCAGAAGGAATTGCTTTCGCTTGGAGCAGACTGGCAGTTGAAACCTGGGACAGAGAAAGGCCATAGTCCTCATTGTCACCATCCTGTCGCCAGACGGGCAGAGGCCCCAAGCGGGCCCAGAAGCACAAGAGCTCTTTTGCAAGAGCATCCACAAGGTTTATTTTTATCCCATTTTTATGGTGCTGAATATACCTATAACTCCTTCCTCCTATTTTTCCCACCACAACAACCCTGTGAGGTGGATTGAGCTAAGAGAGGGATTGCCCCAAAATCATCCAGTTGGCTTGGATTGTTAAGGTGGGACTAGAATTCACCGTCTCCTAGTGATTGGCCCAAAGTCATCCAGCTGGCTTTCATGCCTAAGGCGGGACTAGAACTCACCGTCTCCTAGTGATTGGCCCAAAGTCACCCAGCTGGCTTTCATGCCTAAGGCGGGACTAGAACTCACCGTCTCCTGGTGATTGGCCCAAAGTCATCTAGCCAACTTTCAGGTCTTTGGTGGAACTAGAATTCACCATCTCCTGGTGGTTGGCCCAAAGTCACCCAGGTGGCTTTCACGCCTAAGGCAGAACTAGAACTCACCGTCTCCTGGTTCCTAGCTTGATGCCTTAATCCCTACAGCAAACTGGCTCAAACTTTCTCAAACACACATTAGGGTAGAAAGAAGGATGCTGTAGTTTCGTTTCTCCCGCAAAGGCATCTTCCCCAGTTCCAAGTGTGTACGAAAGGTGAGAGAACTCTGCCCATGCTCTACAGGGCCTTCAGCTCCCCAATTTGAATCCTGGTTTTGGAAAAGAGTCGTCTAGCATTTCAGTCTCTCTAATCAGCCCATCGCTGGAGAATGTCCCAGGCCAGAGCTGGTGCCCGGAGGAAGGGCGGGATGCCGGTCTTCCCAGAATGCCCCGTTACCTGGGCTGCGTGGTGGGCAGGCGTGGCAGTGGTAACCCCACCCTTTGCCGTGGTGGCAGCAGCACTCCTCGTACGTCAACTGTTGGCCCCCGAAGGGGGAGGAACACATCCCGTCCTCGGCCCGGAGTTGCCAGCAGACGTCCCGTCGATCGGTCACTTTGTCTGCGGTGGGAGGTGGGGGATGAAGTGGGGAGAGGGGAAACGAGAGAGACGGGCTAGAAATTCAACAGGACAAGAGCTGGGAACACTCCGGGCCAGGAGACGACGGGGGCTTTGGTTGGTAAGCAACCCAACTTTTGGAAAAAGAGAAAGAGAAGGGAGAAAGGGAAGGAGATGAAAGAAGGAAGAAAGGGAGGGAGGAAAGGAGAGGAGGGAGGGAAGGAAGGAGACGAAAGAAGAAAGAAAGGGAGGGAGGGAGATGAAAGAAGAAAGGAAGTGAAGGGAGGGAAGGAAGGAAGATGAAAGAAGGAAGAAAAGAAGGGAGGGAGGGAGGAAAAGAGATAAAACAAAGAAGAAGAGGGAGGGAGGGAAGGAGGAAGGAAGATGAAAGAAGAAAAGAAGGGAGGGAGGGAAGGAAGATGAAAGAAAGAAGAAAAGAAGGGAGGGAGGGAAGGAGATAAAACAAAGAAGAAGAGGGAGTGAGGGAAGGAGGAAGGAAGATGAAAGAAGAAAAGAAGGGAGGGAGGGAAGGAAGATGAAAGAAAGAAGAAAAGAAGGGAGGGAGGGAAGGAGATAAAACAAAGAAGAAGAGGGAGGGAGGGAGGGAGGAAGATGAAAGAAGAAAGAAAAGAAGGGAAGGAGGGAGGGAGGGAAGGATGGGAGGGAAGGAGGGAGGGAGGAAGGATGAAAGAAGGAAGAAAAGGGAGGGAGGGAAGAATGTTAGGGAGGAAGGAAAGGAGATGAAAGAAAGAAGAAGAGGGAGGGAGGGAAGGGAAGGAGGGGCGGATGGAAGGGGGGGAAAGAATGAAGGAAAGAAGGGAGGGAGGGAGGAAGGTAGGGAAGGAGATGAACGAAGGAAGTAAGGGAGGGAGGGAGGGAGGGAAGGAAGGAAGGAAGGAAGGAAGGAAGGAAGGAAGGAAAGAAGGAAGGAAGAGGAGAAAAAGAGGAAGGAAAAAAATACTGGAATACTGACTGGGGAATTCTGGGAGTTGAAGTCCACCCATCTTAAAGTGTCCCTGGTTGAGAAACACCACCTTAAAAAAAACTCCGCCACCGCTCACCAGTTTTGCTGGCTGGGACGCACTTCTTCTGGGCTGGATCATACGTGGTTGAGGCCGGGCAGGCACAGCGGAAGCTGCCCCGAGTGTTCTCGCAGCGTCCATTCACACAGTTTGACTCGTCCAAACACTCGTCCACATCTAGGACGGAACAGAGTTGAAGTCCACGAGTCATAAAGCGGACTAGGCCTAGGCCAGAGGTAGGCAACCTTGGCTCTTTTATGACTCGGGGACTTCAACTCCCAGAATTCCTGAGCCAGCCTGGCTCAGCTTGGAAACCTCTCCCTTTCCCCTCAGCATGGCTGGCTCAGGAATTCTGGGAGTTGAAGTCCACCAGTCCTAAAAGAGCCAAGATGGCCTACGCCTGGCCTAGGCCTAGGCTGCTTTATGACTCGTGGACTTCAACTCCCAGAATTCCTGAGCCACTATGGCTCAGCTTGGAAACTCTCCCTTTCCCCTCAGCGTGGCTGGCTCAGGAATTCGGGGAGTTGAAGTCCACGAATCATAAAGCGGCCTAGGCCTAGGCGAGGGGTAGGCAACCTTGGCTCTTTTATGACTCGTGGACTTCAACTCCCAGAATTCCTGAGCCAGCATGGCTCAGCTTGGAAACCTCTCCCTTTCCCCTCAGTACGGCTGGCTCAGGAATTCTGGGAGTTGAAGTCCACCAGTCCTAAAAGAGCCAAGGTGGCCTACGCCTGCTCTATAGTTAAGCCTGATTCTTCCTCTGTTGCTACTCAGAGGTCAAAGTTCCTCCCCCTGCTGGGCTTCCCTTCCTACCGACACACTCCAAGAGGTTGCCATCGTAGTAGAAGCCCTGCTTGCAGTAACACTCGTAGCCCGGCTGCGTGTTCACACACTTCCCTTCCTTGCAGATCTCTTCCCCAAACAGGGTGCATTCGTCGATGTCTGGAGACGAGAGGGAACAAGGAAGGGGGAAGAGGCAGGGGAGGAAGAGAAACAAAGCAACGAAGAAGAAGCGATGGTTATGAAGGAGGAGGAGGAGGAGGAAAGGAACAAGAGAAGGAAAAAGATGGAGGTGGTTGAGGAAGAAGAAATAAAAAGATGGAGAACGGGATGTGAAGAAAAATGGAAGAGGCAAAGGAGGGGCAGGGGAAGGAGAATCAAAAGGAGAAGGAAGAGGAGGGAACAGAAAGAAGAGAAGAAAAAAGAGGTGAGGGCAGAGGAGAAGGGAGAGGAAAGAGGAGAAAAAAAGATGCGGGGGGCGGAAATGAAAGGTGGAAAACGGGATGAGAAGAAGGAAGAGGGGAAGGTGAAGGCGGGGCAGGAAGAGGGGATGGAAGAAGAGAAGGAAGGAGGAGGAAAGAGGAGAAGAAAAAAGGTGGCGGAAGAAAAAGAAGAAGAAAAACGAAGAGATGGAAAAAAGAAAAAGCAGGAAGACAAAAGAGGACCAGAAACGGGGTGACCCAGAGAAGAAGGAAGAGGAGAAAGGAGATGGAGAGAAGGAAGACGGGAAGAGGAGGAGAAGAACAAAGGGATAAGGACGAAGGGGGCGAAAAGGAAGAATGGGAGGAGAAGGAGACAGAGAAGTCTATTAAACAGATCTCAAAATGGCGCTACCTCGGTATGTAGCCATCTCCTCACCCCACTTGGCAGCACCTCAAGACCCATGGCCAGCCCCCTTGGTCCAGCTTCACAGGGTGGGGGGAAGGCTGGTCAAGAAGACAGCTCGCCGTCCCGGGCACAGCCCCAGAGAGATGCTGTGATGCCCCCCCCCTCGCTCCCATCGAGGCCACCTCAAAAGGCCGGCATCCTCCGTGCTTTCGGGGACCCGGGGGCATCCAAACACTCACCTCGATGCGTCGGGATGCCGTAATTCAGGATCGTCTCATCCAGGATGAACCCTTTGCCGTCCGGGCACAGAGTGTGGAACTCAACTGGTCCAGGGAAGGAAGAAGAGATGGGTGAAATTCAAACCACAATGCCCATAAAAAAAAAAAAAAAAGAGGACAGGTCGTTCTCGACTTACAACAACTCATATAGTGATCATTTGAAGTTACAACGGCCCGGAAGAAAAAAAAATGATCATTTTTCACACTTAACGACCGTTGCAGCACCCCCCCCAGGGTCATGTGATCAAAGTTCATACACTCGGCAACCGACTCGTATTTATGACGGTCGCAGTGTCTCCCGGGGTCACGTGATCCCCTTTTGCGACCCTTCTGCCAAGCAAAGTCATTGGGGAAGCCGGATTCACTTAAGGACGGTGTGACTAACTTAACAACTGCAGGGGTTCCCTTAGTAACTGTTTAGTCTCCAGATCCCTGATCTTCTTTCTCAACTGTCAGAAATTTCCTGATAATTAGAACAATTAATCAGTGGAAGGATGGAAGGCCGAGTCAATCCTGAGCTGGTCAGGATCAAACTCCTGGCAGTTGGCAGAGTGTAGCCTACAATACTGCATTCTAACCACTGCGCACCACGGCTCTTTAGAAGTTGTGGGTGCTCCAACACTGGAGATTTTTAAGAAGAGATTGGACAGCCATTTGTCTGAAATGATATAGGGCTTCCTGCCTGAGCAGGGGGTTGGACTAGATGATCTCCAAGGTCCCTTCCAACTCTGTTCTATTATTCTGCTATTCTTTCTTTCTTTCTCTCTCTCTCTCTCTTTCTTTCTTTCTTTCTTTTTCTCTTTCCCTTCTTTCCTTCCTTCCTTCTTTTCTTTCTTTCTTTCTTCCTTCCTTCCTTCCTTCCTTCCTTCCTTCCTTCCTTCCTTCCTTTCCTTCCCTCCTTCCCTCCCTCCCTCCCTCCCTCATCACTGGATGTTTTTAAGAAGAGACTGGACAGCCATTTGTCTGAAATGGTATCAGGCTTTCTGCCTGAGCAGGAGGTTGGACTAGATGACCTCCAAGGCTCCTTCCAACTCTGTTATTCTGTCTCAAGCTGAGTTCGGAACAAGGATAATTTTCAGTTTAATTAGAATCAGACACAAGGACTTTCCAACTTACTCGAGTTGAGAACGGGACACGGATAGATCTCACAGTGATCTCCCCAGCCAGCCCCGAGCGAGCAGCAGCACTCCTGGCGTGTCACGTTGGTGGCGAGCACGCTGTCGCAAAACACGCTGTCATCGAAGTTCAGGTAACACTCTTTTTTGTGGTGAGGCACCTCTGCGGAGAAACGCCGCCGTCAGGAGTCGCGGAGGAATTTCTGCCATCTCAGGTGTGTTCCCCCCTCCCTCCCCTTTGCGCACTCTGCCTGCTATCCTACCTTCACAACTCTGCTGGTCTTTGGCCAGCGTGAATCCCTCGTCACACACGCACACGAAGGAGCCCTCGGTGTTCTCGCACACCCCGTGTGGCTGGCAGAGGTCAGGATCTCTTGCACACTCGTCGATGTCTGGGGAGGCATTGTGCGTGTTTGCGCCAGGGAGAAAGGCGTTCTTGCACCTCCGACTTCCCCCCACCCAAACTTTTAAGGAAAGGTTAACAACAAGTCAAAATCACGTGAAGTATTGGTGCCAATTTATAAAGCCCTAGTAAGGCCCCACCTGGAATACTGCAGCCAATTTTGGTCACCATATCACAAAAAAGATGTTGAGAATTTGGAAAAAATTCAGAGAAGAGCAACTAAGATGATCCAAGGCCTGGAGACCAAAACCTACGAAGAACGACTGCGGGACTTGGGTTTGGCTAGTCTAAAGAAAAGAAGAAATAGGGGAGACATGATAGCAGCGTTCCAGTATTTGAGGGGCTGCCATAAAGAAGAGGGGGTCACGTTGTTCACCAGAGCACCAGAGGGAAGGTCGAGAAACAATGGTTGGAAACTGATCAAAGAGAGAGAGAAGCAACCTGGAATTAAGGATGAACTTCCTGACAGTGAGGACATTCAACCAGTGGAACAGCTTGCCACCAGAAATCGTGGGCGCTCCATCACTGGAGGTTTTTAAGAAGAGACTAGATATTCACCTGTCTAAGACGGTATAGGTTCTACTCTTTGGGCAGGGGGCTGGACTAGAAGACCTCCAAGGTCCCTTCCAGCTCTTATTCTATTCTAAAGGAGAGAAGCAACCTGGAAAGGAGAAACTTCCTAACAGTGAGGACAATCAATCAGTGGAACGATTTGCCTTTAGAATTTGTGGCTGCTCCATCACTGGAGGCTTTTAAGAACAGACTAGACCAGTGATGCGAACCTTTTAGAGACTGAGTGCCCAAAACCCAGGCCTGTCCCGCCCCCCTGCTCTGTCCCCGCGTCCCGCGCCTGCCAACCGGTCGTAAGTCGAGGACTACTCAATTGGTCGTAAGTCGAGGACTACTCAACTGGTCGTAAGTCGAAGACTACTCAACTGGTCGTAAGTCGAGGACTACTCAACTGGTGCAGCGCCGTTTGCAGACTGGGACTTTTGGCGGGCTCAGCAGGGCAGAGACAACCTGGACAATTCCTATTGGCTTTGGAAAGCCAATAGAATTAGACTCCATTCAAGAGAGTCTATTCTATTGGCTTTCAAGAGCCAATAGAATAAAACGGAGTAGCCCAGCTAAGGAAAAGGGGGGAAAAAACTGCGTTGAGGTTTGGTTTCCTGCTTGAGCAGGGGGCTGGACTAGAAGACCTCCAAGGTCCCTTCCAGATTCTATCCTGATTCTGAAATCAAAAGTTAACCTGACACACGGAATGGATCAGCCACGGAGCTCCCCACTTGCTACTGAAGCAGATTGGGAGAAGAGCTCACTCACACATACACACAAGACACACAAACCTTGGCATTTTCGATTCCTCTCCAGCTGGTATCCCGTCCGGCAAAGACACTGGTAAGACCCCACCGTGTTGACACACTCGCCCCCGATGCAGGCAGCCGGGAACTCACATTCGTTCACATCTGGAAAGGCAGAAAGGTTGAAAAAAAAATAAAAGGAAAGAAAAGAGATGCCCCAGTTTTCATTAGCCAAAAGGGCAAGGATGGCGAGGTGCTCGGAAGTCATGTTTGCCAGCCCAGGGGGGAAAAAATTAATCTCGAATTGGAGAGGTGCAGTGATAAAGCTGATCATGATTTATCCACAGGAAATGACAGAGAACTCTGCACATGCTTATTGGGATTATTATCTTTCATGGTACTTGTTAGAATGCTCAATCATAGCCACATTTCAGCCCCCAAATCAATAAATCTGTCTGTCTGTCCACTATCTTATCTTATCTTATCTTATCTTACTCTATCTATCTATCTATCTATCTATCTATCTATCTATCTATCTATCTATCTATCTATCTATCTATCTATCATCTATCTATCCACCTATTATCCATCCATTATCTATCTATCTATCTATCTATCTATCTATCTATCTATCTATCTATCTATCTATCCATCCATCTATCTATCTTTCTATCCACCTATCATCCATCCATCATCCATCTATCTAGCTATCTGTCTATATATCTATTTTCTCTCTTTCTATCCACCTATCATCCATCCATCATCTGTCTGTGTCTGTCTGTCTGTCTGTCTGTCTGTCTGTCTGTCTATCTATCTATCTATCTATCTATCTATCTATCTATCTATCTATCTATCTATCTATTTATCTATCCATTTTTATCATCCATCATCTACCTACCTACCTACCTACCTACCTACCTACCTATCATTTTAATAAATGTATATGCTGCTCAGTCGCTTGACAGTGAGATGGATGGCATATAAAAAAATTAATAGAATAGAAATAAGACAAGCCTTCCACACATGCTCAAAAGTTCTCTTTCCCAGCCACAAAGATCACTTCCCAGGAGTTCATAGAAAACCCCTCGCTTCTCTCTCTCACCTTTGCAGCGAGGCCCATCCTTCACTGCCTGGAAACCAGCCGGACACTGGCACTTGAAAGACCCCAGTGTGTTTACACAAACCCCATGGGTGCACAACGAACCGTTCTGGCACTCGTTGACATCTGCAGGAAGAGAAGAAGAATCAATTCTTCTTTGCTGCCTTCCAGAAGCTTGGGACTACTGCTTCCATAATCCTTTGCCCATCTTGGCTGGGGAGCAAGGGAACTGGAATCATCCTCTGGAAGGCCAAGGAACCCTTAATGAAGCAGGAGAGAATCTGGGTCACAATTGCATGAATCTCTCAGACAGTTCAGGTCTGGGCCGTTTCTGCTCAGGTTTGCATCTCGCTCATCTTTCCTCCCACAAGCCCTGCGAGGGAGGCCAGGATGCTGAGGCTGTCAGTTTACTGCCAAACACCAAACTCTGGCTTTGCGGAAATAAGAGCATTGCCTGAGCTGGGTTTTCTGGGGCTTCTGGTGAAGATGGCTGACCAATGACTAACTCAGGGAGGGCTCCTTGGAGGGGTATTCTCTGGACTGCTGCTTTTTCAATTGACTAAGAGAAGCATCAGGCATTCTTTTCATTTATATGACTCTCCTGAGTTAGGGAGAGTCCCAGAATCATCCCACCAGATCCTCCAATCTAGCAAAAGGTCTGCAAGTAGTTTCAGGAGCTGTGCTTCGAAATAGCTGGCTAGCTGTATAGCTGGGAGGTGAGACTACAATCACTTCATTGTGGAAAAAGAAACGGAATTTATTTTTCCAATGGGCTGAGCTGAGTGTTCTACATGGGATGCGGAAAGGAATTACCAACGCAGCTGCGGAAATCAGCGGCAGGCACGAAGCCTTCACCGCAGGAGCAGCGGAAGGAGCCGGCCATGTTCTCGCACCAGCCGTGTTTGCAGGCAGCATCCTCAGCGCATTCGTCCACATCTGGGGGGGGGGGGGAAGAACCGGACAATGAGCTCTTTCAATGCTTGGATGCTATAGAATCATAGAGCCAGAAGGGACCTTCCAAAACAACCATAAAAATCTGAAACTTTTTTCATCATGAGGACTAGACACTTAACTTTAAAAAAAACAATAAAGTCTTACAATATATTTTAGATATACAATATATATTTTAAAAAGAGTAGACTCTTTTTAAAACAACCATAAAGTCTGACAATATTTTTTTAGTCACGAGAACTAGACTCTTTTTAAAAAAATACCCATAAAGTGTGACAATATTTTTAGTGACGAGAACTAGATTTTTTTAAAAAAAAATAAAGTCTGACAATATTCTTTCGTTGTGAGGACTGGACTCTTTTTAAAAACAAACAGAAAGGCTGACGTGTTTAACAACGAGGACTAGATGCTTAGCTCTTTTTAAAAACAGCGATAAAAATCTGATAATTATTTTTGTCATGAGGACTAGACACTTAATTCTTTTTTTAAAAAAACAGCAACAACTATAAAGTTCGACAATCTTCCTAAAGCTGAGACCGGTTGCAGTATATCTTACCGTAACATATGCCGTTTTGGGCCCGGAAGCCTGGCTGGCAGGGGATACATTTATAACTCCCAGGTTTATTTTCGCATCTCCCATCAGGACAAGTTCCAGGGTCAAGACATTCATCAATATCTGAAAGGCAAACAATAAAATAATAATAATAAAAAAGATTACTGGAAAAGAAAAATAGGTCAGCACCGATAAAGCTGCTAACGTTGCCAAAATCACTTTTACTTCATTTTATTTATATTTCTATTCTATTTCTATTTTATTCTATTTATTATTTATATTTCTATTCTCCTCTTGTTTTCATTCTGTTTTCATTCTTTTCTCTTCTCTTCTCCCCTCCCGTCTCTCTCCTTTGATTCTATTCTTGATTCCATTCCTATTTTCTATTCCCATTTTCTATTTCTATTCTATTCTATTCTCATTTTGTATTCCTATTCTATTCTATTCTATTCTATTCTATTCTATTCTATTCTATTCTATTCTATTCTATTCTATTCTATTCTATTCTATTCTATTCCCATTTTCTATTCCCATATTCTATTCTATTCTATTCTGTTCTGTTCTGTTCTGTTCTGTTCTATTCCATTCCATTCCCATTTTCTATTCCCGTGGTGGCAAATCTATGGCACGTGTGCCACAGATGGCACACAGAGCCCTCTCTGTGGGCACACATGCCGTCACCCCAGTCCCAGGCCTTCAGCTGCGTTTTATAAAATCTTTTCGCTTTAGGCCTCCACCACCATGTGCAAAAAAAAAAAAAGGTTCAATCAATCAATCTATTTCAACTTCTCACGGGGAAAAAAAAAGATCTCGCAAAGTTGGGATTGATTGAATTTTTTAATCCCATCCAGTCTGCCATTACCACCACAGCCATGCCCACCCAACGGGCCACACCCACCCGGCACCTGACGATACATAAGTGGGTTTTGGGTTGCAATTTGGGCACTCGGTCTCTAAAAGGTTCGCCATCACTATTCTACTCCCATTTTCTGTTCCCTATTTCTATTCTATTCTATTCTATTCTATTCTATTCTATTCTATTCTATTCTATTCTATTCTATTCTATTCACATTTACGACCGTTGCAGCATCTCCATGGTCACATGATCCAAATTCAGACACTTCACAACTAATTCATATTTACAACGGTTTATGACGGTTGCATTGACCCTGATCAGTGCGTCTATGTAGCAACACTGATGATATTGCCTAGTGCGGTAGTGAAATGTCTGCAAGAAAACCATCCAGCTCAGACAGCACCAAAGAATTCCCCAGCCTGGCTCTCCACTGCATACCCTCACACAACGGCTGCCGGGAGGGCTTCAGCCGATAGCCCGCATGGCAGTCACATTTGTAGTGTCCTGGGAAGTTGATGCAAGAACCGCCGTCTCCGCAGATGTTGGGCCGGGCGCATTCATCAATGTCTAATGGGAGAGTGAGGCAAAAGCGTGAAGAAAGGGGGAGATCTGGAGGGTCTCCAGCATCTCCCCCCTGACTCAATAACAGAATAAAAGAATAACAAGAGTTGGAAGGGACCCTTGGAGGTCTTCTAGTCCAACCCCCTGCTTAGGCAGAAAATCCTATTCCATTTACAGACCAATGGCTGTCCAATCTGTTCTTAAAAACCTCCAAGGATGGGAGCACTCACAACTTCTAAAGAGCCATAGTGGCGCAGTGGTTAGATTGCAGTATGGCAGGCTATACTCTGCCCACTGCCAGGAGTTTGATCCTGACCGGTTCAGGGTTGACTCAGTCTTCCATCCTTCCAAGGTCAGTAAAATGAGGATCCAGATTGTTGCAGGGGGCAACAGGCTGACTCTGTAAACCGCTTAGAGAGGGCCGTAAAGCACCGTGAAGCGGTATATAAGTCTAAGGGCTATTGCTATTCCGAAGGCAACTCGTTCCACGGATTGATTGTTCCAACTGTCAGGAAATTGCTTCCTCTGGGCTAATTCTCTCCTTCACTAGTTTCCCTCCATCCACCAAGTTCTTGGAAGTCTCACCTGAGCAGGATCGGACCCCCTTCTGCACCTTCAGCTGGTAGCCTCGGTTGCAGTGGCAATTGTACGACCCGCCGGTGTTCATGCACACGCCTTTCCCATGGCCACACAGCTCCAATTCACACTCATTTATATCTGGGAAGGAGAAGGAAAGAACAGGAATCCCAAAAGTCTATTTCTACGTAAAACACAAATGGACTTTTTGGGGGGTTTGTTTGTTTTTTTTCCTTTCCATTGAAAACATTTCGCTTCTTAATCCAAGAAGCTTCTTCAGTTCTGTTCAGAACTGTTCAGAACCGAAGAAGCTTCTTAGATGAATAACAAGAGTAACAGAATGAGTTGGAAACGGCCCTTAGGGGTCTTCTAATCCAACCTTACATTACAAAAAAGGTGCTGAGGCTTTGGAAAAAGAGCAGAGAAGAGCGATTACGATGATTCAAGGCCCGGAGACACAAACATATGAAGAACGGTTGCAGGAACTGGGTGTGTCCAGTCTAGAGAAAAGGACCAGGGGGGACATGATAGCGGTATTCCAATATCTCACAAAGAAGAGGGGAGGGGTCATCAACTTATTTTTCCAAACCCCAGAAGGCAGGACAAGAAACAATGCATGGAAACTAAGCAAGGAGAGAAGCAACCTAGAACTAAGGAGAAACTTCCTGACAGTTAGAACAATTAACCAGTGGAACAACCTGCCTCCAGAAGCGGTGAATGCTCCAACACTGGAAGTTTTTAAGAAGAGACTGGACAGCCATTTGTCCGAAATGGCATAGGGTTTCCTGCCTGAGCAGGGGGTTGGACTAGATGACCTCCAAGGTCCCTTCCAACTCTCAGAGGAGGAGTAGGAGGAGAGAAGGGTGTCCTGTTTGAGCAGGGGGCTGGACTAGAAGACCTCCAAGGTCCCTTTCCCGCCCTATTCTGATTGAACCTCCTGCTCAAACTCAAACTTTTGAAGGAAGCTGCCTCTTACCTACACAATACCCGTGCTGAGGATGCCACCGGTAACCATGGTAACACTGACAGAAGAATCCGGTCCGCGTCGGGATGCACTCACCATGGCTGCAGATGTTGTGATTTAATTTGCACATGTCCACCTCTGTGTGGGAAGAGAGAGAAAAGCAGGGAAACCGTCTGAAAGACTTATAAGAGTTCCGATACCGGTCGTTTTTTTCAACCCAGTTGGAAGGGACCTTGGAGGTCATCTAGTCCAACCCCTTGCTCAAGCAGGAGACTCTAGACCATTTTAGACAAACAACTGTCTGGTTTCATCTTAAAAACCTCCAGTGTTGGGAGTCCCACCACTGTCAGACGAAGCCTTCAAGACCGGCCATGACACTCCAAATGAAAAGAAATCTAAACCCAGTTTGTTCTCAACTTATGACCCTCGTTTCACAACCGTTCCAAGGGACGACGGTGGTGAAAAAAGTAACTGACGGCCTCTGTCCTCGCACTTACAACCGTCGCAGCATCCCCCGCCCGTCACGCGATCAAAACTTGGGCGCTTGGCCAGAGGCAGGTTATTTATGACAGGTGCAGCATCCCAAGGTCACGTGATCATCTGAACAGTTTGCCAAGTGCCCCAATTTTAATCACGTGACTGGAGGGGGGGAATGCTGCGATGGTCGTAAGGGCGAGGACCCATCCTGAGTCACTTTTTTCAGTGCTGCCGTAACTTGGAATGGTCATTGCATGAATGTTTTTAAAACTACTGTATTTTTTAAAACGACTGTATTTTTTAAAACTACTACTACTATTAGAGTAGAAGACTTGGCTCACATACTATGTCAGTGGTGGCGAACCTATGGCACGGGTGCCAGAGGCGGCACTCAGAGCCCTCTCTGTGGGCACACATGCGCGCCGTTGTCCCAGTCCTAGGCCTTCAGCTGGGTTTTATAACACCTTTTCGCTTTAGGCCTCCACCGCCATGTACAAAAAAAAAGGTTCAATCAATCAGTCAATTTCAACTTCTCGCAGGGAAAAAAAAGATCTTGCAAAGTTGGAATTGATTGATTGAACTTTTTAGTCCCACCCAGTCTGCCATTACCACTGCAGCCACGCCCACCCAATGGGCCACGCCCACCCAATGGGCCACACCCACCCGGCACCCGACGACGCATAAGTGGGTTTTGGGTTGCAGTTTGGGCACTCGGTCTCTAAAAGGTTCGCCATCACTGGTATAGGATTTTATTAATATTATATGTTTGGAACTCTGTATTTTGATAAGCCCTATGGGCTAATCAATAAACTAAACTAACTAAAAACTAAAACTTTCTTTCTGGAAAAGAGGACAAAGGAACATAATCTAGGCTGGAGGAGGGGGCTCACCGGTCTCTTGAGTTGGGGCCATGTATAATTCATCCATTCTGTCCTCTTCGGGGTACTTCACCACGACTGCGACAGTTGGCTTGGTGATCACCACTGCAAAGAAGAAAGGAACCCCCCGTTAAGAAAATTTCCTGCCCCCCAACAAGGCTGGGGAGACGGTACTGAGAGTGGTTTTGCTCTCACTTACCGGGGTACCGAGGACCCAAAGTCGGGGTGTTGCCGAAAAGTACCCCCTGCTCTTCCGAAATCGTCGTGTCTTTGGGCAACTGGAGATGTCGAGAAGGAAAGAAAAGAACAGGCAATGAACAGGAAGACAAGATACAGGTGGTCCTCAGCTTAAGACCACAAGCGAGCCCAAAATTTCTGTCGCTAAGCGAGACCTTTGCTAAGTGAGTTTTGTCCCACTTTAGGACCATTCTTGCCACAGTTGTTAAGTGAATCGCGGCAGTGGTTAAGTTAGTTTGTCAGAGCGTGCATAGTTTTATTGCGCTGAGATAACCCAAGAGTAAATAGGGTAAACAGTGGTCTATATTAAATGGTGGTGTATCTTATACTATCTACAATATCATACACCAGGAACGATATACATACACGCGTTAATACAGCAATCTCGAACACACCATAGTTACAGCAGGAAAAAGAAGAGAGAGAGACACTCCAGCAAAAGCCTTCCCTTTTATACTCAGGCTCTTAAAGAGATGCAGACCCTGCTGAGTCATTCCTATCATTGCATCATCCACCTTATAATCCGTTACATCATTACATAATAAGCTGCTTAGCTATTAAATTATTCCCCTGACCTAGTTACATGTTTGTGAAGTGGATGTGGTTTCCCCATTTTTATCAGATCGCAAAAAGCGACTACATGACCACACTGCGACCGTCGTGAATGTGAGTCAGTTGACAACTGTCTGAATTTTGATCACGTGACCGTGGGGAATGCTGTAATGGTTGTTAAGCGTGAAAAAATGCTTATAAGTCACTTTTTCGGTGATGTTGTAACTTTGAACAGTCACTAAAGGAACCGTTGTAACTTGAGGATGACCTGTATCCCTTGGACCGGATGATTCTTCAGAACAACTGTGGTTAAAAAAATCAAATTATGGGTATGTATCTGTGTTTCCGTAGATGCTTTTGAGATTTATCACTACACGCAAGGGGGTTGGGCCTTGGATTGGCCATCTTGGAGACCTTATTAAACGTAATATTTCCATGTTATATGAGATCTGCCTGTCCTTATTGAACCCTAACAGAATGAGTTGGAAGGGATCTTGGAGGTCATCTAGTCCAACCCCCTGCTCAAGCAGTAGACCTGTGCCATTCTAGACAAATGGCTGCCCAGTCTCTTCTTAAAAGAAGTTATAGGGAGCACCTTCTGGTGGCAAACCGTTCCACGGATCAATTTTTTCTCACTGGTAGGAATTTTTTCTTTAGTTCTAGGTTGTTTCTCTCCTGCCTTCTGGTGCTTTGGCGAATAGGTTGAAAAGCAGAAGACCGATTCAAATGACCTTCTATCATCTCCTGGTGGCTCACGTTCCAATCAGCGACCATTTGAGATTGCGTTATATTTGAAGTTGGGCATTCATTTATTTTTTCACAGATTTTTTTTTTTTTTTTACCTCTTCCACAGTTCTCCAGTGGACCCCACACTTACCATCGCTGGAGTAACGGCTGCAAAACATAAACCAGAGACAGAATAGTGATTAGAACTTCTGAGGAGAACCCTCCAGCTTGCCCAGAAGCCCACTGCCCCACCGCCTTCCCTTCCCGTGCCAGCAAACCCACCTTCTGCTTCCTGTGAATCGCTGCCCAGGGCGGGAGGGGTGGGGGGCTCCGGGCGTGGTTGTGGCGCATCACTAGTAGCGTCCGGGTGGATCTGGAGTAGGAATTCACTCTCTCCTTGGATGGTCAGCGTTTGGTGCAAGGTCTGAATGTGGTAGCCCCTCCCCGCAGGGCAGATTTCTCTGAACGCTGCTACTCAGCCGGGAGGGAAAAACAAGACAGTCAGATGCGTGATTATGGATGAAACGTGTAACAGTGACACCCATTGTCATCGGGGCACTGGGAAGTATGTCCAAAAACTTTGAAAAATACATCAAGAAACTGCAGCTTTCTGCAATAACTCCAGCCATGTTACAAAAACTGCGCTCCTCGGAACATCTTATATTTTAAGGAGGTGCCTGGTTGACACCTAGGATGCTGGTCGCAACCCATGTCAACCATCAGCACCAGCCAATTTGAATGTTCAGTTGACTGAGGTTTACGTCTAATGAATCATCATCATCATCATCATCATCATCATCACCATCTCTGGGACTTCAGAATTCAAACAGACAAGCACCTGCAACATAACACCCCGGACTTAATAATTGTCGATAAAAAAGACAAAAAAGTCTGGATAGTGGACGTGGCAGTGCCTGGAGACAGCAGAATAGACGAGAAAGGAGAAGATCACAAAATACAAAGACCTACAAATAGAAATAGAAAGACTGTGGCAAAAGCAAGCAAGGGTAGTAGTACCAATAGTCATAGGCTCCTTGGGTGCAATCCCAAAACAACTGGAGCACCATTTGAACACCACTGGCATTGACAAATTTGCTATTAGTCAATTGCAAAAGGCGGCCTTACTAGGAACTGTCTCCATCCTATGACGAGATCTGTAATACCATCAAACATCCACATCTGCCTATCCCAGGTCCTTGGTAAGGACTTGATAGGTAGACAAATATGCCAAATCCAGTCTGAACATCTGGCTGACTGTGCAATTAATAATAATAATAATAAGAATAAGAATAAGAATAAGAAGAAGGAGAAGGAGAAGGAGAAGGAGAAGGAGAAGGAGAAGGAGAAGAAGAAGAAGAAGAAGAAGAAGAAGAAGAAGAAGAAGAAGAAGAAGAAGAAGAAGAAGAAGAAGAAGAAGAAGAAGAAGAAGAGTTGGAAGGGATCTTGGAGGTCATCTAGTCCAACCCCCTGCTCAGGCAGGAAACCCTATACCATTTCGGACAAATGGCTGTCCAGTTTCTTCTTAAAAACGTCCAGTGTTGGAGCACCCACAGTTTCTGGAGGCAGGTGGTTCCACGGGTTAATTGTTCTAAATAATGCAAGTTGCGGAGCAGGGTGAATTCTGATCCCGTGACCCCGGGGGATGCTGCAACGGTCGTAAGTGTGAGAAACGGCCCTACTGTAAGTCCCTTTTTGGGGTGCTGTTATAACTTCGAACGGTCGCTAAACAAATGGCTGTCAACCGAGGACTGCCGATAGTCCACTCCGCGCAAGAGAAGCGGCCCAATGTTTGGAAGAGAAGTGGCCCAACGTTTGGAAGACAATGCCGAGCGAGGACAGCATGAACACGGAGAGAGAAGTCAAAGCCACCAACAGGACGGAGGAGAAGCAGATCCGAGCAGGTGAGCTTGAGAAAGCTGACAACGGACCTTTCCGCCCTCGCCCACCTGCCCTTCAACTCACCCGTTCCGTCGGCCGGGCATCGTTCGCAATGGACACCCCAGGCTTTGCCCACGCTGCAGCAGCAGGTCTGCCGGCTCAGCTTGGTTGACAGCGGATGTTGGCACTGCTGCTCGGGGCTCACCAGACGGAAACACAGGCTCCTCTCCCCGGCTTTCTCCGCTGTGCTCCCCAAAAAAAAGAGGGACAGAGAGGGAGATCAGAGAAGGCAGAGGTTCACAGGGAAAAAGAGAATCTGCCCCACCCCCGGCATTCCCAAAAGCCGGCAACACAATTGCGACAGGGGTTGGGTGGCGGGAATGCAGCCCCTGGGTTAAATCAAGAAAGGACACCGAATCGGAGATTCTTCTTTGCGCTCCAGTTTTACTCTATTATTCTGATTTTAGTTTGTTTGCAACTCGTTATCATTTCTGTCCCAATATATTATCCACATTCTGATGAGAGAGAATAGAATAGAATAGAATGTGGAATAGAATGCAGAATAGAAGAGAAGAGAAGAGAAGAGAAGAGAAGAGAAGAGAAGAGAAGAGAAGAGAAGAGAAGAGAAGAGAAGAGAAGATGGAATGGAATATAGAATAGAATAGAATAGAATAGAATAGAATAGAATAGAATAGAATAAGAATAGAACAGAACAGAACAGAATAGAATAGAATATAGAATAGAATAGAATAGAATAGAATAGAATAGAATAGAATAGAATAGAATAGAATAGAATAGAATAATGGAATGAAGAATAGAATAGAATAGAATAGAATAGAATAGAATAGAATAGAATAGAATAGAATAGAATAGAATAGAATAGAATAGAATGCAGAAATTAGAATTAGAATAGAATATGGAATGGAATATAGAATATGAAATGGAATAGAGAACAGAACAGAATAGATGGAATGGAATGCAGAAATTAGAATTAGAATTAGAATAGAATAGAATAGAATATGAAATGGAATATAGAATAGAATAGAATAGAATAGAAGAGAAGAGAAGAGAAGAGAAGAGAAGAGAAGAGAAGAGAAGATGGAATGGAATATAGAATAGAATAAAATAGAATAGAATAGAATAGAATAGAATAGAATAGAATAGAATAGAATATATGGAATGGAATGCAGAAATTAGAATTAGAATAGAATAGAATATGGAATGGAATATAGAATATGAAATGGAATATAGAATAGAATAGAACAGAACAGAACAGAATAGATGGAATGGAATACAGAAATTAGAATTAGAATTAGAATAGAATAGAATATGAAATGGAATATAGAATAGAATAGAAGAGAAGAGAAGAGAGAATGAGAGAGAGCTGAAAGTCCCCCACCCCAACCTGTCGAGATACATACGCACACAGTGGGTGCGCGAAGGTCCCAAAACCTGCCCTGGTTTACAGGCGCAACGGAAGCTTCCTTGGGTGTTCAAACACTCCCCTCCTTGGCACACGCCTTGCATGGCACACTCATTGATGTCTGTGGGAAAGAAAAAGGGAAAGACTAACCAGGGCGGCTCTTTCAATTTCCGCTCTCCGAGATTGAAGGGCCGTTCCTGGCACCTGGTGGCACGCGGCGGGCAGGGCAGGATCTCCAGGTACGATCCCACCTGATTCATGCTGCCATGGCAGGGGTAGTCCTCGAGTTACGATCATCATACAGCTTGCCCATCACAGTCGTAAGTTGGATCACCCCACCCTTTTCTTGGCACTGGTGGTTAAGTAACCCACGGTTTGCGATGGGCGTGGTTTTGCCAAAACCCACAAGGAAATTCCAATTTTGGGGCAAAACGGTGGGGAAATGCAGCCGCGTGGCTGCCAGGATGCTACCAATGGAGATAAATGTGCCTGAATGGCTTTCAATGTGCCCTGTGGTCACGTGACCAAAAGCATACTAAAAACTTCACAGATTACAAGGTTTGGCTGGGAGAGATCCGGGAGATCATCTAGTCCAACCCCAGAGCAGAGTTAAGAATTCAGTCTGGTTGCATTCCTGCCGCTAACATCATTTTTTCCAAATATCCTGCAGAAGATAGAAGGAGTTGATCCCGAGACTGCTCCGAGCTTACTTATCCCCCACGTAAGGCCAATTGGATGCCTGACCTCAGCTCCCATATGCCACAACCCAGTAGAAAGGTAGACCTGATGCAGGACTTGAACTCAGAGTCAAAACGTTCTCAAAACAATTTGAAGCAAGGGCACCCGTGACAGCAGATTTTATTTATTTTCCAATTCACCGACGTTCAAATTCCAAACACAACAGATGTGGAACATACACATCCCGCTTGTGAAGACCTACCCTGGCAGTGAGTGCTGTTAAGTCGCTTGTATCCCTGCGGACAATCACTCCCCATCGTCTTTTGCACACCCAGATCTAGAAAAAGAGTATACATTTATATTTAAATCTTCCACATTCCTCTACTAAAAATAAAAAAATAACATTAAACAATGAAAGGGTCTTGATTCAGCGGACTTTGGAAACAACAAATCACACAGCCTCAAGACATTATCCCGGAATATGCTATAATCCAGATAATTCTTGCACATGTATGTCAGTTGTGCAGATTTGTTCTCAAGTTACAACCACATCTGAAACCGGAATCTTGGTCATTGTGCAAAGCGGTCATTATGCAAGATGTCACACGACCGCTTTGCTCAATGACCGCAATCCCGGCCCTCCCAGCTACAGTCATTAAACGATCCTGCAGGTCATTAAGCGGAGCAAGGCACAAGTTAAGGCGTGAGGGGTGTCTCAAAGGGGTGTGGGAGGCCCCGAAAGGCCTGGAGTTTGGGGGTGCTGTGGATCGGTCTCCCCGCTCTAGGGCTGAAAATCCTGCCAAAATTCAAGCAGAGCGGAGAAGCAGCGCGGTGGTGGTGGGGGGTCCGTGGGTGACCCGGGACAAGCCGTGCACAAATTGGGGGCAAGTCTCTCTGCTCTGGATCACTGGGTGGTGCAAAGTCCCGGTTGGAGGCTTACATTGCAGATGGGGGCATTTGTGGCACTTGGTCTGGCCCCAAGAGGTGCCGATGCTGCCACAGCAATCTTCCTGCTTCGTGAGACCCGGAAGCGGGTTGCTCCCACACTGAGGTCCACACCGGAAGGGAAGGAAAGAAAAAGACCAAATTCACTCATTCTCTCCTGAAATAAACCAGTCCCTAGGTTCCCCACCCCACCTCGGCCCTGCCCCAACCTCATTCTCCACCAGTGACTTTAAGCACTTGTACTTTAAGCGTCTAGTCCGCAGCGAGGACAACTGATTTGGCCTTGGCACCAACAGGGCACACTAGGCTAAAACAGGGTTGGGAAGTTTGTGGGGTTAGTCTGTTAGATTAGGTCTCAGGCTGTTTTCTTTCTAGTTTTATGTAATTCTCGCCCCCCCCCCTTAAGCTACTACATGGTTTAGTTGCACCTAGATCTGAGGGAAGCACACCACATTTGAGATTAGTGTGCTGTTTTGTACACGTGAAATTTGACGAGTGAGAATAAAAATAAATCTAATCCTGTGATCCAGGCAGAACGGTGTTGTTGTTGTTTTCAAACTTGACAACTTTAAAGACGGGTGGACTTTCAATTCCCAGAATTCCCCAGCTCAAAACACATTGAACTAGAGGCTCTCTCCTCTGCTATTTGGCCTTGAAGTTGATTGGATCCGATACACTACTTTTGAACAGGGAGGCTTGATTTTTCTACAGGTTAAATAGCTGGCCAAGATCCTTTTCCACTCACCGACTGCTTGGGCAGCGTCTCTTGAAAACAGCGCCCTAAGGGTTTCTGGGCGGGGGGACGAGTGTAGGCCGCTTTCGGAGCCGGGTGCTGGATGAGATGGTGGGCTCCCCCTGGCCCACTCCCCTCCGAGCTGAGGCTGTCGATCCGGTGGACCTTCACGGAGGCGTCCGGCGGATGATGGACCCGGACATTGACCAGCGGCTGGTGCATCTGAACTGGGAGCCCCAAAATAAACCAGGATGAGTTGGAAACAGGAAACGCAGGTTGTTACAAATGCCGTTTGCAGCCGCAGTGAAACGACTGATGTACGTTATCAATTTAAAATTAAAATAAAATAAAGCGCTGAATTCTTGATCAATGCTTTTTTTTTTGGTTCATCAGCTAGCAGATGAACGACAGGCTGGGAATTTGAGCAAGCATTTTACAGGATCCAAAGAGATGGGGTCCACTTTGAAACCCGGAGTAGGAGACAGAAAACCCTCTGCACGTGCTCGAAGATTCCCTGCTCGGCCCATCAGTGCCCAGAACTGTCCCCAAATTTCAAATTCAGCTCACAAAGGAGTTAATGTATTTATTTAGCGTATGGCAAACAGGACACGGATACCAGTAGTAAAAATATATGAAAGATACTCGTAATACTTTGTGGTACACGTATAATGTAAATTTGGGGTTCTTGTTATTCTTTGAGCTTGGTTATTTTCTTGCAGATGTTTCATTATCCAAGCATAACCCCACTTCCTCTCTAGCACTGATGTTGTTACCTAGTTGGGTCATGAAACGTCTGCAAGAAAACCATCAAGCTCAGAGAGCACCCAGGACCCCACAGTAGTCCTCCTCCTCCTCTCCACAAGCCCCCCTCCCTTCTAGCACTGATGATGTTACTTAGTTGGGTCATGAAACGTCTGCAAGAAAACCACTAGGCTCAGAAAGAAGCAAGGACCCCATAGTTATTTCTCCTCCTCCACCTCCTCCTCCTCTTCTTCTTCTTCTCCTCCTCCACCTCTTCCTCCTCCTCCTACTACTACTACTACTCACCCCTTCCTTCTAGCACTGATGATGTTACCTAGTTGGGTCATGAAACGTCTGCAAGAAAACCACTAGGCTCAGAAAGCAGCAAGGACCCCCTCACTTCAATGCTGAAACCCTACAAATATTCTCTTTTACTAATGGGAATATCTAGTCCATTTTGCATGGTTTGAGGACTCCAAGAAACGACACAGTAAGTTATAAGTTACTTTTTGAGATCCGCTGGCTCGTGACGATGGAATAAGTATTCTGTATATGCATACTGAAGCCATTGGCTCAATTAAGCCAGTATTGGAGAAAAATCTGCTTTTCCTCGGAGGGGCTTCATCGCTCCACCCTAACCCCCCCCCAGCAGCCCCCGAGCCCAGCCCCCACTTTCTCGCCCGTTACCTTCGGAGGAGTGATGGCCCAGGGGCACCATAAAAGCGGAGTGGCTCACGGTGCCTTTCGAACCCGGACCCGCGGGGCTGTCACTGTGATGATCCGAGATGACCTGGACAGCGTAAATGGCGTGCTTGCTGGAGCCCGTCTCCGCGGCGGCCCCATCGCTAGAGGCCCGCGCCTGCTGCCCCTGGCGGTTCACGGGCACCTGGCAGAAGCGGCCGGTGAATTCTGGCGGGCACAGACAGTGGTTGCCAGATGTGCATTGCCCGCCATTCATGCAAGGCAAAGGACAGACCACTGCAGCAAGGAGGGGGGAGAAACAGAGAAAAAGAGACAAAGTTAATTTTGCATGGGCCAGTCTCCCCTTTGGGGCCTCCTTTGCATCAGCCCGACCTAGCTGTTTAGCGACTGCCTCATTTAGTGACCGTTCACATTTACGACGGTGGAGAAAGGACCTTTGGGTCTCCTACGCATCAGCTCAAACTTGACACTGTCAGAGCTAAACGGCTCATACATAGTCCTTGTTTAGCGACTGCCTCATTTAGTGACCGTTCACATTTATGACGGTGGAGAAAGGAATTTTGGCTCTCCTACGCATCAGCTCAAACTTGACACTGTCATAGCTAAACGGCTCATACATAGTCCTTGTTTAGCGACTGTCTCATTTAGTGACCGTTCACATTTACGACGGTGGAGAAAGGAACTTTGGCTCTCCTACGCATCAGCCCAAACTTGACACCGCTATGCTAAACGGCTCATATATAGTCCTTGTTTAGCGACTGCCTCATTTAGTGACCGTTCACATTTACGACGGTGGAGAAAGGAACTTTGGCTCTCCTATGCATCAGCCCACACTTGACACCGCTATAGCTAAACGGCTCACACATAGTCCTTGTTTAGCGACTGCCTCATTTAGTGACGGCTCACAGTTGTGACAGTGGAAAAAGGAACTTTGCAACCAATGCTTGCCTTGATGACCTTTGCAGGACTGGAAAGCAAAGGAAAGCTGAAGTCAGATCATAAGTACAATTGTGGTTTCACTTAGTGATTGCAGAGGGGGTTCAAACGGTGTGTTTGTATGTGCGTGTTTAAACGTAAACCAAGGCATGAATCAGAAGAAACTGGACGCACAACACCTGACTCTTTCCAAAACAGAGGCGCCACTGCAGGTGTCAACTTGTGTCTTCTGGAAAAGAAGACCGGGCCGGAAGCCGAGCGAGTGTGGGCTGCCTCAAAGTTTCCACCGTGTTGTGTTGCTTGAAATAGCCAACACAACGGAGACTTTGCCGAAGAAGAGAAACAAATCAGCAGCTTCGAACCACATTAGGGCTGTTTTCATCCCCTGCAGTCGGTGCGTTGATTGCCAGCCGTGGCCTGGCCACATCCCAGCAGACCTCTTGGCCACGTTTTTTCGGAAGCGGTTCCTAGACCTGGGACTGAATGTTGGCTTAGCGTTGCCCAGCTGGTCGGGATGCCGGAGGGAGGATTGGAACTCGCAACCTCGCGCTTTCTAACTTTCTGAGCCTTGAACCGTGACCCCAAGCCGGATTTGCTGCTTGGATGATGGCAGCCAGACTCCTTTTCATACGGGCAGTCCTCACTTAACAACCGCCTTTGAGCCCAAAATTTATGTCGCTGAGAGAGTTTTGCCCCATTTTAAGACCTTTTTGGCTGCACGGATTAAATGAATCACTGCAACTGTTAAAGACTTCCTCGTTGACTTTGCTTATCAAAAGGGGTTCACATGATTTTGGGACAAAACAACCGTCATAAGTGTGAACCAATTGCCAAACATCTGAATTTTGATCACATAAGGATGGGCATGCTACAAAAGTCACAAGTGTGAAAAATGGTCCTAAGTCCCTTTTTCCAGTGATGTAACTTCAAATGGTCACGAAGTAAATTTTTGTAAGTCGAGGACTAACTATGGTTTGTCCAACACACCGTTTTTCTTTGAATACAGTTAAGGACTACTATTATACTTTTATTTATTAAAAAAGGCACTATAATTGGACTCTTAACTTTTAGTTCTGAAAGCCGTTTGTAATTAAATTGGTTAAGTATGAATTTAGAAATGTAATACTTTACATTTCATTTTATACTCCTACGCTTTATTATCCTATTATTTTAAATCACGTTTTCCCAAACTTGGTGACTTTAAGTCGCGTAGACTTCAACTCCCAGCCTGCTTTGTGGGAAATTTTGGGAGGGGAAATGCCCCCCATTTTAAAGGGTACCAAGTTTTTAAAAATACACCATTCTGAATAATCATTTAATCAGAGTACTCTACAATAAGCCGAGATTGTCCCCGGGATATCAGGCAGAAAAATAGCCTTCCTTATAGGCATTATTTCAACTGGACATACAAAGACGAATCTGGAATCTTTACCCCCAGTAATCCATGTTCTACATTTGCACAATACATCTGCACCATAAACTAACCAAACAAGCTCGGTTCACACAGCAGATTAAGTCTCCAAGGAACTCACCACAGTTTAACCCTAACCAAGCTGAAGAATTGCTGGATCTTCCACTGTGGAGCATGTGAGAACAGCCTGGTATGCAAAAATGGATAAAAAAAACACCCCACTTTGCTGCAACTGGCTAGTTCTAGTTTGAAAACTGAACTTGGCTTTGTGACCGAAAATGAAGCCCCTTCTGAATTCCACTGGCTCTTGCGCTAACTGGCTGGGTGGGAGGCTGTGTGTGCGTGTGTGTGTGTGTAAGTGTTGGTCTCCGATGTGTGTGAGTTTGCTTGGCCAGCGGTTCTGAGCAGCTTGGACACGTGAGGGGCCCCAGAGATGGGGCTGAGATGTGAAGTCAACTTTTCCATCAGGGAAAGAGAAGAGAATAGACAAGGAAGGCAGAGAGAGAAAGAGAAAGAAAGAGAGGGAGGGGAGACATGAGAGAAAGAGAGAGAGAGAGAGAGAGAGAGAGAGGAGAGAGAGAGAGAAAGAGAGAGAGGAAAGAGAAAGAGAGGAGGGAGAAAGAGAGAGGAGACAGAGAAAAAGAGGAGAGAGAGAGAGGGAGAGAAAGAGAGAGTAGAGAGAGAAAGAGACAGAAAAAGAGAGGAGAGAGAGAGAGGAGGGAGAAAGACAGAAGAGAGAAAGAGAGAGGAGAGAAGAGAGAAAGAGAGAGAGGAGAGAGAAAGAGAGGAGAGAAGAGAGGAGGGAGAAAGACAGAAGAGAGAAAGAGAGAGAAGAGAGAAAAAGAGAGAGGAGAGAGAGAGAGAGAGAGAGAGAACACGGGACCAGGGTGCGCTGCGCCTGCGCATGAAAATCAAAAACAATGTGCAGAGTGTCCCGGACCGCACTTCGTCCTGCCTCCAAATAAAAACAAAGACAAAATTCCACGCTAACCAATCCCCGTGCAAAACCAGGCTTGCTTTGGAAAGCACAAGGCGAGCCACAGATTCGGCATACGCAAATCGAGGCCAGGTTCCCACATTGCGCTGATCCCCAGTTTGTTTAGCCACAAAGAGTGATCAGCTGGATCAGCCTCCTTCTTTCCTCCCCCCCCCCCAAAAAAAACCCCAAAGCTGGTTTGCAAACTGCAAGGCTGAGCTCAACGAACAGGATCAGAGAAAACCCAAACAGAGTTAAAGAAATGCAAAGGTGCCAGGATGTACGAGGCCAGGAGATTCTGCGGGGAAGGGAGCTGTGTTCCCACAACACGTTAAACCCGGTTACTGAAAGATCCAGTTTTTATGCTTGCAATTAGCAAATGGGAAAGTGTGCACAACTCACTGCTATTGTAGAGAGGATGAGAACTTCCCACAAAGGCTAACTAACACGCATGCCAGTGAAACAGGTTACTGGCTTGGGCAGTGGGCTGGATTAGATGACCTCTAATATTTCTTCCAGCTCTGACTTTGAAGAATACTCAGCCAGAAGCAAAGCAAACTAAGAATTAACCCAGGTTAAAACTCCACCAGTTCAGCGTGCCATAAAAAACTCAGCCCCCTCCGGGCTCTCTCGTTCCCTGTTTTCCCAGGAAATGAATCCAAAACGGCTCCCAGTAACACGAGGCAATGTCAACAAACCTAGGTTAATTTCTACAAGTGAGATTCTCTGTGGCTTGTTTATTCTTTCCCACAATCCGAAGTGCCCAAGAGAACAGCCCTTCCCAACCAGTCCTTGAATGGGACTACGACTCCCAAGTTTAAGATAAAGGGGGAAGCAGATGCAAAAAACGGGGCTTGGCACAGGCTGATGGCTCAGGGGGTGTGCATGATGGGAACTGTTGCCAAAAGAGCTGGAGGGGCTGAGTTTTGTCCATCTGGAAGATACTCAGCTAGGGAGGCATCCAGAGGGGATTGGGAATGGGGCAATGGGCGGCGTAGTCCCTACTAAGGACTTGCCAAGGTGGATGGGCAAGGGAACCCCTCCTGTCGACCGGTTGCAAACAGCCAAGCTGGGGGCTGATGGGTGGTGTAGTGCGTACCAATCGAGGGACTTGCCAAGGTGGAAAGCATTGGGCACTAGAACCTGTCCCATCAACAAAGGGGTTGCAGGGAACCCAGTTGGAGAGGCTGATGGGTAGTTTAAGGAAATTGGCAAAGTGGAACTTAGCCAAGGCAGTACAACACGTCCCATCAACAAGAGGATTGCAGAGAGCCATACTTGGGGCTGATGGGTGTAGCCATACTTGGGGCTGATGGGTGGTGTCGTCCATGCAATTTAAGAGACTTCCCAAGTGGGAACCATTGGACAATAGAAAACGTCCCATTAAATAAGGAGTTGCAGGGAGCAGGGCTGGGGGGGGGGGCTGATGGGTAGTAGCGTCCATGCCATCTCAGGACCTTAACAAACCTGAAAGCACTGGGCAGTATAACATGTCCCATCAACAAGAAGGTTGCAGAGAACCAAGCTTGGAGGTGAGGGGTGATGTAGTCCATGCCATTTAAGGGACTTCCCAGGTAGAAAGAAATGGGCAATAGAACACAAAGGGGCTCCAGGAAGCCAGGTGGGGAGGCTGATGGGTGGTGTAGTCCGTGCCACCTAAGAGACTTCCCAAGTGGAAAGCACCGGGCAGTACAACACGTCCCATCAACCAGGGAGTTGCAGGGAACCGGACTGGGGGAGGCTGATGGGTGGTGTAGTCCATGCCACCTAAGAGACTTCCCAAGTGGAAAGCACGGGGCAGTAGAACACATCCCATCAACCAGGGAGTTGCAGGGAGCCAGGCTGGGGGGGGCTGATGGGTGGTGTAGTCCGTGCCACCTAAGGGACTTCCCAAGTGGAAAGCAATGGGAGAGTACAACACGTCCCATCAACCAGGGAGTTGCAGGGAGCCAGGCTGGGGGAGGCTGATGGGTGGTGTAGTCCATGCCATCTAAGAGACTTCCCAAGTGGAAAGCACGGGGCAGTACAAGACATCCCATCAACAACGGAGTTGCAGGGAGCCAGGCTGGGGGGGCTGATGGGTGGTGTAGTCCATGCCATCTAAGAGACTTCCCAAGTGGAAAGCACGGGGCAGTACAACACATCCCATCAACAACGGAGTTGCAGGGAGCCGGGCTGGGTAGGCTGATGGGTGGTGTAGTCCGTGCCACCTAAGGGACTTCCCAAGTGGAAAGCCTGGGGCAGTACAACACGTCCCATCAACCAGGGAGTTGCAGGGAGCCGGGCTGAAGGGCGGGGCGGCTGATGGGCCTTGTAGTCCTGAACTCCCGCCAACTCCTCCCCCACGGCAGGCGGGCCCCGGGGCTGGGGGGGGGAGGAGGAGACCCCGGGCGGGCACTCACCCACGCGGAACCCGGAGCCGGTCAGCGTGTCCATGGCGTGGCCGTTCTCGCCGATGAGCGTCATGTTGCTGCCCGGCTTGCAGCTGTCCCGGCAGCGGCCCTTCTGGCAGGTCCGCTCGCAGATGAGCGGCGCGAAGACCACCTTGAAGCGCTCCCGCGCCAGCGCCGCCCGCTCCGAGGGGCCCGAGCCGGCCGACCCTCCCCGGCCCGGCCAGCCCCGCAGCGCCCGCGGCCCCAGCGCCAGCAGCAGCGCCAGCAGCAGCCCGGCCGCGCCCGCCGGGGGCATCTTGGCATCCCGCGCCGCCCCGGCCGGAGGCAGGCAAGGAGGGAGGTGGAGGAGGAGGCGGCGGCGGCGGCAGTGGCGGCCGCTTCTCGCTCTCCGGCCCGCCTGGCGCAGCCAATCTCCGGCCGGGGGCAGGAATCTGGGAGCGCCGCCAACAGGCGCCGGAGAGGCCGGGCCGGGCCGGCAGGGGGCGCGGGGAAGGGCGGCGGCGGCGGAGCCCGGGGCCGACCCGTCGACGAGCCCCCCCCCGCGCCGGGGAGCCGTTTTCCCCCCCTTTCAATTGCACCGGTGGGCAGCCACCCCCCCCCCGCCCCGGGAAGCCCCCCTTCAATTGCACCGGTGGGCGGAGACCCCCCCCTGCCCCGGGAAACCCCCCTTCAGTTGCACCGGTGGGCGGCGACCCCCCCCCTGCCCCGGGAAACCCCCCTTCAGTTGCACGGATGGGCAGCCACCACCCCCGCCCCAGAAAGCCCCCCTTCAATTGCACGGATGGGCGACGACCCCCCCTGCCCCGGGAAGCCCCCCTTCAATTACAGCAGTAGGCGGCGACCCCCCCTCCCGGGAAGCCCCACCCCTCAATTGCACCGGTGGGCGGCCACCCACGCCCCGGGGAGCCGTTCACACCCTTCCAATTGTACGGATGGGCGGTCACCCCCCCCGCCCCGGGAAGCCCCCCTTCAATTGCACCCCCCCCGCCCCGGGAAGCCCCCTCTTCAATTACACCAGTGGGCGGCGACCCCCCCCCCGGAAGCCCCACCTTCAATTGCACTGGTGGGTGGCGACCCCCCCTGCCCCGGAAAGCCCCCCCCTTCAATTGCACCAGTGGGCGGCTACCCTCGCCCCGGGGAGCCGTTCACCCCCCTTCCAATTGCACGGGTGGTCAGTCACCCCACCCCCCGCCTCGGGAAGCCCCCCTTCAATTGCACCGGTGGGCAGCCCCCACCCCCCCCCGCCCCGGGAAGCCGCCTCCCCTTCAATTGCGCGGGTGGGGGCGACCCCCGCTCCGGGGAGCCGTTCACTCCCCCTTCCAATTGCACCGGTGATCAGCCCCCTGCAATTGCACCCGTGGGCAGCCCGCCTTGGATCCCACCCTTCCTCCGGCGGGTCCCCACCAGACCCAAAACTTCAAACTTTCTCCCCCAAATTCGCTCCTGGCGCGAGAAAGCGCTGCCCACCGTGGGGGGGGGGGCAGAGCAAGGAGAATGAGGCCCGACGGGGCAGGAGTGGAAGAGCTGAGAAGCTGACCTGGCTCCCATCATCCGTGGCCATCCGCTGGATTGGTGGGCGCGATGGGAGCTCAACTTTTCCAAACTTAAAGAGTTCTTGGAAGTTTCAAATGTCTCCCAGCGGTTTAAAATAAAAGTCTGGGCTGTGTTGCTTTCAGAAGGGGGTTTGATTTTAAGGCATACGTGGCTTTGCTCTCTTTCTCTTCTCATCTCTCTATTCATTTCTTTCTCCATCTATCCCTCTTTCTCTATCTCACCTCTCTCATGATCTCCCTCCCTCTTTACATCTATCATCTATCTACCTTTCTCTCTCTCTAACTATCTATCTCTATCCATCATCTATCTTTCTCTATCATTATCTATCTATCTATCTATCTATCTATCTATCTATCTATCTATCTATCTATCTATCTATCTATCTATCTATCCAGTGCTTTTTTTGTAATAATAATAATAATAAAAAGGTGCCGGAACTCACACACACGTCACACAACCCGCCTTGCCTACCCTACAAGGTCCATCCAAAAAAGGTGCTGGAACTCCATTCTGGGCGTTCTATGAGAAAAAAAGCCCTGTGTCTGTCTGTCTGTCTGTCTGTCTGTCTGTCTGTCTGTCTGTCTATCTATCTATCTATCTATCTATCTATCTATCTATCTATCTATCTATCTATCTATCTATCTATCTCTTTACCAATTAACCAGTGGAACAACCTGCCTCCAGAAGCGACAAATGCTCCAACATTGGAAGTTTTTAATAAGAGACTGGACAGCCATTTGTCCGAAATGGTATAGGGTTTCCTGCCTGAGCAGGGGGTTGGACTAGATGACCTCCAACATCCCTTCCAACTTTATTATTATTATTATCTCTATCTCCATCCATCATCTATCTCTCTACCTATTATCTCTCTTTGTATCATCATCTATCTCTCTACCTATCTATTCTCTCTCTCTCTCTCTCTCTCTCACACACACACACACACACACACACACACAAACACACACACATCTACCTACCTATCTAAATAAATTTATATACTTGCTCAGAGTCACTGGATAGTGAATCTAATGTCACACTCCTTTACTCTGAATTAAACACAGTTCTTTTTAAGAGGAACTATTTGACCCCAGATCCAGATAATCAGATTCGGAAATGTCACCAGAGCCAGCAAAAGCTGCACTGTTTCTCTTTTGGACTAAACAAGCCGTGTTGGAGCTGGTCAAGTTTGCAGACAGCTCGGAAGCAGAAGAAAAGAGCTCGTGGATGAATTGCCCATTATAAAGACCAACATCAAAATTCCTCCCACACCTTTTGTTTAGGCTTTGCCATTTCCACACAGCAGCGTCAACAGTACTGAAAACAGGATTAAAAGTAGTTCTTGTCTTAGACCACAACTCACCCCCCCCACCACAATTTCCATTGCCAAGCAAAACAGATTAAAAGTAGTCCTTGACTTACGACCACAACTGACCCCCCCCACAATTTCCACCGCTAAGCAAAAGTTTAAATTAGTCCTTGATTTACGACCACAACTGACCCCCCCACACAATTTCCATCACTAAGCAAAACAGTATTAAAAGTAGTCCTTGACTTACGACCACAACTGACCCCCCCAATTTCCACCGCTAAGCAAAACAGATTAAATTAGTCCTTGATTTACGACCACAACTGACCCCCCCACAATTTCCATCGCTAAGCAAAACAGGATTAAAAGTAGTCCTTGACTTACGACAACAACTGACCCCCACACAATTTCCATCACTAAGCAAAACAGTTGTTTTAAGTGAGTTTTGCCCCATTTTATCACCTTTCTTGCCACAGGAATGAATGAATCACGACAGTGTTGAGTTAGCCACCCGTTTGTTAAGTCAATCTGGCTTCCCCATTGACTTTGCTTGGCAGGGCACAAAAGGGGATCAAGTGACCCTGGGACATGGCAGCCATCAATACCGGCCAGCGCTAAATGGCCAAATTTTGATCACATGACCATGAAGAGGCTACAATGGCCGTGTGGAAAATAGTCCTACGTCGCTTTTTTTCAGTGCCGTAACTTTGAATGGTCTCCAAATTGGCAAATTTAAGACTTGCCTTCACTAGCTAGGTCAGGGGGTTGGACTATATGACCTCCAAGGTCCCTTCTAACTCTGTTATTCGGTTATTCTGTTAAAAGACAGTTTAAATGCAGTGAGGATACCGGCCTGGAATAGAAGGACCTGCAATTAGATAAAACTCTCTATAAACAAAAAGTAGTTGATCTTTCTGTGGCTTCATGGCTACTTTTTATCCGTGATTTGCAAGAAGAAAAAATAAACTCACGCACTAAAGAAAGGGTGCCTTGTAGCAGGAGAAGAAAAAAAAAAGCCTTAGGTTTTATTTTAGGAAGTTGCAACATTCTTATTATAGAAAAACCTGTAAAGTTTTCTTTGGGAAGTTGCAAAATTCTTATTATCTTTGCAACCATTTTCCTCCAAAATTTTATTGTGTAACAGCTTTATGTTTAGGCCTGCCGGCATCCAAAGGAAGGTTGACTTGAAAAAAAATCCGTATTACGTGGGGAAATTTAGGCTCCTGAATTGTTTGCACCAATCTAGGATCATAAGGAGGGGGGCAGACCACCCCTCCTAAGTACTCATAAGCCTTCGGGTGTTGTAGCTGTTATCAACACTTTTCTTCTCCTCTTTGTGATCTGAAGGAAACCGAATTGTTTCTTCAGTTTCTTTTAAGGCACCTTGAATGGTCAGGCATCAAATTCTTTCTCTGTTATTTAAGTTATTAAATAAAGCTTTCGAGAAGGATCCAACTGGTCCTTTAACCAGGGTGGATCAGAAGCACCCTCACAGCAATGCTTAGCTTTTCCAGCTCCACAACTGAAACACTTTTCTTTGTCTGCCTTTTCTGATCGACCAGCTTTCACAGCCATATGTCACAACGGCAAAACCACAACTCCCAGGATACCAATTAGACTGGACTACGGTGCAAGATCCTGATGGTGTAGCTGTGCGATTGTGGGTGCAATTCAGCTATTACAGTACTTAAATAAATGTTTCTCCATCTTGTCACCTTTAAGATGGGCGGACTTCAACTCCCAGAATCCCCCATGTCAATTTTGATCACATAAACCGTGGGGACGCTGCAATGGTTATAAATATGAGTCAGTTGCCAAGAATCTGACCACGGGGATGCTGCAAAAGTCATAAGGGTGAAAAATGATCACATGTCCCTTTTTTTCAGGGCCACTGTAACGTCAAGTGAGTTTTAAAAAGTTTTAAGTCGAGGATCACCTGTAGCTTATTGGCAAACACCTCCAGAGCAGGCCAGAAAACCCAACGGAAGCCCCACAATGTCCAACAGACAGTGTTGCTGAGGAATTAGCCACGGCTACAACGTGGCTTGGAAATTCTGGGCGTTGTAGTCCACAGGACTTGAAGCGGGGCGTTCTGGAGCTTCTGCCCCAATTTTTTACCCCAGTTGGGATGTGACCAACGAGCTTGGCCTGGCCTGAAAGGGTTAACTACAGCCAGGCCTGATAGTGTTGTTGGTGTGTATGACAGCCACAGGGGAGGATCTGTCTGGCATCTGCAAGGAAGCCCCTGCAGCTTTCTGGGGAGGGGGTCAGGAGGTCAGGAAAGGCGCGTGTCTCCCAGGCTTCGGGGGGGGGGGGAGGGGGGGGCAGAGGAGGGGGCATGCTGGAAAATGCTAATGCGGCCCCCCCTTCCCCATCCCCAGGGAGCAGGGAGCAAGCAGTGCAGAAGGGCTGGCGAAGGAGAAGCGTCTCCCCCCACCCCTTTTGCAGAGAGGGAAGGCCAACTGTGCTGGGCTCACACAATGAGCCCAGATGAAACCCTGAACAAAGAAAAGGGGGGGGGCAGGGAAGGTGCCCGGGTGGCTGGGGGGGGGGGCTGTCTCTGGTGGCCGTCCTGGCCAAGCTGGCATGGAAGGAGAACAGACTATTATGAAATCTGGGGAACTTTTTATGATTGGCTGAAAAGAGAATACGGTTAAAAGATAGTTAACATCAATTTAGATGGAAGAAGAAGGAGCAGATAAGGAGGGAGATCCAGGCGACACAGTATTGAATAATTGGAGGTGGTATAAATATTTATAGAAGTATATACCGAGAAGGTTAGACAAATAGAAGTATTAATGTAAGAGAACATTAATCTTATTGTATATAATACAGATAGGGTACTTATTTCATTTTATTAAAAGTATCTTATATATGAATGTAAAAAGAGTGTATGTTAACATTTGATAAATATCACGGTATATGTATGGGGGAGAGTTTGGAAAAATAAAAAAATTATTAAAAAGAAAAGAAAAAAAAAAGATCTGCAGGGTGGAAGCTTGCTTGCTGGCCTGTAATAAACCTGCCATTTAATCTGGGGCTAAAACTCCATTTGGCACCCCATATTTGTAGTCCTTCATTTTTAAAGAGGGTTTCAGTTTTCCTGGACCGACCATATTATCCTGCAGTCTTTTACTCCCGGATGAAAAATATATGTGGCAAGGATGGATCCTGTATTTTGGGTGAGCAGCTTCAGACTTAACAAACTGGGATCGGCACAAGATTTGCATCCCTAATAGCCAAGCATTTTCCTTCGCCACTCGGTTCCCGCAAAGATTACAACTCATCCGCACCGAGTCCAACAGGGAACATGTCAAGTTCAACTGTTTTTCACTCGCGGGACATCTTTAAATCTCTTACAACGAAAGCAGATATTCTACATCTAAGTTGAAAAATAACATTTGGCCCTGGGGAGGGTTGAAGATGCATTGATTTGGGCAGAGGGAGGGAAGGAGGGAGGGAGGAAGGAGATTGGAATGAGGAAGAGGGAGAAAGGGAAGGAAGGAAGGAAGGAAGGAAGGAAGGAAGGAAGGAAGGAAGGAAGGAAGGAAGGAAGGAAGGAAGGAAGGAAGGAAGAAGCAATGGAAAGGTTGGGTGGAAGAAATGGAAAAAGCAAGAAGAGAGGGAAGGAAGGTGAAAGGGAAGGAAGGAACAAACAAACTAAGATAGGAAGGAAGGAGAAAGGGAGGAAGGAAGGAAGGAAGGAAGGAAGGAAGGAAGGAAGGAAGGAAGGAAGGAAGGAAGGAAGGAAAAAACTGCCCAGAGGTAACCACAATTGTCTTGGCAAGTCCTGACTGGCCGAGCAATGTATTAGCCACGATTTACGGCATAAGCCACAATGGCCTTAGTTTGCTCATTGCCCAAACCCACAAACCAAAGTAACCTTCACTATGGTTGCACAACCTGTTTAGTTGAGGCACAACATATCACAATGCGATTTAGTGAGGGAGTTAGGTTAAAGCACGCTGGCTGGGGGATTCTGGGAGTTGAAGTTCACCCATCTTAAAGAGTTGAAAAATGCTCTCTACCAATGGCATAAAGGTACGGTCTGCACACACAGATCCTGCCCTGCTTGATGGCCTCTTTAGTACCTATGTCCTATGATAATATAGCAGCAGAAAGAGAGGCTAAGTTCAACCAGTTGTAAAACCACCCCTTCTTCAACCTTTTCCTTCCTGCCCTTCTACATGGAGGAGCTCCTAGCTTGGTGCCATCACCCAACTTCACAACTGACTGATCGGGCGCCTAAGCTGGGCTGACACACCGCCCAGGAACACAGACTGACTCAATGGGTTGCATTCACACAACCCAAACTCTGAAGGGGGCAAGATTAAGTTGGCAAGCTGTGCATTGGCACCTGTTTTGCCTTCCACCGGTGGAATTAACCAAGTCTGAGGGTTTTAGCTTCTCGCATGCATCCCTCCGCACAAGGGGGCTGAAAGGGTTAATCCCCCCCAGCTCTGGTTTCCCCCTCCCCCTCCTCCCTCCCAGAGTCCATTGAGGCTCTAGGCCTCCCCAGGGTATCAACTTCAACCCCACCCCCCTTTTGTGATGGCGTGTGCCATCCCGTGCCCCCAATCTGCATAATGGCAGGGTCCACACGCGCGCCAGGGCGAGCCTCCATCTGCTGCCCGGCTTCCAACTCCCATCCCTGAGGGATTTGCAGCCACGCAGCCAGATCAGCCCCCATTGGCTGCTCTGCAGCAGCCATCTGGGGCCTTCAGCTTGCACAAAAGCAGCCCCAGACCTTTATATGGGGGGCAGACGCCCCTGCCCACACAGGCCAGCTGCATCCAGCCGAGCGGGGACGCACCAGCCCAGTCAATCAGCCCCACCAGAGTCTCAGCCCGTAGGTTCACCTTGGAGGGAGCGTCCGTGCGGCAGGCACCGAAGCACCGTGGCAACAGCGAGGTGGCATTCCCAAGATCCTAAACCTCAACCTCCTCCTTCCACAGATTTTTCCAAGTCTCCCTTTAAAATGCCACGCGGGTTCCTTGTGAAGAGGACGCACCGAGGAACGCCTGTCTCGTACCGGATCCGGACTCCGCCGAACGAACATTTCCCATCCTCGCAACCGGGCCCTGCAGTCCATCGAAAGCAGCCCAAAGTTGGGGGGCTGCCTGACACCCAGCTTCCCAACCTGGCCCCCCTGCGCCTCATCAGTGCCATGCCGCTCTCCAGCTGCCACGATCGGGGGCACAACGCCGGGTGCCCGGCGCCAGGAGAATCGGCACCTGCTTGCCCCTTGCAGTCTCCTGGTTCAGGCTCGGCCTGTGCCGGGGCCAAGCCGATGAAGAGGGCCAGCGTGGCGCGAGGGGGCCTAGTCTTGCTGGGCGCCTTCGTCTGTCAGCTGTGCCAGGAGTCTTACCCCGGTCCGCTGGCGTTGGCACAACACTGTTGCTCCCGCATCGCCCGGGTCGAGTACCGCTGCCACGAGTGTAACAAAGCTTTCAGCTGTCCGGCCAACCTGGCTTCCCACCGCCGCTGGCACAAGCCCCGAAGAGAAGGACACCTGGAAGGAGCCAAGGAGAACGAGAACCCCAAACCAGCCCATGACTCCGGTGCCCTGCTGCACCCCGAGCTCTCGGAGGGGAGCTATGGCTGCCCGCACTGCCCCAAACGCTTCCGACGGAGGGCTTACCTGTCTAAACACCTGGCACTGCACGATGCCACCGGGCCGGTGCTCTCCGAAAGCCAGCGTCTGCATGGCAACCGTCTCTCGGCCTCTTGGCCTCAAAAACCATTTTAATACTTGCTTTTTCCAAAGACAGCTGGCAGAGATTTCCCACCCAGGCGGAGACGATGCTGCCTTTGCAAGCTGACAAGTTTAGAGTTTATTCCCGTCCCCCCCCCCCCGTGACTTTTCCTGGGCAGGTGGTGGGAACGTCCAGGCAGTCCATACACGCAGGACCGAAAGCCCGTGTTGTGTGCCCTGACGAGACAGGTTCACCCTTGTCGTTGGTGTCCTTCAGCCGAGGGAGGGGAGAGACAGTGTTGTTTGAAGGGGTGGGTGGAAGGAGATATGGGGGTTTGGATGCAGAGGTATCTTTCTCTGCACCCCCAAATTAGCTTCCCGCCGATGGAGGAAGGGAAACAACGCTCAAAATAAGCATTTTTGCTGTAAAGCTTTCCCCTTTTGAGGATAGGGTGCTGGTTTACGGGGGACTTTTTGTGAATGGAAGGTAGAGTAAAAAGACTTTTTTTTAAAAAAAAAAATCTAAACCTTTCTTGTGTCTTTTCTACCCGTGTGAAAGGAGCAAAATGCGAGAAAGATGTTGGCAAGTTGGGAATTTGAAGTGAAAAATAATGTTATCGCAGAACTTAAAAGGTATGAGAAGCGAAAAGGCGATACTATTCCATCTAGCTTTTTCACCAGCCGATAATTATTTCTACTGAATCGAACAGAATAGAATAATAGAGTTGGAAGGGACCTTAGAGGTCTTCTAGTCCAACCCCTGCTACCTGTATAGTGTCTTTAAAGGTAGTCCTCGACGTACAAGAGTTCACTTGGTGACGGTTGAAAGTTACAATGCCACCGAACAATGTGGCTTAGGACCGTTTTTTTCACATGACCGTTGCAGTCTCCCTGTGGTCACTTGATCAAAATTCGGACGCTTGGCAACTGACTCGTATTTACGACGGTGGCCGTGTCCCAGGGTCACGTGATCCCCTTTGGCGAAGTCAATGGGACACAAGTCAGATTCACTTAACAATCAGGTTACTAGCTTATCAACTGCACGATTCACTTAACAACTATGGCAATGGAAGCCGTAAAAATGGGGCGAAACTGACTTAACAAACGTCTCCCTGAACCACAAAAATTTGGGGCTGAGTTGCGGTCATAAGTCAAGGACTACCCGTATTTGAAACGTCCAACTTCTGAAGTTGTAGCCTGTCGGGGGGGGCGGGGGAAGCAGAGAATTTTGGCGCCTTTTTAAAAAGTTACTCCATCCCTGGGAAATATAGATGGACCCAAATCTTTAATGTGCTGTTTTTTTTTTTTTTAATACGTAGGCAGGCACTGATTTTTTATTTTTTTTTAAATACCTTGAGTGAGACTTAACTCCTGGTCATTTCTTAACAAGCTACAGAGGAAATATATATATATATATATATATATATATATATATATATATATATATATATATATGTATATATATTAAATGGAATTCTCATTTTGTGCAATGGTTCTCTTAGGGCAGGATTTCATTTCCATACTTGCGTAATTGTGAGTTCAGGTGTTTTCGCCGCTCTTTCTTGGGGAATTACTTTAAGAAAAATAAGAACAACATCAGGAGTGAGGTTTTTGACTTCTTTCCGTGTAGGAATTTGCTTTTAAGTCCCTGATGGATATTTTCCTCTTTTGCAGAAGTTAGGTGTATTTTTCCAACGGTCAAAAGGGACATAAAAAAAGAGAGGAACTTCTCTGCCAAATTCTTTTGGCAGCGGTTTCCCAAACTAGGCGCCAGTTTGCTGATGGGGAAGAGGGAGGGAAGGAAAGCCCCTTTGCACATGCTCAGAGTTACTCTTTATTTTACCTGGAAAACTTCCCCCCCCCCTCTAATCTGGCAAATCAAAGCAAGCAAGGCTGGTGCAGAAGAGAGAGGGAGAGAGATGGGGGGGGGAAGGGGAAGGGGCTTCAAACATGTATTTCTGAACAACAGCACTCAGCACCTTCCCCTTTTCTAACTAGAAAATTATATTGCCGAAAATTAAGAGAATTCTTGATATTGATGCTTGGGTTCCTTTCCGGTGCAGCAAATGTATTTTTCGGTACAACGTTCAGGAATTATACGCTTCTGTCTTTGATACTGTGCTTGACCCGGTGAATTTTAATATTTTTTAAAAAGTGCCCAGGAAATTTTATCCAGACGCTTGGGGGCTGGCACAAGTTTCTTCCTTCCTTTTTTTTTTTTCTTTTTAATTGTTGTTCAGCTTCCAAAAGATAGCAAGAGCTGTTTCTAGCAACATTTCCATAGAGGCTGGGATGTATTTTTCCCTCCCTCCCTTTTCCTTCTTTCTTTTCTTTTCTCTCTTTTCTTTCTTTCTTTCTCTCTTTTCTTCTTAATTGTTGTTGTTCAGCCTCCAAAGATAGCAAGAGCTGTTCCTAGCAACATCTCCATGGAGGCTGGGATGTGTATTTCTCTCCCTCACTTTTTTCTTTTTCTTTCTTTCTCTTTTCTTTTCTCTTTTTAATTGTTGTTCAGCCTCCAAAGATAATAAGATCTGTTCCTAGCAACATCTCCATGGAGGCTGGGATGTGTATTTCTCTCCCTCACTTGTCCTTCCTTCTCTTTTTTTTTCCTTTCTCTCTCTTCCTTCCTTCCTTCTCCTCTTTTCTTTTTAATTGCTGTTGTTCAGCCTCCAAAGACAGCAAGAATTGTTCCAGGCAACATTTCCATGAAAGCTGGGATGTGTTTTTCCCCTCCCTCCCTTCCTTCCTTCCTTCCTTCCTTCCTTCCTTCCTTCCTTCCTTCCTTCCTTTCTTTTTTTCTTCTTTCTTTCTTCCTTCCTTCTCCTCTTTTCTTTTTAATTGCTGTTGTTCAGCCTCCAAAGACAGCAAGAGCTGATCCCGGCAACATCTCCACGGAGGCTGGGGTGTGTATTTCAACTCTTCATTCTTGAAGGGTCAGGATTTGTTTATTTTGAAAACAAAATTGATTTTAGCACTGAGGCCTGATACACTTGGCGGGGGTTTAGAAAAAAACCTGGAAGACTCGATCTTGCGGGAAGGTGGGTGGGGTTGCACAGCCACAGAAACAGCAGGAGCCGCCCCCCCCCTCCCAACCTGGATCTGGATCTCTGCTTCTTGGAGGCTTGAATTGGCCCACTCTGCCATCTTAAAGGCATATACAGCCCTCTGTCGCTAAATGCAAGGGAGGGAGGGAGGGAGGAGGGAAGAGGGAAGGAAAAAAGAGAGGGAAGGAAGAAGGAGAGAGGGAAGAAAGAAAGGAGGGAGAAAGGGAGGGAGGGAAGTAAGAAGGGAGAAGGAGGGAAGGAAGGAAGGAGAGGGAAGGAGAGGGAAGAAAGAAGAAAGGAGGGAGAAAGGGAGGGAGGGAGGGAGGAAAGAAGGGAGAAGGAGGGAAGGAAGGATAGAGGGAAGTGTTAAGGAGGGAGGGAGGAAAGAAGGTAGAAGAGGAAGGAAGTAAGCTAGGAAGGAAGAGGGGAGGGAGGGGAAGGAGGGTGAGGGAGGAAAGAGGAGAAGGGAGTGAAGGAGGAATGAGGTGAAGGAGGGAGGGAGGAAAGAAGGGAGAAGGAGGGAAGGAAGGAGAGGGAAGGAGAGGGAAGAAAGAAAGGAGGGAGGGAGGAAAGAAGAGAAGGAGGGAAGGAAGGAGAGAGGGAAGAATAGAGGGAGGAAAGGAGGAAGGAAGGAGGAAAGGAGAGAGGGAAGGAGGGGGAAGAAAGAAGGAGGGAGGGAGGAAAGAAGGGAGAAGGAGGGAAGGAAGGAGAGGGAAGGAGAGGGAAGAAAGAAAGGAGGGAGGGAGGAAAGAAGAGAAGGAGGGAAGGAAGGAGAGAGGGAAGAATAGAGGGAGGAAAGGAGGAAGGAAGGAAGGAAGGAGGAAAGGAGAGAGGGAAGGAGGGGGAAGAAAGAAGGAGGAAGGGAGGAAAGAAGGGAGAAGGAGGGAAGGAAAGACAGATGGATGGAGGGGAGGGAGGGAGGAAGGAAGGAAGGAAAGGAATGGAAGGAAGATGGGAGGGAAGAAGGAAGGAAAAGGAGAGAAGGAGGGAAGGAAGGGACAGAGAGAGGGAAGAAGGAAGCAAAGAAGGAGAGAGGGAGGGAGGGAAAGAGAAAGAGAGAAGCCAACAAGCTGCAACAAGGTGTGTTGTTTTCAGCAGTGCCAATCCTGACATTCCGAGAAGTCCAGCCACAGCTGGGCACACATCCTAAACCGCAAATTTGCCTCCCTCCCGCCTCTGCCATCGGCTGGGGCAGATTTCCTGGTCTCTAGGAAACGCCTGTAAAATGATAGCGGCTCCCATCTGCCCGGTGTTTTTGCTCCATTCGGTTCCTTCAGCAGAAAAGCAGCCCAAACATACATACATACATACATATATATCTATATCTATATCTATATCTATATCTATATCTATATCTATCTATCTATCTATCTATCTATCTATCTATCTATCTATCTATCTATCTATCTATCTATCTATCTATCTATCTCCCTCTCTCTCTCTCTTTTTGGTTAACTATTGCCAAGTTGGAAATCAAAAGAGGTTTATGTCATTGCCCAGATCTGGATGTTTCTCTTGTCTGCAACGCCACTCGCAAAATAAACAGGAGTAATCATTCTCCCAAATAAGATAGATTAAAAAAAAAAACCAAAACAAAAATAAACAGCTTGCTGCCTGCTGAACACACACAAACATTTTGGTAAAGCTTCCCGAAGCATGTGCAGAAAAGAGGGGGGGGGGTCTCAGGGGTCAAAGGACAGGTTGCTTCTCCGCGCCCCCCCCAGCAAAAGGGGGTGGAAGGCAAGGGGGGGGTCTAACTGTTGGAAATCCGAGCAGAAAAGCATTGCCAGGGGGTTGGTGGGGAGTATACAAGGGGGCCTGCGTGGAAAGCCACACCGCAAAGATCAGAATACAGGATTAAGCGAGTTGGAAGGGATCCTGGTGGTCATTTAGTCCAACCCCCTGCTCAAGCAGGAGACGCCTAGACAAATGGCGGTCCGGTTTCTTCTTAAAAGACCCCCCCCCATGTCTTTGTCAGAGCTGGGGAAGGCCGTGGAAGAGAAGGGAGCCGGCTGGCTGAGTGCTCAGCCAAGCCGAAGGCCGAACCCACTTAATTATATGGCCGAACCCAACCGCTAAGTACACACCGGGCCAGCGAGTCTGAACAAGCCAAGAACGGAGGGCCGTGGGGGGCCTTGGGAAGCAAAACTCCAGGGAGGGTGCCAAAGCTGGAATACTGAGATAGGGGGGGGGGATTTGAGGAGGGGCTCCGGGCCCCACACAAAAGGAGAAGAAGGAGGGAGGGGTGGCCCGGAGACGGGGCTGATGGTCTTTCCAGGTGGAAATCCCGCAGAGGGAATCAATTCTTCGGCATGGTTGGCTCCTCCCGGTGTGTCCTTCTCCCTCCCTGGATTGAACAAACCATCCTGGGGTCTCCCCCCCCCCCAAAAAAAAAGATGAGAAGAGAGCCCGGAGTGGAGCTGTGGATGAAGACTTTTATTGCACGAAGAAGGGAAAAATCTGTACATTCAGTTCAAAGGCAGCCCTTGGCAGAGGCCGGACAAGGAATTCACGTCTGCCTTAACTAATAGTGGGGAAGGAGGAAGGAAGGAAAGAAGGGAGAAGGGATGGGGAGGAAGTGGAGGGAGGGAGAGAGGAAGGAAGGGCAGAGAAAAGAAAAGAACAGAGAAGAGGAGAAGGAGAAAGGAAGAAGAAAGGGGAGGAGAGGGAAGGCAGGCAGGAAATAACGAAGGAGTGAAAGAAGGAGTTGGAGGGGAGGAAGGGAGGAGCAGAGAAAAAAGAAAGGAGAGGTGAAGGAAGGAAGAAGGAAGGAAGGAAGGAAGGAAGGAAGGAAGGAAGGAAGGAAGGAAGGAAGGAACTAGTGAAGGAAGGAGTTGGAGGGAGGGGAGAAGGGAATGGAATGGACAGAAGAAGAGAAGGGAGGGAGGAGAAGGAAGGAAGGAAGGAAGGAAGGAAGGAAGGAAGGAAGGAAGGAAGGAAGAGGGAAAGAAGGAAGGAACTAGTGAAGGAAGGAGTTGGAGGGGAGGGAGAAAGGAAGGAATGGAGGGAGGAGCAGAGAAAAAACAAAGGAGAGGTGAAGGAAGGAAGGAAGGAAGGAAGAGGGAAAGAAGGAAGGAACTAGTGAAGGAAGGAGTTGGAGGGGAGGGAGAAAGGAAGGAATGGAGGGAGGAGCAGAGAAAAAACAAAGGAGAGGTGAAGGAAGAAGGAAGGAAGGAAGGAAGGAAGGAAGGGGGAAAGAAGGAAGGAACTAGTGAAGGAAGGAGTTGGAGGGGAGGGAGAAAGGAAGGGAGGAGCAGAGAAAAACAAAGGAGAGGTGAAGGAAGGAAGAAGATAGGAGAGAAGAGGGAGAGAAGGAAGGAAATGGTGAAGGAAGGACAGAAAGAAGGAAGGGGAGAGAAAGAGAAGAAAAAAATGGACAAGAGAGGAGAGGGGGAGGAGGGAGGGAACGAAGGAAATAGTGAAGGAACGAAAGGAGGAAGGAAGGAAAAGGGAAAGGAAAATAAATAGAAGGAGACGAGGAGAGAAAAAAAGGGGAGGAACGGAAGACGGACAGACTACAGGATACAGACACATGGAAGAGCTCCACAAAGTGGCCCCGATCCTAACCAGGTTGGGATGGGAACCGAGAGGAATGGGAAAACTAAGTCATGGATAGCACCATTTCGGGGTGGGGCCGATGCTGGGAGGACGAAATCAGGGGCAGACCGGGGCGCTGTGACCCCCACCCCACCCCACCCTACAGGAGCCTCTACAGGTTACAGGTGTGCAGGTGGAACGAATGACCGGACAGGACAACTCAAAAGATCATTATTTTTCGGGGGGGGGGCAGGGGGAGGTTAGTCCTATCACAGCTTTCAAAAAAAAAATATATAAAATAATTCACAGTAAATTGGGCTGGAAGCACGCCGTGCCATCCCAGACAGTGCGGTGGGAGGGGGGGGGGAAATTGGAAGATAAAGGTGGGCTCTCCAGTGACAAAATCCTGGGCAGGAGATGCCCCCCCCCCCGGCTTGGAAGCCATTTGCAATTATTGCCATTTGATTGCTTTGCCCCACCCGCCCTTCTTTCCCACGCTGGAGACCCCGGAAGGAGGGGGGGGGCTCTTCCCCCCGGGATCGGTGGAGACCCGTGCAAAAATAAAATAAAATTTAAAAAAAAAAATCCGGCGGTGGCTGAATTTTGCAAATTCCAAGAACGGACCCGGGTGCGAGGCAGGCAGGAATCCCAGGTGATCGCCTTCCCCCCCCCCCCTTGGCACTTGGGGGAGGGTCTTCGAACCCAAGTTCCAAATTCACACCCAGCTGAACTCGAGGACGGGCAAAATCAGACATCGTTCAAGGATGCGGAGATGGACAGTCGAAAAAGCTGACTGGCCACATGGGTCTTTTCTAGTTCAATTATCCGCTCCCCCCTTCATCTTCGGGAATGAGGCAGCCCCCCCCCATAAATGGGGAGAGCCGAACTTCCAGACAGATGCAAGGATTTGCAAGTGTGTGTGTGTGTGGGTGGGGAGGGGTTTTTCAGAAACAACCAATAATCATCAGTTTCTTCTTGGATCGCCTGGTGGTACCCTTTCCTTAGGGAGAAAGTCAGGTGAGCCGTGCGGGGCTGGGCCACCAGGAAGTGGCCGGCCGTGGGGGTCCCTCACAGGCCGTGGGGGGCAGGTGACCCTGTCCCCAACATCTGGGTGACCTGGCTGAGTTGGGCCGCGGCCGTCTCCGATGCCTCTTTCAGTCGCTTGGTGTTCTGTTGCAAGGCTTGCATTTCGGCTTGCAGGGCGGCCTTTTCGGCTTTTTCCTGGGGGGAGGGGAAGGAGGAGAAAAGGAGGTCAGAATGGGGATTTAGGTGGGGAAGGGGCTTCGTCATCGCCTTGAGGATAATCTTGGCTACGGTCTGTGTTCAAATCGGGCGGCAAAGCCGTCGTTAACTGGGAAGAACCACAAACCGAAAAAACCGGAGCTAAGGGTTGCGTTTTGCAAAATTCAAGGTGTGTTCAACCGCGCCTTTGCTTTACGAGCGCTTCCCGAACTTGCAACTTTTAAGATGGGTGGGCTGCAACTCCCAGAGTTCCCTAGGCAGCAATGGATTCTGGGAGTTGAAGTCCGCCTGTATTCAAGTTGCAAGTTAGAGGAACACTGCTCTGAAATAAATGAGTTTTTCCTTCCATCTCCTTCCTTCCTTTTTTCTCTATCCTTCCTTTCTCTCTCCATCCCTCATTATCTCCCTCCCTTATTCCTTCTTTCCTTCCCTTTTTCTCCTTTTTTCTCTCTCCTTCCTTCCTGCCAAAATTGAGAAATACGCTTTGGAAAATTCACAGCCCGCTCTCTATTTAGGAACTCAACAGACTTAAGGATCAGAAAAACGGTTTCTGGTAGCCTTTATGATAGTTTTATTCATAAAACTATTCACTACGGCAACCTTGGCAACTTTTAAGACTTGTGGACTTCAACTCCCAGAATTCCTCAGCCAGACACGCTGGCTGAGGAATTCTGGGAGAAGGTGTGTAAAACGGACAAGTTCAGGATGGGAATTTCCAAAATGGCGGTCATGCTGACTGAGGAATTCTGGGAGTTGAAGTCCACAAGTCACAAAAGGGCCAAGTTTGAAGACCCCTGGTCTAGGGTCTCCTGCTTGAGCAAGGGGTTGGTCTAGAAGACCTCCAAGGTCCCTTCCAGCTCTACTCTGATTGACTGATAGAGATCAGCAAAGAATGGAAATGGCCAGAAGCTGATTTTAACTAGACCTGAGTTGCAAAGCCCAGCTAGGCTGACTCAGGAATTCTGGGAGTTGAAGTCCATGAGTCATAAAAGAGACGAGGTTGCCTACCCCTGATCGAAAAGGACAACAGCTTGAAGCTTGCCAGGTGAGCAGCAGATAGGAGGGGGGGGGGAGAGAATAAAGGGGAGAGAGAGAGATTATCCCAGAGCTGGGGAAGAGGAGTGGCAGACCAAGGGCAGATAGGGAGGGAGGGAGTTAGAGAGACAGAGAGAGAGAGGAGAGAGACCCTTTTGACATGTAAAATGAAGAGAACACTTATTATATCCTTTTTTTAACCTTGACGTGTATGTAATTTTATTCTCTTAAAGCATTCTCTTGGTGATCATTGTTTTAATAGTATGGATATTCCCAAGAGTGATATTTTTACTTTTATTTTTTATGTGTGTGTGTGTGTGTGTGTGTGTGTGTGTGTGTGTGGGACACCACGTCCGTCACACACACACAGTACATACACAAACACACACACCTATAATAAAGGTAAAAAAGGATATATGCAGTGTTATCTTCATTTTAGATATCAAAACGGTTTTGCGGCTCCCGGTGTTTTGTTTTTGGTGAGAAATGGGTCCAAGTGGCTCTTTGAGTGTTTTGGGTTGCCTACCCCTTTGCATAGCCCATGCAAACTAAATTAGCAAGAGAATTAATTTGCTGTTGGGATTTAATGCCGGGGTCCGGGGATGTGACTCCGCCTACTCTAATGACATCATCTGGAGGGGATCTATCACTTAACACCCTCCCCTATCAAAAATTAGCACCAAACATGCAAACCTAATACTGACCAGGATGGAAATGGATAAACTACAAGCTTCTTCTTTTTTTTTTTGTTTTGAACCACACCCTAAATTTTCTTTCTCCTGGTTTTTCTCTTCCAGAACCGAAATAATCTTATTTCCTGGCAGATTTTTTTGCATGACGAATTTCTGTTTTTCGCTTGGCTCTGTCTTTTTTCTTTTGCATTGGAAATCAGATTGAGGTCACTGCTTTTCTTCCCGGCTAGGTTTTCGGTTTTGTTTCTGTTGAAATGTTTTCCCTGTTTTGGGACGCTCGCCCGTTGGCGCTTTGCCATCCCCGGCCGGCTCCCACCGAGGTATTTACTGAGCCGACGAATAAAAAAAGCAGAAGAACTAAAGACAGACGAAGACACCCACCCACAGCTGAAGCAATCTTGGATTAAGGCAGAAGCTGGTGCAAAGAATTTGTGCCCTTCCCCAAATTTTAGTATATATATATATACACAAACATACACACACACGGCTGCCATTCTCTTTCTGGGGCAAGCAATGTTTTGCAATCTCAAAAATGGGGTTCAAAACAATCCACCAAAACATTCAAACGGATGATGGCAGAGAACTGTATTTCTCAATCTTAGCAACTTTAAGCCAGCCAGGAAGGGAAGAAGGGAGGGAGGGAAAAAAGAAAACAAAGGAAAAGGGAGAAGGAAGGAAGGAAGGAAGGAAGGAAGGAAGGAAGGAAGGAAGGAAGGAAGGAAGGAAGGAAGGAAGGAAGGAAGGACTACTCATTTATTTTAGAGCAGTGCTTCTCAAACTTGCAACTTGAAGATACGTGGACTTCAACTCCCAGAATCCACACTGGCTGGGGGATTTTGGGAGTTGAAGTCCACGTTTCTTAAAGTTGCTAAGACTAAAGAAATACTGACATAAACATTTCTTAAATGCTTGAAATTAAAAGCAAAATAAAGTAAGCCATTTATAAAATCAGTTTAATATACCAGCTTTGGATTCCTCCAACCCATATTATGTCCATGCTCCTGCTTTATAGATTTTTATTTGCTTTCCGTTGTTCCTTTAATTTCGCCCTTCTCTTTTCCCAGGAACACTTGTGACTCCAGCCAACCACAACTTCCTCTGTTTACCCTGTCTTCTGCCCCCAGGCCTGTGTTTATTTTGTGAGTCAATTTTTGTGACTCTCTCGCCAAACTCCCTGAAAGGCCTTTGAGGTGCTTTCATCACTTATCTCATCTATTTTTGCACTAACATTTTATGTCACTCTTTCAGGTTACACTGATGTCTTTCCTAACCCACCAAATCTCACTTCCAGATATGAATGCAGGCCAAGAAAACGGTGGTCCTCGACTTATGACCACAATTGAATTTATGATGCTGCGGAGAAATTTGCTAAGTGACTTTTGCTCCATTTGACGACTTTTCTTGCCACATTTGTAAAGTGAACCCACTGCGGTTGTTAAGTAAGCAACACGGTCACTAAATGAATCAGTCTCCCTCATGTTGACTTTGCTTGTCAGAAGTCGCAAAAGGAGGGTCACGTGACCCCGGGACAGCACGACCGTCATAAATGTGAACCACTTTGTCAAGCATCCGAATGTAAATCACATGACCTTGGGGTAGGCAACCTTGGCACTTTTATGACTCGTGGACTTCAACTCCCAGAATTCCCGAGCCAGCAGGAGGGAAACTTTGGCCCCTTCATGACTCGTGGTCTTCAACTCCCAGAATTCCTGAGCCAGCATGAGGGAAACTTGGGCTTCTTCATGACTTGTGGACTTCAACTCCCAGAATTCCTGAGCCAGCCACTCTGAGGGGAAAGGGAAAGGTCTCCAAGCTGAGCCATGCTGGCTCAGGAATTCTGGGAGTTGAAGTCCACCAGTCATAAAAGAGCCAAGGTTGCCTACCCCTGACCTTGGGGATACTGCAACGGTCGTTAAATGTGAAAAATGGACGTAGGTCACTTTTTTCACTGCTATTTTAACTTCGAACGGTCACTGTGCTGTCATACCTTGAGTGTGAATGTACAGGAGGGATAATTCAGCAGGAATTATGTCTCAGGAAAAAAAGTATTTCAGCAGTCAGTGAATTTGCTCTTAGCCACAAACTCTTCATCCAGTTTTATTTCATCTTGACTTGTTAATTGCACACAGCTATGTGAAAGCAAGCTTAAGATTGCCTCTGTGTGTGTGTGTGTGTGTGTGTGTGTGTGTGTGTGTGTGTGCGCACGCATGTGCCTTCAAGTCAGTTTTTAATTCCTGGTGTCAGCCTTGACAAACTCTTGCAACTGATGACCTTTTTAATCTATTCTTCTGTGCAGCTATTTTAAGCTGCCTTGGGCTCAAGTTCAGACACGCAAATGCCATTTGAGATTGTGGCACACAGGCCACCATTTCTCTAACTCGAATGTAAGTGAACTTCTGAATTCCCTTCTTTAAAGTCCTTTCCACTTTGCTGATCGACTGCAGCGAAGAATAACAGAAGAACACAACTGGAAGGGACCTTGGAGGTCTTCTAGTCCAGCCCTCCACGGCTCAAGCAGGCGACCCTATATCATTCCAGACAAATGGCTGTCCAGTCTCTTCTTAAAAGCCTCCAGGGATGGAGCACCCACAACTTCTGGTGGCAAGCAGTTCCACTGGTTAGTTGTTCTCACTGTTACGAAATTTCTCCTTCATTCCAGGTTGCTTCTCTCCTTGATTAGTTTCCATCCATTATTTCCTGTCCTGCCTTCAGGTGCTTTGGAGAATAGCTTGACTCCCTCTTCTTTGGGGCAGCCCCTGAGATACTGGAAGACTGCTATCATGTCCCCCCTCATCCTTCTCTTCATTAAACTAGACATCCCCAATTCCTGCAACTTTTTAGCCTCCAGCCCCCTGATCATCTTTGTCGCTCTTCTCTGCACTCTTTCCAGAGTCTCAACATCTTTTTTATATCGGGACCCAGAAAGACAAAACAAGATTTTGTGTTCTGGGGGCGGATCATCCCAGCAGCTGTGCCAGACTGGGTGAAACTCACTTCCCCTGAAGGAGAATTTTTTTCCCCCGTATGATTCAAAGATAAACAAAACCCGCCTGGATTAAAGCAGAGAAAACTAGACAGGACGAAGGGCTGGTGCCTGGGAAATAACAGCCCGGCGGTGACCTCCGGACGAGTTGCACACACTTGTCTGAAAAAGAGAATCTGGCTTTGGGGAGATTTGCAAAAAGAGATTTGCAGGGATGGGAGATTTCCCAGTGAGCAGCAGAGGGTTTTAATTCAAACGGAGGCGTGCTCTGCTACTGCCGTGGGGAAGCTGGATGTGCACGCTTCACTTAACAACTGCAGGTGGTTCGCTTAACAACCGTGGCAGAAAAAGGTCACAGAATCGGGTACAGCTCCAGCTAAAAACCTCCTTGCTCCGCAGCGGAAATTCTGCTCCCAATTTTGGCCGTAAAGTCAAGGACTACCTGTATCCCAGTCTCCTCATTCCAGACCTGGGCTACCTGTGATTTTGGGTGGGTAGCTGGGTGGGTGGTCTTTCTTTCCTCTGCCTGCGTCTTTCTTCCTCACCTTCTGAAGGTCTTCCTGCAGTTCCTTCAGTTTCACCTCCAAGTATAAAACTTTGTCCGCCAGGCTGAGAGCGTGCTGGGACCTGAAACGGTTTGGCAAGGAAAGAGGAACCAGAAGGCACAGCAAGCAACGTTAATTGTTGAGTCAACCGACGCGTGCACCAACAAGCACACTCCAGGAAATGCGTCTGCCCAACAGGGGCGAGCCTTTGGTTACATTTTATTCCAGTGGTTCTCAACCTTTTTAATGCCGCGACCCCCCAACCGGTCGTAAGTCGAGGACTACTCAATCGGTCGTAAGTCGAGGACTACTCAACTGGTGCAGCACCGTTTGCAGAATGGGACTTTTGGCGGGCTCAGCAGGGCAGAGACAGCCTGCACAATTCCTATTGGCTTTGGAAAGCCAATAGAATGAGACTCTATTCAAGAGAGTCTCTTCTATTGGCTTTCAAAAGCCATTGGAATAAAAGGGAGGAGCACAGCTAAGGAAAAGGGGGGAAAAAATAGCGGACTGCGTTGTTTGGCGACCCCCGTGAAATGGTCGTTCGACCCCAAATAGGGTCCCGACCCACAGGTTGAGAACCACTGTTTTATTCCTCAATTCTGGGCCATGGTGTCTTGAAAAGAATACAGGTAGTCTTCAACTTAATCTGTTCATTTAATGACGGTTCGAAGTTACAACGGCACTGCATGAAGTGATTTATGACCGTTTTTCACACTTAACAACCGTGGCAGCATCCCCGGGGTCACATGATCAAAATTCAGAGGCTTGGCAACTGACTCGTATTTATGACGGTCACAGTGTCCCGGGGCGATGTGATCCCCTTTTACGACCTTCCGACAAGCAAAGTCGACGGGAGAGACTCGCTTCACAACCGGGTGACTGACTTAACAGCGGCAGTGAATCGCTGAAGAACTGCGGCAAGAAAGGTCGTAAAACGGAGCAAAATTCACTTAACAAATGTCTCACCTAGCAACAGAAATTTGGAGTTCAGCTGTGGTCGTAAGTTGAGGACTACCTGTAACTACATCATGGGTAGCATTTACAACTGTGGACTTCAACTCCCAGAATTCCCGAGCCAAGGTCACGTGATCCCCTTTTGCGACTTTCTGACAAGCAAAATCAAAGGGGAAGCGGGATTCACTTAACAACCGGGTTACTAACTTAACAACGGCAGTGATTCATTTAAAAACGGTGGCCAGAACGGCCGTAAAATGGGGCAAAATTCACGTAACAAATGTCTCGTTTAGCAGCAGAAATCTGGGGCTCCATTGTGGTCGTATGTCGAGGACTGCCTGTATTATAAAGCCAACTGCTGGTTTTCAAATCCAATTTTTCCACCCCAGAATGCTTAGATTTCCACATGCAGAAAAATAGACAAATGCAGACTGGCTGCAGACCACTGTTATATTTGGAAATGAACACCTCTGCCCCGGAAGAAAAAATTATTATTGGCGTGAATTTGGTTAATTTATTAAACAAAAATATGAAAGTGAAGTTGCCCAGCCAGCTGAATTGTGGGAGTTGCAGTCTGTTCACCTTGAAGCATGCTGACGAGGGAATCGTGGGAATTAAAATCCACCCATCTTAAAAGCATCTGGCTGGGGAATTCTGGGAATTAAAAGACGCCCATCTTGAAGCGTGCTGAGTAGGGAATTATGGGTTTGAAGTCCACCCATCTTGAAGCAGGCTGGCTGGGGAATTCTGGGAGTTGTAATCCACCCATCTTAAATATGTTGGCTGGGGAATTCTGGGAGTTGAAGTCCACCCATCTTAAAGCATGCTGGCTGAGGAATTCTGTGAGTAGTAATCCACCCATCTTAAAGCATGCTGTCTGGGGAATTCTGGGAGTTGAAGTTCACCCCTCTTAAGATTGAGGAAACGCTGTTCTGGACAGTGCATAGGAAGCGAGGTGGACAAGGTCTCCGTCCCACTTTAATTCTCTCTGTTGTAGCTCAAGCTTCACACACACACACACGTACACACAGACTTCCTTCTTACTCATCAATGGCTTGTGGCTGATTGGCGCATCTCTGTGTCCCAGTGCTGCCTTCTCGATTCTCCAGGATATGTTGGCCTGAAATCACGCAAAAAGGCACAGGTGAGGATGCCGGTGATCAAGGAAACAAACCCCTTTTGCAAACAAAAGCAGCCTAAATCCCAATTTCTGGCATTTCCAGGAAGTAAGGAAGCGAGGAAAAGGCCATGAGCTACATCAGGGGTCTTCAAACTTGGCCCTTTGATGACTTGTGGACTTCAACTCCCAGAATTCCTCAGCCAGGCACGCGTGCCTGGCTGAGGAATTCTGGGAGTTGAAGTCCACAAGTCATCAAAGGGCCAAGTTTGAAGACCCCTGAGCTACGTGGACCGAAGCCTGTGATGCCACCCAGGTGGTGAATGAAAAGTCTGCAGGAAAAGATTTTGGAGGGAACCAAGAAGAGGTCAACGGATCAACCTTGAATGGTAGATTTTCCTCTGTTTGAAAATGTTTTTTCCCCCACTTGAAGGTGGGTGACAAATGATTCTGCCGGCCACAGCAGGAAACACCAAGGCAGCCATTTTAAGATGTGTGGGCTTCAACTCCCAGAATTCATTGCACACGCATCTTAAAATGGCTGCAGTTGGGACACCCTGCTGAATGGGAAGCTGGATTAAGGCAGCCTGGACAACTCCAAGGACCCTCAACCCACAGGGATCCACCCAGGGACGGATCCACTCCTGCCACTCACCTTCGCGGGAGAGAGCTTCCAGGATGTTGTTACAAGCCGAGGCCAGATTGGCGATGGAGTCCCACTCGTCTTCCAGGGACTCCCCAGCTTCAGAGAGGACTGTGGGGGGAGAGAACAGCAGGACCTTCACCACCAGCTTACTTGGGCTGGGAGGGACAGGCTGGCCCCCAGACCCCCAAGGAGCTTCCCCCTTCTGGGGGAAGGGGAAGAGAAAGGAAGGAAGAGGAAAGGTGAAATGAAGGAAATTAGGAAGGAAGGAAAAGAAAGACAAAGCACAGGAGGAAGGAAGGAAGGAAGGAAGGAAGGGGAAGATGAAGAGAGGGAGGAAGGAAGGAAGGAAGGAAGAAGAAGGAAGAGGAAGAGAAGGAAGGAAGGAAGGAGAAGGAAGAAAGGAAAGAAGGGGAAAATGAAGAGAGGGAAGAAGAAGAGGAAGGAAGGAAGCAGAAAAGGAAGAGGAAGAGAAGGAATGAAGGAAGGGGAAGGAAGAAAGAAAAGAAGGGGAAAATGAAGAGAAAGAGGGAGGAAGGAAGGAGAAGGAAGAGGAAGAGAGGAAAGAAGAAGGGGAAGGAAGAAAGGAAAGAAGGGGAAAATGAAGAGAAAGAGAGGAGGAAGGAAGGAAGGAGGAAAAGGAAGAGAAGGAAGGAAGGAAGGAAGGAAGGGGAAAATGAAGAGAAAGAGAGGGAGGAAGGAAGAAAGAAGAGGAAGAGAAGAAAGGAAGCAAGGAAGGAACGGGAAAATGAAGAGAAAGAAAGGGAGGAAGGAAGGAAGAAGGAAGAGAGGGAGGAAGGAAGGAAGCAGAAAAGGAAGAGGAAAAGAGGGAGGAAGGAAGGGGGAAGAAAGAGAAAGAGGAAGGGAAAAAGGAAAGAGAAGAGGAAGGAAAGGAAGGCGAATGGGAAGAAAAAGAGGAAGGGGGGCAAGGACTCAATCCTCAACGTGACCCATTTGGGGAATTCTGACCTCTGCTCAGTACGGCCCCATTTTAGCATGTTGTCCCCCCCCCCTTTTGTCTGGACAGACAGGGAAGCTTAGGCACTTCCTTACTTTTGGTGATGGAATTCCGCAGCGAAAGTGTCCGGGGCAAAAACTTATTGCTGTCTCTGGCTTCCAGAGGGGGCAAGGCCTTCTCTCCCGGCGGGGAAGACGGGAAGACCAAATTGGCCTCCTGAGAGCCTAGGCCAGGTGTGTGATGGTTCACAACAGCCTCTCTCGGATGGTCCTGCGAGCACAACAAGAGAGAAGGAAGAGACGGGTGAAGTCTGAACAGGGATGGTTTTGCCCAGAGAGAAATTCACCTTTGGGGAAAAACTGCAAAGTTTCTCCATTCCCAAACCACCCCCCCCCCTCGGCCCAGCCCCTGCATGCTCTCCAAATGGGTGGGGACTACAACTCCCCGAGTTCCCAGCCGGTCTCGAGATTCATGGGAAATGTCCTTCCTGATGTGTCTTCCAGGGAGGGGTAGATTATATACCAAATGGACAAAAATCTATTCAATCTCTCTTTTATGAATACTATCTAGACCAGAGGTAGGCAACCTTGGCTCTTTTAGGACTCGTGGACTTCAACTCCCAGAATTCCTGAGCCAGCATGGGGGAACTATGGCCCCCTCATGACTTGTGGACTTCAACTCCCAGAATTCCTCAGCCAGCCATGCTGACAGGACAGGGAGAGGTTTCCAAGCTGAGCCAGGCTGGCTCAGGAATTCTGGGAATTGAAGTCCACAAGTCAATTGACCCCTGATCTAGTCTAAGGGGTGACCAACTTTGGCAACTTTTAAGATTTGTGGACTTCGACTCCCAGTCCACAATTGCTAAGGTTATAGCCATTCCTGATCTAGACAATTCTCACCGTTGCTGTATTTATGATGCCAAACAAAATGTTTTTTTTTTTAAATAAAAAAAATAGCACACCAAGATTTAAGTTTCCCAATCCTTACTCGCAGTCTAGCATTTGCAATACAGGCAGTCCTCGATTTTACAACCATTCATTTAGCGACGATTCAAAGTCATAAAAACGGGGTGCATCTCACAGTAACTGCCTTGCTTGGTGACAGAAATGATTAATGATTCGCTTAAGAGCTGTGGCCAAAACGGTCGTGAAATCAAGAGCGACTCTCTTAAGAAGAGAAATTCTGCCCCCGATTGTGCTTGTAAGTTGAGGACTAGCTGCTTTGACATTTTGTGAAGGTACCAATTACCTATCAGGGGAATAAGCTTCTTCGGACTAGGTCGATTCTCTTAGGCTATGTGTGGTCTCTCTGGAAGGCAACCTTTCCTGCATTCTCATGGGGTCAGACAAGATGACCTTTGAGGTCCCCCTGGACACCCGATTCTAAGAAAAGCTTACCAGATCTCGATCTAGGAGGGCCTTGGGAGTGGTTGCCAAGATTATATCGGGAGGAGGATTGGATGTAACAGAGAAACTTTTGAGTGGAATCCTGCGAAGACCAGAAATTTTTCGTTATGGAGGAAGGAATAAGGATTTTTTGTAAAAAAAAAAAAAAAAGGTTGAGAAGGAATCAACTGAGTTAGAATTGCAATCCTCTGACAGAGAAGAAATCTGTAAATATTACAACAGAAACAGTCTCTCACTGCTTGTCATGACTCAGATTTGGCACGTATGGCAAATTCCAGGTGTCTTTCCTACTGCAGGAAATATTTCTATTCTATTCTAATAATAATTTTAAATAATTTTAAAATCTGAAAACACACACCCTTCCTCCCCCCAAAAAACAAGATCAAACATTTCATCCAGCCTACTGCAGAGCTACATAAAGTGGAGGGGAAAAAAACCAGCTCCACAAGAAAAACTAGGCTGAAATTTCTTCCAGTTTCATAATGTATTAATTTCATTGTTTGAGGGCTAATCTGTTTCAGGGATTTCCTAAACAGCTTCCATTTGAATTCTTGGAGAATAGAATAGAATAGAAAAGTATACAGTAGAATACAATATAGAGTAAAACAAAATAGAATAGAATTACAATTAGAATAGAAATACAATAAGAATAGAATAGAAATACATTAAGAATAGAATAGAAATACAATAAGAAATACAATAAGAATAGAATAGAAATACAATAAGAATAGAATAGAAATACAATAAGAATAGAATATAGAATAGAATATAGAATAGAACAGAATAGAAATACAGAATAGAATAGAATAATAGAATAGAATATAGAACAGAATAGAATAGAAATATACTGTAGAATAGAACAGAAATACAGAATAGCATAGAACAGAAATACAGAATAGAATAGAATAGAAATACAGAATAGAATAGAATAGAACAGAATAGAATAGAGAATGGGAAAAGAATAGAATAGAAATACAGAATAGAATAGAATAGAACAGAAATACAGAATAGAATAGAACAGAAATACAGAATAGAATAGAAATACAGAATAGAATAGAATACAGAATAGAATAGAAATATAGAATAGAACAGAACAGAATAGAAATACAGAATAGAATAGAATATAGAATAGAATAGAAAAACACAGAATAGAATAAAATATAGAATAGAATAGAATAGAAAAACACAGAATAGAATAGAATATAGAATAGGACAGGACAGGATAGGACAGAATAGAATACAGAATAGAAATGGAATGGAATGGGAATAGGAATAGAATAACAGAGTTGGAAAGGATTTTGGAAGCCTTCTAGTCCTTCTAGTTTTTAAGAAGTGACTGGACAGCCATTTGTCTGAAAGAGTAGACAGTTAGGGGGCTGGACTAGAAGACCTCCAAGGTCCCTTCCAGCTCCATCCCACTCGCGACTAAGGTTTCGGGCTTCCTTACGGGTGGGCAGCCTCTGGGGTTCGGTCGCTGTGGCTCTGCAGGAACTCGGTCCTCTCTTCGGCTAAGAGGTGAGGCGCCCCGTCCTGCAGGGACAAGGAATGCAGGAGCTGAAAGGGGGCCGCTCTGAAGAGCCCCTCGCTTGCTGGCCGGCTCAGCTCCGTCTCTCCCAGCGGGGGCTCGCTCCTCCGCTTCTCCTGCAGCGATTTCTGATAGAGCTCGGAGAAGCTCCTGTCCGGAGAAAGGGGAAAAGGATGGAGGAAAGAGGGTGAGACAGGAGAGGAACGGTTAAAATTTCTGAGCTTTTCCAAAACAGCCAGGACAACCATTTGACCGGTATTAAGCTCTCCTGCTTTAGAGGACGGGGGTTGGACTAGAGGACCTCCTGAGGTCCCTCCCAGCCCCGCGACTCTACCTTCTATCTTCTAAAAGGGCACTTTGGATCAACGCCTCTCCCTGCTCACCACCCCAGGGATAGAATAGAATAGAATTACAATTAGAATAGAAATACAATAAGAATAGAATATAGAATAGAATAGAACAGAATAGAAATACAGAATAGAATAGAAATACAGAATAGAATAGAATAGAATAGAATAGAATAGAATAGAATAATAGAATAGAATAGAATAATAGAATAGAATATAGAACAGAATAGAATAAAATATACTGTAGAATAGAACAGAAATACAGAATAGAATAGAATAGAACAGAATAGAATAGAGAATGGGAAAAGAATAGAATAGAAATACAGAATAGAATAGAAAGAACAGAAATACAGAATAGAATAGAATAGAACAGAATAGAATAGAGAATGGGAAAAGAATAGAATAGAATAGAAATACAGAATAGAATAGAATAGAATAGAATAGAATAAAAGAATAGAATAGAATAGAAATACAGAATAGAATAGAATAGAATAGAATAGAATAATAGAATAGAATATAGAACAGAATAGAATAAAATATACTGTAGAATAGAACAGAAATACAGAATAGAATAGAATAGAACAGAATAGAATAGAGAATGGGAAAAGAATAGAATAGAAATACAGAATAGAATAGAAAGAACAGAAATACAGAATAGAATAGAATAGAACAGAATAGAATAGAGAATGGGAAAAGAATAGAATAGAATAGAATAGAACAGAAATACAGAATAGAATAGAATAGAACAGAATAGAATAGAGAATGGGAAAAGAATAGAATAGAATAGAAATACAGAATAGAATAGAATAGAATAGAATAGAATAATAGAATAGAATATAGAACAGAATAGAATAAAATATACTGTAGAATAGAACAGAAATACAGAATAGAATAGAATAGAACAGAATAGAATAGAGAATGGGAAAAGAATAGAATAGAAATACAGAATAGAATAGAAAGAACAGAAATACAGAATAGAATAGAATAGAACAGAATAGAATAGAGAATGGGAAAAGAATAGAATAGAATAGAAATACAGAAATACAGAATAGAATAGAATAGAATAGAATAGAATAGAAGAGAAGAGAAATACAGAATAGAATAGAACAGAAATACAGAATAGAATAGAACAGAATAGAATAGAGAATGGGAAAAGAATAGAAGGAGAAGGAGAAGGAAGAGGAGGAGGAGGAGGAGGAGGAGGAGGAGGAGGAGGACGACGACAACTACTGTGGGGGTCCTTGGTGCTCTCTGAGCTTGGTTGTTTTCCTGCAGACATTTCATGACCCAACTAGGTAATATCATCAGTGCTAGAAGAGAGTGATGTGGGAGGAGGAGGAGGAGGAAGATTGTGGGCCCTTGGTGCTCTCTTGAGCTTGGCTGTTTTGTTACAGACATTTCATCACCCAAAGTACCCATCAGTGCACTGATGATGTTACTTAGTTTGGTAATGAGATGTCTACAAGGAAACCACCAAGCTCAGAGTGCCAGAATTAGGATGCTCAGAGCGACAATAGCCAAGAGAAAAGTCCAGAAGTCTTTCTTTTGGAAAAAAACAATCCACCCTGATCGAGGTAAGCCAATTTAAAGCCAGCGAAAAACCTGATCCCATTGGATACATATCGGCGTGGGAAGCTCCCAAACCTCCTTGCAAAGACAGATTCCTGTCATTCGGCAAAGATGATAAACTTCTCCAGCTTGGGGGAAGATAAAGCTTCACACCCACAGGCAAGTTGGGCAGGATGGGTTCTGTAGTCTTGACTGTCGGCATCGCCGTCCCGCAGAATGGCAAGATGCCTAATTAAAGAACACCAGAGCAGGGTGAACACAGGAGAAGTGCCCAGGAGCGCTCCGGGCATACGACTGACACGGATCTGCTCACCTTCTGGGTCTTCCATTCTCATCCGGAGGAACGACCGTGATGGTGACTTTTTTCGCCGTGCGGAGGAGTTCAGCGGTCTGGGGGGGCGTCAGGCCGGGCAAGGGCCTCTCGCACACACGGACCAGGCGGGCCCCTGGCTGGAGCCCGGCTTTTTCCGCAAAGGTGAAGCGTTCCACTTCGGTTACAAACCCTTCGTGGTCCATTTGGAAACCCAGCTGGCCGACGCCGTTCCGTAAGAGAGTCAGTTCCCGGGTCTCGCACCCGCGAGTCACCAACTGCCGGGAAGAAAGCGGCGGCGGCGGGGGGGGGGGAGGGACCGGAGAAAAGATGAGTGGTTTTCAGAGATGGCACAAAACCTTTTGGCAAATGGCTCTTGAGATCGTTGGGCATAGCAGTGAGCGAGTTGGACTAAGAAGTGGGAGGCTCTGAGTTCTAGTCCTCCCTTAGGCAAAGAAGCCCCTGAGGTGACTTTAAGCCAGTGGTTCTCAACCTGTGGGTTGGGACCCCATTTGGGGTCGAACGACCATTTCACGGGGGTCGCCAAACAACGCAGTCCGCCATTTTTTCCCCCCTTTTCCTTACCTGTCCTCCTCCCTTTTATTCTATTGGCTTTTGAAAGCCAATAGAAGAGACTCTCTTGAACAGAGTCTAATTCTATTGGCTTTCCAAAGCCAATAGGAATTGTCCAGGCTGTCTCTGCCCTGCTGAGCCCGCCAAAAGTCCCATTCTGCAAACGGTGCTGCATCAGTTGAGTGATCCTCGACTTACGACCGGTTGAGTAGTCCTCGACTTACGACCGGTTGGGGGGGGGTCGCGGCATTAAAAAGGTTGAGAACCACTGCTTTAGGCCAGTGTTTCTCAATCTCAGCAAAGCGTGGACTTCAACTCCCAGAATTCTCCAGCCGGTTGAAATGCACCTATTGCAAGACTTTATCTTGCGTGGACTTCAACTCCCAGAATTCCCAAGGCAGGAAGGCTGGCTAGAGAATTCTGGGAGTTGAAGTCCACGCAACATAAAGTTGCCGAGATGGATTGCTTTAGACACCATTCATCTCTGGGGCCACTCAACACTTCACAGAGTTGTTGTGGTGAGGGAAATATGTACGCTGCCTTGATTAAAAGCAACAAAAGTGGGAACCCATAAATCTTCGCATTTTAAACATTTGTATGGCTCCTTCCTGCCAGAGGTTCTCTCCCAGATGCCAAATGCAAAAGCAAAAAACATCAAAACAGAAGGGACCTTGGAGGTCATCTAGCCCAACCCCCTGCTCAGGCAGGAAACCCTGTACCATTTCGGACATTTTGCACTCGCAATAAGAATTCCAGGAAAAAGAGGGAAAGGAGCAGAAATCCTACTTGAAGCCGATGGACGATATCCCGAATGTCGGACGCTTGACCCTCGTCCACACGCATGCAAATGTAATCCCCCGTCTCGTAATAAAGGTCCAAGGTGCAACTCTCCAAAAAGGTCCAAGCTAGGATGTCCCGGCACGAGCAGTTGAAAACCACTCTCTTCTCACGGGCATCAATGAGGACTAGAAACTCCGATGAGATGCCCAGCAGGCACCGGAGCTCCAACGTCTTGCTGTTGGGTTCTTTGCTCCCGTCCCGGGCCCAGACGCCCCACACCAAAGCCCCCGCGCTGTGGGCCTCGGCCCCCTTGGGAACTTTGGACTTTTCGCGCTTCTTGGCCGCCGGCAATGTGATCAGCGGCCGGCGGGAAGTGGAGGACTCCAAGGTGCTGGTGGTGACGTGGTTGAGGGCCAGGTCGCGGAGGTACTCCTGGCGCGTCCGGGTGGCCATGGCGTGGAACTTGCCCGAGCGTTCGGCGGCATTTTCCGCGTTGATCACCTTGGCGAGCAGGAGGTCCCGGAAGGCCGGGCCCTTCAGGAAACAGTTCTCGGCGGGAATGGAAGGGCCGAAGTGTGGGATGTCCTCGGTGCAGCTGACAGCCACGCTGGACAGAGAGAAGGAAGATGGGTCTGCTTACGGCCTCTCCGGGGGATTGTAACACCACCGCATTAAAAGCCGTTTGAGTTCCGGCTCACAATGATCAAAACCACACAGATTAAGTCAGGGGTCTTCAAACATGGCCCTTTGATGACTTGTGGACTTCAACTCCCAGAATTCCTAAGCCAGGCACGCTTGGCTGAGGAATTCTGGGAGCTGAAGTCCACAAGTCATCAAAGGGTCAAGTTTGAAGAGCCCTGTTGTAGATGCATGTTACATATGTTGATGCCAGCAAGATGACTTTATGCACAAAAATGGAAGGACGCTTTGTTTCTCACAATGGATGAATGGCTGCAAAAGATGATGGAGTTAGCAGAGATGGCTAAATTGACTGCTTTGATTAAAGAAACCCTAACCCTAGCCGGATTGTCTGGCCAAAAGAATCCTGGGAGTTGAAGTCCACAAGTCATAAAAGGGCCACGTTTGAAGATCCCTGGATTAAGTTATGACCTCCGGGATATTAGTGCCTATTGTACAGATGGAAACACTAAGGCAGACATTGCCTGGGGTAAATTTAGAGTGGAGTACAGTACAATACAATAATAATAACAACAGAGTAGAACAGAAAGGAATAGAATAGAGTATAGAGTAAAATACAGTAGAACAAAACAGAACAGAATAATAAGAATAGAATGGAATGGAATGGAATAGAATAGAAGCCGGGTGGGAAGGCCACAAATGGCGATCAGCTGATCTTGGCAATTCTGCAACTCTCATAAATACACACTGGTTGGCAACCCCCCCCCCCCCGAATTTTGATCACCTGACTGCGGGGCTGTGGCGAGGGTCATAAGTACGAGGACTGGTTATAGGTCTGAGCACCACTGCAACTTTGAACAGTTACTAAACGAATGGCTGTAAGTCAAAGCACTAGCTGCCATTAGAATTTTCCTCAATCACTATGGGGGCTTTAAATAATTACCCCCAAAGATTCAAATATTTTGTACAAAGGTCTGGAATCTAGCATTACTGGGGGGGTGGGTGGGTGTCTGTCCATTTGTATCTAGGTGGGTGCATGGGTGTGTGTCTGCACAGGTAGGGGTGTGTGTGTGTGTGTGTGTGTGTGTGTGTGTGTGTGTGTAGAGGACAGGTACGCACAAAAGTAAAAGAGGACAAAAAGAAATAACAAAGAGAAGTGCCTAGTGGAATTTCATGGCCGTTCCTGCAGTGCCCCCTAGTGGTCTGCAGGAACAGACACTCTGCAAAAACCAAATGTGAGGCTTTAAAAAAAATTTTTGATTGCCTTTGGTTTGATTTTGGTTTGATTGGCTGGCTGGACCTTTAGAATGTAGAATAATAGATTGGAAGGGACCTTGGAGGTCTTCTAGTCCAACCCCCTACTCAAGCAGGAAACCCTATCGCCAGGGGTAGGCAACCTTGGCTCTTTTATGACTCGTGGACTTCGACTCCCAGAATTCCTGAGCCAGCCTGGCTCAGCTTGGAAACCTCTCCCTTTCCCCTCAGCGTGGCTGGCTCAGGAATTCTGGGAGTTGAAATCCACGAGTCATAAAACAGCCCAGGTTGCCTACCCCTGACCTATCCCATTTCAGACAAGTGGCTGTCCAGTTTCTTCTTAAAATCCTTCAATGATGAACCACTCACAACATTTGGAGGCAAGTCGTTCCACTGATCAATTGTTCTCACTGTCAGGAAGTTTCTCCTTAATTCCAGGTTGTTTCTCTCCTTGACTGGTTATCATCTGTTGTTTCTTGTCCTGCCTTCAGGTGCTTTGGAGAATAAGGTGACCCTCCCTCTTCTTTGTGGCAGCCCCTGAGATATTGAAAGACTGCTATCATGTCCCCCCTGGTCCTTCTATTCATTAAACTAGACATACCCAATTCCAGCAACCGTTCCTTATATGCTTTAGCCTCCAGTCCCCTGATCATCTTTGTTGCTCTTCTCTGCACTCTTTCTAGAGTCTCAACATCTTTTTTACATCGTGGTGACCAAAACTGGATGCCGTATTCCAAGTGTGGCCTTACCAAGGCCTTGTAAAGCGGTATTAACACTTCATGTGATTTTGATTCTGTCCCTCTGTTAATGTAGCCTAAGATTGCATTGCTTTTTTTGGCAGCTGCAGAAGCAACCTGGAGATCAACTCCCTTGCCCAAGGCAGGAGTGATTATACCATCCTGGGCAAAGTAAGGAGACACTTCCTAAACTATGGAGAAATTTCCTAACAATGAGAACAATTAACCAGTGGAACATCTTGCCTTCCGGAGTTGTGCATGCTCCATCATTGGAGGCTTTTAAGAGACCGAACATCCACTGGTCTGAAATGGTACCGCTTGTCCTGCTTGAACAAGGGGTTGGACTAGAAGACCTCCAAGGTCCCTTCCAATTCTGTAATTCTGTTAAGCGGCTGTCCAATCTCTTCTTGAAAACCTCCAGTGATGGAGGTAGGGCAGTTCTTTGTTTAAAGAAGATCTAAAGAAATAACACAAAGCGAATACTGTCAATCGATTCGCCATTAATTGTGTAAGAGAATCAAGGACGCTTCTCCAGGCCTGTACACGCATGAAAGGATTTCTAGTCCACATTAAGAAAGCATTCTTAAGAACCATGGGGGGGGGGAAAGCTTTGAAGAAATTCCCTCCTGTTATGATCTATACAAAGAGCTCCTTTCATGCGCGAAATGACCACAGAGGGAAAATACGAGTATTTTCCAAGTGCACCAATTCAACGTAGTTAGGACATAAATGCACTTTTCATAAACGGCTGGCCATGTTAAAAAGCGCCACGAGCTTTCGGCTGACCCAGAACGAGGCACTTCAGGCTTTTCAGTTGTGGCCTGGTTTGGTTTGAATCTTAATTTTTTTTTTTTTTTGCTGCAAAGGAACACACGCTGCAACTCAACCCTGCACACTGAAGTCTCAAAACCCCCAAATCAATCGCTTCCGTGCGTAATGGAAGCAAAAAGATCAGAGGACGCCGGAACCTTCTCAGGCCGCTGAAACTATTAAAAAAAAAAGAACCACAGACAAGATGCGAACTTCTGATAGGAAATAGGCGGCGTGCAAAACATTTCCCCCCCCCCCGTTAATCGCTCGCGGAACCCAATTAAGTTTTTGTAGAGTTCTAATTTTCACTTGATTATTTATATCCCGCCTTTATTGTTTTTGTAAATAACTCAAAAGCAGGGAATATATCCCGGACACCTGCTTCCTCCTATTTTGCCCAGAACAATAACGCGGTGAGGTGGGCTCAGCTGAGGAAGAAGGATTGGCCCAAAGTCACCCAGCTTGATTTTATGGCAAAAGCAGGACTTGAACTCACAACCTCTTGCTTTTTAGTCTGGTGTCTCAACTACTAGACCAGGGGTCTCCAAACTTGGTACATTTAAGATTTGTGGACTTGAACTCCCAGAATTTAAGACTTGTGGACTTGAACTCCCAGAATTTAAGACTTGTGGACTTCAACTCCCAGAATTTAAGACTTGTGGACTTCAACTCCCAGAATTCCTCAGCCAGCATCGCTGGCTGGGGAATTCTGGGAATTGAAGTCCACAAGTCTTAAAGTGGCCACATTTGGAGACTCTTGCACTAGATCAAACTGTTTCTCTTTTATTTATGTTACTTATTTATGTTACTTTATGTTACTTCACGGTCACATGATCCAAACTTGGCAACCGGCATGTATTTATGACGATTGCAGCGCCCCGGGTCACATGATCCCCATTTGCGTCCTTCCCACCTGGGAAGCAGTCAACGGAAGAAGCCTGATTTGCTTAACGACGATTCATTTAATAGCCACAAGTGATTCATTGAACAAATGTGACAATAAGGCTGCAAAACAGGTTGCGACTTACTTAACAACCATCTTGTGGTTGTTTAAGTCGAGGGCTACTTGTAAACCCTAATTTATTTCTCGAACAGGATTTTTAGGATAATCAAATCATTGCAATCCAGCTCTGCAAGTGAGGAAGCGTCATTGCAAATCAAAACCTTAATCTGGAGGGGTTTTGAACCTGCAGTTCTCTTTATCAACTGCGCACTTCAGACCCAAGAGTGTTTTTTTTAAAAAATAAAATAAAATAAAAATAAAGGCACAGTCATTTCCCATAAGTGCAGAAGTCAGGGTGCAAATAACGTCTGATTCATGGCAAAAACCACAGCACATTGAACCGAGAGAGCAACGCGTGCATGCAAAATTTTTCCACACATCACATGCGAAGGTGTGAATCTCTGTGAGAAATGTACGGCTTTTTTTTGCTATCGAAAGCATAAAAGAAACAAAAGTTAGTGTAGTCTAGTTTAATGAAAAGAAGGACCCGTGGGTGACATGATAGCCAGTGCTCCGATATTTGAGGGGCTGCCGCAAAGAAGAGGGGGTCCCACTATCCTCCACAGCCCCTGAGGGCAGGACAAGAAGCAACGGACAGAAACTAATCAAGGAGAGAAAGCAACATTTCCTGACCGTGAGAACAACTGACCAGTGGAACGACTTGCCACCAGAAACTGTGGGTGCTTCATCACTGGAAGTTTTTAATAAGAGATTGGACAGCCATTTGTCTGGAATGGGATAGGGTTTCTTGCCTGAGCAGGGGGTTGGACTAGAAGACCTCCAAGGTCCCTTCCAAATCTGTTATTCTGTTAACTCTATTAATTTTATCATCTTTATTGTGGGATCTGTAAGGGGTTGCATCAAGATCACACATCTGCAGAGGTGCCTCAATAACACACTCAAGAAAGGGCTGCTGATTTCCCAGACCCCTGATCTTTCTGTCATTCATTAATTGAATGAAATGGTCTCTTTTTTTAAAAAAAAAATGGGTTCCATTTCCCATCACAGTGGAAAAAATAAATAAATAGCCACAGAAAAACTACCAAACTGAACCACTGTTAGGATGATCAAGAGATTAGTATGAACAGGAAGCTGTTAATAAGTCACATGAACCCAAAGCCACAATCTCATTTAGTCCATTTCAGAATTGTGTTTAAAGGAAAAAGTTACTTCGATAGTGTTTGGGAAGGGGGGGGGGAAGGAAGAATAAAAAATAAAATAAAATAAAGGCGAATGAAATATAATAAATATTCTTCAGACCTGGAGAAGTTCAAAGTGTGAGCAAGGAACTCCAGATATGGATAGACCTCGGGTTACAATCACAACTGAGCTTCTGTTGCTAAGCAAGACATTTGTTAAGTGGATTTTGTCCCATTTAATGACCTTTCCTGCTGCACTGGACCAGGGATGTCATGGTAGCAGTCTTCCAATATTTGAGGGGCTGCCACAAAAAGAGAGGGTCAGTTTATTTTCCAAAGCCCCTGAGGGCAGGTCAAGAAGCAATGGATGGAAACTAATCAAGGAGAGAAGCAACATGGAATTAAGGAAGAATTTCATGACAGGAAGAACATTTCATCAATACAGCTAGCTTTCTGGAGTTGTGAGTATGTGGGTCAGGGGCACAATGGTAAGGGTATAAAGGATACAGAGGGATGCACAAGATACAGGTCAGAGAAGTGTACAAGAGTTCTACTGCAACCAATTTTGGTCACCATACAACAAAAAAGATGTTGAGACCTTGGAAAAAGTTCAGAGAAGAGCAACTAAGATGATCAAAGGACTGGAGACTAAAATCTACGAAGAACGACTGCGGGATTTGGGTTTGGCCAGTCTAAAGAAAAGAAGAAATAGGGGAGACATGAAAGCAGTATTCCAGTATTTGAAGGGCTGCCACAAAGAAGACGGGTTCAAACTATTCTCCAAAGCACCAGAGGGAAGGACGAGAAACAATGGTTGGAAACTGATCAAAGAGAGAAGCAACCTGGAACTAAGGAGAAACTTCCTGACAGTGAGGACAATCAACCACTGGAACAGCTTTTCTCCAGAAGTTTTGGGTGCTCCATCACTGGAGGTCTTTAAGACGAGTCAAGACAGTCACATGCCTGAGATGGTATAGGTTCTCCTGCTTGAGCAGGGGGCTGGACTAGAAGACCTCCAAGGTCCCTTCCAGCTCTATTCTATTCTAAATAGGTTATGGAGAGGTCAAATATATGATGTATTCTAGTTCCTGTGTTTACCTTGCTAAGTAGGCCCAGAAAAATTAAAAAGCAGGAAGTGAAAGCAAATTTCGACACTAGGAAGTGAAGGAGGTTTAGCTAAGTTTATCTCCCCGGAAATCGCGTTGTTGTTATTCACTCTTCAAACACGTCTGCAAACAAATTGCTAAGCCAAGATGAGGTCAGCTTTACTGGAAGGTAAATGGGGAGCTCTGAATTCTTAAACTAACTCGCCGGTTTCAGCACGATGGAGGTTATCATCCTGTTGTTGTCACTACAGATTTTAATTGCCAGTTTAAACTGCTTTCGGAAACACGCTAGGCCAGGGGCAGACAACCTTGGCTCTTTTATGACTGGTGGACTTCAACTCCCAGAATTCCTGAGCCAGCCGTGCTGAGGGGAAAGGGAGAGGTTTCCAAGCTGAGCCAGGCTGGCTCAGGGATTCTGGGAGTTGAAGTCCACAAGTGATGAAAGAGCCAAGGTTCTTGCGCTAGGCCAAGTTAACGTGCGAAAGGACAGGTCTGCATTCACCATCAATTGGAAGTCCCAAAAGTGCTTTTGCAAGAGGCAACTGGATTATCTTGTTTTTCTTTGAAGACGTTTCACTTCTCATCCAAGAAGCTTCCTCCGCTCTGACTGGATGGTGGGGAATGGAAGGATTTATACTCCTTGCAGACCGCTGGTCATTTGCCTTCTTTTAGAGAGTCGTTGAGGCCACTTGGAGGTTTATCTGTGTCCTCAGGGTCACCTGAGTAGTGCAAAAATGTAGTCCAAGCCTCCACAAAGATTTTCACCACTCAGGTGACCTTGAGAACAGATAAACAGGCTGTGATGGACAGAAAACTGTCTTCATCATTTCAAATTTATTGCTCAAACTTGCACCCTGCTTAATCTTCCGGAACCGCTGGCTGCTAGGATTCCCAGTGTGAAAATTAACTGAAACCGAAAGTGAATAATAATAATAAAGTTGGAAGGGACCTTGGAGGTCATCTAGTCCAACCCCCTGCTCAGGCAGGAAACCCTATTCCATTTCGGACAAATGGCTGTCCAGTCTCTTCTTAAAAACTTCCAGTGTTGGAGCATTCACCGCTTCTGGAGGCAAGGAGTTCCACTGGTTAATTGTTCTAACTGTCAGAAATCTCGGTTTGCCAGGGACCTCTTGGTGACCAGACCATAATTAAAACTCTGTTGATGTCAGGGCAACCAAGGAAAAACACCTTTACTCCAGGGCTGTAATAATCAGAAGTACTATGAAAAGTTAGGATGGGTTTGTCAGCCTTTCCCCCCCCCTCACCTGTAGGTGGTATGGTCGGTGGAAGAACTGTGTACTCTAACCACAATGAAAACATGCTGGAACTGGGAACGGACCAAGCGGGGTGTGAAGGGGAGGGCTCCTGGCTCTTGGAAAATGATGGTGACAATGTCATTGCCAATGTGTCGCTTCCTCAACAGCTGAAAGAATAAGGGGAAGAGAATGTCAAACCACCTACGGTAGTAGGGCTGAAATACTTATTAGCCTTCTCATCTGTCCAATTAGATATTTCCTCAGATTCCTATGATATAACTTCTTGTATCATGATTTATGTTGATTGCTTTAATATTCTTGCTTTAATACATCTATTCTATTCTATTCTATTCTATTCTATTCTATTCTATTCTATTCTATTCTATTCTATTCTATTCCTATTCTATTCTATTCCATTATCTCTTATTCTATTCTATTCTATTCTATTCTATTCTATTCTATTCTATTCTATTCCTATTCTATTCCATTATCTCTTATTCTATTCTATTCTATTCTATTCTATTCTATTCTATTCTATTCTATTCTATTCTATTCTATTCTACTCAACTCTATTCTGTTATTCTGTTCTATTCTACTCAACTCTAACTCTACTCTACTCTATTCCATTCCACTACTTCTATTCTGTTCTGTTCTACTCTACTCTACTCACCTGCTGGCGGTTGTTTGGTGTGTAGGGCAACATGGTGGAGACGTGGAACATAATCTCATAGTCCTGATATGTGGTATACAGAGAGTGGGTCCCCGTGGAGTCGTCTGCAAAGAAGGGGCAAGGGAAGGGAGAAGAAAACATTGTTTTGGGAACTTTAAACACAGCCTGCTTTAAGGAGAGTCTGACAGGCACAAACCACCAGCACCACCCGCTAGATTGCAGCATAGAAGATTTATTCAAGCTCCCGCACCAGAATCTAGTCAATGAATGGTCAGCACTAAATTGGCGCTCGATAAGGGTCAATGGAATTCAAGGGGGTCTGGACTTGGATCCTTTGTGGCGACGTCGGAATTCTAAGCTGATGACTCCTTTGACCCCGCCCCTCCCCAGCTCTACCTGTTCTTCTCCTACAGAACGGTGCTCAGGACTCCTTCGAATGAGGAGGCGGGAGCTGGTTTTGCTAAAATCCCCTCCCTCCCATTAGCGCAACCTGCTGTGTTAATTCTACTTTAATGTAAAGCTCCGTTTACAGAATCTTGCCAAGTCTGAAATTACCTGTGAAGCTAGGGTCTGTTACACAGCTGAGGGCTCTGCTGTCTCTTATCTGACTGTTCCTGAGCAGGGCCCTTTTGCTCCTTCTTCCAAGGTCTTCCCCACATATCATTACACATACCTGCAGGCAATTACTCTTTCCATACATCTATCCCCCCTCCCCCCTTTACAGCCTGAAAAATTAGGGAGGGTCCCTTCCGAGCTCTTTCTACATCCATTATGCAGCTCAAGGTCTTTTGCACATGCCTTTACATCCTACCAAGCACATCATGAAATTAATTTTTAGTACTGACCGAGCATCCCTTTGTTCCAGGGATGTGATTGTGCGCAACACTGGGCCTGGGTTTGTGCAAACGTGCATTTGGGCCTCTGTACACACACTTGCAGAAGCTGATCACCCCTTACGCTTACTCTTGTTGTCCAGCTGGGCACGGTACTTGTCAAAGCCGAGCAGGCGGACCCGCTCGCCCAGAAGGTTCAGGAACTCCTCAAAGGTGGGACCAGCCTTCTCGTTATTGTACATGTCCTCTTCTGAGCCTTGCTTCTCCCGGCAATACAGGACCCCAACTTTGCGCTGGAAGTTGAGCTGCAAGAATCGAAGAAGCGAAACAAAAGTGGAACAGAAGACTGGCAGGAGAAGAAGCAACAGATGGAAACTCATCAAGGAGAGAAGCAACCTAGAACTAAGGAGAAACTTCCTGACAGTGAGAACAATTAACCAGGGGAACAACCTGCCTCCAGAAGCCGTGAATGCTCCAACACTGGACGTTTTTAAGAAGAGACTGGACAGCCATTTGTCTGAAATGGTATAGGGTTTCCTGCCTGAGCAGGGGATTGGACTAGATGACCTCCAAAGTACCTTCCAACTTTACTATTATTATTATTATTACTAATAGGGGTGTCAAACTGCCGGCCTGCGGACTGGACATGTCACGCGGAAGCCACGCCCACCCCATTGCCAGCAATGGCAAAACAGTCCCGATACATCACGTGATGTCACGTGTTTGACATGTCTGCTTAACCACTAGACCAGGGGTAGGCCACCTTGGCTCTTTTATGACTGGTGGACTTCAACTCCCAGAATTCCTGAGCCAGCCATGCTGAGGGGAAAGGGAGTGGTTTCCAAGCTGAGGCAGGCTGGCTCAGGAATTCTGGGAGTTGAAGTCCACGAGTCGTAAAGCGGCCTAGGCCAGAGGTAGGCAACCTTGGCTCTTTTATGACTGGTGGACTTCAACTCCCAGAATTCCTGAGCCAGCATGAGGGAAACTTTGGCCCCTTCATGACTCGTGGACTTCAACTCCCAGAATTCCTGAGCCAGCCACGCTGAGGGGAAAGGGAGAGGTTTCCAAGCTGAGCCAGGCTGGCTCAGGAATTCTGGGAGTTGAAGTCCACGAGTCGTAAAAGAGCCAAGGTGGCCAACCCCTGCACTAGACCAAATTAACATTTGCAGTGTTTGGCAATCAGATGACCACATTTTATGATGTTTCTCCAGAAAAAACAGCATTTTTTTTTTAAGCAAAATAGCAAACCACTGCTTCCCTTAACGAACCCAATTTATTTTTTTTGTAAAATTGGGTTGGCGACGTCAGTTACCCTATTTACCACAGTCACAACTTACAACCGCTAATGGCCAGGCTCCACTATGGCCGTAACTTGAGGATGACCTGTACTAGGCCTTCCGACCTACCCCTTGCTCGTCCAACTTCAGCAACGTCTCGGGGACTTTTGGGGAGCTGGAAGCGAGACGGAGACACTGCAGGTTGAGCTCCGGCATGAGGTGATCCAGCAGCTTCTTGGGAGGGACACCTCGGGGAGATCCATGGCGAGCGGTGAGAGGCAGCCCATCCTCCAAAATGGATCCACGCAGAGTCCGCAGCTGGGAGGGAGGGAAAGAAAAATGTTCAGAATAACAGAACAGAATAACAAAGTGGGAAGGGACGTGGGAGGTCTCCTAGTCCAGCCCCCTGCTCAAGCAGGACACCCTATACCAGGGGTAGGCAACCTTGGCTCTTTTCTGACTGGTGGACTTCAACTCCCAGAATTCCTGAGCCAGCCATGCTGAGGGGAAAGGGAGAGGTTTCCAAGCTGAGCCATGCTGGCTGAGGAATTCTGGGAGTTGAAGTCCACGAGTCATAAAAGAGCCAAGGTTGCCTACCTCTGGCATAGGCCCCCTCATGACTTGTGGACCAACTCCCAGAATTCCTGAGCCAGCCTGGCTCAGCTTGGAAACTTCTCCCTTTCCCCTCAGCGTGGCTGACTCGGGAATTCTGGGAGTTGAAGTCCACCAGTCTTAAAGCAGCCGAGTTTGAAGATTTAGACACTAGATAGTGTTCTTTGTACTCTCAACCATATGGGAACTCAACTCTAGCACAGGGGAGGCAACCTTGGCTCTTTTATGACTTGTGGACTTCCTGAGCCAGCATGGGCGGAACTATGGCCCCTTCATGACTCGTGGACTTCAGCTCCCAGAATTCCTGAGCCAATTCAGCTTGGAAACCTCTCTTTCCCCTCAGCCTGGCTGGCCCAGGAATTCTGGGAGTTGAAGTCCACGAGTCATAAAAGAGCCAAGGTTGCCTACCCCTGCTTTCTACCATCTCAGACAGATGCTTGTCCAGTCTCTTCTTGCAAGCTTCCAGTGATGGAGCATCCACAACCTCTGGTGGCAAGCCATTCCACTGGTCAATTGTTCTGTCAGGAAATTATTCTTTAGTTCTAGGTTGCTTCTCTCCTTGTTTAGTTTCCATCCGTTGCTTCTTGTCCTGCCTTCGGGTGCTTTGGAGAAGAGGCTTGACCCCCTCCCCCTTTCTTGTGGCAGTCCCTCAAATATTGGAACACTGCTATCCTGTCACCTCTAGCCCTTTTCTTTCTTTTCATAACAGAATAACAAGAGTTGGAAGGGACCTTGGAGGTCTTCTAGTCCAACCCCCTGCTCAAGCAAAAGACTCTATACCATTTCAGACAGATGGTTGTCCTGTCTCTTTTTGGAAACCTCCAATGTTGGAGCACCTGCGACTTCTGGAGGCAAGTCGTTCTACTGATTAACCGTTCTCACGGTCAGTGGCCAGAATGCAGGATTGCAGTCTAACTCTGCCCATAGCCAGCAGTTCGATTCTGACTGGCTCAAGGTTGATTCAGCCATCCACCCTTCCAAGGTCGGTAAAACGAGGACGCAGATTGTTGGGGGGCAAATAGGCTGACTCTGTAAACAGCTTAGAGAGGGCTGTAAAGCACTGTGAAGCAGTATATAAGTCTAAGTGTTATTGCTATTGTCCTTCCTTCCTTCCTTCCCGGTGGTTAGAATGCAGAATTGCAGGTGAACTCTGCCCACAGCCAGCAGTTCGATCCTGACCAACTCAGGATCGCCCCTGCTTTCTCTGTGCACAATTTGCACACCCAAGACCAACGCTCACCTGGCTTGTGCGAATGATAAGACGGTAATTGTACTGAAGACCCGCACTGCCTTCTTTGTCTTCGCGACGGAGGGAAATGGCCACCGCGCCCAGCTGATCATCCACCCCGAAGAAATTTTGGTGCTCTGGGGAAAACAGCAGAAGGAGTTGTAGGTTTATTTAAGGCAACACAAAAAGAAGACGAGAAAATATACCCTTGAATATGCAATTGTATTTGGTGCCAAGGCTCTCCTTTTTCACCGGCCTGGGGGACTAAGCCAAAAATATTTGAAAGAGGAAACGCAGTATTTTTATTTTTTATTTTTTTTTAAAAAAAGGAAATGAGGAAATGGTAATATTATAGTATCTCCCTACACCACAGGAAGTCGAGACAACTTACAGCAAAAAAAAATCTAAAAGGAAAGATAACACAACAATGCCTTCCAATAAACTTTTTTTTTTTTTTTAAACCTCTCTTCGGTCGTGTTTTTTCAACCTTGGCCATTTTAACACGCGTGGACTTCAGCTCCCAGAATTCCACAGCCGACTATGGGGAACGGCTGGGGAATTCTGGGAGTTGAAGTTCCTGCATCTTAAAAGTCTCGTGTTTCCCCGAAAACAAAACCCAACCGGAAAATAAACTATAACTTGATTTTTTTCAGGATGCTCGTAATATAAGCCCCATCCCAAAAATAAGTCCCAGTTAAGATCGTCAGCCAGATGGATGGATTTAGTATCGTATTTCCCTGAATATAACACCTAACTGGAAAATAAGCACTAGTCTTTTGGAGCAAAAAATTAATATAAGACCCAGTCTTATTTTCAGGGAAACACGGTAGAGCCAAGGTTGACAAACGCTGTTTTATAAATATATTATGAATACTCAAATCTGTATTGCACACAAATGTGTACATGGATATTGGATTTGCACACCAGCCCAGGCTAAGCTAAAATGGGAGTTTGGCAACTTGAAGACTTGTGGACTTCAACTCCCAGAATGCGTCAACCAGCCCTGCCAAGATTGAATGCTGGCTGAGGCATCCTGGGAGTTGAAGTCCACAAGTCTTCAAGTTGCCAAGTTTGAATGCTGGCTGAGGCATTCTGGGAGTTGAAGTCCACAAGTTTGAAGATCCTTGATCTAGTCTAGTATACTGTAGGAATTCTAAGCATACTTAATTAGTTTTAGCCTAATGTACCAATTAGGCCATTGCATTACAGATAATCCTTGATTTACGGCCACAGCTGAACTCAAAATTTTTGCAAGTCAAGGACTACCCTTATAGCATCTTTTTCATCTCGCTGTCAAGTGCACTTTTAAAATATTGCGTTAATTATATTTCTTCTTAACTTGGATGTTTTTTTGGGGGGGGGGAATTGTTGAGCAAATTCCTAAAACAAGGAAAGACCACAACTCAGGGCTCCAGTCCCACCCTGCTTGAAGACAGAGCCAAATCCCCTTTTTGCAACACTGAGATTTGTTGCCCTCAATCCGGTCTCCTTTCGTCGTCGTGGCGTGCCTTATTTCCAAGAAAGTGGCAGAGAAAAAGCCTCGCCAACTTTCATCAGGTTTATACTCTCTCCCTTCGCTGAAAAGTTCACCGATTCAGGGTGGGGGCAAAAAAAAAAAAAAAAAGCCACATCAATGAACTTCAAGGCACTTTAGGCTTTGTTCATTTGACTCTGATGCGGAGATGATGCAGAGTCAGCCACGGCGGGCTTCTGGGAGAAGCGGTCATGTGAAAGGGAAACAAGTCCAGGCAAAACAAAGAACTATTCTAGCTTCTATTTTAAAACCATGGGAAGGATCCAGTCAGAGGCGTCTTAGCCACAGAGACATCAAAAGTGATCCATCCTGGGAAGAATGGCGAATCAAATCAGAGTGGAAGATTCAGATGTCCCAAATGATTCTGCATTGGAAGGTTAAATCTAATGGAGGGCTTCATTCCAACGGGAAACAGTTCCTGGACTGCAGTTTAACCCAGGATGATTGGTTCAGCACCCCAAATACGGCTTTGCTACGTCTGGGTGGTCCTCAACGTACGACCACTGTTGGAATCCCTATTTCCGTCGCTAAGCCAAGCGGTTTGTTCACTGGGGTGCGACTGACTTTACGACATTTCCCAGGGTTGTTAAGTAAATCACTGCCGTCGTGCAGTTGTTACACCAATCCAGCTTTCCCCCTTGACTTGGAAGCCGGCTGGGAAGGTCAAAAATGGAGGAGCACGTGATCCCAGTTCATGCCGGCTGCCCAGCACTTACATTTCGGATCACGTGACCCTGTGGGGACGTTGCAACAGGCGTTAAGCGCCTGAGCGAGTCGTAAGACACTTTTTTCCAGTGTTGTTGCAACTTAGGACGGTCGCTAAATGAACGGCTGCAAGCCGAGGACTACCCGTGTTTTAACTTGATGCGACATTGCAGCTCTGCTCTCCTCCCCCCTCCTTCTCCCAGACGCGCCTCGTTCACCTTTGCCGTAAAAATGCTTCCGGTAGTAACAAGCTCCGAGATCGGCATACTCATGGCGTGCATCACGCGGCTGCTCCTCTGTCCGTAACTTTCACGGGGTTCCTCCAGCACCGATACGGCCATGTTTGGACAGTGGAAGCCCGCCGGCAGCCCCCGGTGTTGGCCTAGCCCCCGTTCTACTTCCCCTCCGGCTTCCACGCGAAAGGCGGAGCAGCTGAGCACCAGCGTGCCCCCTTCCTCCTCTTCGGCTCCGTCCTCCAGAATCAGCGTCACGTCGGCCGTGCGGGACTGTGAAGCCGCCGAGGCGCCCGTGGTGACGTTACACTGCCTGGCTGCTTCCTGAGCCCCCTCGCCGGGCTCAAAGAGGATACTCTGGACGTCGTAATGGGCCAGGTGGCGGCCCCACACCGGCGTGGCCGCCTCCGATGCGGGAAGGGATACGCTGGTCTCCGCTGACGGGGTGCCACCCCTCTCCGATTCCCACACATCTGAGGACGCCAATCCCAGCAGGAGGAGGGGGTCGCGGAAACGCCGGGCGGTGGGATTGCCTGCCCGGGACTCTTCGTGGCTGTGTGCCCGGGCTCGAGGGGGCGCCATGCTCTTTGAGGGCATGACGGGGCTGCTGCTGTTTCGCTGGAACCCCGTCCCGGAGGCTGCGGCCAGCGGCAACGGCGAGCTGGGAGTCCCCACTGTGGCCGCCAGCTCCCCTTCGCTCAGGGTCACGTCGCTGTTACTGCGATGCATGAGACCGCTGCGCTGCGGCGACCTCAGAGGTGGTCCACAGTGGCCCACTAGTGGGCCCTCGCCCACCTGGGGCTTGGGGGTCCGGAAGTTGTCGAAGGAGAACGAGGTGAGCGGCGGACGGTTTGAGTGGCGTCGCATCTTACGAACGAAGAGATCGTCCGACTGCATCGCCCCGACCGGCGTGCGGTGCTTGCGCTCAGGATTCCGGATCCCGCCCTTGTCTCTGATTGGTGGGAAGGCCCCGCTGCCTTTCCGGTTCGCCAGCCAACCGAGGACTTCCGAGACAGCCAGCGGTGGTCAAATGGACAGAGAAAGGCAGGGCGCTCCCCATGGGGAGACGCTTGCCAACCGTTTGGAAAAGGAGCAATTCCTGGAGCCGACGTCCACGCCGTAGTTAAGAGTCAGCACGCCGCAGCCAGGGAGGTCGCAAAGGCCGGGAAGGGGCAGCGGTGCCACGCCATCTTGGAATTGTTTCTTGGACTAGAAAAGAGACATTGAAACGTTAGAACTGGGTGGGGGACAATCAGGCACTTTGCATCAAAATAAACGAGGAAGCGACCCGACAGTGTTAAAAATGCAGGCAGTCCTCAACTAACGACCACAACGGAGCCCAAAGTTTCTGTTGCTAAGCCAGACGTTTGCTAAGTGAATTTTGGCCCAGGTTACGACCTTTCTTGCCACAGTCGTTGCCGTTGTTAAGTTAGTCACAAAGTTGTTAAGTGAATCTGGCTTCCCCCGTTGACTTTGCTGGTCAGAAGGTCGCAAAAGGGGATCTTGTGATCCTGGGACATTGCGACCGTCATAAATATGAGTCAGTTGCCAAGTGCCTGAATTCTGGTTGTGCGACCACGGGGAGGCTACAACGGTTGTACATGTGAAAATGGTCATAAGTCACTAGAAAAAGGCATATGAGTGGATCAAACTGTTGTTCATACAGTTGTGATACGACTTGCTGTCAACAGCTTCCGGGGGGGGGGGACAAGACTTTTTATTACCCATAAATGCCTCCCCCGTTTAAGCAGGAAATGCTGGGAACTGAATCTGAGTCCACAGAACCATGTTAAGTGGACTTTTTTTCCTGCAAAATCTCCCTTGCACATCCTGGAATTTGGCTACTTCCACTAGCATCTTAACAGAACAGAATAACACAGCTGGAAGGGATCTTGGAGGTCTTCTAGTCTAACCCCCTGCTCAAGCAGGAGATCCTACACCATTCTGGACAAATGGCTCCCCAATCTCTTCTTAGTTGTGTTAGCACCCACAACTTAGCACCTACAACTTCTGGAGGCAGATTAATTGTTCTCACCGTCAGGAAATTTTTCCTTAATTCCAGGTTGCTTCTCTCCTTGATTAGTTTCCATCCATTGTTTCATGTCTTGCCTTCTGGTGCTTTGGAAAACAAACTGACCCCTTCTTTTTTGTGGCAGACATTGGGACACTGCTATCATGTCACCCCCTAGTCCTTGTGTTCATTAAACTAGACATCTCCAATTCCAGCAATTGTTCTTCGTATGTTTTAGCCTCCAGTCTCCCAATCACCTTGGTTGCTCTTCTCTGCCCTCTTTCCAGAATCTCAACATCTTTTTTCATACCGTGGGGACCAAAACTGGATGCCGTATTCCAAAGTGTGGCCTTACCAAGGCCTTGCAAAGTGGCATCAACACTTCATACCCTCTCTTCTAACGGTTTCCCATAATTAGCGGTGTTTGAGTCAAGGATAGGAGGGGGGGGAAGAGAGACAGAACGCAAGGGAAGAAAAAGGAAGACACGTCTGGGAATGGCAAGAATCACATCTGAGCAAGCCACCCCAGGGCAGAATGTCTTGCTCTCTCCTCGACAGAGGAAGTGCAAAAACACACTTCTGCAAAATGTCAAAGGGAAAAAGCCGAGGCTTAGCCGTGGCTTGTGATGCAAGCAGAACGAACCTCAAAGCCGGAGGGCACTGCACTTAAAGGATGCGATGACCCAGAAAACAGACATCAGTGCAAGGAAATGGAAAAGGGTTTTCAAAAGGGGAGGGGGGGGAGAGATATCCCCCCCCCTCCAAAAAAAAGTTGCGTGCAAGGAACGACTGACTTGATTGGGACGAAGCTGTCCTTCCTTTTCTGGTTTCCACATGTCCAGAGATAAAATAGAAAGGAAAGCTTGCTCAGTTGGAAGCCCTTCAAAAGCCATGGAAAATTTACTATTTAAAATTACTAGTATTTTCAATGTTAGTAAATTTAAGGTGTGGAATTCAACTCCCAGAGAGCACAAGAAAGATGGCACACACTAGACACAACAAAGATTGCGCTCGGGCTGGACGCAGAGAACAGACTGGATCAATCCGGTCTGTGATTTTCCTATTAAGCAAACGGGTGGTTGTCAAACCCTCGGGTCGACAACAGAGACTTCCCCTTCTTAGAATAGAATAACGGAGTTGCAAGGGGCCTTACAGGTCATCTAGACCAACCCCCTGCTCACGCAGGAGACCCTACACCACTTCTGGCAGATGGCTGTCCAGTCTCTCCCTGAACGCTTCCACGACATCTGGTAGCAAGCTGTTCCACTGGTTAACTGTTCTCACTTGTCAGGAAATTTCTCCTTATTCCTAGGTCGAGTCTGTCTCCCGGAACAGTTCCCACCCGTTGTTCCTTGTCTGGCCTTCCGGTGCTTTGGGAAATAGGTGGAACCCCCCGCCCTTCTCCGTGACAGCCCCTCAAATATTGGACGACTGCTATCATGTCTCCCCTTCTCTTCACTAGACTCTCTCCCAATCCACGGACCCCCGCCCCAATTTGTTCAGGTCTCCACTAGGCTGAGCTCCCCACCCCCCACTCTACATGCAAAATTTGGGTAAGGGGAGAACAGCTGGGGGTCCAAGATGGCCTTGGCTGTTGACGCACGGCGCTGTTTCCTGTTTTGCAGAGGAAATACAAGAAGCGGAAGTCCGAATGCCCGGCTCCCCCCCCCCAGCTATGTAGGGCCCGAGTGTTTCTTCCTCTTAGCTGACCCTCCTCCCTCCCCCCCCCCAAGACAAAAGCCGTCCACGTAACATCCTCAGGAAAGAGATCGGCTTTAGCTGTAATCACTTCTCGACACCCACACAGGCAGTAGTTGGGTTGCGTACCTGCACCGCGCGTCCTCCTTGCACAGCCGAGCAAAAGTCTTCCTCCCCCATAACACCCCCTGGCTCTTTTTCGAAGACCCCCTCAGCAATATGCACGGTGGGTGTGGTGGTCCCTGTCCTTTGCAACTGGGTGCCAGTTCGGTCATTCCTTTGGCAGCTGGATTTCTAGCTGCGATGAATGGGGGCTTTCTCCTGCTGGAGGGGCAGGTCAAGGGCAGCAAGTGCCATTCGGGCTGCGTCAGCGTCCAGCCGGCTTGCAAACAGACAGGGAGGCATTGACAGCCAGCTGGCGTCCCTGCAGGGGCCGAACGATACAGGCGGTCCTCGACTTACGGCCACAACGGAGCCCCACGTTTAGGTTGCTAAGTGAGACATTTGTTCGGCGAGCTTGGTCCCCTTCGACGGCTTTGCTTGAGACCGTTGTTAAGTGAATCGCTGCGGAGGCTAAGTTTAGTCACACGGTCGTTAAGCGAAATTGGCTTCCCCAGTTGACTTGGCTCGTCGGAAGGTTCCCCCAAAGGGGAATCACGTAACTTTGGGACCCTGCGACCGTCGTAAAGATGAGTCAGTGGCCAAACGTCTGAATTCTGATCACGTGACTATGGGGATGCTACAACGGTTGTTCAGTGTGAAAAGCGGTCACTTTTGCAGCTTTGAACAGTCGCTAAACGAACGGTCGCTAAGTTGAGGACTACCTGGAGCCTGCAGAAGAGCAGAACCAAGGTTTCCCTCTGCTATCTTAGCTCCGGTCCAAGTCCTCTACTTACAACAGTCCGTTTAGTGACCGTTCAAAGTTACAGCAGCACTGAGAAAAGTTATGACCGTTTTTCACACTTATAATCCTTGAAGCCTCCCCATTGGTCACATGATCAAAATTCAGCCACTTGTCAGACTGGTTCATATTTATGACGGTCGCCGTGTCTCCTGGGGGGGGTCACGTGATCCCCCTTTGCAGCCTTTTGACAAGCAAAGTCAATGGGGGAAGCCAGATTCACTTAACGACCGTGTGACTCACTTAACAAACGGCGGCAAGAAAGGTCGCACAATGGGGCAAAACTCACCGAGCAAGTGGCATTTGGGGCTTAATCACTGTGGTCGTAAGTTGAGGACTACCTGGATGAGGCCCAGCTGCTTTGACTTTAGACAGAGGGTTTCTCAACCGAGGTCACGTTCCGATGGGTGGACTTCAACTCCCAGAATTCCATAGCCAGCTATGCTGAGTTCTGGGAGTTGAAGTCCAGCGGTCTGAAAGTGACCACAGTTGAGAACGCTGCAGGGGTCTTCCAACTTGGCCCTTTTAGGACTTGTGGACTTCAACTCCCAGAATTCCACATGCCTGGCTGAGGAATTCTGGGAGCTGAAGTCCACAAGTCCTAAAAGGGCCAAGTTGGAAGACCCCTGCTCTAGAATCTCAGAGACTGGGGCTGCAAGCTGGCCACCCATCAATAGAAGATTTACTAGTGATGTAGTAACTGGTTTGTAAGAAGGAGACCAAGTTTAGCCCTGTAGGAATCGAGTAGCAGCAGGTACAGAGAACAGAAAGCAATTTTCTCTGCTGGAAACCTTAAAAGAACTACTAACTCTCACCGTCCATTTGAGCTTCAAGTTACACCCTTGTGCAATTTTCGAAGGAGCAGTATCAAAAAATGCACTGGCTTCTCCTGGGAAAAATCATTTCATCTTGGGATCTCTTGGTGGTCTCCCATCCAAATTCTCTTCCTGGCTGCACATCCCCGATCTCACATTTTGAGAAATATATACTACCCCCCCCCCCTTTTTTTTAAACAAGGTGAGCCTTGGGCTTGCGGCAGTTGGGCCTGGATATCCTCATTTATATGATGGATTCTCCAGGCAGGGTGACGTTCGCACAAGACACTAAACCAGGTTAAAAATAAATCTAGCGGTTGCATTTATTCGACAGGCTAAGCCTGGTTAGAGAAACCGTAGTTAAATTCTCAGGGTGGCTTAGCGTGCCCTGCCAACGGACTTACAGGCATTCGTTTCACGATTATTTCTAAGTTACAACACCACTGAAAAAGGTGACTTATGACCAGTCCTCACACTTATGACCGTCACAGCATCCCCACAATCACGTGATCGGAAATTCAGCCATTTGGCAACCAGAATTTATTAACAATGGCTGCAGCATTCTGGGGTCATGTGATCGCCATTCGCAACCGTTCTAGCTTGGCTTCCAAAAAGCAAAGTCAATGGGGGGAGTCAGGTTTGCTTAACGACACCCTGATTCACTTAACAACTGCTGGCGGTGTGACGATGGGCGGACTTCAACTCCCAGAATTCCCCAGCCAACCACCACCTATGCAAATGCTTCTTTGCACACGGCGGCGTCATCATTTTGCACATCCTCCATGCAGGAGGCAGGCGACCCAGGAGCCCCCCCCCCCCAAAGACTGTAAAGGGACCCCAACTCTCATCGTCTGTCATCACGTGCCAGTGCTGGCTGGGGAATTCTGGGAGTTGAAGTCTACCCATCTTCACACAGCCAAGATTGCAAAAGATTAATATAGGCTTGCAAAAAAAAGGGGGGGGAGGTCAAAAATCACACCTCTGGATAGACAAACTCAACGCAAAGCTGCACAAGACTATCCCCTTCCTTTTGGGGGGGGGGCGTTCTACGGCCACAGAGCTTCAACCCGTCCTGATGTTTCCATCTTCTCAAAATGACACCCCCCACCCCCACCCCAGGCACTGCTAACCAGGTTTTTCCAGGCACCGCCGCAGGGAGAGAAGCCATGATATATCCAAAGCAGCTCCCGTCTTCCTCAGCCAGATGCCCTGCAGATGTGCTGGCCTTGAAGCGCTCCTCGCATTCTCCTGCCAGCGGACCCAGGGGTGGGAATCGGAGTCCGTCCGGTGGCCAAGGACGGGGTGTCCTTCCTTCCTTCCTTCCACCCACCCTCTCCGGGGGGGGGGAGGGAAAGATGCTTTCGCTCAACATCTGGAGCGCATCCTGGGGCTGACACTACCGTCGAGAAAATGGGCTGCCAGGAGCCTACCTCGCCGGGTCGGCGTGCATCTACACGCAGAGGAGGAAGAGTAAGCCCCACCAATCCCAGAAACACGTGTGTGTGTGTGTGTGTGTGTGTGTGTGTGTGTGTGTGTGTGTGTCCTCCTTTCTTTCAAATAAAAAAAAAGCATCCCTCGGCTTTTCAGCAAGGCCCCTGGACTCAGCAGAGGCACTCTGCACATGCTCTCGGACTCCGGCTAGGAGCGCAGCCGGGCAAATCTTGGAAGGGGGGGAAAAAAAATCGGATTTTTTTTTTTTTTTGCTCTTTTTTTGGGAGGGGGGGGCACACAATAGCAGCGGAGAGACGTGGGCATCCCGCGGGCGCGCGAGAAAGCAAAAGCCCGGGAGCGCGCGCGCGCGCGGGGGGGTGTCTCTCTGCTCCCCGCTTCCTCGCTGAAAGGGCGCGCGCCTGCATGCGCGCTCCCGACCAGCGGCAGCGGCAGGAATACAGCAAGCCGCGGCGCCTGTCACGTTGCAAAGCAGCTTCTCGCCATATGGTGGGAAGCGGGACGGGGGGCGCGCGCCTCTCCCCCGGGGGGGGGAGCCGCCGGGGCTCGTGCCCGGCGGCCGCCGGAGGAGCGGGTCGCGGAAGCGGCCGGGGAGGGGAAAGGCAGGGAGAAGCGGGCTCGTCCTTCCCCGCGTCTTGCACGCGGACGTCTGAATGGAGGAGGCGCTCCGCGTTTGCAAAAGGGCTCCCCCGTCTCCTTGCCGCGGTTCGCGGCGTCCGAAGCGGGGGTCCTGCCGCTGCAAAACATCCGCCCCCCCCCAGCCTCCCCGAGCCCCGGTGCACGTGCGAATGCGTGTCGGAGGAGCTTTGCAGCCTTACCTCTCCGGGCTTGCGGCGGCGGCACCAGCAGCAACTCGAGCGGGGCGCTGCCTTCTCCTCCTCCTCCTCCTCCGCCGCTTCTTGCCCCGCGTGGAGTCTCCGTGTCCGCTCCCTGCGGCCCAGGCGGTGGCCCCGCCCTCCCCTTCCTCCTCCGATCGGGGGCGGGGAGACCCAGGAGGGGGAGGAAGCGGGCGGGGGCGCCGGGCGGCGTCAGCTGCACCGCCGGGGAAGAGCGGAGGCGGAGGGACTCTGGGTTTCCTGGCGGTGGGGGGGGGGGAGGAGGAGGAAGGAAGAGCAGCCGGTGAAAGGGGAGGCCGGCCTCTGAACATGTGCAGAGCGCTTAGGCGGGACTCCTTGGGCGAGGTGGGGGAGGGCTGGGGACAGGGAGGGAGGGAGGAAGATCAGCCGGTAAAAGGGGAGACGGACCTCTGAACACGTGCAGACGGCTAGGCAGGACTCCTTTTGCAAGGGGGGGGGACCCTGGGGGCACGGAGGAAGGAACATCAGCCAGTAAAAGGGGAGGTGGGCCTCTGCACAGGTGCAGAGCGCTAGGCAGGACTCCTTGTGCGAGGGAGGGGGAGGGCTGGGGGGGGGGCAGGAAGGAAGATCAGCCAGTAAAAGGGGAGATGGATCTCTGGACATGTGCAGAGTGCATGGCAGGACTCATTTTGCAAGGGAGGGGGGGGAGGCCTGAGGGCAGGGTGGAAGATCAGCCAGTAAAACGGGAGACAGACCTCTGAACATGTGCAGAGCACTTAGGCAGGGCTCCTTGTGCAAGGGAGGGGGGGAGGCCTGGGGGCAGGGTGGAAGGAAAACCAGCCAGTAAAAGGGGAGACAGACCTCTGAACATGTGCAGAGTGCTAGGCAGGACTCCTTTTGCAAGGGGGGGGGCTGGGGACATGGAGGAAAATCAGCCAATAAAAGGGGAGACGGGCCTCTGAACATGTGCCGAGCGCTTGACAGGACCCCCCCAGCCTTCCTTTAGGCAAGGGGTGCTCTTTTTTTTTAAAGGGGGGGTAAGACAGGCACGGGATGAAGCGCTGGCTCTTTGCAAACCTGAATCCCCTGGGCTTTTTTTTTTTTTTAATGGGAGGGGGGCGTCTTTGCAGGAAGGATGGAGAGGGAGGTGCAAACTTGCACCCACTTTAGTGGGGGACGCAGTGGACGTGGCATCACCCTGCACCCAGTGCGCCCTGAACACAAATGGGAATCGGCACAGGAAAACTCCGTGGGCCTTTGAATGCCCTTTCTCTCTGGCGGTGAACCGTGAGGAAGTCGGGGGTCTTCGTTCGGAGAGATCATTTACAAACCCCCCCCCCCACTTCCCTCCTTTTCATACTGCTCAGATGAAATCTTGGAAAGAAGACAAGGGGCTGAAAATTGCATTTCCAATAGCCAAAAGAACTAAGCATCAAATTTGAAGGCCGAGTTCACACCTTTGGGGCTGAATTGCAATTTTTTTTTTTTTTTTTTTGCAATAAGTAGCGTTCACACAACCCCTAGAACCACTGGGGTTTGGTAAGAAACAAACAGAGATGGGCGTCAAATCCAGGTGGGATTCCCCCACTTGCTGGGCCAGCCAGCTCCTTTCCCCAAAAATCTGGGAAGATGACATCCTTCGTTCCAAGACTCTGACCTCTGAGCGGAATTAAAATTTCAAATTTGTTGCCTGACTGCACTGGAGAGAACCCAGGAAGAATCTCCAAAGACATGAAGAAAGGAATGGGATGAGAAAATAAAGAACCTATTAAAGCACAACTTCTTTCCAATTCTCTTTTCCGCTTCCCTTCCAAAGGCACTCCCAACAAACAGGTATCCTCCCCACTCTTTCCAAATAGCAACAAACTTATATATCGCTTCACAGTGCTTTACAGCCCTAAGCGGTTTACAGAGTCAGCGTTATTTGCCCCCTGCAACAATCTGAGTCCTCATTTTAGCGACCTTGGAAGGACGGAAGGCTGAGTCAACCTTCAGTCGGTCAGGATTGAACCCCTGGCTGTGGGCAGAGTTAGCCTGCAATGCTGCATTCTAACCATAAGTAAGTAAGGAAGGAAGGAAGGAAGGAAGGAAGGAAGGAAGGAAAAAGAGAAATAAATAAGGAAGGAAGGAAACACGAAAGGAAGGAAAGAAAGGGAGAAGAAAGGAGGGAGGAAGGAAATGAAAAGGAAGGAAATGAAAAGGAAATGAAAAGGAAGGAAGGGCAATACCAATAGCATTTAAGACTTATATACCGCTTCAGCCCTGGTTTACAAAATCAGCCTATTGCCCTCCTCGTTCCTCCGTGGCGAGGTTAATCAGCTGCTGTGATTTTTCCCCCCCTCCCCAAATTTTTCAATTCCCCCGCCAACCCCAAATCCAAGATCCTGGGACAAAAGACGGGGGGGGGGGGGTAGAAAAACAAAACAAAAACAAATTATTATCATTATTATTAATCCCGAGGGATGACAAGAGCAGAAAAAAAAGGGGGGGAGGGGAAGCCTTGAGAGCGTCACCCGGTTAAGGACACAGAGTGAGCCAGCGAGGCGGGTCCTTGTGATTTGTGTGTGTGTGGGGGGGGGAGCCTGCCCCTGCAGGCGAGTGGAAGATTTTGGGGGGGGTGGTGCAAATGGAAGAAACTGCAGGCCAGGCAGAAAATAGCCTGTATTGGTTGTCCTTGATCTTGCAGACAAAAAAGATGGATCGGGTTGGTTGGTGTGGAAATTGGGGGGGGGGTGACTTGGGGGAAGCCAGGAAGAGTCAAACGGGACCAGCCCGTAGTTCTGTGTGACGTCAGAGCGTGTGTCCCCCCACTTCTAATTCAGTACTGATGATCCAGAAGGGGCTGTCCAGCCGCGGGGCTGTCCTCGTCCTCTCGCTGCAGGCCCCATTCAGCCACCACAGGGTCAGGCTCGGGGGGCACACAGTCTTCTTGGGGGGCAGCGGAGGGGGGTTCCAGAGGCAGTGGGCTGGGGGTGCTGGTGGCAGCCTCGGGGACTGGTCCTGGGATGGGAGCCTGCGGGGGGGAAAGGGAGAGAAGGCAGGGTGTTATATACGTTGACGACAGCCAGATTACTTTACGCCCCAAAATGGAAGGACGCTTTGGTCCCCACAAAGGAGGAATGGCAGCAAAAGTGGATGGAGTGAGCAGAGATGGCTAAACTGACTGCTTTGATTACTTGGAAACCACTTCTGGGAATCGGAATGGAATGGAATGGAATAGAATAGAATAGAATTACAGAATAGAATAGAACTACAGAATAGAATAGAATTACAGAATAGAATAGAACAGAATAGAATTAAGAGAGAATAGAATAGAAATTAGAATAGAAATGAATAGAATAGAAATGAATAGAATAGAAACAATAGAATAGAATAAAGAATAGAATAGAATAGAATAGAATAGAATAGAATAGAATAGAATAGAATAGAATAGAAATAATAGAACAGAATTAGAATAGTAGAACAGAATAAGAACAGGACAGGACAGAATAGAATTCGAATAGAAATAGAATTAAGAGAGAATAGAATAGAAATTAGAATAGAAATGAATAGAATAGAATAGAAACAAGAATAGAATAAAAAATAGAATAGAACAGAACAGAATTAGAATAGAACAGAACAGCACTTATACTTATACACCGCATCACAATGCTTTACTGCCCTCTCTAAGCAGTTTACAGAGTCGGCCTATTGCCCGCCAACAATCTGGGTCCTCATTTTACTGCCCTCAAAAGGACGGAAGGCTGAGTCAACCTCGAGCCAGTGAGAATCGAACTGCCGGCCGTGGGCAGAATTAGCCTGCAACACTGCATTCTACCCGGTGCGCCCCTACAGCTCTCAGCACCTGATTAAATGATGGGGAAAGTGTATCTAATTAAGCTCTGCTCAGCTGTTTCTGACATTTCAGGACACCAATTCAGCACCACGTTTCTGCCCCTTTAGGGTTCTGCCCTCTTGGGGGTGGCGGACAAAGACTCACGTGGCATGTAAACCAAGACAGAAGAAATTGGGTAAAAAGTGTGTGTGTGTATGGGTGGGATTACATACCTGAGGCTTAGGGCTCCCTCCAATGCTGAGTGTCCCCAAGGTGGCAACAGGATTAGATGCTATTGAGGAGCTGTCCTTTGTGTGGGGTGGCGGAGTCCCAGGTGGGAATTCGCTCTCGCTGCCCCCTAACCCGTTTAGTCCTTTGCGAGCTGGCAGGCTCCACTTGCTACAGAGGCCCTCGTAGACAAAGGGCGAGAGAGTCCCGAGGCTGGGGCGGAGGGGCAGAGGGGTACGTCCTGTGCCCTCAGCCACGGACGCCAGGGAGCTGGAGCAGGAAAGCTGACTTCCCAGGAAATGTGGGCCTGGTGGCCAGGATGCAGCGGGGGTCGGCGCGGGATGCCCGTCGGTCTGGGGCTGGACCAGCCAGCACTGGCTCGGAGGAGGAAGGCTGGGATCGGATTCTGCGGAGAGAACACGATAAGATGATAAGATAAGTCAAGATAAGATATAAGATAAGATATAAGATAGATAAGATAAGACAAAACAAGATATAAGACAAGATATGATAAGATATAAGATATAAGACAAGACAAGATATAAGACAAGATATAAGACAAGATATAAGATAAGATATAAGATAGATAAGATAAGACAAGACAAGATATAAGACAAGATATGATAAGATATAAGATATAAGACAAGACAAGATATAAGACAAGATATAAGACAAGATATAAGAAGATATAAGATAAGATATAAGACAAGATATAAGACAACATATAAGATAAGATATAAGATAAGACAAGATAAGATATAAGATAGATAAGATATAAGACAAGATATGATAAGATATGATAAGATATAAGATAAGAAAGACAAGATATAAGATAAGATATAAGATAAGACAAGATATAAGATAAGATATAAGATAAGATATAAGATAAAAGACAAGATATAAGATAAGATATAAGATAAGATATAAGATAAGATATAAGACAAGATATAAGACAAGACAAGATAAGATATAAGATAAGATAAAATATGACCTTTATTGTCATCTTTTTTACTGTGGACACAACAGCACACATCAAAAATGAAATTGAGTTGCCCGCTCTCAAAGTGAAACCCATACACGACTCACACCTAAACATACTATGAACAACCTATGTATAGACCCACACCCCTACATATACATAGCAAATAAATATTAACTACTGTCCATCTTGAATATATAACGGAAAGAGGAAGCTTGAGAGTTCGCAAGGTTAATGCTGTATGGCAGTGTGGGCGAACCTATGGCACACATGCCAGAGGCGGCACTCAGAGCCCTCTCTGTGGGCACGTGCGCCATGCCCTGGAGATGGCAACTGTCCCTCTTCAACCAGCCGCCCGCTAACTCGCCGAGGTCCCACGTGGCCGGATGCATCCCAGCATGGCTGGTTTCCCTCCCCCCCTGGGGAATTCTGGGAGTTGAAGCCCACCGGTCTTAAAGTCGTCAAGGGCGGACACCCCTGCTTTAAAACAAGCAGAGTCAATTCTTCCTCCCAACCTGGCGGTCTTCGGCGGGCAGAAATCTTTCTTACCTGCCTGAGATTGGACAGCCACGGCCCCCGGCTCAGTGGGGTTGGCAGCTGCCGGCCCAGCGTTGTGAGCCGTGCTCCCGGGTCCCTGTGCGCTGTGCCCGGGGGGGTTATTGCTGAGAGAGGAGCCCCCACCACAGTCTGAATCCTCAATGTTGCCTCCGCTGTTGCAGCCGGCTCCGCAGCCTTTTTGCAACCTGCAGGGCGAGGGGTGAGAAAAGGGGTGAACGCTCCCCAAAGCCACGCTGCTTGCAAACAAGACACTCCCCCCCCTCCCCCAAATAGTTGCAAAGGAGCTACAGGCGAGGACAGCACCTCAGCCAGGTGCTATCTTGCTCAGTTGTGGCTTGGGGGGCACTTTTTTCAGTGCCATTGTAACTTCGAACAGTCACTAAGCGAACTGTTGTAAGTCGAGGACTACCTGTACTTTATCCCCCCCCCTTTTTTTTGGTCATCAAGTTTTTGACACCTTGCTAGGCAACTGATGATCCTCGGATGCTGCCATTTCCTCGGATGAAAAGGTTGAAAAGCCCTGCTATAGCCCCTCGCCCCCTCTCCTGCTAAAAGCCAAAGACAGCGGCGTTTCCGGCCCTTCCGGGGAAGGGAATGGGGACACAAACTGTCGGATGGGACCCTGGGATTTTGCAAAGCTTCCTCCCGCACCGCAAATCTCGCCTCACCAGTTTTGGCCAGCAAACCTTGACCGGATCTGTTGCTGGCCAAATGTTTTTGCTTCCTGCAGGTCCAGCACCGTCGTTAGTCCTGAACCTTCCCAGCTCCCAGCCTCACCTCTCCCAGCTCCGGATGACCCAGCTGGAGATGTTGTGCAAACTGATGGGGCCGCCCCAGAGCGAGCGCAGCTGAGGGTGGCTGCTGGCGTAAGACGTGGTCAGTGGGGAAACGTAGATGGGGTAACCGATCGGCTGGTCGCAGGAGGAATTGATCATGTTGCGGAGCGCCTGCTTGGCGTTCTGGATGCTGCCGCGTTCCGGGTTCCGATTCCGGAGAAAGACCAGCTCCTGCTGCTGTCCAGCCCATAAGCCTCGCACGCATTCCCTGTTCACCTGGGCCAGAGAACAGAAGGGTGGATGGATGGAGAGAGAGAGAGAGAGAGAGAGAGAGAGAGAGAGAGAGAGAGAGAGAGAGAGATGATAGAGAGGGGGGGATAGAGAGAGAGAGAGATGATAGAGAGGGGGGCATAGAGAGAGATGATAGACAGAGATATGATATGACATGACAAAGAGGATAGATAGATAGATAGATAGATAGATAGACAGAGATGATAGAGATATGATATGACATGATAAAAAGGGGATGGATGGATAGATAGATAGATAGATAGATAGTAGATGATAGATATAGAGAGATGAGATAGATATATGATAGAAAGGGGATAGATAGATAGATAGAGGAGATTGTAGAGAGATGATAGATAGATAGATAGATAGATAGATAGATAGATATAGAGAGATAATAGTGTTATGATATGACATGACAGAGAAAGTAGATAGATAGATAGATAGATAGATAGATAGATAGATAGAAATACACAGAGAGAGATTGTAGAGAGATTGTAGAGAGATGATAGATAGATAGATAGATAGATAGATAGATAGATAGATAGAGTTATGACATGACAGAAAGGGGATAGATAGATAGATAATGATATGACATGACAGAGAAAGGGGATAGATAGATGGATGGATGGTTGGATGGATAGATAGATAGACAGATACAGAGAGATAGAGAGATGATAGATAGATATGATAGAGAGAAAGGGGATAGATAGATACATACAGAGAGATTGTAGAGAGATGATAGATAGATAGATAGACAGATAGATAATACAGAGAGCTAGAGAGATGTAGCAGGAAGGCCAATCCAAGTGGGTCTCGTTCCTCGCTCTCCCCTTCCCCGCCATGTTTGGAGAAAAACGCCTTTGACAAGTCTCCGCCCATCTTGGTTTGCCCTACCTTGATGACCCGGAAGCCCAAGTATCGCTTGTTGAGCATGATGATCTTGTACTCGTCGCTGGCGTCGTCCATCACGTGGCGAAGGGCCAGCAGGGCGGGCGTGTTGGTGAGGATGGCGCTGCGCCAAGCGGGGTCCCCTTCGTGGGAAATCACCATTTTCTCCTTGTTGGACTTAATGGCATCGTACAGCACCGCTGGGTCGTCGTATTCATCCGGGGAGGTGAAGTGGTCCTGGCAAAGGAGGAGGGGAGGAGAGTCACATCAATGGGGGGGGGAGGGCAGAAGAGCCCACTCCTCCATCCCAGCAGTTTTCTTGGCAAATTTTTTCTGATGGAGTTTGCCATTGCCTCCTTCCTAGGGCTGAAAGAGTGGCTGGCCCAAGGTCACACATATGGCTTTCATGCCTAAGGCGGCACTAGAACTCACTGTCTCCTGGTGATTGGCCCAAAGTCACCCAGCCAGCTTTTCTGCCTAAGTGGGACTAGAACTCACAGTTTCCTGGCGATTAGCCCAGTCACCTTGTTGGCTTTCATGCCTAAGGGCAGGACTAGAATTCACAGTCTCCTAGTGATTGGCCCAAAGTCACCCAGCTGGCTTTCATACTTAAAGCAGAACTAGAACTCCCAATCTCCTCGTGATTGGCTCAAAGCCATCCGGCTGGCTTTCAGGCCTAAGGTGGCACTAGAATTCACTGTCTCCTGGTGATTGGCCCAAAGTCACCCAGCTGGCTTTGTGCCTAGAGCGGGACTAGAACTCACGGTCTCCCATTTTCTAGCCAGATGTCTTCACCAGTAGAGCAAACTGACTCTCTCAAGTATTTCTACGTCCCTCCCACCCAGAACAAGGCAACTGGGCAGTGACCCCAGAGTAAAAGAATCGGAAAGGGCTGGATTTACCTGATGCAGCTTCAGAGACATGCGCACGCCAGGTGCCACCACCTGGTGCAAAAGGTCCATGTCGGCGAAGACCCATTCGTCCCGGGGCGATGTGATCCGGAAGTCGCCCTTGAACAGGGCATGCAAGCCATAAAGGAAGGGCTCCAGGCTATAAAAAGAGACAAGGTGGGTCACCGGAGGAAATATTTAGCCCAGGGATCTCCAACCTTGGCATCTTTCAGACTTGTGGACTTCAACTCCCAGAATTCCTCAGCCAGCCATCTTTCAGACTTCTGCACTTCAACTCCCAGAATCCCTCAGCCAGCCATCTTTCAGACTTGTGGACTTCAACTCCCAGAATTCCTCAGCCAGCCATCTTTCAGACTTGTGGACTTCCTCAGCCAGCCATCTTTCAGACTTGTGGACTTCAACTCCCAGAATTCCTCAGCCAGCCATCTTTCAGACTTGTGGACTTCAACTCCCAGAATCCCTCAGCCAGCCATCTTTCAGACTTGTGGACTTCAACTCCCAGAATTCCTCAGCCAGCCATCTTTAAGACTTGTGCATGGCTGGCTGAGGAATTCTGGGAATTGAAGTCCACAAGTTTTAAAATGGCCAAGGTTGGACACACACACACACCCATTTTAGCCTGCGTCTACATAAAGGCGATCCAAAGCCGTGGGGATCTTGGTGGTCTGTGAGCTTGGTGGTTTTCTTGCAGACATTTCCTGACCAAACTGAGTAACATCATCAGCGAGAGCAAACCCCATTTCCCTTTTTTTTTGGGGGGGGGGTAAAAGTTTTTATTAATTTTTTCCCATACATACAGTAATAATTTTTCGACCGACGTGCTGTCTGAGTTTACATTCGCTAATACGTCTTTAATTCCTAATCCTTTGCTCTTTCCTTTAGCCGTCGATACAACAAGACCCACGATGGATAATATTCTCTCACCTGGCTGACATGCTGTGGGAGGCAGTTCCCAGGGCTCTGCGGCCCAGGATGCAGAGCCCGAAGCACAGGGTGACCAGGCGGGAATTCCACTCCAGGTCCACGGCCTGCAGGGGGAGGAAGACGGCAGATGGGGAGGGGGTCACTCGTGGGAAACTGGGGGGGGGGACCGTCAGGATCTGAAGCCAGCTCTACGGCCTGCCTCCCTCTGACTCACTTTCTCCCTGCGCCCGGCACAGTACTGAACCCAGTCGAGGTAGATGTTGCAGAAAGAAGTCAGGGAGATGCCCGCCATGCGGTGGTCGTAGTCCTCATCGATGTTGAGGTTGAAGGTGGGGTCGCTGTCGGCGTAGTTGAGGGCGGTGCATGGCCGGAGGGCTTCCTGGATGCCTTCGTTCCCCATCCACTCCTCCAGCTTTGGAGAGCAGGTGACGTAATAGATGATGCTCTGCAGGGAGAGGAAATGGGCCAGGGAAGGGGAGGGACGAGGGGAGGGGAGGGGAGGGAGGGAGGGAAGAAGGAAGAGAAGGGGAGGGAGGGAGGGAGGGAGGGAGGGAGGGAAGAAAGGAAGGGGAAAGGAAGGAAGGAGAGGAGGGGAGGGGAAGAAAGAAGGAAAGAAGGGAAGGGAAGGGAAGGGGAGGGAGGGAAGAAAGGAAGGGGAAAGGAGAGAAGGAGGGGAAGGGAAGGAAGGGAAGAAGGAAGAAAAGAAGGGAAGGGAAGAAGGAAGAAGGGAAGGAGCGAAGGAAGGGGAAAGGAGAGAAGGAAGGAGGAGGAATGAGAAAGAAGAGGGAGGGAAGGGAAGAGAACAGAAGGGGAGGGAAGAAAGAAAGAATGGAAGAAGGAAGAGAAGGGAGGGAATGAAGGGAGGGAGGGGAAAGGACGGAAGGATGGAGGAGGAAAGAGAAAGGAGAGGGAGGGGAAGAAGGAAGAAAAAGAAGGAAGGGGAAAGGAGGGAAGGAAGAAGGAGGAAGCAGAAAGGAGAGGGAGGGAAGGCAGGAGAGGGAAGAGGAAAGGAAGGAAGGAAAGTGAAAGAACGAAAGCGGAAGAGAGGGAGGGAGGGAGGGGCAAAGGAAAGGAAGAAAGGAAGGGAGAGGAGAGAGAAGGAGAAAGGAATGCGAACAGGAAAGGAAGGGAAATGTGAAAGGTTAAACACTTAAAGACTAAACACTGCCAATCACCGCAAGCTATAAAACAAGAGTGACAACAACACAATGGTTGAGTTTGTGTTAAGCTCATAACCCCCCCCCCACCACCCTAAATCTCCAGAGGCTTCAAACAAGCTCTCTTCTTTCTCAGACTGCGGTGTAAAACTCCATTTTCCTTATCAACCTGGCCAAACAACCCGAAGGTTGGCTGGGATTAGCTTTTGCGAAGGAGGGAAGGGACAGATCTGTTGCGGTGAGGGAGGGGGGACGACTTTATTTCAACGGATATAAAAGGAATATATATATATCAAAGGAATATATATATATATATATATCAAAGGAAGGGCGGGCCAACTTCAGGTTTTAGTACAATTCACGTTGGTGGAGGATTTAAGCACCCCTGTCCCCGTCTTATCGGGACCCCCAAAATCGTGATTGAAGACTAGCGTGAAGGCCCCACCAAGGTCGTCTCCGAGATACGCTGAGCTCAGGAAAGTGGCACGTTGGGCATTTAAGACTAGCCAATCAAAACCCAATCTCGGCTTGATCGGGACAGAAGCAACCTAGAGCTAAGGAGAAGTTTCCTGACAGCGATAACGATTAATCAGTGGGACGACTTGCCTCCAGAAGTGGTGGATGCTGGAGGTTTTTAAGAAGAGGTTGGGCAAATGTTTGTCTGGAATGGCGTAGGGTCTCCTGCTTCAGCAGGGGGGTCAGACTAAGGCAGGGCTTTTCAACCAGGGGTACGGGTACCACCTGGGGTACATTGGCACCTGGCAGGTGGTACGCACCCATTCTAGAAAAGTGGTAGCGGGGGAGACGAATGAGCTGAATTGGTGGCAGCACCGCACAAGCCTGAGCGAGAGACGGCTGGAGCTGCAGGGCTGTCAGGGCTCAGTGGAAGCACCAGGATCAGTGCCAGGCTCCAGGTGGAGCTCAGCGCTGATCCTGGTACTTCTGCTGAGCCCTGAAGAAGCACCAGTCAGCTGGAATGTTGCAGCATCTCCAGGATCTTGGCATTTACATTCAGATGCTTGGCAACTGATTCATATTTATGACGGTCACAGTGTCCCAGGGTCATGTGAGGTGACCAAAACCAGCTGCAACCACTCAGCAGACGGGGGGGGGGGGGAATAAAAACCAAACACCCCCCATCCCACCCCTGCTGCCAATCCTCAACAGAAATGCTCACAACCATGAAAACCTCGGACAGGAGGAAGAGCGCTGTCGGGTGGGCAGGCAGGTGTCTCGCTGGGCTGTGGCTTGGGGGGCACTTTTTTCAGTGCCTTTGTAACTTTGAACAGTCACTAAGCGAACTGTTGTAAGTCGAGGACTACCTGTACTTTATCCCTTTTTTCCTTTTTAGTCATCAAGTTTTTGACACCTTTTTAGGCGACTGGTGGTCCTCGGATGTTGCCATATCCTAAAAGTGGTACCATAGGTGAAAAGGTTGAAAAGCCCTGTCCTATACTATTCCAGGCAAAACTGATTTCCCAGGGCCGATCTCCCCAAAACCGCAGAGAGAAAGATCTGGGTGTCTGCGCGAGACAAGTCCCCGTGGTGAGGCTCCCACCTTCACGTAGTAAGTGATGAGGATCTTCCGCAGGTCGAACACCTGGAGCATGGAGGCGGCGTTGTTGTCGCTGATGCTGTAGCCCTCCAGGACGTACTTGGTGGCGGCTACTTCCCAAGCGAGCCAGCGCTGCCCGAAGGCCGCGTTGAAGCTCAGCATGCGGGGAAGATGGCCGGGTTCACAGCAGCAGCAGGCTTCATCCTCCTCCACACCCTCCGTGATGGCCTCGACCTCCCGCTGCTGGCAGTACGTGCCTGGAAATAAGCAAGACCACGTGCTAAAACATCCTGCAGCCACACTCATTTGCTCCACTCGGGGGACCCTGAAGACACAGATAAACCCCCAAGTGGCCTCAACGACGCTCTAAAATGGTTTAAAATGGGTAGACTTCAACTCCCAGAATTTCCCAGCCAGCATGCTTTAGGATAGGTCAGTGGTTCTCAATCTTTTTAATGCCGGTCGTAAATCGAGGACTACTCAACCGGTCGTAAGTCGAGGACTACTCAACTGGTGCAGCACCGTTTGCAGAATGGGGCTTTTGGCGGGCTCAGCAGGGCAGAGACAGCCTGGACAATTCCTATTGGCTTTGGAAAGCCAATAGAATTAGACTCTATTCAAGAGAGTCTATTCCATTGGCTTTCAAAAGCCAATAGAATAAAAGGGAGGAGCACAGCTAAGGGGGAAAAAATGGCGGACTGCGTTGTTTGACGACCCCCGTGAAATGGTCGTTCGACCCCAAATGGGGTCCCGACCCACAGGTGGAGAACCTCTGGGATAGGTGGTTCTGAACTCCCAGAATTCCCTAGCCTGATTGTCTGGCCAAAAGACTCCTGGGAGTTCAAGTCCACACCTCTTAAAATGGCCAAGGTTGAGAAACACTGTACTAGGAAGTTGGAAAAATTAGGATTTAGGGAAAGAATTCTTTCGGAGATGGCAGAGAACAGGTGAAACACTACCAATCCAGGCCACCTTTGATTCGGGAGCGGGACCTTGCCTCGTCTTCGGCTCTTCCAGCTTTCACAAAGAGACGGCGTTTGGTTACCTTGTGATGCCCGCCCGGTCGACTCACCGCGGAATTCGAGGCCTCGCAGCTGGAAAGTGACCAGACCGTTGCCGATCTCGATGAGGTGGACGAGGCTGTTCAGGTAGTCCGAGGCCAGGATGAAACAGTCCCCCGTGGTGTAATTGCCCCAGCGTCCCAACAGCAGGTCTCCACACAGGGTGTGCTGCAGCGAGCGGGTCAGATGCTCGTAGAAGATGGAGTTCAGGTTGTTGTCGTCGGCACCTGCAGGGTGGCAGAAGCAGGTGAGGGCTGGGTCAAGCGCGCTGGGGAAAGGAGCACCCCGCTTTATTTCCTCAGAGCATCCGCAGGGAGCACTCGGACGTACGACCTTTTTATTGTTAATGACAGTTTGAAGTCACAAAAGCACTGAAAAAGGGCCATTTGTGGCATCCCACGAAATACGGTACGGTCACGAACTTTAGAAGGGAATCGTAAATGTTTTTCCAAGGGGGTCTGTTGTAACTTCACACCAGTGTTAAGCAAACGGTCATGAGTCAAGGGTTACGTGTACCCGGCTCTTCCCCTGCAAGATTGCTCACTGTAGGGGCTGTCTGGTAACCCATGGGTCCACAATCCCCGAGCTGTGGATTGGCACCGGGCCGCGGCATGCCAGCAACCGGGCCACGCAAACAAGCGAAGCCCCATCTGTAGGATGCAGGCAGCATGCAAAACCACGCAGCCTCCGGTCCGCGGAATAACCGCTCTCCACGGAACTGGTCCCTGGTGCAAAAAAAGGTTGGGGACCGTTGTGGTAACCTACCGGGGTTGCGGTCAAGCTGTGTAGCCAGACGGGTGTTTGAATGATCCACCCTCTTGGTGCTGGGAAAAAGGAAAGAAGCAAATTAGATCCATAAGAGGCAGGAACTGGGCTCCAAACACCTTTGCTGTAATAATAATAATAATAATAATAATAATAATAATAATAATAATGATGATGATGATGATGATGATAATACTCTATTATTTTAGAATGTAGAACGTGGGATTGTGGGATTGAAGGGACCTTGGAGGTCATCTAGTCCAACCCTCTGCTCAAGCGGGAACCAACCCACTTTATAACTATTATGAGTTACGACTGCGATGGGTAGACTCCATTACGGTTGTAACTTGAGGACTTCCTATACTCTGAGTGAGTAAAATCCAGAGGAGCAGCAGAGATAATAGGAGCACTGCTGCCCTCTAGTGGCTGTCTGAAGACCTGCAGCCTGCATCTGATCGCCCAATTTGATGTGATAAATTAAAGAGACAGGTCATCAAATCCTCAACTCCTTTCCCCAAAAAAACCCATTTAATATCTGGCCCTCAATAGTCTTCCATTCAATCATGGAGCTGTGATCGCTACCAATATTTAAAACAGCATTTTTCAATCTTAGCAAATTTAAGCTGTCTCGATTTCAACTCCCAGAATTCCTCAACCAGCAGGGCCATTGGCTAAGAATTCTGGGAGTTGAAGTCTATCCAACTCAAAACATGATGATGGGGGAATTCTAGGACTTGGTAGTTCAGACTGCTTAAAATGGCTAAGATTGAGAAACACTTCTAAGTTTAAAAGCAAAGGAAATGAAAAAAAAAAATAATAATAAATAAAAATGCAGATTATTTGATAAGGTTTGCTTATTGATAAGGTTTGCCTGTTGCCCAGCAAATCAAAACAACTCAGGAAGCAGTAACCCTTCCTATTACTGCCTTTATTAAAACAATTAGTTAGCTTATTGATTCGCCCATAGGCCTTATCAATAATAATAATAATAAATTTTATTACGGTCGTAGACCAGCAATAGCCATCACTTTTTACAATATATTAAATAATAATAATAATAATAATAATAATAATAATAATAATAAATAGTACTAACATTAATAGTAAATAATAACATCCCTGTTAAGAAAATACATATTCTCAAAATGTTAGGGTCACTCCCTAATTTACGTGAGTGGAGAGCCGATTAATGTGTGAGTAAATATAATAGGCCTTAGCAAAATACAGAGTTCCAAACACAGAATGTTAGTAAAATCCTATTAAATTTTTTTTTAAAACGAAACTGGAGTAAAATATAATCATTTGATAGAAAAGCAAAATAAGATAAAATTATATTTCAGCATCACCCCTACAATCTACCCCAATCAGTCCCATAACATGTCAATTTTAGCTGAACCATTTTACTCAAGTACTGTGCCGTGATTAAAATGATTAACTATTAGCATAGAAAAATGTGGTTTTCTAAGCATCACAGGATAATCCTTTCTGCCATCCGGGGTGCAATCGATGCTATTGGAACCCCTTTTTCTCCAGGACCTCTTTGAGGGAGCGTTAAAGCAAATGAATTGGTCTGGGGGCTTTTATGCTCCCAACTCACTTGTAATCGCGCTCCCAAAATTTGACAGGGCGCGCGTAAGACATGATGAACACAGCGCTGCCCAGCAACGGGTTGAGAGGAGTGGAGAACAGCGCGGAGAGAACAGCCTGGAGGAAAAGCATGGCTGAATCTGGAGAGACAGGGGTTAAGGACACATCAAACATACCAGAGACTGTCAGGTTCCACTTCCAAAATTCTCTGTTACGGGAAGGAAGGAAGGACTTGGAGGAAGATTTGCACCCAAGATCAGCGCTCCCAACCTTGAGAACTTTAAAACGGGTGGACTTAATTCTTCGCGGCTGGCTGGGGAATTGTGGGAGTTGAAGTTCACCCACCTTTTCTCTCTTCTTTCTTTTTTTATTAGTTTATAATATAAAATACAAAAGGAAATAGTAGGAAAATAAGGGAGGGAGAAGGGGAAAACGTAGAGCAGAGGGTGAAAAGAAAGAAGAGGCGTTGACGTCCAACTCCCTTTGGTGCAGTAGGATAACATAATAGCATCAAAACTCAATTTTTTTTTACTTTTACGTAGTAATATCAACTAACCATGTCTGTAACAACAAGCCTGTCTAATAGGCAAAACCCAAAATCAAAGTTTCATTTTTTTTTTCCAGAAGTCAAGAAGTGGTTTCCAGGTAGAAACAACATTAGGTGTGTGTGTGTGTGTGTGTTTTCTTTAATCAAAGCAGTCAATTTAGCCATCTCTGCTAACTCCATCAACTTTTGCAGCCGGATGTCCAACTATCTTAACCAAGGTTGGGAAACTCTGGGTTTAGGTAAAAGAACCTCAAGTCTGGGACAGAACTGTAACTGGAGAAATAAATTAAAAAGTAAAATAAAATAACATGCTGTCTTCCAAAATTCTTGAGGCCCTGCGTTCCACAGGTTAACAATAATAGTTATAATAACAAAAACAACAACAATAAAGCTGGAAGGGACCCTGAAGGTCATCTAGTCCAACCCCCTGCTCAGGCAGGAAACCCCATCCCGTTTCAGACAAAAGGCCGTCTAGTCTCTTCTTAAAAACTTCCAGCGTTGGAACGTTCGCCGCTTCTGGAGGGAATTTTGGCCAGGGAAGGCAAATAAAATTCCTTTCTCCTTCCTTGCCCCATCTCGGAAAAGGATACGTGGCACGGCGAAGGGCTGGGCAAAGGCGTGGAAGGCGGAGCCCCAGGTGATCTGCCAGGGGGCGATGTAGGTAAGGACAAACCGAAGCTTGTACAAAAGATCCCACAGCTGGGGGAAAAAAACACGATCAGAATCACAGAGAGGGTAGAAAAAGAAAAAATTTAGAGAAAGCCAAACGGAGTCAAAAGGACCAAATCAGTGGCTTTTTCGCAAAACAAATCCGGTCCGTTTTTGGAGACATTCCTGGTTTCTGTGCCCAGGGTGGAAAGCGAGCCCAGTTTTGAAATGAAAGCAGCCAGTCCTCATTGAGGGGGGCCTTTCCAGCCTCTGTTTCCTTCAAGAGGAGGGCAGGTCTCGATATGTCGGCTCCCCCAAACCATTATTTACCTGCTAGATACAGTGGTTCTCAACCTTTCTAATGCCGTGACCCCATAATACAGTTCCCCATGTTGTGGTGACCTCCAACCACTTATACATCACTGGGTGCCAGAGGTGTGGCCAAAGAAAAGGGGGAAAAATGGCAGACAGCCTTGTTTGGCGACCCCCGTGAAATGGTCGTTCGACCCCAAATGGGGTCCCGACCCACAGGCTGAGAACCACTGTGCTAGAAGGAAGAGAAAAAAAAGGGGGGTGCAAGAAGCCCCAAACCAGCACTCACCTTGCTAAAGAGAATCGACATGATGAAGTAGTCGGTGAGGAAACCCTCCGAATATTTTTTGTAGTCAAACTGAAAGAAGAGGACGGTGAAGCCGAGGGTGACATACTGTTGTGGGGGGCAACAGAAGGAACCCCGCAGAAGTTTCATGCCGGCCACGGTGAGGAGAAGAGCTCGGCAGCTGGGGTCAGAATGCGCGCAGGGAGAGAAAAGAGAGTAAGAATTATTACCAATCTCTCTCTCTAAAAAAAAAAAAAAAGAAGAATGCAAACCATTGAAAGATTTGCGCCCTCCATTGATTGCGGCAGAGGTCGGCAACACCGCAGCCCTGGGGCAAAGACGTCCGCAGGAGAGTGCAACAGCACTTAGACTTATATAATGCTTCACGGTGGTCTACAGCCCTCTCTAAGCCGTTTACAGAGTCAGCTTCTTGTGCCTTGCAACAATCTGAGTCCTCGTTTTACCGACCTCGGAAGGACGGAAGGCTGAGTCAACCTTGAGCCCGTCAGGACTGAACTCCTGGCAGTGGGCAGAGTTAGCCTGCAATACTGCATTCTTAACCATTGCACCACCATGGTAATTAGAGAACAGAGAGTAGAATAGAGTAGAGTAGAGTAGAATAGAATGTAAAATATAGAATAGAATAGAATAGAATAGAATAGAGAAACAAAGAATAGAATAGAATAGAATAGAATGGAATGGAATGGAATGGAATGGAATGGGACGGGACGGGACAGGACGGGACAGGACAGGGTAGGATAGAATAGAAAATATAGAATAGGCATAGGAATAGGATAGAATAGAATGTAAAATATAGAATAGACTAGGAATAGGAATAGGAATAGAATAGGATAGGATAGGATAGGATAGGATAGGATAGGATAGGATAGGACAGGACAGGACAGGACAGGATAGAAAATATAGAATAGGAATAGGATAGAGTAGAATAGAATAGAATAGAATAGAATAGAATAGAATGTAAAATATAGAATAGAAATAGAATAGAATAGAATAGAATAGAACTGCAATAGCCCTTAGACTTATATACTGCTTCACGATGCTTCACAGCCCTCTCTAAGCGGTTTACAGAGTCGGCATCTTGCCCCGCACAGCAATCTGGGTCCTCCTTTTACCGACCTCGGAAGGAGGGAAGGCTGAGTCAACTTTGAATCGGTCAGGATCGAACTGCTGGCAGCGGGCAGAGTGTAGCCTGCAATTACTGCATTCTCACCCCCAATAAAAGCAGCCTTGTCCATAAGCTCTACAGCAGTATCCTTATACTGTAAACCCTGCCTCCTTTGTGCGTTGTGTGATGCGACGTCAAAAGCTCTGCCTCCTTGGCACGTGGGATGGGATGTCACGGGAGGTACAAGCCCTTCTCCCCACCAATGGGGCTGCAGGTCTGCCGGGAGGGGCTGGACTTACGGAATGCACAGCTTCTCCTGCCGGGGGCTGCTGACCCAGTGGGCATCGATCGTCAGGGCGTTCAGCACCACAGCTGGGTAGATGACGTACTTCTCGACGCACTGCAGCCAGGCGTAGAGTTTCTCAAACCACATCAGCTCAGCAGCGCCTGGAAGGACAGGAGAGGGGAGGAGAGGGTCAAAAAGAAAAGGATTGAGACCACCGCCTTTCCGCCATTTCAATCCCAAAAGATCCCAGGTAACCCCCCTTGAGAGAAGCTCAAAGCCCAGGGATTCTGCAACGTCCTAATCTGGTCTGTAACTAATCTGCAGACTAGCTCACTGTTTCTCAACCTTGGTAATTTTTAAGATGGGTGGATTTCAGCTCCCAGAATTCCCCAGCCGGATGGGTGGACTTTCATTCCCAGAATTCTCAGCCAGCATGTTTTAAGATGGATGAATTCAACTCCCAAAATTTCCCAGCCAGCATGCTTTAAGATGGCTGGACTTCAACTCCCAGAATTCCCCGGCCAGAATGCTTTGTGAACTTCAACTCCCAGAATTCCCCATCAAGCATGCTTTAAGTTGGGTGAACTAACTTCCAGAATCTCCCAGCCAGCATGCTTTAAGAGGGGTGGACTTCAACTCCCAGAATCCCCCATCCAGCACGCTTTAAGAGGGGTGGACATCAACTCCCAGAATTCTCTGGCCAGAATGCTTTGTGGACATTAACTCCCAGAATTCCCCAGCCACCATGCTTTACGTTGGGTGGACTTCAACTCCCAGAATCCCTGGCCAGAATGCTTTGTGGATTTCAACTCCCAGAATTCCCCACCTAGCATGCTTTAAGAGAGGTGGACTTCAATTCCCAGAAGTCCCCAGCCCAACCGCTGCCTTCACTTTCAACCGGCATGCCTCGTGGTCGGGCATGAGGGGAAGTGTAGCAGAGCCCAGAGCCTCCCAGAGCCTCCATTCACTTCCTCTCCAGGCACGGACTTACTGCGGACTTCGAACTGGCTGTATTCCCGCGGTTTCAGGACAGGCTGCGAGAGGCAAAACCAGGGCAGCTGCTTCCGGAGTTGGGGCAGGAGGTAGTGCGTGACAAAACCGATCAGCCCTGCCAGGGCGTAGAGCACATAGCCCAGGACAGACTGAGAAGGGCAGAATCAGGAGAAACGCCAAGGTTACAGGGGGTCCCCGACTTACGACTGCCCATTTAGCGCAGAGATCCCCAACTTTTTGGACACCAGGAACCAGTTCCGTGGAGAAAGGTTTTCCCGTGGACTGGAGGGTGTGTGGACTGGAGGGCCCTCAATTTGAATGGCGGTTATGTCAAAAAGTAATGTAGTGTTGTAGTTTTCTGGTGGGCATAATAAAAGTTCTGTATCTGCGAGTGTCTGTCATTGATAATCAAATGGAGGTTTGTTTCCAAATTGCCCTCATAAAATCTAAAACCCAAGCTACACGTATTTTCTGTTATTTCAGAACTGTAGTAAGTCGAGGATTAGCTGAACAGTGTTTCCCCCGTGCCCACAAGCCAAGCTGCTACCCACTGCCCACCCCACGGCCCCCTTCCTCCCGTCCCCTCGTCCTTGTCTCAGGTACCTCAAGAGCGATGAAGACGGTGCTGGCGCTGATGGCGAAGGTCAGCACCGCGATGATGAAGCACATGACGAGGTCCGAGTGAAGGATCTCGCGCTGGGTTGGGTGGAAGAACAAAAGAGGAGCGTTGAAGAGCGGGCAAGGAGAGGCCAGAAGCTCTGGGTTCGGAATGTACCGTCTCCAGGGCTGGATCTCCTTGGACAGCCCTTTCCAGCTTGGCTTTCGTTTCCCCCTACTCCCCATTAACAGCCCCCCGCCAAGAAGCTCGGAATCCAGGCCTGCTTTTCAAGGCAAAGGCCTTCCTCACCAGAGAACTGCGCAGTTTCTCCGGCAAGGGATCCTTCACGCCAACCGGACCGCTGTCCACGTTGTGGTTCTCAAACTCGGGCAAAATCTTGGTGCGGATCAGAGACCTAACCATCACCGGGGAGGGAGGGAGGAAGAGAGGGAGAGAAAAGTGCTTTGCTGAAACCCGAAGCAGCCCCCCAAGGGATGGGAGACCTGTCTTCTCCCTCGCAAAAACCCCCAAGGAATGGGTGGGTGGGTGGGCTACAGACCAGAGGATGGTAGGGTCGCTGCTCTGACGGCTGAGATGATAGGACAGGGACACCAGGACACCGCAGAAGACGGAAAAGAGGACTGGCACGTGCTGGTCACCCCACGGAACCTGGGAAAGAAAAGGCGAGGGATGTCCGTCGTGCCGGTCTTGGCAACGTAACAACGGCGCAAAGCAGAGGTTTGTTTGCAAAGCACAGGATCTGCACCTGGGTTGTGTGTCCAGGAACAGGCCGCAATACATCGCAGGATGGGTGTTCCCCAAATCAAGCCAGATTAAGACAACTGGCTGATGTGGTCGCACTGGGGGACTAAAACGCCATTTCCTGGGCTGGCCTATTATACGTAGTCCTTGACTTACAACCTTGAAACCAGTCCAAGTTACAACAGATCCCTCAAAGGTATTTATAATCTGGTTCTGAAGTGTTCATTCTCTCTCTCTCTCTCTCTCTCCTCTTTCTCTCTGGATCAGCTAGGTGACGGTGAGTTCTAGCCCCGTCTTAGGCATGAAAGTCAGCTGGGTGACTTTGGGCCAATCACAAGGAGACGGTGAGTTCTAGTCCCGCTTTAGGCATGAAAGACAACTGGGTGACTTTGGGCCAATCACTAGGAGACAGTGAGTTCTAGTCCCGCCTTAGGCATGTAAGCCAGCTGGGTGACTTTGGGCCAATCACCAGGAGACGGTGAGTTCTAGCCCCGCCTTAGGCATGAAAGTCAGCTGGGTGACTCTGGGCCAATCACCAGGAGACAGTGAGTTCTAGTCCCGCCTTAGGCATGAAAGCCAGCTGGGTGACTTTGGGCCAATCCCTCTCTCTCGGCCTAACTCACCTGAAAGGGTTTGCTTTTGCAAGGAAAATAGGAAGAGGCAGGAGTATACTTGCCACCTTGTGTTATTTATAAAAAATAATAAAGGCAGGATACACACACACACAGACACATAATTGTACACACACACACACACACAATGCAAGGCAGGTTCCCTTATACATCAAGAAAAAGAATGGGGAACATGGGAAGGAGGGAACAAAGGGGAACTTAATCTTCACCCCCTTTGAGCCCCCCCCCAGCCCCTTCCTTCCCATTGCCGATACCTTGATGGCTCCCAAGCAGAACCCGTACAGGAGGCCGGCCACAAGGATGCTGCGGAGCAGGGCGAACAGGGCGGTGAGGGGGCTGGTGGCAGCTGGAGATGGAAAAGAAAAACCAGGCTGTGAAGAGCACGTTCTGCTTGACTTTGGCTGATCTCAGAGGCTGAGCGAGCCAGGCCCGGACAGGTCACCACCCAGAGATGCCAGGGTGGGAGGCTCGACTGAGAGTTGAAGTCCATAAGTCACAAAAGGGCCAAGTTTGGAGACTGGTGGGTTACAGTGTCCTGGGGTCCTGGGATCGCCATTTGCGACCTTCCCAGCCAACTTTCCACAAAGAAAGTCAACGAGAAAAAAGTTCATTCTTCTCAGTAACTTTGAATGGACGCTAAATGAATGGTTGTAAACTGAAGGCTATTTCACCTGGGGGGGGGGAATCTCTTTCTTTTTATATATATAAATATTTTTATTAAGTTTTATAAAGGTAATAAGGGGAAAGGGTCAAAAAGGGTAAGTCAACGGAAAACATACAAAAAGGTTAGGCCAGGGAAAAGGGGTAACACAAAAGTGGGATTAATCCCACAAAATAACATCGCTTCAGCAAATCTACCCATCCGGGTTTACATATTAAATCTTAATAATTACTCTATTATTAAACAGCTTTCCATATAATCACGTAAATAACAAATCAGTCAATAAATCTCGTTCATTTCACTACTTAACAAGCCTTAATATTAATTCATTATAGTCACTTTAAAACAATAATATATTACATATTAATTATAGTTTACCATATTATTGAAGATCACAAATATACAAAGACGAAGAAGAAGAAATAAGAACAAGTTCATACAAATAATCATGGAATATAAATACAAATGATCAATTATCTCTTTACACTTCATAACCTTTTCTCATTCTAGCGTGTTTCTAACCAATAATAAAATTTTCACCTTGGGGGGATCTCTTATTAACAAGAAGCAAACCCCCACTTCCCTCTAACATTGATGTTATTACCTAGTTGGGTCATGAAACGTCTGCAAGGAAACAACCAAGATTGGAGAGCACTAAGGACTCCACAGTCCTCCTTATCCTTCTCCTCCTTAATCCCCACTCTCTTCTAGCACTGATGTTGTTACCTAGTTGGGTCATGAAACGTCTGCCAGAAACCCACCCAGCTCAGAGAGCACCGAGGAGCCCTCAGTTCAAGTCTGAGCCACAGCTTTTTTCATCTATCGTCACCGTCGTCAAATTTCAAATTTCCCCTTCGCAAAGGTCCCGATTCCCCCCACAACCCTTTCCCTCCTCACCTGTCCCGCCGAAGACGTTCATCTCGACCTGTTCCAGAAGGTACATGAAGCAGGTGTTCACTTGCGGGAGAAGCCCAAAGAGGAAAATGGCTGGGAAGCAAAGAATGAACACTGGAAGGAAACAAAAAGAGAAAGAAAGAAAGAAAGAAAGAAAGAAAGAAAGAAAGAAAGGAAGGAAGGAAGGAAGGAAGGAAGGAAGGAAGGAAGGAAGGAAGGAAGGAAGGAAGGAAGGAAGGAAGGAAGAAGAGGAAGAAGAAAAAGAGGAAGAAGAAAAATAAGAAGAAAAAAGAAGAAAAAAAAGAAGAGAAGGAAGAAGAAGAAGAAGAAGAAGAAGAAGAAAAAGAGGAGGAAGAAGAAAAGGAAGAGAAGAAGAAGAAGAAGAAGAAGAAGAAGAAGAAGAAGAAGAAGAAGAAGAAGAAGAAGAGGAGAGGAGGAAGAAGAAAAGGAAGAGGAGGAAGAAGAAGAAGAAGAAGAAGAAGAAGAAGAAGAAGAAGAAGAAGGAAGAAGAAGAAGAAGAAGAAGAAGAAGAAGAAGAAGAAGAAGAAGAAGAAGAAGAAGAAGAAGAAGAAGAAGAAGAAGAAGAAGAAGAAGAAGAAGAACAACAGAAAACCAGGAGAAAAAAAAAATTAGGCCAGGGGAGACGTCACCTCCACCTACCACGAGTTCCTTAACCACGTCCGAACTCTCCCAGCCCGGCAATCGGTGGCTTACCAATAGCCATGTCACGAGTGCAGTAGAAGAAGTCGGTGGAGAAAAGGGTGACGTCGTAAAGGACGACGGGAGGGAAGGGCCCGATCCGAGCACACAGGTCCAGCAGCCAAATCAAGAGGCAAGCCACGCAGAAGTACACCGGCCGGCTGTAGGCAATAATCCAGTTGTGGCCCTGCCAGGGGACAGGAAGGTTGAAAAGCTTTGGGAATAGGGCCGAGATTTATGACCCACGGTTGCCTGGCCCAGAATGAACTGGGTCACCACTTCCCCGGCCCAGGATTTGTTTTAGCTCGGCGTTTTTCAGCCTCGGGAACGTTAAGATGGGTGGACTTCACTCCCAGAATGCCCCAGCCAGCTTGCTTTAGGATGGTTGGACTTTGATTCCCAGAATTCCCCAGCTAGCATGGTTTAAGAGAGGTGGACTTCAACTCCCAGAATTCTCCAGCCAGCTTGCCTTAACGTGGGTGGAATTCGATTCCCAGAATTCCCCAGCCAGTATGGTTTAAGAGAGGTGGACTTCAACTCCCAGAATTCCGCAAGCCAGCATCCTTAAGGATCGGTGGGCTTTCGTTCCCAGAATTCCCCAGCCCGCATGCGTTACAAGATGTGGACTTCAACTCCCAGAATTCCCCTCCCACCGTACTGGCTGGGGAATTCTGGGAGTTGAAGTCCTCACTTCTTAACAGTGCCCAAGGTTGCGAACCACTGCTCTAACCCCAATTCCACACGTCTGCCTGTGTTAAGATTTCTCGTAGCCAAATAACTCACATGCATGGGAGAGGCAGCATCTGGCTGTACACTCTGGAAAAAAAACAAAATAAAGGAGGAAAAATTGGTTAGTCCTTCAAGGATTCCCTGGCTCCTATGTCGCAGAAGGAAAATTCAGTATAAATTAGATTTATACTAGCTCCGATATTCAAGGAAAGGCTACAGGACAGTTTTTTCTCAACCTCGGCCACTTCAAAAAAAAAAAAAAAAAAAAAAGCTGGACTTCAATGCCCAGAATTCCCCAGCCAGCATGGAGAACCAGCATAGTTGCTCTGGGAATTCTGGGAGTTGAAGTCCACACGTTTTTATTATTATTATTATTATTATTATTATTATTATTATTATTATTATTATTATTATTATTATTATTATTATTATGGATCATCGCACAGTCAGCCAGATGTTCTGACTGGATTTGGCATTTTTGTCTACCTATCGAGTCCTTCCCAAGGACATGGGATAGGCAGATGTGGATGTCTGATGGTATTACAGGTATCGTCGCAGGATGGAAGCGGTTCCTAGTAAGGCCGCCTTTTGCAATTGACTAATGGCGAATTTGTCAATGCCAATGGTGTTCAAGTGGTGCTCCAGTTGTTTTGGGATGGCACCCAAGGAGCCTATCGCTATTGGTACTACCCTTGCTTGCTTTTGCCACAGTCTTTCTATTTCTATTTGTAGGTCTTTGTATTTTATGATCTTCTCCAGCTCTTTCTCATCTATTCTATTGTTGTTATAATAGTAATAGTAATAATAATAAAAAGTTGGAAGGGACCTTGGAGGACATCTAGTCCAACCCCCTGCTCAGGCAGGAAACCCTATACCATTTCAGACAAATGGCTGTCCAGTCTCTTCTTAAAAACTTTCAGTGTTGGAGCATTCACCACTTCTGGAGGCAAGGAGTTCCACGAGTTAATTGTTCTGTCAGGAAGTTTCTCCTTAGTTCTAGGTTGCTTCTCTCCTTGGTTCGTTTCCATCCGTTGCTTCTTGTCCTGCCTTCTGGTGTGTTGGAAAATAGCTTGACTGCCTCATCTTTGGGGCAGCCCCTGAGATACTGGAACCCTGCTATCCTGTCCCCCCTCGTCCTTCTCTTCATTAAACTAGACATCCCCAATTCCAGCAGCCTTTCCTTATATGCTTTAGCCTCCAGTCCCCTAATCATCTTTGTTGCTCTTCTCTGTACTCTTGCTGTTGTTGTTATTATTATGTCAAAAGGAAATGTGATGTTGTAGTTTTCTAATAGGTATAATAAAAGTTCTGTATCTGCGAGTGTCTGTCATGGATAGCCAAATGGAGGCTTATTTCCAAATTACCCTCGTATAAAAGAGAGACCGGGGTGATTTGGCTCGAAAACCGTCTTCCCAGGGAGGGAAGAGCTGCAGGGGGACCTTCCTGGCACAGACCGCACAGCTGGGCCAGGTGGGTTGGGGGGGGAGGCCACGAACGGAGGTCCACTGGAACAGAAACTCTTGACTCGGCCAGAGGTTTTTTTGGGGGGGGGGGGTCAAGCCTTGGCCTCACCTTGAGCAGAGAGTACTGGCAGCTGGCGATGACCACGCAGAACTGGAAGACCCAGATGTCCCGGAAGAAGCCCTGGAGCAGAAGGAGATAGCCCAAGAAGGCCACCAGGGTCACCAAAAACACCACGAAGACGTTCTCGGCTACTTGACGATTCCTGGGGGGGGGGGGGAAAGGAGAAGGAGACACCGCTAGTCATCAATGTACGACCATTTCCATCGCAAAGCGAGATATCCGTTAAGCGAGTTCGGCCCCGTTTCCGGCCACAGTTGTTAAGGGAAGTTACAGCAGGCATCTTCAAACTTGGCCCTTGGATGACTTGTGGACTTCAACTCCCAGAATTCCTCAGCCAGGCACGCGTGCCTGGCTGAGGAATTCTGGGAGTTGAAGTCCACAAGTCATCCAAGGGCCAAGTTGGAAGACCCCTGCACTGGGGTCAAGGGTGACTAGAGGGAATCTTTTCCATATACCAGGAGTCTTCAAACGTGGCAACTTTAAGACTTGTGCAACTCCCAGAATTCCTCAGCCAGGCACGCTGGCTGAGGAATTCTGGGAGTTGAAGTCCACAAGTCATCCAAGGGCCAAGTTGAAAGACCCCTGCACTGGGGTCAAGGGTGACTAGAGGGAATCTTTTCCATATACCAGGAGTCTTCAAACGTGGCAACTTTAAGACTTGTGCAACTCCCAGAATTCCTCAGCCAGGCACGCTGGCTGAGGAATTCTAGGAGTTGAAGTCCACAAGTCACCAAAGGGCCAGGTTTGAAGACCCCTGGCCTAAAGCAAACTCATTTATTTATCGGTTAAATTAATTTGCTGTCGTATCTCGCCGTAGGGGCTAGCTACTCCAGGCAGCTTTAGAATAATGAAAAAGAAAACGAAAGGAGTGCAAACAGAAGTCAAATAATACAACAATAAAATAAACAACGGGAAAAGGAACAGAGCCAAAAAGATATCCACGGTGACGATCAGCTTCCCAATTCCCTGGATCTGTTGGCTGGGCACAACGGGAGTTGTGATCACCCCTGTGCAAATAGCTGGAAGAATCACGGGAGAAGCTTCTCTTTGTCGTCACGGTCTGAAGTTTTCAAACGTCGAGCTCAATCAGCAGGAGCAGCAGTATTTTTCTTAATCATTTTTTTTAAGACATGAAAATAGATTTAACTACTGAGAACATTTTAACCAGCGGAAAGGTTTTGAACATTGTAGGGAAAATCAATTTAAATAAGAATTTGTAAACAGGATTTGTGACAAGGCAAGCAAGATGACCAGACAGAAGAGAAGCGTGATATTGATGTGATTATTATAGGTAGACATTTTAGAAATTGCTACCTATCAAATTAATATTTTATTTAATTGCTACCTATCAAATTAATAAGAACTGCTATTAATTTAAGGTGGCAAAGAGAATATGATTGGAGGAAGAGAAAATCGAGCAAAGCTATTAGGTGGATTTTGGAATGTAGAAACTAACCGTTAGTGATAACTTTAAATATAAACTTAAATATAAACCCAGACAACACGCTGTTTATCAAATATCAAGGTGTTTATATTAAAAAAAATCAATAAAATGTATTTTAAAAAAAAAAGAATTAGCAGAATTTTGGGTGTCTATTTGGGGCTGCTAAGGTGACGCAAAGTGAGAAGGTGCTAGCCAGCTGTTTTGCCAGTCTAGAAGGGGTGTGTGTGTGTGTGTGTGTGTGTGTGTTTGTCTCACGCTTTTTGTGTTAAGAGATGCCTCCTCCCCAAGGCAGCCCAGAAAAGCCTGCAAATTGGGCCCTCACCGATCCAAAAGAGCCAACAGCGCCAACCGGTCGTAGCGAACTCGCATCCAGTGCCCGGGAAGAAGCCAAAATTTGTAGTATTGTCGAGGCTGACACTTGTCCTCGATCATTAAGGTGTTTTCCTGGGATTCGTGCAAGGATTCTTGGTCCAGAAGATCAAACTGGAAAAAGAAAAAAAAACAATAACAACCAAAACGTTGCTATTCCAACTTTACTTCCTCACCACAATGGAAAGTCGAAGCCAGCCTTTCTCAACCTTGGCCACTTTCCGATCTGTGGACTTCGACTCCCAGAATTCCCCAGCCAGAAACACCACCAGCACCGTGGATGTTACCTAATTTGGGTCGTGAAATGTCTGCAAAAACATCAACCAGGCTCAGAGAGCACTAAGGACCCTCATGTCAACCATGAGCTGCAAATATTCTCCTTTGTTCATTCCAAAGGTGCTTCTGATGGGGCTTTGGTGCTCTCCGAGCTGGGCGGTTTTCTTGCAGACGTTTCATGACCCAACTAGGCAACATCATCAGTGTTAGAAGGGAATGGAATTGAGAGGAGGGGGAGGAGGAGGGCAGGAGGAGGAGGGGGAAGGAGGAGGAGAAGAAAAGAAGGGGAGGATTGTGAGTCTCTCTGAGTTTGTTTTCTTGCAGACGTTTCATGACCCAACTAGGCAACCTCATCAGTGTTAGAAGGGGATGGAGTCGAGAGGAGGAGGGGGAGGAGGAGGGCAGCAGGAGAAGAAGCAGAGGAGGAGGAGGAAGAAGAGGAGGAGAAGAAGAGGAGGAGGAGGGAGGAGGACTGTGAGTCTCTCTGAGTTTGTTTTTTCTTTGCAGACATTTCATGACCCAACTAGGTAACATCATCAGTGTTAGAAGGGGATGAGAGGAGGAGGAGGAGGAGGGCAGGAGGAAGAGAAGGAGAAGAAGAGGATGAGGAGGAAGAAGAGGAGGAGAGGATGACGACAACTATTGGGTCCTTGGTGCTCTCCGAGCTGGGTTGTTTTCTTGCAGACGTTTCATTACCCAACTAGGTGACATCATCAGTGTTAGAAGGGAATGGAGTCGGGAGGAGGAGCGCAGCAGAAGGAGGAGAAGGGCAGGAGGAGGAGGGGGAGGAGGAGATGAGGAGGAGGATGATATTTCTTTCCTGAAGAGCCAAGCTGGGACAGGCCTGGCCTAACCACGGCCTGGACGGTGGAGAATCTCCACAGCGTCTGAAGGCCTCCCAGTCTCACCTCGGGGATCTCCAGGGGGACCCGGCGGACCTGCATCCCCTGGAGGACCACAGGCCGCGGCTGCAGCAGGGAGAGGGCCGGGGTCCCTTCGGGAACTTCTGCGGAGTTGAAACTGGAGGAATGCGAGTGTCTCTCCCTGCCAAGGCAAACACAGAGCGACGAGGCCATGAGCAACAGAACTCTCCCCTGACTAAACCATCCTCCTCTTTCTATTGCTGGGACACGCTCTGACACCGGCAAGTTTTCCTACGATACAACAGGCTTCACGGGAAGGATCGATCACTTAGGCCAGGGGTCTTCGAACTCAGCCAGAATAATGGATTGGATAGAATAGAAGAGAAGAGAAGAGAAGAGAAGAGAAGAGAAGAGAAGAGAAGAGAAGAGAAGAATGAATAGAATAATGTATGGAACGGAACGGAACAGAATAATGAATAGAATAGAATAGAATAGAAAATAGAATGCAGAATAGAAAATAGAATAGAATAGAATAATGAATAGAATAGAATAGAATAGAATAGAAGAGAATAATGAATAGAATAGAATAGAATAGAATAATGAATGGAATGGAACGGAATGGAAAGGAACAGAACAGAATAGAATAGAATAATTAATAGAATAGAGCAGGGATAGACAACTCATGGACTTCAACTCCTATGCTGACTCAGGAATTCTGGGAGTTGAAGTCCATGAATCATAAAAGAGCCGAGGTTGCCTATCTCTGGAATAGAATAATGAATGGAATGGAATGCAATGGAACGGAGCGGAACAGAATAGAAAATAGAATAGAATAGAATGGAATGGAATGGAAGAGAAGCTGGAAGGGACCTTGGAGATCTTCTAGTCCAGCCCCTTGCCCAAGCAGGAGAACCTATACCATCTCAGACAGGTCAATGTGTCGCTTAGCAGCCAAACCTTGGGCTCAATTGTGCTCGGAAGTTGAGGTCTACCTGTAGTTTATCCCAAGGATCTGCCGGCAATCTCCTTCTCTGGGGGAACATTTTGGCCGTTGAAAGAGAGACTCACCAGCCGCTGTTGGTGGCGTGTTCCATGCCCGCTTGCTGGCTCATTGGATTCTCGTAACCGCCTCCAGCAAGCCCAAAAGTGTAGGAACGTCGGACTCCTGGGCAGAAAGGGAGAGAAAAAGGGACCAGGTTGGGAGACTTCCTACTGTCCATGGAAATTCTCCATCTTTCAGGTCCTGGTTGTCCCATAGGTGCTTTTTTTTTTCTTCCCAGGATGCAACTGGACTTTCTTGTTCTTTCTTTGAAGAGGTTTCACTTCTCATCTAAGAAGCTTCTTCCGCTCTGACTGGAGGCTGGGGAAATGGAAAGATTTATACTCCTTGCAGACAGCTGGTCATTTACATCCTTTTAGAGAGCCGTTGAGGCCACTTGGAGGTTTACCTGTGTCCTCAGGGTCACCCGAGTGGTGCAAATGGGTGGGGAGCCTTCTTGGAACTGCTGAAAGGACTGTGTGTTGCACACCCATTTGCACCACTCAGGTGACCCTGAGGACACAGGTAAACCTCCAAGTGGCCTCAACGACTCTCTAAAACAGGGGTCTTCAAACTTGGCCCTTTGATGACTTGTGGACTTCAACTGCCAGAATTCCTCAGCCAGGTTTGAAGACCCCTGCTCTGAAAGAAGGCAAACGACCAGCTGTCTGCAAGGAGTATAAATCCTTCCATTCCCCACCACCCAGTCAGAGCTGAAGAAGCTTCTTGAAGGAGAAGCGAAACGCCTTCAAAGAAAAACAAGAAAGTCCAGTTGCCTCCAGAAAAAAGCACCTTTGGGAGACGTCCAACCCAAAGCATCCTCCCGTTTGGGCAGAGAAAATGCCGGGCCTGTTTTATGATGCTAAGGAGTCTGGAGGCTAAGGGACATTTACCCAGTCACCACGCTGCTTTCCAAATACTCGGGGTAAAACTGGAAAACCAATACCATTTGTTTGAAAAGAAAAGAAAAACGTTGCCCAATTAGGATAGTTAACAGCCCTGCTCAAGGCGCCCCACCCACCGCTCTCGTCGTAGAAGTAGTGGACCGCTCCATCCGACGTGTCGTCAAAGTTGCAGGCTTCGTGGATGGCGCCCCGGGGCAGCAGCAGCGAGCTGGCGAACTGGAGGGCCGACGGCAGGGTGAGCGCCCGGGAGTGGGAGGACGTGCGGCCCCGCTGGAGGTCCTGCAAACTGCAGAAAGGCCAGAGATGAGAGGCTGGATGGCTGCAGCCGCCACCGTGGGGAGGGGGGGAGGCAGAAAAGTCATCTGCAGAGGGGCTTACCTCGGGGGGGACCCCATGACGGAGGACGGAGGGGTAGGGTTGCTGCCCGCGTTGTGCCTCCGGCGCATCGCCTGCACGCGCTTGATGTTGCTGGACTGCTCCGACTTTGGCAGCTCCTCCCCGGCGGCAGCTGGCGGAGAAAAGGCAAAGGCCGAGTGGGTGCGAAGGGTGTGCGCTGTTGAGGGACAACTGGGTGCGAGCGTTCTGCCCTCAGCAGCTGAGTTTGATGCCCTGGGCTTTTTTGGGGGGGGGGTGTTCTCTGAGCTTGGTGGTTTTCTGGCAGACGTTTCGTTACCACCGTAGGTAACCTCGTCAGGGTTTTGGTCCTGGCCAGCAATCCACACTCAGACGGGTAGAGATTAAAGCCGACGTTAACGTGATGTCAAGAAGGAAGAAGCAAAGAAAGAGTGTTCCAGTCAAGGAACTCCCAGCTCGTCAGACCAACAATCAAAGGTTAAATAACAGCCTGATCAAGGAAGCACCGAGAACAGGTTCACCAACGTTGGTAGGGCAAACTACTAGTAAATAAACAGAGAGCAAAGCCTACATCCTTCCAGCCCTGATCCATTTCCTCCTCCTCCTCCTCCTCCTCCTCCTCCTCCTCCTAACTCCTCTCACTTCCAACACCGATGATCTTCCCTACTTGGGTAACGAAACATTTGCAGGAAAACTGCCAAATCCAGAGACTCACCCCAAGGACCCCCACATTTCCACCCAGAGCTACATTTATATGAGCCGAGGTGGCGCAGCAGTTCGAGTGCAGTACTGCAGGCCACTTTAGCTGACTGTGTTCAGCAGGTCAGTGGTTCAAATCTCACCGGCTCAAGGTTGACTCAGCCTTCCATCCTTCCGGGGTAGGTAAAATGAGGACCCAGATTGTTGGGGGCAATGTAAATATATATAGACATTGCTTACTGGTGTACACCGCTTAGAGAGTGCTCGCACTTAAAGTGGTATATAAGTCTCATAAATAAATAAATAAATTTCCACCCAGAGCTACATTCTCCTCTGTCGGGAGCGCCGTCCTGTTCAGGAGCCTTACCTCCTCCGATGGCTCCCTCGGCCTGCAGCTCCCCCCGCCAGCCGGGCTGGTTGGCCGACTGGCTGCGCACGGTGCTGCCCAGCTCCTGCTCCCCGGCCAGCTTCCCCGCGTGGGCTTCCAAGTCCGACTTGGAGACGTTGAGGGCACCCGGAGGCTTCCCTTCGGCCAGCTGGCTGCTGCCGTCCATGCTGAGCACCCGGGCGTGGGTCTTGGCGCTGGTGGTGCTCCCGGTGCGCTGGGCGTAATGGGAGGGCTTGGGGGGCAGCGCGGAGCTGTCCGGCGGAGGCGGGGGAGGCGGGGGCTTGCTCTCGGCCAAGGGGACCCCGTGCCTGCCGTGCTGGGCCGGGTCATGGCGCTCGGGGGAGTAGCAGGAGGTGCTGGAAGAGCTGTCCGAGCTGTAGTTGTGTTGCGAGTGGAGACTCGAGGCCCGGCTGAGATCGCTGCAGTCGCTGGAGTCTTCGTCGGCGAAGAACCCTTCGGTGTAGGCCTTGCTGTCCAGGAGGGTGCGCATGGGCAGGTAGCTGCCGCCGTGCTTCCGAGAGAGGCGAGGCCGGCTCTTCAGCCCCAAATCCTTCGGCCGGACCACTGGCTCCGGCTTGGGGGCGCCCCACGCCTCGGTGTCCCCTTTGACCGTCTCCAGGGAGTTAAACGTGTTCTGGGTGTCAAAGCTTAGCTCCCCCAGGAAAGCCAGCTCGGGCGAGCGAAGCAGCTCGCTGTCGGACAGGGCGTCCGTGTCGCTGCCCCCGTCGGCCGGGGGAGGCGAGGGGGGCCCGGCCTCCTCTCCAGGGACCCCCTCTTCGGGGCCGGCCCCCAGGGAAGGGCTGTCCAAGTGGGTGGAGTTGGTTTTCTCGCTGCGGTAGCTGCTCAGGGTGCTGGGGGTCTCCTTGTCGGTGCCGCTGAAGCAGCTGTCGGACGAGCCGGCCTGGCGGGGGCCGTCGGGCCGAGGCTCCAGCGGCTGGTACTCGGCCCCGGAGTGGTGCTTCTCCCGCCGGCTGTGGCTGCTGGACTCCGGCAGGGCCAGGCTGAGGAAGCTGTGGCTGAGCTCCTCGCTTAAGCTGCCCTTCAGGAGAGGGCTGAGCGGGGTGTCGCCCACGCTCTCCGACTCGCTGGGGGTCCAATGGGGAGCCTGCGCCCCTTCCCTGCCCGGGGGAGACTGTTCGGAGGAATCGGTGCTCTGGATAGAGGTCTGGAGGGGAAGCGACGGGGGCTGCTTCCTGAGGCTGGAGGGGGGGTCCCCTTTCAGGCTGGTCTTCGGGCCTTCCGAGTCTGCAGAGGCTGCTGGAGGTTCGGCTAGAGAGAGAAGACACAGTTAGGGTCCTGTTTCCCCCCCCCCCAAAAAAAAGACCTTTGTGAAGGGGGGCCCAGTCCGGGAAATCCAGCATAGGACTGGGAGAAGCCAATTTTATTTATCTGATTTTTATCCTCCCTTGGTTAGTTTCATTCAAGTGACTAAGAGCAAACAGACCTAAATAGTCCTTTCTCCTCCTGTTTCCCCCACAACAGCCCTGTGAGGTGGGTTGGGCTGAGAGGGACTGGTGCAAAAATCACCCATCTGGCTTTCACGCCTAAAGTGGGACTAGAACTCACAGTCTCCTGGCGATTGGCCCAAAGTCACCCAACTGATTTTCATGGCTAAGGCGGGACTAGAACTCACAGTCTCCTGGTGATTGGCCCAAAGTCACCCAGTTGGCTTTCACGCCTAAGGCGGGACTAGAACTCACAGTCTCCTGGTGATTGGCCCAAAGTCACCCAGTTGGCTTTCACGCCTAAAGCCGGACTAGAACTCACCGTCTCCAATTTCTAGTCTCCTGGTGAATTCACCACTAGACCAAACTGGCTCTCCTTTCTCTTTTGAGCCATTTCCCCCCACCTTGCTGAGGCTCCTTCCTTTTTCAAACCCGCGTCCAAGACGTGAGAACTCACCTTGACTCTCTGGGGAGCAGCTTTGAAGCATGTCCCGGTCAGCGGCTGTCACGATGACATTGTTGCTTCCCTGCTCCCGGACGAGCTCCTTGATGTCTGCGGGAAAAGACCCGGATGGAGACTTGGTCCCTCTCCATTCTTCCTCTATCTCCCCTCCTCGGCCGGGACCACTGCATTTCCATTGCTAAGCAAGGCGGTCGTTAAGTGAGTTATCCCCGATTTTACAATCTTTTTCGGCCACGTTGTTAAAGTTTGGCTCAGTTTCGGTCATAAGATGAGGACCGTCGCAGCGTCCCAGGGCTATGTGATCTCCAGTTGCAATCTTCCCAGCCGGCTTCCGAAAGCAAAGTCCATGGGGAAAGCCAGATTTGTTTAATGACTGCTGGATTCACCGAACAACGGCAGTGATTTGCTTAACAACGAATGGCCAAAAAAGGTCATAAAACGGGGCGAAATTCATTGACCGACGGTTTTGCTTGGCAATGGAAATTTTGGGCTCAGTTGTGGCCGTGCTGTCGTGGTTCCGGCAGATGAAGCTCTTCAAAAGAACTTTGAGGCATTGTTTACCTTAATGAATCTTTATTTTGAGTAGCATAACATCGGCAGTGCATAATCGAAGCCAAAAACTGAATTCCCCTCCCCTGAGCACATAGTATCAAAGCACGATTCCTTCCTTCAATTAACAGTCATAAATCACATTCGCCAATTAGCTTGAAATGCAGGCTTTCCCTCCAGTTCTCCAGCCCGGCCAATTCTTATCATTTCTTATGTCAATAACCTTGGTTCTCACGCTAGGTCCAGTATTGTTATGTCTAGCTGAACTCTCATGCACGTTCCTCTCCCCAGCATCATCTAACTCTAACTCTAAGAGTAAAACATAGGAAGAAAATGGTTGCATCTCCAACTATTGTCAAAGCAAAAACATCCGACGTTAGCAGCGTGGACAACGAACGTCCTAAGGACACAGAGAGGATCCGTCTGGTCATGGGGGGGAGGGCAGAGGCACAGGTAACTCTCCCTGTCCTGCAATGCAAGTCAGCATCCCGCAAAAGCACTTGTACAAGCTGGCCCTTGTTTTGTTTTTACAGCTCCCTTCCTAACTGGTTTGACCCAGGCTCAACCGAGGGGGGGGGCACTGTGGCCCCCGCCTTTCTCCACTGCTTACCTCGGATGGGGCCTCCATCTTCCAAGTGGGGCAGCAAATCCTAGAAGGCATAAAAAAAGGAACAAATCAGACCTCAACTGATTTGTCCTGAGGTTGCCATGGATGGACACCCGTGACCTACACAGCCTGTTGCAAAATAGCTCAAAAAATGCCAAGCTGGGCAGAATCAAAGTCCGTAGAAGAAGGAAGGAGCTTGTTATATTTATTTATTTATTTTCACTTGTTTTATTGCTTTATTAAATTTCTGTACTGCCCATCCCAAATGAGCAGTGAGTTTTTTATTTGATGTATAAATAAGATCTCTGAATCCTCTGCATCCAGGTTTAATGTCACTTCAGAAAAGCCAAGTTTATGGAGAATAGAATAGAATTTAAATTAGAATAGAACAGAAATAGAATATAATTTAAATTGGAATAGAATATAATTTAAATTAGAATAGAATAGAATAGAAATAGAATATAATTTAAATTAGAATAGAATAGAATTTAAATGAATAGAATAGAATAGAATAGAATAGAATAGAATAGAATAGAATAGAATAGAATAGAATAGAATAGTTGGAAGGGACCTTGTAGGTCATCTAGTCCAACCCCCCCCCAAGAGTTGTGTTCGTACAACACACAAACCCCCTTAACCAAGGGTCCCCAACCCCCGGGCCACAGACAAGTACCGGTTTGTGACTTGTGATCGTTTTTCACACCTACGGCGGTGGCAGGATCCGCATAATCGCGTGATCAAACATCGGATTCTGGACAACCGACTCATCTTGAGGACCACTGCAGCATCCGCATGGTCGTGATCAAAATTCAGACGCTCGGCCACTGACTCATATTTGCGACGGTTGCAGTGTCCCGTGTGTGTGTGTGTGTGTGTGTGTGTGTGTGTGTCATAGGACCTTCTGACAAGCAAAGTCAATGGGGAAGCCAGATTTGCTTAACAACCGTGTTACTAACTTACCAACTGTGGGAAGAAAAGTCATAAAAACGGGACAAAGCTCCCTTAGCAAATGGCTCACTCAGCCACATGAATTTTGGGGTCACTTGTGGCCATATGTTGAAGACTACCTGTAGAACCGAACTATCCTGAAGAGCAGCGAAATATATTTATTTTTTTAAACTGGAGACGTCTATAGGGCAGGAGGTCTGCAGGACTATGGGACAGGCTGAGCCCTTCGACCCAAACTTTCCCCCCTTACCATGACTTGGTTGAAGCCGAAGACCGAATGCTGCGAACTGCACCTCACCGGCGGAGTGGAGCTTACTTTACGAAAAACGGTCATCTCAACTCCTCCGGGATCCCTGCAGGGAAAAAGAGAAGGCACAGGAGATCAATCAATCGGAACACAGCTGGAAGGGGCCTTGGAGGTCTTCTAGTCCAACCCCCTGCTCAAGAAGGAGACCTTGTACCCATTTCAGGCAAATGGCTGTCCGGTCTCTTCTTAAAAACTTCCGGTGATGGAGTATCCACAACTTCTGGTGGCAAGCTGTTCCACTGGTTAAGTATCCTTGCTGTGAGGAAGTTTCTTCTTAGTTGTAGGTTGCTTCTCTCCTTGATCAGTTTCCAACCGTTGTTTCTTGTCCTGCCTTCAGGTGCTTTGGAAAATAGGTTGACCCCCTCCCTTCTTTGTGGCAGCCCCTCAAATATTGTAAGATTGCTATCATGTCCCCCCTAGTCCTTCTTTTCTCTAGGCCAGGGGTAGGCAACCTTGGCTCTTTTATGATTCGTGGACTTCAACATTCAGAATTCCTGATCCAGCATGGGGGAATTATGGCCTCCTCATGACTCATGGACTTCAACTCCCAGAATTCCTGAGCCAGCATAGGGAAAACTTTGCCCCCCCCCATGACTTGTGGACTTCAACTCCCAGAATTCCTGAGCCAGCATGGGGAAAACTTTGCCCCCCCCATGACTTGTGGACTTCAATCCCAGAATTCCTGAGCCAGCGTGGGGAAAACTTTGCCCCCCCCATGACTTGTGGACTTCAGCTCCCAGAATTCCTGAGCCAGCATGGCTCAGCTTGGAAACCTCCCTTTCCCCTCAGCATGGCTGGTTCAGGAATTCTGGGAGTTGAAGTCCACCAGTCATAAAAGAGCCAAGGTTGCCTACCCCTGCATCTGGCTGTTCAGATCCTTAGGAACCCTTTGTCCACCCCTAAAGCTTGGGATGGCTGTTTTTCTATCCTTCTTTGGCTGCTGACTTTTAGCCTCACACAGGCAGTCCTCGACTTACGACCGCAATTGAGCCCAAAATTTATGTCGCTAAGCAAGACGCCTGTCAAGTGATGGGACGTTTGCCCCATCTTACGACCTTTCTCACCACAAAGTGTTAAGCGAATCCCTGCGGTTGTTCCGTTAGTAACACGGTTGTTAAGTGAATCCAGCTTGAGTTTGCATGTCAGAAGGTCGCCAAAGGGGATCACGTGATCCCTCCGGGAGGTAACTGCAACCATCATAAAGACGAGTCAGTTGCCAAGCGTCCAAATTTTGAACCCCTGACCATGGGGATGTTGCAACGGTCGTAAGTGTGAAAAAGGGGTCATACGTCACCTTTTTTTCCCAGTGCTGTTGTAACTTTGGTCACTAAATGCAGTAAGGAGAAACTTCCTGACAGTGAGAACAATTAACCAGTGGAACTACTTGCCTCCAGAAACGGTGAATGCTCCAACACTGGAAGTTTTTAAGAAGAGCCTGGACAGCCCTTTGTCCGAAATGGTACAGGGCTTCCTGCCTGAGCAGGGGGTTGGACTAGATGACCTCCGAGGTCCCTTCCAACTCTGTTGTTATTATTGTTGTTGTTGTAAGTCAAGGACTGCCTGTATAAGAGGTATTGCTATTGCTGTTCATGCATTTGAAGGACACATTTTCTTTCTGGCGAAGCTGTCCATCGGTCACTAAATGGAAGTGTTGTCAGTTGAGGACTGCCTGTTCTTGCTGCCTTTCGCTCACCTGGTCAAATTGTCGTCCTCCGCAGTGTCTCTCTCTTCGGCCTTGCCAGATTCTACCAGGATGGAGTTTTTTTCCACTATCTCCCCTTGGTCAAACATGGTGTGGAGACGGTAGTTGACGGTTTTGACCGTGGTGAAGAAGACGGCCACCACGGTGCAGTAAATTCCCGCCACCATGATGCTGGGGGGCATCACCTGCCAAAGGAGAAGGTCACAAAGTGAATAAGGAGGTCTCACATCCAGCAAACACGCCCCTTCGTCCTCGGCATCCGTGAGGTCGGACTGGGACACCTGTGAAAAAACGACGCTCGTCCTGCTGTCTAATGTCATGATCATGGTCAGTGCTCGTCTCAAAGATGAGTGTCATGGTTCCGACCGATGAAACTCCTCAAAGAACTTCGAGGCATTGTTAACCTTAAAGAATCTTTATTCGAGAAGCATAAGCATAGCATCAGCACGTACATAATCGAAGCCAAAAACTGAATTCCCCTCTCCTGAGCACACAGTATCAAAGCACAATTCCCTCCTCCAATTAACAGTCATAAATCACATTCCCCAATTAGCTTGAAATGCAGGCTTTCCCTCCAGTTCTCCAGCCCACCAATTCTTATCATCTCTTATGTCAATAACCTTGGTTCTCATGCTAGGTCCAGTATTGTTATGTCTAGCTAAACTCTCACGTACAACACCAGATATGACTCTCTATTCTACTCAGATGAAATCGCAAGAAGAAGAAGAGGACCAGACTACTGAACCAACTATAAATACCCTAAACCAGTGTTTCTCAACCTTGACAATTTTAAGGCGTGTGGACTTCAACTCGCAGAATTCCACAGCCAGCAATGCTGGCTGTAGAATTCTGGGAGTTGAAGTCCACACGCCTTAAAATTGTCAAGGTTGAGAAACACTGCCCTAAACCAAACATGGAGATTTGAATTATTAGGGCAACAACTTAACAATTACAAAGGGGCCAGTTCTTTTGAAAGACTGATAACTGGACGTTCTCCCTTGATTCAAACAACAGGTGTAGGAATGAAGGGAGATACATCCGAGGTTTTAGAGGCACTGGCATGGAAACTGGCCTGGCACAAAAAGAAAGCCAGAGTTAGATTTAAAAATGTGATGTAGAAATCTACTTAATGCGTAAAGCAGCTTTTTAGAGATCATGTTTTTTTTATATATTTAGCACTTAGATTTATAATGGGACACTTAGATTTATAAAGGTTCGCCTTGCTGGGATAGGGGCTCCTGCCTGAGCATGGGGTTGGACTAGAAGACCTCAAAGGTCCCTTCCAACTCTGTTAAGACTGTATTCTAGTCTACCGCCACGTGCCTGGCTGAGCAATTCTGGGAGTTGAAGTCCACAAGCCATAAGAGGGCCAAGTATGAAGACCCCTGGTCTAAATGTTTGACTGTAAGGACCAATGCACAGAAGGGCTAGACCGGACGTGGGAGAAGAGCTTCAACAGACGATTTGAGTCTCCCCATTGGAGAGACAGAAGGTGAGGTGTATCTCTGCATGTTTCGCAGCTCTTACCCTAAAATAGGTGTGTGAGTGACGTGGTGCTGCCAACACCAGCTACACACTGGGCTGCAATGTCACAAGTCGTGGGCTGCAAAAAACGAAACAAAACAAAAAAAAAACACCCCCAAACCCACAGCTGGAAAACATCCAGAAAAATCTCTGGGTTGTACAGGGAGTCTTCGACGTACGGCCACGATGAAGCCCAAAATTGTTGCAAAGAGAGCAGGGGGTTGGACTAGATGACCTCCAAGGTCCCTTCCAACTTTATATTATTATTATTATTATTATTATTATTATTATTACTACTACTACTATTATTATTATCTACAGTGGTTCCCTGTGAGGAGAAAGGTCGTAAAACGGGGCCAAATTCATTGAACAACTGTCTCACTTAGCAACAAAAAATTGGTGCTCAGTCGTGGTTGTGAATCAAGGACTTTATTAAGAGGAAATGTTAGGCAGTATTATTAAAAATACTGTAATAAATTCCTACTCCTCCCTCTGGGTCACTTTGAGAAATTGGATTTCAGATTAAAGATTAGATTCCTGACTTGACCTTGTCCCTTCTCTTTCACTCTTATTTCCTAGACATTTTCCATGGCTTTGCAACTCCGCGAAGGACATTTTTACTCAACGTGCAGCTCCTTTGTTTTGACTGCTTTAATCCTTTCATGAATACCGCAAAGGGACCGGGCCGGCAGTGTTATTTTTAAAAATTCAAAAAACAAAAACAAAAAACAAACCACAGAGCTGGAAGAAAAGGCCACTGAGGTTGCAGAATCTCACTTCTTCGTCTGGGCAGGATTGCAAATCCAAAGCAATCCTCAAAACTGTCTGTCCAACTCTGGCTTAAAAATACAGGTAGTCCTCGCTTTACGGCAATTCGTTGAATGGCTATTCGAAGTTGCAACGGCACTGGAAAAAGCGACCGTTTCTCACGCCAACGACCGTCGCAGCCTCCCCGTGGTCGCGTGATCAAAACTCACACGCTCGGCAACTGACTCGTATTTATGACGGTTTGCAGTGTCCGAGGGTCATGTGATCCCCTTTTGCGACCTTCTGTCAGGCGAAGTCAGTGGGGGAAGCCAGATTCGCTTAACGACCTTGCTAATAACTTAAAAACTGTGGTGAAGAATGGTGGCAAGAAAGGTTATAAAATGGGGGGGGGAATCTCATTTAACAAACGTCTCACTTAACAACGGAAATGTTCGCCTCAATTGTAGTTGTAGGTTGAGGACAACCCGTATCTAAAGGGGAAGCTATCCACTCCTCTGGGCCACCAATTCCTCTTATTATCCAGAAGTGGGTTTTTTTTCCCCCCTATCATTCAGTTGAAATCTGCTTCCTGTAACTAAAACCCACCATTCTGCGTCTTGCATTTTGGAACAAGAAAGAACAAGTTTCGACTTTCCCCAGTGCAGCTTCTTTCCACACACTGTTTGTTTGAAGAGGACTGTTGTTATTTCCCTTTAAAGAACACATTTTCTTAAATGTAGAAGAGATTGACTCAAGCCTTGCAGCGTTCGCACTCTTGACACGCTCACTCACCTATTTAAATTATCGAGATTCGGCCCTCGGCTTGTTTCCACAAAACCGGATGTTTCTACTTATTTCTTTTTATTTAGTCGATGTTCATCCTGCCTCTGCTTAACTCAAGACAGCGGGCAAACCTAACACTCCTTCTTTTTCCTATTTTCCCCACAACAACAACTCTGTGAGGTCGGCTGGTCAGAAGGAGAGTGATTGCCTCAAAGTCACCCAGCTGGCTTTCATGCCTAAGATGGGACTAGAACTCACCGACTCCTAGTGATTGGCCCAAAGTCACCCAGCCGGCTTTCATACAAGGCAGCACTAGAAGTCACTACCTCCTGGTGATTGGCAAAGTCACCCAGCTGGCGTTCATGTCTAAGGCAGAACTAGAACTCACCACCTCCTGGTGATTGGCCAAAGTCACCCAGTCAATTTTTGTCCTAAGGTGGAACTCGAACTCACCACCTCCTGGCGATTGGCTCAAAGTCACCCAGCCAGCTTTCCCCTAAGGTAGGACTAGAACTCACCATCTCCTGGTGATTGGCCCAAAGTCACCCAGCCAGCTTTCATACTTATGGTGGGACTAGAACTCACCATCTCCTGGTGATTGGCCCAAAGTCACCCAGTCGGCTTTAATGCTTAAGTCTGTATTAGAATTCACTGTCTCCTGCTGATTGGCCCAAAATCACCCTGCCAGCTTTCATCCTACGGTAGGACTAGAATTCACCATCTCCTGGTTTCTAGGCCAGCACCTTCACTTCTACACCAAACTGCCTCTATAACAACACCACCACACGTTGGCTCCTGCTTTCAGACTTTTTCCAAAACCTTTTTCTAATCTGCTTCCTACCCCAGATCAGCAGACATCACTTGACTTATTTGCAATAAATTGATTCCAGCAATGGTCCTGGGGAAATCTGGGAATAGAATTCCACGCATCTGGAAAGTACCTACGTTCAGAACTGCGAGGAAGAATGGAGTTTTGGGTCCCCAGAAAGAAAACTTTATATACTCAGCAACGTGCATTAACCAGGTTTTGAAACCAAAATTCGAGGCGCTCAACTGCTTGCTTGTTTTGAAATTCAACCTAAGTTTTATAATTGCCCTGTTCCGGCTTCTTATTTTGGAAAAGCAAGGCAGCTTTAATCCAGGCTACGAAAGCAAAACTCTGAAGCCTCATTGCAACTAATTGATATTAGCCTTCAGAATCTTTATAGCCTCCTTATTGATTCCTTAATGCACTGAAATTATCTGCAGTTTATTTTCGCCCTCGTTCAACAGGATGGTTTTCGGGAATTCCGATATTCTGGGCAACAACCAGACAGGAGGCTCAGAATAGACCGTTGTTAAACTGTTCCTACTGTGACCCTCCATATATAGTAAATGCCACTATTTCTGACTGAAGGATTGCTAAGTGTAGATTCTGTGGCCTCCTTCACCTCTTCTCTTTCCCTCCACGCTGCCCTCATGTCATGGCAGGTATCAGCCAAGTTGCATTTTCCAAGAAGCTACACCCAACACCGAGCATTGCGTCAACTTAGGAAATGTAACCACAGCCAAGAACTGTCGTGACTATATAGGAAGTGCCGAGGGCGAATAATCCCTCTGGGGAAATGATAGGTAAAGCATATGAAGGGTTGAGTAAACTACCATATCAATTGGAAAACTAACTAAGGGTAGACCCAACAGAGCAAGAAGCTAGACTGGATTAGACAGACCAGCATCCTTCCTAAGTACTGGCTAAAATCAGACGGGAGCCTAACCTTCGTTTTTATGTGTCTTGAAGGAAGGGGAAAAAAACAGGAAGCTAAAGAGGAGAGGAGAAGTGTTTCAGGAAGTTTGGAAGGAAGTGGAGATAGTCTTCTGCTTACAACAGTTCTTTTAGTGACCGGCATTGAAAAAAGTGACTTACAACTGTTTTGCACACTTACGAACATTGCAGCATCCCCAGGGTCACGTGATCAAAATTCAGACACTTGGCCACCGATTCACATTTATGACAGTTGCAGTGTCCTGGTGTCCTGTGATTCCCCCTTTTGCGGCCTTCCGACAAGCCGAGTCAACTGGGAAGTCAGATTCACTTAACAACCGTGTGACAAACTTGACAACTGTGGGGATTCCCTTAACCCGGGATCACGTGATCCCCTTTTGCGACCTTCCCCCTTTTTCCCCTCTTCTTCAAGGGGGAAGACAGATTCACTTAACAACGTTGTTACTAACTAATCCCCTGGAATGATTCACTTAACAACGGTGGCGAGAAAGGTCGTAAAACGGAGCAAAACTCACTTAACACACGTTTCATTTAGCAGTCAAAATTTTTACCAACTTAACCACTGAGAGCGACTCCCTCAGCAACGATGGCAAGAACAGCCATCAAGCGAGGCTGAATGTCTCGCTTAGCGACAAACGTCTTGGGCTCAACGTTGGTCGTAAGTCGAGGACCACCTGCACACCTTCCAGAAAGCGAGTCCAGAAATTAACCAGTGAAAGGAGGAAATTAGCCCAGATTTTCCCAACCTAGCCAGGCTGATGACTCACCATGTACAGCAGGAAAGGGAGGACGAGCAGAAAGATCCAGGTGTAGAGGTGAAAGCAGTTGGAGAAAGTGCTTTGATGCGGGTCGAAGAACCAGCCGCCGGTCAGCGAAGCCCAGACGCCCTGGCGTAAGATCTGGAGGACCTGCGACCCCATATCCACGGTGGGGCCGCCTCTTCTTCCTCCTCTCCGTCGTCTTCCTCCTCTCCCTCGCCGTCCTCCTCCAGAGGGAACACCACTGCCCAGCTGGAGCTCCCAGGGGCCTTCATTAAGGCAGCTTGAGTTCCATGATCTGGAAGGGCTGGGGAATCCAGAACCCGCCTCTGCCTCTCTCGAGTCCCGGCTGGGAGAGCCCACCGGCCCTTCCTGGGCTGCCAATGGCTCACCAGCCGGCGGGGCCGACCCTGCAGGGCTGGCAGGCGGCTGTAAAGGGCCACCACTACCCCTGGGGTCTGCCCCCCTTTCTGGCTGCTCCTCCTCTTCAGCCCCGCCCCTCAGGCCATGGGGGCGCCCCGAGGAGCCAGGGGTCGCCACCCGGGGGCTGGGGATCCCGCTGGGAGGGGAGGCCGCCCCCCCAAAGGGGCTCGGGGGCAGCAGGGGTGACCAGAGCCCCCCAAGGCTGCCTAGAGGGGGAGGCCCCTCCACCCCTGGGCCATGGGGGCCCCTCCCAGGATTGGGCTGCTAAAGGCGAGGGGGGCGCGGGGAGGAGGGTCCGCTTCCACTTCCCGCGGGTCTCCTGGGGAAACGGGGGGGCAGCATTAATCCGTAACACGCCCGGCCCCCTGCGCGCCCCGCAGGTCAAACGCGTCCGGGTCTTGTTCACTTCCGGGGTCAAGGGTCAGCCCGGCTCGGCCTAAGGAGCCGAGGGGGACGCCCGGCTCTCGAACCTCATCAGGGATTGGGGAGGCCGGAAGAAGCGCCCGAGCAGCTGCAGGCGAAGCGGCGGCACTGCGCATGCGGGGTCCTCTCACGTCCGCCTTCCAGACCGGAAGTCCAGGCGGAAATGGGAGAGCTGGTTGGCGGGGCCACGTAGAGCTATGAAAAGCAGAGGGGGCAGAGACGGGAAGTGAAACGGGAAGAGGGGGAATCCGAGTTTTTAATTGTTCCCCCCCCCCAATTAACACCAAACACGCCATCCGAATTAAGCCATTTTGCAATAGGCTGGAGGCAGAAATGAAGAAAAAAATCACTTTATACGTACCCATATACTCTCTCTCGCTCTCCATATTTATATATAAAGTACAGGTAGTCCTCGCCTTAACAAACCGTTCATTTAGTGGCCGTTCAAAGTTACAACGGCCCTGAAGACCATTTTTCACCAGAAAGTAAAATTGTGCGCACTATATCCATATTATGTCTATTATGTCTATTTCACTGTGCATAGAATACAATCTTACCCTGTATAAGTAAAAATATAAATGTATGCCGATTAGAATTTATGAAAGCAAAGATGTCTCGTGTGTTTATAGACAGTGCAACACAATGCATACAAAGGATACGTGAAAGGATAGAAACCATATGCATGCATATTGAAAGAGAACAAGCAGGCAAAAAAATATGAAGGAAAATAAAAATACACTGTTGGATTATGAATGCTCTTTCCTACAAATGTAACCCAGCCAACACCAGAAGTTTCATGCATATTGCCAGTGGGAAAACAAACATTTCAAAGTCGTGAAAGGAACTCAAAGCATTCTCTCCAGACAATGAAAGTACCCTCTCCAATTTACTATCTCTAGATGATAACTGTTTCTACAGGCTGTCCCAACAGACCTCACGCTTCCTATCGCCGTTAAAGGAAACGGTGGTGCGCATGCGCGAATGACTGCCAGGCTACAAATGCGCATGCGAGCCAGATCTGCCGAGGTAAGAACGGAGTTCATCCTCCAAGGGAGACCCTCGTGATAATGCGCATGCGCAGGTTCTCTGACGTTAATTGCACTTGTAGCTTCACTCCAAAGGGCGGGCATTTAAGCGTTAGACTACTTGCTATGGGTCCGTTCCCTTTGAGAGGCAGTCTTGTCCCCCAATGAGAAATGAATATCAATTCCTGGCTTTGCAAGTCACGAGTAGGTAGCTTGGTTCTTGCTGATACGATATTAATATTAATTGCAAACTTACGATAAAGCCCCAGGTTGGCCTAAAAGTCTCCAAGACGAGCACTAGATGGCGGCAGAAATATTTTAAAAAAGCTTTGCCGCCATCTGTTGGCTATCCCAAATTTTGCATCCCCAATGAGAAATTTTTATTTACCATAGCTACCCTAGTTTTTTTTTTAAAATACTTACAAAATAACCTGTCACCTGTTGCATCATCAAACAGCAAAACAGAATGATGATGTGCAAAATATCTCTTGGCTGAGACGTGAAACATTTGCAAGGGGGAGGGAAAATGGAAATCCAATTACCTTTTGGAAAGCATCTTTTGGAACAACCATGACCTGGATGGTTGGGACTCCCCACAGACCCCTTTCCACTGGTGGCAATTTATATTCTAAATATTATAAAGGGTTGCAATCTATTCCCATTCTGTTATTAACTCCCTTCATTGGATCAATCCAAACCAGCTTCCCATTTAAATCCAATATCATCTCCTGCATGAAATACAGGTAATCCTCAAACTCAGAAACATAATTAAGCCTGGAATTACAGTAAAGTGTGGCAGTCATTAAGCGGGTCACCACGGCACGATGCCTGATTTTTATGAGCATTGGTCCAACAACTGTGAACCTCACAGTTGTTCAACTAATGCACAAAACGGAATCCCATGACCACAGGAGGGAGAGTGGGTGGGTATGTCCATCAGAACTTTAAAAATAGTTTAGAAATAGCTCTGGAAAGGTCTGTTGTAACTTTGAACGATTGTTAGACGACCAGTTGTTAAACGAGGACTATGTGAACAGTACAATTGTTTTTCCTTCAGTGTCATTTGCTCCTTTATTTCCTGTATTAAAAGATTGATGGATTTCTTTTCATCTTTGCCCTGAGTGGCCCATTATCGTCAATTACAGTAAATATTAGGACAGGGGTCTTCAAACCAGGCCCTTTTATGACTTGTGGACTGCCCAGATCCACATTTTCATCAGTTGCTGGAAAGAAAAACCACATTGGGGAAAGTTTGGGAAAAGTCAGTTTCCAGGTCCAATTTCAGGATACAAGACCTGATCTCAGTCTTACGACGGTGCGTCCAACTCAAGGACAATCAAGATACTAAGCTAGTTTAGAGCTTGGAGTCTCCAAACGTGACAACTTTAAGAGCACGCTGGCCAGGGAATTCTGGCAGCTGAAGTCCATCGTCTTCAAGGTGCCCAATTTGAAGAGCCCTGCTTTTGAGATTTCAAACTATTTATGCTTGGAGGCACTCCCGGATCTGGCTGGAATACTCTGAATGCCCGCTCTTGTTGTTGTTAGTTGCGAAGTTGTGTCCGACCCATCGCGACCCCATGGACAACGTTCCTCCAGGCCTTCCTGTCCTCTGCCATCTTCTGGAGTCCATTGAAGCTCACGCCTGCTGCTTCAGGGACTCCATCCAGCCACCTCCTTCTCTGTCGTCCCATTCTTCTCTTGTCCTCCATCTTTCCCAGCATCAGGCTCTTCTCCAGGGAGTCCTTCCTTCTCATTAGGTGGCCAAAGTACTTGAGTTTCAGCTTCAGGATCTAGCCTTCTCAAGAGCAGTCGGGGTTGATCTCCTCTAGGACTGACCGGTTGGATCGCCTTGCAGTCCAGGGGACTCGCAGGAGTCTTCTCCAGCACCAGAGTTCAAAGGCCTCCATTCTTTATGCTTGGATGCGCTCCCAGATGTGGCAGGAATACTCTGAACATCCGCTCCGGGGCATCAAAGGAAGCTCAGCTCTTGACTGCGCTCTGGGGTCATCCCGGTGGCAGCGCAACCTTTATGGCCACTGTGATCTTCAGCTCTTCCTTTTAATAATCTTTTCATCATCTTCCTGCTATTGATAACGATCAGCTGAAAAGCCTTCTGCAAAGGAGGAGGGAGGCTCCAAACCAAGAGCCAAGACACCTTCAGACGTTCAAACAGACGCGGGTTTTCTTTTTCTGTGCAACCACGCACCCCGCAAGAAAGCTGACTCTCTCCAGAGTCCCAAGGTGGAAGCAAGCCGCCCCCTAGGCCAAGGAGGGGCACTCCAGTTCCCATCAGCCCCCCACCTGATGGGAACCGGAGTGCCCAACCCTGGAGCAGCAGCGCAGCGCTGCAGAGACGAGGAGCGCTGTGCGCCCCGGAGGCTGGCGCCACTGCCCGGGGTTAGCAGGGCGGCGCTGGGCTCGGCTCGCCTTCCGCAGCCAGGCATCGTCTCCCGCCCGGGGGCCAGCCGAGCAGCCTCGCCTTTTCTTCCGCCGGAGAGGGAGCGCCAGCCAGCCAGCCGCGGAGACCCGCCTCCACCGGGGCAGTCCCAGCCGGGCAGGCCCGCCCTCGCCCTGCCTTGCCCGCCTCGCTCCGAGGAAAGGACCGCTCGCTCCGCGGCCGGGAGAGAAGCCGCCGGGGCTAACCGAGCCGTCGGGGCGTCTCGCGGACCGGGATCGCCTCCGCCGCCAGCCGGGCTCTTCCGGGGGAGCGGCTCCGGGAGCCCCCGGGTCGGCGCCGGGACGCTTCGCGGGGAGGGAGCGGACGGGACGAGGAAGCAGCCGCGCGCACGGAAGGCGAGCTCTCCCCGGGGCCTCCGCCCGCGCCCACGGAGGAGGAGGAAGAGATCGCGGCGCCCGCGGGCGTCGGGGAAGCCTTGCGGGGCCATGTAGAGCCCGGCCCGCTTGCAGACGTGGATCCGCCTTCCCGATGGGAGGGGGCTTGCGCTAGCTCCGCGCCCGGCCCTTCCAAGATCTCCCCGTGGTCTCCTTTCCGCTGGCCGACAGAGGGAGCGGGTCCATGTTCCTGGACCCGATGAGGCCGGGAGGGCAGCATGGAGCCACTGAAAAGCATGTTCCGCAAGGCCCCTCTGGTGGGCGGATGGGGGCCAGGCTCCCGAGCCGCCACCACCTACGCCAACCCGGTCTGGACGGCGTTGTTTGACTACGAGGCGGCCAGCACGGACGAGCTGACGCTGCGCAAGGGCGACTTGGTGGAGGTCCTGTCCTGGGACTCGGCCATCTCCGGCGACGAAGGCTGGTGGGCCGGCAAGCTCCACGACCGCGTGGGCATCTTCCCCGCCAACTATGTCTCGCCCAAGACGGGGGCCTACGCCGCGCCCGGGGATCCCCCCGAGGCCGACTTTCGGGATCTGACGCTGGAGGAGGTGATTGGGGTGGGGGGCTTCGGGAAAGTCTACCGGGGCAGCTGGCGGGGGCAGTTGGTGGCGGTCAAGGCGGCCCGCCAGGACCCGGACGAGGACATCAGCACCACGGCCGAGCGGGTGCGCCAGGAAGCCCGTCTCTTTGCCATGCTGAAGCACCCCAACATCATTACCCTGAAGGCTGTCTGCCTACAGGGGCCCAACCTGTGCTTGGTGATGGAGTACGCCGCCGGAGGACCGCTCAGCCGGATGCTGGCCGGACGCCGCATCCCGCCGCACATCCTCATCAACTGGGCCGTCCAGATCGCGCAGGGCATGGACTACCTTCACTGCGGCGCCATCGTGCCCGTCATCCACCGGGACTTGAAGTCCAACAACAGTAAGAATTGGGGAGAGGTCAGGTCACATTTGAACCCGGGTCTGGCTGCAGGGCCCATAGCTGAGTGCAACGGTGGCCCCCCAAATTCTGACTTGGCCCTGAATTGTCTCTTTTTAACGCCACATGCTCCTGCCATTTTTTGCAGGTGATCCTCAACTTATGACCGCAGTTGACCGTAAAATGGGGTAAAACTCACTTAACAAATGTCTTACTTAGCAACATAAATGTTGGGTTCCATTGTGGTTGTAAGTTGAGGACTCCCTGTACTTTGCAACTTTAAGATGTGTGGACTTCAACTCCCAAAATTCCCCAGCTAGCTAGGCTTGTTGGGGAATTGTGGGAGCTGAAGTCCATGCATTTTAAAGTCTGTAAGGTTGAGAAACACTGCTCTAGATCAGTGGTTCTCAACCTTTTTAATGCCGCGACCCCCAACCGGTCGTAAGTTGAGGACTACTCAACCGGTCATGAGGACTACTCAACTGGTGCAGCACCGTTCGCAGAATGGGACTTTTGGCGGGCTCAGCAGGGCAGAGACAGCCTGGACAATTCCTATTGGCTTTGGAAAGCCAACAGAATTAGACTCTATTCAAGAGAGTCTCTTCTATTGGCTTTCAAAAGCCAATAAAAGGGAGGAGCACAGCTAAGGAAAAGGGGGGGGAAAATGGCGGAATGCGTGGTTTGGCGACCCCCGTGAAATGGTCATTCGACCCCAAATGGGGTCCCGACCCACAGGTTGAGAACCACTGGGCTAGATCAATGTTTCTCAACCTCCTGGCAATTTAAGATGGGTGGACTTCAACTCCATAGCTGGCTGGGGAATTGTGGGAGTTGGTCCACCCATCTGAAAGCGACCGAGGTTTGGCAACACAGTTCTAGACTCAGGCATAGAAGAAAGCTAGACAAGGGCTTCCCCCAGCTCTCCTGGGTATGAAACAACCGTTCCCCTGAGCATACGCAGAGTTCTCTCCCTTCCCCACCCTTTCCACTCAACTGGGATGGCCAGGGGGCAGGATTTTTTTAAAAGCAAAGGTGGGCATGTATTAGGGGAAGAGCCGGCCCATCCTCTTTGCTGTCCCCTTGCACAGCCAGGTCGATCCCGTTCTGATCCTGAGGTTGGCCACCAAGCGATGACTGGCTTGACCCAAGTGACCCACAAGGAGGAAGTGACGGTGGTCGCCATCTCTCTCCTGGCCTTGTGTTTCCTCCTGTAAGGGCGAGATGCCTGTTTTTCTTTCCATGCAAAACAAGACCGGCCTATTTCCGCTGGAAGACGGCGCAGAAAAAATGGGAGGTTCTTGCAAATGAATTTCCAGCCTGTTGCAAAACTGATAGAAGAGCCAGCTTTGTCGGCTCGGGTGGGCAGGATCGGGGGGGGGGAGAGAAATGCACTTTGCACATGTGCAGAGTTTGTGCGTTGCAGTGTTAGATAATGTGGGGGGGGGTCTGCTGGAAAGCAAGGTAGGGAATGCAAATTACAGGTCAATTCTCGATTTGGAGTTACAACGGCCCTGACAAAAATGATTTACGACCAGTTTTCACACTTAACGACCGTTGTGGCATCCAGATGGTCACAGGATGAAAATTCAAACGCTCGACAGGGAGCATGTCTTTATAACAGTGGCAGTGTCCCGGGATCATGCGATCGCCTTTTGACAAGCAAAGTCAAAGCTAAATTCATTTAACAACCAGGTCATTAACTTAAAAACTGCAGTGATTCACTTAACAACCAGCACAGTCGTAAAACAGGGCAAAAATCACTGAACAACTACAGTTTTGGCCTCAGTTGTGTTGGTAAGTCAAGGACTTTGCGCCAATAAAACCAGGATGCCTTCATGCAAAAACCTCTTTCTGAGCTATAGAATTCACTTCCCCAAGCTATAGTGATGATAGAATTACAGGGGGAGAGGATATCAGAGGTCATCTAGTCCCACCCTGTTTTCTCTGTAAGGGCAGGATTTCCAAAGCATGTCAGACATCAGGGGGAAACTTCATCAAGGTATGACTTGTGCAATCCTAGAGTAATTTATCTGCAGAGGTTGTAGGTTTTCTATCTCTGGATTTTTTTTAAGAAGAAGCTGAATCGCCGTATCTCATGAATAGTTGAAGTAGCTGTTCTTGTAGACGGCAAAGGGGTGGGCTAGATGATCCTTGGCGTTCCTTCCAGGCCCACAACACTAAGAGGTGTTCCCAGGTGAATGGATGTTCTCTGGATGGATTTCAGTCCATTTAATTCTGAAGGCGTGACCTCCCACCCATAACCCCCCCATGTGCTGAACTACAGCTCCCATCATCCCTGTCCTAACAATATTAGAAGTTGCAGATCGGTTTGAAAAAGGAAGCCAACACGGTTGGTTTTGGGGTTCTTAGTTGTGCTGAAATGGTTCCAGTGGGAATTGCATTTTTTTTTTTTCCTTTAGCTTCATTGTGACCAATCCTGGTTCGAGAGGGAAATTCGAAACCGGATTAAAAAAAAAAAAAAAAACCCTAATAAGAGGCATATATCTAGAGGGTGGAGGTTGAAACATTGAGCAAAAAAGGGGAAAGGATCCACTGCAAATTTCCCTTTTCATTGGCTTTGCACAAGACGAGGAATATATAAATGTATGGAAAAATGTAGGCTGCAGATCATTCTCCATTCGTTTAGTGACGGTTTGAAGTTACAAAGGCGCTGAAAAAAGTGACTTACGATCATTTTGGACACCGTTGCAGAATCCACATAGTCACGTGACTCGTATTTATGACGGCTGCAGTGTCCCAACCTTCTGATCAGCCAGATTCACTTAACAACCGTGTTACTTGTTAACAACTGCAGTGATTCACCTAATAATTGTGTGGCAGGAAAGGTCGTAAAATGGGGCAAAACTGCCCCCCTCCCTTAACAACTGTCTTGCATAGCAATGGAAAGTTTGGGTTCAACTGTGGTCATAAATCGAGGACTTAAGTATTGTTTCCTGTTTTTTAAACAAAACACATCTCGATTTACAAAATTGGGAGCACAATTTCCATTGCTAAGCAAGGTGGCTGTTAAGAAAGTCAGGCCCCATCTTACGACTTTTTCTTGCCCTAGCTGTTACGCAAAGGACCACAGTCGTTAAATGAATCACACAGTCATTAAACACATCTGACTTCTCCCGTTGACTTTCCTTGCCAGAAGCTCGTTGGGAAAGTTGCAGAAAGTCACCTGATCCCTCGATGCTTCGGCCGTCGTAAATGCAAGCCGGTTGCCAAGGGCAACCTTCATTTGAATGAAGGGGTAGGCAACCTTGGCTCTTTTATGACTCGTGGACTTCAACTCCCAGAATTCCTGAGCTAGCCATGCCGAGGGGAGTGGGAGAGGTTTCCAAGCTGAGCCAGGAATTCTGGGAGTTGAAGTCCACGAGTCATAAAAGAGCCAAGGTGGCCTACCCCCGACCAAGGGGATGCTGCAACGGTCGTAAGTGTGAGGACTGGTTGCAAGCCCCTTTTTCAGGGCTGCGGTAACTTTGAAATAGCTAGCTAAACCAATGGTTGCAAATCAAGAACTACCTTACAGCAAAGTAGCAATCTACTATTTTGGGAGGGCAGAGACAGGGGTGACACGTTACAAATTTTGCTTGCTGTGGTTTGCATACAATCACAATTCCCCCCCCCCCACACACACACACTTCCGATCTGGCAGGTTTTCCAAGGTTTGCAGAGGATAGCAGAAAAACCTGCCAGGCCTGTTTATCAGAAGTGAAAATGGGACAGGAGCAAAGTTGCTTTCCGACAATCGGAGGGCATCTGGGTTAGGAAAACCTGGATTTAAAATTTTAATTTATAGTAAATGGATTTATCTATTATAGGTAGTCCTCAACGTGTGTTTGTGTGTATACTATCTATCTATCTATCTATCTATCTATCTATCTATCTATCTATCTATCTATCTATCTATCTATCTATCTATCTATCTATCTATCACTTGTATACACACATACATATACTTACAGGTAGTCCTTGACTTATGACCACAATTGAGCCCCAAATTTCTGTTCCTAAGAGAGACAGTTATTAAGTGAATTCTGCCTCGTTTTACGACCTTTCTTGCCGCAGTTGTTAAGTGAATCACTTAACAACCGATGCATACAAACCGAATTATTGCACCCATTGTGCATTTCTGCATTGATGTTCAAAGAGATCCTTTTTGGAAATGCATTTGGTGCTCTCTTTTCTCGTGCGCATCCTTACAACATACCCAAAGCAAGTTGGGTGAGGCTCTCATCCAACAGAATAACAGAGTTGGAAGGGACCTTGGGGGGGGGGTCTTCTAGTCCCCCCACCCCTTGCTTGAGAAGGAGATCCTCTACCATCCCAGACCAATGGCTATCCAATCTTTTCTTTAAAATCTCCAGCGATGGAGTATCCACAACTTCCGGAGGCAAGTTGTTCCACTGCTTAATAAGGAAATTCCTCCTTAATTCCAGGTTGCTTCTCTCCTTGATTCGTTTCCATCCGTCGCTTCTTGTCCTGCCTTCGGGTGCTTTGGAAAATAGCTTGACCCCTTCCTCTTCTTTATGGCAGCCCCTCAAATGTTGGAAGACAGCTGTCATGTCCCCCCTAATCCTTCTTTTTCCTAGACTAGACATATCCACAAAATAAAGAATAACAGGGGTGGAAGGGACTTTGAAGGTCTTCTAGTCCAGCCTTCTGTCCAGGATAGTAGATTCAGTTCCCACAACCACTCATTCGATGTTTTGGCCTCCAGTCCCATGATCATCTTTGTTGCTCTTCTCTGCCCTCTTTTCCGACCCTCAGCATCTTTTTTTATATCGTGGCGACCAAAACTGGATGTGATATTTGAAATGTTTACCAAGGCATTATAAAGCAGTTGTTGTTGTTAGTTGCGAAGTCGTGTCCGACCCATCGCAACCCCATGGACCACGTTCCTCCAGGCCTTCCTGTCCTCTACCATCTTCTGGAGTCCATTGAAGCTCACCCCTGCTGCTTCAGGGACTCCACCCAGCCACCTCCTTCTCTGTTGTCCCCTTCTTCTCTTGCCCTCCATCTTTCCCAGCATCAGGCTCTTCTCCAGGGAGTCCTTCCTTCTCATTAGGTGGCCAAAGGACTTGAGTTTCCACTTCAGGATCTGGCCTTCTAAAGAGCAGTCGGGGTTGATCTCTTCTAGGACTGACCGGTTGGATCGCCTTGCAGTCCAGGGGACTCGTAGGAGTCTTCTCCAGCACCAGAGTTCAAAGGCCTCCATTCTTTGGCGCTCAGCCTTTCTTAGGGTCCAGCTTTCACAGCCATACATTGCAACTGGGAAAACCATGGCCTGGACTCTACGCACTTTTGTTGGCAGGGTGATGTCTCTGCTTTTGAGTATGCTGTCTAGATTTGCAACAGCTTTCCTCCCCAGGAGCAAGCGTCTTTTAATTTCTTGGCTGCAGTCCCCGCCTGCGGTGATATTACCCTTTGTTGGGCTCCATATATGAATCTGGAGCCTTTTTGTTGGAGGAGAAATAAACTCGGTTAATCTCTCCTGGGATGAAATCCAGGGCGAGTTTCAAGGCCAATCTACAATTTCTAGATCTGGACTTACTGACCTCAAATTCACACTGGTGTATCTACTCCTCCCCCCTCTCCAACGGCCCCCCTCCTTTGCTACTGCTCCTGTTTTCAGGAGTTGGCAAGCACAGGAAATTGTGAATTTGGGCCGATGGGGGGGGGGGCTTGTGCAGCAGCAGCACAGTAGCTGCATCCTCTCCCTCCCTCCCCCCTCCCTCCTTTCCGCTTTCTCATCTCGCCACGGGGATCCAGTGTCACCAGTTGCTTCCTTCCTTATTGCTGGTTTCGTGGACGGGTTGCAACACTAAGTCAGCTTTCTTTGCCTTCCAGCAAATCAAGGGGGTGGGGGTGGGGGGGGCTGTCCTTGCAGACGGGCAGGCATTGCCGGAAACGTTGTGACTCTTGATATTTATGGCTTTGAGGGAGAAAACCCGAATGGGCGGTAGAGAGGAAGGCAACTTCATGAGATCTAGCAGCTTTCTGTTTTTTTTTTAATTTGTTTATTGAATTGACGTGCTGTCCATCTCACCAGTCAGGTGACTTAGTTTCTTTCTTTCTTTCTTTCTTTCTTTCTTTCTTTCTTTCTTTCTTTCTTTCTTTCTTTCTTTCTTTCTCTTTCCTTCCTTTTCTTTTCTTCTTTCTCTCTTTCCTTCCTTCCTTCTTCTTCTTTCTTTCCTTCCTTCCTTCTTTCTTTCTTTTTTCCTTCCTTCCTTCTCTCTCTCTCTCTCTCTCTCTCTTTCTTTCTTCTTTCTTTTTTTCTTTCCCTAAAAATATCCCCCCCTCCCCAACTGGGCAGAAAATTCAAGGTGAGATGGGTGGCATATAACGCTACCCAATAAAATAAAATAAATAAAAATTCCCCCTTCAGCCGGTTTGTACAGGAAGACCTCGACTTAACGACCAAAGTGGAGCTCAAAATTTCTGTTGCTAAGCGAGGCAGTTCAAATGAATTTTGGCCCATTCTACCACGTTTCTCGCCACCGTTGCTAAATGAATCGCTGCAGTTTGTTAAGTTAGGAACATGGTTGTTAAGTGGACCTGCCTTCCCCCATTGACTTTGCTTGTCAGAAAGTCGCGAAAGGGGATCACGGCGACCCCCAAATACGTCACAAATACGAGTCGGTTGCCAAGAATTTTGTTCATGGGAATGCTGCAAAGGTCGTACGTGTGAAAAACAGCCATAAATCCCCTTTTTTTCGGTGCCGGTGTGACTTTGAGCGGTCACTAAATGAACTGTTGTAAATCGAGGACAATCCGTAAACAGAGAGCAACCACCTTGCTCTGAAACTCCGGTGGGATAGCAAATTGCAAGCAAAGACCCTCTGCATGTGATCAGAGGCCCCGTCCCTCTTAATTGCAACGCTCTCCGAAACCCGATTGAGCAAAATCCCAGCAAGGAAACCCAGAGGCCGGTTGGGCTCCATTCCCACAATCCGTAGGCAAGGCAGACATTTTATGCGTGGGGAGGCCGTCTCACTAGGCGCTCCATTGTGTCTGGGGCCGGCCGGAGAATTGACCCATTGTTCTGTCCGGCAATGGAGAGGGTGGACCTCGCCAGCCCTGGGGTTCTCCGTCCACCTTTCTCCAGCTGCTCTTTGAATTTCCCTTCCCCGCCGGGCTCTTGGACTGAGGGGGAAGCCAGGAAAAAGACGGCAGGAAGCAAGTTGGAGGAAGCCAATGGGACCCCCCCACACCAGTAAAACCCCCCTCCCAGGCATGCAGGGCATTGTTTCAAGAGGTTGCTGGGCTGCGCTGTTTGTTCTTGCCTCTGGAAAAAGTCTCCCCCAGTCACAAAGAGTCCTTGAGGAGAAGAACACCACCGCTAGCAAACGCTGAACTGGCCAGCTTCTCCCAAGGCTACTTCACTCCATCAATCAGAACAGAGCTGGAACAGATCTTGGAGGTCATCTAGTCCAGGGCTTTTCAACCTTTTCACCCATGGTATCACTTTTAGGAGATGGCAACATGTATACATTCTACTATGTATAAGGCCAGGAAAGACTAATAAACAAAGTTTATATTTGGCTTTACACGTCGTCGTAACGGCAGCAAGAATTGTCTTCGTGCCATCCTGGAAAAATGAAGCAGTACCACCAGAGGAAGAGATAATTAAAAAAAAATATTGGAATGTGCAGAGATGGACAGATGGATTAATGAGATTGAAAGATAACGAAGAAACAGAATAGTACCAAATGTGGGAGTCATTCTACAAGTGGCTAGAGCAGTGGTTCTCCACCTGTGGGTCGGGACCCCATTTGGGGTCGAAGGACCATTTCACGGGGGTCGCCAAACAACGCAATCCGCCATTTTTTCCCCCCTTTTCCTTAGCTGTGCTCCTCCCTTTTATTCTATTGGCTTTTGAAAGCCAATAGAAGAGACTCTCTTGAATAGAGTCTAATTCTGTTGGCTTTCCAAAGCCAATAGGAATTGTCCAGGCTGTCTCTGCCCTGCTGAGCCCGCCAAAAGTCCCATTCTGCAAATGGTGCTGCACCAGTTGAGTAGTCCTCGACTTATGACCGGTTGAGTAGTCCTCGACTTACGAGGGTCACGGCATTAAAAAGATTGAGAACCACTGGGCTAGAGGAAAGAACCAAGGATTAGGAATTGATTATGTATTAGCGCTTTTGAATCCAGACAGCACGCTGGTTGAAAAAATTAATACATGTATGTAAGAGAAAAACTAATAAAATCCTTATAAAAAAAGAAAAAAATGACTTACGACCGTTTTTCACCATTGGTCCCACGATTGGAATTCAGACGCTTGGCAACTGACTCGTATCTACGACCGGGGTCATGTGAACCTCTTTCGTGATCTTGTGATAAAGCAAAGTGAACAACCGTGTGACTAAAATTGAGAACTGCAGTGATGGACTTAACAACTGTGACAAGAAAGGTTGTGAGATGGGGACAGGGGGGGCAAAATTCACTTAACCACTGTGAACCAACTTTTGGGATCAATTGTGATCCTACGTTTGTACGAGGAAGAATTCCCAGAACCGGCTGTTCAAAAACACGGCTTGCCTGTCTCTGGGGTTGTCTGAATGCGTTCTCTTTTTCCTTCCACAGTCCTGCTGAGCGAACACGTGGACGATGGTGAGGTCAGTGGGAAGACCCTAAAGATCACCGATTTTGGGCTGGCCAGAGAATGGCACAAAACCACTAAGATGAGCGCCGCCGGGACTTACGCCTGGATGGCACCGGAAGTCATCAAAAACTCCACTTTTTCCCGCGGTAGCGACATCTGGAGGTAAGGCGGGGAAGAAAAATCTGGGGAGTTCCTCCAGGTGGATGAAGGACAGAGGTTCAAAACCTGTCTGGCCACGGAGTCCTTTGACTTTGTGATGGACAGCTTGCCAGAAAGCAAACGCGTGATTTAAACGCATGAATAGATCTTAGACTTACACAGGCAGTCCCTGACTTACGACAGTTCATTTAGAGACCGTTCAAAGTTGCGATGGCAAATGAAAAATGGGACTCGAGATCCTTTTTCACGCTTATGACCGTTGCAGCCTCCCCAACAGTCACGTGATCCAAATTGAGGTACATATCGCCCCCAACAATCTGGGTCCCCATTTTACTGACTTTGGAAGGCTGAGTCAACCTGGAGCCTGTCAGGTAGACAGTAGTGGGGGGGTTATTCCTAGACTTACAACCGTTCATTTAGTGTTGTTATTTGTAGATCAAAAAACTGACAGAAATGACTTACTTCCAAGGCTACTTAGCAAGATCGGTCTCTCGTCACAGGCGATTAGAATAAAATATGCCAGATTGGAGATAAATACATAGATAGCCACGATTGAGTGATAAATAGACAGGTAGGACAGGACAGCAGACATAGATAGATAGATAGATAGATAGATAGATAGATAGATAGATAGATGGATGGATGGATGGATGGATGGATGGATGGATGGATGGATGGATGGATATGGATGGATATGGATGGAGATAGATAGATAGATAGATAGATAGATAGATAGATAGATAGATGGATGGATGGATGGATGGATGGATGGATGGATGGATGGATGGATGGATGGATGGATGGATGGATGGATGGATGTAGGTTGTGGGTGCTCCATCATGGGAGATTTTAAAGAAGAAATTGGAGAGCCATCTATCTGAAATGGTGTAGGTAGGGTCTCCTACTGGAGCAGGGGGCTGGACTAGAAGATCTCCAAGGTCCCCTCCAAATAAATGGTCATAAATCGAGGACTACCTATAATCTTTTCCCTGTTCCTTCTTCTTCCAGTTATGGGGTGCTTCTGTGGGAACTCCTCACCGGTGAAGTTCCATACCGTGGAATTGACGGGCTGGCAGTGGCTTATGGGGTTGCCGTCAACAAACTCACCCTTCCGATACCTTCCACGTGCCCAGAATCCTTTTCACGTCTGATGACAGGTAAGAAAAAAATATCTCAGAGGCCAGATTGGGGATTTTCAGCATAAAAACTCTGCTAGATTGGAATAAAAAGTCTTTTTTAAAATGTTTCTCTGCCCTTCTGTTAACTCAGCTGAAATCTATGCTGGCAGCTGTGTTCCCAATACAGGCAGCCCTGGGCTTGCAACCTTGATCGTCCGAAGTTATAACAGCGATGCAAAAAGTGACTTATGACCGTTTTTCATAAGCAGCATCCCCAGGGTCATGTGATCAAAATCCAGATGCTTGCAACAGCTGCCTTCTTCCTCTTCTCTTCTCTAACCAGTCACGCTGCCCCTGCCTTAAGCACAACTCCTATGCATGGCGTACATAGCAGACAGGTCCAGCAGCTCAACTTTGCACAGTCTCCAAGGGGCAGCTGATTCTCAACTTCGTTATTTGACTCCTCTCCCTTTTGTTTCTTTCCTCTGCCGCCTTTTCGCCTGGGTCCCACCAGAGTGCTGGCAGCAGGACCCCCACGCGCGCCCCAGCTTTGCCTCCATCCTTGATCAGTTGACAGTCCTCGAAACACAGGTACTGCGCGACCTGCCACAAGAATCCTTCCATTCCATGCAGGACGACTGGAAAGTGGAGATCCAGGATATGTTTGACGAGCTGCGGGCAAAAGAGAAGGTGAGAACCAGAAGGGAAAGGCTGTGTGTGTGTGTGTGTGTGTGTGTGTGTGTGTGTGTGTGTGTTCCCTTCCCAAACAAGCCTCAGATCCAGGATACAATTAAATAATATAACTGAATACCAGCATTGGAAGGGACCTTGGAGGTCTTCTAGTCCAACCCACAGTGGGTTGCCCTATATAGGTAGTCCTCAACTTACAACAGTTCATTTAGTGCCAATAGGTGGTACCTTGCTCAATAGTAGCAACTGTGAGAGGGATCTCGAAGTCCTAGTGGACAATCCCTTAAATAGGAGCCAGCCGTGTGCTGCAGCTGCCAAAAAAGCCAACACAGTGCTAGGCTGCATTAACAGAGGGATAGAATCAAGATCATGTGAAGTATTAATACCACTTTACAAGGCCTTGGTAAGGCCACACTTGGAATACGGCATCCAGTTTGGGTCACCACAATGTAAAAAAGATGTTGAGACTCTAGAAAGAGTGCAGAGAAGAGCAACAAAGATGATCAGGGGACTGGAGGCTAAAACATATAAGGAACAGAACAATAAGAACAGAACAGAACAGAATAGAATAGAATAGGAATAAAGAAATAATAGATAGAATAGAATATAGAATGGATGAGAATAGAATAGAATAGAATAGAATAGAATAGAATAGAATAGAATCGAATCCGGAAGGGACCTTGGAGGTCTTCTAGTCCAGCCCCCTGCTCAAGCAGGAGAAGCTATACCGTCTCAGACAGGTGACTGTCTAGTCTCTTCTTAAAAACTTCCAGTGATGGAGTGCCCACAATTTCTGGAAAGGTCATGAAATGGGGCAAACAAATCAACAAATGTTTCACTTAGCAACAGAAATTTTGGGCTCCATTGTGGTCGTAAGTCGAGGACTATCTGCATAGGGTATAGGGTCTCCTGCTTGAGCAGGGGGTTGGACTAGATGACCTCCAAGGTCCCTTCCAACTCTATTATTCTGCATTCCGTTCAGTGTCCCTGTTTTTTTTCAATTAAATTCACTTTTAATTCATATTTGAGCCCCCAGCCGCAATCTCTCTCTGAGTCTCTTTGACTTCTTCATTTTCTGGCTGCCACGGGGCTGATTTCGAAAGTCTCTAGGAAGTTGTTATAGGTAGTCCTGGTCTTACGACCACAATCGAGCCCCAAATATAGGTTGCTAAGCGAAACATTTGTTAAGTGAGTTTTGCCCCATTTTTGCGACTTTCCTTGCCACATTGGCTAAGGGAATCACGGCAGTCGTCAAATTAGTAACACCGTTGTTAAGTGAATCCGGCTTCCCCATTGACCTGGCTTGTCAGACGGTCACAAAAGACGATCACATGACACACACCCCCACAGGACCCTGCAACCGTCATAAATAGGAACCGGTTGTCAAACATCCGAAAGTAAATCAGGTGACCATGGGGATGCTGTAATGGTTGTAAGTGTGAGAAACGCTCCCGAGTCACTTTTTTCAGTGCCGTTGTAACTTTAGTGAACAGTCAGTAACCGAACTGTTGTAAATCAAGGACTGCCTGTATTTACAACAGTCGCAGCGTCCCGGGGTCACACAACCCGCCAGTTGCAACCTTCCCAGTCAGCTTCTGACGAGCAAAGCCAAAGCTAGATTTGCTTAATGACCCGTGAGGCAGTTAATAACTGATTTGCTTTTCCGCCTTGGCTTCTCCAAGGATCCCCTCCTGGGAGACCCAGGGATTCCCTCTCTCTCACGGGGGATCGTCCGGGATGCCTTCTTCTTCCCAGGAGCTGTTGAGCCGCGAGGAGGAGCTGAATCAGGCGGCGCTGAAGCAGAAATCCCAGGAGGAGTTCCTCCGCCAGCGGGAACACGAACTGGCCCAGTGGGAGCTGGAGGTTTTTGAGCGCGAACTCAGCCTCCTGATCCAGCAGATGAACCACGATCGGCCGCACGTGAAGAAGCGCAAGGGCACATTCAAGAGAAACAAGCTCCGAGGCCGGGACAGTGAGCACATCAGCATGCCGCTTGGTAGGAAGGCCGTGTGGGGATCCGGGCTCTGGGGAAGGGGCTCCGGGTGGGTTCACTCTTTCTGGAGGTCCTTTGGTTGCCGGATGTGTGTGTGTGTTTCTTTTGCAAAAGCATTTGTTGCGGGTTGTAGTGGCCATGGAGCAGACTTCTTGGAGATTCTGGGAAGTAAATAGGCTGTGCCGAGGGATTCTGGGAAATGCATGTGGTGCCCTCGGGAATCTTGGGAAATGAATCTGGTGCACAGCGAGTTTCTGGGAAATACATCTTGGGGAATACTCAGGGATTCTGGGAAATAAATCTGGGGCACTTGGAAACCTGGGAAATAAATCAGGGATCTTGGGAAATAAATGTGGCACCTTCAGGGATCTAGGGAAATACGTGTGGTGCCCAAAGGGATTCTGGGAAATAAATATGGGGCACTTGGGAAACCTGGGAAATAAATGTGGCGCCCTCAGGGATCTGGGGAAATACATGTAGTGCCCACAGGGATTCTGGGAAATAAATCTGGGGCCCTTGGGAAACCTGGGAAATAAATGTGATGCACACATTAACACACCGCTTGACGAGTGCAGAAAATGCTAGATCTAACCTGATCAACTTCAGTCTGGTTTACATGTTTTTTCTCTCTCTTTTCTTTTTTTCAGATTTTAAGCATCGCATCACGGTTCAGGCGTCCCCAGGGCTGGACAAAAGGAAGGATTTCTTTGATGTGGGAGCTGGTGGCTCTCCCACCTTCCCACGGTTTCGAGCTATCCAATGTGAGTGGCATGGGGTTCCTCTGGACAAATCCCTCAGACACATCTTAACAAGTTTAGATGCTGATAGAGGCGATCCTTAACTTACGACCGTTCATTTAGCGACGGATAGAATATTTGCAGCTCAGGTTGAATTTTGGGGTCCTTGATGTTCTCTGAGGTGGATTGTTTTCTTACAGACATTTCATGACCCAACTAGATAACATCAGCAGTGCTAGAAAGGAGGAAAGTTTTGTCTTTGTGAGCACTGATGAAGTTACCTAGTTGGGTCATGAAACGTCTGCAAGAAAACCACCCAGCTCAGAGAGCACCAAGGACCCCAAAGTTGAACCCTGAGCTACAGATATTTTGTCAGTATTCGAGCTTCTAGCTTCTCTCCTTGAATAGTTTCCATCCGTTGCTTCTTGTCCTGCCTTCAGGTGCTTTGGAAAATAGGTTGACCCCCCTCTTTTTTGTGGCAGCCCCTCAAATAGTGGAAGACTTCCATCATTTCATTAGACTTGACATACCCAATTCCCACAACCGTTCTTCATACGTTTTAGCCCCCTCATCACCTTTGTTGCTCTTCTCTGCACTCTTTCCAGAGTCTCAACATCTTTTTTGTATCCTGGTGACCAGAACTGTACAGTTTGTTTAATTGACCACTGTTGTTTTTTTTTGTCAGTGGAACCGAGCGAGAAGGATCAGAACTGGAACCGACAAGGACCCCGTCGGGGAGACGAGACCTGGAACGGCCATACCAAGAGCCCGGGGTCCCCCAAAATGTCTGAGCGCAGTACACAAAATGGCAGGTAGGGAGCCTCTATCTTACCCTCATCGCAATTGGCAGAGGTAGGCCACCTTGGCTCTTTTATGACTCGTGGACTTCAATTCCCAGAATTCCTGAGCCAGCATGAGGGAAACTTTGGCCCCTTCATGACTCGTGGACTTCAACTCCCAGAATTCCTGAGCCAGCATGGGGGAACTATGGCCCCTTCATGATTTGGGGATTCAACTCCCAGAATTCTTGAGCCAGCATGGGGGAACTATGGCCCCCTCATGACTTGTGGACTTCATCTCTCAGAATTCCTGAGCCAGCCTGGCTCAGCTTGGAAACCTCTCCCTTTCCCCTCAGCATAGCTGGCTCAGGAATTCTGGGAGTTGAAGTCCACAAGTCATAAAGCAGCCTAGGCCAGAGTGAGGCAACCTTGGCTCTTTTATGACTGGTGGACTTCAACTCCCAGAATTCCTGAGCCAGCCTGGCTCAGCTTGGAAACCTCTCCCTTTCCCCTCAGCATAGGTGGCTCAGGAATTCTGGGAGTTGAAGTCCACAAGTCATAAAGCAGCCTAGGCCAGAGTGAGGCAACCTTGGCTCTTTTATGACTGGTGGACTTCAACTCCCAGAATTCCTGAGCCAGCCTGGCTCAGCTTGGAAACCTTTCCCTTTCCCCTCAGCATGGCTGGCTCAAGAATTCTGGGAGTCGAAGTCCACCAGTCATAAAAGAGCCAAGGTTGCCTACCCCTGCCAATTGGTCATGGCAATCTCCTTCTTCCAACGAATAGGATTTTTTTATCTCAATTTTGGGAGCGGAGTAGGGTATCCTATCCCCGTCTTGTGACTTCTTTCCCCCACAACAGTATGGGTGGTCCTCGCTTAACAGCCTTTCAGAGTTATGACAGATCTCCTCATAGTCTCGTAATCACATTTGGGGTGCTTGGCAACCGGCTCTCGTTTTCAACTGTGTGTAGTACCTTGTGGTCATGTGACCATAGTTTTGGGTGGGTTTTGTCGAATTCTGGCATTTACCTCTGGCAAAAAAAATGCCCAATGAAGAAACCAAGTTCATTTAATGACTGGGACATTCACTTAACAACCAACGCAAAAAAAAAAAAGGTTGTAAAATTGAGTGTGATCATGGGCTGACCCGCTTAACGTCCGTCACCGTTCTGAGCTCAATTACGGTCATTAAGTCGAGGTCTACTTATAAAATGATTCTTTTCTTCTTTGTTAAAGCAATACAGATAGTCCTCAGCTTACAACAGTTTGTTTATGGACCAAAGTTACAACAAAAATTGAAAAAAAGTGGCTACCATTTTTCACACTTATGACCATTGCAGCATCTCCAGGGTCCCGTGATTTACGTTTGGATGTCTGGCAAATGACTCACATTTATGACGGTTTCAGTGTCCCAGAGTCACGTGATCCCCTTTTGCGACCTTCTGACAGTGAGGAAGCCAGACTCACTTAACAACTGTGTTGCTAACAAACGTGGCCAGAAAAGTCGTAAAATGGGGCAAAACTCACTTAACAAACGCCTCACAAAGCAACATAAATGTTGGGCTCCATTGTGGTCATAAGTTGAGGACTCCCTGTACTACGCAACTTTAAGATGTGTGGACTTCAACATCCAGAATTTCCTAGACAGCCATGCTGTCTGGCTGGGGAATTCTGGGAATTGAAGTTCACACCTTAAAGTTGCAAAGTACAGGGAGTCCTCAACTTATGACCACAATGGAGCCCAAAATTTATGTTGCTAAGTGAAACATTTGTTAACTGAGTTTTACCCCATTTTACGACTTTTCTGCTATCTGGCTGGGGAATTCTGGGAGTTGAAGTCCACAAATGTTGACCAGCTGGGGAATTCTGGGAGTTGAAATCCACACATGCTGACAGGCTTGGGAATTCTGGGAGTTGACGTCCCCATATCTTAAAAGTTGCTCTCGGTTAAGAAACCCTGCTCAGAGTGACTGATCCAGGTTTTTAATTAGGGTCACAACTCACAGTGAGCCCCAGAATAAAATGGAGAATATAATAAAAAATATTTGGGGCGGATTCAGTGACTCACAAAGAGCAGCGGTTTCAGGATTGTCCCCCGATCCTCGTTTCTGTCCACGGCAGGAGAAGATCGCGTCCAGAAGAGACGACGTGGTACGTAGAACCGGGCGGTTCCCCTGTACACTCACAGCTGCATCCACAGTCCAGCCAGAACGGTGAGTCCCTTCCTCCTCCCTTTGGCCTGTTTCCTTGCAATTCGAGCTAAGGGTAGTCCTCGACTTACAGCTGTCGGGTTAGGGACCGTTCCGAGTTACAACAGCACTGAAAAAAAGGGACTTAGGACCGTTTTGCACACTTACAAACACTGCAGCCTCTAAAAGGAGGCAAATGACCAGCTGTCTGCAAGGAGTCTAAATCCTTCCATTCCTCACCATCTGGTCAGAGCTGAAGAAGCTTCTTGGAGGAGAAGCGAAACGTCTTCAAAGAAAAACAAACAACTGGTCATTTGCCTTCTTTGAGACAGCCGTTGAGGCCACTTGGAGGTTTATCTGTGTCCTCAGGGTCACCTGACTGGTGCAAATGGATGGGGAGCCTTCTTGGAATTGCTGAAGGGACTGTGTTCCACTCCCATTTTTGCACTACTCAAATGACCCTGAAGATACAGATAAATCTCCAAGTGGCCTCAACGACTCTCTAAAAGGAGGCAAATGACCAGCTGTCTGCAAGGAGTATAAATCCTCCGTTTCCCCACCCACCATCTTCAAAGTCCAGTTGCCTCCTGAAAAAACATCTTTGGGACCTACTCTACTTTTTCATTCTGGAAGCCCACCAGCCTGAAGAGTGAGGCTAAATACTCTACGGAGAGAAACAGACCCCAATTTATAGGCTACTGAGAGGGAACCCAGTCCAATCTGGGTTTAAGTTTGCCAAGTTGCCACTTATCATTTTCTCATTCTTTTGTCCTTCCAGGTGATATTCCCATCACCTCGGCAGAAACCGAGGAGCCAACACTGGAAAGGCTGAGCGGGCCCAGACTCATCGAGAGAGTCCTGCTCCGGGGTTCAGCCTTGCTGGCCTCCCTAGGCTTGGGCCGGGAGTTGCCGACCCCCTCTCAGGAGAGGCCCATGGAGGGGCCAGGTGCTAGGAAGCCCTCTCCCCGAAGAGACCCCACCCCTGCCCTGCAAGTGGAGCCCTGCACGGATGACGCTGCCACGGAGCTCCTCATTGACCTGGCCTCGGTGGGGGACAGGACCGCCTTGCCGCCCCTCTGGACGAGGGAGTCACCCAGGGTCCCTCAGCTCGCGGAAGGCCGGACCACCAAGACCCCAAAGTGGGGTGAGTGGCAGCAGTCCACTTATTTGAAAGCATGCTGGCTGGGGGATTCTGGGAGTGGAAGCCCTCTCAGCTTAAAGCATGCTGGCTAGGGGATTCTGGGCGTTGAAGTCCATGCATCTTAAAGCATGGGGGATTCTGGGAGTTGAAGCCCGCTCAGGTTAAAGCATGCTGGCTGGGAGATTCTAGGCGTTGAAGTCCATGCATCTTAAAACATGGGGGATTCTGGGATTTGAAGTCCACCCAATCTTAAAGCATGCCGACTGGGGAATTCTGGGAGTCGACGTCCGCCTATGCAGCAGAATCTCTTCCCCACCTCAACTGCAGCTTTGCTCTCCCTGTCTTTCCACAGATGGCGCCTTCCCGTCTCCCTCCTCTCCCCGCAGCCCCCGCTCCCCTCACCCCACCCTGATTTCCCGCCCCCGCCCCTCCCCAATCCGCAGCCGGATCGACCCTTGGAGCTTCGTCTCGTCGGGACCTCGGGCCTCGCCAGCGGTCACCCCGGTCCAGTCCCCCCGTCTGGGCCCACGTCAAGTCAAACTCCCCGGTCCCGAAAGCACCAATCCTTTCGGGGCGCCCAATTCGAATCCGTTCGCCTGGGGGGACTTTTCGGCACCCGCCGACCCTTTTCTCGGGAGCTCCACGCGGTCAGCCCCAGAGACGCTCAGCCCCGCCGTTTGCTGGACCTCCAGACCGCACCCAACTCCACCAGAGGATCTGCCAGCCTCGCCCTGGTGGGGGGACACCTCCTGCCCCCCGGGAGGCACGATCCCCAAATGACCAAGGACCCCCTGTTTCCAGATGTGGCCTGCCAGACTTCATGCGATGGGACCCTGGCCTGTCGCGTGGCCAAAGATCGGAGGACCACAGACTGCTATTCTACAGGGAAAGACATTAAAAAAAACCCCTAGATCCTCAGTGGTGATAATAGGGGGCTAACTTCCTCCCCACGTCTCCGCTATGCAACGAACACTAAGCTGTCAAGCCAGCGTTGTGGTGCCCTTTTCACGTCGCCATCCTGGCTCCTCCTTACAGGCAGCTATCTTAGTTCTCACCTCTGTTCCCTTTCCTCCCACGCCAGGGGGTCTTCCCCATTTCATGGGGAGGGGGGGCACAGGGGGAAATGACACCAGGATTGAGACCCCCCCCCCAAATGGTCCTGGTTAGCTTGCCATTCCTTCCTTCTCCTTGAAAACAAATTCCAGCCAATGGAGGCCTTGCCCAAAAGGGCTGTTTGTCTTTTTGCACACAAAGAGAGCCAAGGACAAGGGGGGCTGGGGGGGGGAAATGAGGGGGGGCGGTCCGTGCAGCCCCCTCCTCAGCCCTCATCTTGAGGCCAAAGCGAAAAGCAGGGCCAATTCCCACAGGACCAAGGCAGGACAAAGCACTTTTGAGTGTGCATTACTACTGTTGTCTTCTTTCCCTACTTGAAATTCACACGTGTGCCAGGCTCCCTCTGCTCTTGTTTCCTTTCCCCGTATGTGCATGCACACACTCCCATGAGCGGGGTGGGTGGGAGCAGGGGAGCCAACTGTGTTCAGGACCGTCCCAGCACCGGGCGGGCCGACCCTGTGAAACGAGACCAAAATAAACCTCTGGATATCACCATTCTGCGCACGTGTCTGTTTGGGAATTCGGATCGGACACAAGAAGGGTACAGGAGGGGGCAAGGATGGATTGCGCACACTTGTGCGTGGAGGTTTCCCTTCTGGCATCTACCAAAAGCCACACTGCGCTTATTCCATCCTCCACTCAGATTGGCAAACGCGAGGGACTAGCTCCTTATCTGCAGTTGAGAATCTCTGAAAAACATACCGATTGAGGACAGCAGAATTCCTGCTGCTCAAGCAAAGCAGTTGGTAACTTGGCCGTATCTGATTTTACAACCTGTTCCTGCCACGGTTGTTAAGGGAATCACGGCACTTCAGAGAAAAGTGCAGTCATTAAGTGAATCATGCAAGGTAGTTCAGCCAATCCAGCTTCCCCCATCTGACTTTGCTTGTCAGACGTAGGGTGGGAAAGTCGTCAATGGGGATCATGTGATCCCAGGATGCTGCGGCCATTGTAAATACGTGCCGGTTTTGATCGTGCGACGATGGTTGTTAGTGCAAGGATCAGTCGTGTCTCACACTTTTTTTTCAAGGTTATCATAACTTCAGTCGTTAAACAAAACGTGTGTAAGATGAGGATTACCTGTATGTAGGGTTGGGAAACATGATTTTTGCACCCCAGATCCTATAACGGGGTTCGTACAAGATGGTACTTAAGATATCATGCATTTTGGGGCTTTGGGGGGGTTTCTCCTGGCCCCTTGTTTGAAATAAGTGGGTCTATCAAACCATTCATTCTTTGGGCCTTGAATTTACATGAACCTTGTGTGTGTGTGTCTGTTTTTTCTAGAAAGCCACAAAAAGAAACTTCGGTTTGCTATAAAGGTATTCCTCAATTCGGCCCAAAATTTCTGTGGCTAAGCAAGGCAGTTATTGCCTGAATTTTGCCCCATTTTATGACATTTTTTGCCACAGTTGTTAAGTTATCCCGCTTCCCCATGGACTTTGCAATTAACCAGTGGAACCACCTGCCCCCAGAAGCGGTGAATGCTCCAACACCGGAAGTTTTTAAAGAAGAGACTGGACAGCCATTTGTCCGAAATGGTGTAGTGGCTTCCCCTCCCATTCACAGGGACCCCGAAGGGGCGGACCAGAGCTCCAGCAGCAGGACGGTTCCCATCTGAAAGGCGTGATTTCCTAGTGGCCTCCCTTCCCACCGACAGGAACCCCTAAAGGCGGACGAGAGCCTCCAGGGGCAGGAGCATTCCCATCTGAAAGGCATGATATCCTAGTGGCCTCCCTTCCCACCTGCAGGAACCCCTGAAGGCGGGCGAGAGCCTCCAGGGGCAGGAACACTCCCGTCTCTCCACGGCGGGATTTCCTAGTGGCCTCCCCTCCTCGACTCCCAAGAGTTCTGTTAAGCCCCCCCATCTCTCTAAAGGGCCGCCGGGGCCAGCACCGGCAGGTGAGGGGGGCGGGGCCAGAGGCTCACCTGCCAGCTCAGCTCACCTGGATGGAGCCGGCGACGGGGCTGCTGCGGCGGCCGGCCCGCTTCGGGCTGCTGCTGGCCGCCTACGGGCTCTTCCTGCTGCTGGGCGCCGCCGTCTTCGCCGCCCTGGAGGCGCCCGCCGAGCGCGCCTTGCTGGCCGCCCTGCGCGCCGCCCGCGCCTCGCTGCTGGCCGAGCACCTGCCCTGCCTGGCCGAGCAGCAGCTGGCCGGGCTGCTCCGGGGCGTCCTGGCCGCCCGCGGCTACGGCGCCTTCGCCCTGGGCAACGGCTCGGCCGACCCCGCCTGGGAGTTCACCTCGGCGCTCTTCTTCGCCGCCAGCGCCCTCACCACCACCGGTGAGCGCCTCCCCACGACGCGCCCGACCCGCGTCTGCCCTGCGGGTCAAGCTGGGGGCAAAGGGTGGGGCAAGGGAGGGAAGGCAGCACGTGGGGATGTTTGATGACGCCTAGGTTGCGTCTGCGCAGGACAGGTATCCCGGAGAATAATCGACTTAGAAGGGGCCTTAGAGGTCCTCTAGTCCAACCCCAGCCCACGCAGGAGACCCTCTACTATTCTGGACAAATGACCGTCCAGTCTCTTTTTTTAAAAAGCCTTCACTGTTGGAGCACCCACAACTTCTGGTGGCAAGGTGTTCCACTGGTTAATTGTTCTCCCTGTTAGGAAGTTTTTCCTTAGTTCCAGGTTGCTTCTCTCCTTGATGAGTTTCCATCCCTTGTTTCTTGTCCTGCCTTCTGGCGCTTTGGAGAAGAGGTGGAACCCCCCCCCTACTTTGTGGCAGCCCCTCAAATAGTGGAATACTGCTATCATGTCTCCCCCCCCCCCCGAGTCCTGCTTTTCTCTAGATTAGCCAAACCCAGTTATTGCAACCATAGAATAACAGGATTATTGTAAATGTAGAATAGGTAACAGGGTCGGAAGGGATCTTGGAGGTCATCTAGTCCAGCCCTCTGGACTAGGCGCTAGTCCCCATGATATAAGCAATTCCAATCAGTGTCACCTGATTTGAACGACAAGCTTCTTATGAAGATAAACTTGGTTGGTTGTTGGAAAAAAAATAGTTTAAAAATCTAATTCTTCCCCCTTTCCCCCCCAAGTATATATTTCTGACCCATTCTGCAGATTTTCAGTGTTATGGACCCCAAATTCTAGAAGAAGGCAGAAGAACCTTTATAAAGTGGAATATTTTCAAAGCAGCCCCCCACTTTTTTTGTCTCTGTTGTCTTGCAAAACGACAAGGTAATTCTGGCTGGGACTGCCTTAACAATATAACTCTTATAAAATGTATAAGCATTAAAAAAATTTTAAACGCCAATACGAAATTACTGTTGCGTATATCTTGGCAACGCACATGCCAGCTGTCTCCTGCTTCACACGTGTTGCAACTCAGTGAGTCAGAATATTTCACCCTAATTTTCAGGAAAATGCAATTACAGGTGGTGCCCGAGTTAGAACCATTAATTTAGCAAGAGTTTGATGTTATTATAGCTGCACTAAAAAAAAGGGACTTACAACTAGTCCTCACAATTATGATGGTGTCAGCATCTTCATGGTTTGGGTTTGGCTAGTCTAGAGAAAAGAAGGACTGGGGGGGGGGACACGACAGCAGTATTCCAGTATTTGAGAGGTTGTCACAAAGAGGAGGGGGTCAACTTATTTACCACTGTAGGTAGGACAAGAAACAACGGATGGAAATTAACAAAGTGGAGAAGCAATCTGGAATTAAGGAGAAACTTCCTAACAGCGAAGACAATTAACCAGTGGAACAGCTTGCCACCAGAAATCCTGGGTGCTCCATCACTAGAGGCTTTTAAGAGACTGGACAGTCACTTGTCTGAAATGGCATATAGGGTCTCCTGTCTGAGCAGGGGGCTGGACTAGAAGACCTCCAGGGTCCCTTCCAGCTCTACTCTGATGGAAGTCATTTCAAAGGAGCAAATTGTACTTAGTGATTCCGACCCTGGAAAGTCACAATGGATTTGTTGATGCAGTTTGATGTTCTTTTGGCGTGGCTAAACGCCAGACATTTACTTCACTGCTCCCAAAAATAATAGAGGGATGTAACGCCTGGTGGGTCTCCGTGACCTTCAGCGGAATCTGCCCTGGTGTTCAACAGAAGATAAAAAAGGCTTTGCGATTCGCCTGGCTGGGTTGAAACACAGGCTGTCAAGTTACAAATAGGGCAACTTGTATATTATATTGGCGCCGATTGCAGGTCGTCCTCGGCTCTTACAACTGAGCCCAAAATTGATGTTGCTAAGTGAGAGATTCGTTAAATGAGTTTAGCCCCCCTTTTACGACTTTCCTTGCCACCTTTGTTAAGGGAACCCATGCAGTCGGCAAGTTTGTCACACCGTTTTTAAGTGAAACTGGCTGCCCCATTGACTTGGCTTGTCAGAATGTCGCCAAAGGGGATCACGTGACCCCGGGACAGTGCAATGGTCATAAATATGAACCCGTTGCCAAGCATCCAAATGTCAATCACATGACCCACGGGAATACTGCAGTGGTCTTAAGTGTGAAAAATGGTCATCAGTCCCTTTTTTTCAGTGACAGAATTCCCCAGCCAGCATAGCATTATTTACGGCAGTGTTTCTCAACCTTGTCCATTTTAAGGCATGTGGACTTCAACTCCCAGAATTCCACAGCCAGCAATGCTGGCTGTGGAATTCTGGGAGTTGAAGTCCACATGCCTTAAAATGGACAAGGTTGAGAACCACTGATTTACGGCATTAAGACGTGTGGCCTTCAACTCCCAGAATTGCGGGCTGAGCAATTCCTAGTTTGAAGTCCCCAAGTCTTACAAGTTGCCAGCTTTGTGGAGACCCCTGAATTAGACCCACCTAATTTCCTCAAACGTTCATTGCACAGTTTATATACAGTGTTAGTACCGCTTTATAATACCCTAGGGCAGTGTTTCCCAAACTTGACAATTTTAAGGCATGTGGACTTCAACTCCCAGAATTCCACAGCCAGCAATGCGTTGTGTGTGTGGAATTCTGGGAGTTGAAGTGCTCATGCCTTAAAATTGTCAAGTTTGGGAAACACTGCCCTAGTGCACAGGTCGGCAACCTGCGGCTCCAGAGCCACATGCGGCTCTTTGAGCCTTCCCCTGTGGCTCCCAGCCTCCTCTGCCATTTGCAGAGAGAGACAGAGACAGGCACTTGTGCTTCCCTGCTCCTCTCTCTCTCTCTGCGTGTGTGTGTTTGTGTGTGTGTGTGTAAAAAAAAGAGAGTGGACTCACTGTGTCCTCCTGAGGAGCTGAAAAGCTTTTTGGGCGGAGCTCCTTCCTTTGCTGCGTCTCAGCAGGAAACAGGAAGCAGGAAGGGCAGGAGAGAGCTAGCTAGCCCAGCTCTGCTGGCTCAGGAATTCTGGGAGTTGAAGTCCATGAGTCATAAAAGAGCCCAGGTTGCCTACCCCTGAGCTAGCCCAATAAGAATGTGTGTCAGCTGGTTGGAGAACAGCTTGAAGCCAGCTTGCCAGGTGAGCAGAAGATCGGAGAGAGGAAGAGAGAGGGGAAGAGAGAGAAAGAGAGGGAGAGAGAGAGAGAGAAAAAGAAAGAAAAAAAGAGAAAGAGGGAGAGGGAGAGAGAGGGGTTCAAACTATTCTCCAAAGCACCAGAGGGAAGGACGAGAAACAATGGTTGGAAACTGACCAAAGAAAGAAGCAACCTGGAATTAAGGAGAAATTTCCTGACAGGAAGGACAGTTAACCAGTGGAACAGCTTGCCACTACAAATTGTGGGTGCTCCATCACTGGAGTTTTTAAGAAGAGGCTAGACAGTCACTTGTCTGAGATGGTATAGGTTCTCCTGCTTGAGCAGGGGGCTGGACTAGAAGACCTCCAAGGTCCCTTCCCGCTTCTATTCTATTCTATTCTACTCTATTCTATTCTATTTCATTCCATTCCATATTTCCTAATTCTATTCTATTCTATTCTATTCTTTCTATTTTCTGTTTTCTACTCTATTCTATTTTCTATTCTATTGTTTTCTATATTCTGTTCTATTCCATATTTCCTAATTCTATTCTATTCTTTTATTTTCTGTTTTCTACTCTATTCTATTTTCTATATTCTATTCTATTGTTTTCTATATTCTGTCCTATTCTGTTCTATTGTTCTATTCTGTTCTGTTCTATTCTATTTTATTCCTAGCCTCCAGACCTCTAATCATCTGTTGCCGTTCTCTTGATCGTAGGTTATGGAAACATGGTTCCTCTCTCGGACTGGGGCAAAATTATCAGCATCCTTTACTGCTTCGTGGGCATCCCAGTGACCATATTGTTCATCAGATGTTTACTCCGCTGCCTGTTGCCTGTCCTAACCTACCGGCCGGTGCGATACATTCACAGCCGCTGGGGCTTCCCATGGGCACATGTGGCCTTAGGCCACTCAATGGTCCTGGGGCTGGTCACCCTGACCCTCTTCATCCTGATCCCAGCCATCTGCTTCTGCATCTTAAAGGACAACTGGACCTTTCTGGAATCCATCTATTTCTGCTTCATCTCACTCAGCACCATTGGTTTGGGGGACTTTGTACCCCGCGTCATGTCTCCCCCATCGCTTCACGGGTTTTACGAGCTGAGCATCACGTGTAAGTCGTCAGGAATTGGATGTGCCTTGAATATCTTTTTTTCCATCAGTCCTGTTGGATTATTTGGCTCGGAGGACCAAGGTCCAGGAAGCAGAATTACAGTAAGAGGGGAATGGAGACATTTGCGCCTGGCCAAGGACACCCCAAAATCTAGATCAGGGGTCTTCAAACTTGGCAACTTTAAGACTTGTGGTCTTCAACTCCCAGAATTCTGGGAGCTGAAGTCCACAAGTCTTAAAGTTGCCAAGTTTGAACGCTGGCTGAGGAATTCTGGGAGTTGAAGTCCACAAGCCTTAAAGTTGTTAAGTTTGGACACTCCTGCCTTTAAACCATTCCAGACAAACAGTTGTTCAGTCTCTCTTTGAAAACCCCCAGTGATGGAGCAGCCACAACTTCTGGTGGCAAGCTGTTCCACTGATTTACCTTCTTTTGCCCTTTTACAGGTTACCTACTTACCGGTTTGCTAGCCATGCTTGTGACCCTCGAAACAGTTTACCAGCTGCAAGAAGTCCGTGCTCTTATCCGTTTCTTTGCTCCGTCCCGCAGCTCCACACCGGAGGAGGAGGATCGTGTGGGAATCGTGAGCAGGGATCAACTTGCATTGACCTCCGATCTCGGACGCTGCACCCCAAGGAATTTAACTGAAAGAGGTGACCCTTAAGAGTGTCCCTCTCACCGCATATTAACTGCACCCCCATATCTCTCCAATACAGGCGGTCCTCGTCTTACGACCATAATTGAGCCCAAGTTTTCTGTTGCTAAGTGAAACATTTGTTAAGGGAGTTTTACCCCATTTTACGACCTTCTTGTCAAACTTGTGAATTGAATCCTTTCAGTTATTAAGTTAGTGACACGGCTGTTCAGAACAATCTGGCTTCCTCCATTGACTTTGCTTGTCAGAAGGCCACAAAAGGGGATCGCGTGACCCCTGGGGACACTGCGACCGTCGTAAATACGAATCGGTTGCCAAACGTCTGAATTTTGATCATGTGTCCACGGTCGTAAGTGTGAATGACAGTCGTTCGTCACTTTGGTTAAGTTGCCTTGTAACTTCAAACGGTCACCAAATGAACCAAATGGACTGTATTTTTTTTCAGTGCCGTCCTAACTTTGAATGGTCGCTAAACAAATGGTTGTAAGTTGAGGACTACCTGTACAATTAGGGCTGTACCCCTCCTGGGAATGAAACCCACCCCTTCCTCTGCTCCTTTGCATCACTCGCCAGCTGGGTCCCGTTTTGAAAACATTTATTCTAAAGTCCAGTACAAATTTAGTGCGAATACTCAGAAGCCCAAGTTTCGTGAAGAGGCGAGCATAAAGCTCTGGCCGTCGTCCAGTTTGGCACTAGAAGCATTCAAGGCACTCGGCGGCTTTGGTACCATCAAGCGTGGATTGTTTAAAAAAAAAAAATCAAAAATTCCCAAGTAAAAGGCACCGCTCGGCAAAAGCTTCGTCCTCAAAACGGGAGGAACGACCCGTTTTTTTGAACCCAGAACTGCCTGGCACGCACGCAGGAAGGCAGGCAGGCACACAAGCACACGGGGACACACGCAACCCAATAAATAATTCCTAAAAACAGATCGTTGCAAATCTCTCCCCCCCCCCGGATAAAGAGAGAGAGAAATTCCCCTGGGATGGTTTTTGGGGGAGAGAGTTTTTTTAAAAAAAAAGAAACGAAACCCCGAAGTGCATCTTAACTTATGCCCCCCTCAAAAGTGGGGGGAAAGTCCACAGAGTTTTTCTCCTGGGCATGAACAGACGCGCGTAGCAAGCCGAAGGCACGGTTGGGAGGCAAAAAAGTTGGTGGCGGTCTGGGGGGAGACGGCTGGGCGTCCTACACTGCAGGGGTGTTGGTGGAGACGAAGGCAGGAGGCCTTCTCAGCTGACGCGGCACTTTTCCCGCCGGCTCATTTTATGACGCCTCTGCTGTAAACCCCGTTCCAGCCTGGCGTCTTCTTCCAAAGCTCTGAAGAGATTTCGGGGTGCGACAGGGAGGGAGACAGAAGGAAAGGTTGGGGGGACAGAAGCCAGGGGAGCTTGGTTAGGTCTCTCCGTTATTTTTATTTCTTTATTTGGTTTTTATGTTGATTTATTTCAGTATGTATACCCAACCTTTATTGTTCTTATAAATAACTCAAGGAGGTGACGTTGTCTAATATTCCTTTCTCCTCCTATTTTCCACTCAACAACAACCCTGTGAGGTGGGCTGGAGAGTGATTGGCCCAAAGTCACCCAGCTGGCTTTCATGCCTCAGGCGGGACTAGAACTCACCGTCTCCTGGTGATTGGCCCAAAGTCACCCAGCTGGCTTTCATGGATAAGGTGGGACTAGAACTCACCGTCTCCTGGGGATTGGCCCAAAGTCACCCAGCTGGCTTTCATGGATAAGGCGGGACTAGAACTCATTGTCTCCTGGGGATTGGCCCAAGGTCACCAGCTGATTTTCATGGTTAAGGCGGGACTAGAACTCACCGTCTCCTGGTGATTGGCCCAAAGTCACCCAGCTGGCTTTCATGGCTAAGGCGGGACTAGAACTCACCGTCTCCTGGTGATTGGCCCAAAGTCACCCAGCTGGCTTTCATGGCTAAGGCGGGACTAGAACTCACCGTCTCCTGGTTTCTAGCCTGGTACCTTAAGGCTCAGACCAAACTGGCTCTTTTTAATCCTGACGTTATTATTTTACAAGTAATTATCAACATTATAATATTTATAATTTATAATCAATTATAATTACTTTATAATTATTATAGCTATAAAGATGTTCCCAGCAAGCTTTAGAGAAGAAAATTAGCAGGCTCATTCTCAGGGTATTAACGATGGTGTATTAACGATGGTGTTGTTTTTTTTTTTAAAAAAAATTCAAAATCCCATCGGGGCAGTCGTGAATAAACTAAGCTCTTGGTTTAATAATAGTTTTCTCCCAGTCGGAAAATATTGGCTGTATCCTTCTGTCTTGTGCTTTGCTCTCCCTTTTGGCAGATCCTACTGTATGTTTGCAAACAATCAACCTGCTTTTTGCAAGTTACTGCTGGTTAATTAGTTTTAGTTTAATTTCCTGCTTGCTTTTAGGACCTCATTATTCTGATTTATTTTACCCCGATTTTCAAACTGTTTTCCTATTGAAAATAAAGGACATGCAACCTGATAGGAATCTTAAACCGTTTTTTTGTCTTTCCTCCATTGGGAAAAAAGAATGAAAACTTTTCACACACACACACAAAAAACCCTCATGGGAAAGAACTACCAGGTATATACAGAGGCATTATTAGTGCCTTCACCGCTATACTGCAGCTAAGGAGCTGCAACAGGAAGGAACAACCTTTTGATGGGATGAGAGGTGTCTGGCAAAGACGGGTGAGCACGGCCCAAACTTGTATTTCATTCTATTTTAATTCCAAGGTAATTAAAATTAGATTAAATGCCAATTCCCCAGGCCTTTCAAAATTACTCCGCTTTAAAAAGCAACTACAGATTGGAAGAAGACTTTTGGGAGGCCAATGACAGAGTGTTGAGGGGTTAAAAAGGAATACCCCCCCCCCAAACATACACACCTTGGTTGTACCCTTGTGGCTAGAATATTTGGGCTGTGAGAAGAAAAAGAAAAGAAAAGAAAGAAAAAAAGAAAGAAAAAAGAAAAGAGAAAGAAAGAAAGAAAAAAGAAAAGAGAAAGAGAAAGAAAAGAAAGTAAAAGAAAGAAAAAAGACAAAGGGAAGAGGGAGAAGAAAAAGAATAGGAAAGAAAGGAGAGATTAAAAAATAAAAGGAAGGAAACGATAAGAAAGAAAAAAAGAAAAAAGACAAAGGGAGGAGGGAGAAAAAAGAAGGAATAGGAAAGAAAGGAGAGATGAAAAGAAAGAAAGGAAGAAAAGAAGCGATAGGAAAGGTGAGGAAGGAAGGAAGAAAAAGAAAAGAGAAAGAGAAAGAAAGAAAAAAGACAAAGGGAAGAGGGAGGAGAAAGAAGGAATAGGAAAGAAAGGAGAGATGAAAAAGAAAAGGTAGGAAGAGATAAGGAAAGGAGAGAAAGAAAGAAAGAAAGAAAGAAAGAAAGAAAGAAAGAAAGAGAAACAAAAGGAGAAGGGAAGGATAGAGAAAGGTGAGAGAAAAAAAGAAGAAAAAAAGAAACGTACGAAGAAAGACAAAGGAAAACGACGCCTACTTACATACGCTCTTTGATATCCAGATCTCTGACTAATTCATCCCGCTGATTCACCAGTGAGACCAGTTCTTCCAGAAGGAGCTGCTCCCGTTGCCGCTGGGCTTCTGTTTTGAGCCAGTCTGCAGAGCGGGGGAAAAAAAAACCGAGGCTTTCCTTAAACAGATTTGCCAGCTGCCTTTCCCGACTTGAGTCGGGGGAAAAAAGCAAATTCACCAACAGCCGAGCGACTTCTTCAAGGGTGAAAAACACAGCCGGGGAAGGCAGGGCCGACCTCCCCATTAAAATGGTTGCATCAAAAAGGGGGATTATTATTATTATTTAAAAAAACAAAGGGGGACTGAGAAAAACAGAATCAAACTGTGGACCTCCTTGTTAACGAACTGCCCGTTCCAATCTAAGACGTCCTATTGTGACTAACTTAACCACTACAACGATGCACGGCCGCGCCGAGGAAGGTCGTAAAATGGGGCAAAACGCAACTGTCTCGCTTAGCTGTGGAAAGTTTGAGCTCAGCTGTGGCTGTTTAAGTGGCTGTATACAGATTTTAAGCAATTTCAGGGCCACCACCGAAAAGGCCCCGTCGTAGATCGCTATCTTTGTGAGTCGATAAATGGAGAATGGGGTCAGCAGCTGGCGGACGGGACCTGGGTTTTTATCCCCACCCTCCACCTTCCTGATCTGAACTACTACAATACCCCTTTAAGGTAGGCCTTCTGGAGAGCCAAATTCGAACCTCTTTGTGCTTTTTTTTGTTCCAGGGAGCTACAATGAACCCTAAGTGCCCATTTTCCTCTCAAGGGGGCTCTCCAACTTGCCCTCTCACCTTCGTTGGCCATCATGGCGCGAAGTTCGCGACTCAGGAGCTCAAACCGCCGTTCTAGATCCTGTTCTTCTATCCTGGAAAAAGATAAGCAACATTCGGTCCCAAGAGCAAGAAATCGGGGTGTGTCGATGGATGTGGGGGATGCTTTGAAGACTGAGAAAAACAAAATGACAGCTCAACATTTAAGTTGGAAAAAGGGACGCACAACCGATCCTCGCACTTATGACCACTGCATCACTCGTGTGGTCACTCGATTGCAATTTGGGTGCTTGGCCACTGACCAGCACTGATAAACGGTTTGCAGTGTCTCGCAGCCGGGTGTAACCGCAATTTGCCAAGCCAATGGGGGAAGCTGGATTCACTCAACAGTCCTGTGATTCACTTAACGATTGTGTGATTCGTTTAACGACTGCATAGTTCACTTAGTGACCATAGTAAAAATGGTCGTAAATTGGGTCCGGTCATGCAATGGCTCATTTTGAGAATAGAACAGAATAGAAATAACAGAACAGAAATAATTAGAGTAGAGTGGAGTGGAGTGGAGTGGAGTGGAGTGGAGTGGAATGGAATGGAATGGAATAGAATAGAATAAGAAAATGGAGGAGTGGAGTGGAGTGGAGTAGAGTAGAGTAGAAACAAGAATAGAGTAGAGTAGAATAGAATATAGAATAAGAGAATGGAATGGAATGGAATGGAATGGAATGGAATAGAATAGAATAGAATAGAATAGAATAGAATAGAATAGAATAGAATAGAATAGAATAGAATAGAATAAGAGAATGGAGTGGAGTGGAGTGGAGTGGAGTAGAGTAGAGTAGAATAAATTAGAATAGAATAGAATAGAATAGAATAGAATAGAATAGAATAGAAGGGACCTTGGAGGTCTTCTAGTCCAACCTCCTGCTCAGGCAGAAAACCCTCCACCATTTCAGACAAAAGGTTTGTTCCTTCTGCTACTCACAACAGCTGTAGCTGATCCTGTCGTCGGATCAGGGCGTTCTTCTTATTCACCAATGTGAACCATTCCTGGATCAGTTCCTCCTCCTTCAACTTATCTGCACCTAAAAGGGAACACAAGGAAGGACTTTTCACGTTGGTGGATGTGTGCATGGAGTTAGGGATATTCTGTATGTAAAATGGGTAGAGGGGCCTTCCCGGGTGGGCAATTAATTATCCCACAAGAGAAACTGGAACTGTTATGGACAGCTGAACCAACAGGGCTGTGAAGTTGGGTAGGCAGAAGGGGTCAGGTTGTTCTCCAGAGCACCAGAGGGAAGGACAGGAAAATGATTGAAAACTGACCAAAGAGAGAAGCAAGCTGGTATTAAGGAGAAACTTCCTGACAGTGACGACAATCAAGCAATGGAACAGCTTGCCACCAGAAATCATGGGCGCTCCATCGCTGGACGTTTTTAAAAAGAGACTGGACATTCACCTGTCTGAGACGGTATAGGTCCTCCTGCTTGAGCAGGGGGCTGGACTAGAAGACCTCCAAGGTCCCTTCCAGCTTCTATTCTATTCTTTATTCTAACACATATGCACGCACATACGTCAATTGGAGAAAAAAAAACCAGCAGTTGCCTTCAAGATAAAAACAATGCAATTATTACATTTGGTTTCTAATTTCTGGTTGACCTCGTGCGGCTGGACAGGGATAGCCAAAGGGTTGGATGTTGTCCAGGATTCATAGTGTGGACTGCTAAAATCTCCCAAACATTTTCCTGGCAATTGAGAATACAGTATTTTAAAAAAAGTGTTCGCCCAAAGGCTGATCTCTGTGCAGTCCCACAATCAGACAGTAGATGGCAGCAGAATCACAGAAGGACCCCACAAAAATATTGGTAATGTGATTTTTCTTTTTCCTCCGTTATAAAATGGATCAGCTCCACTGGAGGCTTTTAAGAAGAGACTGTACAGCCACCTGTCTGAAATGGTACAGGGTTTCCTGCTTGAGCAGGGGGCTGGACTAGAAGACCTCCAAGATCCCTTCCAGTTCTATTCTGATCAGATAGATAGATAGATAGATAGATAGATAGATAGATAGATAGATAGATAGATAGATAGATAGATAGATAGATAGTAATCAAGGTGCGGTGGGTATTCCAACACTGGAAGTTTTTAAGAAGAGACCGGACAACTATTTGTCTGAAATGGGACAGGGTCTCCTGCTTGAGCAGGGGGCTGGACTAGAAGACCTCCAAGGTCCCTTCCAGCTCTATTCGGATTGAAGTAAAATGGCTTTTTTTTTTTTGCAATTTGACTGATTGGGACCTTGCTGGTATACGACGGTGGGTTTTGCTCCAGATGTTTTGGGATGGCACCCCAGGATTAACCAGGGGGAGGACGGGAAAAATTAGCCTGCCGTTGTTTTTGCCGGACGGGAATCCCCCCTTACCTGTTCGCATCAGATCCCGCAGCTCCTTCTCCACCACCGCTGCCCGCCCGTCAATCTGCTTCTGTTCGTTCTCCAAAGCCCGCAATTCAGCAACCACGTACTGGCTGGTGTCTTGAAATTTCTACAGTGAAACAGCAGAATCCTCGGCTTACAACCATTTCATTTAGCGGGAAAAAAAGTGCGTCATCCTCAGGTTCGTGGGATCAAAATTCAGGTCCTTGGCAAAGGGTTCATATTTATCACCGTCGTTGTCTACCATTTGCATAGCCTCATTCAACAGACAGTCCTGGTGGACCTCTCAGCTCTGCACAGAAAGAAAAAAAAAGCTCCTTCTGTCTGAATTTGAACCCGTGATCACAACAAAGAGAGTCCTGTTCATCATCTTTCCCCTTCAGCCCAGAGACCACAAGGAGAGGAAGGAAATTCAACCGTTGCTCAATTTCCACATGACTGGACAGAAGTCATGAGACACCCTTTGCCAGGAGCTCGTGTTCTGAGACCTCATGAGGGCTAGAAACTTTCCGGATTTGAAATTTGAATTTCTCAAGGGGCTTTGAATACCTGTACAAAAATCCTGGCTTGGAGGGAAATTTTCATTTGGATGTTTGAGTGTGTGGTGTAAACCTAAAAGAGAGATTTGAATTTGTGTGACTGCAGCCTGGGCATCACAAGGGTTGGACTAAATGATCTTTAAGTATACAGGTAGTCCTCAACTTATGATCGCATTTGGGACCAAAATTTTTGTTGCTAAGTGAGGTGATTGTTAAGTGAGTTAAGCTCCATTTTACAAATTTATTTTTTGCAAAGGTACTTACTGAGGTCATTAAGCGAATCACGTGGTCGTTAATGAACCTCCATTTAAATGTTAAATTTTAATTAAATTTGTTTTAATGCTAGGTTTCTAAACTTTAAATTCAGTTTAATTTTACATTTTTAAACCGAAAGCAAGTTGAGCGCAATGTTACATTTTTTAAATTTAAATTAAATTCGTTTCCATTTTCAGTCTTTAAATTTTAACGGAATGTGCTGTGGTGCCTGGCTTCCAGATTAATGGCAAAAAAATGCAACTTTGCACAAGAGAAAGCAAAAGAAAGGAGCTGAGAAATGAGGCCGGCGTTTGCTTTGTGTTATCATTCCTGTTTTACGAAAGGCTGGGCTGCCAACTTCCTTCCTGGCCAAACTTCCTGGAGTTAATTTTGTAGCTGGATTTTTTTTTTATTTTTTTTTTGCAGCTCAACCTTGTGGCTCCATCTTTAAATCTTGCAGAAACTATTTTTTTTATTTGTTGATTTATTTCCCGCCTTTATTATTTTTATGAACAACTCAAGGTGTCAAATATATCCAACATATTTTCCTCCTCTTATTTTCCCAATAATAACCCTGTGAGGTGGGCTGGGCTGAGACAGAGAGAGGGACTGCCCAAAGTCACCCAGCTGGCTTTCATGCCTAAGGCAGGACTAGAACTCACTGTCTCCTAGTGATTGGCCCAAAGTTACCTAACTGGCTCTTGTGGTTTAAGGCAGGACTAGAACTCACATCTCCCATTTTCTATCCTCGTGCTTTCACCACGAGGCCAAACTCTTACTCTCTGCAAAAGAATTATCTACTCTAAGGCCGCATTCTGCCTCTTACTGGAATTTCTTCTTCGTGGTGGCTGTTTCTCAATTCGGAGTCCAGAGTCTGATCCGGGGAAGGAACGACGGGAGAGGCTGCAAGGACGGGGAAAAAAAAAAAGAATTGGCATTTTTTTTACAGTATATCCTGCTATTGCTGAGTCTCTTGTGAATCTGATGACCCAGACCTACTTTCTGGAGGCTATTGGCCTTAACACTATTTATTTCCAACCCCTTGTAGACACACACACACACACACACACACACACAAACAACTCACCTGGTGCTTTCGTTTGTCGGCCCTTTATCCCCTCGTTGCAAATGTCATCCTGGATAAAGAAGAGCAGAAGGCAGTGAGTCTCCGCCCAGAGCAGTCATTCCCAGCACACTATAGGCGGTCCTCGACTTACAACCGTTTGTTTAGTGACCGTTCAAAGTTACAACGGCACCGAAAAAAGTGATTTATGACCGTTATTCACACTTACGACCGTTGCAGCAGCCCTCACAGTCACGTGATCACAAGCAGGATGCTTGACAACTGACTCATATGTAGGACAGTCGCAGCGTCCTGGGGGGGTGTCACGTGATCCCCTTTTGTGACCTTCTGACAAGCAAAGCCAATGGGGAAGCTGGATTCACTTAATGGCTGTCTGACTAATTTAAGAACTGCGGTGATTCACTTAATAACCGTGGAAAGAAAATTTGTATACTGTTAATGGGGCAAAACTCACTTAACAAAATGAAAATTTGGAGCTCAATGGTGGTCGTATGTTGAGGACTACCTGTGCTAACTTCACCACTGCAGTGATCCACTTAACGACTGCGGCAAGGAAGTTCATAAAATAGGGCAAAACTCATTTAACAACTGCCTCGCTTAGCGACAATAATATTGGGCTCAGTTGTGGTTGTAAGTAGAGGACTGTTCCAAAAAATCAACAATGCATTAACCCAAAGAATTCAACCCAATTTCCCCCCCCCCAAACTCCCCCCGCCAGGCACTGCTCACCACAGCCGGTCGCTGGCCGGGCTCCTCCGCCTGCCCGCCCCCCTCCGTCTCCTCCACCGAGAGGGACTCGCTCTTTAACCGGGAGCGTCGCTTCTTCACCAGGTCTGCGTCGCGCATGTGAGCAAAGGCAGACTTGACTGAGTGGGCCCGGGGAGGCACCACGGGGCCTGCACTGCCCACCGAGGGGATGCGCTGCAGGGACCGCTCCACGCTGCCGCGGGAGGCGAGCCGTTTGAGCCGAGGAGGTGCAACCACCTCCTTCGTCGCTTCCGCCTCGCCTTTCCCAGAATCCCCTGGGTCCTGGCGAGGGGTAGCTGAAGAACCATCGGCCAGTCCTTTCCCATCGTGCCTTGGGGTTTCGCCCCCAGAATCCTCCCGTTCCAAAGCTGGAGGGGCACCGTTGATCAAGCTGTTGGGCTTGGAGATTTCCGCTACAAGACGCTCTGCGTTTGAGGTGATCTCCTCCGCCATGTTCTCGTTGGCGTTTTCGGGTTTATAATCCACCAGACCAGAAAATATTGATTTATTTCCTTCGGCGGCAACCCCATTTTTGACTTCCGGCCCTGTGGAGATGACACTGCCGGTAACTCCGGAGCCCTTCTGCTCCGTCCCCGGCTGTGCCTGGCTCTCCTTGCGGGAGACCGTCTCCGCCATGGCTTCGTTCCCAGAATCCTTTGCCTCGCTCGCCTCTTCAGGCCTCCCAGAGTCCTCCGGGACAGCAGAGTCCCCTTCTGCTTCCTGCTTCTCCTCCAGTCGTGTTGTTGTTTTCCCAGAATCCTCCTTGGCTTCCAGCCTCCCTGGCTTCTCTGCATTGCTTTGCAGATGTTGGGAGTAAAACACAGCTGGGTCGATGGATCCGGAGGAATCCGTGTCGAATTTGCCCACTTTATAAGTGGTCTCGCTACTGTGGCTGGCAAATTGCACCACGTTGAGTTCCTGGCCAGTGAAAAACGCCCGGATCTGGCAAAGGTAGGTCATGACGATCAGCCGATCGGGCACCGTCAAGAAAACCATGTCGGCCGGGTCCATCAGCCGAGAGATGCCCAGCGTGGCAAAGCCATCGAAGGCCTGATAAGGGAGGGAGAAAAAAAGAAACTCAGAACCGTTCTAACTAACATTTTGATGATAGGATTACTTTTCCTGATTTACTGATGTTTATTTGTTACTTTTGATTGTTAGGATTTATTCTTTAATTTTATTTCTTTTTGTGTGTGTGATTTTATTAGTAATGTTTACTTAATACAGTGGTTCTCAACCTTTTTAATGCCGCGACCCCCGACCGGTCGTAAGTCGAGGACTACTCAACCGGTCGTAAGTCGAGGACTACTCAACTGGTGCAGCACCGTTTGCAGAATGGGGCTTTTGGCGGGCTCAGCAGGGCAGAGACAGCCTGGACCATTCCTATTGGCTTTTGAAAGCCAATAGAATTAGACTTTATTCAATAGAGTCTATTCCATTGGCTTTCAAAAGCCAACAGAATAAAAGGGAGGAGCACAGCTAAGGAAAAGGGGGGAAAAATGGCGGACTGCGTTGTTTGGCGACCTCCGTGAAATGGTCGTTCCACCCCAAATGGGGTCCCGACCCACAGGTGGAGAACCACTGACTTAATAGATCAACATATTTGTTTACTAATTATTTTTAATATGTTACAGTTTAAACATTGTTAAAAATGGTTGAATATGATACTTACTCGTTATTATGAACCGGACAGTTGCTTGTTTGTTGAAATATGTGATTGTACCTATCCTTATTTTACCCTAATCCCCTTTTTCCTTCCCCTCCCCTTTCCTTTTTACCCTTCCCTTTACCATACCTGCATTCTTCCTATTTTTTCTTACCTATATAAATTTAATAAAATTTTGTTAAAAAAAAAAAAAAAAGAAACTCAGAACCGGCGGCCTCTTTCCTAGCAGGAAAACACAGGCAGTCCTCGACTTATGAGCATAAAATTTTCTGCTGCTAAGTGAGACATTGGTGACATGAGTTTTGCCCCACTTCACGACTCACCAGCTTATTGTTCTCTTTGATATCGAGGGGATCCAGAGCTTTAAAATTTCTAAAGACAAACGACAAAAAAAAAATAAAAAAAATGAATATTGTTGTAAATCTGGGGTACCCTTATCAATATCCACAAATAATTCATTTCTATTGAGTAGAGGCGACTGGAAGAGCCAAATAAGTCCTTGACTTACAAGAGTTTGCTTAGTGACCGTTCAAAGTTATAAACGGCAGGGAAAAAAGTGACTTATGACCATTTTCACACTTACGACCGTTGCAGCATCCCCAGGGTCATGTGATCAAAATTCAGACACTTGGCAGTGTGACTCGTATTTATGACGGTCGCGGTGTCCCAAGGTCACGTGATCCCTTTTTGCGACCTTCTGACAAGCAAAGTCAACGGGGGAAGCCAGATTCACTTAACGACCGGGTTACTTAACAACTGTGGTCAGAAAGGTCGTAAAATGGGGCAAAACCCACTTAGTGAACGCCTCCCTTATCCACAGAAATTGTGGCTCCGTTGTGGTCATAACTTCAGGATGTCCTGTAGTCCTCAAAGTACGACCGTAATGGAGCCTGCTCATCATGGTCCTAAAATGAATCGCCCAATTTTGGGAACTTTTTTGCAACAGTCGTAAAAGCAAGCGCCACGGTCATTAAGCAAATTCACTGAACCACCGTGTCCCTAACTTAACAACTGCCGCGATTCACTTAACAACTGCGGCAAGAAAGGTCGTCAAATGGGGCGAAGCTCGCCGAACAAACGTCTCCCTTTGCAAGAAAAATCTGGCACTCCGTCATGGTCGTTGTGGACTTCAACTCCCAGAATTGCTCAGCCAGACATTCTGGCTGAGGAATTCTGGGAGTTGAAGTCCTCAAGTCATCAAAGGGCCAAGTTTGAAGACCCCTTCTTGTAGACTTCAACTCCCAGAATTCCTCAGCCAGACATTCTGGCTGAGGAATTCTGGGAGTTGAAGTCCTCAAGTCATCAAAGGGCCAAGTTTAAAGACCCCTGCTTGTGGACTTCAACTCCCAGAATTCCTCAGCCAGACATTCTGGCTGAGGAATTCTGGGAGTTGAAGTCCACAAGTCATAAAAGGGCCAAGTTTGAAGACCCCTGCTCTATCTGATAGAATGTGTTACTAGCCACAACTCACATCTTGTCCGGGTGGAAGTGGTGCAGGATGGCACAAAGAGCCAGACCGTTGCGCCAAGAGGTGGTGAAGTTGGTCACGCGGACCCCCCGATAGCCAGCCGTCACCTCCTGGCACCACTGAAGCAGGCCCTGGCTGGAGCTCACCAGGGTGGGGCTGCTGACTGACTCGGCCTTTAAAGGGAGAGAAGCCAAAAAAAAAAAAAAAAGAAAGAAAAAGAAAAGGATTGTGAACTCAGCAAGCAAATATTCCCAATCCTGCTGACTCTTTAACCTGGTGGCATTTCCTGGATGAAGCGCAAGCACTCCTCGACTTATGACCGTTTGTTTAGTGACCGTTGAAGTTATGACGGCACCGAAAAAAGTGACTTATGACCATTGAACACGACCGTTGCAGCATCTAGAATAGAATAGAAGAGAATATAGAATAGAATAGAATACAATAGAATACAATAGAATACAATAGAATACAATACAATAATAGAATAGAATAGAATAGGAATAGAATAGAATAGAATAGAATACAATACAATACAATAAAATAATAGAATAGAATAGAATAGGAATAGAATAGAATAAAGAAAGAATAGAATAGAACAGAAGAGAACAGAACAGAATAAAGAAAGAATAGAATAGAATAGGAATAGAATAAAGAAAGAATAGAATAGAACAGAACAGAGCAGAACAGAACAGAATAGAATAGGAGAATAGGAAATAATAAGAATAGGATAGGATAGGATAGGAATAGGAATAGGGAATAGGATAGAATAAAGAAATAATAAAATAGAATAGGAATAGAATAAAGAAAGAATAGAATAGAATAGAATAGACCACGGGCAGAGTGCGACAGTCATAACTTTTAGGACAGGTCATCAGTGAATTGTTCAGCTTCAAACCACTGTTAAACAAATGGTCGTAAATTGAGGACTACTTGCGAAGCTGCCTATAACAAGTCTAGGCCCAAAGTTTCCGTGGTTTGAAGTTGCTGGGTGCCACTAGGAACCCATCGGAGAGAGACACTTTTGGGGTCTCTGCCCTTCTCAGACCGCCCGCCCGCTGTCCTCCCTTGTGCCAGGGGAAGCACCCCCCAACATTGCCGCTGTGCCAGGCAGAAGCACCCACCCACCCCACCCAGATTAATTGAGGGCTTGCGGGGCTCAAGAGAACGCGACGGAAAGGGGCTGACCATGGCTGGCTATACCTGGTCTTTCCCTTCGGGCCCCAAGTGGGGGGCCGGGCCACAGGACACGGGACTCAGCACCGGGGCTTCCAGGCCGGGCCCGGCACTCCTACGGGGACCTGGGGCAGACGGGGCAGGCTCCTGAGAGGCAGGCAGGCCGGAAGCATGGGGGGCAACCAGGGGGGCCATTTCTGTCTCTGTGGCTCTCTGGGACAAACCCTCTTCTTCCGAGGGCCTCTCTAGGCTTTCTTCTTCGTGGTCTGGAACACCTTGGCCATTCTGGGAAGCCTGTGGGGGACCGCCATCCCAAGGTGACCCTAAGCCCCAAGCCGCTGGACTGTCCGGCTGTGTTTGGCCCAAAGCTTCCGGGCTCCCATTCCGACGGATGTTGGGTTCCTCCAGAAGGACGTCTTCTTCTGAATGTTTCTTCCAGACATCCTTTTGGCCTTGTTCCTCTCCTTCCTCGGTCACCACAAGCTCCGTTTCAGCTGTCCGTTCCACGGCCTCTCTGGAGACGCCGCTTCCTTCTGCGTCCCTCTCGTCTCCGGCTCCCTCGTCCTCGCTTCCCAAATTCTGGGGTGCTGGTTCTTCTGAAGGGCTTTGGGGAGCCTCCTCTGCAACTGCCAGGTCCCTCTGAGTTTCCCTACCTCCCTCCAGGCCGGGCACAGCAGCAGGAGGGCAACGGGGTGCCTCCAACAGGGACTCCCCGGCCACGTCTTCCCTACCCATCGTCAACGGGGAAGCGAGAACCTCTGAGCTGGGCCTGCTTTCTTCGTCCTCCATCACCAGTAGTCTTTCCCGTGAGGAGGACGTGGGAGAAATCTTGCCAGCTCTTGGGGGGCTCCCGTCGGCCTCCCCCACGATCCGGTGTGCCCCTCCTCCCGGAAGGGTTTCTGCGGCAGGCGTGAAGTGGTCCTCTCCTCTCCGATTCTCCTGCCTGTCAACCTTCTCCTCCTCTTCCTTCTCAGCTGATAACTCCAAAGCCCCTGCCTCACTGCCCCCCAACCTCTCTTCGGCCAGGAACGGCTCTTCCTTCTCCACGACCATCTCAGCCTCGTCCGCCCGTTCAGAGGAAACGCCGTCGCTTGGGACTTCAGGAGCGGCGTGCGACACGGTTCCTCCTTCCGCGGTGCCATCCGGGTCTTCGCCAGCCCTCGCTTCCCGAAATCCCCATGGTGCCGGCGAGGGACCCCCGAGAGGAGAGAGCGCCAGGTAGGCGGCATCCGAAGACAATCCTCGGGAATCTGACTCGTTACTGATAACGACCGGATGGTTGTTGGTGAGGGCTGCCACCTCCATAAAATACATCACCACGGAATTTCCAGACGGGGACGGAGAAGGTGCCTTTTCGTCGAGACTCTCGTATCCTGGTTTTTCCAGGGGTGGGGTAGCCAGGATAGCGGATGTGGGAAGAGGAACCGGGTTTTCTTCCAAAACGGCCGGGGTCTCCACGACAGGCGCTGGGGGGTCCGAGGACCCCGTCTCCTTCCCCAGCTTGCGTTTCCGCACGGGGGCCTCCTTGGAGGCAAACGGGGGCGAAAGGAGTCTTTTAACAGATTCCTTTGGCGTGCTTTTTCTCCTGGGGGGTGGAGAAACAGAGCAGTCTTCCCTGGGTTTCCAGATATCTGTTGGCCTGGAGGATGGGGGAAAAAAAAAAGAGATATTCTGAATTTGGGGTTCCAAAAGAGCAGGCTGGCTCCTGTAAGTGAACAAAATATTAAAGAGCTTAATATTCAAGAAGCTGAAGAAGCTTCTTGGATGAGAAGCGAAACGACTTCAAAGAAAAACAAGGACGTCTAATTGCCTAGTGCAAAAGCATATTTGGGATTAACAAACTTAATTTTCACCAGATTGGAAGGACAGAAGAGTCACTCTCAGCCCCCAGAATGTTTAATTAAAATGGGGGCTTTTAATTCCAAATTCTATCTGTCCTAGAGGCGATTCAAACAGAAATTCTTTAATCAGACTATAGCCAAGTAGTCCTCAATTTACAACTGGTGACTTAGTGATTGTTGGAAGTTACAACAGATCTCCCTAGAGCAGGGGTAGGCAACCTTGGCTCTTTTATGACCAGTGGACTTCAACTCCCAGAATTCCTGAGCCAGCACGGCTCAGCTTGGAAATCTCTCCCTTTCCCCTCAGCGTGGCTGGCTCAGGAATTCTGGGAGTTGAAGTCCAGGGGATAGCCCCAAATCATGCAACAATATCTGTTGCATTTATATATTGCATAACACGACCGGCTCCTTTTTGGTTTAATGTTTGTTTCGTTGCTCTATACCACATAGTTTGAGTTGGGCAGTTTTAAAAGTCCAATTAGCAGATGGATGGATGGATAGATGGACAGATAGATGATATGATATGATGGTGCAGTGATGAAGCCATAGGGTATGAAGCAGGAGGTATAAAGCAGGAGATCCTGAGTTCTAATCCCACCTTGGGCACAAAGCCAGCTGGATGGCCTTGGGCCAGCCACTTCCTTTCAGCCCTAGGAAAGAGGCAATGGCAATCCACTTCCAAAAATCCTTCCCAAGAAGATTGCAGGGATTGGTCCAGGCAGTCTCCAAGAATTGGATATGATTGAATGGAAGTGAAATGGACGGTATAAGACTCCTGCCTTGAGCATGATTCTAATGCAGTGTTTCTCAACCTTGACAATTTTAAGGCATGTGGACTTCAACTCCCAGAATTCCACAGCCAGCATTGCTGGCTGTGGAATTCTGGGAGTTGAAGTCCACATGCCTTAAAATTGTCAAGGTTGAGAAACACTGTTCTAATGGCTATTAACCAGGACAGCTATATGCAACTCTTCCACAATCAGAGGTAAATATAAGCACAAGAGGGTCAGTCCGTTTATACTTGGGTCGTGGATAAATTCTGGGCTACGGTTTTTGGGGTGAAATTAGGCAAAATGTGGTGCCAAGGAATGAAACCTCGAAGTGCTTAAAACCTCTGGGACAGAGTACTCTGCTCAACAAAGAAATCTCCCTAAAAAGTATTTTATTGGAAAAGAAGAAGAAAGAGAAAAATAGAAGGTGAAGAAAGAAGGGGAGGGGAAGGGAAGGAGAGAGGAGAGGAGGGATAACAGAATAACAATATAACGGAGTTAGAAGGGAGCTTAGAGATCTTCTAGTCCAGCCCCCGGATCAAGCAAAAGACCCTATTCCATTTCAGACAAGTGACTGTCCAGTGTCTTCTTAAAAGCCTCCAGTGAAGGAGCATCCACAATTTCTGGTGGCAAACTGTTCCACTGGTTGATTGTTCTCACTATTAGGAAATTTCTCCATCGTTCTAGGTTGCTTCTCTCCCTAATTAGTATCCATCCATTGCTTCTTGTGCTGCCTGAGGTGCTTTGGAGAATAGGCTGACCCCTCTCTTCTTTGTGGCAGCCCCTCAAATATTGGAAAACTGCAAGCAGGTCACCCCTAGTCCTTCTTTTCCTTAGAGTAGATATATCAAGGAAAGAATGACAGATGGAAGGAATGACAGGTGGAAGAAAAGAGACAGAGATAGATGATAGATAGATAGATAGATAGATAGATAGATAGATAGATAGATAGATAGATAGATAGATAGATAGATAGATAGAGATAGATAGATGGATGATGGATGAATGATAGATGGATGGATGGATGGATGGATAGGAAGGAAGGAAGGAAGGAAGGAAGGAAGGAAGGAAGGAAGGAAGGAAGGAAAAAAGAATGGAAAGAAGGATGAGGCAGGGAAGGACTCTCCAGTTTAAGACCTTAAAGCAGAAAAATATCAAAAGAAGAATTTACTGCCTTCCCATGGTGTTCTTTTCAAGGTTTAACTCAGGGCAGGCAAGCATGGCAGTGACTCCAGGGTGGCATCCTTGCTCCACTTCCCCCATCCTTCTCAACTGCAAAACACCCCCCCTTCCTCCCCCCCCCCAGTGTTCTCACTTCCCATTCCTTCTGACTGCCAACTTCTCCTTTCCACTCTCGGTGGAGCACACTCAACTTTTCCAAGGCAGGGATGGGGTGGGGCGAGAAGCGGGTGGGGGGAAATTACATCCAGCAGACCTCCTCCATCTCACCCCCTCCCCACCAGCTAAAGAAAGCAGAAGCCGAAGTCTCCAGCCGCTGCCTGGCTTTGTGATGCCACTTTAAGCCACCCCAAATAAAAAAGGCATCCTTGACTCCCAAGATGGAGTCTGTCTGTCTGTCTATCTATCTATCATCCATCCATTATCTATCTATCTATCTATCTATCTATCTATCTATCTATCTATCTATCTATCTATCTATCTATCTATCTAGTGCTTTTTTTCTAAAAAAAAAAAAAAAAGGTGCCAGAACTCACACACATCATACAACCCGCCTTGCCTACCCTACAAGGTTCCATCCAAAAATGGTGCCGGAACTCCGTTCTGGACATTCTATGAGAAAAAAAGCCCTGTATCTATCATTTATCTATTCTATCTCTCCTATCCATCCATCCATCCATCCATCCATCCATCCATCCATCCATCCATCTATCTATCTATCTATCTATCTATCTATCTATCTATCTATCTATCTATCATCTATTTATCTCTCTCTTCTATCATCTATCTATCATCTATTTATCTCTTTCATCTATCTATCTATCTATCTATCTATCTATCTATCTATCTCTATCTATCTATCTATCATCTATCATCTATCTAATCTATTTCTATCTATCTCTGTCTATCTATCTGTCTATCTCTCATCTGTCATCAATCTATCTATATCTCTATCATCTCTCTTCTCTTCTCTTCTCTCTCCTATCTATCTATCCACTTTCTTTTAAGCCACCCCAAATAAAAAAGGCATCCTTGACTCCCAAAGATGGACCTCCTGCCTCCATCAATGGGATCAACAGAGACAGGAGGTCCAAGGTTTGGGGCTGCCCTCCCCCAACCAGAGCCACAGGATAACCCCTGGCATGCCGGTGATTCAGCCATCCCTCTGCCTCTCATCTCTGCAGCAAAATTCCAACTTCAGCACCCCAAAACCCGCTCTCGGAAGAAGGGGTCCTCACCTGGGGTCGACGGCACTCGGACACGCTGGCTCCGTGCTTTCGTGCTCCTCTTCAGGCCCCGCCTGCGCTGATGATGCTTGGGAAGTGTCCAGCATGCAGATCTTGGTCCCTGGCCCTTCTGGGATGCCACTCGGTGATCCCCCTGGACGGGCACCGTTCACCCCGCCGAGCCCCGCACTCCCAGTTTTACACTCCTCACCACTTACGTCAAAGGCGACCACGTCGGGAGCCACAGAAGCAGCCTTTGGCCCGGGAAGTGGGGAACCTCCGGAGATGTTTCCGTGGCTCGCCAGGGCTGGCTCGGAGACCGCGGCCACAGCTGCGAGGAGAAGGGAGAAAGGTCAGAAGTGGCAGCGCTGAGAATACGTACGGGTAGTCCTCGACATACGACCACAATGGAGCCCAGAGTTTATGTTGTTAAGTGAGGCATTTGTTAAGTAAGTTCTGGCCCATTTTACAAGCTTTCTCGCCACAGTTGTTAACTTAGTAACACAGTTGTTAAGTGAATCCGGCTTCCCCATTGACTTTCCCATTCCCCCCCCCCCCAAATCCAAGCAGCAAAGAAGCAAATAAAAAGGCAACAATGGCACTTTTTAATACCCATTTTAATCCGTTCACCACCTCCCCACTTCCTTTAATTTACCTTCCTTGGGACATGCCTTGGAAGGCGACGGAGAACGGCCGGAGGGGTCTTCCTCCTCCTCAGCCAAGGGGTTCAGATCCCGGGATGTGTCTATATTAGGAGGAGGAGAGGCTGCCGTTAGGAAGGAAAGAGGAAGGGAAGGAAGAATTGGAGGAAAAAGGAAGGCTCAGGGCAAGACCCAGAAGAGACGGAGCCGTCACAAAGGAGAAATTCAAATTCTATCTATCTATACCTCTATTTCTCTACCTATCTATTATCTACCTATCTACCTATCTACCTATCTATCTATCTATCTATCTATCTATCTATCTATCTATCTATACCTCTATTTCTCTACCTATTATCTACCTATCTATCTATCTATCTATCTATCTATCTATCTATCTATCTATCTATCTATACCTCTATTTCTCTACCTATCTATTATCTACCTATCTATCTATCTATCATCTATCTATCTATCATCTATCTATCATCTATCTGTCATCTATTAATCTCTCTATAGCTCTATCATCTATCTCTCATCTATTTTTCTATCATCTATCTATCTCTATCCTATTTCTATCTCTCTCTTAATATCTATCGTCATCAATCTATCTATATCTATCATCAATCTATCACATCTATCATCTATTTTTCTATCATCTATCTATCTATCTATCTATATCTATCTATCTATCATCTATCTATCATCTATCTATCTCATCTATATCTATCTATCTATCCATCCATCCATATCTGTCTATCTATCTCTATCTATTCTCTCTTTCTCTATCATCTGTCATCAATCTATCTATATCTCTATCTAATCTATTTATCATTCATCTACTTTTCTATCATCTATCTATCTATCCCTCCTTCCGTCCGTCCATCCATCCATCCATCCATCTATCCATCTATCTATCTATCATCTCTCTCTCCATCAAAAACCAAGGATTTGCTGCTGAAAAGTCTGCTTCAAAGGCCCTGTGGTCCCATCCAACATGCCACCTCTCAAGTTTCTAATCTATTACTTGTCCAAAGCTTATACAGGTAGTCCTCGACTTACAACCATTCATCCGGTGACCGTTCAAAGTGAAAACAGCACTGAAAAAAGTGACCTATGACCGTTTTTCACACTTACGACTCTTGCAGCCTCCCCAACGGCCACCTGATCAAAATTTCAGAAGCTTGGCAACCGGCTCCTATTTATGACAGTCGCAGCGTCCCCCTAGGGTCACGTGATCCCCTTTTGCGACCTTCTGACAAGCAAAGTCACTGGGGGACGCCAGATTCATTTAACGACCGTGCCACTAACTCAACAACTGTGGCAAGGAAAGTCGTAACATGGGACAAAACCCACTTAACCAATGTTTCACTATGCAACAGAAATCTTGGGCTCAGTTTTGGCCTTAAGTCGAGGACTTCCCTGGAGTGCCAAAACTGCACTGTGCAAGCAGCGAGTTCTAATCCCCACGGCCACGCATGATGCTGTCCGGGTTATGCCAATCTCAAGCAGGGCTCTTGCAAAACCCGGGATGGCCTACCTGGGAAATAGTTCACCGTAACGTTTTTGAGGAACCCTGAACAGGGAAGAGACAGACAGGAAGAGAAGAAGGGAAAATTGAGGTAGGGAAAATGATCACAAACCGAGATCAGAGGTGCAGAGTGCGAAACGTACGGAGAAGGCATGTAGCTCGATCGGAAACTGGGGCAACGGCAAGAGACGGGCTTGGTTAATCTTGCTTCCATCGACATCTCTTCCAAATCCCTCTTAAGAGGATCAAAGAGAATCCCGGAAGTCACGCATGTGTCACGCAGGGTTAAGCACGGGATCCTCTGAATCACGGTTGCCTCACGGCTCCCGAATCCGGGTCATTTTCCAAAGCACAAAGCCAAAAAAAAAAAAAAACACACACACCAGCAAATATTTAAGACTTCTAAACTTCGCGGGCTGTATTGCAGCTGCCTCCCAACGTGAGCAACAATTAAGAAAGCACACGTCCTCAACTTACAACAGTTCATTTAATGACCGTTAGAAGTTACAACGGCACCGAGAAAAGGGCCTTATGACTGTTTTTCACACTTACGACTGTTGCAGCCTCCTCACGGTCATGTGATCAAAATTCAGAGGTTTGACAACCGACTCCTATTTATGACGGTCCCCGGGTCACGCGATCCCCTTTTTGCATCCTTAAAAGTCAACGCGGAGGCCAGATTCGCTGAACTAATTGTTACTAATTGAACAACTGCAGTGATTCACTTAAATGTCGCAAGAAAGGTCGTAAAATGGGGCACAAACTCACTTAGGAAATGTCGAGGACTACCTGCACAAACCGGATTATCTGACCACAGGGACACATTTTTCAGTGCTGTGGTAACTTTGAACGGTCACTAAAGGAACTGTTTATAAGCCAAGGACTAATTGTACTTTCTGATCTGCACCGTTCGGTCGGTGTCGTTTCCCAATAAAGTAGAATTCGTTCACCTGGTCGTGTTTCCTGCCTCGTCTACTGAGGTAAGCCTGACAGGTCGTTAAGTGAGGACTAGCGGTTAACTACCGGCGGTGGAATTCTGGGAGTTGAAGTCCAGACATCTTAAGGTTGCTAAGGCTGAGAAAGAACGGGTCAGGGAGGAGGGAAATGTCTTGGCTGGAAGGGGACCCCCCCCACCTTTAGGGGCTGCTGTGTGTCCTGCGGCATCTTCGTCCCGGTCGTGTTTCGGGGTGTCTTCCATCTCCTCGTCGCTTTCAGCAAAATCCCCCAAATTGCCGATGTCGGAAGGCTTGAAACTCATCAAACTGGCCAGGCTTTGCATGTCTTCATCCCTGGGGAGAGAACCGGAGCCATCATCGTTTTTATTTTTAATCTCCCGCTTCCCCCCCTGCATTTTGGGATGCGCAAAATATCCCAGGCTGGGCTTCACACGGGATGGGATAAAATCGGTGTTGTTTTTGCAGCTGTTTCGTTCCGTTCTAGGGTGGCTAGTGTAGGTAGTGGAGGGGCTTTGTGTGTTCTCTCTGGTGCGTTGTGGGAATGCAATTGATATTTTCGTTTATTTATAGCCCTGCCTTTATTGTTTTGGCAAATAACTCAAGGCAGAGAACGTATCCAATGTTCTTTCTTCCTCTTATTTTGCTCACAACAGGCCTGTGAGGTGGGCTGGCTGAGAGAGAGAGAGAGAGAAACTGGCCCAAAGTCACCCAGCCAGCTTTCATGCCTAAGGTGGGACTAGAACTCACCGTCTCCTGGTGATTGGCCCAGAGTCACCCAGCTGCTTTTGTGCCTAAGCGGAACTAGAACTCACCGTCTCCTGGTGATTGGCCCAAAGACACCCAGCCAGCTTTCAGGCTAAGGCTAGAACTCAGTCTCCTGGTGATTGGCCCAGAATCACCCAGTTGCCTTTCATGCCTAAGCGGAACTAGAACTCACCGTCTCCTGGTGATTGGCCCAAAGTCACCTAGCTGCCTTTCGTGCCTAAGGTGGGATTAGAACTCACTCCCGGTTTCTATCCTGATGCCTTAACCACTAGACCAAACTTCTCTCTCTCCCTCCCTCTCTCTCTCTTTCTCACACACACACACACATACACACAGGTAGTCCTTGACTTAAACAACCATTCATTTAGGTTACAACAGCACTGAAAAAAATGATTTATGACCATTTTTAACACCGTTGTAACATCCCCACAGTCATGTGATCAAAATTCAGACATTTGGCAACTGACTCATATTTATGACGGTCACAGTGTCCCTGGATCACGTCATCCCCTTTTGCGACTTTCTGGCAAGCAAAGTCAACGGGGGAAGCCAGATGTTATTAATTAAACAACTGGAGTGATTCGCTTAACAACCGTGCCAAGAAAGGGCGTAAAACGGGGCAAAGAGCGCCTCATGACTGTCTCGCTTAGCCACAGAAATTATGGGGCTCAATTGCGGTCGTAAGTCGAGGACTACCCGTGCAGACCAGGAGAACGTCAACCCCAGCTTTCTAAGAAGGATTCTTCCACGCTCTGTGACTCACGTGGCTTTTCCCTCGTGCAAGAAGACGCACGAGAGAGTCAGCTGGAGCGACGCGGCCACCACTTTCACGGACTTGGGCTTCAGCTTCAGGTTCAAATCCACCTGGTTGGGCATCTGGCTGGCAAAGCGCTTCAAGTTGAGGTCGACCGAGGCGAGGACCTTACGTTGCCCCTTCGATTCCTGGCATGAGAATTGCAAATTTTTAATTGGTGAAATTCCTCTCTCGCCCACCCATTTTTTCATTGCATCATTCGAACACAAGACTGAAATCTTCCCCAAACGGTTATAAAAGCAGAAATCGCTCCAGTCAAGGCCAGAAAATTAAACTGTAAATGGATGTCTAAATAGGCTTTCTGAAGAAGTCCTTAACATCCGTCAAATTCGAGTGAAAAAGGGCATAATATGGAGAAGTCGGGAAGAAGGAAAGAGGATTTACGGTGGCAGGGAGTTCCACAGTTTAGATTTTTTTTTTTTAGATAACCTCATTTTTTACTGTGGGCACAAATAGCACACATTAAAAATGACATTGAGTTGCTTGCTCTCCAAGTGTACACATACATAACACACATTTAAAATATACTATATACAACATATGTATAGACCTACGCATCGACATATAAGTAATATATAAATATTAAGTGTACGTTCCAGCCATCCTTGCCTCAAAGGACAAAAAAAAATTAAAAAAAAATTAAAGATTTTAAAAGGAAGCCGAGAATGAGTTTCAATGGCGTTGTAAAAAGTGATTTAGGACCGGTCCTCACACTTATGACCGTTATAGCATCCTCACAGTCATACAAAATTCAGGCACTTGGCGGCCAATATGCATTTATAACAATTGCGACATCGTAATGCTTATTGAAATGAATGGGTTCACTTAATGACCGTCCCCCCAAAAAAGGCCAGAAATTTATTTCCAGTCATGTAGGTACCTCCCTTTAGGACTCTAATGACTTATGACTATAATTCTGAGCTCAATGGCGGTTGTAAGCCGAGGACTATCTTTAATCAAAGGGTATGAGAGACTCTTTGGCTTTTTAAAAAATCCACGTAGTCCCCAACTTACAACAGTCCATTTAGTGACCGTTCAAAGTTACAACGGCACTGAGAAAAGGGACTCGTGACCGTTTTTCACACTTACGGCCGTTGTGGCATCACGTGATCAAAAGTCAGCCGCTTGGCTACTGACTCATATTTATGACGGTCGCAGCATCCCGGGGTCACCAGATCCCCTTTTGCGACCTTCTGACAAGCCAAGTCAATGGGGAAGCCGGATTCACTTAACGACCGGGTTCCTAACTTAACAACTTCAGGGATTCACTTAACAAATGGGGCAAGGAAAGTCGTAAAATGGGGCAAAACTCACTTAGCAACCGAAAATTGGGGCTCAGTTGCGATCGTAAGTTGAGGGCTACCTGTATTGACCAACTAAAGATCTGAGGCAATTTCCAGAAAAGCATTTTCCCGCCAATTTTGCTGTAAAACCTGCAGGCGAATCTCCCTGTCCTGTCCAGAATCTAACCCAATTTTTAAGACGTACATTTTCCACCACAAAGGTCCAATCTTTATCTTCGTATTCTTCCACATGGGGGTCCTGGAAAACAAAAGTAGAGAGTCAGCTGGAGGGTCTTCAAAAACACCCAGAGTTTGATCCACCTTTACATAAGAGGACATGCATTAGCAACAAGGCACAATTTAATTAGAATAAAAGGGACCTTGGAGGTCTTCTAGTCCAACCCACTGCTCAAGCAAAAACTATTTACTATTCTGGACCAATGGTTGTCCAATCTCTTCTTAAAAGCCTCGTGATGGAGCAGCCACAACTTCTGGTGGCAAACTGTTCCACTGGTTAATTGCTCTCACTGTCAGGAAATTTCTACTTAGTTCCAGGTTATTTCTCTCCTTGATTAGTTTCCATCTGTTGTTTCTTCTCCTGCCCTCAGGACCTAGAGAATAAGTCAATTCCCTCTTCTTTCTGGCAGTCTCCCAAATATTGGAAGATGCTATCATGCCACTCCTAATCCTTCTCTTCGATAGGCTAGAGATACACCAAGTTTCTGCTAGGCAGGAAACAAACCCCTTTCTTGAAATACAAATTAATTCCGCCTGCTTGGATGAGCTACTGTCTTCCTAGACCAGGGGTAGGCAACCTTGGCTCTTTTATGACTCGTGGACTTCAACTCCCAGAATTCCTAAGCCAGCCATGCTGAGGGGAAAGGGAGAGGTTTCCAAGCTGAGCCAGGCTGGCTGAGGAATTCTGGGAGTTGAAGTCCACGAGTCATGAGGGGGCCAAAGTTTCCTCACGCTGGCTCAGGAATTCTGGGAGTTGAAGTCCACGAGTCATGAGGGGGCCAAAGTTTCCTCACGCTGGCTCAGGAATTCTGGGAGTTGAAGTCCACCAGTCATGAGGGGGCCATAGTTCCCCCACGCTGGCTCAGGAATTCTGGGAGTTGAAGTCCACAAGTCATGGAGGGGGCAGTTTTCCCCACGCTGGCTCAGGAATTCTGGGAGTTGAAGTCCACGAGTCATGAGGGGGCCAAAGTTTCCTCACGCTGGCTCAGGAATTCTGGGAGTTGAAGTCCACGAGTCATGAGGGGGCCAAAGTTTCCTCACGCTGGCTCAGGAATTCTGGGAGTTGAAGTCCACCAGTCATGAGGGGGCCATAGTTCCCCCACGCTGGCTCAGGAATTCTGGGAGTTGAAGTCCACAAGTCATGGAGGGGGCAGTTTTCCCCACGCTGGCTCAGGAATTCTGGGAGTTGAAGTCCACGAGTCATGAGGGGGCCAAAGTTTCCTCACGCTGGCTCAGGAATTCTGGGAGTTGAAGTCCACGAGTCATGAGGGGGCCAAAGTTTCCTCACGCTGGCTCAGGAATTCTGGGAGTTGAAGTCCACCAGTCATGAGGGGGCCATAGTTCCCCCACGCTGGCTCAGGAATTCTGGGAGTTGAAGTCCACGAGTCATAAAAGAGTCAAGGTTCCCCCACCCCTGTCCAAGGCTGCTGCCAGGGAAGACAGTTGCAGCTCTTAATAGTCCAGGAATTATTTAACTCCTCAAATAGTTAAATTTAAGTTTTTCTATGTACAAAGGCCTCTCCTGTGAAACAGGGACCCTGCCTCCTTATGCAATAAATTGCAATGCTGTGCAACTCAAAATTGCTAGCATTTTCTCCGTTTTTCTGGTGTGCCTTGGACGCGCACCCAAAATGCAGAAGCGGTGAATGCTCCAACACTGGAAGTTTTTAAGAAGAGACTGGACAGCCATTTGTCCGAAATGGTGGTATAGGGTTTCCTGCCTGAGCAGGGGGTTGGACTAGATGACCTCCAAGGTCCCTTCCAACTTTATTATTATTATTATTTTAAAAGCATGGATCAGGGCAATGTGTGAATGAGATTCTCTTATATTTGGCGACAGGGTCCTCGTTCCGACGACGCAATTCCCGTACCCGGTAAAGTGTGACCATAATGTCCACGTTTTCCGGCACCATCCATACCACCTCGCCCCTGTAAGGATTCTTGATGCCCGGTTGCCAGCTGTGAGCCTGCGAAAAACCAGAACAAAAGAGATTAAAATTTTTAAACCGCCCCCCCAACACAAAATAATACAAAATATAGGGAGCCCTCGCGTTACGGCCATAATGGAGCCCAAAATTTCTGTTGCTACGTAAAACGTTCGTTAAGGGAGTTTTGCCCCATTTTACGACCGTTCTTGCCACAGTTGCTAAGTGAATCACTGCAGTTGTTAAGTTAGTAACACGGTCGTTAAGTGAATCCGGCTTCCCCATTGACTTTGCTAGTTAGAAGGTCGCAAAAGGGGATCATGTGATCCTGGGACATTGCGACCGTCATAAGTACAAGTCAGTTGCCAATTGTCTGGATTTTGACCACATGACCATGGGGATGCTACAATGGTCGTTAAGTATGAAAAATGGTCATAAATTGCTTTTTTTCCGTGCCATTGTAACTTTGAACGGTCACTAAATGAACTGTTGTAAGTTAGACTAAGTTGTAAGTTGTAAATAAGGACTAGCTGTAGTTGAGACCTCTCCTATTGTCTACAGCAGGGGTCTTCTAACTTGGCCCTTTTATGACTTGTGGACTTCAACTCCCAGAATTCCTCACCTTGGAGCAAATCCGGCGGTTCCTCCGAGTCCAAACCACAACTAGCTTGTCTGGCTGCCTGTGGTTGGGAGAGATGAAACAGTCAGACAAAAGAACTAAACCAAAAGTGACCAAGCCACTAGTCCACAAGATTTCATTGGTGGTCAGGTTTGCAATTATCACACAGGGAGCAGGTTGATGTGGCGTAACCAGTGGGGTTTGTAGTAGGATCTCATACACATACTGTATGCACACAGACATAATTTGGGGAACATTTTACAATTTCTTCTAGAATAGTATTTCTCAATTTGAAAGTTTTAAAAGGCATTGATTTAAAATCCCAGAATCCCCCAGCCAGCGTGCTTTAAGATGGGTACACTTCAATCCCAGAATTCCCCTAGTTAATTTTATTGTGAGTTACACACTGACAATAAAGATATTGTATTCTTCTGAATCCTGGGGTTTCAAGCCCCTCCATCTTAAAGCAGCCAAGGTTGCCAATTGCTTCTCTCTTTGCCCTGTTCTACTATACACAATTACACTCAACTTCTGGGTCCTGAATGTCACCCACTTTCCATCCAAGGAATGACACAAGTCTGGTGTCATGTATACTGGAGTGAGACTATTGTGACGGCCATTAACAAGGATGGGCCAAGTTTAAGATGGGTGGAGTTCAACACTTGCTGGCTCGGGAATTCTGGGAGTTGAAGTCCACTTATCTTAAACTTGCAAAGGGTGAAAGAGAAACACTGGTCTAGAGGCTGGGGTGGGGGGCTACAGAAACCAGGAAAGGAACAATCTGGCCCTGAGGCGGCCAGTTGCTGACCAGGCTCAAGAGATCTTTGACCCATGTACATTGCACAACCATACATTTCTTCTTGACCACAATCATACTTTCCAAGAAGAGACTGGACAGCCATTTGCCCAGAATAGTATAGGCCGCAGGGCTAGGCAACCTCGGTTCTTTTATGACTCATGGACTTCAACTCCCAGAATTCCTGAGTCAGCATAGGATAGCTGACTCAGGAATTCTGGGAGTTGAAGTCCATGAGTCATAAAAGAGCCGAGGTTGCCTACTTCAGGTATAGGGTCTCCTGCCTGAGCAGACGGTTGGACTAGAAGACCTCCAAGGTCCCTTCCAGCTCTGTTTGATTCTGTTCTCGGTTCTATTTCTCAGAGAGCTCGGCACAAAAGCGTGGCAACCAGATCAAGGGCTGTGCACCGGCTCCTGTCCATCCCAGGGTTTATCTGCCTTCCCAGCCATGTGTGGGCGAGGTTCCTGACCGCCTGGGGAGCAGGGCTGGGCCGCACCCAGTTGCGGCACTGGGTGTTGCAAGAGGCTGGCTCTGCTAACTTCCCAGGAGACGCGCACGTCTTCCTCCGTTGCACCCATCCGGGCTTCTAAGGAAGTTTTAAGCTTCTTAACTTCTTAAGGAACCTATTAAGATTCTAAGGAATCTTCTAAGGAACCTTGTAAGATTCTAAAGAACCTTCTAAGGAAGCTTCTAAGATTCTAAGGAAGCTTCTAACTGCTTAAAGGAACCTATTAGGAATCTTATAAGGCAGGGCTTTTTAACCTTTTCACCCATGATACCACTTTTAGGATATGGCAACATCCGAGGACCACCAGTCGCCTAGCAAGGTGTCAAAAACTTGATGACCAAAAAAAAAAAAAAAAAAAAGTGATAAAAGTACAGGTAGTCCTCGACTTACAACAGTTCTCTTAGTGACTATTCAAAGTTACAATGGCACTGAAAAAAGTGCCCCCCAAGCCACAGCCGAGCAAGACACACCTGCCTGCCCGCCTGGCCGCACTCTTCCTCCTGTCCGAGGTTTTCATTGTTGTGAGCATTTCTGTTGAGGATTGGCAGCGGGGATGGGGTGGGGGGGTGTTTGGTTTTTATTCCCCCCCCCCGTCTGCTGGGTGGTTGCAGCAGGTTTTGGTCCCTTCACATGACCATGGGACACTGTGACCGTCATAAATATGAATCACTTGCCAAACATCTGAATGTAAATCACAAGACCCTGGAGATGCTGCAACATTCCAGCTGATTGGCGCTTCTTCTGGGCTGACTGGAAGTGCCAGGATCAGTGCTGAGCTCCAGCCGGACCCTGGCACTGATCCTGGTGCTTCCGCTGAGCCCTGACAGCCCTGCAGCTCCATTCCTCTCCCCTGCTACCACTTTTGTAGGATGGTCGCGTACCACCTGCCAGGTGCCAACGTACCACAGGTGGTACCCGTACCACTAGTTGTAAAGGCTTGTTCTAAGGAATCTTCTAACTTCTTAAGGAACCTTCTAAGATTCTAAGGGATCTTCTAAATTCTTAAGGGAACCTCTGAGATTCTAAGGAACCTTCTTAGATTTTAAGCATGGTAGATTTTTTTTTTTTGCTATCCCAATTATTGCAATATTTGAAATTTTACGTATTGTGGGAGAGGGGGGGAGTTTGGCTGGGGATGGACTGGCTGGGGAATTCTGGGAGTTGAAGTCCACACATCTTAAACTTGTCAAGGTTGAGAAATTCTGGTCTCTGGTATGGGTTATGTTATTAATTGCAAATTCTCATCTGTCCTTACCCCTCATCTCCTTGTTGCTTGGAGAGATTTGATGTTTCTCTCATTTCTCCAGGCTAGTGGCCAAAAGCTAAATTTAGCTGGGGGGGGGGGAAAGAGTCATTAATCTAGTCAGGTGTTGGGTTAAATCTGGTTGCTAACGAAATCCGATAGCTTTCCTCCTCTGTTCAATGTCAACCAGATCCATCAGAGAGATTTCAGTGGAGGCTAGATCTGTGGGGGTGGGGGAGGCAAGGAAACCTAGAGACCCTTGCAAGACTTAATGTTCATTTATTTATTAAATTTATTTGCCACTCATCGGATGCTGTGCAGTTAACTTGCCCAGCTTCCTATACTGGTTTTAATTTTAAGCCTGGCTAATTTGGGTTTTGGGAGGCACAGAATTCAGAGCCCTGTCCCCATCGCAAAAATGGGTTCATTCAGTAAGCAACGGGTGGCACTTTTCTTGCCACAGTTGTTAAGTGAATCCCTGGAGTTGCTAAGTTAGTCACATGGTCATTAAGCGGATCCCCGTTGACTTTGCTTGTCAGGCGGTAGCAAAAGAGTATCGCGTGACTCCAGGGACACTGCAACCGTCATAAGTATGAGTCCATTGCCAAGCGTCTAAATTTTGATCGCGTGACCATGGGGAGACTGCCACGGTCATAAGAGTGAAAAATGGTCGTAAGTCCCTTTATTCAGTGCCGTTGTAACTTCGAAGGGTCACTAAGAGAACGGTTGTAAATCAGGGGTTGATCACCTGTCACAGAATAACATGAGCTGGAAGGGACCGTGGAGGTCATCTAGTCCAACCCCCTGCTCAGGCAGGAAACCCTATACAATTTCGGACAAATGGCTGTCCAGTCTCTTCTTAAAAACTTCCAGTGTCGGAGCATTCACCGCTTCTGGAGGCAGGTGGTTCCGCTGGTTAATTGTTCTGTCAGGAAGTTTCTCCTCAGTTCTAGGCTGCTTCTCTCTTTGATTCGTTTCCATTTGTTGCCTTTGCAAAATGGCCGACTTTTTCTGGAGAAGGCCTCTTTACGGCTCCCAAACCCCAGAATTGCCGGGGAGGCCGTTGCCTTCAAACAGACGTGCCCACTGCTCATCCCCATCCTGGAGATGGGGATCTGGAGCCAAGGCTCAGCCCCAGGCGTCCTTCCGGGCAGCGCCTTAGGCGTGGCGTCTCAGAACATGCACAGACTGCCAAACTGAATGACAAAAAGCTGCCTCACCGAAGCAACCGAGTCTGGCTTCGGCCTAGCGTCTCTTGCGAAGACAGACTTGGCTCGTACGGGCTGCTAGGATGCCCGAGGCCTGGCGCGCCAAGGCCAGGCTGAACCGTGCCCAGCTGGGGCAACCCGGGTGGCACCGGGAGCAGAGCGCTGGGTGAGCCTGCCGTGAGGAAATGGGCCCCCCGAAAAAATCCCCAGTCCCAACGAGGCTGGAGTCTCTTTTTTCTCTTGCAAAGTTCCTCCATTTCTTCTTCTTTTCTTTTAGTCCACGTGGAAGGAAGGCGCCTCGTGATTCAAGCCCAGAGCATATTTCTGTTTTCTTGCCCGTTTCCCCCCCCCCTTCTTTTCCGTTTACAGCTCAAATATTTATCATTTCCCAAACCTTATAAGGAGGAACAGAACGGGGCGAGGAGAGAAAACAGGAACACGTTCCCTGGCAGCCAGGCTCTCCCCTCCTTCTGGTCTCCTCCACCCAAAAATGCGTCCAGAAAAACAACGGAGAAACTCCGTGGACTCGGAAATCTTTGCAGAGGTCCAGGGGGCTCTCTTGGATACTGCAGTGCCTATCATTCCCAGCCAACCGGCACAGCGGCTGGCATCGTCTTTGTCCTGTGGGGCTGCGACCCCCCCCCAAGCATCCCCAGCACGGGGAGATGATGGGAGTTGTAATCTAACTTTGTCAAGGTGCGAAGATTTGTGTCAGAGGAATCAACGGCCCATCCGTGCGTTTGCAGCCACCAGCTTTGTAGGTACAACACAGAAACCTCCAGGAAAATGTGGGGTTTGATCCCCTGAGCTGCATCTTTCCTCTTGCACGATCCGACCCCGTTTTTCTCTCCTTTTCTTATTTTATTCTCCAGTCAAACCTCATAGGAAGACAGCTACCGTTGCATGCGCTAAACCTGGCTTAACTAGACCATGGTTTACCAAAGCAGGTCAATCACCTAGCTTCATCCCACATGGCGAGCCATACTGACTAGGTTCATGCAAGCCCCTAAAGCACAGAGAATCGAAGAATTGGAAGGAACCCTGGAGATCTTCTAGTCCAACACACACACACACCCCCGCCGTCCTGAGTTAAGAGTCCCAGCAAAATGGCTGTTCAGCTTTTCTTTTAAAAAGTCAGAAAAATTCTTTATTTCCGGTTTGAATTTCCCTTTGCGAAGTTTCCACTGATGGGTTCCTGTCCTATCCCTCAGGCATTTTGGAGAATAAATCCATACCCTTGGCTGGCTGGGGAATTCTGGGAGTTGAAGTCCACCCATCCTCAAAGCATGCTGGCAGGGGAATTCTGGGAATTGTCCACCCATCCTCAAAGCAGGCTGGATAGGGAATTCTGGGAGTTGAAGTCCACCCATCTTAAAGCATGCTGGCTGGGGAATTCTGGGAGTTGGTTCACCTCTCTTAAAGCTTGTTAGCTGGGGAATTCTGGGACTTACAAGTCCACCCACCTCAAAGTCTGCAAGGTAGAGGAACAGTCTGCACCCTTTGCAAAAGTAATTTTAACCTAGCTAACCCAACTGGCGTGCATTCCTTTGCCTGGTGAAAAGTCAGCAACTGTAAACCAATTTCTGCTCCGTGGTGTTAACATTAGACACACCCTGCTAAGTTTTCAAGCAAATAAATGAAAGGAAATAAGTAAAGCCTCTGACGGCGTGGTAACCCCACGTGGTCTCTTTCTGTAAAGGTCAGCAGGGCCGTGTTCAGCACGGCCACTCCTCCACTGAGCAGGGGTTGGGCTAAATGACCTCTAGGATCCCCAGGACAGTAACATTTCCACCACGATCCTTTCACAGGCGAGGCCTTTGCCTCATTTTAAAACCAGCTGTCAAAAGCCTGACAGGGCAAAATGGTAAAGAGGGAAGTTCAGAGAGGCTGGTTCTCAGAAGCAGCCAGAAACGTAAATTCCTGTGCTGAATAATGTCAACAGGCTGAACGAGGTTTGTCCATCTATTTGTCTATCTATCATCGATCTTCCATTTCAGTTTCAATCGGAATAGCTGGAAGGGACCTTAGAGGTCTTCTAGCCCAGCCCCCTGCTCAGGCAGGAAACCCTACACCATTTCAGACATGTGGCTGTCCAGTTTCTTCTTAAAAGCCTCCAGTGATGGAGCACCCAAAACCTCTGGAGGCAGGTTGTTCCACTGATTAATTGTCCTCACTGTCAGGAAGTTTCTCCTTAGTTCTAGGTTGCTTCTCTCCTTGATTAGTTTCCATCCGTTGCTTCTTGTCCTGCCTTCAGTCGCTTTGGAGAATAGGTTGACCCCCTCCTCTTTGTGACAGCCCAAAACTGGATGTAGTATTCTAGGTGGGGTCTTACTAAGGTTCTATCTATCTATCTATCTATCTATCTATCTATCTATCTATCTATCTATCCATCCATCCATCCATCCACCCCATCCACCATTATCCACTCCATCCATCCACCCCATCCACCATCATCCACCCCATCCATCCATCCATCCATCCATCCATATCTATCTATCTATCTATCTATCTATCTATCTATCTATCTATCTATCTATCTATCTGTCTGTCTATCTATCTCCATTGTGTCTACCTGACTATCCTGTCCTGTCCTGTCCTGTCCTGTCCTGTCCTGCCTGCCTATCTATCACAAAATCATGGCTATCTATGTATCTATCTCCAATCTGGCATATTTTATTCGAATTGCTTATGACGAGCGACAGATCTTATTAAGTAGGAAGGAAGTTTTTTCTGTTAGTTATTTCTGTCAGATCTACAAAAATAACAGTGAAGGAATGATCAATTCTAGCCTGGACAGTTTAGCAACACAAAAGCCAACAAACACCCCCCCTCCCAAATTAAAAGACCTCCATGGTTCCTTCCAGCTCTGATATTCTTCTATTATTATTATTATTATTATTATTATTATTATTATTACTTCTTAAACTTGCTAAGGTTGAGAAACACTGGACTTTACCAGGTTTTGCAGAGATACAGTCATGCCAAGTTTATCCAGACCTCTCTGTCCTATGCTGCCCCATCATTCTGTAACTTCCAGGATTGACTACTACATGGCACTATATATGGACCTGCCCTTGAAGACAGCTCCAAGTGTCACCAGGTGCATAATACCACGCTACATCAAAAATACCAGGACATATGAACACAACTAACCTTTTCCACACCATCACAGACTGGATTTCATTCAAGCGCATCACGCTGCACACAGTTTTAAAACTTTCAAAACACTTTTAATCCAGACCCCTCCCCCAGTCCGGAATCTCCCCCCCCCCCCAATTTCCAGCAAGCAGCAATTCTGGGACTTATAGTTTCAGTTTAGGTCAGGGGAGACGGTAACTTGTCAAATCAAAAACGTAATCACCAAACATTTTCTTATGGACTAGCGACTTGGTACATCTGGCAGAGGAATGCGCGCTTTCAACAAGTGGATAATATTAAAGTATAAAAATGTGACATCGATATGAAGTCAAAGATGGCATCCCACACTTGCAGCACAATTAAAAGACAGTTGCAATAGCTGTGCAATTAGAACCCAACTAAAAAATTCTACTCAAAGAGACTTGGGTTTTCCACCTCGAAAACAGTTTCAAAATGATTATATATATATATTTTTTTTCGAACAAGCATTTGGCTTTCCCGTCACTTTCTGTGGTTATTTTTAATCTGGGGGGAATTTATTTTTTGGGGCGGGGGGCCTTTCAGAAAAAAACATTTGGTTGTGCTTGTCCCTTACAGCTGTTTTCCAGATTCTTCCTGGCTTTCTTTTAATCCTGACACGAGGCCTTGAGTTATTTACATAACGAAGCGGGACGGCGTTTTGAATATAGACAATCAAACATTAATATCCTTTCTACCTCACCTCCATTCACCACTTCCTGGTGTGCAAACCCCACCCACTAAATTCTGTAATTTATTTTTTTTCCCCCCTCTAAAGATTCTGGTTCAAAGCTCACAAAAGGAGGAAGTTGTGTCATATATGCCCTGTTTAGCCCTGCCCTACCTGGAAAGGCCAAACAAACAAACAAAAAAAACCACCCCAACAAAATTTGGATTTTTTTTCTCTCTCTCTCCATTGCACCCGCACGCAGCTGAGATTTCTTGCCTAAGTAAGAAGCAGGATTCTAGTCCTCATGAATCTGGCTCAAGGCCTAACGGGAAGAGGAACATGCTCTTTGCAGATCCCCTTCAATGACAGCTTTAGAGGCTGGCATTCACACCAGCCCAGCCTTGATTCGGTTTAAATGTTGCTTTTTTTGTGGGGTGGGGTGGGGTGTCAGGAGATGGTTCCAAAATCAGCCTTTGGGGGCATTAATTTCTCTACTGGGGGGGGTGGAATCCAGAAAAAAGGGGATTGATGTCCAGGTTTGGCCCCAGCTTGCAAAGCAAGGGTGGAGGGGGTCCCTTTTTCCTACTAAGCCCCCCAGAGAGAGACTGCTAAGGGGGGGGCTTCCTCTGCTGGCTCGCCTGTCCTACCTTGCAGGGCCGTTGTGCCAGCTTTTCCAAGCGGCTCCAAGGAGAGGCGCCATCCCCGAAAGACCCCCCTGCTGGATGGGTCGCACCCGACCCCCCACCCACCCACCCCAGCCCCCCCCCGGGAGGGGCCCGATTCACCATTTCTTGGTGCACTCCACCACCAGCTCCTGGTAGCAGGCGACGAAGCGGAACTTGGCGGCCCGCTTGCCGACCCGCTGCAGCCGCTTCCAGACGGAGCTCATGGCCGGGCTGCCCCGTCACCGCCGCCCCATTTCCCCCCGCCGCCTCTCCGGCCGGCCGCCTGCGAGGAAGTCCGGGCGGGCGGCGAGAAAGTGGCAAGGCAAGGCGGAGGAAAGGAGGCGTGGCGGAGCAGGGAAGGGGGCGTGACCGAGGAGGGGGCGTGGCAGGTCTCCGCCCTCCCCTCCCCCTCCGACGGGAGTCCCCGCAAGAGGTGGAGGGGGGAGGTGCGGGGATTCCCCGAACGGGGCTGCGTTCCCACGGGCGGCTAACACGGGTGTCTGCACGCTGGTGGGATTCCCGCCCCGAAGTCCCCAGGTTTATACATAGGTTGTACAGAGAGAGCATGTTTAAATGTGCGGTGTGTGTGTGTGTGTGTGTGTGTGTGTGTACGCTTTTGAGAGCGAGCAACAACATTTCTTTTTTAATGTGTGCCAATGTGCCCACAATAAAAAAATGACTATTAATAAAGGTTATATATATATAATCTATCTATCTGTTCTCTCTATCATCTATCTGACCTCTGTATATATCATCTGATTCACCCCTCTATCATCTATCTATCTATCTATCTATCTATCTATCTATCTATCTATCTCTATCTTTTTCTCTATCTGCTCTATATATATCTCATCTATCATCTATCACGTCTGTCTGTCTATCTATCTATCTGCTCTATCATCTATCTAATATCTCATCTATCTGATCCCTTTCTCCATTATCTATCCATCTGATCTCTATCTGCTCTATCATCTATCATCTATCTGCTCTATCATCTGATCTCTCTCGATCATCTATTTAATCTCTCTCATCTATCTGATCCCTCTCTCTTCATCTATCTATCTATCTATCTATCTATCTATCTATCTATCTATCTATCTATCTATCTATCCATCCATCCATCCATCCATCCATCCGATCTCTCTCTCCCCGCCCCAACCCGGATCTGGAGGACCCCCAGGACGGGGCTGGTAGGGATCATGGCAAATGATCACAGTTAAGTCTTTTTGTTACGGTTTTGATCACAGTCAGTGTCAGATGTTCACAGATCTTGGTTGAGGTAGAACAAAGCGAAGCATTGCCTGATCTGGTTAATGGTGGGGATGGGAGACCACTAGGAAATCACCGGTTTGCAGGGAAATTCCAAAAAAAGCTACACAAATGTATCCAGAAAATTGCCAGGATGGAGATACTTAAATTTAAAACTTTCCCAGTTCAAGACAAAAGCAGAAACATCAACCCAAACAGATTTTAGTTTTAAGACTCTTTTACGTATTGAATATGGCTTCAGTTCGGTAACCAGATCAAGGGTGGTGTGTAAATATGGCCTAAGAATGCCTGCGTTGGCTCCTTGTTTATTCTCCTCCCTCTGCACCTTTCCTTGCGTGCTGACTCTCTCCGGTGGAAAGCATGAGGTCACACAGCTTTCTTCGCTTTAATTGCTAATTTTTTTTAAAACAAATCAAATGAAAAGCTTCTTTTGAGTTCGTCTCTGCCTCTTTTCCCCTCCTTCCTCTCTTTCTGCCTTTCCAGATGCTTCGTTCCTGGCTCCGAAAGGATAAATAAAGAATCTTGTAAACCGATCCTGGATTCCAGCTTCGGATGGACGTGCTCTCATGGAAAATGATGCCCCCACATTTAGCAACCGAGGGACAGATTCTTCCCCAGACACGCCCCCAAAGGGTTGGGTTGTGTGTCTGTCTCTCTGTGTGTGTGTGTTCAAACCCAAACAGATGAAGTTCGTAACAACAGAGTACAGGTAGGTAGTCCTTCGGCGTACAGCCCCAATTGTGCCCCAAAATTTATGTTCCTAAGCGGGACGTTTGGGGAAAAGTACTTTAAAAGCAGCTGCTTATTACATATTATGAGTTGTGTCTGGAGTGGTTTTAGAATGGATCTCAACTGGCAAACTTATTGAAATTATTTTTCTGATGCCAGTGCAATCTGTTTCTTATATGCCTAGAGGCACTGTACTCATAACACTACCATATCACAAAAAAGATGTTGAGAGTTTGGAAAAAAATTCAGAGAAGAGCAACTAAGATGATCCAAAGTCTGGAGACTAAAACATAAAAGAATGGCTGCAGGACCTGGATTTGGCTAGTCCAGTGGTTCTCAACCTGTGGGCCGGGACCCCATTTGGGGTCCAACGACCATTTCACGGGGGTCGCCAAACAACGCAGTCCGTCATTTTTTTTCCCCTTTTCCTTAGCTGTGCTACTCCCTTTTATTCTATTGGCTTTTGAAAGCCAATAGAATAGACTCTCTTGAATAGAGTCTCATTCTATTGGCTTTCAAAAGCCAATAGGAATTGTCCAGGCTGTCTCTGCCCTGCTGAGCCCGCCAAAAGTCCCCTTCTGCAAACGGTGCTGCACCAGTTGAGTAGTCCTCGACTTACAACCGGTTGAGTAGTCCTCGACTTACGACCGGTTGGGGGTCACGGCATTAAAAAGGTTGAGAACCACTGGGCTAGTCTAAAGAAAGGAAGAAATAGGGGAGACATGATAGCAGCGTTCCAGTATTTGAGGGGCTGCCACAAGGAAGAGGGGTTCAAACTATTCTTCAAAGCACCAGAGGGAAGGACGAGAAACAATGGTTGGAAACTGAACAAAGAGAGAAGCAACCTGGAATTAAGGAGAAACTTCCTGACAATGAGGACAATCAACCAGTGGAACCGCTTGCCACCAGAAGCGGTGGGTGCTCCATCACTGGAGATTTTTAAGAAGAGACTAGATAGACAATCACCTGTCTGAGATGGTGTAGGTTCTCCTGCTTGAGCAGGGGGCTGGACTAGAAGACCTCCAAGGTCCCTTCCAGCTCCCTATTCTATTCTATTCTATTCTATTCTATTCTATTCTATTCTATTCTTTATTCCTATTCTATTCTATTCTATTCTATTCTATTCTATTCTATTCTATTCTATTCTATTCTTTCTTTATTCCTATTCTATTCTATTCTATTCTATTCTATTCTATTCTATTCTATTCTATTCTATTCCTAGCCTTTGTAACCAGACCACAGGTGTTCAACGTATTTATTATTAAACCTCCCCATCCTGGAAGCCACGTGGCCAACAGGCTGAGGGTGTTTTGACGTCCAACGAGAAGGCACCTCTGCCCGCGCGTGGAGTTCTTCTCTCTTCTTTCCCTTTAACTTAGCACTGCTCAAGATCCATCTCTTTGGGTTTTTTTGGTTTTTTTTTTTTAAATGGAAGAGGCTCAGAACGATGAATCATTTTCCTGGCTTCCCGTGGAAAAAAAGAAAAGAAATCCAGGAAGCCAAAACCGAATGCAACAGTCTCTCAGATGGGGTGTGGTGGCCCAAAGCTGCTCCTTAGAAATTCTGCTTTTTCTCTTCTTGAGACATTTTTAGTCCCCGTTTGGTGGGTTAAGAAAAAAAAAAAAAACCAACAATTTTTCCGCAAAAGCAACAGGTCTCCGGGATCCTGCTGTTAAAAAAAAAAAAAAAAAAATCCAATGAAGCAAGTTCAAGCAAGAAAGGTTCTAAAATGGAGCAGAATTCATTTAACAACGATGATTCCTTAGCAACAGAAATTTTGAGCTCAATTGAGGTGGAGAACTACCTATAACTGCCTCCAGAAGCGGTGAATGCTCCAACACGGGAAGTTTTTAAGAAGAGACTGGACAGCCATTTGTCCGGAATGGGATAGGGTTTCCTGCCTGAGCAGGGGGTTGGACTAGATGACCTCCAAGGTCCCTTCCAACTTTATTATTATTATTAGTGTTTCCCATCTTGAGCAACTTTTAACTCCCAGAACTGCACACTGGCTGGGGAATTCTGGGAGTTGAAGTCCACCCTTCCTCCTTCAAGTTTCCAAGTTTGAGAAACACCCATCTCGTCCAAGCCACGTCCCATTGTGGCTCTCCTTCGCAGTGTGGGTGGATTGCAAACACAACAGGAAGCCACAAACAATGGCCCGGGCCAGTGTTAAGAGGTGGGGAAAAATGTGAACTGGAGTAAGCAGGGAGGCAGCTCACCAAACTGGGGCTCCTTAAAGCTGAGTTGGTTTCAATTGCTGGGATCGCAGCCGAGAATGGAGAACGTAACAGCACCTCTGAGCATGCACGGAGTAGATTTCTAGGCCACAAGCTCGCCTCTCCCACTCCTGAAAAGCAGGGAATGGAGCAGGATTAAACTAAAATGAAAATAAAATATGAAATGAGCTGAGGAGAAAACTGATCCATCACCCTTGAGTCGTGGCAGTTTGGCTGCTTCATTCTGGAAAAGCCACAATCACTGATGCACAGATTTTTACAATCGGGAAACTGGGCCTGATTTTTAAGTGAAATCCAGGTCACTGCAATTGTCTTTGTGGTCCTGTCACTTTGTGAGCTCTGAATTCACAGCTGGGACTGGAACACACTCCGGCTCTTTGTTTCAAGAGACGGCCTCGCCTCCCACTTTGGCTGCCAGGGACCGTGGGGAAAAAAATTGGCCAAAATATTCCTTAACCATCCAACTTTGCCTTCTTCCTTCAAAGGATGGGAAGAACGAGTAGCAAACATTTTGCAACCCATTATCCTCTACCCAAATCCTCCTGGGTTTATTTCAAGCCTTTAAAAACCCCAAATAATAAGAATACTATTATTAAAAACAGTATGCAATTAAATTATTCAGCCAAGGTAAATTGGCTAGGGCAGTAGAACAGTCATAAAATCCAGCCCATGCAACATGGCCAGGTTTAAAAAAGAAAAAAACAACAACAAATGTTGTACACAGCACATTCCTAGCTAACTATTTCTTATCAGTGTGCAATTGAGGAGAAAGTGGGGTGCATCAGCCCCCCACAAAGGAAACTAACACCTATCATACAACACAACCTATCCGGCTGGTTTAACTGGGGCGGGTTCACAAACCTTTGTAAAGCCGCCCCTTTGCCAAATAAACCACACCAGGTGTCTTCTCCTAAGCCTTAAATCAGAGCTTAAATCAATAGCTCCTGTGACATGCTAAATCAAAGACAAATAAAACCCATGGGGTGGGGGGCAATTCACACCTCCCAGCCCCCTATTCTATGTTTATGCTAAAGGTTTGCAGCAGCAACATGCCAGAAGCAAAAGGAAGGTGCATCCAGAAGAATTTCCCATCCTCCCCCACCCTCTTAAATTTCTAATCAGGTCATCTCTTTCTTGCAAGTTTTCATTGCAAAATAAAATAAAATAAAATAAAATAATGCATTTGCAATACAAGTCTCTATGGTTTTATGTTTAGGGTCCTTGCCCAAAGCTCGGATCCTCAGAATTGCAAGCTGGACTGGCCATTCCTGTTTTTAAAAAGAAATTAAGTTCCTGGTCCTCATGATTCCAACTAGGCAGATTGGAAACCCAGGCATTTGGACAAGGAAAAGTCTCAGCCACTGATGTTAGTACCGCAGGGGAGCAAACATGGATTGGCACCCCAAAGACAAGGGACGGGCCTGAATCTCGTAGATAGGCAGCCAAGTCTTTCTTTTCCTCTAAATATCAAAAGAGTTTCAGAGGCGACTGGCATCTCCATGCAAGAGCAGGTAAATTTGATAAACTCAAAATTTTTACCCAGTAGAGGCTTGCGTTCTGAAGAACAGCCCAAGCAAATCCTCTCTTTTTCTTCCAGGAAAAACCTTCCACAAAATTTTTCAGCTCAGAGTTGCAGGTCTTTGTCCAAATAAATAAATACACTTCCCTTTCAATTTTCAGGTCAATTTCCCCAAATCTGGCCCCAATTCCAGATGTTGGTCTTGTCCTCCATGCAGGCCAAAAATTCTGGAAATTGGTGGGGGGGGGACACTAAATTGGAGGAAAAATGTCCCAGATCCTTGCCAGGTGGGGGAAGACAAGCTGGAGAGGCATTTTCAGATAATCCAGGTGATGTTCTAGTTCATCTGAACACTCCCTGAGTCTTTCCCAATGCTTTTTTTTTCAAAGACAATCCCAAACGGAAGAAAATTGAATTTACTACTGTTGCAGCCGGGACTGTCCACTCCGAAGCAGCCGCCTGCATTTCGTCGCTGCAGCCATCTCTTTCTGGAAAGGCCAAAGGAATTTTTATAGATTTCTCGGAAAAAGTCCAAGAGCTCCAGTGGAAAGCTGAAAACAGGCTGGATCGTTCCAGATATAAACCATGATGCCTTTTCCAATCCATATAATCCCAGCCGTCTTTTCCCAATGCCGTTTTCCAGGTCCGGCTCAGATCGCAATATGGAAGGAGTCCTTAAGCCACTGATCCCGGGAGTTTTGGGGTTGAAGAAAGCGTAGCTGCTGGGCCGGAGGCAGCTCTCGCTGCCCGTCCGGACTTAACGGGTCCAGGTCAAAATATTCCTCCTCATCCGAGAAGCCATTTTCAGCAGCCAGGCTGCCTTCCGAGTGCAGCGAGGATGACATATCCTGGAAGAGGCTTTTGAATTCCTGGATGGATTCATACAGAGACCAGAGTTGGCAAAGAAGGGACATGTCCAGTTGTCGGAGCCCCACCTGAAAACAGGGAAGAAAAGCAGAAGGATGAGCTCCGGAGCTGCCAGGATTCGAACCAGCAACCGATTAGGTGGAAAGCCCTGCCTTAAGTCAATACCTACAGCTTCTAGGGTGTTGCAATCTTGGCAACTTAAGATGGGTGGGCTTCAGTTCCATGCTTTGAGATGTCTGGACTTCAACCCCCAGAATTCCCTGGCCAGCCTGCTTTAAGATGGATGGACTTCAATTCCCAGAATTCCCTAGCCAGCCTGCTTTGAGCTGGATAGACTTCAACTCCCAGAAAACCCCAGCCAGCATGCTTTGAGATGGGTAGGCTTCATCTCCCATAGAGAAAGAAAGAAAGAAAGAAAGACAAAGGGTATAAAATTGGAGATGGTTTTGTCAGCAGCAAATGGGACAACTGGGGAATTCTGGGAGTTGAAGAACACAAGTCCTTGGACACCCTCGATTTTAGAATAAAAATTGATTTAAAATAAAATCAGCCAAACGGCCCCAGCTCTGAAAACCGGCACATTTAAATGAATTCCGAGGGAGTCTGCCGCCCTCTGGTGGAAAACAACTTGTAGTGCATAAGCTTTACACACACTTGTCAAGAACCGTCAATTTTAAAGGCCTTCCTAAATTTGATCCTATGACATACCTTTCTCCAAACTATCTTTACGCCTCATAGTTGCAGCAACCTCCTAAAACCTATCAGAAGTGCTGTACACCGAAAATGAGTGGATTCACACAACCACACCAAACTCGGGTTTATCAAAACTCATTGCAGAAGGGTGAGGCTGATGAGGCTCCACCTCTTAATCATCTACCTTGCAAAGACGTTGTGCAATTAAATCCAGAAAGTACTGCCAGCGTATGTGGTTTATGGTTAAGGCACCAGGCTAGAAAGCAGGAGACGGTGAGTTCTAGTCCCGCCTTAGGCATGAAAGCCATCTGGGTGACTTTGGTCCAGTCCCTCTCACTCTCCCTCCCTCTCACCCCAACTCACCTCACAGGGTTATCGTTGTGGGAAAAATAAGAAGGAAGAAGAGGTGTGGGATATATTGACCCCCTTGAGTGATTAGGAAAAATAATGAAGGTGAGGAACAAATAAAATAAAATAAAATAAAATAATAATAAAATAATAAAATAAAATAAAATAATAAAATAAAAAATAAAATAAAAATAAAATAAAATAAAATAAAATAATAAAATAAAATGAAATATAAAATAAAATAATAAAATAATAATAAAATAAAATAATAAAATAATAAAATAAAATAAAATAATAAAATAAAATAATAAAATAAAATAATAAAATAAATAATACAATAAAATAAAATAATAAAATAAAAATAATAAAATAAAATAAAATAAAGACAGCCCCGCTGCACCAAGTTTAGCCTTGGGATGATGTGAGTGGCTAATTTTAGAACTGCAATTTCATGGCCTTTTGTGCGCCAGTCGAGCGAACATGCGTGGCCCGGGTGCCCACCTCCCACGCCCCAGACCCAGTTGGCACAAACCGCGTTCTCTTGTCTTTGGGGGGGGGGAAGAGAAGCACCCCGCTTCCAACTTGTGACCCGGGTTCAAAGCAGCCCAGTCTCTTCCCCAAGGGCCCCGGTTCATGGCAAGGCTCTGCTTTGCACCCGGGGGAGGTGTGGGAAGAGGGGTGCTTTTGCCCCCCTCCCTCCTCCGGGCTTAAGAAAAACGGGGTGGCTGCAAACTTGGGGTCACCCGGAAGAGACGGGAGGGATGGCAATGTACTCGATCAATCAATCAATCAAAAGAAATCAAGGCACTCAGCCCCTGGGGTGGGAGGCGGGCAGGGCTGAGCTCTCGGCTTCTGCCAGGGGCTTTTCTGAAAACCAACCCTGCAAGGTGGGCTGGGTTGTCCCCCAAGTAGAGCCCGGCCGATGCGCATCCCAAGGACCCCCACGGAGCCCGCCTGGGGAGGGGGGGGCGCAGAATCCCCGGGACCCCCGCCCGCCCGCCTCACCATCTCCTTGCGCAGCACGGCCAGCGCGGCATCCAGGTTGGCGGGCCGGGGGCGGCGCGGGGGCTGCTGCGGCGGCGGCGGCGCTCTCTCCCCGCCGGGGGCTGCCTGGGCGCGGCGCAGGTCGTCCTGGATGCGCGACTTCTTGCTGTAGACCTTCTGGATCTCGCGCCACGCGCCGCCGCTGGAGTTGAGGATGCCGCTCAGCCCCTTGGGCAGCGGGGGCAGCCCCTCCAGCGCGCAGGCCTGGCCGGCCGGGGGCTCCGCGGGCGAGGGCGGAGGGCCGCTCATGGGGGCACTCGGCCTATGCTCAGAGGCGCTCTCGGCTGCAGCGCCCGCTCGGCCGCGCGCCTCCCTTTGTCTGCCGCGGCGGCGGCTCCTGCTGCGGCTGCTCCGCCGCGGCGCCCGGCTCGGCCGGCTGTGCGCGCAAGGACGCCGCCGCTTAAAGGGGCCCCGCCGGGCGGAGCGGGAGGCAGCGCGGCCTCTGGCTCGGCGGGGCAGGAGCCGCTCGGCTCGGCCGCCGGGCCGGCCTCCGGGGAGCCCGAGGCGCGATCCCACCGGCCGTCCCACTTGCAAGTAGACGGAGCTCTTTCCTTCCTTTCCCAATTCTTTCTATCCTTTTCTCCCATGTTTTTCCCTTCCTTCCATCCTTCTCTCTTTCCTTCCTTTCCCTTCCCTCTCTCCTTTCCCAATTCTTTCCTTCTTTCTCTCGATCCTTTTCTCCCATGTTTTCCCTTCCTTCCATCCTTCTCTTTTACTTCCCTCCCTCCCTCTCCCCTTTCCCAATTCTTTCCTTCTTTCTCTCGATCCTTTTCTCCCATGTTTTTCCTTCCTTCCATCCTTCCTTCCTTTCCCTTCCCTCCTTCCTTCCTCTCCCCTTTCCCAATTTTCCTCCTTTCTCTATCCTTTTCTCCCGTTTTCCCCTTCCTTCTTTCCTTCCTCTCCCCTTTCCCAATTCTTTCCATCTTTTTCTCATTTTCCCTTCCTTCCATCCTTATCTTTCCTTCCTTTCACTTCCCTCCTTCCTTCCTCTCTCCCTTCCCAATTCTTTCCTTCTTTATCCTTTTCTCCCATATTTTCCTTCCTTCCATCCTTTTTTCCTTTCACTTTTTCCTTTCCCCTTTCCCAATTCTTTCCTTCTTTCTCTCTTTCTCGTTTTTCCTTCCTTCCATCCTTACCTTTCCTTCCTTTCACTTCCCTCCTTTCCTTCCTTCCTTCCCTCCCTCTTTTCCTTACTTCCTTACTTATCCTATTTCTTTTTAATTTGGGCATTGCACCGTGGTTACATGATGCCACCCATTGCTTAACCGAGTTGCTTTTGTGGCATCTCAGCACGTGGTGCCAGCTAGGGCGCAGATGCAGCGTGGCCAAGAGGGAAAATGCTTTGCCTATTTTGCTCGGCTGCTGAAGGGGCAACGATGGATCAGGTGCAATCTCTGGTGGGCTCAAACTGGTGGACCCACGTTCTGGAAGGAGAAGTCACCTGCTTTTCTTCCATTTGGATGGTGGAAGAGTGCAAAGAGCGGCCTCTGAGCAAACCAGAAACAGCCAGGAGAGCAGGAATTTCCTGCCAAAACTGGGGCATGCACACTCTTTGAGGGACTCTCGATCAATGCCAGTCTTGACCAACCAGCTTAAAGCCCAATAAATAACAATTTAAAGATTACACTAACAGGGGGGGAGGCATGAATAACATCTGCTCCCCCCTAGCCAGGAAATCCAGAACTGTTGCAGAACTACAATTTCAAGGTAGTCCATACGAGGAAACCACACCATTGTGGCCTTGCTCTGTGCTTGTTTTTGGGGTGCAATGACAAGTCTGTCTGAACTGCACCCCCTTCCATAGCCACTTTCCATTTAGCTATCATTCGAGGCCACAAAAACGTGATGTGTTTGTTTCTCCCGCTCCACGCTTATCTATGACTGCCAGCCGACTGATTCTCTTCTTTGCCGTCCAGGCTTGTGACCCAACACCACAAAAAAAATGGAAGCACCCACACAACAGGTTTAACCTAGTTGGAGAAAGAACTAACAAGTGCATTCATACAGTTGGTAATTTATTTTTGAAGGAGGTTGGTCTTCTGGAGCTTATTACAGTTATGTAAGCCCAGGCACAAGATAATCTACAGATTCCTGCACACAGGAATACTCCCACAGGTAGAACATGACTTATCACCAGTCACTTAGCTTGAAGTTACAATGGCTCCCCCCCCCCCAAAAAGGGACTTACAATGCGGATTTGAATGGCCTTCAAGGGTCATGTGACTGCATTTTGGGAACTGGGTAGCTGGCTCGTATTTACGACCGTTTGCAGCATCCCATGACCATAATGTATATCATTTTCCTTCTGGAAAATTCACTTTCGGTTTCTTGGGTAAAAAATCCCCATAGCAAAATGAAACAAGGTCCCAAAATTGGATGCAGTCACATAACTAATCTGCTTTATGACTGTCCAGATTTATGACCAAAATTGCAGGCTTAATTTCAGTTCTTAAGTCAAGGACTTCGCTGTAATTCAATCACCTCTGACCAATTTCAGGTGTCACAATTCCCATTCTTCCTCTTAAGTGTCCCTTGTCATCCAAGGTGGGCAAAAGTATTCCCCACTCAGGTGAACAAGGCATCCTCCGAGTTGCTTTCATTTTATTTACTAGAACGTCTAAGACGCCTAAGAGGAAAAAGCTGCCATTTTCTCAAGCTTATATCTTCTTTTTCACGTTAAGCTTATATCTTCTTTTTCACGTTAAGCTTATATCTTCTTTTTCACGTTATCGGTTATTAAAAGTGCCAAGATGGGTGGCCTCTGACACGCCAGACGGGCAAAATCGCGTGCCGAGATGGATTCCTTCACAACCACCGAAGATTCGACACAACACAATCATATCTTGTGCCTTGAAATTTGAAATGTTTAATACTTCACAACAAAAAAACCACAACGCTGCATGGAGCTCCTGATAACCTGAAATCTTTGGATAGCAAGCGGGATGGTGAATGGATCTAGGCTGACGTGTCTGCAGGAGCCCCAAATTTGGAGCCTGAAATGTTGCTAGCCCCAACATCTCCCTTCCCCAAACCAGTTTAACTCTTTATCCATCCTTTCCTTGCCCCGGATTAGATAGAGCTATACACGCAAATCCTCTGAAACATTCCTCAAACGTCAGGACAACTTGTACGAGGCAAAAAAGCTCACATTTAATCAGAAGGGAGAGCCAGGTCTTATTTAAATTACCCAGCCCCTATGATGAATGGTGGGGGGATCCTCTGGCACCCCAGGTGTGGCCTACACTCCGTTCTAGGCCTGGCACTGCCATTTCAAGCTGGGCCATCCTCACTGGGGCAGCTCCCTGATGCCCTTGAGAGCATCCGTGCAGGAACAGATCAGTGAACAGAGATGGATGCTCCTTTCAACGGAGGTGGTTTCTTGGAGTTGATGGCTTGCCCAGCCAATCTTCTGTAGAATGGCCTCTTCCGTCGCAACCAGGATGTTGCGCGTCAACGGAGAATTAGGGGCAGCAGTGGGCGCTGGAAGGGCTGGGTCAGGGGCGCTTGACCGGAGACCCAAAGATGCTCCTTCACAATGCTCTGGGCGTGAAGCCATTTCATCGGGGTTAGTAGCCAGCTGACGCTCCCGCACCTGTGAAAGGGCTGCTTGTGCATTGAGCGCTAGAGAGAGACAGAAGATCAAAGAGGTCAGATCACAGGGTGCTGCTTCTGGGTTCAGCAACAAGCACTGTCTGGGACAGTTGCTGAAGACCAGGGATGTTTTTGTACGGCGCAGAAAAAATCTGTTCAGACTCTTCAGCAGCAATTGAACACCGAGATTCTTCCAATCGCATGAACGCTTGCAAAGAGAGCTTCACAAATACAAGGCTACTTCAGTTGCCAGAGCAGCCCAAAATATTCAATTTTGATCTGAAGCAGCAATTGCACAAAACTTCCACCCAATAGCTCCTTTTGCATATGAATTACATTTCAGAGTTTATAATTTACTGATGCAGTGGATTTAAGAGTTGGGAGACCTCGTTTATGTTGTGAAACCCACCCAGGCCGTTTCAGTTTGGTGCTGCAGAAGCGTGGAACGGCTCCCATCGTCTCTTTTCGTAACAGGGGAATATACTGAGAGGACCAGATTGCGCCAAGTGGGGCAGATGATTAGGAATAACTGCTCGCTGCCCCCGCTTCCTCTGCCCACCGTACCTGGATTATCCTTGTCCACATCAGAATTAAGCTCTTGGCAGGTGACACAGTAAAACTTCTTCTGCTTATCTTGCAGCAAAATGGTCTGGAAGGAAAAGTGACCAAGGCAGAGGGGATGGGACAAGAAAAGGGTAGAAATCAGAGCTTGTTTGCCAAAGCTATGTGATGGGCATGCAGGCCAGGGAGAGGAAGGAAAGCCTCCCCCCTTGCTGAAGGAAACTGCTTTTTCATACTGGGCCTGCCCAACACATATTGTTCACCGCAGGCCTTGAATGACACCGTCAACCCACTCCCAATTGGTGCCATCCTGGAGAAGACATCTATAGAGATGCTCCATCATCCAGATCATGGCTGCTTTTTTCCAGGAGACAAGTAGACTTTCTTGTTTTTCTTTGAAGATGTTTCCCTTCTCCTCCAAGAAGCTTCTTCAGCTCTGACCGGATGGCGGGGAACGGATTTATACTCCTTGCAGACAGAGCTGGTCATTTACCTTTTTTTTTTAGAGAGCCGTTGAGGCCACCTGGAGGTTTACCTGTGTCCTCAGGGTCACCTGAGTGGTGCAAATGGGTGGGGATCCTTCTTGGAACTGCTGAAAGGACTGTGTTCCATTTTTGCACTACTCAAATGACCCTGAAGATATAGATAAACCTCCAAGTGGCGTCATCGACTCTCTAAAAGGAGGCAAATGACCAGCTGTCTGCAAGGAGTATAAATCCTTCTGTTCCCCACCATCCAGTCAGAGCTGAAGAAGTTTCTTGGAGGAGAAGCGAAACATCTTCCAAGAAAGAACAATGAAAGTCCAGTTGCCTCCTGAAAAAGCATCTTTGGGACATCCCGGAGAAGAGTTTAAAGAAACACTCCATCCATTCTTCAGAAAACAGCCTAGACTGGCACCAGCCATGGCATCAAGGAGCCGGGCATCTCCCTTAGCTTGCTTGCTCTCTCTTCTGTTCTTGCTTGATCACCAAGTTGCCCCCTTTTTTTCCAGCTTTCTTCACTCTTCAGCTCAAAGGGGGAGGGGAGAGCCCCGCCCGGGCCCTCTGCACGCGCCCCGGGGCGGCCTCGCTCACCCCGCACTCCTCGCAGCACTCGCCCAGCATGCGGTAGCCCTTCAGCAGGTACTCGCTCATCAGCTTGCTGATCTTGTCCTGCCGCTCGCGCCGGGCCTGGATCACCTTCAGCTCGGCCTCGGAGGGCGGCTCCCACTCGGCGTGGTCGTCGTGGCCTGCGCCGGGAAGGAGGAAGCCGAGATGGGGGCGAGGCCCGGGCCGGGAGCCCGAGTCGCCCCCCTGCTCTTCCCCGTTGTCCATCGCCTCTGGCCGGGCTCCGGGCTCGTTGCCAGGCCGCAGGCCCATCGCCATGGCGACGCCTTTCCCCTCCCCACGTTACCTGCCGCGCTCAGCGCCATGATGGTTGTCCTCTGCCGCAACTTCCGGCGCTAGCCACGCCTCCTTCCGTCACCGCCCACCTCCTGCTAGGACTTTCCTACGTAAGGAGAAGAAAAAAAAAAAGTAGTCCCACGGTTTTCAATGTCCTCCGGGCAACTTCACCTATCCGCGCGAAGGTTCCGGGGAAAGTTTGTTCCCGGCTTCTTTACAATCGAAAGAATCGTGAGGTCTTTTTTTAAAAAACAAAATAAAAACAAAAGTTATGTTTCGACCAACTATTGGAATGCTGGCCGTCAATGTGAGACAGGACTCGGATTGTAATTTTCCTTAGTTATAGGAGCTTTCCTGGAATTGGTCGCTTTTCCAACCATCAAGACTCTATTTAACGGCTCGAGCTTTCGTCGGATGCATTGGAGGGTTTAAACCGGGGTTTGTGTGCCTGGCTGAGGAATTCTGGGAGTTGAAGTCCACAAGTCCTAAAAGGGCCACGTTTGAAAAACCCTAGTTTAAACCGATGCAGGATTTGAACAGAGGACCGAGGAAAGCAGGGCGTGGGAGCGAGGGCGGCGCAGACGCAAGTTGCACGCGGGAGGATTTAGGCACACCGCGTGGGCAACTGTAATACGTCAAAAGCCCAAGTCTTCCAAAGAGGGCTGCATCTCCGGGTGGGATTGGCAATCTCTGGCGCTAAAATGCCCGCAGGGCTTTGTTATTCTGAAACGACAACTCCGAAACCTGTAATTGTTGCAAAGTGTTCATTGGGGAGAATTTGCCTCTGTCCCACGGTCATGGCTACCGCAGAACTGTCCCCTTTTCCAATCCTACATCGGTTTAAGTCTCAACCTTGGCGGCTTGAAGGTGGGTGGACTTCAACTCCCAGAATCCCCCAGCCAGCAAGGGGAATAGCTTTTTTTTTTTTTTTAATGAAATGTGTATGCTGGGAAGGATGCCTCCAGACACCTTGGGCCACCAATGAGTGACACCCAAGCCTTTAGAAGGATGTTTCTCCCCAAAGCCTGGAGGCTGTCCGTATCATCATCTTGGTTTCCCAGGATCCCCCCCCCGCAGCCCCCCAGATCTGGGCCGAAGGGAGAAACCCTTGCAACTGTGCAAAGCATCTTCCCCAATCGAGAAGCCTTGATAAGACCCGGACATCATAACCAAGCAAGCTTGAAGAGGACTCTGCTAGCTAGGATGATCCTGGGTTATGCTGGTTAGATTTATATCCCCAGCTTTTCAATGATAGCAGAAAGTTTGCCAGAGTTAACTGGGTTGGATGAGGAAAGAGGTGAGGCCCCCCCCGCTTTTTGGGAATGGTTGTAAAATCCAAAGTTTTTATCAAAGTTTTAAAGAGCTTTTCCTCTCGTGAAATGCAAGCTCGCCCATCCCCGGCTTTAGAGTCGTCAAAGGGTCGACGACGGCGCCCACCGATCCTCGGACGCGGAAGGACGAAGCGGGACCTGCTGCTCCGAGGTGGACGTTCTCCCGGGCGGGATCCCGAGACAAGCGCCGGTCTTCTCGGGGGTCTCCGCTTAGCCCACCCTGCCCGGACGCTTCCCTCTCCGGCGGGTGTGAGGATAGGGGTAGCCCTTTGCCGGGTGGTGGTCCCAACGCTTGAGGTCGCCCCCTTCGGAATCGGGGTACGGCGAAGGGCGGCGGCCGCCGCTACCGGATCGCGAGCCCAAGGGGGGAGACGACGACGCCTCCCTCCTCTGGCCTTTGGGCTCGCGGAGGACTTTGTCCCCCACGTGGGCGAAGAAGGGCCGAGGGTCGCAGGCAAAGCTTTCCGGCCCGCAGCTCGCCCGATTCGGGCTGAAAGGGGCTGGGGGGGGGGCTCGTGACCCATCCCCAACTCGGTTTAGGAGCGATCCGGGTGCAAACGCCCATTTTTCTTTCTTTCATGTCGCGCCACTCGCGGTTGTCGGTCGGCTCCAGCTGGGGGGGTCTTTGTGAAGCCAGCCCGTTTGATAAACCAGGTTTCGAAAAGATCTTCGACCTAACTATGCAGGCTTAAAGTAGCAAACCAGATTTTGGCAGTCCCAGCCTCTATTACAGGTTAGTCTTCAACTTACAAGAGCTCATTTAGTAGAATAATAATAATAATAATTATTAATAAAGTTGGAAGGGACCTTGGAGGTCATCTAGTCCAACCCCCCGGACAGGCAGGAAACCCTATCCCATTCCGGACAAATGGCTGTCCAGTCTCTTCTTAAAAACTTCCAGGTTGGAGCAAAGTTACAAACGGCACTGAAAAAAGTGACCTTTTTTTAACACCACTGTTGTAGCATCCCCATGGTCAAACAAGTCAGAAGCTCGGCAACTGACTCGTATTTATGACGGTTGCAGTTTTCCGGGATCGTGTAATCCACCTTTTGCAACCTTCTGAGAAGCGAAGTAAGTTGATGGGGAAGCCAGAGTCGCTCAACAATGGTTATTACTGAATTTAACCAACTGCAGTGATTTACTTCACTGTGCCGAGCCAGCTCGTAAAATGAGACACAACTCACTTAACAACTGTCCCACTCAGCAACAGACATGTTGGGGTTCAATTGTGGTTGTAAGTCGGGGACTAATTGTATTAGCATAGGGTTCAGTGGAGTTGTGAACCCAGAGAAAGAGTCTTGAGGCAGGTATTTGATTAGCTATCCTAAAAGTGGCCTGTGCATTTCTCTAACGCCACACCTGGGATCCTTGTATCCTAAGAGGAACTGAAACGCAATAGAGATATACACATGCGCACTCTCAACAGAAGGGGAATTATTGTCTGAAAATTTCCCAAGAAAAAAGGATGATCAGTCCATGTCACCGTAAGCCACTAGCTTTGTAGTTTTATAGCGCTGTAAGGAGACGAAAGGAAGCGCAGCCTTTCACCAAAAACCGACATTCCTGCTGGAATACCCAAACTGGCTAAAAAGGACACCGTTTCCTACTTCTCACCTGCAGCTTTAGGCCTTAATTCTTCTGGAGGATTCCCCCGCTGTCGAGCGATATGCCCAGGAATTCATGGACGAAGGATCTTAAGCATCTTTGTGGATCAACGGTTAATTTTGTCCCTTTGAGCTCCATTTGGAAGGAACTGGGACCAATACGATGAGCAGCACCAAAACGGACTGATTAACGAGCAAGTTGTGGCTTGTTGAAATTAAAACATGTCAGAAATGTGTTTCTGGCTAGTCAGTCTATGCAACCAATGACTGTTTATTTATTTTTTTTAAGACTAGACAGGTAGTCCTTGACTTACAACAGTTGATTTAGTTACAATGACGCTGAAAAAAAAATGACTTAGGACGGTTGCACCATTCCCTGGTCACGTGATCAAAATTCAGCCATTTGGCAACTGATTCATATTTATGACGGTTGCAGCATCCTGGGGTCATGTGATTTATCTTCTCTGACTTTCTGACAAGCAACATCAATGGGGAAGCCGGGTTCGCTTAAACGTGTTACTAAACAACTACTGCGATTCACTTAATAACTGGCAAGGTCGTAAAACGGAGCAAAATTCACTTCAATGTCTTGCTTAGCAACAGAAATGTGGGGCTCCATGGAGGTCGTAAGCCGAGAACTGCCTGTACTCTCAAGTCTTGTGGATCAGGCAGAAATTGCCCAACTTCTCCTAATTCCCAGTAGCAACATAAAAAAAAAAGTTTGCATACTGTTAAGAAAAAAACCCAGACAGGATTAAATAGTTATTGACATTGACTGACTTTTAAGCAGGGATGAAATGACAGGATCCATATTACAATGCCATTAAGAATCCCCGAAAAGCTTGCCAAGAAACAATACGGGCTAAGTTGAATGTTAACAAAAAAATAAAATCAAATTTAAAGTGCCAGGACTGAATTCCTTATCCAAGTCACCTTGCATTATTTGAATGTTGGGATGCCACAGTGCGCAATGCCTTTCCCACCTTTAAATGCAACATTTTATTGCTCCAATGTCACTTCTTGTCAAATGCAGAGTCTTTCATAATGGAGAAAGAACTGTTGAAAGGAAAACTTAAGTTCTTTTAACTGGGAGTTATTAAATCATCGTCAAGGCTTCTTATCGGTGTCCTTCAGGACTTCCTGACCCAAACTCCCACTTTATTTTATTTTTCTACTGTAACAGGAACCCGTTTCTTTAATCTTCAACAGAGTTTGGAATCCTGGGATGGCTCTTGCTGAGGATGAATTAAGTGAAATTCATGGATGTGACAGACTACACATCTATGGCCAACTGATTTTGGCAAATGTGTACTAGAAACCCGGCTATTAAACCATGGCTAACTAAATAAGCCACGGTCTAGCACAAGGAACATACCAAGCTTTGGTTTTGGGGAAAAAGCAACCACAGTGAGTTGCCAGGAATCACAACAGCTATTCCAAGCCTTCCAGGGTCATATCCACACGCTTCTTTCCCCCTATGTTGGGAACTCGCCTGCGTGGAGATCAAATGGGACAGAAGGAAAATGGTGACTTGTCTCCATTTACGCGCAACTACAGGCAGTCCTCGACTTACAACCGTTCATTTAGCGAGCGCTCGAAGTTACAACGGCTCTGAAGAAAGTAATTTAGGACCGTTTTTTCACCTCAGGACTGTTGCAACATCCCCAGGGTCAGGTGATCAAACTTCAGAGGCTTGGCAACTGACTCGTATTTACGACGGCTGCAGGGTCCCAGTCGTGGGATTCCCCCCCCCCCTTGAACAAGCGAAGTCCCACGGGGAAGCCAGAGTCACTTAACAACTGTGCTACTAACTTAACAACTGCAGCGATGCGCTTCACGAATGTGGCAAGAAGTTGCAAAACGGGACAAAACTCACTTAGCAAACGTCTTGCTTAGTTAACGGGAATGTTGGGCTCCGCTGTGGTTGTAAGTCAAGGACTACCTGCACTGTATTGACAGAAGGCTTCGCAACTGCAATTTGTCTTTGAATGCCTAGGGCCAGTGGTGGCGAGCCTATGGCACGTGTGCCAGAGGCGGCACCCAAGAGTCCTCTCTGTGGGCACCTGTGACATCACCCCAGCCCCACCTCACCAGTAGCCCCCCCCGGAGGAGTCGCCCCCGAGCGTGGCCCGCACAGAGCAGCGCAGACGAGATGGCAGCCAGGCAGTGGGGACAAGACTCTGCCCTTGCTCCCTGTCGCGTGCAGTTGACGCTGTGGGGCGTGGGTGGGGGGCATGGCCACCATGGCACTGCTGGTCCACCTGGGTGATCTGTGTGGAGGTGGTGAGTGGCCCTGTATGGGGGGGGGGAGAGCAGGGCGGGCGGGCAGTTTTGGGGTACTCGGTCTCTAAAAGGTTCGCCATCACTGCCACAGGTGCATTGGGTTCCTCACGCACGAAAGGGTGACTCCGGTTCTGTTAATGCTATAGCTTGGAGCAGGGATCTAAGGAATTCAAATGGGCTTGACACACCTGGTCTGCACCCACCCACGCTGAATGCAGATTGCCCACTTCCCAGGAACCCCTTGGCAGAATCAAGTCTTCCACGGGACTGTTTTACAGCACTCGTTCTCAGACTAAGCCCCTGCCAGCGATTCTGGATCATCTGACGTCTTTACCCACAGCCCGTATGGGGAAAATGGCCGGGAATGATAGGAGCCACAGGATAAAAACCTCCAGTGGGACAAAACTGGTTTTATACACATACCAATGAAAGAAAAAGGGGAAAAAAAAGGATGAATGAATGGCTACTTGTGCGCACACTCCGAAATCATAACACAAACTGGGTGGTCTAAAATGTCAGTGAGCCCGTTTTATTTACAGTAATACCAAAAAAAGAAAGAAAAAAAAAAAGGATCTAAACTCACTTCTAACATAAGGGTTACTCGCACAGCATAGACTGTCATAAATCAATGAAGGATGCCGTTACAATAAAAAGCAACTGAGCTGATTTGAAAAGGTGATTCTCTCCTCATTAAAATGAAGGTGACTAGGTGGAATTTTTTTTCTCTCTCATTGGGGCGATCTCTAGAAAGGCCAGACCAAGGAAACTGAAGTGGACGTTGTTCTTTGTGCCAAACAACCAGCCCGCACACCATACTTTGGTTTTAAGAGGTCCAGGGTGCACCAATGTACTAGGCTACTGAGGCTGAAAAGAATGCCCTAACGGTAAGTTTAAGGGAATCACTCAAAAGATTTTTTTTCCCCCCAGAAAATCGTTCATCGTGGGGCAGCGTATAGGACTCACCTAGCTGCCTAAGGTAAATATCGCACCCGTTACATGGCGTAAGGAAGAACAACAAAAAGAAAAAGAAATGTTAAGAACTAAAGTGAGCTAGGGCACCCATGATCGAGAAAGGTTCAGGTCTAAAAGGATGTTCTGAAATCAAACTGCTCCCTAAGGACGCAGTGGCTGGAATTATGCTCTACGGGTTACGACGGCGGAGGCCATGGCAACGAGAGTCCCACCCCAGAAGACGGGGAATTTCGTCTACATGCGGCGCTGGTAACTAGCATGCAGCTGCAGTTGTGCGTTACGCAAGTAATCGCCATAGGCACCTGCGTAACGGGCATCAGACTGCATTTCGGGAAGGCGGCGATAGTCCAGTTGAGCCTTTGTTGGCGAGTGGCGGTACGCATGGGGGGAGTCGGATAAGCGGCGGAAATCAGAGAAGTCAGATAAACGGCGGTCATCTGAGAGATCAGAACTGTACCTGGTTAAAAGAAGAGACATTTGGTAAATTTTTTAAAAAAAAAGAGAGAGAGAAAGAGGCTCGCGGCAAACGCCCCAATAAAATATATGCTGTGACAAGGGTACCCCTTCCCCCCCAAATCTGGCAGAGGAGAGCACTGATAAGTGTAAGCGCAGACAGAAACCTTTTAGAAGAATTCAAAGGAGAATTTTTTCCCCCTCTGCTATCTTACAAGAATTGGGAGTTATTTTGTGTCTTGGGATGATACAGAGAATCTCTCAATTGGCTTAGCTAAATTATAGCTTGAGTTAAGGAGCCCAACTTGCATTAAGGTCAACTTTTGAACTGGTAGGAAAAGTCTGGTTAATAATCTGGCCAGGAAAACACTTTTTAAAGTTTGCTCAAGGATTCAGTTATGGTATCTCATGTTCTGCATTCAAATTCAACCACTTAAAATTTCAGGCTCCTGGGTGTTGAACGTGGCTCAAAATATAGGGCACGGTGAGCGGGGGATTTTTTTTTTTCCCCCCTCCAAGTTGACCGGAACCTAGTCTGGTCTCTTTGGATCAGGAAAGAATCAAATACAGCCCTTAAGTACCTTTGTACTGAAGCTGAGTTAAGGAGCCTTAAAGTGCCTAGCTTCACTTTCATATGATAGGGTAGATCCATGAAGCAGAGCCAATGTACCTTCCACCAAGTTGCCCAGGTATGGTGGGTAATTACAGTCTCTCTTCTTTCTTATGTGAATGTATTTATAACATGCAGACTGGGAGAGAGGTAAAGTATGAGTGTAACTATCTTTCGCTCCCTTTCCCCTTCAAGAGAAAAAGCACAGAAAAAGGGCGGAAAGATCAGCTGAGAGAGGAAAAAATAAATAAATCTAAAGGCAGAACCAAGGAAGCAAAAGGTTAGCAAGCTCCATTCCCAACCCCTTCCCGTTTACGGGCACACTCCCAAATTCAAGGATTGGAAAGGAATCTGCCGCCTGATAGGAACCGCAGAACGAAGTCTCAGGTTTTGAGTCCCTCTGAAGTACAGAGAGCTCCCTGGACAGGACGCGGGAGTGGCGCGCAAAAAGCATGATCAAAGCTGCATACCTCTTGTTCATTGCAGCTGCTTTCCTGTAGAGATCCTCACGGCTGCCACGTGGCGGGGAGAGACGTGTCCGTTCGTACAGTGGGTGGAGAGCGGCAGTTTCCGCCTGGGACATTCCCGCGTAGGAAGCTGCCTGCTGCCCATTGTATGCCGAAGCCTGAGACCTATACCCTGCGGCTACGGGGGCCGAAGCAGACTGCTGGACTGCATAGGCTGCGGGCAGCGAAGCGGACAGCTGCGTTTTGTAAGCGGCTGCGGCAGCCGCAGCATCCTGCATGCTATAGGCTGCCGCCAGGCTGGCTGCAGACTGGGTCCCGTAAGCAGATGACGCCTGAGCCCCGTAGGAAGCAGCGTGGCCAACGGCGGGCTGGACTCCGTAGGAAGCAGGCTGGGCCGAGAGGGTGTGGGCTGCGTACAAGGCGGACTGGCCGGCCGCCGCCTGGGCTCCGTAAGAGGCGGAGAGGGCAGTTGCTTGGGCCCCGTAGGAAGCTGGGTAGGAGGCAGCGGTCTGGGCCCCGTAAGCAGCAGCGTACGATGTGGAGGGCTGGGCTTCGTAAGTGGCAACTTGGGAAGCGGCGGCCTGGGTTCCATAGGCTTGAGCATTATAGGAGGTTAATGCCGAGGCGGCCGCGCCTGTCTGAGAATTGGAGGGTCCCATGGCAACAGAGGACTGGCCTCTGTATGCATTTCCCAGCATAGTCGAGGGCTGGGCTCTGTACATGGCTGCTTGCCCAGTGGTAGGCTGAGGCCTGTAGGCCATCCCAAGGGATGCTGCAGGCTGATCTCTGTAGGAAGCCTGCTGGCCAGTCATGGGAAGCGCGTAGCCCGCTCTTGTGGGCGAGCGTCTTAGCGGGCTCCGGTCCCTTCTGAAGAAAGACGGGGAGATCTGCCTGGCTTGGCCGTTCGAGTCGAACTTGCTTAAATTGTTGTTGTTCATCCGCTGCTGGTAATCGTAGTCAGCGGAAGAATACGCCGGATTGCCCATTGGGAAGGCAAGGTTACCGGATCTCACGCCGTCGTTCCTGGCCTGCATGTTCTCTAAGGTTGGGATTTTGTTCTTCTCATCTCCGCCAAACTGGCCGATATAGCCGGCAACCCCCCTCTTGTGAGCTTTGTTGGAAAGTTCCACGTTGATCCTTTTGCCTTTGATTTCTCTTCCGTTCAGGTGTTCAATGGCGGTTCGAGCATCCTCGTCTTTCTCCATGTGCACGAACGCGTAGTCTGATAAAGCAGCAGACAGAAGGTTATCAATAAGGAACACATGACATTTCATTACTGGAAACCATTCCTATGGGGAGATGCCTTGGATACAGAGAAAGGCTTTATAACCTGCCATGCATCCACTGGGAAGCAGTCTCCGTCTGCGACAGCGGGCGGCTTTCCCATTCTAACAGCTACGAGGAACAACAAAGAGGCCACTGGCACTTAGCAAGGCACAGGATACTGAACGCTGCACCTGGGTTCCCCTCTCACCCACTAACACCTCTAGTACCTGAAGGATCTGCTTAGCTGATTTCACAAAAAGGAGGATTAATTCCCAGATCACCGTGCAGAAGACAGAACAGGTTTGATTATTATTATTATTATTATTTACTCCAGAGGGCAAAACTAGAACTGGGCTCAAGCAAACATTAGGAGAAACTTCCCATGAGAGCTGTTTAGAAGTAGAACAGGCTGCCTCTAAAGGATATGCAGATTAAGGACCTAGAAAACATACAAGCATCTCCTACGCTTCACATTAGGTGCAGAACACATGTTAAGACTTTTCCCTTCTGAATTCACATTGGTGATTATAGAGTCAAGATTGTCAAAACTCTCAGGAACAAGTTAGCAACATTTCTTTCTGCTTCTCCAGGTTAGTGCAAACCAGAAACCAACTAGCAGTGGGAACTGAGGCCTTTCAACTCTGAACATTTTTTTATTCAACAAAATACCCGACTATCCATTAATCAGAAACTATGGGAAAATAAGGTATAAATTAGGGTTACAATTCTTGGGTAGCAACAAGCAACTTTGTTGGGGAATAGCATGATGGCCACAGACGGATATAAAACCTATGTCTGCAATACTGAGAACCATCTGATAGGAGCTGAAAAAGCTCTGATCATTGTTCTGTACTACGTACTATGTCACATCTGCTGAATTAATTTATACTTGGGTTGGTTCACGGATGAATCATGCTGGATTTCCCAAAACTATAATTTTTCTCTTTTTCTACAAGAGAAAATCAATCCAAACCTAACGGTAGAGAATTTCTGAAATAAGGACTGAGCCAGACTGTGCCAAAGTTGGATAATGTTGCAAACAATTGTCAAATTTCCATTCTGTTTAAACAAAATAGAACTACGGAACAGAAATCAGAGCAAAAATGTAGACCTATTTTAGTAAACCCTGAACCTGGGGACACAGATTACTCTCCTTATTAAGAAATAATAAAGGGGCTCTAATCACATGGTTGATAATTAGGAATAGTGGAGGTTTTCTTGGTTCAATGTTCAAAGATAAAAGCTTCTTTCCCCTTAGAAACTGAAGACTACTAATGTTCTTATTCTTTAGCCTCCAGGAAAAACTTGCCTGAGTAACTAGACCTATTGGTTGTCACCACTGAAAAAGCCATAGGAATCCAATAGCCACAGGATAAGGCACGCCCCATGTTCAAAAAGTCATAGTGTCACAGGGCTGGAAGGGACGTTGGAGGTCTTCTATATCAACGACTACTAGCATAGACTATCAATCCATGCTTTCATAGCCTCCCATTCGGACCACTTGCACTGCAAGTAGGAAAAGCAGTATCACAAAAATAATATTTTTTTACTAGGCACAAGTTTTGCTCTTCCTTTTGGCCACGGGTACAAAAACGTCTAGGCCCCCATTTCCCAACCACCCAACCTCTTTGAAGTCTTTTGACTTACAACCTTTTGTTTAGCAACCATTTAAAGTTACGACGGCGCTGAAAAGTTACTTGTGACTGGCCCTTGCACTTCTGCCCGTTGTGCTATCCCATGTGATTTTGCTTGTGTGGTAACGTTGGGTGCTTGGCAATCAGCATGTATTTACAATGGGGTCCCGTGATTGCCATTTGTGAGCTTTTGACAAGCAAAGTCAATGGAGACATCAGCTTTCACTCAAAAACCACATTAATTCACTTAAAAACTGTAGTGATTCACAACAGTGGCAAAAAAGATGGATGTACTACAGTAGTATATCCAACCTCTACAATAGGATTCTTGAAAGAACCAAACATAATAAATATTTGTCTGGCTCCAAGATGGAGGGGGAGAACAAAGCTCCAAATACATAAAGCCACTATATCACCATTAGGTTCTGGTTCTTAATATTTTGCTGATATGCCCCCCCCCCAAGGCAAGGAGGAGCAGAGAGATTCACCTTCCCTCCCCCCCCCAACCTTCAGGATATCGCAGCCATCCGTAAAAGAAGTACATTATGATTAAAGCACCAGGAAACAACGAGTTCTAGTCCCACCAGCTGGGTGACTTTGGGCCAGTATCTCTCTCTCAGCCCAACCCAACGTACAAGGTTGTTGTGGTGGGGAAAATAAGGAGAAAAGTGTGTTAGATATGTTCGCATTGAGTGATTTGTCAAAATAATAAAGGCAGGACACAAACAAAAACAATCTGGCCAAGACTGGAGGCCTTATCTCTCCCCACCGCCATCCAGCAAGGAATTCAGACTAATAAAACGGACGGAAGACTATTGTCCCTACTGAGTCGTGCCCGCTCTTGGCCGAAATGCCTTCGCTTGCCCACCGCGAGGGCACCCATAGGAAGAGAAGGTCCACAGCGCTGCGCTCCATCGTTGGCACGGCGACACCGGGGTCCGATCCCACCCACCCGCCCCCTTAAAAGCCTCTTACTCCCTTCCCAGCCTGCCCCTTCTGTAGTGTGTGGCGGCGCCCGAGCCAAAGGGATAAAGGGCGGCCTGTCGCTCGTCTTTGCAAACCGCCGCCCGGCGGGTACGTTCGGTCACCGGGTCGGAGCTGTTGCAAGAACTAATGAACAGATGAAAAGGGGAAACAGAGCAATGAGCATTCAAATGACAAAAAAAAGCCCACCCTGGAATCCCACCCTATCCTCCACCATAGGTAGTCCTCGACTTCCAACCGTCTGTTTAGTCACCATTACAACGGCACTGGAAAAAAAAGCAACTTGTGATTGTTTTTTTTCACACACTCACAGCCCCCCCCAAGCCACGTGATCCAAATTTAAACATTTGGCCCGACACGAGTTAGGACGGTTTGCAGTGTCCCTGGGAGGCCACGTGGTCTCGTTTAGTGACTGCTCCAAGTTACAACGGCACTGAAAAACTTGCGATGGGATTTTTTTTTTTACCTTCGCAGCCCCCCCCCCAAGGTCACCTGATCCAAATTCAAACATTTGGCCCCCGACTCGAGTTAGGACGGTTTGCGGCGTCCCGGAGGTCACGTGATCCTCTTTTTTTGCGATCTTCCTACAAGCAAACCTCAATGGGGGATGCCGGCTTCCCTTCACAGGTGCGTGACTGAGGCGATTCCCTTAACAACCGTGGCAAGTATGGTCATAAAACGGGGCGAAAATCATTCGTGGAAATTTGGGGCGGGACTCTCCCCGGGGGGCCGTAAAACGAGGACTACCCGCCATAGGCGGAGCTGAGCGCGGGAGCCGAGCCTCCCCGTCCAGAGGCAGCCTATCTGGGGCGAAGGGGAGGCGCCTTTCCCCCTCTCGGGCCCCTACGCGCTACCTTTCACGATGTCGCACTCGATGACGGGCCCGAACTCCTGGAAGAGGACGCGCAGCTCGCCGCTGGTGCAGGTGGCCGAGACGTTGCCCACGAAGATCTTGACGGTGTGCGTGGGCCTCGGGCGGGAGAACTCGAGGAACACGCGGCGGTAGTGCAGGAGGTGCCCGTTGAGCTTCTGGATGGCGCGCTCGGCCGCCGCCTCGTTGCGCAGGTGGACGAAGGCGTACTGTTCCTTGAGGACCACCTTCACCACCTCGCCCGGCACGGCCGCCTCGAAGAGGTCGCGCAGCTCCACCTGCGACGCCTCCTCGGGCACGTTGCCCACGAACACCTTCACGCCCGGCTGCATCGGGTCCGCCCGTCCCGAGGAGACCCGGAGGAAAAGAAAAAAGCCAGACGACGCGGCCCCACAAAATGGCGCCCGCGAGAGCGACGCGATTCCCGAGCGGAAGGGAGGGAAGGGTCGAACGCGCCGACGCGCCTGCGCGAAGCTCGGACACGCCCTTTCCTGCTTCCGGCGCGCGAGCTCTCGCCCGGCTGCTTCGGAGCATGCGCAGTAGCCCCGCTAGGGTGAGAGGTTTTCCTACAAAATACAGCGAGCTGCAGAAAGCCTGCAGTCCTCAACACGAAAGGAGGGGTGGATTCCCCGCGGATATTGGGGTTCCCTAAGGGGAATGAAGACCGAACGGGGGGGGATTCCACGCGGATATTGGGCTTCCTTAGGGGAAAATGAAGACCCTTAATTTGCGCCGCTCTTGGGGAATAGCTCTATGCGACGGTGCGCTAAAACTCAACGCCTCTTTCGGGAGGTCTCTTACTGCGCTTGCGCAATTGAGCGCCGCCCCTCCCGATTGCCATAGATATAAAAGCGTAGAAGATTGCTTTTATATGTAGGTGGGACTTTTGAGACTCTTTCATGGGTTGGAAGTGACAGCTGCATAAATAATAGGAACAAATTCGAAGTGGGGATTAGACACCAGCAGCTCCTCTTAGATGCACCTTATAATTTATGAAGGAAAGTCCTGCAACAGAAAAGTTGCAGTATAAACTGCATTTCCTGGAACCTTTCTGGTTTGCCCTACAGCTGCCTCTCCAAAAAGGTTGAAGACCTCGTTGTTTTTCAAACTTGGCAACTTTACTGACATATGGACTTCTGGCAGTTGAAGTCCAGGCCTCTTAAAAGTGGCCACGTTTGAAAAACAGCCGGTTGAAGACATGCAGCTAGCTTTCGAAAAAAGATCACGCACAAAAGAGGGAGCATCCCCACAGAATTTCAGAAAGCGATAGATCACAAAAAAGAAAGAGATCCATCTTGCCTGTAAGGAATGCCTTAAGCCGGAAGAGATAGAGCAGCTGGTAGGAAGACTCCAATTTAGTGGCTGGCTTAAGTTAGTAACTTGGCTGTTAAGTGAGTCGGGCTTCCTTGCTGACTTTCCTTGTCAGGAGGTCCCAACAGGGCAGTGTTTCTCAACCTTGACCATTTTAAGGCATGTGGACTTCAACTCCCAGAATTCCACAGCCAGCAACCTTGACCATTTTAAGGCATGTGGACTTCAACTCCCAGAACTCCACAGCCAGCAACCTTGACCATTTTAAGGCATGTGGACTTCAACTCCCAGAATTCCACAGCCAGAGAACCTTGACCATTTTAAGGCATGTGGACTTCAACTCCCAGAATTCCACAGCCAGAGAACCTTGACCATTTTAAGGCATGTGGACTTCAACTCCCAGAATTCCACAGCCAGAGAACCTTGACCATTTTAAGGCATGTGGACTTCAACTCCCAGAATTCCACAGCCAGCAACCTTGACCATTTTAAGGCATGTGGACTTCAACTCCCAGAATTCCACAGCCAGCATTGCTGGCTATGGAATTCTGGGAGTTGAAGTCCACATGCCTTAAAATGGTCAAGGTTGAGAAACACTGACGTAGATGGTATGGAGATAGGGAAAAGGACGTCACATGACTCCTGAATTACCAGGGCTGAAGGCCAATTTTGGAATGGGAGTGTTCTTTGAAATCCAGTACTGTACAAGTTGTCAGGAGTGAAGTTGGAATTGTTTGTTTGTTTTTTTCCTTGCACTTGCTGGCCAATACCTTTGATGATGAAGATGTTCCACCACAGGCCTTAATTGTTGACTTTCTGAGCTAGTACTAGCCAGGTTACTGCTAATCAAACCTTAAAATGCTCAAGGTTGAGAAACACTGCAACAGCTGATCACGTAAACACCCCCCCCCAAGGGACGCTGCAACCGTCATAAATACAAATCGGCTGAATTTTAATCACGTGACCTTTCGGATGCTGCAACGGCCAGAATCTTTTTTTTTTTTTCCAGTGCCCCTGTAACTTTGAAGGGTCATTAAATGTACTGTGTTAAGTCCAGGATTACCTCTGCTACCAATTTTTGGCATTGTTGCAACCCCTAGTAGGCTCTCCATATGTTCTTCTTAAGCTTAAAGGACTCTGGTCCTGGAGAAGACTCCTGCGAGTCCCCTGGACTGCAAGGCGATCCAACCGGTCGGTCCTAGAGGAGATCAACCCCGACTGCTCTTTAGAAGGCCAGATCCTGAAGTGGAAACTCAAGGACTTTGGCCACCTAATGAGAAGGATGGCCACAAAACGGGGCGAAAATCACTCCACAGTGGAAATTTGGGGCTGGCCTTTCCCCGGGGGGTCGTAAGTCGAGGACTACCCTGCCACCGGCGGAGCAGAGCCTCCCCGTCCAGAGGCAGCCTATCTGGGGCGAAGGGGAGGCGCCTTTCCCCCTCTCGGGCCCCTACGCGCTACCTTTCACGATGTCGCACTCGATGACGGGCCCGAACTCCTGGAAGAGGACGCGCAGCTCGCCGCTGGTGCAGGCGGCCGAGACGTTGCCCACGAAGATCTTGACGGTGTGCGTGGGCCTCGGGCGGGAGAACTCCACGACCACGCGGTGGCAGTGCAGGAGGTGCCCGTTGAGCTTCTGGATGGCGCGCTCGGCCGCCGCCTCGTCGCGCAGGTGGACGAAAGCGAACTGCTTCATGAGGGCCACCTTCACCACCTCGCCCGGCACGGCCGCCTCGAAGAGGTCGCGCAGCTCCACCTGCGACGCCTCCTCGGGCACGTTGCCCACGAACACCTTCACGCCCGGCTGCATCGGGTCCGCCCGTCCCGAGGAGACCCGGAGGAAAGGAAAGAAACGAGACGACGCGGCCCCACAAAATGGCGCCCGCGAGAGCGACGCGGTTTCTGAGGGAGAAAAGGTTGGAACGCGTCGACGCGCCTGCGCGAAGCTCGGACACGCCCCCCTCTTGCTCTCGGCGCGCGCGCTCTCGCCCGGCTGCTCCGGAGCATGCGCGGTAGGCCCGCCAGGATGCGGTGTTTACTTACAAGATACGGCGAGCTGCGGAAAGCCTGCGGCCGTTAACACGAAAGGAGGGGTGGATTCCCCGCCGATATTGAGGTTCCCTACGGGGAATGAAGACCGAAGGGGAGTGGATTCCCCGCGGATATTGGGGTTCCTTAGGGCGAAATGAAGACCCTTCAAGTTGCGCCGCTCTTGGGGAATAGCTCTATGTGACGGGGCGCTGAAACGCAACGCCTCTTTCGCGAGGTCTCTCATTGCGCTTGCGCAATTGAGCGCCATCCCTCCCGATTGCCATAGATATAAAAAGGTAGAAGATTGCTTTTATATGTAGGTGGGACTTTTGAGACTCTTCATCCTCCCCCCCCCCCCTTATGGGTTGGAAGTGACAGCTGCATAAATAATAGGAACAAATTCGAATTGGGGATTAGACAGCAGCAGCTCCTCTTAGATGCACCTTATAATTTATGCAGGGAAGTCCTGCAACAGAAAAGTTGCAGTATAAACTGCATTTCCTTGAAACTTTCTGGTTTGCCCTACAGCTGCCTCTCCAAAAAGTTTGAAGAGCCCAAGGCTGGGAAAAACAGAGGGCAATAGAAGGAGAACAGAGAATGGGGTGGCTGGATGGAGTCCCTGAAGCAGCAGGCGTGAGCTTCAATGGACTCCAGAAGATGGTAGAGGACAGGAAGGCCTAGAGGAACATTGTCCATGGGGTCGCAATGGGTCGGATACGACTTCGCAACTAACAACAACAACAAAGCTAAAGACAGCAGGACAAACAATGCTGCGTCATATTGCCCTAGCCCAGGGGTAGGCAACCTTGGCTCTTTTATGACTTGTGGACTCCAACTCCCAGAATTCCTGAGCCAGCATAGCTGTTGACCCGGAATTAGGGGACTGCCTAGGAAGTACCAATTTTGAATATGTGCAGATGGCCCTGCTGTCTTTGGGCCCTTGCAAAGTCCTGGATGCAGGGTCACGAAAGGACAGGAAGGAAAACACCCCATGTCCTAACCCACCTGGGAACGTACGATGTCTTTAGGGAAACCACCCAAAAGGGAACATTTTTAGCTACTTCTGCTTTCTCCCTTCTTATCTACCGTGTGCCAGACTTAACTGGGTGAAATCTTGGATCTTATGTATGCGTCAGCTTTGCTGGGTGGATTGCTTATGTAATCAGAAAGAATAAATACAAGGATTTCTTGTCATTCGGGGCTTCTCTCTTTTAGAGGAGCCCGTCTTTGTTCAGCCGAATAAAAACGTAAAGCTTAAAGGCAACTTCTGGTTTACTTTATTTTCTTTATCAAGCAAAACTTCAGACCCTGCACAGCAGTTCCCCACCCCTGCCGTAGCCTAACAGAGAAAGTTCCCCTCTGCCTTTTAAACTACCCACCGCAAACTCATCAGGGCAAGCCTCATCCATTGTTGCAGACCCAATCTGTTCTTTTTCTTCCTTCTATGCCCGCAGAGAAGGGGAAAGAGATTGTTCCCTCAATCCTAAGATGGGGGAAGGAGGAGGAGGAGGAGAAGGAAGGAGGAGGGGGAGGAGAAGGAGAAGAAGAAGAAGATCCCAGAGCTTAGTCTAAAAAAAAAAACTGTGCATGTCAAGCTCTCCTAAAAGTGACATGATTTATTGGAATGTTCAGAGTTTTTTTGGGGGAAAAAAATCTGTCATGTGCAATAATCATCTTTTCCCCGGCCAGCAAAGCCAATTCGTGTGTTTGTGTCTCTCTCCAGACACACAAACACACACCCAAGTGCACACCTGCCTTATTGGGGTCATTCCAGGAGGGCGACTGAGACGGCCACACCTTGAGAGAATTTGTGAAACCCCATTTGCAAATTCCAGAGCGAGCAGAGCAGCAGCAGAAATCCGCATCCTAGAGATGAGGAGTCGGTTGTTCGGGAGTGGCCTGGCCTTGCCTGGTTGCCGACCTTTCCCGTTCTTCCCAAAGGGTCACCCCGCTGCAAGTACATATCTTCTTGGGATTCTGGAAGAGGCCGGCTGAGCGAGCAATGATCCCCCAGGCTATTCTGGAAAAACCAGGAAGAAAAAGAATCTTTATCTAGACAGAAAGCTGGTTTAGAATGAATAAAAGAATAACGGAGTTGGAAGGGACCTTGGAGGTCTTCTAGTCCAGCCCCCTGCTCAAGCAGAAAACCCTATGCCATTTCAGTCCAATCTCTTTTTAAAAGCTTCCAGCGATGGGTCATTCAGAACTTCTAAGGATAAGAAGCAACGGAAGCAAACTGACCAAGGAGAGAAGCAACCTAGATCAAAGGAGAAACTTCCTGACAGTCAGAACAATTAACCAGTGGAACAACCTGCCTCCAGAAGCGGTGAATGCTCCAATGCTGGAAGTTTTTAAGAAGAGACCAGACAGCCGTTTGTCTGAAATGGTATAGGGTTTCCTGCCTGAGCAGGGGGTTGGACTAGATGACCTCCAAGGTCCCTTACAACTTTATTATTATTATTATTTGTGTGAAATGGTATAGGGTTTCCTGCCTGAGCAGGGGGTTGGACTCAATGACCTCCAAGGTCCCTTCCAACTTTATTATTATTATTATTTATCACCTGTCATTCCCTCCCATCTCCCGATCTCCGATCATGTACATACACAGCTTTATTGCCCTTCCATCCTCCTCCCTTCCTAGCCTTTGATGGCAAGGTGCCCCTGTGAGGCAGCAAGCAGAACCAGGCAGAGCTGACAAGGTTGAATTGCCCCCCCCCCTTCTTTGTGGCAGAGAACTAACTAACTAACTGTATATACAGTGGATCTTAATCTTGAAGCAGTAGGAAGCTGCTTCAAGACATCCAGGCTAGCCTCATCTTCCAGCAAAAAAAGGAACCAGCCCAGATTCCTTACCTCTCCCCCGAATTTCCAGAGATTTTTGACAGTGGGTGATTCCCCCGACCCAAATCATCCTCCCTTTCATCTATCACCAAGGAACGGCCGATTATATCATCCACCTAAGGAGAGGGAAAAGACAGCGCCGTGAGTGGACCCAATCCTGTTCCATGACAGTCAGATATCTAGGATGCATGGGAAGTCAGGGACTAGAACTCACCGTCTCCTGGTGACTGGCTCAAAGTCACCCAGCTGGCTTTCATGCTTAAGGTGGAACTAGAACTCACCATCTCCTGGTGATTGGACCAAAGTCGCCCAGCCAGCTTTCATGCCTAAGGCAGGACTAGAACTCACCGTCTCCTGGTGATTGGCCCAAAGTCACCCAGCCAGCTTTCATGCCTAAGATGGGACTAGAACTCACCATCTCCTGGTGATTGGCCCAAAGTCATCTAGCTGGCTTTCATGCCTAAGGCGGGACTAGAACTTACTGTCTCCTGGTGATCGGCCAAAGTCACTCAACTGGCTTTCATGCCTAAAGCAGGACTAGAACTCACTGTCTCCTGGTGACTGACCCAAAGTTAACCCAGTTGATTTTCCTGCCTGAGGCAGGACTAGAACTCAGAGCTTCTAGGCCAGTTGCAGAAAATGGGCAGCTACCAGCTTGGGCAAAAGGGGAAAAAAAATAACCAGGTGATGCCAGCCCATCCTAACTGATTTGTTGCCCCAGTAAGCTGAACCGCTTCTTTTCTCCAGACTGACTCACTTTCAGTTGATGATCCTCCATCCGGAAGGATGCTCTTCCGTCGGCAGTGGCCAAGATGTTCCCGAGATCACCCGCATGCTGAAAAAGAACAAGCGGGTCCTCAACGTGCCGCCACAATTGGGACGAGACGTTCTGTTGCTAAGCAAGCTGGTGGTGAGGAGACTGGCGCCTGATTTTACAAAGTTTTTTTTTTTTTTGCCACAACTATGACGCGAATCGCAGCACTTGTTAAGTGAATCAGGCTGTCGTTAAGCGAATCCGGTTTCCTCCCCATTGACTTTGCACGTCAGAAGCCAGCTGGAGAAAGTCGCAAACGGTGATCGCCTGACCCTGAAGCGGGCCCAGCAGCGCCTGCATTTTCTGCGTCGCGTGAGAAAAGCATGTCTTCCTTCCCCTGTCCTGACCACTTTCTACAGGGGGACGATTGAGAGCATCCTGTCATACAGCATCACAGTCTGGTTTGGAAGCATCCCTGCTTCAGACAGGAAGGCGGGGCAGAGAGTGGTGAGGACGGCCGAAAAGATCATTGGCAGCTCCCTCCCTCCCATCCAGGACATAGCACAGAAGCGTTGTGTGAGCAGAGTCCGCAGGATTGTCTGGGACACGACACATCCTCTCCATGACCTGTTTTCCTTGTTCCCTTCTGAGAGGAGGCTTCGTGGTATCCCATCTCCTTGTTTTATGTCTCTATCCACATTGTCCCGTCTCCCTTTTGGTACGCAGTGGGTTTGCCCTACCACTGAACTGAGTCAGTTCAAGACATAGTAGTTGCATTTGCAAGCGATGAAGAGGTCCTGACTCACCCTGTGCCGATCCTGGGGGCCTCCGTGACATTCCCCCTTAGGATTGAAATGATCTCCACAACTATTTGGGATAAAATCAAAGGGGGAGATTTGATAGTCAGGAAAAGAAAGATCTCTCCAATTTTTACAAGCCCCTGAAAAGACCACCACCTAGAGGCTCTCACCTGTCACCAGAGCAGCTCAGGTCTCCAAATTCATGGACGTGTAGCCCGTGTAACCCCGGCTGAAGGCCATCAACCACGCCATCCACAAGACACTTTTCGGGCGAGACTTGCAGGAACCTCACCACGCCTTGGATCAGTCCACGGCCTGACACCATGGCCACGGCGGCACTGCCCAGCGACCCTTTGAAGAAAAGGGAAGTCAACAGAATGCGAAAGAGGGACTTTGGAGTAGAAAATAATCTGAGTGGTCTTTGGTGCTCTCTGAGCTGGGTGGTTTTCTTACAGACATTTCATGACCAAACTAGGTAACGTCATGAGTGCTAGAAGGGAGGGGTGTTTGTGGAGAGGAGGAGAAGGAGGGAGAAGAAGAATAAGACTGTGGAGTTCTTGGTGCTCTCTGAGCTGGGTGGTTTTCTTGCAGACATTTCATTACCAAACTAGGTAACGTCATTAGTGCTAGAAGGGAGGGGTGCTTGTGGAGAGGATGAGGATGAAGAGGAGGAGGAGGAGGAGGAGGAAGAAGAAGAAGGAGAAGAAGAAGAAGAAGAAGGGGAAGGGGAAGGGGAAGGAGAAGGAGAAGGAGAAGGAGAAGGAGAAGAGAAGAAGAAGAAGAAGAAGAAGAAGAAGAAGAAGAAGAAGAAGAAGAAGAAGAAGAAGAAGAAGAAGAAGAAGAAGAAGAAGAAGAAGAAGAAGAAGAAGAAGAAGAAGAAGAAGAAGAAGAAGAAGAAGAAGAAGAAGACGACGACTGTGGAGTCCTTGGTGCTCTCTGAGCTGGGTGGTTTTCTTGCAGACATTTCATTACCAAACTAGGTAACGTCATCAGTGCTGGAAGGGAGGGGTGTTTGTGGAGAAGAGGAAAAAAGAGATGGAGGAGGAGGAAAAGGACTGTACGGTCCTTGGTGCTCGCTGAACTTGGGTGTTTCCTTGCAGATGTTTCATTACCAATCTAGGTAACATCATCAGTGCTAATTAGAGAGTGGGGTTTGTTCTCAATGTATATTCAAGTGGCTTGCCCTGTTACTGTTGGAAAGAATGGTCTTGGAGGGTCTTTAGTTAGGATGTTTATGGTTAGCTTGTTTGGCCGTTCCTTGCTGGCTGGAGAATTGTGAGAGTTGGTTCAGATATCTTAAAGTTGCTAAGGTTGATCCTGATAATATAGCAGACCTCTTCTCAAGGCTTTATGGCTGATCCCATAACCTCTAGGGACAATGCTTCAAATCCATCAGAAATTTCCCAACGATCCCCCTCTACTTCACACCAGCCCCTTGTGGAAAAAGAGCTTATATACCCTAGAGCTATTTAAAAGGTTGCTGGAGATTTACTCCAGGAAAAGGAAGTGGAAGATCATGTTGGGATTCACCTGGAACGTTACCTCCCATTCCTTTCAGCACGGCTTTACGTCCTGTACTTTCTAAAAGGGTCTGGACATCCTCGGTACCAAGACTTGTCTCTACCAGCACAGTCTGCGAATCCAGCTGGATGTCGACTATGCGAAGGCCTGTAAGGAAATGGGAGAAAGAAACATGTAGGATAGGGCTTCCCAATCTTGGCAACGTGAAGACGCGTGGACTTCAACTCCCAGAATTCTCCAGCCGGCTGCATAGAAGCTGGCTGGGAAATTCTGGGAGTTGTAGTCCACGCGTCTTAAAGTAGCCAAGATTGGGCCACCCTAATATAAGCATGCATATGCGTGTGTTTATATGTGTGTATGCATCCCGCATTTATTATTTTTACAAATAACTCAAGGTGGTTAACATATCCGACACATCTTCTTCCTATTTTTCTCCACAACAGCAACTTCTATGAAATGGGTTGGGCAGAGAGAGGGATTGGCTGAAAGTCACCCAGATGGCCTTCATGCCTATGGAAGGAATAAAACTCAAATCTCCTGGTTTCTAGCATGGTGCCTTAACTACTAGATCAAATTGGCACTCTGGATAAATTCAATTAATCCATTAAATTCATTAGATTGCATTAGAGCTGGTTACATCACCCTGGAGAGAAAGTCCCAAAGTCAACACCGCCATTTCTGTATTCATGAAAATAATTTTGCATCTAAAACAAGGCTTCCAACAATGAATGGATTTAGGGTTTTGGATTTTTTTTTTCAGAAATTGGTGCTCTGTACCGATATTAGCTGAGCATTCCAGGAGTCCTTCCATCAGCCAGAAAAGAGCCGGATGGAAAACTGAGTTGCCTTTTTGATGCATTCTTTCGACATTTCTGGAATTTCAGTAGGTGAAATGAAGTGGTGAGGAAGTAAATTATTGGGTAGAAACCAGGCAACTAAGAGTTCTAATCCCACCTTAAGTATGCAACCCAGCTGGGTGACTTTGGGCCAATCACCAGGAGATGGAGAGTTCTAGTCTTGCCTTAGACATAAAACTGGCTGTTGTGTCTTTGGGCCAGTCACTCTCCCTCAGCAAAACCCACCTCACAGGGTTGTTGCTGTTGTGGGGCAGGGGTGTCAAATTGCCAGCCCACAGGCTGGATGCGTCATGGAACCGCGCCCACCCATTGCCAGCAATGGGAAAAAAAGTCGCGATGCATCGTGACACGTCACGTGAGGTGGCGAGTTTGACATCCCTGCTGTGGAGAAAATAGGAGGAAAGTGTGTTGGATATGTTCAGCATTTCGAGTTCTTTATAAATATCATAAAAGTGGGGTTAAAAAAAAATAAATAAACTGCCCTTGAAAAGAACGCTGATCGTTCCGGATGCCCATCTCACCTGGTGCATTTTGCAGTGTTTTCTGAACTGCCTCTACACAATTTTGACAAGTCATCTGGACAGCAAACTCCAGCTGCAATAAGTGATGGAGAAAGCAACACAAAAACCGTCAGTGAAAAAATATCAAACTCCTTGAACGGGCTTGACTGACACATACAGCGGAATCCTTCTGGGGGTTGAAGTAAGTCCACCCATCTTCAAGCTGCCAAACAGTGATCTAATTCCAAAATTCTGATCTAAAACGAGGTTCCCCAGGAAGCCTGGAAGGGCAGGGCCTCTTTCTCATGCATTTGCCCCTTCTGGGCCATACTCCTGCCTGCTGCGTACAGGTAGTCCTCGGCCTACGACCGCAATTGAAACGTTTGTTAAGTAAACTTTGCCCTATTTTGCGATCCTTTCTTGCCACCGTGAAGTGGATCACTGCAGTTGTTAAAATTAGTATCAGGGCTGTAAAATGGCTTCCCCATTGACTCTGCTTGTCAGGAGGTCGCAAAAGGGGATCCCCTGACCTTCTGGGACGCTGCCACCGTCATAAAGGTGAGTCAGTGGCTAAGCCTCTGAATTTGGATCCCGTGACCCTGGATGGGGAGGCTGCGACGGTCGTTAAGCGGGAAAAACGGCCCTAGGTCCCTTTTTTCAAGACCGTTGTCACTTGGAACGGTCACTAAGTCGAGGACTACCTGTAGCTCTTCTCCCAAGCAGATCTAAGCGGCCTTCCCCGGAGAGGGTGCCATTTTCTAAGAATGACCCAGCAGGTAGTTCAAGCTGCTAGCCCTCAATCTCTTCGGACATGCGCAAAGCGGCGGACAAGGAAGGCAGAGGCAGCGCCTGATTCTCCCACCCGGGAGGGTTCCCCACCGTGCAGCGAAGGCCTCCGCCCCCTTCAGGAGCTCCGTCCATCTTTTTTCTTAAAGAAGAAGGAGGAGGGGGAAAAAAAAATGGCCCACCCGGACCGTTTTGAAGGAGACACACCGCTCCGCCAACCGGAAGGCGAGGCGCGGCCTGCCGCTCTAAGCGCTTGATGGTGGAGGCGGACATGCGCAGTGGGAATCGCGAGAGCGGAACTCGGACGCAACGGCTTAAGCATGCCGGCCGGGCCGCGATGGGCGCTGCACCGCTCGGTTGCCAAGGCGACGCCGAAAGCGGGGCCTGTGAGGCGGTCGGGGTTTCGCCCGCCATGGCGTCGAGTTTGTCGCCTCCCGGGCGGTCGCTGTACCCGCTGGAGGACACGGGTCGGTGGACGCACCGTCTGCACGAGCAGTACCAGCGCATCCTGACGCCGCTGTCGCTCTTCCCCACCACTTTCTCCCGGCTCAAGCCTTGCCTGTCCGATCCCTCGCTGGGCCCGCCAGACCAGGAGGAGCTGTCGGTGCCCATCTCGCTCTCCGCCTTGATGCAGCTGGTGAAGGCCCGGCTGGAGCCCGGGCCTCAGGAGGCCCATGCCCGCCCTCAGCACCTGCGGGCCTTCCGGGACATCATCCTGACCGAGGTCAGGCAGGCCCACAAGGACCTCCAGCACTTGCTCCACGACCCGGCCTTCAGCCCCGAGGCCAACCGGGAGCTGTACCAGCACCTCGTGAACTACCTGGGCCTGGTCTCCCAGCATCTCTTCCGCCACTACTTGGGCCTGGTGGAGTGCTGCCGGCTGCGGGGCGTCTTCACCAACTGTGCCAACCTCATCCGCTTCTCGGCTCAGCTGGCCCTGGACTGCTCCAAGTTCCTCAACGTGGCGGCGGTGCGGCACCGCCTGGTGTGGGAGATGAAGAGGCTGGCGGACCGCCCGCCCGAGTCCCCCACCAGCTTCTCCAGCCCCTTTGGCCCCATGACCACCCAGTCCCTGGGCAACCGCCTGGGCATCACCATCTCTTACTTCATCCGATACATCCGGCCCCGGACGCTGACGGAGAAGGAAAAGATCATCCAGGACGTGAAAGAGCTGGAGGAGTTACCCTTGCTGGACATGAGCAAAATAAAGAAGCTGAATCTACCCGCCGCCAGGAAACTGGACTTCCGGCAGCAAATGACCGGTGGGGCGGCCGTCGCCACCCCTTATCCCCGCAGTGCCTCGCGCAACTGGTCTAGGCCTCGGGTTAGCCCAGTGACTGCTGTCTTGCGCAAGTGCCAGTCTCTGCCCAATATGAGGGTAGGGAAGCTTTTAGCCGATGAACTTGGCATCCATTTGATCCTTCGCAAGACCAGCCCTTCTCTGCTTTGTCGCTGTCCCGCATCCCCGGAAGAGGACGAACTTAAGGGCCCTGCGTTCCTGGCTGAAGACCTTCAAAGGCTGGTCCGGGGCTCCGTCTTGGAAAAGAGTCCGTGGAAAGGCGAGCCAGACGATTTAGATCTCCCTCCCCTCATTAAGGCTTTGATGTGGAGCAAAGCCAACGAGACTCGCCAGCTGCACTTGCAGAGGATGCTCAAGTCCCTGCAGCAGGAGGAGCGTGTCGAGAGGCAGCGGAGAAACACCATCATCGCGGCCCCAGCCGCTCATCCTCAGGCGGCGACAGTGAATGTCAGAATCCACGACAGGATGGTGGTAAAGACGGCTGACCTGCTGGTGTCTGAAAGACACTATTTGGAAAATGTCACCATGAACAGGTCTTTACCCATCTACAATCACCTTCTGGGCGAGATCAGTCCCGCTACCGTGAAGTTACTGGACGCAAACCTCTCCACTGGGGAAGAGGTCCAGGAGATCTACAAGAAGCTGATGGACACGATTCCTAAAGACTACCTGAAGTTTGACCAAGGGCCTTTGATAGAGTGTCCTGCAATTACCCTGCCCCATCCGTCCTGCTTTGCGTCCTCCACGCTGACTAAGAAAAAAAGCGAGCAGATCGTTAACACAGAGCTGAGTCAAATTCTCCCAGCTGGCCCATTCATTCCAGAGGAAGTGGTAGAGATACCCCAAGGCCCAAACACCTCCAAGAAGTTAGCTTCCAAAGAATACGCATCGTGGCTCAAATGGTGGAAAGCCACCTTTAACATCGACGAGTACTTGAAATACATCAGTAACAACACTGCTGACTATTTGCCGGTCATATTCCATTTGTACAACCCCGAGGAAGAAGATAAGGACGTGAAGGAGAGAGACCTGCAGGCTATGCTAAACGAGGATGAAGTGAAGAAGCAGAAAGTGAAGAGGAAACAGCTAAAAGCTGCGGAGCTTCAGTCTCAGAAAGAACTCTTCCACACCGGATTATGGAATGTCAGCAGCACCTGGTTGGAGGGCCTGGGAAATTTCCCTACTTACGACCATAAGTTTGAAGATCTCAGCGTCCTGCAGAGGAGACTGGCCAGACTATGGACCGTCCTTCATTTCTCTGAGCGGGAAAGGCTAGATATGGCCATTAAGTACAGCTCCAACCAGTATTACTTACTGCTTCCAGACATGCTGAATTCTTGGGAAATAGCTGCCCAGTTCATCCAGGATAGAGAACTCCTGCTGGCTGAAATAGAAGAGTTTGAGCAGACTGCTTCGGATCCTAACCGCCTGATGAGCAAGGAGATGGGCTCCTTTGCTACAAGAATACAAGAGACGAACGTCAGAAGCCACTTGCGCTCCGAGTTGGAGCAGTACAACTCTGAACTTCGAGGGATTCTGAAACACATCAAAGATGCCTTCAACGATACGGTGACTTTCAAGGGTCGCCCGTACCAAGATAAAATGGAGAGGGATGTAGTGGAGATGCTTTATTGGCTGCAGCAGGAGCGTCGGGCCATCGTTTTGAGGAAAGCAGTCCAGAAAAGGAGCTGGAGGAAACTTTCTCCTCTTTTTTAGAGTGGCTTCACAGTCTTGGAAACACAGACAACTCTTTTGCATCTGCATCCAGATTCCTCCCTCCGTTATTTTGTGTGTGCCCCCGCCCATCCCGAGCTTAGCAGGCTGAAAACAATGGAGTTGTTTTCAGCCTGCTAATGTTAATGAAGTTAAGATCCCTTTGATGGAAAAGTGAAATGAGCTTTTACTTAGGTTCAAGAAGGATGAGGTGGCGATATGCATAGGTTAGGCCAGGGGTAGGCAACCTTGGCTCTTTTATGACTCGTGGACTTCAACTCCCAGAATTCGTGAGCCAGCATGGCTCACTTTGGAAACTCTCCCTTTCCCCTCAGCATGGCTGGCTCAGGAATTCTGGGAGTTGAAATCCACCAGTCATAAAAGAGCCAAGGTGGCCTACCTCTGGGTTAGACAGTAGGTGGTTGGAGATAAAGCAAAATATACTCAAGAAGAGTAGTGAAACTGCAGCTGGGTGCTTGTGAGCTTTGCTTTCTTTGCCAATATAATTTGCAATTGCTGAGAAATATTGTCTTTCATTAACATGTTTCTGCTCCTCATGGTTTTAAAGCAGCAGCCGCATTTTTCAGCGGTACCAATGGTAGATATGGCTTACACATATTGGGCTGGGCGGGCCAGCGTCCCATATCCTTGTTTTATGTCTCTATCCACATTGTCCTGTCTCCCTTTTGATCCGCAGTGGGTTTGCCCTACCACTGAACCGAATCAGTTCAAGACATATAGTAGTAGCATTTGCGATCAGGGGTAGCTTTGGTCAGTTGGTGGTTTGTTGCCTAAACCCAGTTCATTTGGTGGAGTGCTCAGTGGGCTATTTATTTAATAGCCCACCTTTATTAATTTTATAAGTACCTCAAGGCAGCAAACATTCCTACTACCTTGGCAACGTTAAGAGGAATGGACTTCCAATTCCCAAAATTCCCCAGCCAGCATGACTGAAGCGAAGCTGATTTCCCCTTGGGAAAACAGACATTTTAGAGGAATCTTCACAGGTCCACAAACTGAGGGACAAGCCAGCAGCAAGAACTCAAATCTTTCTAGTTGGTGCAGTCTGAAATACGAAATACGTGTTTTACATCCCGCAACCCATTCTACCTTGGATGCAAAACTGTACAGGGTGTCGACAATAGGCGAGCTCGTCCTTTCAAATCCAAATGGCACAGCGGACACACTTTCGAGGATCCGTTACAAATGTTTTTTTTTTTTATTTTATTGGAGAAAGGGGGGGGGAGAAAAGGAGAGAAATATCAACTTCAAAAGAACAGAAAGTCACAGGTTAATAATAATATCCATAGCAAAAGGGAAGCTTTCTACAGTCCAAACGCAGGTAGCTACCAAATATGACAATGTCTTCTCATAATACAAAAAAAAAAAAAAAAGAGAGAGAGAGAGAGAGAGAAGTGGGTCAGCTAGATTATTGAGTTCCACAATCAAGCCTACACAGGGGAGGAGAAATTGCCATTCGAACTGGAGCAAAAAGTACTGGCCCAAAGCTAGCCTTGGAAGGCCACGTTATTTGTCTCTTGTTTATTCTGGGTGTGGGGGGGATCCCTTCTGTCTACGCTCGAAGTCCAGGCTTAGACAGAGCTCGACCCAAGCAAAGGGCACAAGGCCAGTCATCAACAACCTCTCCCCAATTCCTACAGCCCTGCCCTCCCCTCTTTCCAATAAGGCTTGGGGGGAGGGGAAGATTTTTGTGTTGTTTCATTTAAAAAAAAAGAGAGAGAAGGACTGTTAGCTGTCACTAAGCTTCGCAGAGACACACAGAAATGTCCATTAGTGAGACCGTGCTAAACGCAAATCGACACATCGTGAAGCTGGCATAGCTTTGACGTGGACGTACCACAGGAGCCCGGTGTCCAGCCCTCAAATAGCCTACCTGAAAAATAAAAGACACAGTTCATTTGCAGGCTCCGTGCTGGGGGCTGCCCGTGGCTGAGCCCCACCCACATTCCTTAGAGCAGGGGGGGGTCTCCAACCTTGGCAACTTTCTAAGACTTGTGGACTCCCATAATTCCCCAGGCAGTAGCCAAGGTTGGAGAGCCCTGCCTTAAGAGCATTAACTCAGGTGGGAAGAAGGAGGAAGTGTATTTGATTGAAAGGGGGAGAAAAAAAAGAGATTGTCAGAATATTAACCACTTTTGGCGCGCCCGTTCTAGAAGGATCTCCTCCTCCGCAAGCTACGGATCATCTTGTGATTTTCAAGCTTAAAATAAACCGTTGGTTTCAAAACAGACATTAGGGATGAGTTTCTCTCCCCCGTTTTACTGGGCAAGCCTCAAGAGTGCCAAGGTCCTCCTCTCCTGCATTAGATGCTTCTGGAAGGTCGATGGCGGCCACAAGGTTGACCCTCGGAACAGATCTAAGGCCGAGATCCCTTTGGTCAGATGGCTAGGGTCTATTTGCCACGCTGGCGGCAGCTTTCCCGACGTCTTGTGGTCGAGAAAGGCCGTTCTTTCCTCTGGTCTCCCTGATCCTTTTCACTGAAAACATTGGGAACTTCGGCTGTTGTGCTTGAAAACTGTGGAGCGACCGTCCCGGCGAAAGCTGGATTGCTGGCAGTCCTCGACTTACAACCACAGTTCAGCCCAACACTGCCATTGCTAAGCTAGGCAGTTGCTAAGTGAGTCAGACCCCATTTTACGACTTGGCTGTTAGGCGAATCACTACAGCTGTTAAACACGCGAGCGTCAAAACCAGCCCGGCTTCCCCGTTGATTCGACTTGTCGGACGCTTCCCAGGAAGGTCGCAACAGCCAACCCCAGGAGGCCGCAACCATCCTAAACACACGTGGTTGCCAAGCACCCAAAGTTTGATCCTGTGACCGTGGGGAATAGAGCAACAGCCGTTAAGCGTGAAAACTGGTAATCGGTCCCTTTTCTCACTGCTGTTGCAACTCTGGACGAAACGAGTGGTTGTTAAGTTGAGGACTACCTGCAATTCTGGCGAACTTGCTTTTCGTCCAAAATGCACCAGCGCCACAAAACCTGGGCCGTTCCTCTTAATGGCAGGTCAAAGGGAACCAGTGGGAAATTCAACACTGGCTACTCACCTTCCCCCAAGCTCACAGTGCCCAGAATTACAATTTTCAGATGAACGTCAATATACGGGTAGCTCTCCTCAGGCAGACATTAGGGGAGAGTGACAGAAAATTCTGCAGGAAGTATTTTAAACGCTGCAGGGAAAGGAATTCATTCTTGGGAAGTGTTGGGAAAGGACTGCCAATAAACGTATCGTACATCTGTTGCTTGGTCATATGAAGAATTCCGAAAATCGACCCGGAAGAAAATGCAGCCAAGAATTTCAAGGAGTTGAGAATAACTAGAATTGTTTTACTATTTAAAAAAAAAAAAAAGAAATGAAGAACCATTTGGAAAAAGGAAGGAGTATTATCTTTCAGCAGGGGGAGGTCACCCAGTGAAAATAAACCACAGGTTTAAGGATCAGAGAAAAACACAGCAATCACAGCATCATGAAGAAAAGGAATTGCTCCACCAGAATCCGTGCAGGGGGCCCGCAAGCATCACTGCATTCTTAAGAATTAAGGCATATTTGCGGAGGGAAACTATTAGCTACAGGGGCAAAATGAAGAGGTCCACAAATATAATTTCACGGATGCGAATTGCGCTTCTGCTCGTAAAGCACCTGGTTCAGCCACTGGTGAAAGAAAAAGGTCAGGATTTACTGGTTTGATTCGGGTAACCAAGTGCCAAATTTGCATTCCTGTCTGGATGGAATCGCTCCCAAATGGGCAGGGATTGTCTGAAGGGCCACCGAGAAAGTCAAAACGGAACCTGTCTCAAACCTGGGCTGGGGCTCAGAGACTACACTCTGGACCATCTCCTGCATTCAAAGCTTGCTCTTCAATTTCCAAGCGGCTTTGAGTTAAAAGCTGCTCCACCTTCTGTCGGTCAGGATATGGCTGCTGCGTCCTAATTTCAGCTTTTATGGTGCCCAGTGGGATACACAGGCAAGGAGGAAGGAACGAGGCACCCACCGTCCTGGGAGCAGAATGCAATATAAGGGGCAATGGGAACAGACGAGAAAACAGAAGGGGAAGAAGGAAAACAACAATGGGGGGGCAAGCTTAGCCAGGATTTTTGGGAAAAGGCTGTTTTCGGACAAGACAGCCCTGAATTTGACTTAGCAAAGCACATGAGTAAGGAGGAACAAAAATCATTTGGGGACAAATATTCGGGGGGGGGGGACTCTGAAATAGCCCCGAGTTGGTGCTCCCTAGAAATAAACCCTTTGTACCAAAAGTAATCTGAGACTTCCTGGACATGGCATGTGGGTTTGGGAGGCTAAATTATCTCCGGGACACTCTGGAATCACTTCCTGTTTAGAAGGTTTACTTCTGGAAAGAACTGCAAATGCCAGGTTTAGCATTCTCCAGAATGCGATGTTCCTAACTGACGAGTTTTGCCCTGGTCTATGGCGGCCTGTCTCCTTTCCTCTCAATTTCATCTCGGTCGGTTCCTCGGCTGCTACGGCTTAAGAGGTGTGGATACCTGCAGGTATCCTCTGGAAACCCCCCCCCAGCTGCGGGCCGGTTTCCCCCCACCACCACCCCAGCCCGGTCTCACCATCAGCAACACCGATATGTGCCATTCCCCCTCCTCCTCCTCCAAGCTACGCATGAAAAAAACGCTCTCACCTCGAGACTCAATACGCGGAGTATCGCAACCTGTCCGCGCCTGCATCCCGCCCGAAACGCTGGACATCGTAGAGGGAGGTTCGCGGGACGGGAGACAGCTGAACGCGCTCGTATCCGTACACGTCTCCAGCGGTGGAAGCCGCAGCGGCCGAGCGACGCAGAGGGCTTCTATCCCGGGTGTAAAAGGACGACGTCGCGGCCACAGCAGCGACGGCTACCGCGGCGGCCGTTCCCGAGGTTGGCAGTAGGGGCCTCTCGTAGGGGTCTAAGGTGGTCGAGAGGCGACTGGCCATGGCCGTGGCTTGCGAGTACTGGGCGTACTGGGAATACTGGGCCATGGTGTGCTCCGCATAAGTGTCGTATGCAGAGGCCCCATAAGCCGCAGCGTTTCTCGCGCGATACCGTTTATAGTAATCCACCATTCCATAGGGGTCATCGTAATACACGGCATCCCCATAGCCTGTAGGGTAGGGGGTGCGCACCATTCCGTATTGCTCGCTATAAGGTTCGGTCAACTCGGCCACTTGCCCCGTGCGGTCAACTGGGCACTCTTTAGACCAGTGACCTTCCTTCCCACACCGGTAGCAGCCACTCTTGTCTCCCATCCCGGGCGCGGTCCTGAGCCGGCTGGTGGACAACTGCACGCGCATTCGTTTGCCTTGAAGAAACAGACGCAAGAATGGCAGCTATAAAGATTGGTTAAGACAATTCAAAGCAAAAAAAGCAGCTCAAAATTATTTTTATAAAAAGCAAAAAAAAAAAAAAAAAAGCTAACAAACCAGGAAATAACCCGCTACAACTGAGTGGGAAAGGAGGGAAGCCAACAGCTGCTCGCGGGACCCAATGCCTCTTCTGGTTTGGGAGCCACCAGTGGAGTTGTACACTCAGGAAAGGAAGCATTTTGGCAGCGAGGGAGAGTGAGACTGATTCTACTCTCTTTAGGGGCGTATGTTTAATTCGTCTCCCCAATTTGATGCTGGCCGCTGAGACCCGGAACTGTCTTGGCAGGCCCGCGAAGCAGCTAAGGGACGACAAATCAAAACCCGAGAATCTTGTTGACCAGAATGTGAAATGTGATTTACTTCCGAGACACCTACGGAGGGGGGGAATCGTACAGCTTCCCGTGTTTTCTAGGAACTCCCAAACAATCAGATATTGCTGCATTTTAAAAGTTGACGATTCTTATACTTCAGCTAAACGTCTTGAGGTTTATTTCCCACAAGCACCATTAGTGGATCTGTTCTTCCTTCCTTATCTAGCTTTACGCTTCGGCGGGCATGGCTGTGCCCTGACCTCGCTTGTTGCAGGCAAGAGCTGATGCGGAAGGATTCGGACACCTTTCGTTTATTCTTGCAGATTTAGTGCTGCTGAGGTATGGACCTACAACACAACACCAGTCCAGGTCCCTGCCAGTGGCCTGGGCTTTCTTCATCCATGGCAGTCGGAGACCGAGGAAAGAGAGAAAAACCAAATGCCACTCATATCACTTTCTCCATCTCTTTCTGACACCTAGAGAATCAAAGACCCTTCCCTGGATCACTAAAAGCTTTTCTTAGTCCTGATATGGTCGTTTCACGCTTCTGAAATTCAACAATAGTGTATACAGGTAGTCCTCGGCGTACGGCCCCAATTGAGCCCCAATTTTCTGCTGCTAAGTGAAACATTGGTTAAGTGAATTCTGCTCCCATTTTACGACCTCTCTCTTGCCAGTTGTTAAATTAGTAACACGGGTGCTAAGCGAATCGGGTTTTCCCACTGACTTGGCTTGTTAGAGGGTCGCAAAAGGCGATCGTGTGACCCTGGGAGACTTCCAACGGTCATAAAGGGGAGTCAGTTCCCAAGCCTCTGACCAAGGGGAGGCTAAAACAGTCGTGTGAAAAATGGTCGTTAGGTCACTTTTGTCAATGCTGTTGTAACTTTGAACGGTCACTAAACGAACTGTTGTGAGCCAAGGAGTACCTGTATTGGATAATGGCCTGGCACACATCAGTGGGGCTTCATAAAATGCCATTAGCAGAAAGATACATATTATTAATGCACTCGCTAGACCAAGGAAGCATTTCCCTTCATTGTTCAAATCCTTAATTCATCCTAACAAAATAACAGCTGGAAGGGACCTTGGGAGTCCAACCTCCAGCTCAAGCAGGGAACCCTATACCGTTTCAGACAACATTATATTTCAAAGCATATTACCGCCTCAACTCTTTGCTATCCAGGCCTTTTCCGTCCAGAAAGACAGCTTTCTACTGAAGATACAGGCAGTGGTGGGATTTAGCCGGTTCGCACCGGTTCGGCAGCACCAGTGGCTAAATTTTGCTGCATTCGGAGAACCGGCCGGCTCCCAGAAGTCCAGTCTTTATTCTTGTTGCTTTGAGGATTTTTTTTTAATTGTCAATTTTAGCCCAATGAAGGAATTACAGGGTCATAAAAAGGGAGTTTTTAGTTGGGTGGCCTTTTTTTCTTTTCTTTCTGTGACCCTATAATCCCTTTTATCGGAGTGGAATGGAGCTGAACATTTACTGGCTGAGCATCCCCTTCCTGATGCCAATGCTGAGTTTGCAGCAGACATTTTCTCTTAGTGTCCTGTCGCTGCCTTGAACTCTCAACCTTCTGAGTGGGATGCGAGCGCCTTCGCCTCTAGGCCACTGCGCCACTCAGTGGCGGCCATATAAATTAATTAAACTTTGCAAAATAATTTCCAACGAACCACAGCCTCAAGCCCATTCCTAGACTGCCACCAATCCCTCTCCTGACCACACTCTCATCAAACTACACTCGAGAATCTTCCCGGTAAGTGAAAACGAAATGGCAAAAATCCTGGGAAAAATTATATTTCTTCTAAAACCAGTCAAAAACATTAACAAGCTGCCACTGTGTGTCGCCTGCAAACGCCACCTCAATTAAATGTTATCGGAGGCGGGGGGGGGGATGGAGACTTCTCTTAAAACACAGCCAAAGTTTGGTTTGTTTGAATGCATTTGCACCGACCTCTGTTGTGGATTTTTTAACAGCTCACCCCAACTGTCAGGGTGCTCAACATAAGCCGTCAACAACCTGGGCTGAAAGTGGCTTCAGTTCTGCAACTTCTGAGATAGAAGGAAAAAAAAAAAAAAGCAAAGCTGAGTTGAAAATCTAACGCAGGGCATTAGGGAACAGGTTGCTACTGGCAGCGAGAGGAGGAGGAAAGAAAGCATCAAATTATAGGAAGGCGGAAAGCAATAGGAGACAAATAGAGAGAAGGCTGGATAACGTTGGCTACGGGGAACACCAGACAGGAGTAGAAAGGCATTTGGGAAAAGAAGAGGCATGGAAGCCTTTTTTACACATGGATTAAAGGACAGGCTGGAAATGGAGCATAGACGAAAGGAGAAGATGACTAGGATCGAGAATCAATCCTACGTCAGAGAAGCCATGATTGATCCAGTTCCATATGTCACCAGCCAACTGCCCACATTTCTAAGCCGGTATGTGGTCTGGTGTAGGAGATGACGAGGCTGAGGGAGAGGTCAAGCATTTCCCGAATCCCTTCGTGCCCACAAGAGATCTAATTAGGGCCAGGCCACCTTGAATTCTCTTGACTCTTATCTACCGCCAATTTGCTTTGATCGTTAGTAGTTCAGAGTCTTGTAGAGAGCTTTTAGCGTGCAATAAAGCCTGTTATTTTCAAGTGAACTGTCTGGATTCCTGATTTCCTGCGCTTAACATAAGGCTTGGCTTAGCAGGCTGTCTGAATCTAGTCCCCCTGGACTGTTTAAGACGGCTTGGCATTCTGCGCAAGTCCAGCCAACTGTGGTTTGTTCGATAAGCTCTTGCTTAAAAGGCCAAGCATCGCATGAAGCCAAGCCACCAATCAAAACAACCTCAACCAACCACCCTGCGTATTTTTTTTTTATCAATTAATCAACCGAAGGCCTAAGTGCAGAGAGAGAACTCTGACAATGTTATTTGTTCTAATCATCTTTAAATTAAAAAAAAAACCCAAGGATAATGGAGATGTCCTTTCTCCTTTCTGCCCTAATGAAGTAGGGGAACAAGATGGATAACCGGCAAATGCCTTGGCATTTTAATAGTCTTTTGTTCTAATATATTTGCTGCATTCGGTGATATTCTTAGAGCATTTGTATAATCTACTGTGGCTTCGACCCCCTTATCTTAATGGCATTCTGTTAAGCATTCAATGAACAGAAAGGATATTAGGAAAGAGAACGATTATTAATGTCAGGGGCCTCAAAGCTCTCAGACAAAATTACTCCTGGCCTTGGTTTTCATAAAGAGCAATCCTACGTTGGACAAAACTCTTGTCTCCTTTCTAATAAGCAGCAAGTCACATCTTTGCTGAGATGCAAAAATGGATGTACATTCCCTCTACCTCGCAACCAAATACAGGTAATTCTCGACTTACAAACAAAATTGAACCCAATTTTTTTTTTTTTTGTTGCTAAGTGAGACACATTTGTTAAAGGGAACTTTGCCGCATTTTACAACCTGCCTTGCTACGGCTGCTAAGTGAATCACTGCACTGTTTAGTAACATGGTTGTTAAATTAATCGGGCTTCACCGCTGGCTTTGCTTCTGAGAAAAGTCCCAAAAAATGACTGCCAGCAGTTCAATCCTGACCGGCTGAAGGTTGACTCGGCTTTCCGTCCTTCCGAGGTTGGTAAAATGAGGACGCAGATTGTTGGGGGCAACAGGCTGACTCTGTAAACCGCTTAGAGAGGGGCTGTAAAGCGATTTATAATCTAAGGGCTATTGCTATCTTCCTTCCTTGGCAGATTGTTGGGGCCAATAGGCTGACTCTGTAAACTTGAGGGGCTGTAAAGCACTGTGAAGCGGTATATAAGTCTAAGTGCTATTGCTATCAGAATTTGGATCACATGACCCTGGGGATGCTGCAATGATCATGTCGCTTTTTTCCACCACCGTTGTAACTTTGAATGGTCACTAAATGAACTCTTGTAAGTCAAGGGCTACCTGTAGTTGGCATCAGAGATGTGACTCAAGGATGGAAGTGAACTAGTGAGCAACATTACCAGCTGTGCGCCCCCCCCCCATGATACTTGGGAGCTCTGGAAATAACCTCCTCTGGGGAAGAAAGCCAGAAGGGGGGAAATTTTGGCTTCCAGCTTCCATGCCCACCCTAGCCCCACTTCCCACCTTGGAATTCCGTGTTGTCAAGGCCTCTGATGGCCTCAACAGCATCCTCGGCTCTTTCCATGTGCACAAAGGCATAATCTTTTACGATATCGCATTCAAGCACAGGGCCGTATTCTTCAAACTTGGTCCGCAGCTCCAGGTTTGTGCAGCTGGTGCAGATGTTGCCCACGTGCAGCTTGGTGGAAGCCTTGCTCTTGTTTTTGCTGGCTTCGACGTTGATGCAGACGCCGTGCAGCTTGTAGTGGTGCAGGTTGCGGATGGCGTCCTCGGCAGCCGTCTTGTCCTCAATGTGCACAAACCCATAATTCTTGATGATGTCACACTCCAGGACTCGGCCGTACTGCTCAAAAAGGGAGCGGATCTCCTGCTCCGTGGCTTCCCGGGGAAGGTTGCCGATAAAAAGTTTCACCATGGTGGCTAGAGCTGAGCAGGGAAGCCAAAGAAGGGAGCGTTAGTTGACTCTGAAGAATTGAAACCAGACAGCCTGAGGCAATTCAGCAGCAGGGGGGGAAAAAAAGCCCAATAAATCGTATTGATCAAAGACAATTAAGTTTGCTCAGAGAATCTCGTTAAAGCATTGACTTTAAGTGATCCTAATTCTTTGCCAAGAAGCTGCCCCCACTCTTAAAAAACTACTGTATGGAAAAAGGCACCTCTTGAGTTAGTACATTACGCAATCAGAATCCTAAATCGCCCAGAAGGCTTATGAACAGGCAGCGGAGATACCAAGAAAATACCAGGTAGTCCTTATAATAATAATAATAATAAAGTTGGAAGGGACCGTTCTAAGTTACAACGGCACTGAAAAATGTGACTTAGGACAGTTTTCAGACTTACAATTGCAGCATCACGTGATCAAAATTCAAACGTTTTGCAACTATTTATGACCGTTGCAATATCCCAGGGTCACGTGATCCCTTTCGGTGACCTTCTGACAACCTAAGTCAATGGGGAAGCCAGATTCACTTAACCATGTCACTAACTGCAGTGATTCATTTAACAACCGTGATGAGAAAAGTTGTAAAATGAGGCATGACTCACTTAGCAACCATCTCAATTAGCAGTGGAAATTTTGGGTTCAATTGTGGTCATAAGTCGAGGATTACCTGTACGTTTGTTTTTATTTCATTTGTTATCAAGATGTAATGAGTTATTCGATTGTGAGACGGGTAGCTATAGTAATCCTCAACTGGACCAGAATTTTGATTGGCAAGCAAGGAAGTTGAGTTGCACCCGATTTTACAATTGTTTTTTTTTTTTTGCCACAGTCTTAAACGAATCACTCCAGTTGTTAAGTGAAGCGTGCAGCTGTTAAATGAATCTGATTACCCCCCGGAGTTTGCTTGTCAGACGTTGGCTGGCAAGATGGCAAATGGTGATCACATGACCTCAGGAGGATAAAACCATCATAAATAAATAGATGCTGATTGCCAAATTTTCATCCCATGATCCTGGGGTTGCTGCAACAGTTGTGAAGTCCGAGGACGGGTTTTTAAGTCACTTTTTCAGTGCCATTGTCACTTCAAACAGTCACCAAAGGAAGGGTTGTTAAGTCACGGACTACCTGCACAGATGTTTGATGAATGAATTAAAAAATTAAATAAAAACAATCATACTCTTATTATTGAAAGTCACAGGCCCACGGCTTTGTGTGTGCATCATACAGCTGCACACGTGCGTGTACAGACACACTCACAAACATTAATTTCACAAATTACGAAAACACTTAGGCCCCGCCTTGTGAGACTATTACAAATACACACTCCAAAATGCGTGTTTGTGTACATATATTCAAACACACACACATCCTGTAACTAAAGAGTATTATTACAGAAAGGCATATGGCAGACTTATTTTTGTGCATAGCTCGTTCTGGAAGTGGGGTGCGCGTGTGGGATGTGTATGTGTGCATGAATGTGTGGTGTGCATGAATTTTTTTGTGTATATATATATGTATATATGTATAAGTTCTGCTCGAACAGGGGGCTGGACTAGAAGACCTCCAAGGTCCCTTTCCGTTCTATTCTATATATGCATGTGTGTAATATACTAGCGGAACTTTGTACAAGCAGAGGCCATGATTGCGTATGGCTGTGGGCGTGTTTATGCTCTATGCGTGCGCCCTCAATATTAGCCTCAGAAAATAACAATATTAGTCGCGGCAGAGGGCCAAGGCCTCAGTTTTGCATGCGGGACCCCGCAAAGCTCAGTCCCACCACCCCGCATCTTCCCCCACCGCCCGCTTCTTCCACCCGCCCGGCCGGGCCCGGCCCCTCACAAACCTCAGCAACAGCCCTCAGCACAAAATGGCGGCGGCGGCGGCAACTAAACTTCACGTCCTCCTCCAAGTGCTTTGGCCCGCCTCCTCCCCTTCCTCTGAGTTCCGATTGGTTGCGTCAAGAGTCGCCGGGCTGTCCGAAAGGCCAAAGCGGAAAGCGTCGGGGAGACGGATATCCAATCGGTTCTCGTCTTTAGCAACGTCCTAGGCTGATTGGCTCCCGTCTTGTGAGGCTATGGAAAGTGACCCTGCCTTGCCTGCAGGGTACGTCAAGCCTTCGGCCAATGGTATTAAGCGACGAACGTCACCGCTGGCCGGAAGTCAGCCGGAAAAGGAGGTAATAAATCTAGGAGGCGGGGCAGACGATAGGTCATTCAAAGTTTGACACGTGGTTTGGGCGGGTCGAATGTTAGCCTTTGCCAAGGGCGAAGGGGGGGGGGGAGTGAAACCCGGGGAAGGGATGTAAAAGAGGAGGTAGGCTAGATTGTTCCATGCGGGAGGATCCGGGGGGAGGCCAGACTGTTCCATGCAGGAGAATCCAGGGGGAGGCCAGACTGTTCCATGCGGGAGAATCCGGGGGGAGGCCAGACTGTTCCATGCGGGAGAATCCGGGGGGAGGCCAGACTGTTCCATGCGGGAGGATCCGGACTGTTCAAGGAGGGGGGGGAAGAAGAGGAGGAACTGGACCGTTCCATGATGAATTTTTAAAAGGGGTGGAAGAAGCCCTGACCGGAAGAATCCACAAGGAAAAGAGAGGGGGAGAAGGCTTTGCGTTCCTGGGTGAAAGGAAGTTTATTTATATGCATTCATTAAATAGTTAAGTATTACTCATGTTTTCCAAGCATCCCACTTATTCTCACAACAACCCTGTGAGGCAGGCAAAGGAGAACTCACTCCGGAAGTCTTTTGGCTGAATAGGACTAATGCAGCGGTCTTCAAACGTGGCCTCTTTAAAGACAGGTGGACTTCAACTCCCAGAATTCCCCAGCCAGCATGGCTGGCTGGGGAATTCTGGGAGTTGAAGTCCACCTGTCTTTAAAGCAGCCACGTTTCTTAACTTCTGCTCTAATGGTTTTGATTGGGATTATCATAAAAGTTGTCGGGAGGGTTGGGAAATTGTGTTATCCTCTACAGCCCTATTCCACTTTGCAGCAACAAACCAACAGGTGAAGTTCCTCAAAGCAAGATAAAACGAACGAGCAGGCTGGTTAGAGGTTGGATGGGAGACCACCAAGCAATCTCAGGGTGGTGGGTCAGATTGGGAAGTTGGAAAAAAAAAATCATCCTGGGAAGTCATCTAACGGGTATTTGTCTAGAGAAAGACTCTCATAGGTGTGTCTGTAGTCACTAGGAGTCAAACTCACCTCAAGGGACAGTTTTCGTTTCCTGGTAGCCCAGAGGCAGGATAGTTGTGAAGAAAAATAATAATAATATATTGAATTGATTGATTAGCCCCAAGTTGTGGCTGCTCCAACACTAGAAGTTTTTAAGATTAGACAATCATTTATCTGAAATGATGAAGGTTCTCCTGCTTGAGCAGGGGGTTGGACTAGAACACCTCCAAGATCCCTTTCAACTCTATTATAAATTCCTGAGCTGTGTTTGATGAGGAATTCTGGGAATTGAAGTCCATATTGTCCACCCGATTTAGCAAGAGCACTTAGACCGATATACAGCAGAGAAACTGGGGAAGTTTTTATTTGCAGGGCCACCTTGTACCTATGGAGAACTTTGCACATCATGCTAAATCAAAATCTATGGGATGCAAATTACAACAGCTGTTGTTCCAGGCCACCAACTGACAAAATGTGATGGGTTAAACAAAGAATCTGGTCTTCTCCAAAGTGACTGAAGGCAGGACAAGAAGCAAAGGATGGAAACTCATCAAGGAGAGAAGCAACCTGGAACTAAGGAGAAACTTCCTGACAGTGAGGACAATTAACCAGTAGAACAACCTGCCTCCAGAAGTTGTGAATGCTCCAACACTGGAGGTTTTTAAGAAGAGACTGGACAGCCATTTGTCTGAAATGGTATAGGGTTTCCTGCCTTAGCAGGGGTTGGACTCGATGACCTCCAAGCTCCCTTCCAACATTATTATTATTGTTGTTGTTCAGAGAACAAGCAAAGGGCCAAAAGCTCCATTTTGAAACCTGTCCTTAGGAAGAAAAAGAAAAAACGAACCTCTCCACACATTCTTTTTATTTCTCCAAAAAAAATATCGGAACAGATGTCACTGCAAACACATGGATAATTAGTCCCCAACAACCACAGAGAACACTGCTGGGGGCCCACGAGGGGCGTGCCGAGAAGGCAAGGGTGTCTCACTTGTAGACCAGGCCTCTCCCCCCCCCCCTAAGCAGCATGAAAAAAAAGAAAAGAAAAAAACTAACATCCCTGCGCATCGGAAGGCAGGCCGGCCATCCCTCTGGGTCTTTCTGCAACCCCATCCGTGCGCCAAGGCTGCTTTGGCGTCCTTTGTGCCTGAAGGGAAGAGAGACGATGCTTTCTGCAGAGGCGAGGTGGCAATGCAGGGCGACGTCCGAGGACAAATGGAAGGCACACCCAGGTTAGGGACCAAGGGCAGGGAGAGAGGAAGAGACCGGTGGGCAGGGGTGGTGGTCGTCCTGCTCTGGCTGACAACAGCCTGGCAAGCAACGGCGAGAGGAGTCCAGCCAACCCAATGTGCCAACTTGGGTGCTTGCCGGCGGATTAATGAGAATTTCAGAGAGCTGTGGAGCAGGCGATAACAGCAGTTCTAGGGAAAAATTCCCCCTTTCTGTTTTCTAAGCTAAGCCCTGCAAGCTGTTCTCTTCTGCCACTCGTGAGGATTTGCAGAGCGTGGGCTCACGGGGCAGGGGGAGATCTGTGGCATGTAGCCCCAGGAGGCAAAGATCAACCTTAAAATCTCTCGGGCGACCGACTGGTAGAGCAACACTGCTAGCAAGGCTGCCTGAGAAGAAGGAAAGTCCACCACCTGGCAATCTTCCTTATTGGCGGGAGTGGTTTAGTTCTAACCCCGAGGACTCGGGTGCCCTCCGAGACTTGACAAAAGGAGTAAAAACAGATGTGGGATGATGAATTTTGCATAGAATAGACACTAGGGGAGGGAGGGAGGGGGCTAGGAAACTAGCCTTCCCAAGCTTGGGGGATCCACCACAGCTGCCCTCCCGATTTCTCTGCCAGAGTAAACTGGTGCTAGTCGGGGAATGTTTGCCAAAAGAATCCCCCAAACCAGAACCGATCGGTTATAACAGCGCTGCCACGTGTGGTGTGGACGGGGAGGGGATTTTTAAAGCAGAGGGGGCTGGCACTGATTGCTGGTCCCTGGGGGCTGAGCCCGAAGGAGCGGGATCTAGCTCGGAGTTCTGGCGAGCATCAGGGATCTTAACTGAAGATCCCCCGCCATCTTCTGGAGCGCCCAAGAGATCCGAGCTTTTAGGCACTGTGAGGCAAGTTTGGAGGGCGGGGTAGCCAGGTCCGAAGACTCAGCTGCAGAATGTATCGTCCTGGGGGGGGGCCTCCCATAGCCACCTTCCCCAATGTTTTTGCCCTCCCGCCTCCAGACTCTGCTGCCTCCAGGATGCGGAAGCAGTAGGAATGCACGTGAAGAGCACCAGGCGCACTGCAAGCTCAGCGTCCTCTGACCGGCTTCGTTTCCCGGAGAAGGAGGCGCACTCCTTAACTATACACACAAGCAGTGTACGCTCCGGGGCCGAACAGCACTGCGTTGTGCATCCTCAGTTCGATTTTTTAGAAGGGTGTGTGTGTGTGTGTATATAGGCGTGGGCCACAATTGAGCAGGGCTTTTAAAGGGGGCTTTTTTAGAAGGCGCCTCTCTTGGCCTTGCACACGGCACGGGGCCAAAGTGGCACGTAGGCTGGCAACCTTTTTCCAATGGGATTTTGCCTGCAAGGGGGGGGGGAGGAAGGAATCTAACAGCCTTGGAGCACAGATGATGGAGGAGGAGGAGGAAGAAATTCAGCAAAGGTAGAATCAACTTCAGAAGCCCGATTTTTGTACCTGGGGGGACTTCCAGTGGCGTCACTGCTACCAGAACCCACAAAATGTCAGCGTCGTTAAAAACACCGGTCTGGGATCAGCCCCGTGCCCACCTCTTTCCGTGGCCTGTTCACCCAGACACACAGACCTGCCCTTCCCTCCCCCCCCCAGATGTCCAGCATCTGACAATCTGCTGCCCCACTCTTGGGGAGGCCTTTCCCCCACAACTTGGCGCCGCCACAACCGTCTTTGCCACTGTGTCACCCTCCTGTTTCGACTGAGACGATGTGGCCTGTTTTGTGTTGGTTTTTCTTTGTGATGGGGAAAGGGGGGGGGAGAGAGCGGAACGGAAGTCTTTCCCGGTAAAACGTCAGAGATGCTTCATGCAATCTGCAGGATTTAAGTAAAGAGCGACGGCCGTTTTGGTTATGCCCCCTCCCCAAACCGGCTCCCCTTGCCAAACTCAAGCCCCTGGCCGCGCCCCAGATCGTTGCTCAGGCCTGTACAGGTTTTGCCAATGGCAGCAGAGCCCCCTCCCCTGCCCTTCTCCCACCGAGGACTCCTATTTATTCTTCTTGAAAAAACTGAAACGTTTCTCGCGGTCCTTCTCCTTCGCCTCTTTGCTACGCAGGGTGACGGTCCCTTCCGAGGCGCTGTGCGGGGGTCCGGCTGGCATCGTCATGGCCCGCGTCATGCCTTTGCTGATGAGCGCAGGCTGGTCTTCCGCAGGGTCTTGGGGGGTGAGGGCCGACGCAGCAGCAGCAGCGGCATTGATCACTCGCATCCAAGTACTCATCTCTGCCTGGAAGGGGTGATAAGAACAAAAGAACGTTTTCCGCCAATCGTCCAAACCCCCGAGAGCAGGATAGAACTGGAAGATGGAGTACAACAGTGGTGGCGAATCTATGGCACGTGTGCCAGAGGCGGCACTCAGAGCCCTCTCTGTGGGCACGTGCGCCGTTGCTCCAGCCCCACCTCCTCTCACAGCCCCCGGAGAAGAGTCACCCCTGAGCGCAGCCACGCAGCCAAACGCTGGACAGCAGGGACAAGACTCCGCCCTTGAGCCCCAGCACGTGCAGTTGATGCTGCGGGGCAGGGGCGGAGGGCGTGGCTACCATGGCGTTGCTGGGCCGCCTGGGCGATCTGCAGCAGGCCGTGGAAGCGGTGGGTGGCCCTGCAGGTGAGCAGGGCAGGGGTGGGGGCAGAGCGTGCAGGGCAAGGCCGGGGCATTTTTGGGGGGCACTCTGTCTCTAAAAGGTTCGCCATTACTGGAGTAGAAGATCATTTAGAATCTCTCAACCTTGGCGACTTTAAGACTTCAACTCCCAGAATCCCCCAGCCAGGGGGACGTCAATTCCCCAGCCAGCATGCACGCACACACGTGTCTTAAAAGTTGCCATGGTTGGGAAACTCTGATTTACAACGAACCTCTAAGACTGTGACTCACCTCATCCTTCGCCTGGAATAAATATTCTTTGCCGTCTGTTAATCTGCCAAGAGAAGAAAAGCAAAAAAAGAATCAACCTGGTGTCAGTGGAGGAACGTCTAATCCCTCTGCTTTAAAACTTAAAAGTTTTTTTTAATTATTTTTTAAAGATGCAGCCGATGCTCCTTGGCCAAAAGCAGGAAAGCTCACCCGAGTTTAAAGACGTGCTTGCGTTTCTTGTAGTCCAGAGCCACGTTGCACTGCGCACCCTGCAAGCTGACGGGCGTTTCCCCGTGGTAGGGGATGTGGTTGCTGGCATGTTTGCTGTCTTTGTAGAACCCAAAGCTGTTTTTCTGCACCACGCAATAGATGGTCTGCCAAGACCTGGGGAAGCCAGGCAAGAAGGATGATGAGCAAAGAATCGTTTTCCATTTGTCCTCCCTCCGGAGTAGCTGCCTGGCTGATTCGATCTGGCCCAGCTGGGACATTTGAGGTTCCTTCAGTTAATGGTGCCACCTGTTGCAGTGTTTCTCAACCTTAGCAACTTCAAGATGTGTGGATTTCAAACCAAACATGGAGATTTGAATTATTTAGGGCAACAACCTAATAACTACAGAGGGGCCAGTTCTTTTGAAAGACTGATAACTGGATGTTCTCCCTTGATTCAGACAACAGGTGTGGGAACGATGGGAGGCACTGGCATGGAAACCAGCCTGGCACAAAAAGAAAGCCAGAGTTAGATTTAAAAATGTGATTTAGAAATCCACCTAATCGGTTAAGCACCTTTTTAGAGACAATGAGTGCTTTAAATATTTAGGATTTAGATTTATCATGGGAATTAAAACTAACTGTTAGATTATGCACTTTAATTGTTATATGGAAATAGATTTGTGACAATGCAAGATATTTTGTTATTAAATGAGGAGTTACTAGGATGAGAAACAGAATATATCTGTTAATAAAGTAAGTAGGTAATTTTTGGAATAATATGTGTATTTTAGTTACGTTAATTATCTCATAATGAAATGAGGGAAATAAAGGTTATCCGAAGTTTAAACATTGGTGATAAAAGGCTAAATTCGAATATGTTAATTGGAATTAAATAAAACCTAAAAACAGGACTTGGATATGTATAACCAAAATGTTATTCACAAATGTATTGACTGATTGAGCTTTAGGTTGAAATCTATAAATATGATGTACCTTTATTGATGTAACCTGAGATATACATGAATGATTTCGTTAATGGACTATTGACTACCCTATCACCACGCTGCTTCCTAAGTACTTGGATGTAAACATTTGAAAAATTAATAAAACTTGTATATATATAAAAAAAGATGTGTGGATTCCAGCCCCCAGAATTCCACCCATCTTAAGGCATGCTGGCTGGGGGATTCTGGGAGTTGAAGTCCTCACATCTTAACATTGCCATGATTTGGGAAACTCTGATCTAATGGAGATCCTGAAAGTGCATCTTCTCTGTTGTATGGAATGAGGCCCTTCCTGAGTAACACACACACACAAACACACACACAAACACAATTTCAAAGAGGCCTGGAGACTGGCTCTTTACCGAGATGGGGATAACTGAAGCCTCCTTTTAACTTAGCTTGTCTTTGGTTTCTGCCTGGTTTGTCATTTGGCCATCTCTGCCATTTTTTGTTTCTTGTTGTAAACCTATCATCATCTTTGAGTTATGGTGATGCACTTCTTACTATGTTCCCAAGTTGGTTTATTACTTCACAGGACTGCATGGAAGTTCTTGGGAGGACCAGTGGTGCTGCGCAGAGCCTCCTCCATCTCAGTTACAAGAAGCAAGAAGTTACAATGAGGACCCAGATTGTTGGGGGCAATGTAAATATATATATATATATATATATATATATATACACACACACACACACACACATACACATTGCTTACTGGTGTACACCGCTTAGAGAGTGCTTGCACTTAAAGCGGTATATAAGTCTCATAAATAAATAAATAAGCAGGGATATCAGCTCCCAGAATTCTCAGCAAGCTCCATATTGGCTAAGAATTCTGGGAGCTGAAGTCCACACACCTGCAGCCCTTCCTCCACACTGGGGAAGGCCATCGTCAGCTTCCCAATGTGGTGGCTTCTCAATCTCCATCACATCCATGTCCTGAAGATTAGGCAGAATTATGGGATATTCTAATCTAACCCCTTCTCTCACGTCCTTCCACAGCTAGCTTCTACATTCGGATCAGCACACACGTGTTACCTGTTAGCTGCCTTTCTGCCATGGGATTCCATTTCCTGCTTCCGATATAATATTCCTCCCATCTGCTCCGAGGCGGAGTCGTCTGGCATTCGTGGGGGAAGCGTGACCGACTGAGCGGGATCCATGCTGAGAACAGCTGGCTTGGAGCTGAGCTTAGGTGAGGCGGGTGGGCTGGGCTCTTTGCTCTTGGATACAGAATCCAGCTGTGACCCATTGACTGTAGCTGGCGATTCTGAAATCTGTTTTTTAACAGTTGGGGTTTGGTTAGCATCACGGTTCAACCACCTGCTCGAAGCAGATAAGGCAGCGTTCTTATTTTCCGGGAATGCTAATCGGGTCCCCGAAGGAAGGGCTTTGAATTTTGGAACGTTTAAAAAAAAAAAATTACAAAAATAAAAAGCAGGAAAGCAGGAGCCTAGCTGCATTCAACCACTTTTTCAGTAACTGGGTTACAATGAAATTACAGAGGACTTCTGCAGTTAGGTTCATTCATTGCATTAAGCCAGTGGTTCTCAACCTTTTTAATGCTGCGACCCCCCCAACCGGTCGTAAGCCGAAGACTACTCAACCGGTCGTAAGTCGAGGACTACTCAACTGCTGCAGCACCGTTTGCAGAATGGGACTTTTGGCAGGCTCAGCAGGGCAGAGACAGCCTGGACAATTCCTATTGGCTTTGGAAAGCCAACAGAATTAGACTCTATTCAAGAGAGTCTATTCTATTGGCTTTCAAAAGCCAATAGAATCAAAGGGAGTAGCACAGCTAAGGAAAAGGGGGGAAAAAATGGCGGACTGCGTTGTTTGGTGACCCCGTGAAATGGTCGTTCGACCCCAAATGGGGTCCCGACCCACAGGTTGAGAACCACTGCATTAAGCAAACCCCAAATGCTTGTATGGATTCATACAATGCTCAGTTGTTAAACTAGCAATTATAATCACATTTTTTAATATATATATTTCTTATAACACCCATCTCTCTCGGCTGGATTTTGCCATCCTTTGGTTCAAAGACCCCCATCTCACATCCTGGGAGCTAATCAGCCCTTTTTGTCTTTTTCCAGTTTCCTACCCAGCCTTGTGATCATTCCCCTCTCCATTACCTGGGGAGATTCAGAATCAGGGCCGAGTCCATTTTGGGATGGCAGCTCCAGAGCTGAGCCTTGCTCTCCAGGGCTCCTGGGGAAGAGAAAGATGGGCCATGTAGTGCAACATTTCAAAGTAGCAAAGGGATCGCATGAAGGTAGTCCTGGACTTACAATTGTTCGCTTTAGGGATTCGTTACAAAAGCACGGAAAACAGTGACTTACAATTGTACTTAACAATTGTTGCAGCATGCCTTTGGCCAATTTGCAACCGGCATATGTTTATGATGGGTTGCAAGATCCCAGGGACATCTGATCATCATTTTATGATCTTCTAACAAAGTCAATGGAAGAAGCCAGATTTGCTTAAAAGCTACATGATTTACTTAACGACCAAGGCAAAAAGAAGGTAAAATCAGTCAAGAGTCATTTAATAACTGACGTGCTTAGCAGTGGAAACATTCTTCCCATGAGGTCATAAGTTGAAGACTGCCTGTTAATTTTTAATTTTAGGAAGGGCTGCTGTTACACAAACCTGGGACAGCAAACTGGGGTTGTAAATCGTAATTCTCAAGATTCAACCATCCCTGCTTCACTCCGTCCCCTTGCCAATTTTGCGGCTGCCTTTTGCCCCATTGGCCAAGGTCTCAGCTCTTACCCATTGGTCTGCGTGCTGCTGGGTTGATGATGCCCGTCTATAGTCTGTGTCTGCGGTATCATGACGGTGGGTTCCAATGGGGTCGGCGTTGGGGACGTCCTCTGCCTCGTTTCTTCCTGCTCATGCCGCCGATGTTCATTCTCTTCCAGCTGGTGGAGGAGAAAAAGGAAAAAAAACTTAGGAATTCATCACCTCACCGGAATTCAGTGCTATAAAAGGACACTAAATAATTCCACAAGGATTAATAGTTTATTATAGTAGAATTTTTATTAGTTTTATTATTATTATTAGTATTTTTTAACAATTTGGATGTTGTGTTGTTTAATAATTAGGATATCGACTTGTTTATATTATTATGTTTATTTTTAATTTGTTTATACTTATGTTAAAGGGGAGTTAAAGCGCATTATGGACTTGGTTATTTATATAGTTGGTTAATGTTAGTTAGAGTTTGATTATTATATTTGTAACCCTGTACTCAGCTCTGGGAAGTGGGGGAGGGAGAGGGGGGGTTTAGGGTGGGTGGGCTTTGGGGTGTATACTGTAATTTTTATAAAACTTTTCAATTAAAAAAAAAGAATTCCACAAAGATTTATTTATTACATTTATATGCCACCAATCTGGCTGTCCAAAGCAACTTCTTATAGAAATCATAAACGGAAATCAATTTCCTGATCTCAGAATATTATCATTTTAAGATCAATGCAATTGAGTGGTAACATAATCCTGCCTCTGTTTAAGCTTCACGCTAGCCCCCCGAATTGCTACGCCACCCCTTTTTATCCTTTCCAAAAACTGCAAAGAAGATTCGGCGGAGAGAGAGAGGGAGTGACTCCAGATTATGCAGGGAACTTCATGGCTCGTGAAGGATTTGAACCCACGGTTTCTTCAGACTAGATGAGCAATCTAACCATCACGATGTATTGCTGAAAGGCTTGTAATTTTTTAAAAAAAAAAAATGAAAGGAGCAAGTATTTCAACTGACAATCCATGCACTAAATTTTGATTCACCGTACTTGATATGAGAATTAATTTATGAGTGAATTTATTCAGAAATGACACCAGACTCTGTTAAGAGTTTGGCCACTGGAAACCCACCAGGCTTCAGTTAACTGGGGAAAGACTGACCTGGACATTTCCAGTTTGTCCAGTCTTGTTCTGACTGATGTATAGAACATATTATGCTCCAATGTACTTAATGATGACATCTCAGTAAGCCATTCAGTGCCAGCTTACAACAATAGTTCTCAACTTACAACAATAATGGAGCTTGAAATTTCTGTTACATCTCATGATGGCAGGGCACACATATGACCAATCTGATTTTACTACATTTTTTTTGTGTTGGTTGTTAAGTGAACCTGTTGTCCACAAACAGACTTGGGTTTTTGCTGAAAAAAGTACTGGTTTCTGGCCAAAAAAAGCCCTAAATCATAGTTACATGACTATGGGACGCTGCAAACAGCCAAAACGTAGCCTACTGCCCTGACTGTGATTGTGTGACTGGGGGGGGGGGAGGAGAAAGAGGGAGCATACACTTTGAATCTGGGTCATGAGTACCTTTGTGGGGGGTCCATGATAACTTTGAATGGTCACTAAGTGAGGACTATCAGTAATCATCAACAATACAAAGCTATAATCCAGGGGTGTATGTGAACTTGGCAACTTTAAGACCTATGGACTTCAACTCAGCTATAGACTTCAGCTATGCTGGCTGAGGAATTCTGGGAGTTGAAATGCACAAGGCTTAACATTGCCAAGGTTGGACACCCCTGCCTTAAACCAAGGTCTATAAACCTCAATGGCTGGCATTCACATCATGAACTAAGCCACGTGCCTCTTCTTTTACGCACCGTGGTGAGCTTCTCCAGCGCCAGGAAACGTTCCTCCCAGGCGGCTACCGATTTTTGAAAGCCCTCATGTCGCTTGATCAGGTTTTCAACTTCGTCCACATTGTCACCCAGTTCAGCGGAGCGCACGATTGGCTCCTGGCTGGCGAGCCAAGCTTCAGCCATGCTGGCATCCCGCCCAAACATCAGCACTTCCATAACTGCGAGAGGGAGGAGCAAGAGAGAGAGAGAGAGAGAGAGGATTCAGGCAAGATTCCGTTTTCTGGATCTTGTACTAGCTTCGGGGCCCAAATCAGCCACCTTTCCTGGATCTTTAACAAAGCCGATGTTTTGTTAAACTCTGAACGTCTGAGGAGCATGTTGGGTTAGGATTCCTTTTCAAATGCCATGAAAATCAGTTAAGTGTCACGTGCAAAGCAGCAGGGTAGTGCATTAGATTGCAGTCAAGAGGATTTATTGCTCATGCCTGCAAATAATCCACAACTAAGCCCAAAATTTTCTGCTGCTAAGTGAGACATTTGTTATGTGAGTTTTGCCCCATTTTACAGCCTTTCTGGCCCACAATTGTTAAGTGAACACTGCTGTTGTTAATAACACCGTTGTTTGGTGACTCTGGCTTCCCCATTGACTTTGCTTGTTGCAAAAAGGGGTCCCATGACCCCAGGACACTGCAACCATCATAAACACGAGTCAGTTGCCCAGAGTCTGAATTCTGAACATATGACCAACGATCGTAAGTGTGAAAAATGGTCATAAGTCACTTTTTCAATGCCACTGTCATTTAGAACACTGTTCTATTGTGTAACTCATGTTGCCCACTGCCATAAGCTTCTCCCCCCAAACTGCATCAAACCCCTTCCAAGCCCCCCTTTGCCTTCTCCCACCATACCTATTTGCAACCAGTCCATTTTCTCTCGCCATTTATCGTTGATCTCCTTGCGTCGTTCCTGCAGCTGAGATAATTTCTCCACAATCTGAGTCACAAAAAAGTGGGGGGGGGGGAAGGAAAAAAAAAGGAAGGAATTTAGCTGGCCAAATATTCAGCAGAAGAGATCATTCATACCAGTGGTGGGAGCTGCATGACAACCCCCAAGGATTCTCCTGAGTTGCCTATTGTTAACCTGCGAAGCTCACCGTCATAAGAAGAAACAGAAACTAATTTGGTTACGCAAATTTAGGAAGAAAAAAATATCAGCGGCTCCTCAGCAAGAGGGATACATCTAATCTGCACATTCAGACTCATTGAGCACCGGTTGTTAAGGAACACTAGCAAGGGGCCATCATCTTAGTAACTATGGGAAACCAGGATGCTGAATCGTAGTTTGGCGAGCCTGACCTTTCTTGGTTTGTCATCACTGGAGATACCAGAGATTAAACTTGCTTTCTCTCCAGATGGACTTAGGTTTGATATGCAACTTCTCCAAGTAAGCTTGTGAACATTCAAATGGATGCTCTTGTTTTAGGGTCTGATGTGGTTAAAGAGAAAACCTTCCATGCCTAACTGTTTTGCTAAGCATCGGGACAGTGATCAGCCCACACTATTGGTTCTTTTGGATTCAGAGACAGTAAAGGGACTTTATCATTAGCTAAAGCAGGGGTGTCAAACTTAATTTCATTGAGGGCCGCATCAGCATTGTGGTTGCCCTCGGGGGGGGGGGGGTTGTGTGGCCAGGGTGGGTGTGGCCTACTGGGTGGGCGTAGATGGAGTGGGTGTGGCCTACTGGGTGGGCGTGGATGGCGTGGGTGTGGCCTACTGGGTGGGCATGGCCAGCTCTACATCGTTCGCATCAAGGGTGCCTGTGGGGGCCTGGGCAGGAGTGGGACAGATCTGAGGGTCTCTGGCAGAAGTGGGTGGGACCGGGGCAAGCACCAAGGCATGGTCCATTTCTTCATTCCTCACAACGGGTGACCTCTCCCCAGCATGCACCCAGGGGACGGGGCCGACACGGCAGGGGCTGGTTCCTTGCTGTTTCTAGATAGCCTTGTGGAGCTAAGACTGCATACGTTTCAGCATAGATGGCCACCACAAAATTACATTGGCTCCCGGCCAGCCTGGGCCAGGGCCAAGGCAGAGGGGGCCGTTCCCTCACTGTTTCCAGGATGGCTTTGCGGACCACATGAAACCACTTTGCAGGCCGCATCCGGCCCCCGGGCCTTGTGTTTGACATGTCTGAGCTAAAGCATAAGATTGAAAGGCGTAACATAAAAGGCATACATACCTAGCAAGATAATACTTAAGTCTCTTACATGCTGTCAGGAGATTCTTAATAAGGACAGCTGAGATACCCTACTGGGTGGCCAATTTTTCAACAGTAGCTCTAGGTTCTGTCGAAAGCACTGCCAACAAACAACGCAACAAACGCCAAAGCTAATTTTATTAACACTTTGGCAGCATGATTTCATGTCCCTGCCATGCTAAAGAGACTGTAAGAATTGACCTTGACCAACTGGCGTATGATTCTGGGAATACAAAGTCTGAGACTTTCACAGCAGGAAAAGCTCTGAAGCTGTTTGAAGGTTCACTTTGTTCAGCACGCAAGAGTGGGACACAAACAGGTTAGCTCACAATGAGCTCTACGCTTCTAGACTTTTCTGAATAGGAAGAAGGAAATCAAAGTATGTCACGAGCTCTTCGCAATGACAATGGCCTCCCGCCCTTGCCACTCCACAAACCTTTGCAGAAGCATAGTGCCCCTTAGCCAGCAAGTCGTCCCCCATCGCTATGCATGCGTTGAAGCTGTCGGTCCGGGCCTCCATCTCGGCCTTGATCCCTTGGTGATTCTTGATGACCAGGTCGGCAGCTGACACATCCCTATTATCGAAGCGCAAAATTAAGGAAAATTCATCACCTGCCTCTGCACTGGCAAAGGGACAGAAGACAGCAGGAAAAGCAAGACATAAGGTCAACTTCTGCATATATCATACTTGGAGCCTTGCAAAGAAGGTGATTGAAAGCATTAAGGAAAACCTGCAATAGTTGCAGACAGGACGAAAGGTGATAATACCTGTCAGAATCCAATTATATTTTATCTCTAGTTATCGACTATGGAAAACCCCATTTCTGCCCTCTCTGGATTCTGTCATACTACGAAGGGGAAGCGGGATGAGTAAAGGGGTTTTATGGCTCTCACTTCCTTCATTAAAACTTCAAAGGGACTGAATGTGGATTCTCACCAAGAGGACTGACCATAACAATATGGCCATCACCTTTCATCTACTACTCTCTGAAGTCTCCCTTTGGCCGGCAGTAAGGGAAAGGGGGGGGGACACAATGCAGCGCCTGGAGTCTGGGAAAAGAGAGGAGGAGAACTGTGGAGTGGGGGGGGGGGCTGCTTGAAAACACTTAAAACATTGAAGGGTGAGAGAGAATTCCTCAGATCCTGTCTAGCACACCTACAATCATTTTATCTTCATAAAGATACCTGTTGGAAAAGATATTCCAAGAATTCTGTATTCTTAAGATGTCAAGTGAGGTGGGTCCTTACAATACCTTAATTTAAATTCCAGGAGAAAAGTAGCACGGGGGTCTCTCTTTTCAGCCTGCTACATTCATCCCCCTCTCTTTATACATTTCTTCTTTAAATCGCTACAGGCAATCCTTGACTAAAAAGTGACTTATGAGCGTTCCTCACACTTACGACTGTTGCAGCATCCCGACAGTCACATGATCAAAATTCGGGCGCTCGGCAACTGGCATGGATTTGTGACAGTTCTAGTCTCCCAAGCTCATGCAACTGCCATTTGCAATGTTCCCAGCGGGCTTACGACAAGCCAGGTCAATCAGAAAGCCAGATTTGCTTAAAGACCGGGTGACTCGCTTAAGAACTGGTGAAACTCTAGTCCCAACTATGGTCGTGAAGTCAAGGACTGCCTGTACAGCAGTGTTTCCCAAACTTGACAATTTTAAGGCATGTGGACTTCAACTCCCAGAATTCCACAGCCAGCGTTGCTGGCTGTGGAATTCTGGGAGTTGAAGTCCTCATGCCTTAAAATTGTCAAGTTTGGGAAACACTGCTGTACAGGAATCTAACGCTTCTCTCACCTGGGCTTTTCCTGCGCCTCTATCTGAAGGTTGATGTCATCCATCCACAGCAGAAGGTCCCGCACCATGCCGAAAAAGCGGAATTTGTCCACGGTGTCCACGAGGAGTTGGCGACGGTCGCTGCTGCTGCTAAGGAGGTCAGACCAGGCCTCGCTCACCGACTGCTCGTGCTTCCGAATGTCGTCAGCCTTTTCCCCGGCATAGGCTTTCTGCAACCGTGCTGCGTCGTCCTGCACCTGTTTTACCTGTGAATAACCGAGGGCGGGGGGAGAGAGGGGAGGGGACAAGGCTCAGTTCCCGTGCACAACTCTGCATGCACTACGTTCCTTCCAAATGTAGACGGATGGTTCCTAAAAATATTACACGTTGAAAAATGTCTGGGCCTTGTATAGGGAGTCCTCAATTCACCACCACAATTGAGCCCCAAAATTTATGTTGCTGAGACAGTTGTTAAAGTGAGTTTTGCCCCCATTTTATGACCTTTCCAGCCACAGTTGTTAACGTTAGTAAACCACTGCAATTTGTTCCGTTGTTAAGCGAATTTGGCTTCCCCGTTGCTTGTCGGGAAGTTACAAAAAAGTGATCTCGTGGCCCTGGGACACTGCACAAAATACAAGTCGCCTGCTAAGCGTCCGAATGTTGATCACGTGACCATGGAAATGCTGCAACAGTCGTTAAGTGTGAAACACGGTCACAGGTCAACTCTTTTCAGTGCCATTGTTAACGCCAAACGGACACTAAATAAACTGTTCTAAACTGAGGACCACCTGTAACCTGGGCTCTTCTTGATCTGGTTTCATTTTGAGCCTGGTTTCATTATACCCGGTGCAGTCCGGTGATTGGACGGGGACACTGGTCACTCTCAGAACTCTGAATCCAGGTCATAAGTACCCCCGACCCAGATAGATCTGTCGGAACACCGAATGGTCACTAAGCCGTCAGTTGAAGGTCAAGGACTACCTGTTCACTGTTTTTCCCACTCATTCATCCCTGCCACACAAACCTGAGCACTCAGCGCCTGAATGTCGTGTTCGCAGGCCGTGTGCATCCGCTGCATGGCTTCAGCTGTGTTGAGATCCCGCCCTGCTTCATCCGGGAGCTGCTTCTGTTTGTTCTGGACCTGGCTGAGAGTCTCCCGGGCATCATGGTAGAAGCGGTGTAACTCATAGGAAGCTGCCAGCATCTGGCTTCTCGTGTCAATGAGTTCCAGGAGATCTGCCCAGGCCTCATTCAAGCTGTCCTTCCACTCCGCAATGGTGGCGTTCTCGGAATGGCCCGTGGAGATCATCTCGTCCGCCAGCCGGTTGACCCCGTCCACTCTCTCCTGGCCAATGGTGCTGGTGTCGCGTGAGAATTCCCGGAACTTGTCCCGCAGCATCTGCAGAAAAGGACGGGGCATAATATAAAGGACACCGTGATTAAAGCCACCCAGAGTAGAAACAGCTCAAAGGAGAAGAGAAAGAATGGCAGCGGGACTCCTTGTATTTAAAGAACAAAGAAGCAGATAATATGAAATCTCTGTGCCCTCCGTTGCAAGGACTTCATCTCCCAGAATTCCATAACAAACCTGGCCACTGAAAACAAGTTTGGGAGTTGAAGCCTATGCATCTAGAGCTGTTTTTCTCAACCTGTTCAACTTCAAGATGGGTGGACTTCAACATGTTGGAATTCTGGGAGTTGAATTCCACCCATCATAAACCATCATAAACCATCACCCGTGGTTGAGAAACACTGATCCAGAATAGGCCAAAGTTGGAATAGACAATACAGAGCCAGCAGGTCATCCTATATAGCTAAGGCAGGCATGTCAAACTCGTAACATCACATGACGTATTGTGACTTTTCCCCCATTGCCAGCAAAGGGGTGGGCACGGTTTTGGCGTGACGCATCCGGCCCGTGGGCCGGCAGTTTGACCTGCCTGGCCTAAGGTAAGAGTAAGCTACTACTTTGCAGATGACAAAGGTGTTTGGGGCCCTACTTTTAATTTTTTTTTTTAATCATCAGAATGAGATTTGAAGGGTTTCTTCCTCCCACTCCAGAGGTCCCAGGCCTCAGACTGAGACTCACCGTAACATGTTCGTAATCCTGGCCAAGCTCGTGGGAGGCGGCCACCACTTCCCGTTCGGAGATCCATTGCTCCAAGTCATCCACGTCCCGCTTCAGCTGGCAGAGACGGAGATGTTCCTGCAGCTTGGCCCGACGCTCCTCAGCAAGGTCCTTCAGGCTGGCATAGAGCTTGTCCACTTGGCCTTGCCGAAGATTGATCCGCTCACTGCCAGTCAAGGAAATGGGAAGGAGACGTTATTTATGAATGAAATTAAGACTCAAGTAGCTTTCCTTCAATCACAACAAACAAGCTTTTAACGATTTTAGTTTTTTAAATTAGGCAAATAAAGATGCTTGGTCCATCCACATGGAAAAAGGAAAGGCAGGAAACCCTTACCTTTCAGGGTGGCCATTATTCACCATGTCCCGGCTCTGCACGGAGAGTTGATGGATGGTCTGGGCATAATCTTCCAGAGCTTGCTCCATTCCCAAGTGTTTCTTGACCATGGCTTGAGCAATCAGCTCATCCTGAGGGGAAAGAAAACCACAGTGTTGTTGTTTTTCTTTTAATTCCTAAAAGGCAGGAGGGATGTAAGTACAAGCTTGTGCAGAAAAATAAAACAGTGGAACCCAGGGCCTTCATTGCCAGAACAGAATTAAATCCCTATTCTACATCAGCATTGATGCTCAAGAATTCTCTACCCTTGCAGGTTGCCTTTTCTCTTGTCATCAAACCTAGTTTTAACTTTGTAAGTTTGGTTAAAGCTAGTTTTGTTTAAACATCTTCTGTGCGACTTTCCGAGCGCCAAAGAATGGAGGCCTTTGAACTCTGGTGCTGGAGAAGACTCCTGCGAGTCCCCTGGACTGCAAGGCGTTCAAACCGGTCAGTCCTAGAAGAGATCAACCCCCGATTGCTCTTTAGAAGGCCAGATCCTGAAGTTGAAACTCAAATACTTTGGCCACCTAATGAGAAGGAAGGACTCACTGGAGAAGAGCCTGATGCTGGGAAAGATGGAGGGCAAGAGAAGAAGGGGACGACAGAGAATGAGGTGGCTGGATGGAGTCACTGAAGCAGCAGGTGTGAGCTTCAATGGACTCCAGAAGATGGTAGAGGACAGGAAGACCTGGAGGAACGTTGTCCATGGGGTCGCAATGGGTCGGACACGACTTCGCAATTAACAACAACGTGCTACTTTCCAGGTCAAAGGTCAACAGTGGCGCCTCTCCAACACATAACCAACTTTCGGTCATCTAGATTTGGAAGGTGAACATGAATCTCACCGTTGAGTGATTACTAGACAGAGACTGATCTCAACTAAGAGAGTGAAGTACCGCTCTCCTCAGACTTAATTCCTTTATCCGTTCCATTTTTTTCAGAATGTTATTAGGGCTTCCCAGGGCAGACGCTCGGCAGGCGGTGACGGTGTCAGAAGGCGAGAAGGACAGCAGCATGGGCAAGTGGGGGCCGCTGAAGCATCTGCCCTGGGAAGCCGTTTAAGCTGTTGAGGCCACCTCCCTCCGCCTGCCAGACACCCGCCGAAGCTTTACATGGTAGGGAAGGTGGGTGCCGCCCGGTCCTTCGGCTGCCCCCACCTGTCAGCGTTGCTCTCCTCACCTGAAGGGCGCGTTCCGCCAGCACTGCTGCTGCCTGCCAAGCATCTGCCCTGGGAAGCCCTGTAAGCCGTTGCAGGCGCCTCCCTCCCACTCACCTGCACTGCACGGACTTCACAATCCAGAGTGTGCCGGCTAAGAGGCTAGCGGGCTGTGCTTGCTGCCAAATCCCTTCAGCCCCCATGTGCTCATCACCTTCCATACATGTATAAATGAGATATCTCCTGAAAATAAGCCCTAATGGGTCTTTTGGACCAAAAATAAATATAAGACCCGGTTTTATTTTTGGGGAAACACAGTAGGTCTGTGGTGGTGAACCTATGGCACGCGTGCCACAGGTGGCACGCAGAGCCCTCTCTGTGGGTACGTGCACCATCGCCCCAATCCTAGGCCTTCAGCTGGGTTTTATAAAACCTTTTTGCGTTAGGCCCTCCGCCGCCGTGTGCAAAAAAAAAAAAAAAAAGATTCAATCAATCAATCAATTTCAACTTCTCGCTGGGAAAAAAAAAGATCTTGCAAAGTAATTGAGTGATTGAACTTCTTGGTCCCACCCAGTCTGCTGTTACCACTGCAGCCACGCCCACCCAATGGGCCACGCCCACCCAATTCACCACACCCACCCAATGGGCCACGCCCACCCGGCACCCGATGATACATAAGTGGGTTTTGGGTTGCAGTTTGGGCACTGGGTCTCTAAAAAGTTCGCCATCACCGCAGTAGGTAATCCTCGACTTATGACCGTAATAAAGCCTGCCCATTATGTCACTGACCCAAGCAACCCTCCGTCTAACTTTGCAGACCTACTTTTGCCTTCTCCTCCGAGATCATGTGCAACTCCTGTTCACCCATCCAGGCCTCGGCTTCGGCGGCGTCAAAGTAGAACTGCTGGGCCATTTGGGCTTTCTCCAGCCGTCCGCGCCGCTGGGCTACCTGGTCTTGCAGCTCCCGCCACATCTCCTCGAGGGTCTCGACCCGGCCCTGAAGCTCCTTCTCCAGGCCGCTGCAGGCCAGGCCCTGCCACCTGCCCAGGATGTCGTTGATGCGCGGCTGGTGACCTTGGATCTCCTTCTGCAGAGTCTAAGAGAAGGTCCAGGAGGAAAGAAGGGAGGGTTTTGAGTACCGCCTCTGGCACGCGTGCCATAGGTTCGCCACCCCTGTGTTATACCAACTCCCACAATCGGTTCATTCCGGAACTAAAACAAATCCGTTCTCTGAACACAACTTTCGCTACCTAATGAATCGTAATGACCTTTACTCCCTTGCAAACATTGTCCTAACCTGATTCTTCTTAATCAGCAGCTGGACGGTCGGCAGATCTTTGCCATGATCAGTGGAAACGGCCATCGGCATCCTTTCCTTCACCCATAGCTGCAGGACAAGAACAAAAGTAAAAACGGTGAAAAAAAATCCAGGTCGTTCTGTAGGAAAAAATCCCATTTTTGATTGGTCTCTTTTTTTGGGGGGGGGGGACATTCTTACTTATCTTGCAAGGTTATACGCTGCCCTATTTTTCTTTTTAAAAATGCTTCCTTTGAACATGTTCTTTTGTACTGTCAGTTTGACACAGCACGCCGAAATACTCTTAATGGCCCCAGTCCTGGCTAGTAAAACAGGATATAATGACCAGCAATACAAACAATTCTTACTTTCTAATATTAATCCTGAAATAACATATAACACTGCCAGGTTCTGTGTTGTGGCACACAAAATTAAAGAATAATCAAGAACTTGTTTGAGTAGGGAATAGTTTTTTACCCACTGGTCTTTTTTTTTTTATGTCAGCTACCTTCCTATGATTTGTCAGAGACTCTATAATTTTAGATATTAGGTTAGTTTTAACCAATAAGAATGAAGCTTTTTAGCCTATTTTTCTACGCATCGCTCCTGATTTATTTTTGAGTGCTCTGAGTATTTGAATGAAGACTTATTTTCTTTTCTGCTGGTGAATGACTGCAATTATTTGATTTGAAAGATGCTTCCTTTTTGTAAAATCCTTTTTGTGGGAATCGGTCTCCTTCCCCCTTCCTCTTCCAGGTCAACTCACAATTTCATCCTCCAGGTCACGGTTGAACTGGTGCTCCTCTTTGGAGGCCAACAGCTTCTTGCAGCGGTCCCGCAGCGGCGCCCTCAGCTCCGTAAATTTTCCCTCCACCGTCCGCAATTTCCCATCCACTTCCACCGTGTTGGAATCCTCCTGGCTGAGGGCCAAGGCCTGAGCCTTCAGCCCTTCCACCTCTTTCTCCCGCACGTCCATCTGGTTCTCCAGCAACTGGAGGTGAGAAGGAAAGCCAAGGGTCAAGGAGCATTCTCAACCACATCTACAAGCTCACCCACTCACCCACAAGTGCACCATTTTTTTTTTTTTAAAAAAGCACCTCTTTTCTTACGATAGCAATAATTCCACCTGGGGCTCCCCTTAAAGAAGATCTGGAGATTTCAGTTGGTTCGGAATTGCAGCAGCCCAAAGAGTTTTGCACAAGCCTAGAGTTGCATGACTGGCTGCCAATCTGCTCCCAGGTACATTTTAAGCTGATTTCTCAAATATTGACACCATCGTGTCCTTCCTATGATGCCAAATGTCAACTCATTTACCTGCTGTTTCTTGAGCAAAATGTTGACACTGGTCAGGTCCTTGCCATAGTCGTCAGAGTGTAGTTGAGCCTGCAGGCCGCTGAGCCATGCCTCCAGGGCCGAACAGCTCTGGGTGAAGAGCTCAGCCCGGTTGGCATCAAAGAGGCACCGAGCTTTGCTCTGGGTGCTGGATTCCAATTCTTCCCAGAGCTTCTGAAGGTCATCCAGCTTGGCTCTCACCACGGGCTCCAGTTCGGGCTTCTCTGACACCAGCTGCTCCCCTTCCTGCCAAAAAAGGAGAGATGGGAGAAGAGGAATGTCTTCTAAGAATGTACACAAGGAGGTACGTTGCTTACAACCGAGGCGGACATCCCTCGGATACATGGCGCTGAATTCTGGGAATCACTTCCGGGGAAACAAGGGTTAAAAATGAAGCTGGGACTCCAAATGTTTCCTGTAAAATAGGGGAGAAAAAACAGAGTCCCCTGAACAATAGCTTTTGGTACAGCCCGGGGAGATCTCGTTGATTTCAGAATCGGCACATGGGTTTGGGTTTTTTTTTTGCCATTCTAAACAGTGAAATGCAGGTAGTCTTCAACTTATGACCACAATTGGGACCAGAACTTCTAACATTAAGCAATGTGGCCGTTAAGTGAATTTTGCCTGACTTTACAGCCTTGTTGGTCATTAAGTGAGTCACATGGTCATCAGGCAAACCATACAGTTGTTAAGTGAATCTGACTTTCCTTGACAGAAGACCCCTGGAAGGTCACAAATGGCAATCATGTTATTCTGGGCTGCTGCAACTGTCGCAATGCATGCTGGTTGTCAAGAACCCAATTTTGATCATTTGACATAGGGATGCTGCCATGGTCATAAGTGTGAGGACCAACTGTAGGTCACTTTTTTTGAGTGCTGTCCTAACTTCAAAAATGTGTTAAACAAGCTGAGGAATACTGGTATGTTAACTTGGTAGCGTAAACCCTAAAACAGTTTGGAAGAAAAATAGCTCCCAGCTTTGCCAAGAAAATCTCAAACAGCACCTCAAGTCCTGCCCACATGCTGGATAGAACCTAGCCTGTTTCACACCACTGCCTGCTTACTGACACCATCCTCCTGCACAAAATGGCTAATTCTGCAAACTCCTGCCCCAAATCCTGCTTTAAGGGCCAGAGTATCTATCTACGCTCCAAGGTTAGATTAGAGGTGATTGAAGAGAGAGAACACATTCTCTGTCATAATGTGCTCTGAACTTTTCCCTTAGCAAAATTAAAACACCCAAGTGACATTATCACGCAATCCCATCAGGTGGGGAAGAAGGAAGTGCCCCTGAGCATACGCAGCATGCTCTCGTCTCGCTGCGGAAGGAACCTCTGCTGCTTGACATTAGCTGACTGGGCTTTGGAGGTGTGAGGTGGATCTGACAGCTGCCCTATCAGGAAACCGACCATTTGGCATGTGCAGAGTATGTTTTTCGTAGACAAAAGGATGCAATCTCAACAGGACCTAATTTTCCAACGCTGGAAGGAAAGGAAGGGTGAGCTAAAGAAGAAAGACAGCCAAGCCAAGCCAAGAGCAACGGATGTCATCCCTATTTAAGCCCACCTTCTGGATCTTTTCAAGCCAGCCCTTGTTGGAGGCCAACTCCGCCATGAAAGCCTGGTGCTTCTGCCACTTGGTGTGGAGGTTCCGGGCTTCGTCGTAGGACATGTCCTGAGCTGACAGCATCTTCTCATTGATCCACAGGGTGAGCTGGAGGAGAGACAAGAGCGATGGGTTCAAGCATCAACTTAACCTGGGAAAGCCAGAGTCTTGTCAGTGCCACGGTGACTTCAGGTGGCTGCTAAAATGCATGCCTGCAAGTTGATGACTGCTTGTATGCAGGAGCTGGAGTATAGTTTCTATCTTCCTTTCAACCAAAACTTTATGCCAGTGATGGCAAACCTTTTAGAGACCAAGTGCCCCAAAACCGCCCCCCATCCCTGCTCTGCCTCTTATCTTAGCAGTCTTGACACCCGCCCTGCCTGCTCCACCCCGCTGCCCCCTGCCCCACCCACCCACAGGGCCATGCACTGCCTCCATGGCCCACCACAGCAGATCGCCCAGGCAGTCCTGCAGCACCATGGCAGCCACGCCCTCCGCCCACACCCCGCAGCATCATCTGCATGCTATGGGGCATGAGGGCGGAGTCGTGTCCCTGCTGCCCGGCTATGTCCTTGGCTGCGCTGTTCCATGCCGGCTATTCCTGTGGGCGACTCTCCTCCAGAGGGCTGCTGGTGAGGAGGGGGCCACGGGGAGAGGTGGGGCTGGGGCAACAGCACCTGTGCCCACAGAGAGGGCTCCGAGTGCCGCCTCTGGCACCCGTGCCATAGGTTCGCCACCACTGCCTTATGCCCTCTAGCAGCACGTCCCCCATCACCTAATCAATTGCCTCCCAGCTACTCCCAGCCCTGAACCGAGGGACTCACCTCCTGACAATCTTGCAGGAAATGTTGAAGCACTCTATTGTCCCGAAGCCGGGCCAGGAGATCTTGAGCTGCTTCTTGATTTTTCCTGTGTCTGAAAGCAGATAGGATGGAGAAGAAGCAGAGAGGAAGACACGGGGGGGGGGGGCTTGAGTTAATCATATATCGTCCCTCGAGGGTAATCCCAACTGAGCAGCATCGCTTGCAAGATAATGGAGAACGCCTGATTAATATTTGAGGAGATCGATTCTATGCACTTACTTCCTCAACCTTGCTGTCTACTGCGTATTCTGGGGATTGCAGTCCTAACCTTTACAGCAGTTTTTCTCAAGACGCTTTAATTCCCCCACGCTGGCTGGGGAATTCTGGGAGTTGAAGTCCACACATCTTAAAAGTGGCTAAGCTTGAGAAAACAGGGCTTGGACTAGCACAGTGGTTCTCAACCTTTTTAATGCCGCGACCCCCCAACCGGTCGTAAGTCGAGGACTACTCAACTGGTGCAGCACCCTTTGCAGAATGGGACCTTTGGCGGGCTCAGCAGGGCAGAGACAGCCTGGACAATTCCTATTGGCTTTTGAAAGCCAATAGAATTAGACTCTATTCAAGAGAGTCTATTCTATTGGCTTTCAAAAGCCAATATAATAAAAGGGAGGAGCACAGCTAAGGAAAAGGGGGAAAAAAATGGCGGACTGCGTTGTTTGGCGAGCCCCGTGAAATGGTCGTTCGACCCCAGATGGGGTCCCGATCCACAGGTTGAGAACCACTGGACTAGCAAGAAGCAGCAGCAGCAGAGTTTCTGTCACAAGTCCCCAGTTGGGCCCTCATGCCGTGAGCTCCCATGGGTTTTGTGCTTTCCACGAGAACTCAGTGTTACCTACATTATTATCATGTATTTATTTGTATCCCACCTTTATTATTCTTTACCAATAACTCAAGGCATCAGACATACCCAATCCTGTACGTAATGTCTCCGTAACGTCTTGCTATCCAAGTGTACTCAACAATTTCAGAATCCCCCCTCCACACACGTTTTCTGAATAGTTTTTATCCCAGAGCTATAATTGCACTCAATAATGAACTAAAGGGCCACCATCAGTGAACTGTTGGACAGTATTACTTGGTCTGTTGGGTGGATGTTTGGGTGGTTTTAGGGGTGGGTGGGAGTGTGGTTGGGGATTATGTGTGTGGGACGTAAATTTCGTTGTATGTGTATACTGTGTATACACATACAATGACAATAAAGTTTATTTATTTTATTTATTTATGAGGACTTGGACCTTTTAACAAAATCATACAGGCTGGCAAGCTCTAATAGCCCTAAGCAAAAGATATCTTGTTCCATGTAAAATAGGAAAGAACAACAACGTGCAGGGGTTTTAGCGTGGTTTAAACCATCCCTGTCGGCCGATCACATTTTTATCCTTCGCTTCCTCTGAGCAGCTTAGGGCAACGTGGGTGGCTCTCCTTCAAACTTTATCCTGGCAATTATCCTACAGGGTAGATTAGCCTGAATAACTGGCTCACCATTCACTGCTGAGTGGAGATTTGACTGCAGCGTCTTGTGCTTTTTTTTTTAATAGTACTAGGAAATCACATTCTCTTTCCGGGTTACTCTACATGCCCTGGCAAGGGAGCCTGTGGAGGCAACACCACCTCCTTCTCCTACTTGAGTTCCCTGGCCTGGAATTACATTTTTTGCCCACAGCCTTCCTGCTCACCGACTGTCAATAGAATTGACCTTCTCCTGGATCTTATCGGAGTGCAGACTGTCTTCCAGAATGAGTTTCCGCCCAGAGTCAACCAGGCCTTTGATCTTCTCGCCGTTGGCTTCCATGGTGGTCATGAAATCTTCGTGTTTCTTAATGGCAGCCTCGGCAGCCTGGAGAGAGCTGGGCATGCTGGTGTGAGTCAATACATATTCCTGTCAGGGAGAGAGGACAGGAGGAAGAGAGCGAGGGAGGGAGGCAAAAAGAAAAATTATGATTTAGCATAGGATGAGAACACGGCAAAGGAGAAATAAACATACACACGCAATCCACAGAACTCTATACACAATTTTGACGAGGGTACGAAAGGCAGAGAGAAAAGGAAGGAAGGAAGGAAGGAAGGAAGGAAGGAAGGAAGGAAGGAAGGAAGGAAGGAAGGAAGGAAGGAAGGAGAAAGGGAGGGAGGGAAGAAGGAAGGCAGAGAGAAATAGGAGGGAAAAGACGGAGGGAGGGAGGGAGGGAAGGAAGGAAAGAGAAAGAGAAGGAGGGAGGGAGAAAGGCAGAGAGAAATAGAAGGAAGGAAGGAAGGAAGGAAGGAAGGAAGGAAGGAAGGAAGGAAGGAAAGAAAGAAGGAAAGAGAAAGGGAGGGAGGAAGGAAGGAAGGCAGAGAGAAATAGAAGGAGGGAAAAGAGGGAGGGAGGGAAGGAAGGAAGGAAGGAAGGAAGGAAGGAAGGAAGGAAGGAAGGAAGGAAGGAAGGAAGGAAAAGAGAAGGAGGGAGGGAGGGAGGGAAGGAAAAGAGGAAGGGAAATAAAGAAAGAGAAGGGAAGTCACAAGAAAAAAAACCACAACGCAAACGAACAATTGGTCCTGTGAAGTAGCTAAACAAAACTTCAGCCTCTAACTACAAGCCCACCCCCCCGCCCGGTCTCCCCCCCCCCAAACTGCTCTCTGCTTTACCTGGTTGCTGAGCACTCCTTCCACTTGCTTGGTGTCCCTCAGGAAGATCTGGAAGCCGTAAGCCCGCGAAAGCAGCTGGTGCCGGTTCTCCCACATCTGCCCGAGTTCATTCCAGCCCGTATCCAGGGCCTGAAGGCGCTGCTGAAGGAACATGTGCTGGGCGTCGGTGTGGCCTTGCGTCACTTCTTCCCCCATGGTCCGCAAGCGCTGGTAGTCGCCCTTGTAATGGTCCACCTCGTTTCGGATGCTCTCGTGTTGGCTCAGCCGCTGCTCCGCCTCCGGCAGGGTGGCCGGCACGTCCTCCGAGGCAATGGCGGTCTGGGTTCGCAAGAGCCACGCCTGGAAGTCGTCCAGGTCGCGCAGGAAACCCTGAAGCTTGCTGGCCTCTCCCAGGGATTCCTCGCGACGCCGCATGGTTCCTCGCAGCTCGTCCCAAGTCCCGTCGATTTCGGCCAGCCGGCTGGAGATGGCGGCGGCTTGCTCCGGGTGCTGGGCCGCCAAGCGGTCCGCCTCGTCGTGCAAGTCCGTGACTTTGCCCTGGATGGCCTCCAGATCCCGCTCCATGCCGGCCAGCTTGCGCTGCAGAGCCATCACCCCTGCCAGGTCGTTGCCCAGATCTTGGGTCGATTCGATCACCTTGGTTTTCTCCCGCATCCAGGCCTTGGTTTCGTTGCACTCCAAGAAGTAGTTCTGGATGCTGAGGGCCGAGGTCAAAGCCTCCTTCTTTTGGCTTGCCAAGGCCTGGAACTGCTGCCACCTGGAAACAGGAAAGGAGATGAGTCCTAAGGAGACGCCAGAGGGCTGGCTGAGGAATTCTGGGAGTTGAAGTCCACAAGTCTTGGGTGCTCCCCAATCTTTTGAAACTTTACAGGCAGGCTGTGGGCCCTCTCACAAATTGCCAGCCACGATGGACAATTCCTATTGGCTTTGGAAAGCCAATAGAATTAGACTCTATTCAAGAGAGTCTCTTCTATTGGCTTTCAAAAGCCAATAGAATAAAAGGGAGTGGCACAGCTAAGGAAAAGGGGGTAAAAAATGGCGGACTGCGTTGTTTGGCGACCCCCGTGAAATGGTCGTTCGACCCCAAATGGGGTCCCGACCCACAGGTGGAGAACCACTGCTCTAGAGGATGTTTTTTTTCACTTGTATCTTATTTTTATTTTATTTTTTCCTGGGCAGAAGAACAGGCAGTTTCGGCCTCCACTCTCCATTTCTATTTTTTCTGAGAACGCCTCAGGGATCCACAGCCAGCAAATTGGCGCGCGGGGGTAGGTGGGTGGGTGGGTTGGAAATTGCTGAAAGCTGCTGCTCTGCTTTACAGCATGCCAGCTTTCCCCTTAATCTCTTTTAATTAAAACCCTTGAGAAGCTTTAAGGCAGGTGGGGCAAAGCGTTAGAAGCTTTTGGCTTCCTTTGAAGTTCGCAATAGCTGATTTTGCCCCATTCCTCTCCCTGTCTGGTCTCCATCCCTCCTCTTGTACCTCTGGGCCAGGGGTGGCGAACCTATGGCCCGCGTGCCAGAGACGGCACTCAGAGCCCTCTCTGTTGGCCCACGCACCACCGCCGCCTGCAAGTCTATCAGGCTGCCGCCGCTGCCCGGAGCAGGAGCCCCACCCAGCACAAAGGAGGCGAAGCGGCCGACTAGCAAGCTTGAGTAGAGGTGGTAGAGCAGAAGGCACCAACCTTTGTCGATTGGTGGATGGGAAGAAGAGGGGGAAGCATTTTACATGCATGCATGTGCATGGGGGCCGCGAGCACACACGCGCTGCAAATGGGGTAGGGCTAGTGCCTGCATGATCCTCACGAGCCCTGCCCCGTTCTTGCATGGTGCAGCAAGTTGAGACTCTAGAAAGGGTGCAGAGAAGAGCAACAAAGATGATCAGGGGATTGGAGGATAAAACATACACGGAACGGTTGCTGGAATTGGGGATGTCTTGTTTAACGAAGAGAAGGACGAGGGAGGGCATGATAGCAGTGTTCCAATATCTCAGGGGCTGCCATAAAGAAGAGGGAATCAAGCTATTTTCCAAAGCACCTGAAGGCAGGAGAAGAAGCAACGGATGGAAACTAACCAAGGAGAGAAGCAGCCTAGAACTAAGGAGAAACTTCCTGACAGTGAGAACAATTAACCAGTGGAACCACCTGCCTCCAGAAGCGGTGAATGCTCCAACACTGGAAGTTTTTAAGAAGAGACTGGACAGCCATTTGTCCGAAATGGTGTAGGGTTTCCTGCCTGAGCAGGGGGTTGGACTAGATGACCTCCAAGGTCCCTTCCAACTTTACTACTACTACTACTACTACTACTACTACTACTACTTACTATTATTATTATTATTATGGATCATCGCACAGTCAGCCAGATGTTCAGACTGGATTTGGCATTTTGTCTACCTATCGAGTCCTTACCCAGGACCTGGGATAGGCAGATGTGGATGTTTGATGGTATTACAGATATCGTCGCAGGATGGAAGCAGTTCCTATTATTATTATTATTATTATTAGCACCCCGTGGCACAACGGCGGCCATTTTTGCGTCTTGCAGCACAGTGGCCCATTTTTGCACACACACACCCGGTTCTTGTGTGCCAGAGGCGGCACTCAGACGTGCCTCCCTGCCCCTCCCCCCGCCCCTGAGGGCACCGCAATGCTGATGCGGCCCTGGCACTTTGCGATTAAATAAGTGGGTTTTGGGTTGCGGTTGGGGCACTCGGTCTCTGAAAGGTTCGCCATCACTGCTCTGGGCACTTACCGGCTGTTGAGCTGTTCCTGAGTGGCTTGAATGCTCTCCTTGTTCCTGTGATCGGCGCCCAAAAGCTGGCTTGCAATCTCGTTCACGGCCGCGATCCGAGAGGCCAGGTTGTTCATTTCTGGCTCCAGGGTCTCAAACCTGAGTCACCAGGAATCAAAAGAGATGAGAGCTGTGTGAAAAGGAGTCTGCAGCCTTCCAGCCGTCTAGCTCTGCCTCCCAGCAGGAATAAAGCTCTGTCTGTTATTTTCGACCCCCAGGTAGTCCCTCGGATTACAACCGCTCGTTTAGCGACCGCTGGAAGTTGCCACGGCGCTATAGAAAGGGACTTTCTCGTGCTTACAAGCATCGCAGCCTCCCCACACGCGATCAAAATTTGGGCGCTCGGCAACCAGCATGTATTTACGATGGCTGCAGAGTCCTGGGGTCACGCGATCCCCACTCGTGACTTTCCCAGCCAGCTTCCAACAAGCAAAGTCAATGGGGAAAGCTAGATTCACTCAATGACATGTTTCACTTAACAACAGCAGAGAGAAGCTTAACCATAGCGGGGGGGGGAATTAAGTGTGACTCATTTAACAGCCGCTTTGCTTCACAATGGAAAGTCTGCTCCCAAAGTATTCGTAAGTCAGGGACTCCCTGTACAGCTGCCCAACCAAGAACATCGTTTTAGCTTTTCATAATTTAAAAATGGCGGCGACAAATAAGACAGTGGAAATAGCCAACAGCAGGGCGCCTGCTTTCTTGGCTGCAGGGCTAGGACGGAGCAGAATAGAAAATCTGTGAATTAATACTTCCCTAAGGGGTTTGGCACTAATCCCTGGCACGCTGAACAACATGTAAGGAGGGACACTTGGTTCCTGAACTCCCAAATACGATTAGGATCTTGTTCCCATTTTAATTTTCAATTTCTCCACTTGGTTTATGGATTTTTTTTTTTTTTTTAAGCTGGGCCTGTGTTATTCAGAAGCCCAGTGCCAAGCAAGGTAACCATCTATCCACCAATCTTTGTAAACCCAGAATGCTTAGCTTTCTTAGCAGCATTCTGGGGAAAAATAACTGGTGCAGCACCGTTTGCAGAATGGGACTTTGGGCGGGCTCAGCAGGGCAGACACAGCCTGGACAATTCCTATTGGCTTTGGAAAGCCAATAGAATTAGACTCTATTCAAGAGAGTCTATCCTATTGGCTTTCAAAAGCCAATAGAATAAAAGGGAGTAGCACAGCTAAGGAAAAGGGGGAAAAAATGGCGGACTGCATTGTTTGGCGACCCCCGTGAAATGGTCCTTCGACCCCAAATGGGGTCCCGACCCACAGGTTGAGAACCACTGGGTTATACATAAAAATAATGATGATGGGATAAATTAGTAAACAAAAGCAATTAAGTAAATAAAAACAAATCAAAGTCCTCCCACTTCCTGGACATGTGGTAAGGCAAAGGCCTATTGGAGAAAGATACATACGTGGTTAGAAAAAATATTGGGTGAACAAGTGGATTTTAAACCTGAACTTTTTTTTACTAGGTATGATGCCTGAAAAGACTAATAAGCAGAAACTATATTTAATCTTACACATCACTACAGCAGCGAGAATAATTTTTGCACAATACTGGAAGAATGAAGGACTGCCATCAGAGGAAGAAATAATCAGGAAGATATTGGAATGTGCAGAGATGGACAGATTAACTATGAGGTTGAAAGATAAAGAAGATACAGACTACTATCAAATTGGGAACCTATTTTATTCTTGGCTAGAGGAAAGAATGAAGGATTAGGAATTGAACATGTATTAGCATGGCAAACTCCAGACAACTTGTTAATTGGAAAAATTAACATATGTTGATGGAAAAAAAAAACCAATAAAATCTTTTTTAAAAAAACAAAGTCCTCCCACTTCCCCAGATGTCCTCCAAAATTTTATTCTTGCCCCCCCGTCCTCACTTGCAGCCTGCTGCTCCCCCTTGGCTAGCAAAAAAAGGGCCAGGTGCACCTTGGGAAAAGGGGGCACGTACCTTTGCTGCACCACTTCCAGATCCTCCAACCTCTCCGGCACGTCCATCGTTTCGATCCAGTACTCCCTCTCGCTGATCCAAAGGCTGCAAGCGTCGGCCTCGCTGAACATCTTGTAAAGGTTAAGCGCGTCCTGCAGGGCCTGCTTGCGATGCTCGGCCAGATCCACCAGTTCTTCGTAGCGCTGCTCCAGGGCGGGCAAGCGCCCGTCCACTTCCGGGGAATGGGCAAAGTTGGGGGGCAAGCTGCGGGCCTGCTCGTGGAGGGCATCCAGGGCCGGCCGATGGTTGTGAATCTCTTCCTCCACGTCTTTGTGCTTCTTGACCAGGCTCTGGGTGGAGTATTCGTCGTGGCCCATGTCAGAGCTGGAGACCAAGCGGAGAGTGTCCAGCAACCAGGCCTCCATGTCGTTGGCATCAGCCTGGAACTGATAAAGGTTGGAGCCTTGGAGAAGACGCCGCTCCCGCTCGCTTGACAGGGTCTCCAGCTGTTCCCACTGCTCTTCAATTTCCTGAATGCGCTCGGCCACCTCGGTAGCGCCAAAGTGGCCCTCGGCCACCAGCTGGCGGCCCGCGGCAATGCTCTGTTGCAACGGCCCGGCCCGGCCCGTCATCTCGTCGCGGAAAGCGTTGTGCTTGCTGGTAAGGCGCAGCACGCTGGTCAAGTCCTTGCCGAAGTCATCCGAGGAGAGGATCTGGCTCTGTTCGCGGATCCAGGCCTCTTCCTCCCCCATGTCCCAGAAGAACTTCCAGAGGCGGCGCGACTCCTCCAGCTTGGCGCGGCGTTGGGCGGCCAAGGCCACCAGCTCCTGATAGCACCGGTTTAGCGTTGCCACTCGCTCTTGGACCAGGTGGGGATCACAGGGTTTGTATCCTGCAGGGATAGAAAATTGAGGGCTGGGTTCGCATGACACTCTTCGGGGGCTCAAGTAAAAGTCTAAAGTCCCTGCATTCGCACAACGGGCTGAGCCGGTTTTAGTCTGCACAGCGGCAAATGCGTTACCTCGTTAACCAAGTGATCGGCAGATAATCTTGGCTTACAACCACAATTCGTGACCAGAATTTCTGTGGCTAAGCAAGATGGTGTCTAAGCGAGGAGCCCCTGATTTTCCAACCTTTCCTCTCGCAGTTATTACGGGAATCACTGCAGTTGTTAAATGAATTTAGGCGGCGGTTAAGCGAATTCGACCTCTCCGATTGACTTTGGGGATTGGATGCTGGCTGGGAAGGTTGCCGCCAATGGCAGTCACGTGACCCTGGGACGCTGCAGCTACGGGAGATAGATGCTGGCTGCCAAGCAATTGAATTGTAATCACGTGACCGTGGGATGCTGTGACAGTCATAAGTGCGAGGTAGCTCACTTTTTCTCGGTGCCGTTCTGTCTTTGGACTGTCGCTAAATGAATGGTTGTAAGTCAAGGACAATCTACCTTTTATTGATTAATTCATCCATTTTTTACACCTAAATAACTCTGGATGGTTTACAAATAAAAGGTACGAGATTCTATGAATTCAGCCTAGGAGCCCGTTCAGAGACACAAAGAAAGGAGACAATCTAGCTGGGATTACAACTGATTTCCGTGGACAACAGTCTTGGCAGTGAGAAATACAGAGAGCTGAAGTCCTAATGCAGGGAAGTCCAACCTTGACAACGTTAAGACTTGTGGACTTCAAGTCCCAGAATTCCCCAGCCAGCCATGGCTGGCTGGGGAATTCTGGGACTTGAAGTCCACAAGTCTTAACCTTGTGAAGGTTGGACACCCCTGTCTTAATGTATTGTTGGCAGTGAACAGTAAAGCCTGGATTGCAATTACGTATGCCTCTTAATTTTAATATTGTTTGATTAAGGGTTAGCACCTTCTCCCGGAGTAGCAAAACGCTGAGCCGCAGCACAGATGGCTTTTACCCGTTCGGCCTGGGCAGCAATGTCAGCTTCCACCAGAGCGTGGATCTGAAGGAGGTCCTCCACACCATGCAAATGTTTCCCAAAGTCCTGAGATTGGAGGCGAACCTACAAGAAAACACTTCAATAGGTCAGAGAACATCTCTTTATTTTTATTACGTGTCTACGTACATATTTTTCAGGGTAGACGCCAAACAGGTGTCTCTTGTATATTTGGTTTTCCCATTTATACTTCTGGAAACGGGAAAAGACCTCTCTAGCCAAGAGTGGGGTTGCATATAGGGCAGTGGTGGCGAACCTATGGCACGGGTGCCAGAGGCGGCACTCAGAGCCCTCTCTCTGGGCATGCATGCACGCCGTCGCCCCAGTCCTAGGCCTTCTGCTGGCCTTTATAAAACCTTCTCACTTTAGACCTCCACCATGTGCCCAAAAAAAAAAAAAAAAAAAAAGGTTCAATCAATAAATTTCAACTTCTCGCGGGAAAAAAAAAAGATCTCGCAAAGTTGGACTTGATTGATTGAACTTTTTAGTCCCACCTAGCCTGCCATTACCGCCACAGCCACGCCCACCCAATGGGCCACACCCACCCAATGGGCCACACCCACCCGGCACCCAACGATGCATAAGTGGGTTTTGGGTTGCAGTTTGGGCACTCGGTCTGTAAAAGGTTCGCCAAACTTTCTCCACGGAACTGATCCCTGGTGCCCAAAATCTTGGGGATCACTTATTTCAGACAAATGGTTGTCCAGCCCGTTCTTAAAAAAACTCCAGTGTTCGAGCATTCACAACTTCTGGTGGCAGGTTGTTCCGCTGGTTAATTGTTCTCACTGTCAGGAAATTTCTCCTTAGTTCTAGGTTGCTTCTCTCCTTGATTAGTTTCCATCCATCCACTTAAAAATAGTCTTGCTTAACAAACAGAAATGTTGGGCTCAATTGTCATTGTAAGTTGAGGACTATCTATGTTGGTAAACCCCTGAACTGGATTAAATTGGAGCAAACAGATTCCTGTTTGTTTTGGTGGTGTTTGTAATCCAAGTTAAAATGACTGATACGGTTCCTCGAGGACCATTCCTAGACCTTCTTCTTCTTCTCCTCCTCCTCCTCCTCCTCCTCCTCCTCCTCCTCCACCAATCTTCTGGCCCGCTTACCTTCATTTCTTCCAACCAATCCATGAGGTAGGTCAAGTCCTGAAGCATCTTCTGCAGCTCAAAGTGAAGCAAGAGGCGCTCGCGGCGCACGGCCACCAGTTCGCGGAGGTAGTCCCAGAGCCGCACCACGTTATTCTTGCGGGCCAGCACCCGCTTGATGTCATGGTAGCCCTCTGCCTCCAACTCATCAGCCACGGCAGTCACAGCGGTCACACGCTCGTTGTAAGCCACAATGTCTGTCTCGATCGCTTCGTGTTTGCGTACGGCAGCCTCCACTGCTGAAATATCCGAGCCAAAGTTATCCTGCAGGGTTTTTTTGGGGGGGGAGAGGGGGGAGAGAGGCAGAGAATGGCTTATCATCCTTCAGGGAAGGTATTTATTTATTGATATCCTGCCTTTGTTATTTTTAGAAGTAACTCATGGCAGCAAATACTGTATATCCGATACCTTTCTCCTCCTGTTTTCCTCACAAGAACACCCCTGTGAGGTGCATTGGGCTGAGAGGGAGTGATTGGCCCAAGCTTTCATGCCTCAGGTGGGACTAGAACTCATCATCTCCTGGTAATTGGCCCAAAGTCACCCAGCTGGTTTTTGTGCTAAGGCAGGACTAGAACTCACCATCTCCTGGTGATTGGCCCAAAGTCAGACAGCTGCTTTCATGCCTAAAGCGGGACTAGAATTCATAGTCTGTTGGTCATTGGCCCAAATCACTCAGCTGGCTTTCATTCCTAAAACAGGACTAGAACTCACAGTCTCCTAGTTTCTAAGCCAGCAGCTTAACCACTAGACCAAACTGCCTCTCTGTCCCACATCCAACTAACCAAACTGCCTCTCTGTCCCACATCCAACTATCTCAGTGGTTCTCAACCTGTGGGTCGGGACCTCATTTGGGGTCGAATGACCATTTCACGGGGGTCGCCAAACAACGCAGTCCGCCATTTTTTTTTCCTCTTTTCCTTAGCTGTGCTACTCCCTTTTATTCTATTGGCTTTTGAAAGCCAATAGAATAGACTCTCTTGAATAGTGTCTAATTCTATTAGCTTTCAAAAGCCAATAGGAATTGTCCAGGCTGTCTCTGCCCTGCTGAGCCCGCCAAAAGCCCCATTCTGCAAACGGTGCTGCACCAGTTGAGTAGTCCTCGACTTACGGCTGTTTGAGTAGTCCTCGACTTACGACCGGTTGGGGGTCACGGCATTAAACAGGTTGAGAACCACTGAACTAGATCAATAGTCGGATGTGGGATAGCAAGGAGATCAATAAGCAGGACGCTATGTGAGGGATGAATAAGAGCTGGGAAGTATGAAGTGTTTGGTGGGTTTTTATGAAGGAGAGGAAACATTTAATTAAAGTGACACGCCCCGTGCGCCCACAAACAAGGCTATTGTGCTTTGTGGAACTGCTTCATCTTTCTGGCCATCAAATATCAAACAATCCCAAGGCTCAACCAAGGCATTTTGCTGCCTGGGATAAACAACATTATGGCAACCCTCTCTGCTCTCTACGCAGAAACATTTAAGATACACAATGCAATTTCACTTCCGAGTTAAGATCAGAAAGTTAAACAGCTAAACATCTGTAGACACCAGAGGACCGATGACATTTGAGAACAGTTTCCGGGGCTTTCTCAAATTGAAGAAAAATCTATGTTTTTAATTTAAAAGAATGGGTGACATCTTGCGACATTTTCCACTTCCTAGCAGCCTTGTATAAAACAAGGGGAGGAGACACTGCAATCTCCATCCCAGCACTAGAAGTGAAGTCTTGACAGTAAGACGTTCCCAGCTGTCTCGCTCTGGTTAAAAGTTGGCAACAAGGACAGGCAGGTGATGTCTATATCAACCCACCTTGGTGCAAAGTGGAATTCAGAGCCTGTGAAATCTCAGGGAATAATCCAGGGGAGGTTTCAACCTGCCGTTGGGGCCAGGTAGATCTTTCCATTCAGGACTGACCTGAGAGACGAGGCGCTGGTTTTCACTCAGCCAAGTTTCACGCATGGCTGCTTTGCGGTCGAAGCGAGCTGTCAGTTGTTCCAGTTTCTCTTGCCGAATCAGCTCATTGCGCAACGCCAGCTCCCGCTCGTGTTCTGCCTTTTCCAGACGCTCCCAACCCTGCGGACCGTTTGGTGGAGAGAGAAGATAATTTATTTATTGGAAACCTGAAGGGGTGAAGAAAAGGGAAGGTTTCAAAGCGCCAGGATTTCATGTGGCATCTCATAATGGCATCACAGGGACAAAGAACATTTGACATGCTTAGAAGCCCTGTTTTCAAAACCAAGTTAAAACTACAGCCTCCTGTCTTGGCCTTAACTATAACCCAGATTTCAAAGAGTGGATTAATCATTAATCATGATTAGCTGATAGCTTCCACTGGAATCCAGAAGCACTGGCTCTTGATTTTTAAGGTATTCTTGGAACTCTCCCCTATTAGTAATATTTGCCTTGTTTATTTGTTTAACGGGCTGCTATTGTCTTTCCAATGAAAATCAGGGTGGCAGTTTCTGAAAAATACGCAAAGGGATCCATCAGAATGTATTGTGATTTTTCTAAAGACCGGCCTTTTTCTGTATACAAGAGGCAATAAAAGGCAGGATGGGTATCAGAGAGGCTCATACTTTTTATTAAGTCATAAAAGATGGTTTACAACTTCCTAGGACTGGGTTCACTAACCTAACCAAACAAAACCACACCATGCCTGATAGCGCAAAGTGCAAATGCAGCCGGAATCTGATTGGCTGAGTGAGAAATGCAGCCCTCCCACCCCTGAAGGCGGTTGACAGCGTAGGCTCCTTTGCAAATGGACTATCTCACCTTGTTGATGTCAGAAATAAGCCTGCCTTCCCGCGGTGTGTAAACTTTCTGATTGTTAGCTCTCATTTTACTCTGGATGGTGAAGAGCAGAACTTCGAGATTCCCCTTCTCCGTGAATCTAAGCGTGAAATAAAACATTTTAGTTAATAATGGTTAACTAAAAAAAAAAAACCACAGCCAAGGTGCAAGCATGCACATTTCTAAACGCAGGCAGCTGCTTAACACATCTCCTGGCGTGAGATCCTATGGCAGTGGTGGCGAACCTATGGCACAGTGGTTCTCAACCTGTGGGTCTGGACCCCATTTGGGGTCGAACGACCATTTCACGGGGGTCGCCAAACAACGCAGTCCGCCATTTTTTTTCCCCCTTTTCCTTAGCTGTGCTACTCCCTTTTATTCTATTGGCTTTTGAAAGCCAATAGAATAGACTCTCTTGAATAGAGTCTAATTCTGTTGGCTTTCCTAAGCCAATAGGAATTGTCCAGGCTGTCTCTGCCCTGCTGAGCCCGCCAAAAGTCCCATTCTGCAAACGGTGCTGCACCAGTTGAGTAGTCCTTGACTTACGACCGGTTGAGTAGTCCTCGACTTACAACCGGTTGGGGGTCGCAGCAGTAAAAAGGTTGAGAACCACTGCTATGGCACGTGTGCCAGAGGCAGCACTCAAGAGCCTTCTCTGTGGGCACACACGCTATCACCGCAGCCCCACCTCCCCGCTACTCATCAGCACTTCCCCCAGAGGAGAGTCGCCCCCGGGCACGGCTTGCGTGGAGTAGCGCAGCCAAGGACATGGCAGCCGGGCAGCAGCAAAAGACTCCACCCTCATGCCCCATGGCCCTCATGGTGCTGTTGGGCCGCCTGGGCGATCTGCTGCGGCAGGCCGTGGAGGCAGTGCGTGGCCCTGTGGGGGGGTGGGGTGGAGGTGGGAGGGGCAGGGCAGTTTTGGGGCACTCGGTCTCTACAAGGTTTGCCGTCACTGCCCTATGGATTTTAGAAAAATCGTATTTCTGGACAGCCCCCCCATAGGAGCAAGAGCATATCCAACAAACCTGTTGACACTTACTTGGGTGGCTTCTCCACGGTGCGATAGGTATTAAAAGCCTGCAACTGGTTCTGCACCCCACTCAGGCAGTTAGCCAGCTTCCGGTCATTCAAGGTCAAGATGGTCTGCTCAATCCACTGCAGAAGATCGGACGCCAGGATCTCGTACTTCTCTATCAGCTTGTCAGCTTCAATGGCATAGTCCAGTACCTGCCCCCCACCCAAAAAAAAAACAACACCTGAGTTATCCACTTGCTTTGGACAGACCTTGAGAAGACCTTCTTTAGGAGATGTATAAATCAGTGTTTCTCAACCTTGACAATTTTAAGGCATGTGGACTTCAACTCCCAGAAACACTGGTATAGATAGTCCTTGACTTACAACAATTGGGACCAGAACTTCCATGACTAAGCATAGTGGTTGCTGAGAGAGTCACACCTGATCGTTATGACCTTTTTTGGGGGGGGGCATGATTGTTTAGTGAATCACTGCAGTCGTTAAGTGAATCATGCAGACCATTAAGCGGATGCAGCTTCCCCCATTGGCTTTGCTGGTGGGGAAGGTCACAAAGGGTGATTGCATGAGCCTGGCATGCTGCAATCTTTATCAATCCGTGCAGATTGCCAAGCGTGAGGCTGCTGCAACGGTTGTAAGTGGGAGGACCAGCCATAAGTCACTTTTTCCAGTGGCATTGTTAACTTTGGTTGCTAAATGAATGGTTGTGAAGTCAAGTACTACTTGCATACCTAGGCTTTTTTAAAAAAAACAAGTTTTATTTAAATTTTTCAGTTTTTACATCCAGGTAATTAGGAAGCAGCATGGTGATAGGGTAATCAATAGTCCAAGAACAAAATCATTCATATATCTGTCAGGTTACGTCGTTAAAATTCCCTATTTCCCTTAATTATTATGTCATATTCAAATTAATACATTTCTAGCTAAAGCTCAATCGATCAACAGAATTGTCAATAACATTTTACTTATACATATCCAAGCCCTGTTTTTAAGTTTTACTTAATTCCATTTACCATGTTCCAATTTAGCCTTTAACAACCGTAATATTTAGACTTCGAGTAACCCTAATTTCCCGTTTTTTATTACAAAATAATTATCATGTCTAGAATACATATATTATTCCAAAAATTTCATAACCACAATATTTAAATTACCTAGGCTTTAAAGATCCACAATTGGTGGCTTAACCCACCCAAAACTTAACCCACCAGAAACCCACCAAATGATGTCTCTCTTACCGCTCTCATTTGCCCTGGATTTCCTGTTCCCCACCCCTCAATATGGCGCACACATATTCAATTGCTCAGCCTTCCTGGTTGGTACCTTTCCAATCCGCTTCCCTTCCACAGCCAAGGCCTTCATCTTAGAGAAATAGTGGTAGTAGGTGGCCACATAAGTGATGATGGATTTCTCATCAGGTTGGTCTACATTCACGTCTGGTGGGAAGCCAAGGAGAAAAGAGGCGGACAGAAACAAAGATTAATACTTCATTCTTTCCAGTTCCACTCAAGCACCATGTAGAAGGTGGAAGCAACTAGTTCAGTGGTTCTCAACCTGTGGGTCGGGACCCCATTTGGGGTCGAACGACCATTTCACAGGGGTCACCAAACAACGCAGTCCGCCATTTTTTTCCCCCTTTTCCTTAGCTGTGCTACTCCCTTTTATTCTATTGGCTTTTGAAAGCCAATAGAATAGACTCTCTGGAATAGAGTCTAATTCTATTGGCTTTCCTAAGCCAATAGGAATTGTCCAGGCTGTCTCTGCCCTGCAGAGCCTGCCAAAAGTCCCATTCTGCAAACGGTGCTGCACCAGTTGAGTAGTCCTCAACTTACAACCGGTTGGGGGTCGCGGCATTAAAAAGGTTGAGAACGACTGAACTAGTTGCTAAACCTTTCTCATAAGACCAGGATAGACTTTCTAGCTATCTGCATGAAAAAAACTTGCCAAATTTCCTATAGTTTTCTAAAACTGTCGCAGCAGCAGCCCAGAAGCACTGGAACCTGCTCAACAGGTAGAAGGTCTAAGTTTCCATCCTCATTTTTGCCAGGTTGGGCAGGACCAGACTTTGGTGCATGTGGTTGGATCAACCCTCCAAAAGGAGCTGTGAGGGAAGATGAGCATTTTTCAAACTGTGATGCTGAGCAATAGCACACTGTATTGGGTTTTTTCCACTCAGCTGGATCTGCTTCCTCTGCAAAGCTAGCTAAATCAATTCTCTACTGAGCTTGCAAAATTGGCCTAATATTCTCCATTGATCCCTCACAGGTCAATCAAAACAAGACTTGAACAGTGTTCCTCAATCTTGATAACTTGGAGATGTGTGATCTTTCAGTTCCCAGAATTCCTCAGCCGACCAAGCTGGCCAGGAAATTCTGGGAGTTGAAGCCCACATCTTTTCAAATTGGCCAGATTGAGAAACACTGACCTAGAACCTAGAGATACGGAGTTTATACCTTTTCGAAGATCTTGGACTAGAAGTCCTATCATCCCAAGCTGTTGACCCATCTAGCTGAGGCAAGATGGATCTCAAAGGCCAAACAGATATGGAAGAACTATCCTGGTTCTCCTTTTGTGGTACGCATATATTCAATGTTAATATTATTTGCTTTCTTCTTGTACTGCCTGTATCAGAACAGCTAGCTGCATCTTAAGACTGGAAGCTATTTGCTCTAGAATAGGACCCAACCACTGCCCAGAAGCAGTAGAGATCCAATCAGGGCAAAGGAAACTAGCTGGACCCACCTTCAGGATCCAAAAGTTTGGTAAGGCCCAGCTCCTTTTCAGCCACATTGAAGGCATTCTGGAGATTGTAATGTGCATTACATTTCTTCAAGGTATCAATGTCTATCAGATCTGGCCTGTTGAGGACACAGAGATGAAAACACATATATGCAGATAGATGGAAGGAGTGACTTTCTTGGTGAGAACCACAAATTCAAAAAGTTTGGTCTAGTGGTTGAGGCACCAGGCTAGAAAGTGGGGGACCATGAGTTCAAGATCCATCACCCAGCTGGTTCTGAGCCCATCACCAGGAGATGGTGAGTTCTAGTCCCGCCTTAGGCAAGAAAGCCAGTTGGCTGACTTTTGGCCAATCACCGGGAGATGAATGCTCGTCCCACCTTAAGCATGAAAGCCAGCTGGGTGACTTTGAGCCCATCACCAGGAGACGGTGAATTCTAGTCCCGCCTTAGGCATGAAAGCCAGCTGGGTGACTTTGGGCCAATCACTAGGAGATGGTGAGTTCTAGTCCTGCCTTAGGCATGAAAGCCAGCTGGGTGACTTTGGGCCAATCACTGGGAGATGAATGCTCATCCCACCTTAAGCATGAAAGCCGGCTGGGTGACTTTGAGCCAATCACCAGGAGACGGTGAGTTCTAGTCCCGCCTTACGCATGAAAGCCAGCTGGGTGACTTTGGGCCAGTCCTTCTCTCAGCCCAGCCCACCTCACAGAGTGAGCATAGGAGAGAGAGTACTGATCGTCATCGTGAATTATTTGTAAAAATAACAAAGGTGTGACACAAATAAATAAAATACATGTATATGTATATCTATATTTATATTATTACAAATGACCTGTGTTTGTGGACAATTGCGTTGAAAGCCAGGCCATCTCTCCAGCTTGTGGTGAAGTTGTGGACATTCACATTTGGGTACCTGTAAGAGATCAGAAGAGATGACCCTCTTTACTCATTTTGCTTCATTTCTACCAAAAATATTCATCTCTCCACGAAGGCAGAGTTCCCTAATTTGTTTCCTCCCACGGACCCTTTCATTCATCAAAAATTCTGAGGAGCATCGCATAAACCCAGCAGACATTGTAGCAAATATGATTCCCAGATCCCCAGAGTTTAGAATTAAATACAAAGTAAATATTTTTCTTTTTAAAAAGTACATAAAAAGTTATTTTTTTAAAACAACAACAACAACACATTAAGGTCTTGCAAAATCACCCAAAGACGTTACCGTTTTGACTGGAAAAACCAGCAAAGTCCAATGACCAGTGAAACATTTATATTTAAAAACACCTATTGATGTGGATAGTCAGACAGAGAGACAGACATATACACTGCACACACATATGTGCCCGCAGAGATCGTCTGCAATATAACTGCAGATTTCCAGTAGTTCCAAAGGTTGGAGACACATCACAACAAATGTAAACCAGAAAACCTAACCTTCAGTTACTTATACTTCTGTGTCGGAAGCACCAAGGTGCTTTGCTGGTGGTTTTCCACTGTTGCCCAGGGGTTGCCCTGTTGGGAGCTCCTTTCGCACTCCTGTGAAGATGCCCACCAAAGTGCTTCTCATCTATCTACTCACGGTCACCTGCTTTTGAACTGCCAGGTCGGCAGGAGCTGGAGTAAGTGACAGGAGCTCACCCTGTCCTGCAGCGGCAACAAGGTCTCAAACGCTCACCTGCTGACAGTCAGCCCAGCGTTCTAATCTCGTGAGTCACCACGCTCACAGCTTAAGTTGTTTTTTGCAACTGATACTTCTTCCTTGTGGCTTGAAACTTCTTCCTCTTAGTTTTCACACACTGGTTTTGCAGTGTCCTTATAGCAATCTTACTTGAGGTGGGATTTCTGGATTCTAATTTTCAGAATGCTTTAACTAGCCTGGCCATTGCTGAGAACTCTCGGAATGTAAGTCTACACAGATTAAGGAAGATAGTTCATTTACCATCTTCTTCTTCTTCTTTTTTTTTTTTTTGAAATTGTTCCAACACTAAGGTGCCTTGAGCACATTCAGAAAACATGCTTAGAAATATTTCCCAGAGCTTCTGGCACACCTCTCCCTTTTCCTGCTGCGAGATCCCTTCTTCTCCGGCTTCCTACATCAGGGCTTTTCAACCTTTTCATCCATTGTACCACTTTTAGGATATGGCGATATCCGAGTACCACCAGTCGCCTAGCAAGGTGTCCAAAACTTGATAAAGTGATAAAGTACAGGTAGTCCTCGACTTACAACAGTTTGCTTAGTGACTGTTTGAAGTTACAATGGCACTGGAAAAAGTGCCCCCCAAGCCACAGCCGAGCAAGACACCTGCCTGCCCGCCCGGCTGCGCTCTTCCTCCTGTCCGAGGTTTTCATTGTTGTGAGCATTTCTGTTGAGGATTGGCAGCGGGGGTGGGGGGGTGTGGGGGGTGTTTGGTTTTTATTCCCCCCATCTGCTGGATGGTTGCAGCAGGTTTTGGTCTCTTCACATGACCCTGGGACACTGACCATCATAAATATGAATCGGTTGCCAAGCATCTGAATGTAAATCACAAGACCCTGGAGAGGCTGCAACATTCCCGCTGATTGGCGCTTCTTCTGGGCTGAGTAAGAGCGCCAGGATCAGTGCTACTTTCCAGCTGATCGGCGCTTCTTCTGGGCTCAGCGGAAGCGCCAGGATCAGTGCCGAGCTCCAGCTGGAGCCTGGCGCTGATCCTGGTGGTTCCGCTGAGCCCTGACAGCCCAGCAGCTCCAGCCACCTCAGGCTTGTCCGGTGCTGCCCCCGGTTCAGCTCATTCCCCTCCCCCGCTACCAATTTTCTAGGATGGTCACATACCATCTACCAAGTGCCAATGTACCACAGGTGGTACCCGTACTGCTGGTTGAAAAGCCCTGTCCTATATCACTAATTCTTGATGAAAAGCAAGACAGGAGAATCCCAGTTAAGCGTTAGCCAAGAAGGAGAGACTCCTCTACATGCATCGCCCTGTTTATCTTCTTACCCAGCTGTTTTCATCTGACACCAAAGCAGGAGGGCATCTTTTGCTGACTTTTTCTCCTTGTTATCCTCTGTCTCCACACTGATATCTTGGATCTACAAAGAAAAGACCGAAAGAGTTGATCAGAATCACTCACGGTCAGTGTGAGTGCGTGTATCTTTTTTTTTTTTTCCTTTTAAAGGAATAACGATGTAAAACCTGCAACGTCCAGGAAAAATACCACACCGGGCAAAAATGAAGAAAAACATCCTAATCTCGCTTAACGAGTACAAATCCGGGGGAAAAAATTGACAGCATTGATGATGCTGTTTGTGTGCTATATTTTGCATCGTTTAGTATAAAAAGGAGGGCAACAATGGTAAATCTCCTCCCTTAATAGGGAACTGCTTAAAAAGGTTCTTCTGTCCCTCAGCATTGGGGAAGGGATCTTAAGAGGTCATCTAGTCTAACTACGTGCTAGGGGGCAGTCTCCCATAAGCTGACAATTAATACTTCTTCCTTGCAGCTTGAAACGTCTTCTTTGTATTTTTAACACACTGGTTTTGTTCCTGCCGTCTGGAAAAACAGAAAATAAATCCACTCCCTCGGGTGTGTGACAATCCTTCAGATTATTTCAAAACTACTTCCCCTTAATCATTTACCCCATAGGCTAGACACACCCTGATCATTTAATTATTCTTCCATCAGGAGAACTAGGAACTTGATTTTGAAATTAAAGTAAAGCAAGAACCTCCATTTCAATCTTTGGGCTTCTATTCTTCCTGCAGAATGAGCATGAAATTGGGGGGGGGGGGGGAGAACGTTCTGGAACATACCTGGAAACGGAGGATAATTGTCCAGATGAGGCCCAGCGTGAGTCGGTGGTTGCCATCCACAATATCGTGGGAGCCCATGTTTTCCAGGTGGACTCGCTGTTCCTTTAAAAACTGGAGGGCTTTGTCCACATTCTCCAGACAGTGTATCCGCATTCGGCCCTTGGTCGGCTTGGGCTGAGGAGAAGGGGAAAAAACAGGCTATAATTTCCCCTAAGGACGGGTTGAAAGTGTCCTGTATTTCACTAAACTTGTTTATACACCTGGAAAAGTCTTTTCCAAGTTTCCAAGCTTCCATCCTGCGACGATATCTGTAATACCATCAAACATCCACATCTGCCTATCCCAGGTCCTTGGGAAGGACTCGATAGGTAGGCAAAAATGCCAAATCCAGTCTGAACATCTGGCTGACTGTGCAATGAGCCATAATAATAATAATAATAAGCAAGAAGATTGCACAGACTGACTACAAGCAGCGGCATGACAAAGTAGCAACAATGGTGCATTGGAAGATCTGCAAAAAATATCATTTGCCTGTAAGCAAAAACTGGTGGGATCATAAAACAGAGAAAGTCATAGAAAATGATAAAATTAAACTGCTCTGGGACTTCAGAATTCAAACAGACAAGCACCTGCAACATAACACCCCAGACTTAACAATGGTCGATAAGGAAGACAAAAAAGTCTGGATAGTGGACGTGGCAGTGCCTGGAGACAGCAGAATAGATGAGAAAGGAGAAGATCACAAAATACAAAGACCTACAAATAGAAATAGAAAGACTGTGGCAAAAGCAAGCAAGGGTAGTACCAATAGTAATAGGCGCCTTGGGTGCAATCCCAAAACAACTGGAGCACCACTTGGACACCATCATTGGCATTGACAAATTCGCCATTAGTCAATTGCAAAAGGCGGCCTTACTAGGAACTGTCTGCATCCTATGACGAGATCTGTAATACCATCAAACATCCACATCTGCCTATCCCAGGTCCTGGGTAAGGACTCGATAGGTAGACAAAATGCCAAATCCAGTCTGAACATCTGGCTGACTGTGCGATGATCCATAATAATAATGATGATGATGATGGAAGCTAATTAATTATACTGCATCGTTCCTTATTGCTGTAATCATACTGCTGGAGTCAGGAATGGAAGCTGCCCAGCGCCAGTTCCAAGTGGAGTGGCATAATCATAAAATTATATATCAGTAAATACAGTGAGCACCTCCAGCTACAGCCGTTCATTCACAAAAGAGGCGTGAGGCTGCATTTTGCATACTGATGAAGACACAGGGCTTCTGCACGCGAGAAGCTTAACTGGGTCAAGGAGGAGTTGGTGTGTTGTGCAAACAACACGAGCAAAGCAGCCGCCTGGATTTCAAAGGCGGCTTTTCTAGACATTCAGTCTCTATGCGTTTCATTTGTTTCCGGCTGTTAAATACACAGAGAGGCCTCGACTTACAACAGTTCTTTTAGTGACTGTTCAAAGTGACAACGGCACTGGGGGGGGGAAGCAATTTAGGACCGTTTTTCACACTTACGACCACTGTAGCATCCCCTCGGTCGTGTGATCAAAATTCAGACCCTCAGCCATGAATTCATATTGATGATGGTTCCAGGCTCACCTTTTGTGACCTTTCTGACAAGCCAAGTCAAGGGGGAAGCCAGACTGTGTTACTAGTTTAACAACTGCCATGGTTCACTAAACAAGTGTGGCAAGGAAGGTTGTAAAATGGGGGGGACTCACTTAATGACTTTCTTGCTTGTAACAGAAAGTTTGGGCTCAGTTGTGGTCGTAAGTCGAGGACTCCCTGTAGAGGGGAGGACTATAGAGGTCTTCAAGAACAAATTGGACAGCCATTTGTCTGGGATGCAATAAGAACTCCTGCCTTGGGGTGGACTAGACCAGTGGTTCTCAACCTGTGGGTCGGGACCCGATTTGGGGTCGAACGACCATTTCACGGGGGTCACCAAACAATGCAGTCCGCCATTTTCCCCCCCTTTTCCTTAGCTGTGCTCCTCCCTTTTATTCTATTGGCTTTTGAAAGCCAATAGAATAGATTCTCTTGAATAGAGTCTAATTCTATTGGCTTTCCAAAGCCAATAGGAATTGTCCAGGCTGTCTCTGCCCTGCTGAGCCCACCAAAAGTCCCAGTCTGCAAACGGTGCTGCACCAGTTGAGTAGTCCTCGACTTACGACCGGTTGAGTAGTCCTCGACTTACAACCGGTTGGGGGGGGGTCGCGGCATTAAAAAGGTTGAGAACCACTGTTCTAACCTTTTCGAGTCTGCTTCAGCATCTTCCTGCTCCTCGCCTCCCCCGCCACGCCAGCCAAAAAAAATAAAAAATAAAAAAATCAGCCACCAGGACAGAAGCACCTGTCAAGCTGCCAGGCAGGGTGTAGGTTGCTGCCTGCCAACAGGGGAACTGGAAATTCTGCCTCGCTTGGGCTAGAACAGGCTGTTACCCTCCCGGCTGGAAAGAGAGCCAAAGCATGGGATTCTGGGAAACAGGTGTTCGGCTTTCCCAGCTTGGTGGGTGGTGGCTGCGGCTGGCTTGGAGAAGAGGAAAGAGAGACGTGGCAAGCGAGGAGGAAAAAAAACCACCCAGTTGGCCCAGCCTTTTCGAAGGGCAGGCTGGCACTGCCCCTCCTAAGCAGCGTGGCACTTTTGATTGTTGGAAGGGGGGGGGTACCATTCCAGCTGGGAGAGAGGTGCCTCCCGCTCCATCCCGTTGTCTTCTCAGCAAAGGGCAGTTTTGCCACGTTTTTCTTCATGGTACAATCGGAAAACATCCAAGACAAATTTGTGCCTTATGGGTTTGAGGGCCAAGCATAGGAGCTCTGGTGGCACAGTGGTTGGGATGCAGTCTTGCAGGCTAACTCTGCCCACAGTCAGGAGTTCGATGCTGACCTGCTCAAGGTTGACTCCGACTTCCATCCTTCTGAGGTCAGTAAAATGAGGACCCAGACTGTTGGGGGCCAAAGGCTGACTCTGTAAACTGCTTAGAGAGGGCTGTTAAATACTGTGAAGAGGTATATAAGTTTAAGTGCAAATTCTATTCTATTCTTTCTGTATTCTATTTTATTCTATTTTATTCTATTCTATTCTATTCTATAGTATTCTATTCTATTCTTTCTGTATTCTCTATTCTGTTCTATTCTATTCTATTCTTTCTCTATTCTATTCTGTTCTTTCTCTATTCTATTCTATTCTATTCTTTCTGTATTCTCTATTCTATTCTATTCTTTCTGTATTCTCTATTCTATTCTATTCTATTCTTTCTGTATTCTCTATTCTATTCTATTCTATTCTTTCTGTATTCTCTATTCTGTTCTATTCTATTCTATTCTATTCTATTCTTTTTCTATTCTATTCTATTCTATGCTTTCTGTATTCTCTATTCTATTCTATTCTATTCTTTCTGTATTCTCTATTCTTTTCTATTCTATTCTTTCTCTATTCTATTCTATTCTATTCTATTCTATTCTATTCTATTCTTTCTCTATTCTATTCTATTCTATTCTATTCTATTCTCTGCTGATAATTTAACTGCTCAGAGGAAGAGAACTTAGATCCTAGCATGGTGTTGTGGTTCCGGCTAATGAAACATTCCAAAGAACTTCCAGGCATTGATTTTCCTAAAAGTCTTTTATTGTTACAAAATGTCAGCACAGGCACAACGGAGGGATGCTAGGATCTAAATTCTCTTCCTCTGAGCAGTTATCAGCATGTTCCCTCCCTAAATTAGCCTTCATATCTCACACTATCCAATTAGTGTGAAGGTCAAATGTTTTCTTCCTCTTTCTTTCCCGGGCTTTACCCCCAACACTCCTTCTGCTCTTTATTAACCCCATATTTACCAGACAATTCTGCATATTGTCAAAAGCAATTTTGACAGACTGACGACAGACTGATGAGCACACTGGACCCCAAATCCATCAAAATGTCCTCCTCCGCCAAACCCCAAAAAATGTTATTTTTTTTTCTCTTTTAGTTAGATTTGCAGACTTTTTTTTTTTTTTGGTCTTAGGAGGCGGCTGCTTTGGCTTCCCCCCCAACCTTTGCCACACTCACCAGTTGTTCCCCTGAGAGCACTTCCAGAAGACGCAGCAACATGCGTCCATCTCGCAGGTCGCTGTACAGATCGCTGATGCGGCAGGTGACCCGGGCCAGGTGAGAGTTGACCCATTTGGTGAACGTCTTCTTCTGTACCGCTTCTCGTTCATCTGCAAGAGAAAGCCAGTGGTTTGATGAACAAGGACTTTGCGTACTTTTTTGCAACTGCCAAGCAAGGGCCTATTTTTGATCTACAGCCATTGGCTACGTTGCTTTAATATCACAGAAAGATGGGCCACAAAGGAAGCACCAGCATACAGGTTTTTTTTTTTTTAATGCACGTGCAGCTTGTGCGATGGAGCCAGAGACATCCACGGGGGATGCAGAAAAGTCAAGATGGAAGGCTGCAACCTGCAATCGAAAACCTGCCGCTTTCTTACAGACCGATCGAGGAGAATATTTGTAGCTTAGGGTTGAAATGAGGGGTCCTTGGTGCTCTCTGAGCTTGGCTGTTTTCTTGCAGAGGTTAACGTCATCAGTGCAAACCCCACTCCCTTCTGGCGCTGAGGATGTTGCTTAGGTTGGGTATTTGGGTAATGTTGGATAGTATCCAACGTATGTTAGATGTTTGGGTAATGAAACATCTGTAAGAAAACAGCCAAGGACAGAGCGCACTAAAGACCAGGGCTTTTCAACCTTTTCACCCATGGTACCACTTTTAGGATATGGCAGCATCCGAGGACCACCAGTCGCCTAGCAAGGTGTCCAAAACTTGATCCAAAAAAAGGAAAAAAGTGATAAAGTACAGGTAGTCCTCGACTTACGACAGTTCGCTTAGTGACTGTTCAAAGTTACAATGGCACTGAAAAAAGTGCCCCCCAAGCCACAGCCCAGCAAGACACCTGTCTGCCCACCTGGCTGCGCTCTTCCTCCTGTCCGAGGTTTTCATTGTTGTAAGCATTTCTGTTGGGGATTAGCAGTGGGGGTGGGGTGGGGGGGTGTTTGGTTTTCATTCCCCCCCCCCCATCTGCTGGGTGGTTGCAGCAGGTTTTGGTCACTTCAAATGACCCTGGGACACTTTGACCGTCATAAATATGAATCGGTTGCCAAGCATCTGAATGTAAATCACAAGACCCTGGAGATGCTGCAACATTCCAGCTGATCGGCGCTTCTTCTGGGCTCAGCAGGAGCGCCAGGATCAGTGCTGCTTTCCAGCTGATGGGTGCTTCTTCTGGGCTCAGCAGAAGCACCTGGATCAGCGCCGAGCTCCAGCTGGACCCTGGCACTGATCCTGGTGCTTCCGCTGAGCCCTGACAGCCCTGCAGCTCCAGCCGTCTCTCGCTCAGGCTTGTGCCGTGCTGCCCCTGGTTCAGCTCATTCCCCTCCCCTGCTACCCCTTTTATAGGATGCTCGCGTACTACCTGCCAGGTGCCAATGTACCCCAGGGGGTACCCGTACCGCTGGTTGAAGAGCCCTGCTAAAGACCACTCACTTTATTACCGGTATATGTTTTGTATAAGCAGCATATGTAAGAAAAGGAACGGACGTAGTTATATCATTTATTTGATTTTTTTATCCCACCTTCATTACTTTATAAGTAACTCAAGGTGGCAAACGTAACCTTCCTCTTCCTCTTTTTCCCCAGAACAACAACCCTGTGAAGTGGGTTGGGCAAACATCTGAATTTTGATCACGTGACCCTGGGGGAACGTTGCAACAATCGTTAAGTGTGAAAAAACCGTCAGGTCTCCTCTTTTTCAGTGCCATTGTAACTTCAAACGGTCAGTAAGCGAACTATTGTAAGTTGAGGACTCTCTGTACAATAAGACAAAGATGAAGAGATGGGAAAGATCAGGGAACTCGCAGAAGTGGCAGCCACTGCTGAATTGGGATAGGAAAGAAGGGGTTTCATTTATTTGCATGCATTTCAAGGACTTTTCAACTTTTTTTAAAATAAAGGCGCTTTGCCAAGCAGAGACAGTAACGTGCAGCCAGCACCTGTTCAAAGGTAACAGGAGAAGGGAAACCAAGCAGCCCTCGTTTGAATGAAAGATTTTTTTTCTTAATTAAAATGGCTGCATTCTCTAATCACGGCATTAATGGTAATTGTGTTGATCTCTTTAATTTTTATACGGCAAGGTAGCTTCCTAAGCACTCATGACTGTCATTTGTGTTTTGTTTTGTTTTTTACTGTTTCTATGCTGTGCTTCTTAAACGGCCGTTTTGATTTTTGAAAAGCTTAACTGATAATTACAGAACGCTGTAATCCAAAGGAAAACTGTTTTCAGACAGGTGTTGATTAATCCAGAGGTGGTGTATTATGAATGCTACCTTTTGCCCTAAATTAAAAGCAGGCAATCAATTAATGTTTATACAAAGAGAGTCTTATTATTAAAAAAAGAACTCGATTACAGTTAAACTCACAATTGTTCATAAAATCAAGGGGGGGAAAGGAAGAAAAGATAAAGGAAATGTAGTTGCAGCCCTATTTAAATTATGGTAGGAAGCCCAAATAAGATCAGGTATCTTACACCCAAATTGGATCAAAAATACTGACAACTGGAACTGGCACCAGCATTTCTCTTCTAAAGCAAGGAGGTTGTTAAGTGAGTCACAGTTGATTTTATGATCTTTTTGCCATGGCTGTTAAGTGAATCACTGCCCTTAAATGAATCAGGAAGTCATTAAACAAATTCTGGTTTCCTCTATTGACTTTGCCAGTTGGAAGCCAACTGGGAAGGTCACAAATGGCGGTCACATGACCCTGGGGTGCTGCAACAGTTGTACATACATACTGGTAACAAGTGCCCCAATTTTGATCATGTGACCGTGGGGTTGCTGTGACAGTCGTTAAGTTGAGGACCGGTCGTAAATTACTTTTTCCCCAGTGCTATTCTAACTTTGAACAGTTACTAAAGAAATGGTTGTTAAGTCAAGGACCAACGTATATGCTTCTTAAGCAACCAACGTATTTTTAACATGAGAATTCCTATCACTGTGTTTTTTAAAACTGAATAATATGTTTACTTTCCCTGCCATTTTATACAGCAATTAAAGATCTTCATGAGGTTCATGAGTTTGCCTATGATGTCTTCTTTCACAAAAGCCTGAGCTGTGGTGGTGAACCTATGGCACGTGTGCCATAGGTGGCATGCTGAGCCCTCCCTGTGGGCACGCGTGCCGTCGCCCCAGTCCTAGGCCTTCAGCTGGGTTTTATAAAACCTTTTCGCTTTAAGCCTTCACCGCCATGTGCAAAAAAAATAATAATTCAATCAATCAATCAATTTCAACTTTGCAAAGTTGGAATTGATTGATTGAACTTTTTAGTCCCACCCAGTCTGCCGTTACCACCACAGCCATGCCCACCCAATGGGCCACACCCACCCAGCACCTGATGATACATAAGTGGATTTGGGATTGCAGTTTGGGCACTCAGACTTCAAAATATTCGCCACCACTGGCCTAGAGGGAAGTTTATTAAAAAAACTGTCTCCACAATTAGAGACTGCTTTGTTTAATTACTTTGACAGCATACTAAAAAGCAGAGACGTCACCTTGCCAACAAAAGTGCGTATAGTCCAGGCCATGTTTTTCCCAGTTGCAATGTACGGCTGTGAAAGTTGGACCCTAAGAAAGGCTGAGTGACAAAGAATGGAGGCCTTTGAACTCTGGTGCTGGAGAAGACGCCTGCGAGTCCCCTGGACTGCAAGACGATCCAACCGGTCAGTCCTAGAGGAGATCAACTCCGACTGCTCTTTAGAAGGCCAGATCCTGAAGTTGAAACTCAAGTCCTTTGGCCACCTAATGAGAAAGAAGGACTCACTGGAGAAGGGCCTAATGCTGGGAAAGATGGAGGGCAAGAGAAGAAGGGGACGACAGAGGATGAGGTGGCTGGACGGAGTCACTGAAGCAGTAGGTGTGAATTTAAATGGACTCCAGAAGATGGTAGAGGACAGGAAGACCTGGAGGAACGTTGTCCATGGGGTCGCAATGGGTCGGACACGACTTCGCAATTAACAACAACAACAACTGGCTGAAAGTCCTAAAGCGAAACAATTGAGCAGCATGCACACTGACCAAGTTGCTCATTCACTGCACTAGGGGATGGAAAAGCAAATATTAAAACTAGCCTTTCCCATTATCAGGGCCCAGGACCGTATGTCTTTGTTTACACGGTTCCTTCCAGTTTCCCAGAAAGCATCCTTTGTTGGCACCTGGATGTTATGCAAATCGACCAGCATCAATGAGTAGGTTGAAGGGGAGATCATCAAATAGTGGTTGACAAGGCAGAACGATTCAAGTGCCTAGGCAATCTCTAACTTCTTCTCAAAAGAAATCTTCTGCATTACTTGTTAAGATGCCACAGAGTTCTCCCCCTTGCTAGGTGCCAGGTAATACTAAGTCTCCTTGTCCCAGGTGACTGTCAAGGTAAGGTCTCGTCTAGCTACACTGCTTTGATCTTCATTTTATTGTTCACAGCTTCAACCGAAAACAAGACAGTCCACAGGTTGAATCACAACTTTGCCATGAAATTTACAAGATGCCTTTGATGCCCTCAGCCCCCGCCTCTGACTGGTCGCCCAGAAAGCGATGTAAAATAGTATTATGAAGTGAACAAGGATACAGGTATCAAGAAATTAGAAGAAAAATGGGTGGAAACTTAACCAAAGGTGGCATCTCTCCTGTACACTTTCCCCAAAATGGTTTCCACAATTTTGGCCACTACTGTATAACATATATCCTCGCAAAAAGAGCCATCCTGGTTAGGCTTGGGCTAAAGCCCATCCCGTCAGCTCACTCTGGATTGATCATTGTTAAGTATCAAATGCACACTTTGCGGCTTTCCACAACAGCCGGCATCTGTCCTGCAGCTCCAGCAGACACTGCTGCGCCTCTGCCCCAACCTATCGTGTGCACCCAGTGTGCAGGAAGAGTCAACCATGGTGGTGGGGCCGAGGGTTCAGCTCTGAGGCTGAGTCACTAGGACATGTCAGGACAGGGCTGGGCTGGGTGAAAAGCTCCATCTCCGTGTGCTTTGCAGAGAAGGGAAAAGAAAGGTCACCTCGCGCCCTGACCTGGACCCCACTGGTCTGAAAAGCCAAATGGCCCGTCTGCTCAGCATCTCGCAGATTAGCCAGCTGTCTGGAAGAGAGGGTCAGCCAGCACCATA